TAGTTGACGTATATACTTACGTATACTAAACCTAGCTTATAGCTTCCTATATTAGCTATTATAGGCGACGTTATACTACTATATAACTAGCCTAATTCTCTCCCTTAGCTAGCTATTAGTTCCTCAACCAACTCAGCTTCAATATAAGCCTATACATTCTTTACTATTAAAGCCCTACTTCATAAGTACAAGTTCCCTTACTCTAATACCCTGTTATAAGGATATCGTACTATCTACGAGATTCCTACCTACCGTTCCAACATATTATATTAACTAGGATAAGTTAATTAAAAAAGTAAGAAAGTATATATATAGCGATCGCTACTACTAGGATTAGCCTACTTCTATTAATAATACCTACTAGACTATTATTAAAGCGTTACCTACTATCTTAGGTTAGTCTACCCTTGCCTCTATCGCTAGCCTAGCAGTTTTTACTACTACCTACGATAACCTTATTACCCGAGACGATATCGTTCTCGATTCTAGTTATACTACTTTAACCTTTAACAACTTACGATATTTCGTTAAGTACGTTAAAAAAAGCGATTTAATACCTTCTACTTCTGCTTCCGGCGCCTTAGTCTAGTTACTTAGCATAAATACCGTCTTCTTCTAAACCTAAGACCCTACTAACCCTAACGTTATTTACGATTAGATACTTTATAACGTTAAGTATAACCCTTCTAGCCTAGCTAACTTACTAAGCCTTAGAAAACTTCGTCGTAATTACGTAGAATATAATTAGCAGACCTTAAGCCTTATATACGTAACATAACATACTTCCCTTACTAAAGTTTATTAGGTTTCTAACGTCTACGTCGTTAAGACTTATAATACTAGAAATTATATGCCTCGAGATATTACTATCAGCCTCGCCGCCTTCTAGGCTACCTAGCGACCGTCTCTTAAACTAATATACCGCCGGCTAGTTTACGCCTACCTATTACGTATTATAAAGGCTTGCCGCCGTATTAGTATTCGGTTTATAACGTTAGAAATTAACGCTTTCTTCTATAAGTCTTGCTATCTTAGTAAATCTACTAAACGGATTAGTCAAGACTAACTACTTCTACTTATAAGTATTAGTAATAAAATTTACCTTGATCTCGTTAGTATTCTTCCCTTATTAATAAAAGGGAACCGTTAGGTTTTATACCTTATAGATAAGTATAGTAGTTACTACTAGGTTGTTTTTCTACCTAACTATAAGTTTGCTACTATCTTAATAGCTATTAAGAAATAAGATACTAAATTCTATAGTCTTACTAGCCTTAAGCCTAAGGTTTAGGTTTCTAATAATACTCCCGAGCTAATCAAGGTTTTTAACAACCCCTACTTCGAAGGTACTTGCTATAATACGACTATTGCCTATACGCCTTCTATAAACGGTACTATTAAGCATGCTAGTTGTACTATCGTCGAAAGCGCCTAGATATAGCTGATTAATATATCCCTTCTAGAGGAACTATAGGATTATAGTATCGATTCGGTAACTTAGATTCTTAACCTCTTGCCTATACCCTCTAAAGGTAACTTAAGCCTTTACGAGATTATAGCGAGAAAGCTAAACTTAGCTACTAAACGTGAGGCCCCCTATATTAAATATCTCCGAACGTTTAGCTATACTGCCTACGTATATAAGAAAGGCCCTCGACGCCCTATACGCTTTGCTAAGATAGAACTATAAGCAATTAAGGGATTCCTCGTCGGTTACGGTTCTCTTCGTAGCTATATTTACTACGTTTACCTGCCTAATCGAAAGGAGGTTATTCGCTATAGAGATATTCGATTTCGTAAGGAACCGTATAAGATAGTATTGCCTCTAACTACTAGCATACCTAATATTAATAAAATTAAACATAATACTGCGTTTATTAAACTAGATATTATTATCTAGTATACTATCTATTAGAAGCCTATTAAAAGTAAAAAACCCGTAACTAGTAATCCTAAACTAGATAAGACTATCGTTAAAAAAGCGATAATACCTACTAATATATATCTTATATCTCCGCTACTAGAAAACCTATTAGAGACTACTACTATACCTCGTAATAGTATTACTAACGAATTAAATAATAACGAATTCGTCGCTTCCGTAGAAATAATAGAAACTAATTACTAAGACCTTAATTCCCTCTCTACGATTGTTAAGGAAGTAATAAGTTAACTAGCAAAGTCCTCTCGACCTCGCCGCGCCTTAGCCTAGCGACTACCTAGTTACTACTAAGCTGCTAGTAGCGTATACTCCTATACTAAAAAGACCTTCCTATCTACTAATATTCTAGCTTTACTAACTTCTTATTAATTTTCTCTTAGCATACTTTCTACTACTACCTTTTTGAAAGTCTTACCTAACGGCGTAGTAATCCCGAAGTCCTACCGTAAGGCGTAGAAGAGCCTTGTTACGACCCGTTAGATACACCTAACAGGACCCACTCGGTTGGGCGGTTATGACAGGACTTTGTATGCAGGGCCACGGGAACAAAAGGTAACCTCTCGGAACGGAAGAACTATAGAACGGAACAAGTCACGTGATGAATCATTCTAGGTCAGAATGATCCAAGAAGAGTTGGGGGCCAACGGATCATGTTCGATCAATATGATCTCCAACGACTACAGACAATACGTGTAGATAGACTCCTATATAGACCAGGACTTGAGTACCTGCTCAAGCCCTCTAGATAGTTCTTCAGCAATCAACTTGTGATTCATCCTCGAATGACTTTCAGCTTACCTCTCAGTATTGTGAATACTAAGAACCTCGTTACCATAGTGTAAGACTGATCACCTTACCCTAACCCTACGATCTACCAGAACGACCTCTACGAACCAGTGTTAGTCTCTTACTGCACCTTCTGTTAGCAGAACCCTACTGTCAGATAGCTGGCCGTAACAAGCCTATAGTAGCCTTAGTAGGAATAAGCCTTCGAACGAGAGATAACTTAATTTACGGAAAAGGGGGTTTACAAAGTCGTTTACTTACTACGTAATACTAAAGTCTTACCTAGCAAATAGGTATATAATATTAAAATAAATAAAAATAACGAAATCGTACGCTATAAGGCTTGATATATAGTTTATAGAAACTATAAGAAAGGTAACTAGTTATTATAAGAGGTTTATGCTATAGTTACCTCTACTACCGCTACCTACTTTTCTTCGTAGTTATCATACTTCTCGATCTCGAATACGAAGTATATAATTTCGATACTGCCTTCCTAGCCGCCTCGATTCTAGAGGGGGTTAAGGTATACGTCCAGCCTCCCGCTAGCTACGCTACTAAAGATAACAAGGTATAGTTACTATACAAGGCACTTTATAGCTTAAGAAAATCACTACTTTAGTAGTTTCGTCTTATTAAAAGCGAAATAGAACGAATTAGCTTTACTATTATTAATAAGGAGGTTTATCTCTTCGTTAACTATAAGATTAAAGCATACGTTCTTATATACGTCGACGATAACGCTATCGCTACTCCTAATAAGCAGGTTATAATAGAAGTTTATCGTCTCCTCGAGAAGGTCTATTCTCTTAAAGACCTCGGCAAGGCTACCGATTTTCTCGGTTTCTAGATTGAACGCGACAGGGCTGCCGGTAAGATTTTCGTTTCCTAAGCTAAGTATATAAAAGCAATACTTTAACGATTCGACTTTAATAGTTTAAGCGTTGTTAAGACGCTTATAGCGACTACTAACGATCTACCTGTTACCTAGGATAAGAATAAGTACTTGCTTAACGAATAGCAACTTTATATCGAATAAACTAGCTACCTTAACTTCCTAGTAGCTAGAACTTGCGTTAATATAGCCTATACCGTTAGTAAATTATTACAAGCGAATTCAAGGCTTTCTAAGGCCTATCTTCGTACTATTAAGTACTTATTCCGATACCTTAAAGGTACCGTTTATCTCGGTATTATACTTAGAAGCATCTTTACGATTAATAAGTTAAGGCTTTACGCTATTATAGATACTTCTTTCGCTAATAATAAGCTATTATAAGTCTCGATAAGTAGTTACGTCGTCTTCCTTGCTAGTATGCCGATTGCTTAGAAGTTAAAGAAATAGACTTTCGTAACTTTAAGCATTACGGAGGCTAAATTTATTAATCTTATACCTATAGTAATTACTATAAAGTAGATTAGACGTTGCCTCTCCTAACTACTTAGCAAACCTATTACTATGCCTACTATTATATTTACTAATAGTACTAACGGCTATGATAACGTTATAAACCTACTTAACAAGGTACGAACCTGCTATATCGACGTCCGATATAAATAGATTATATAGGAGGTTTATACTACGAAAAGCATCGAACTCCGACTTATCAAGGGCGCTGATATAGCCGCCGATAGACTTACGAAGCCACTAGTTGCGGTTAAACACAAGGAATTCGTTCGTTTGTTGGGCATGGCGGAGGGATTGGATTAAGAGGGGGATTTTGAGACTATAGGACTATTAATATTAAGACTTCGGGATTCAGAGGATTTTATAGCCTCCTATTAGCTAGGTTTAACTAGTAATTAACCGAGTTTTCTAATAGTTAAGAACTCCTCGGATTTAGAAGATTTAGGACTTTTCCTATATTTTCCTATTATTCTTTTTCGCTAAGGAGTCTGAGAGGGGGTGTGGGTGGCAGGCCTCGCCGGCCCGTCACGTGGGCTGACGGCCGCCACCACTGGTCTTAGCCAGCCTCCACAGCCCTCTAGCCAGTTAGTTAGTTCTTCCAACCAACAACACCACTTTTCCCATTCTGAGCGTTCTGTGCTGGTTTCGCCCACATCTTCTGTTCCCGATTCAACAAAGTTCTTAAGCTGGTCAGCGGGGTGATCAGGTTGAGATCTAGCTGCGTCTCATTAGACACCGAGAGAGACCACTCGCCGATTAGACTGTCCCTACATTTACGGAGTCCAGCTCTCAGCTGACGTTCCTTCAAAGATTGCCGATAGCTTCGCTCGTCCAAGGCGCTCAATAAACAACAAGACGGAAAAAATGTGGTCTTTTCCTGCTCTGTTGGCTCTCTCCTCCATCGCCATCAACACGGCGGCATCACAGGGTGTCACCCTGACATGGCGCACGGCGACCATCACGCAATGTTACGCCTACGTCTTTGAGACTACTTCACTCTGCAATGGCGGTTGTGCGAAGCCCACAGTCTATCAGCCATCATATCCAGGCGGGCCCATCGGTGTCTGCATCGACGCGCCTAGGTGTCACTCGTGCGGTTGCAACGCCTGTGCCCAGACCGTCGCGTACACCACGGCATACGATGCCTTCTGTTCGACTGGATTGACAAAGCAGCTTTACGCGGTGACGGAGACATACAGCGGTGTCTCCGCCAAACCTACGGTCGCTTCGACAGATGTGCCTTTTGGCTTCACAGCCGATGTCCAGACGTGCACAACATGTGGCGACAAGCCCATCACAGCGACCATTACGCGGCCCATGTCTGATGTTGCATACATCACCGGCCTTTCAGAGCCATTTCCCGCTCCGATTGGTGCTAAACCTTATCAAATCGACATCCAACCCCCGGTAGTATCTGCTTCTGGACAAGCCCCCGGTCCGGGTCCTTTCTACCGTAAGTGTGCCTCTGTAGCTACAAATACCAGCCCTATATTAACGCCGTTGTAACTTCGAATAATGTTACTGTAGTGTCCCCTAACTCTGCCAGCCAAGTTGCTGGGTCTTTCCTTTTAGCATCTGCTGCTGGTATTGCTTTGGCATTTATCACAATCTAGAGTGTTCGTCGTGTAATGCGGGATGATCGATACAAGGTTTAATGAATGGTATAAGAGTGTTAGATTTACATGATTCTCTCTATGATCGCGAAGACATCCTGATTTCTATCCGAAGGGCGCCTCGATGGTCATAGGGGCAATACATATTTCACATTGACTAATATTATTAAATATCCAGTCTCATGAGGTTAGCGGCTAATTGATAACGATTTATGTGGCCCAGTGTTTTGATTCATCCGCTCCTTTAGCATAGAAAAGAGTGATACATGTGCCTGGCCTCTGTTCTCCTGGTGTATATATTGCAGCCCTTGTGCTTTTCCTGTCGTTCAATATCCGCAGTGGACCTCGCTTGAGGTTTGTATTACAGTGTAACCATATCTAAAGTCTGGAAATACGCTATGATAATGACCAAATCAAACCCCAACCCGTAGCTCTTGCTACTTATCAACTGTGTAGTCCACAGAATCACTTCTGACTGCCGTCACAACATCCATCTGAATGTGTGGACCCCCCACAAGATTCTGTAACTCATAAGCAGGGACCTCAATCGATGATTCATTGGGCATACGATGCGTACTGGCATAAGACCTCCCCCATCCTCTTTGGCCTCCGTGTTCCCACCACCACCAATGCTTGCGGCCACTGTCTGGAGTGATTTCCGAGAGAGGAACCCTTCTGCTAGCAGGACCACTGATAACCACTATATTTCCAAACTCTCGTATAGGTGTTCTCATAAAGGCAAATCTGTCTAGCCCTGCATCGTGGACGTCCTGTGGGGCGCTGAAGACAATGGTTGTCGTCCACAGGATCGAGTTGAGGAGGCCATTGGCAGCTAACAGAGAGCCTGCAAATGCGAAATAAGAGGTGCCCAAGTCAGTGCCCAAGAGAGAGGTGATTCTTCCTATTATCAGAGGTGTGCTGCAGGCTATGTATACAAACGGATAGGCGAGGAAGGCTGGGTGGTAGCCGGATGGTTGTGGACATGCCGGTCTTTGATTGATCTCGCTGCTGAATTCTGAATGGCCGCTACGCGACACTGACCGCTTCTGCGGCAAATGACGGCAACTCCTTTTTTGTCTCCAAAGAGTAATGAAGACGAAGGAGTAGAGTATAATCGTCATAAGGATAGATACAATGACCCAAAAATAATGAGCCCATAGGCGCCATGGGTCGTATGCGTTGGATATCCAACACCTGAACGAGAATTAAGTTCATATCAGCTTGGCCAAAGGCGCTTCAAGATATCCAGCCTTGTGTGAAGAAGGCTGTCAAAAGGGCTGCTTACCATACGTTGGCCCGCATATAAAATGACTCCCCAGGAGCCGTTGGATGAAGGTGAGAAGAGGCGATTCCCGCTCCATTGACGGCAAAGTCGAAGACCCAGAGGCCGGCTATACATGTGTAAACTACCCACGGTGGTGGTTTGTATCCCAATCCCACTGTTAGGCAAGTGTTCACAGATATGACCACCAGAAACAAACTGGCAGCCAGGTTACTTGTCGACCCTAGCCAGCCCTGTGCCCAACAAACTGGAGAGGGGGCAAAGATCCCATTCACCGCAACCCAATAGAAACTGAGTCCATAGGCTAGTGCTTCCATCATATCCGCCAAGAGAAGGTTGTAGACGAGAATGGGAAACGGGTTGCGAATTTCCGGCTCCGTCTCATCGTCGGCTTCCCGGTCTACTGTGCCATTGTTACGTTGCTCCTGTGCACTAGCGGCTAGCCTGTCGAGTTCGAGGATGCGATCGAATCCGGTAGCTCCGGAGCAGGGAGCATCAATACCAAGGGAGAGGTCTGGCAATTGTGGGCCAGCGGCGGCAGCAGCAGCAGCATTCCGTTGTTGGGCTTTTTGTTTCCTCTTCCTCCGCCGTGCTCTTTCCGCCAGCCGCTCTGCCACGAGCTTGTATGTAATAAAAAGCCAAAGCAGGGTCGTTGACAAAAAGGAAAGACAGGAAAATGTTGTTAGAATTATTAGTCCAACGCGGTGATCTTCTGGAAGTGGCGCCAACGTCGTGCGGAGCGTCGTGTCTGACATAATGAGCTGGCATCTAGACGAGCCAGTTTGGCGAACTCGGACGAGGTTGCTGATGATGGGGGCCGAATCCAATAAAGAGAGATATCATTTCCCGCCAGTGTTTAGTTGAAAGTATGCATACTTCACACTGATGTGCCGTAACCGTGTCCTGCTCGGATCTTTCTTGGTCAATTGGACTAAACCTTGAATCATGCTCTAAAGTTAAGGCCTAGCTCCGTGCCTGGTGCTCCAATCAGTACCCGCCATTGTGTGTCGCCAGGGTCTTGATGTAGGTTACTTCATCAAAGTCTAAGTTGGAAAGTACATGGCCAGTGTTTCACCCCTCAGTAGGACGATGATACGATGCAACATGTGATGTGAAAATTTGCAGAATTGCTTTCGGTCAATTTGCTCTAAATTCTCGGTTCGGCGCGCTCTCACGTTGTGAGGATGCAGTGTTTATTACAAAGAATATTCCAGCAGCTATGATGTGATATTCAAAATGGATAGCTTACGGCACTTTGTAGCTCCACTTCTTGTAACTTGACAATTCCCAGATCCAACGCCGTCAAATAAGCTTTTTCAATGACTAGTTCGGCTGTCTATGGCAAAGGTTTCCTTGACTCGGAGACCAGACCAGCTCTAGATTGTTCGGAAAACGATTTCCCAGGCTCAACGATTTCGATTGACTGAATTGAAGGATGCTGCTTGTTAATGGTACGGGAGGTCAGGAGGTGCAAAATGAGTGCTTTAGCTTTACTCAAGTTACTATTGAATCCTGAATTAAGAAGGTCAAGGGGGAACAAGTTTCCTTTTTAAGTAGTCACAGAGATAGAATTCATGTTTAGTAATGAATCCTGTCCCCATGACGACATACTTGTGCAACGCATGATGTTTTCGAGTTCAAAGGCCTTGGTCTGTCAGCTACAGCATGGAGTCACCTTACAGCGCAACGAGGGGAAATGTTAGGGCAATTTGAGACAAGGTCTGATGATGCCACTCTTTAAACCTGATGGACAAAACCATGGTTACTCTCTGATTTGTCTGCCGGATTATTGAAAAGTATGTATTGCATGAAGCCTCATTGAGATCTCATTGTTGACCAGAAAGAGAAGAAAGTATTTGCGGCTGAATCAACTGAACAATCACGGTGCTGCGCCCAACGCTTTTTTGCAAAGATAATGAAAAGTCTGACTGCTATCCATGACATTGTCAACGTTCTTGATATAGGGGAACACTCCATGGAGTTGGGTGATGTATGCTTCCACGTTGCAGATGTTTACTAATTCCCTTTAAACTCTAGGTGAGCTGTACAGAGAAGCATGGTTAGCGTTGTAAAAACTGCGTGGCTTGAACTAATGATGACTCCTGTCGCGATGGCAGCAAGAAAGGCAATTTGGGGATCTTCAAGCAACTGGCTGACCAGCGAGTAAGCCTGCGGTTCGGGTTATCCGAGGTACTTGCGAGTAGTCTAAAGTTAAAGAATAAAGTTTGCAGCCATCCAGGAACACAACAGGTCTTATTCCCCATAGTCTGGGAATATCTTGATTTTCTGTATCCATCCCCGGAACTTAGGACAACATCCTTGACAGATTGGACCCTTCCATCCATCACTATCTGAAACAAAATAACTGCTTAGTGCTTGATAAACGTAGAACTGATGAATGTATTCGGATACAAGTTTTACAACAGACTTGTGATTTCGTCCTACTGTTTTAAGTAGCTATCTGGGATACATTTCTGCTGCTAAAGGCATTTCAGTAGCGACTCTCTTTCAGACGGCCAGAACAGACCGTTCCATGAGCAGCGCGATTCTCAGATATATATAGCACTAATCTTGAAGAAAGGATGGATTAATGCCGCAAACGAGCGTATATGCGTTATAAGCCGAGACCATCGGAGAGATGGATGCCTCAAAGTCCTGACAAGATATATGAGGTAGGTAGCAACAGCGTGTGGGGGCCCGAAATTACCTGACAGATCTTCCCATTACAAAGCCACCAAATTACCATGGCTCCTAACTCTTGGCTAAGCGGCCATCACTTACTCCTTTGGTACCATACTCAAATGCTATGACTCGGGGCTTATTGCTCGTTCGTACACAGAATACAAATGCACGGGGATTGCTTGGATGCCAGCTTCTGCTTTGGGCCTTATGGTTTCTATGATTACGTCCAAGGCTCCCTTCCTCATGCTGTTTTCTTGCCGGATTACCGACATGAAGGGCTATTTACACACTGGGTTGCCCAATGCCACTAACTCTGCTATCAGAGTCATGGCCAAGCACAAAACTGTCTCATGCACACGGTCTTACCGTGATTGGCGCTGACCAATGCAGCTTCGTTCTTGTCCTTTCGGTTTTACCTTTCTGAAGTTTCCTCCTATAACAGCGTGATCATTTTGATAGCTTACCAGCTAGACGCCTGTATTGGATAACTACCCGTACTGGGTGAAGAGGATATGTCTCTTCCTCTATTGGTCAAAATAGATGCTGGAGCGGAGATGATTCGTATTCTCCAATGCCATAGTCATACAGCTGTAAGGCGACAATCCCTTCCCAAGAATCTTCCTGTTACCTCAAGGAGAAGGGGATGGGAAGATCCTGAAACGAGTGGTAGGCTAATCCTTGAGACATCGTTGCTAAGTTGGTGTGCTCTACAATGGTCGCCATATTTTGTCAAACTCAACGAAGTTAGCTTTATAGGTCGAAAAGTACGACGTTGGAGAACTGCCAACGACAGTCTTTACAATCACTAGGGAGATACGTCACTGCTTGGATGAACTTTTCGCGACATGCTAGTGCTGTCAGTGACATGTCTTGTCATTCACCTAAAGTTGTGGCCGTTGCAAAAAGCAATCCTGCAGCTCGAACAACAGGCCCAGGAGCATTTAGACCGTTGATGACAATATAGAAGATGACAGGATATTAACAGCCTCTAGCCAATTCACTGTTTGATTTCTATTTTATGAATCAGGTGTTGGGATTCTACCTGACATTGGTTATCGATAGATAGTCAAGGAAAAAGGGGCACGAAAGAACTCGCCAGGGAGACGAAGTGTCTTAGACCCAGCCCGCCATGCAACGCACTAGTAATTTCTTGCTGGTTAGGTTTCATAACATGAGTTTCCAGATTCCTCAAATGCTCGGAATTTTAGCTTGTACCATATTCCATTAGGTTAGCCTGTAAAGCGCTGTGTACGCAAGCCGTAGGCGACAACCTGAAATGGACACTACCTGCACTGACTTCTCCGCGTTTCCTATCCCTTTTTTCTATGGAATTTCTTGGGATGAAGTGATAAGCAAATATCTGCCCAGACTCACGTCATAGAGCGTCTCTATTTAAGGGATTGCGCTGCCCGCCCATTGCAGTACTTGTGTGGAAATGCTTTCCTCTTGTTGCCGCGTTGACTTCAACATCTTCGACATCAAGCTCTAGCCAGACCGCCGATATGGGCGCTTTGTGGAGAGGCAATCACTATGGTATTTCCGTACTAAACCTCTTGAGCATTTTTCTCCTGCTAGGGAATGAGGGCGTATTTAGCATACAGGTAACACCAAAAGTTCCTGATCAACCGAATTTTACTGATGTAAAATGATAAACAGGCCACGGCGATGCTTTCTCGTCGCGAGATCAATACGGCCACCGATCACTCGCCAGAGCTGAATTATCAGCAGGGAAACCTATTGAATAATGACGAATTCTACAGCTCGGATGCTATGGATATGATTTTCCCCGAACACATGTTCCGAAACAATAATGTGGCTGTGATCATGGAGACCGAACCGGCAAAGGTAGCCAACCTTGTACCTATTATGCTACACTTTGCTTCGATGTTAGGCCCGGAATGGCCGGTCGTCCTCCTGACCTTGCAGGAGCAGTGGGAGGTGCCCCCATCGTTGCAATTCCAGCAACTCATGGAGGCGAAGCGCATTATAGTCTTGTACCTCCCTCCCGGTACATCGTTTCCAGATCACAAATCCGTCAGCTTTTTCATGATCGGCCGTTGGCTGTGGGAGCTTTTTGCACCTGCAAACCGAATACTCATGTTTCAGGCTGACAGCATCCTATGTTCCCAATCATCCAAGAGAATCGAAGATTTTCTCGAATGGGACTTCATTGGTGCACCAATCGCGAAAAAGTTTGGACAAGGATACAACGGTGGACTATCGATACGAAACCCAAAGTTGTTTCTCGAAATCGCGAAACAGCAGGAAAGACAGCCTGTTAGGCTCAAAGTAGAGGATCAATGGTTTTACACCCGGTTACGGGAACGCGATGCGCATCTACCAAGCGCGGAGGTGGCCAAAACGTTTGTCGTCGAAACCATATACTACGATGAACCGTTAGGCTATCACCAACCAGCCCGTTGGCAAAAAGGGAGAATGGAGGAGATCAAGAAGTGGTGCCCAGAGGTAAATATGTTGACTGGGGGGCAACACTTCTATCGATAATCTGTACATAGATTCATCTGGACATGAATTTGCATATGAATATGGATTGCTCATTCGATACCTATTTCCTAAAATTCTGTTTCTAAATGGGGTGCTCGACAACCAGCTTCTCAAAGGAAGCGCCCCCACTAGCCACCTTTTGGATAGCCTTTATGCCCGCCTCACCGCCCTTCACTATCACAACATTGGGATGTGTCGGTACTCTCTCGACAGCACTCAAGTAATAGTCCATGATCTTGCGGGTGCGGATTGGGAACTCGGGATTCTGAGGGTGGCCCATCGCTCCAATGTCACCGGGGGGTCTGTACGAGGTGCAGAAACCGAAAGCTGGATCATGACGAACGGGAAGCGTGCAGGCGAGTTTGAGAGAGTCAGCTGAGACATCTTCGGATAAGCTCTTGCGGAGCAGTGCGGGCGAGGTCTTTTCAGTGTCGAAGTCGGGAATAACAACGCCTTTACCGACAGTGTCGAAACCAGTGCTCAAAGTCACCCCGAGCTCTCTGACAGTAGCGCGAATATCCTCTGTAATGGTAGGACTCTGGTAGTCGAAACAGTGGGTGGCCCCCACATCCTGAAGGGCGGTGTGATTCTTGGACGAGGCGGTTACAATGATAGGGTTGAAGCCAGCCACCTTGGCTAGCTTAATGGCCGCCACTCCAACGCTGCTGGCGCCACCCCAGATAATGATTGGGTGGTTTGTCGGGTCTGCCCCAGTGACACCAGCAGCTGGTAGGCCAAAGCCAAGTACGTTGAAGATGGCATCAACGGCAGTGTGAGCCCCCATCGCTACAGCTGCAGCGTCCTTCAGTTCTAGACCAGCTGGGACCCTGTAGGCTAGCCTGTCCTCCACAATTGCGTTGTCCTGATGCGCGCCGAATGATGAAGGCTGAGGGAAACACACTGGAGAAATTCCCAATACTGAATCACCAACCTTCAAGTCGGATTCAGGACCTGTAGACTCGACGATACCGGCAAACTCAAAGCCCGTGGTAAAAGAGTTCAGCCCAAAATGAAAGAATGTTAGATCACAGTGATTGGCACCCGAGTATTTGACGGAGATGAGCGCCTGAGACTTCTGGGGCACGTAGTCCTCGGGCTTCTCAGTAACACTGAGCTGGCCGTCGGCAGAAAGATAGATTGATCGAGTCATTGTGAGATTGTTAAAGAATAAGTCAAGAAGTTGATGAGTGAATGTATCTTGAATAATTACAGTCAGGAAAAAGGCATAGAGTCTAAATACTTTGTTGGCTTTGCAGCGAAAACGGCACGGCATTGTATTAAAGTTTAGTGCTAACGGAAATGGAGCTTTTAACAGTCCGTGAGAATCGGGATTATCATGAACTGGCAATCGCGCTCCGAAAAGTGTTCCTTAACTCCATCCGCAACTTGAACGGATGGCTCCGGGGGCAGACAAGGAACCTTCCGGTCACAGTTAACGGCCGGAGTTAAGTCAGGTGGGGCCGAAGATACCAGCACGGACGGCCCGGAGTCGATGCACCAAAAGTTAGAACTAGCAAAGGGCTTGCTCGCTATAATTGCAATATGCTGAGTTACTGGTGATGCTGAGAATATCTACTTGGCCGCTTCAAGGGAGTCGGTGTGCCTATCCTATGTCACCTGCCTACCAGGGTAATCGCATGGGTATTACATGAAGACAAAGATATATTGAGCTACCTTACTCTGCTATAAATGAGAGGAAAATGGCCAACTATCCATGTGTCTTTAGCGGGAGCTGCTAATGTTTTGCCGCACATATAGTACCTTATATTGACGTCAAAAGTCTAAAAACTATTGAAGGTGAATCCAGAAGAAATATTCACCAAGTCTGACAAAAACTAGACATTTATATTTCTAAAACATTTATGAGTTAAAGCCGTCATATAACAGTATTATTAGTATCTTAAGGCCAAAACAATGGATTTTTTGCGATTGTGGCGCAAGATAAGTTATGGGATCTTGTGGTTTTCCTTTTTTTTTTTTTTTTTAGCCACCAACAGTCATTTGGCAGCCCATCTCGCGTAGATTCCAGAACAATGCCGCAATCCTTGTGTTTGCACATTTCTAAAGATAACAGAAATTACCAACTCATCTTCAAATGCTATATCGACGTGAATTATAACTTTCAATCGACACTAGGCGACATCAGTAACCTTATACCAGAATGTAAATAGAACTACCGCTTCATCAGGCTTCCTGCGTGGCCAGCCTAGGGATAGAAGATGAGACCGATAGACAAAGGGCCGTCTGAGAACCGGGTTTTCAGGCAGAACAAAGGCTGCTATCACTTGTTCTGAGATTGTCATCGCCGCTCTGCCCTTTTTACACGATGACACTACTGGTTGAGATTCAGGGGCACTTTCCAAAGATAAAATTCAGACGTGCAAATGACTTTCTATTCTTCTCTGTCAACCTTCTGTCAGTCGATGCAAGTATTCAAGACGCGATGGTCTTGGGCTGTGAGTTCGAGCAACGAGAACTAGTTCGTTTTCGCGAAATTATAAATTACGATACTGCCATTCGATCTCGATGGTGATTTGACGGCGATTATGAAGTGATGAAGCAAAGAGTGATAATCATAACCCAGAATGTGGGATGTTCATCAAAGTAACCGAAAGCCCAACAAGGAGTGGGCGGAAGCCGGCGTTTTGTAGTATGTGAATTGTCGAGCATCTGGCGCTGGTCATGGTCAGAGAATGCGAGTATCAACGGCAATCTAATCGACTGGCATGTATCCAGAGGTCAGAGTTCGCTGGCAGCATTGGATCGAAACGGGGGGAATTTATCCCAAACTCATGTTCCATTATGCTCCATGTGACGAAGGCTACGTTATTCTAGTTGGCAGAATTTACCGCATTATAATAACCAAAGACAAGTTCGCAACGCTTTGCATCACATTCTGTATGCACTAAATGTAGACGGCGTCTATCTTTCTCCTCATGCCGAAAAAGTCTCTCTCGCTCTCTTCAGGCGTAGCCTCTCGTGTGTATTTCCTATTGGTATCCAGAATCATTATGGCACCTCCTTCGGCCGACGAAAGAGATTCAGTCGTAGCCCAGTCGACGATGTCGAATCCCATTCGAGTGTACATTCGCTGGCCTGGGGTGCTCGCGATCAAAATGATGGGGACCTTGTCTTCCGCGGAGCGGTCAAGGCCCCACCGCATCAACTTTTTGCCCGCACCTCTGCCTTGCCAATCGGGATGCACGCCGAGCACAATCAAATTCCAGAAACTCTTGAGAGGCGCAAAGGGGTTCCCTCTTTCGGCGCCCTCTCTATAAAACGCAGCTTGGCGTTCCCTCGACACAGACTTGTCCAGTTGGAAGAAGTTGACGTATCGAGAGTGCCAATCCATCAGGGTCCGCTCTACCGCATTGGAAATGCCGCTGTTGTTCTGTCGCCACTTGGAAGAGAGAGGATCATCTGCAGGTCCATTATACTCCCACCAGGAGTAGCCAATGATTTGGTCTCGCGGCCAGTCGGCTGGGTCCTCATCATCTGTAACGCACACGAAGCCGTAAACCCCTGGTTTCACCAAGGACGAGTGAAGCATACGGTTGATGCGAGAACGCCAGCATTCGGGGTATTCCTGTCGGTGGGGATAGAGCCATACGTTCAGCTCGGCGTTGATGAAGGCGGCATCGCTGACATCTGTGACATTGGGTATGTCAGCGCGGGTAATGGCGCGTACATGCATGTTTGAATTTGTGCAAAAAGGCTGTATGAGTGGTTATGATTGATTGTTTTTGGAGATCTGGAGGTCTGGAGGGAATGCAACAAACTTGACTTACCAGTAACTGCAAATTATTCACAGTCTGATTTAGAAGACGTGTGATTGCAACTCGTCAAATTGCAGAAGCTTGAGAGAAGAATCTGAATCCCAGGACAAACAGCTGTTGCAGGCCAGCTCTTTTTAAGTAACCCAGGTGTAGCGGCTAATCCACCCCATGACCCCGATCCCGAGTTCCAGACCGTTCCTAAATCGGTGTTTAGCCCATTGCAGATTGCGTGATTGGTGCACTATCGTTATCGTAATCAACTCGAAGGGCGTAATTGCAACCACTTTTGACAGAATTGACATGATCAAACCGAGTTTTTGGCTTGTAAGGCGCACGTTGAAAAAAAGGATGAAAAAGGAGAGAATCACCAAATACCTTAGGCAGAGCAATCAGGCATCGCTGGCTCAATGGTAGCGAAATCGCGATTAAGAAGCCAAAGAAATTGATACAATCTTGATAGAGACAAGACGTCAAAGATAAGATTCAATGAGCATATGAAGGCCAGAATCAACGCGCTGCTGCCTGATATGAAGTTTTAAATGTCAGCTAGGCTACTCACTTGGTTCGGGATCGGAGTCGGTAAGTGCTGTGGATCAGGCTCTATTCTCGGGGTCGGGCACAAGGAATATAGACAAGGGTGATGAGAAACATAACCCAAGTTGTCTAGTCAAACTATGCGACACCTGTCTTCGCATGAGCATAAACAAAATCGTTGTCTTGGGGCATAATTGACGATTTTTTTTTAGGGCATCGTGAAGCCATGTAGCAGGGTGTTCTCAGTGGACTGGCAGTGTTTGTTTGCGAGACAATATGAGTCTTCGCATCCTGCGGGCATGGCTTATTTACTCATTTTGCTCCAGAACCCTAGAAGCCGATTACACTGTCTAGTTCCTTATTATTGAGCTGATACTCAAGATAGTGCATTATAAAGTATGGCATTGCTCCCCAATCGGGTCATACATTGTAGTCGCCGATTCGAGATGAATCTGAGTTGCTCTCTTTTACTTCTGAGAGCTATTCAAGTGAAAATGCCGCCAAGAAATAGCTGAAAAGCCATCCATTCATGTTGTCAACAGTGTCTGACGACGTGACTTTCCATCTTCACGATACGCTTCCGCTGACCTTGGCTTGACCCTTCTCTGAAAGATTTATGCCTAAGCTCAAAATAGAACATGAAAAATAGCATGTCTTGGCCTCGATACATTGACGTAAGCTCATTTCTAGAAACAAACTCAATGAGTTTAATGGCGCTGTCCGGTTCTTATCCTGCCATTTGAACATATGAGACAAAAGGTTGAGGATTCCGATGCCTAACATTTCTTGCTTCTAACATTTGGGAAGTGGTTGGGTCGTACTTGAGACATTTGCGCTTACTGAAGGCTGCAGACCTGCCGTACGAGCTTGTTTTGACCTCATGCGCTTTGGTCATCTACAACTTCAGATGGAGCTGAGCATTATGTAGAACGGATGAACCGAATCCACATCGGGTCATTCATCTTGAATGCGACCACCGCTATGCAATGGAGCCTGCCTAGTCTCCAGGGTAATCTGATGCTACAGATGCAGACTTTAACGACTAGTTGGCCAATCGCTCAGAAAACACCATCTCCTTTCCGCGTGCGCCAATGCAATTGTACTGCTACCGAACAATTCTTACATCAGTGTAGAACATGTTGTTCTCAATTCCCTCAATTGCGTGCCTGCTTGCTTCTCTAGAAACGCATCCGATACCGACAAGCTTAAAAGGCATAGCCAACTCAACAAGCCCAGCAGTTCATCGGGCAAAACCTCTCATTAAGGCGAAAATCAAGCAGTGAGAAAGTGACTTGCGGCTTGAGAGCACTTGTAAAGTAAACACTCACAACTTGTAGCTTGGTGGGGGTGTACGTGGCACTGAATGAAAGTTGAAGCATATGCAGTGAAATACCTAGGATGATAAAGAGAGTTAAATCGGCAAGTCAAGGCGAAAAGTCTGTATTATATAAATTCTTCAACCCCGAGACATGATTTCCCTACACCAGATAATCATACCCATCACCGCGCGTAAGAAAATCGGTGAGCGGCGATATTGACTCATTGGGATTCACGCATAACCTGATGACTAACAAACGAAAAAATCAACTGTTCTCAATCGGGTCCACCTCTGATGGGAAATGAAGTCATTTTGGCATCTTTGACGAATACGTAACATGTCCGACATTAAAACCAGCCTTCTTGTCACATGACGGTGAGAAGAAGGAAAAAAAAAAAAAAAAAAAAAACAAACCGTCGCATAGTATTGGGCCTGTTATGAGTGGTTGGGTGGACAGTCCTGATCCTTGTCGATGCAGAGTAGTGTCCCGGGCCCCTGGGCCAGCAGCAGCAGACACTACAGGTTCGATTTCAGGGTCGCCAATAATGACTCAAACTGCGCTGCCAATGTCTCTCTTTCTGCCTCTCCCTCTCTCTCTCCTTCTCTCAGTACTAATGAGGCTCTTGGGTGTCTTTGGCCGGCGATTCGTCAGGATCTATTTCTCCGACCAAGACTCTTTCTGGAAGCCCCCCTTGACACTGGGGGGTTTATTTTAGGCGCATCAACCCCTCATTCAGCTAAGGTAGATAGGTAGCACGACGGCTGCACCCGCACCCACAAGGCAATGCGAGGCATATCCAATTCAGCCAGAGTCTGTCTTGTTTTTGACAGTAACCGCTCTAGCATTTCCAACTTCTCGACGAGGTAAAGTGCTATCTCGTCCACTCAAAGGGATGTACATGGCATAGTCACGAGACTACCCTTCCCCCCCCCTGCTGCTGTCCTCGGAGCAGATAAAGGGGGAAAAGGGAGGGAGGGGGTGAATATGATTGATCAGCCAACCCCGGATGGTCCCGCGATTTGTTCCGTGCCGAAATGGCGGTGACGGGTCCCCCTTCGACCCGCGTTGGAACCCCCAAGAAGCCCTCGTTTTGCCCTGGGACAACTCACGTCTGGTTGGAATCGCGGCGGGTGGAGACGAGGCCGACGCATGGCGGTGGAGGTTGGGCATCATACACCGCGCATGATCCCATCCTAGCGACGTGGCGGAAAAAACAGAGAGCAAACTGGGCTTGTTAGCGGGCCGCAGATTGACGAGACCGCCCTTCTGCCTCCTTCGCCCTGCCTCTCTCTCTCGCTCTCATACTGTACTGCCCTGACCAGAGTCGACCAGAGTGCCAGAGTTACTCCCACATCGGTCAGCCGTTTGACCCAGTCAACAGCCCCAGATTCGTCCCTGATGTTTTTCTGTGGTTGGGCTGCTTGCATTGCATTGGCTCAATTCGCGTCCGAATCCGACAGCTCACCTACTCTTTTCCCCCCCCAGTCAAAGTCCCCCGTTCCAGTTCCAGTCTTGTTACAATGACCGATCACTCATTCTTCCATTTTCCCCGCCAGAGCTTTTGACCTCTCTCGAGCGGCACCCTGAACATAAGAGAAACCCCTTCTTCCTCCTTTCTCCTCTTCTCTTCTTCTTTTTCCTCTCTTTCCTGGGATGCGGCAAGAGATGGTGATCGGGAACCGTGATTTTTCGATTTTCGGGAGTAAGAGTACCAAGAGTACCAAGAGCGCTAAGAGTGGTGACTCGGGGAACGGAGATGATGCGTCAGTAGGCACGCATGAAAGCTCGTATGAGCACCCTCTGGGTGAGTTGCCAAAAAGAACACCAACATACGAGACACGGACAAGGCCCGCACCGACAAGGCTGTTTGTTTCTTTTAGCTGTTGGAACCTGATTTCGCTGACTTTAAGACATTCTACAGCTCGCAAGGGTTATGACATTGGCCCCGCTGCTCGGTTGGAGATAGGAGATGTCTTTGAGTTTCTATGGGCGGACTCGCACGAGTTCGAATGGGAATGGAAGTGCCTTGGATATACTCGCTTCATTGTCCTTCGACATAGCGACACGTTTCCGCACTACGTTATTTGCGTGTAAGCATTTCATCTTCCCATCAAAGTCTTGCGCCTCACTCGATTTACCCCTCCCCTCATTACCATGTCCCGCTAACCCAAGGGAAAAAAAATAAAGGCCAATCTCCACCCCCACCAAGAACGACTTCCAGAAGCCCGGAATCGATTCAAGCCAGCAAGGCTACGTCTTTGACGAGAATGACCGTACTCCGCCCTTTGACAAGCTTCCCTTTTCGCCGGTCGGTATGCAGTTGCGTCCGGGCAAGTTCCGCGTCAAGGAGAACTCTCGGGCCAACTACGCCGATGTCCTCGAGGTCGATCACGACGCCCAGGTTATGGTCGTAGGAGACGTCACCCGCTATTTCGACCGTGTGCGGAGGAATGTGAACAAGGCTGTGATGCGCAACGTCCTGAAGAGGGCGCTGGAGCAGTACCGTCAGGGAAAGCTGGTCAGCAAGAAGGGAGCGAAACTTGAAGCGAGCGTTGTCAACGGTGGCCAAGACGATGAGGAGCTCGAGGGCGAGAGCGAAGGCGAGCCGACGTCCGCCGGTCCGGAGGCGTTTCTTCACGCCGACCACCACCAGCACCACCACCAGCACCACCACGACGTCGCCGTCCAGGAGACAAAGAGGATGGAACCTCTGGTCAGCGCCGCTGCCGCCGCCGAGCCGCCTCCGCCTCCGCCAGCCCCCCCGTTGCCCCCGATGGGCTCGATGGCACCTCCGCCCCCGCCTGCTCCCCCAATGCCGCCGCAGTACAGCCACAGCACCAGCATGCCGCCCCCGCAGACGTCGCCTTCGCGAAATGCCGACGACGCCGCCTCCATTCGGTCACATGCTTCTCGAGAGAGAAGAAGTTCTCGGAGGGAAAGCGCACACGCACCACCCAGGGGTGAGGATCTCCCGAGGAAGATGTCGGATCATCACATTGACGGAGCCTCGAGACCCTACCGGCAGCGCATCGATCTCCCACGGTCCCGCAGTCATCGCCTGACGCCTGAGCACGAGACAGGATCCATGTATGACATTGCGACAGCCAGAGGGGAATGATTTCTTTTTTGACGGGACTGGAAAATGTCTTCTTTTTTTTTTTTTGGGCCAGTATGAATTTGGGGGAGGCTTCAAATTTTCGTTGCATTGATCTAGGGTCGGGCGCGAAAAGAAGATGAGAAGGGGGGCGGCTCCTTATGTTTCTTTACGACTATCATCATTAACGATTGCAATGTTTCAACTGCGACACACAGAAACCAAATAACGAAGAATCCGCCCAGCATTAACGGAGTACTATTAGATTTGTTTATGACTTTTTTCTTCTTCTTTTTTTCTTCTTTTTTTTTTTTTTTTTTTTTTCCCCGGCCACAGAGAATCCCCACGACGACATATTACAAAACTGTACAAATCACATTCAAATAAAGATTGTCTTCTCTCTTTCCTCTTGCATGCTCTCAATCCCCCGCGTCGAATCACAGCAAAATGGTGGTGGTTGATTATAGGGTGGTAGGTGATCGGTGCCTGCATGCACCACCTGTAAGATTGGTGGTGGTGGTAGTTTGGGTACCAACTTTGGGCAGCAAAATACTTCTCTCTACAGCATATGCGCTAACTGCGGCTATCTGCGCTATCATGCAAGGTGATTTCACGAAATTCTTCACCAGCTCGCTGGGCCAAAGGTCTCATTCTTCCCCACCGTCTTTAGAATGGCGCCATAAGTAGCATCCTGTTTTTTTGGGGGGGAGATTCAGTTAGTCGATGGTCTATCTTCAGGTCACTTGACAACAGCGTAGTGCAGTGCAGTGCAGTGCAGGGCGCATGTAAGTGAAAGAAAAAAAAAAGTGAGGCTGCAACATTGCATTGCTTTTTACTTACCTTTGTGTTGTAAACGTCGACATTGCCCCACCACTGCGGTATCGTGACGTTGGGTAGCGTGATGGCGAAGAAGATGACGATGGTGCTGATGATGAGGCCTGCATCCAGTGCGGCGGCCGTGATGTAATTATACGTTTTCCACCAGCCGTGGAACCTCTTCCGGATGCCGTAGTTGAAAACGAGGCCCACGATGGCCCAGCTTGAGAAGCTGAGGGGCGTAGCCGGCGGCAGCCAGCCCATGGCGCCAAGCATAACCGGAGCGTGGAAGACCTTGGCAAACTTGAGGTTGAGAACCCGCGAGAGGACGTAGAATACGACAGGGAGACAGGCGCCGATGAGCCAAAAGTAATTAAAGTTTTGGTAGATGGAGCCCGCGCCGAACATCCTTCGCGGGCCAATCACTCCCCAGACAATGGACGATGAGAAGAAGGCTCTTCCATTAGGACAGGTGAAATGTGCTGCTTGATGACTACAGACTAGGTTAGCTGGAAGTGGTATTTGAGAATGGATTAATACTCACAGGGCGCAGCAGTCCTCGATATTTCCCAGAGTCCAGTTCATGACTGCTATCTGTACAAAGACAGCCCAAATGGTAGCCACAACCTGGCACCAGAAGGTAATGCGAGGTGGAATCTTCATGTAGTGGGCCATCTTGAGATCGCCAGAGTACGTTTGCGCCTGACCTAGAGTGATTGTGCTGTAAACCTTGAAAATCATAACGCCAATGGGTTTTCCCGGAATCATGAACCCAGCTAAGAAGGGAGAAAGCACATTGAGCGCCAGTCCCAAGTTAGAAATGGCCAAAATAGTGCAGGTTGGAACGACAAAGACCATGGCCAGAATGTTCGCGACGAAGAATGCCCACCAGGGCAGTTGAGATTCATAGCCCTCCGCAGTAGCGAGGCCAAGACCAATGGCGATGACGAGGAGGACGGCATACCACCACTCTGGTGCGTCTCGGTATTTCTTCATCAACTTCATGTGGATATCAGCCTCCTGGTTGCGCGCTGCCTTGAGTCTATACCAAATCTCCTTTCCATGGAACAGTGTACAGTGAACAATTGCAGCGGTAAGAGCAGCGAAAGACAGACCGTAGTTGAGAGCAAAGGTGGGTGGCAGAAACAGTGGCGAGTACTGCTTGTACTTTTCGACGTCGAATGTGTAGCCTGGGCCGAGAATTTTGCTGACATTGTACGAGCCCTGGGTGTTGTCGTACGTCTGCGAGGTGTTTATAGGCAGATACTCTGAGAAAAGGGCCCCCGTGTACGCAATACCGATAGTCGGAATGATGACAAAGGTGAAGAGACCGATGAGGACGTTGATATGTGTATGCGTAGGTGAGAGAAGAGGGTCTCCGAGGTACGCAGAGATATAAGTCCAGTCAAAAGTAATCGGAATCAGCGAAAGCCCTGTGAAGCCGCCAAACAGCTGGTTCACGACGACATTGTTTGGCTTGATCCACGTAATGAATGCAAACACCGACAAGCCTTGCCAGATGACACCCGGAATCCAGTAATAGCAGAACATGATCCCCAGGACATAAAAGAAATACCGGTAGCGGCTGATGACCCATCCATTACTATGCGAGCCGTCACTCTTGCTCTTGTCGTGGAGCGCGTAGAACAGAGAAGTATTTGCAAATTGGTTTGGCCATATCATAGCCGACGGCCAGACGAGGAATCTACGGCAGAGCCCAGCGAGACCGATCCCGATCAATTGGGAGCTGAGAGTGAATAGCAATTGGAAACCCCAGCCGAGATTAATGTCGTAAAACGGCTTGCCCTGTAATGCTAGGAGGGCATCTGTGCTGTAAGCGTAGCCGATGGACACGTTAGACATTAGTGTGACGACGACGTGTTCTTTTATCGTAAAAGGTCCCGTGTTAAAAGTCCATTGGACTCCGAATGTGTTGAACACCTTTGTGGGCATGACTTTGGCCCATAGGCAACCGATAGGGTAAACGAGCAACTGAACAATGATTGACGGGAAGTTGATTGCCGGGCTCCTGTTTTCGCAAATTCAAGTCAGTGAGTCGTCCCCCACGACTGCGTTTTTCTTCGGCATGTTCATACCTCATACTCAGAAACATGTTCAGCCCACTGCCGATCGTGACAAATATCATCCCCAAGATCCACGCGCGAACGGTATTCGCAACCTCTTCACCATCGGTATTACGTACGGCGGCTCGGACCTCTTCGTATGGGGAGTCTTCGGTGAGAATGGCGTCTGCAGTGATGATTTCCTCCGAGTGGTCATCTTGGAGAGCCTTCTTGACCATGTCGGCCTTTTCTTGAGACAGATTTGGATCCCATTGGTGGTCGCGCTGGAAGCCTCTTAGGTCATCAGCCGCTTGAGAAACGTCAACACCGTGGTGGTGCTTCTCATCCATCGAAATCGCACCAGATGGCTGTGTCTGGCTTGGGTTGGTCATATTGGGTAGCTATAGAAGTTTCGTCTGGGCTAATTGACGCTTTAAGGACTCGGGAGTTCACAATTAGAGGTGACCTGAGCCGAACAGCTCGAGCCCTTGGAAATCACAAGAGACAAACGAGATCGTCGCTCTGCAGAGAGAAGACGGGCCCGGGGAAGGAAACGTGACAGGAATGATGGAGTTCTTATAATGTATGTTGGTTCAATGAACTCAAATCAATCGAACTATCTGGGGAGGAAGCCGAGGACTTTGTCCAAGGCAATCAATCATGGTGCTCGCACGAGCATTCCACCGTAACGTGCCATGGATCCCAGTTCATCCGGGGGACGGATATCCAGGCCCATCTTCTCCACTCATGCTGTACCAAAAGAGGCATCGCGCTTGGTTGATTGCAAGGTATACGAACCGCGTCTCAGGGAAAAGGGTTGTTTATCCCCCGGAAAGAGGGGGGAAAGAGGCGTTTCCCGCTTATCGTCATGACAGGTCTTGTCCCGGCATGGCGAATGCTTGTCCAATGACCGTTGAACTCTAATCCGTCGTTGGGATCCCATGACAATACCGGCACGTTACAACCGCGTGACATGTTGTCTCCAACGATCCTCCTTACCCCACATGAGAGATAAGGTATCATTGAGGACGAACCCCTCACTTGGGAGCCTGGGGATGGATTAAACTCGATGAAGGAAGATACGAAAAGCATTGATAAGTCGGGTAAGCCTCCGCGGGATGGCTTCCGATCAACATGGATGCTCGGAGATGGGCCCGGGCTTTGCCCCAAAACAATTAACCCTCTAAAGCCGTCTAAAGGACTAAACAATTGTAATTCTTTCTGCCGAATGTCCTTAATCTTGATGAGTGGATGGCAGTCGCCAAGTCCTACCTAGTGTATGTTAGATTTCTGACTAAATGAACCTTGGTTCGTGCATTTGGATAGGTGGGTAGGTTATTGAGTTTGGCTGTAGGTATTTGTAGCTACTCGCCGCAAATCACCCAGACAAAATTGAAAGTATTAAAAACGCATTGTGTTACCCTATTCTTCGTATTTAATGTTACCTAAGATAGCCATCCGACGTTCATCGCTAAACACATTTAAGCCCAGTGCTACAAACTTTGGACGTTTTCTTTTCCTATGATGATGCACTTGAAGGGAGCAGAATGGCTGCAACCTGGCTATTCCAGATGTCCAGGTAGGATGTTGGGATTCCAAAGTGTCCACGTAGGCGCCTGAATATCATAAGACGTTCCCCGTTCATCAATCTACATAACGTATTTTAGTTGCAAGTTTCGAATAGCGAAGAAAATCCCAAAGCTTGGGAAAACTCTTCAGACGAGGCATTGATACGTTGAATCCCGCCGTTGCGTCTCATCCATAACCAAACCGACACACGGCCACGGAGCGATCCGATGTTGTTGAGCGTTTGGCCTGATCGGAGCCAGAAAAAAAAAAAAAAAAAAAACCACTAGAAAAAATATAAAAGCTCATCTAATGAACCATTGGTATTAAATGTACGGGTTAATCACTTAAGTCCCTAATAGCTACAGATCAGTTATCTTTCCACGTAAGAGCTCATAATGCTTTTCGTAGAAGTTCTGAAAAAGTTGGATTTTCTTTCAGTTTGAGTAAACACTGATTGACTTCTGGAAGTCCAAACCACTGAGAAATAAGGCTTTGAGACTGGAGGTTCAATGTAGCAGCCGCTTTGTTGACGACAATACAGACAGTAGCTCGCTATATGGTGCATCCGGGGAAAGTCGTAGAAAGTCAAAGCAGCAAACGGCTGGAAGATTCTACTCATCAAAGTTGGAACAAGCGCAGGGTTAGCCATGCCTGCATAAAAGGTTGCTGATCGGTTGCATGCTGCAGGAGGCCGTCCAGGCTAGCCAAAAATAATTCATTCCTAGAGCCTGGGCAACTCAATGAGCGAGACCAGTTGAGACAAGAGTCTTGACCATACTGTCAGAGGCTGCACATCTCTAAAGACAACATTGGCCCCCAGATACCACACCGCATCAATAAGGGAAGGCTTCACCGTTAATCCAAACAGATGAAAAAGCTACTATCCTTCTATGCTGTCTTGGAAGCCTGTGGGTTCCTACCAACTTTCTACTATTTAACCACAAGGCTCTTCCACCTGATGGGCCTTAAAATACACCATCATCACACCAAACATATCTGCTTATGCTACCCAATTTACACAGACTGCACCCGTACCATTCGACACAGATGAAAAACGTTGATGTAGAGGGGCCTCAGCCCGAGGGTCACCCTCATGACCATGAACTGGCTCCTGTACCACTTGGCTCAACTCTTGAGGACCTGCAAACCGAAGACCAGCGAAGAATTCTCGACACCATCACCCAACTGCGGAAATGTGGCCTTGACGGCATTCTCTCTCTCCCTGACATTGTCGTATGTGGGGACCAATCAGCCGGCAAAAGCTCCGTGCTAGAAGCACTCACTGAAATACCCTTCCCAAGAAACGACAACCTCTGCACGCGATTTGCCACGGAGATCAGTCTCCGTCGAGAGCTTACCGAAAGCCTTACAGTCAGAGTAATCCCAGACAATGATCGAAGCCAGGAGGATCAAAAACGAATCAAGGAATTTTCGGAATCCATCACTGATCTCAAGGACCTAGCCTTCATCATGGACGCTGCGACGAAAGTCATGGGCATCAATAATGGCGACAGTAGCGACTCACAGTCAGAACAGGCGCCGGGAAGCGCTTTCTCCAAAGACACGCTGAGCATCGAGATCAACGGGCCCGACCGCCCTCAGCTAACCCTAATAGATATCCCAGGCCTTATCCAGTCCGCGACGAAAGGCGTCTCGGAGGCGGACGTGGCCATGGTCACGGAGATCACAGACCGGTATATCAAGAGGCCCCGTACTATCTGTTTAGCCGTTGTCTCGGCGACCAACGACGCAGCCAACCAGCCTATCCTTCAGCGTGTTCGTAAGTTCGACCCTCAAGGCGAGCGTACCCTCGGGGTTATCACGAAGCCCGACCAATTGCCAAGTGGATCCGGGTCCGAGTCCAAGTTTCTCGAGCTCGCGTGCAATAAAGACGTCTTTTTCAAGCTCGGATGGCACGTCATCAGGAATCGCCGGTTTGACGAGAACGGTTTCTCATTCGAGGAACGCAACGCAGCTGAGGCGGAGTTCTTCCGCACTTCAAACTTCAGCGTTCTGCCGAAAGATATGGTTGGTATCGAAGCGCTGCGGGCGAGGTTGAGTTTCCTCTTATTTGAACATGTCAAGGCCCAGCTGCCGCAGCTCCGGGAGGACCTTGAGCGGGCTCTGCAGACGGACAGGGATGAGCTGAATTTGTTGGGCGATGTCCGTTTGACTACTGCGGCATGCCGTGTATACCTGACAAAACTCAGCATGGAATGCCAGGAAATCTGCAAGGCGGGTCTCAACGGGAATTACGAGCACGAGTACTTCAAGCTGGGCGCGGAGGAGATGTTCTCGTTGAAGAACAAGAGCACCATCGCCCGATTGCGAGCTGCTATACAGTACAGTAACAGCAAGTTTGCCGAACAGGTCCGAAAAAGGGGACACAAGTACATCTTCTCATCTGAGACTGATGAAGAACAGCCCAGTGAACAGCGCCGGGAGGGAGATCCCACAACTTTGCCGAAGTCACTCTCCCAGAAGGAATCACTGGCGTGGGTTCAGAAGATGCTTCTCCTTTCGAGGGGCACAGAGCTAATTGGAAACTTCAATCCCCATCTTATCGGGGAGCTGTTCTGGGAGCAGTCTCAGCCCTGGGAGAATCTGGCTAGCAATCATATCGAGCAAGTCAGCCAGCTGTGCATGAAATTCCTTACCAATCTGCTTGAACAGAAGGTTCCGAAAGAAATACAAGGTCGCATTTGGTGAGCAATTTTCCCGTAAAAGAGACTATCTGCACTCTTTGAAACTGACTCTAGGTGTATTTCAGGTCGTTCATGGTCGAGAATACGCTGAAACAGCGGAAGCAGGCAGCATATGACGAGCTGGCAAAGCTCATCCGCGACATCAAGGATTTCCCCATCAACTACAACCATTATTACACCGACATCATCGAACAGCGGCGTCAAGAGAGGCTGGAAAACCGCTTGGAAACCTTTATCGCAGGAAATATCGCACACGTGTCGCACGAGAAATGCAGCCGTGGCCACCATTATGAGAAATACAGCCCAGAGATTGACGCCAGGAAGCTTATCTCATCCTGCTTGAAGAGCAACTCCACTACCACAACCATCGACATGGACATGTTCAGCGGCGAGGAGGCTCTAGATTGTTTGCAAGCTATCTATAAGGTGCAGTACAAGACTTTCCTTGCCAACGTCACGACGCAGGTGGTTGAACGGCAGATGATCCGGGGGCTCGACAAGATATTCTCGCCGCTAGTCGTTATCAGCATGGCAGATAACGAGGTCAATACCATAACTGCAGAGCGGCCAGCTACCAAGAGACAGAGACTCTTCCTAACGAACCGTGTTCAGAAATTGGAGGAGGGTCGCCGGATCTTTCAGGAGTTGATCAGCACACAGTTTGTGCCCGAAGTGAATGGGAATTGACTTGTGAAAAGTGATGGAAATGTAGATATTGGCAGTCTAACCGTACAATAACTTACACCAAACCGCTAAAGAAGTGTGCCTCTTACTTAGGTAGTTTCTTCAAGAGATATGGGGGACCAATTCATCATTGTGATCGATCGACCAATCTGTATCTAAACCCCACGAAAGGCATACCGAAAAAATATTTAGAAATCTGAAGAAAATTCAAATCTTTCATTTGCTTGGTAGTTCAATCTGCCAATGCTTATCAATGAAAGACTCCTGAATGATTGCCTCCTCGCTGCTTCAATTCGAGCCCCTTCTTTCAAAACATGCTCCTGATCTAATGGTCATCCCCCTAAGACATCGCCGTCTGCCCCGTCATTTTTTCAACCAAGTAGCTGAGACTACAGTTCGGATTCTCCAGAATTGCCTCCAAGGTGGCTCGGAACCTATCCAACAGTGTTCTTGCCTGCTCGTCAGGGATTCGATCCGCAGCGAATGCAAAGCTGATTGATGACGAGCCATCATCCTCCTCTACAGCCTCGAGAAGCCTGCTCTGGCTATGTCGTTGTGGTCTTCCACAACGACAAGATCACAGCGTAAGGACAATCAGCGGCGCTGCTACTCTTTTCGAGACTGCTGTCGTCTGGTTCTATTACGTCTACGTGCCAAGATATGCCTGGCCGAGACTTCATTCACTTTCTCTGCAACTCGACAATGCCCAGTTAAGGCTGGCAGGCTGAGGTGAGGCTGCCGTCCTGAGTGACGTAAATATCCTTGACCACGAATAGACTCGGTTCGCTTTATCTTTCACGCTCAATGAGGAGGAGGAAGAAAATAGAGAAATCACCTTGAGTTTTCACTGCTCTAGATTTCCTGGACCTTGTGGGCATGAACGAGCGAGCTTTATTGTGGGGAATTCGTGGTGAGTTCCGGTTTGAACGAGTTGAGAGGTGTAAAGAGGCTAGACAAATCTTCATAGTATAATCTCAATGGATACAAACCTAGCGCCGTCGGCGTCATAGTTTTCCTTCAAAAAGTGGCAACATTTCTTTAACATAGCACGTGGTATTATAACTGGGTAATGAGGTCTGTGGCTAATCTCGCCTTTATTAGTCTTCTGGACTAGCGGCGATGGGGAAGGTAGGATTACTATGCTCGTCGTCCTGCCAAACCCGACCTAGTTGTCTTGTACGATTGCATCTCTCCTCCCCACAGATTCGCCCCTGGGGCACACAACCACCCTGCGCGACATGTTAGCCGTTCTTTGGGTTGTAATTTGAGCTAAGCAACCTCGAGGATAATTGACGAATCTGTGTCACATTTAGGCTGACTGGTGTTACTGATGATCTGTATAGCACAACAGTAGGTTAACACCTGGATCAATAGAGCATGCAGTCCGCTACAGCTCACAAAGGCTCCAACTAAAGCTGAACTGTTTTTATTATTGCCGTTTCTAGCTGTATGCAACGTCTGTATGTGTGCTGTTTCTGTTGGGCTCTACTATGTATGCAATTGACCTTTGTCAGATAGCTCCCGGCTTGGCGAAAGGATTCCTCGCAGCTATTCCTCGTTCAGGTGCTGTGGCGGATCCGATGGATACCTTCGTGTAGCAGTGGAGATCTCCATCGATACGTAGATAAACGCATTCCTCCTGTCAAAAATGCCGCTTAGCTCTAGTTCAGGGAGACCACCCTTGTTAACGCACTTTCAAAACCAGACTTGAGTAATTTTTCACCGATATTGTAGGCAAGCTTTACCGTGCCTCTTTTGTCCCCACAGAAACGGCTAAGGCGTTAGGCATTATTACTCCAAGCTTTGGCGATGTGGCAAAGCCCTACCCCTATAAACCAGTTACTCAATGCGAACAGGTTACCTCACCTAGTTAACTCTTAGTTTCCTAGCTTTTTTCGGCTTAACGACCAAGCAACCGAGCTCATGACAAGAGGAGATTCTGAGGAACCCTTGGATTAGGCAACAGTCTAGGTCCCCGCAATTGGCGGGAAGTCTCAACTCGGCCAAACCAAGTCGAGGTATAGAACAAACACTAGTAATGCACCCAGGTGGGAGTTTTAGCGACGCACCTTAGTGGAAGCTATACCTTACGGGAACGGCCCGTCTCCGATTAGATCGCTCGGTCTCATGCGGGGGCCGACTTTGTTATTATACTCACGAGGCTTCATGTCCCCACACAAGGATAGGTGTGGTTACGTAGAACATCCAGCCTCTACACCTTACGAGGTTGAGATCACTTGGTCAATCATCAGGGCATCGTTAGTATCGATATTTACAGCTTAGCGTGAGGGATCTCGACGGTGTTTCTCAAGTGGCATGCAGCCGTGCAGCATCGTAAGTCACAAAGTACATGCGCTTATGACATGAATCTGGCATGAATATCGGGCATCTGCAAGTATCGTGTACCAGTGGCAATGTGTTGCTGTGCCTCAATGCTCACAGATTTCGTAGCTTGCTACAGTAGACTTCGATAAGGGTTTACTCTTTGCCCCACAGCCCGATTTGACAGAAGGGTGGGATTCTTGTATTGAAAAGTATAAAGACTCGCCGCGACCTCTACATAATGCTATTGTCCTTTGTCACTCTTCGCTCAATCCAATTCTTCAGACACAAGCTTCTGTGAATCAATCCAACATGCGCTTCAACCTTTTCTTCCTCTCGGCTCTGGCCGCCACGTGCACCGCCGTCGCCATCCCTGAGCACGACTTTGTGCCCGACTACTCTCACAACATCTCCCCCGTACCAAGAGGCATCCTTGACAAGCGTGACTCTTACGACTGCAAGGGTAGCTCCATGTGCTCTTCCTTAAAGGTTGCCGCCTGCGATGACGCTGTGAACAACAAGCTCATCCGTAACGATGACGTGAACTACGGTGCCCCCGGGTAAGTCGCCCTACTACTCCTCTCTTGAAGACCATTATTTGGTTGGAAGGTTCCTGAAAGCTAATTGTATGTCTTTCCCCCACCGTGTAGCAGTGGCAGATCCCGCACCGGAGCTTGCTCCAACGTCTTCGGCGGCTACGGATGCGGTATCTTCATCCAGGGCAAGTCTGGCTGCGCTCGCACGGGCAACCAGATGTGGTGGGACTACCAGGACATTCGCAACAACAACTGCCGGGTCTGCGGCTCCAAGCACTGGGGCGATGGCTGCTTGACTACCATCAACTACGTCTCCAGCTGTTAATCGGGTTATGTTGGTCATCTCTCTTAGCTGATGACTGTGAGATACAAAACAACGGCTAAGTTGGAAAACCTGGTCTACGGAAAGGAAAATATAGCCGCCTAAACGCAGTAACGATACGATATTCATGAATGTCCTCTTACGCATCGATAGGATTAAAGACATACAACACATTCTTTAGTAATGCAATATACCACATTCTTTAGTAATGCAATATACAACATTCTTTAGAATAATTAACAATATTCAACACCCGGACAAAGCATGCATGCCTACACTAATCAGTGAAGCTTTGTTTGATAGATGGGTTTAGGTTGACTAAGTTTCCCTCAGATAAACATAGGAATTATTTCCTATCCAGTGGACTTAGGAAACACCTAGTTGATCAATAGATTAATACTGTGGTACCAGATACATAGTATCGTTTTTTTTTTCTACTATTCCACTTACTAATGAGCCTTGAATTTCACTCTATGAAATGATGTAGCATGACGTAGTTCCAGGTGTCTAGGTATAGAGAGGTGTAGTTTTCCGCTGCTACCTTAACATTTAGGGGTGAGTTCTCAAACGTCGCCATATCATGCTCTAGGAAAACCGTCATATGGGAACTCCGCATTTGTTCCGTGTTGGGCCAGATCAGGGGTTAATAGTGACTACAGGCCTGATTCAAGCTTTCCGTATTGTTCTGCTCAGAGACAGTTCCGTGGTGGTCTAATCAGAGGCGATTGTTTTTTTCTGGCCGAAATATCCAGCAAAGCTTGCACGGGCCCAGCCTATTACAGATATAGGCGTTATCTTTCGGAGCTACTAGATAAGGTAGTATAATATGTGTGAATGCTTACGTTAAATGTAAATGTGAATCTTTCATGTTAATGGGGGTTGGATATTGAGCAGAAAGTGATTCATGTTGTTGATTGGCATATTTGTGAGAGATCAGATTCTATGGCAGGCAACATGTAAATCAGAAGGATCGTATATGAAACTTCTCCGTGTCATCGTAGAGTCAGCCTCGGAAGCTAAAGACGAGGTAGGTTGTCAGGTCATCACCTCACATTAGGGTAGCTGCTGGTGTATAAATCACGAGTATTCCTGGCAGCATAGTTGATGCATTCGAACTCTTCACACGCGCACAAAACATTGCCTCCGGTCTCACTACAGTATCGAGAGTAATCTTCAGTCTTGATCATGCGCGTTCTGGACTCGAAAGAGGGCAGTAACCCTCGAAACTAGAACAATAGACCCATGGAAAGGCGGTTATTTGCCTTTCAGAAAGGTGATGCACCTGCAACCCTAACTTTATGCATGTATTGTCGCTGTTTGCCATTGCCAACCATGAAACCAGGGGTTAGCCGCAACAGTCCCCTGGTTGAACTGCGCCAGGACCAATTGAAGTTTGGCTCCTGTCGATACATCTGCAGTATAGGTTGAGATGTGCCAATAATTCGTAATATACTTGTGGAGATCAACTCTACTCAGATTGTTGTTAACCACCATCTAGGCACAGCGGAATTTGATTACATGCGAGCAGGATCTGGCACTTGTCCTGTGTCCAGTTCGACTGTGGACACGACTGTCAGATTGAGCGCGCTACGCGAGGCTTCGGCAACGCTCGGCAGAACACTATTTCCGAGCGCCGAGCCCCGGGTCAGGGGGTGGCATACCCCCTTCCCTACGCGCCCCTGAAGGGCCCTTAGACAGTTACACACATAACGGAATATACATCGTTCTGAACCCTCAATTCGACAATTAACAGTCTGATACGTGCTGCGTTTACGTTAAACGCCGCCAGCCATCTATTCTACGCATACGAAAGCCCTTTCTACGCGCCCAATTGAACCCCTATCGTCGAAATGTCCTCCTCAAGCGCGAAAATCACCCTGAATACCCCTGCCGACTGGATCCTATGGATCGACCAGCTGCAGTCGAAGGCCAAGTCCTACGACCTCTGGCGATATATCGATCCCCAGCGCCCAGGCGCCTTAAACACGGGACAAACGCGTCTCGAGCGGCGGATGGAGCGGCCGAAGCGCCCCGAAATATACGATCACCCCAAGACCGGCAAAGCCGAAGTGCTAAACGAAGACGCCGACTACGAAACGCGCGCACAAGCGCTGGAGGAGCTCTCGGCAGCCAATCTCGCCCTGTATAAGGAACGTCGGTCTGAATATATGGAGCGCTCCAAGACCCATGAAGCGTTCCTGAAAGGGATTCGCGTGCTCGAAGACTGGGTCCGAGATACAGTCAGCACCTCTCTCCTCAAGAGCTGCTGTACCGCGGACCGCGCACTGGACCGCTGGGTCTACGCGTTGAAGGAACGCGTAGGGATAACCACTCGTGAGAGACGCACCGCCGCGAGCGAAGCATATAAGAGAGCGCTCCAGATACCGGAGCGGAAGCGACTCGCAACGAAGAAAGAGCTGGAAGAGTGGCTTACGAAGTGGGAAGAATCAATCCACGAAGCAGCAGCGGCGGGCGTCCCGGGTACCGAGCTCCCCAGTATATGGTTCCCGGAATTCACCTACGCCGTGAGCCACAGCTACGCCGATACATGGATCTTCTCATACCAGACCGTCAAGGACGAACGCGTCGAAAGCGAGAAACTGAGCGTTGGAGAAGTCCTGTCAGACGCGCGGCGGTTCCTACAAACAACCTCTCAACACAACCCGAAGAAGCAGGCCGGACGCGGAGCGTTTGGTCCTACCACAGAAGCCACTTCAAGAAACGAAGAGGAAGGGGAACGAACTTCCCCCGCGCGCCTAACGGTACCAATGAGAAGCAGCCGGGGATCTCGAGGAAACACGCGCTCCAGAGGAGGAGCTCGCAGAGACCGGTCGCGGAAGAGAAGCGATGGGGAGAGCGAGGGCAACCGGCTGTGCCCTGCGTGCCTGAAACCTCACCCGCTCTCGAAGTGCTGGCTCGTCAACGAACGGGAGCGCCCTGAGTGGTACGAGCCGAGTAGAGAGCTTCTCGCGAACCTCGACGAGCGGATGAGAAAAGACGAAACGCTCGCAAACCGTGTCAGGAAGGTGAGAGAACCAGCGAAAGAAGAACACTGACTATATGGCCGAAGCAAGGGGACCGTCCCGAGTGCCTTCCACACCGCTCCGGAGACATACGAGCTCTTCAGATCGGCGATCCTGGACTCTGGATCAACGATCCATGTATTCAACGACCCCTCGTGGTTCACCACACTGTCAGGAAAGCGCAACAGGCGCCAGAAACTCGCTCCGCGTGCCTGGATAGGCTACCTAGTCGGCTACACATCAAGCAACTCGTTCCGGATATGGAATCCCCTGCGTAGTGAAGTATTTACCACGCGCGATATGGTGTTTAACGAGAAATGCCACTTCGACGGCAACGTCAGGTCCCTAGTGGAAGAAATCAACCACCTCGACCTGCAGGCGATTCAGCAGCGCATAGAGGAGCTGATCAGACAGACCACGGGCTCAGAAAACTATATACAAAGCGCTGACGAAGAAGCAGAAGAAGTCTCAGAGCACGCCGATCCCGGTGAGCCTGCCCTGGAAGCAGCAGAAGCGCTCGGGCACCATAACGCTGAAGCGGACGCGCCTAAGCAAGTGGAAGGGCAATACACGGGAGCGCGGTTTAAGCCCTTTCCGACGCCGGAGGCGTCGCCTCCCACATCCTTTCTCGCGGTGCTCACCGAGCTCGACGTGAGGGGGTGGGGAGAAGAGCATACGCGGGATATCCCCGCTACGAAGCCCATCTATAAGAAGGTCACACCACGGACGTCGTACAAAGCCGCTTTTCTAGCTGGAACGACGCTTCATAAACAAAACCCTAGACGTCAAGACGGCCCACGAAGGGATCGCGTTGTGCCTGGCCAGCCGCGCGCCCCTGAGAGGGTTTCCGAGGCAACCTTCACCGTGAAATCCGGGAATGACGGCGCGGATGAAGGCCCTTTGGAAGACCAAGTTACAGGTCAGCAAGAGGCAAGTGAATCCCAGGAAGGTTGCTCCGTGGTAGAAGCGTTTGAGACAAGTGAGCCCAGCTCCCACAGAGACCGGAGCCAGACGCTCGCAGAAGAGACGAAGGATCTCAGAGCGCGCGGTAACCGGGATGTGGTGACTGCGTTGGCGCCGACCGAGCTCCGCTCCCGCGTGGAAGCGCAAGGCCGAAAGAAAGGCGCCTACTGGAGGGATCTGGCCCCTTTGCCAACGTCTCACGATCAGTTACAACGTCACCCTTTCCGGGAGGAGTTCCTGCGCGCTGAAAGAAGCCACCTAGACGGGCACAAGGAGTCCCGCTCGTGGGAAGAGGTCGCAAGAAGCGCCTCGCGCGGCTACCAGGTCCTCGGATGCCACTGGGTATACACTTACAAGCTTGATAAGCACGGGCGATTAGCCAAATTCAAGGCACGCCTGGTTATTCGAGGAGACCAGCAAGCAAGAGACGCGCGGGAGACGTACGCCGCGACGCTCGCAGGTATGTCGTTCCGAGTTCTGATGGCCGTTGCCGCGCGCTTTGACCTAGAATTACTACAATACGATGCGGTAAACGCCTTCGTCCACGCGGATCTAGACGAGACTGTCTATATGGAGCTTCCGCCGGGCTACCGCGTTCCAGGAAGAATCCTGCGATTGAGAAAGGCGCTATACGGCCTACGACGTTCCCCTCTCCTGTGGCAACGCTACTTAGAAAAGGGACTCGTAGAACGTGGATTCGAACGCGTGGCAGGCGAGAATTGCTGCTGGCAAAAAGGCGAAGTCATGTTCTTCTTCTACGTGGACGACTGCGTACTGGCGTTTCCCCGCGCGCGCAAGGAGGCAGCGCTGCGGGAGGTCTCTGAGCTACAGAAGCGCTACCACTTCGAAGGAGGCGGAGACCTCCAGTGGTTTTTAGGAATCGAGGTCATACGAGACCGAGCCACACGCCGATTATGGCTCTCGCAGGCAGTTTACGCCGAGAAGGTGAGGCGGCTGCTTCCACCTACAGCTAACGCGTTAGAAGACGGTTCTGAAGCGCGCTCGTACACTCCTATGGTCCTGGAGGAGCTTCTACCCTACGAAGGAGAGGCCAGCGCGTGGGAAGTCAACCAGTACCAGAAGAAGGTCGGGACTCTCCTATACGCCGCAATAATGACGAGACCCGACGTCGCGTTCGCGGCAAGCCGTCTCGCGCGCTTCAACCAGAATCCCGGGCCGAAACACCAACGCGCAGCGGACAGAGCGCTCGCCTACCTCTATTCCACCCGCTACCTCTGCCTCGAATACGGCTGCGAACCCGGCAGCGAGGAAGACACGCTTATCGTGGCGTCAGATGCCAGCTTCGCAGACAACTCCCTGGATCGGAAGAGCTCTCAGGCGCTCGCTATGAAGCTATTCGGCGGGCTTGTTGCGTGGCGCGCTAACAAACAGGCCACGGTCACCACATCTACGACGGAAGCTGAGCTGCTATCCCTCTCGCAAGCAGCAAAGGAAGCGCTATTTGCAAGCCGCCTGATCTCCGCGCTAAACGTACACCTTCTAACAGAAGAAGCGCCGGAAGCGACGTTTCCCGCAGAAAAGCGCAGCGTACCCACGATTCAGATCCAATGCGACAACTTACAGACCGTTCGACTGGTGACAACGGATCTAGTGACCCTTCAGACGCGCTTACGGCACGTGGATATTCACAACCACTGGCTACGACAAGAGGTCGCAGCGAAGCGCGTATCCGTGGCATACACACCGTCGTCAGAGCTTATGGCAGACGGTCTGACGAAGAGTCTCGCGCTCCCACAGTTCCGCGAGTTCCGGAAGCAGGTCCGTATGAGCGAACAGGCAGAGCTCCTGAAGCGGAATCGGAGACGCGAATTAGAAGAAGACGAAGAAGCGTGGGCCAAGAGAGCCGCGCAGGAAGACGTCTGGGCGGTCGAAGACCACGAGAAGCGCGCTCCGAGTGCCACGGGAAGCTCGTGACTTGCTGTGGTACGCGAGTTGTACGTATAAAACGTCCTCTTAGCAGAAGGAGAGGAGACAGCGCAGTAGAAAGCCTACCAGCCGAGGGATGAGCGAAAGAAGAGCTCTGAACGCAGTGTAATCTAAATACGAGGGGGAGAGGGCGACTCGAGGGCAGGGAAGCCCCGATTCGGCGCTCCCCTGAGGGGGTGTGTCAGATTGAGCGCGCTACGCGAGGCTTCGGCAACGCTCGGCAGAACACTATTTCCGAGCGCCGAGCCCCGGGTCAGGGGGTGGCATACCCCCTTCCCTACGCGCCCCTGAAGGGCCCTTAGACAGTTACACACATAACGGAATATACATCGTTCTGAACCCTCAATTCGACAACGACAATGGGATATAATCGGCACAGTACAGCAACCAGAAAAACCTCAAAAAAGGTGAAACGAAATGCGATAAGTGATTTTCGAGGTTCCAACACGTCCATCAATAGGAGGTGATTGGGCTAGGAGCTAGTTTCCGGAGTGGTGGAAGGAAGCTCGAGCGCCGAAGATAATAGCTGTTGCGATAGTTGGAATACGGAGTCGTGTGGCACTTCCAGCCACACGCCCGCCACGCTGAGAGGCCCAAGCCTCCCAGACCCACGTGACAGGCCAAGGGGGAATATCCCCACCTTCTAGTCAACAACACCACTTTCAACTATCATGAACCATCGATTAGAACCAATTTACTGTTATTTGTTATTAACGAACGGAATTCCGTTTCACCCCCTGTGAAACCTACAATAGCCTTGCCCATCATAATATCGGCAATGGCTGCAATTTCTCTCTGAGGGGCATGGTCATAATACTAAGGCTGCTTGATTACTGTCTTTTTTGATTGCAATGATCTCAGTATAACTTGAGTTTAGTTACAGTCCAAACGTTAAAGCCAATTGCTGAGTCCTAAACAGCAAAGTTCCGAATACAGATCGCGATAAGTTAGTGAAGGTTTAAATGCCTCAATGATTTCTAGTATATGGCTTTAGGGCTTCGCGATTGTCTATATTGTGGTGCCACTAAATCAGACTAGAAGTAACTTATGAAGTACAACTGCGTGCGAGGTTGTTGAACAAGTACGAATAGCACCACGTGCGGTAACACATAGCATGGTTGTGGCCTCAGATATTGAACAATCCTAGGTCTAGGGGTAAGTTTTTTGCAAAGACCGCGGACAGTTTGTCCCGGGATTCTTTGTTGAGAGACTGGGGCAAATAGAGAAAAGTGGCAATAGCATGGTTGAGCCAGAAGGATCATTGTTGGAAAGAGAATAGTACAATGCACTAAATCCTAACAAAGACTTCTTTCACAGTGGGACATTTTTTATCCCTAATTTCCCTAGCAGATAAGCTAATTTAATTCCGGACACCCATAAGTACCATATCGAAACATGTAACAAAGCTCTCATTTGTGCACTGCCTGGTTGAGTTTGAAATTGGGCCGTGGAACTCAGCCATTCAACTTAGAAGCCAACAGGTAATCGAAATTTAGACATGGGTGTCATGATATATAGACTTGATTTCACGAGTTTTCTTGTGACTTCTACTTCAATTCATCACAATCCTTCTTCGTGTTTCCTTCTTGGTTAAACAGTCACTCTTTTAAGCTTGGAATACTATGTCTCCCACTTACTCGAACCTGCGGCTTTTGCCGCTTTTATATCTCTTCTTCGTTATAGGTTCTGCCTTGCCAGGACAACATCCAAAGAGAGTGCTTAGTACTTCCCTCGGTTGCTTCACAGATCTTGTTGACGGAAAGAGAGCTCTGAGCGGTCGAAATACTGCTGCGAACGACATGACAGTCGAAAAGTGCGCCGCATTCTGCTCTGCATTCGCTCTGTTCGGCGTCGAATATGGCCGCGAATGTTTCTGCGGTAATGCCCGAGATCCTAGCAGCCAGGCGGCAGACCCTTCTGATTGCAACTTTCGTTGCTCCGGCGATTCAAGAAGCTTATGCGGCGCAAGCAATCGCTTGAATATCTATAGTAACCTGAGTCCTACGACTCAGGGGCCTGCCACCCTGCCTGGGATTACGTCTCTGGGCTGCTTCGTCGATAGTATACCCCGAAAACTGCCGAGCAAAACTATTTCTGATGGAAGCATGACAGCAGCCAAATGTGCGGCCAGTTGTGCTGGCTATACCTATTTTGGGACACAGTGGTCTTCAGAATGCTACTGTGGAAATACCGTTCCAGACATCTCAGCACCTATATCCGATTGTAACATGGTTTGCTCCGGCAATTATAACGAGTTTTGTGGTGGCAGTATGCGGCTGAATATCTACAAGGTTGACCAAACTTCAGCAACTAAGTCAACCTCCGGCGGTACATCTGGTACTACTGTAAGCAATGGAAGCTCTCTCGGCGGCTTTACTTACCGTTCTTGCTGGACTGATACGCCGTACGACCGATCGCTAAAGGCTATTGATTATCGCGCTGATGACATGACTGTCGAAAAGTGCGCAGAGCGGTGTAAAGCATACACTTATTTTGGGCTTGAATATTCACGAGAGTGCTTTTGTGGCGACGATTTGATCGGACAAGCTGCGCCAGAAGATGAATGTAAGATGTCTTGCATGGGTGCAGGCGATCAAAAGTGTGGCGACTCGAACAGACTGAATATATACTCGAAGCAAACGTTGTCGGCCTCTCCATCTTATTCATCGTCGTCTACTTCAGTCACATCGTCATGGTCATCGACGATTTCAACTTCTCCGACGTCTTTTTCGACATCATTGTCTTCTTCGACCTCCAAAACGTCTTCATCCTTGAAGCTATCTGAATCATTAGCTTCTCATACATCTTCACCTGCATCGACTACATCATTGACTCCGCAGATTTCCTCATCGACATCAACAACAACATCGACTTCTCAGACGTCTTCATCATCCTCATTAACTACATTGTCAACATCCAGGACGTCCTCAATGTCTATGTCAACATCATCAGGTCCACAGATCCCATCATCGACATCTATTACTTCTTCAGCTTCTCAAACTTCATCTTCATCATCATCTTCATCATCATCATTGACATCTGACTTGTCGAAAACCACCGGTCCCGCCATGACGACCGTCACTAGTTGTGCTGCAACAGCAACATACAATGGGACCCCGGAATACTGCTTTACGCCCGGAAACCTTCCCACTTATTGCGAAATGATGTTTGCAGAGAAGGCGGACTTGACCTTGGACCAGTTTATATCCTATTGCAAGCCTCAACTGTCCGCAAATGGCTTGCCTGCAAATCCCCAAGCGTTAGCTTGTTTAAACGCAAACACGTATAAGAGCATTCCGAGCGCAAACAGCTGTTTGAATGCGCCGTCAGCCTCATTGATCTGCCAGTACGACACTGCCTGCGTTACGAAGACATATGTAGTCGGCCAAGTACCAACGGCTTCCCCAGCCACTACTACCCCAACCATTGGCATTAACCTATTCGGAGATGGAGGGTGGGAATCTGGCAACACAAATCCTTGGGAAGTTTCCAATGACGATCAGTTGGGAATATCCGGAAAGGGAAACTTTATGGAAGTAACTGTCAATTCTGTCCGACCCCGGTCAGGTAAATACAGTCTCTCGGCGCTGTATACAGGCATAAACTACGGCGCGGTTTCCTTTATTCGTATGCAGAAGGTTGTGCCTGGCAAGACGTATCAACTCCAATTTTACGTCTGGTCGACCAAAGCGGGAACGAACACAGGTGTGCAAGTCAACCTGGAGCCTGGTGGTTTCGCCATTGGAGAGTCGTCTTTGAACTCGACTCCGACAAATCAGTGGGTAAAGAGAACTTTGACCATCAAAACTATCACGTCCTTCATAAAGTTGAAGATGAGCGTCACTGGCTCTGTATATGGATCCAACAACATCAATCAAATCTATATTGACGATATATCGTTCATGCAGCTTGATTAGGACGTCGTATCTAGTACGGGATGTCGGGGATCCGCAATTCTTCTTTTTTTACTGCTGTAACCTTTCTTTCCTAACCAAGGCATCTTGTTTATTCTTTTGTCGACCTTCATAGATCTGGGGTGGGTTGGATTTATTGCTCCAAAAATTCTTCTTAGCTTTACTTAATCTTGAATGATTGAAGACACAAATGCCAGATACATAAAACTTGTGTGACAACAAAAGTAGAACCGCAATTACTTTGTGGCAATTGTATCCAAGATCTATCGAGACAGTTTCAAATTCCTTAATCAGACTTGCCTGTCCTTTCAATGCATTGGTGCAACCGGTAACGTCATGGCGCATCTCAGCTCTGAAGCCAAACCAGCGTCGGCCTCTTCCTCCATTATTTTTGATAGATATCTTGTCACCTCTGAAGGCTTTAAAACTTGAAATCCCATTGATTCATAAAACGGCCTGTTCCAGGGAACGTCTCGAAAGGTAGTTAGCGTGATTGCGGCACAGCCACGAGATGCTGCCCACGCCCTCGCTGCTTGCACCAGGCTTCGGCCGATACCTCTCCCTTGAAAATCCAACTTGACTGTAAGTTCGCAGATATGAAAATTGCCCTCAATTGGTTCGCCATTTATAAACCCCACTGGGACGTCTCTGTTGTCGACAGCTACCAAAGCGGCTCCACTCGATATGAACTCCAGATGTCGTGCCTCAGACTGCACATTGTCGCTGGCAATCCAAGCAAGGGTAGGAATCTGCAAGAATGCTTTTGCACCTGAGACTTCAACTGTAGGTAGAAGGGGTGCATCTCTTGGTTCTGCGAGTCTGATGGTAATGATGCTCATGGTCATCGAGTATGTGTCTCGATGAGATATTAGGTGTTAAGGCTGGGAGTGTGGATATTTACACTGAATCCATCAGAGCTGAGGGATGATAAGAGTGACTTGGACGCACTAGTATTAGTCCAGAACTCGTTATACTTAAGTCCCTATAACATTACAATGTGTTTAGTTTTGAAGGCGAGTCGATGCAACTGTCCTGAGTCATCCGGCCAGCGCCATTGCTATGATGGTATCTTGGCAGCTGATTGGTCTACCTGCAACAGTGGCTTTGATTGGCTAGTTCCTAGTGCCAGTAAACACCACTAGCCATTCTTAAATTACCGTATGCAGTAGTTGCTGCAAAAGATGCATAGCGGCCGTAAGCCCCTAGCGGTTGGGTCGGAGAGGCTGTGGATTAGCGAGATTCTTTTCCAATACACCTGCAGGCGCCCTACACTAAATCATAACCACGTGCTCTCATCTGTTGCACTTTAGTCCTCAAGCCCGTGTATATGGCTCTTGTAGGGAGGAAAATAAGCGCTTCTGGACGTGTTAAGAAGAGATATCGTAAATTGCTTCCGCCATTTTCCTCTCTCCATAACCGGTAAAGTGATAGCAACCACAGGCATAATCGCAATCTGCAAAGCAAGCAGTAGCAAGGACAGATTACTGAATGGCAGTACAAGATAAGGGTCACATCGATGTCGAAATTTCCATGACTATTTTTGTGTACAAGTGGCACATTTGTCTTCCTTCAACCAAGCCGGGGAGCTGGTGATTGTCATTTAACAGTAAGGTACAGCTTACTAGGGCTTTACTGCATGTGATGCAGGTTGATAATTATTCGGGAATATCCTAAAGCCCCAAAAAGTGACAGGTCCGGATGCAGGAAAGAGATTGATTGTCCTCCTCTCTCTACGCTTCTTTGATGATGTCGAGCGACGAATGTAGTGGTCTAATTACGAGGTGGAGCACTTGGTCCAACACAAAACATTAAACTCAATGCTAGCCTTCTTTGAGGCGGGCTGTATCCTTAGACAACCTACTAATCAACAAACAGCCAGGTTTCGCGTCTCACCACGTGATGTTCAGCTCTACCTCATGGGGAAGAATCTCAATTTCAACTGCCATGCTTACTAACCACCATGTGTTGGACCTTTCCAATGCATCGGATCAGGAAAGCTTTCTGAGACCCTATCCGTCAAAAAAAAAAAAAAACACCAGTTGGTTTCGGATAGTACCATAAGCATTTTTTGAGTCGCCAAGCCCAGGAGAATAACGCCTTGCCCGACGATTCTGGCGGATTGGCCGGAATTATTCATTCCCCCGATGGCATTCGATGCTACCAGAAAGCATTCGACTTTGCCGCTGCAGCACCTCCTAGCCTTGGACCATCAGCGCTCCACAGTTGCCAGCCAGGGTGTCACCGGTCTAGAGGTGGCCATATGCTGAATCCCTGCTCAACTTTCCCAATCGAGCACGCGAAGGTCGCTGAAAGGAGCAGATTGGTTCAGGTGGCCAACTCGGATTGGCCTCCGGGAGAAGCTCCTTGCCAGATTCGAATTCGGAATTTTCTACCCTTGTTCACGTACGCAGCAGTTGCCCAGATCAGACCGATAGTGTGGTAGAAGAAAGCTATTGATGCCGCTTCGCCCGAATCTAAGCAGTTTCTGACTGAAGGACCCAGAAAGTCGGGTCGGGAGACTTCAGCTTTCAGCTTTCGCCCTGTAACCCCCAACTGACTGGGCATGTTTACGATGGCTTGGCATCTTGACATCGTAGCTTCAGCTCGCCGCATGCTTGTGTCTAACCCAGAGTAGACTTCCAGCAATGTCGACTATTGACATGTCGACTGTTGGTGCATCACTAACTTTCGGCTGGCTATACTCCTTATGGGATGATGAAGATGCATCAACAGAGTAGAGATTGTCAAAAAGGAAGATAAAAAGGCAACTGCCACTTGCCTTCTAATGCATTTCCTTCTCCTCCTCATCCTCACGCTCTTGTCTTCCATCGTTTTCTAACACCAACGGATCGGACAAAACCTCCAACTTGTCGCTCAAGTGATTTGTGAAGATGGTTCATCAAAACACATTCGTCGGCGCTCTGTCTGTGCTTCTTGCCAGCGTAGCTGCCTCGCCTCTCGAACTTCATGAGCGTGCTACCTGCAACCGAGACAATCTCTTCCGTTGCTTCATCGATCAGCGGTACTCGACCCAAGCGAGTGCGTTCTGCTCCGGGCTTACTCCATTCACAAAGACCGTAGCAACTGTCACGGCTACAGAGTATGTGTTTCAATCGTAGAACCGTTGTTCAACCCCGCTAAGACTCTTGCGCTCCGTAGCACTGCAACTGTGTGGACCGACGTGGTGGCAACCACCCAGACAGACTTTGTCACCTCAACTACGACGGTATTCACAGCAACTGTCCCCTCTTCAACCATCACCGTCACCGCTTTCTATGGCCAAAGCCCTCAAAAGCGTGCGGAAGTTGGTGCGGCTCCCGCTCCCAAGTGCGCCACCGAAGGTGCAGGCTACCCAGCTTCGCGCATCACCTCAGCCTGCTCTTGCATCGATGTGCCTGCACAGACAACCAGTGTCACTTACACAGCTGGCACAGTGACTGTCACTGATGTAAGTAAATACTCTACACAACAATGAAGGCCCAATCTAACGACCAATTGCCATAGACGTCCACCTCCCTTCTCACTGCTTCTGCTACGGCGACAGTCTGGGAGACAGTTTCTACCGTAACAACGAGCGGCGTGGCTACCGTAACAGTCGCTCCAGCTCCTCTCGAGAACCTGGATTTCGAGAAAGGCAACTTCGACGGCTGGACTTACAGTGACAACAACGGTGCCGGATGGGATGGAGACATCGTCAGAGTTCCAGGTGCCAACGGCCAGCCTACCTGGGCGTTTCGTTCCATCAACCGTCAGTACCTCGGTTTTGCTCTCTTGTACTTCAACAACCGGTACTTCCATCTGAAGTCGGGCCCCCGGTACAGAATCAGCTTTTCGGGCAAGACGACAGCTCCTGGCGCCGGCAACACACTCCCCAACACCTACTTCTCGGTCGTCGGTAAGCCTAACTGGTCTATCGGAGCATCTTGGTCTTCGCCTTTGCAGAACGGTACTCCTCTTGGAAATGGTTGGTACAGATTCAGTGGAGAGTTTACGGTTCCCGCCAGGTACGAAGGCGATTGTGGATTGAACATTGGGTTCACAAGAAACACAAACTACGTCGAGCATTTTATCGACAACATTACTCTTGAGCAGCTTTAAATCTGTCATATGGATAGTTCAGAGATTTCAGTAACGGCCAGAGACGAGGAGTTGGTGGGGATTGGACATGGATTTGCTGAGCTCATGTATACGCTGATGCTCAGGCTTTTTCAATGGTTGTCGCTCGTGGATATAAAGAATTTTAATACATCAATGTTCAAGCAAAAAAGAACATCTTTAACACCCTTTTTGTCGCTGACTAATACTTGATGTACATTATCAATGTATTATATCTATGGCCATCTCGTTTGAACCACCACAGCGGTCTCTCACGTTTACCCACCCCATTCCGTATCCACCAAAGACGGCATAGATCTCAATGTTAGTTAGATATTTCCAATCGCCTCGTAAGCTTTCACTCGTATTGAAACTGCAACTTCCTAGGCCAACAGGTCACGTAGGCTGCGGGCGATGACTTTCGTAGCACGTCTTAGATCATCGAGCTGCAACCGCTCGTCCGCCCGCTTAGCATGGGACTCTAGGACTGTGCGAGGGCCGGCGCCATAGATGACACCGGGTATTCCGGCTTCCGCATACAACCGTACATCGGTGTAAAGCGGGGTACCCGTCGCAGGCGCCGGCTGACCGAAGATCTCCCCAGTGTGTTTCTGAATCGCTTCCACCAGTGGCTGGTTGCCAGGGTGGGAACGCATTGATTTCGCAAGGAGCAGGCGCCGGAGATCCACTGAGATGCCAGGTATCCCAGCAGCCGCGTCACCAATTACTCGCCGGATTTCCGTCTCCACTTCGGCCGGGTCTTCCTCCGGAATCATGCGGCGGTCGAGCTTGAACACCACTTTACCGGGCACAACATTTGTATTCGTACCGCCTTCGATACGACCAACGTTAAGATAAGGATGAGTAATGCCAGCTACTTCAGACCGCACCTCTCGGTAGCCTTTGTTGAGCGCATAGAGCGCGTTAAGAATAGCCACTGCACCCTGAAGCGCGTCAACACCGCTGTCGGGAATGGCGGCGTGAGCTTGGTTGCCATGAACGGTGATTTCCATCTGAAGACAACCATTGTGTGCGGTCACCACCTCATATGAAAACCCAGCAGCAATCAGGAGGTCAGGCTTAGTTAGCCCCTGGCTCAGCAGCCAGCCGGGGCCGAGTTCGCCGCCAAACTCCTCGTCATAAGTAAAGTGAAGCTCAACTGAGCCTCGCAGTGGAGCTTTCAGTGACTCCAAGGCACGAACCGCAAAAGTGAAGCTTGCAAAGTCGCTTTTGCTGACGGCAGTTGCACGGCCGTACATTACGCCGTCCTCGATAACTGCGCCGTAAGGATCGCGTGTCCAGCCCTCGCCCGGCGGGACTACGTCGCCATGGGCATTGAGAGCCACTGTACGGCCAGATTCATCGTATTTGCGGCGCACGATCAGATTCGTGATGGATTTCATGCCGTAAGCAAGGACCTTATCTTCAGGCACTGGGTGGCGCTCGGCTTCGAAGCCGAAGCTTTGCAGCAACTCGGCTGTGAGCTCCGCATGTGGGGCATTGTTACCGGGAGGAGTATCGGTCGGTGCCCTCACTAGCTTCTGTAGAAACTGTAACTCCTCGTCGAAATGATCGTCGATCCAGTCGTCGAGACGCTTAAAGTCAGTGGCGATGGCGGAATCAGACATGGTTATTGTGGTTTAGGTAAGTTGAAGGATGATATGTGTGGGATGGCAGGGCCACAATGTAAGGTAGCGCAATTATTGCGAGTTTCCCCGGATTCGGCCTTGGCCGGGCCCACTTTGACCAGAGATGTGTCCTTGCGCCGGGACAGAACTCAATTTCTCCCCACGCTAACCATCGTTCTTCTGCTCCATAATTACTCTTCAGTAAAGTTGTTGTCATACTAACCTTACATGTATGTCCCTTGTGTTGTTTAGCAGTAGCCATTGGAACGCTGAGGTAGCCTTGAACCAAATACTCAGTATTCAATAGCACAAAGCAAAACCTGTTTCTACGACAAAACGTACCGTGCTTTGAGCAGATTCTATGACAGCACCACCCATTCTACAGTCGCCCAGCCTCTTTTCCGAGCTAAAGGGCCGTCTGTTTAGCCGGGTTACTGCTGTTTGACAGAAAGTGGATGACTAAAATCTCTCAAACAGTTTCCAGGTAAATAAAAGTGTCTTTGAATATTTCATCCGAGACTTTGGTCCTAATCTTATTCCTGCATCACTGTTTTGCATCAAATCATAATGGCAACTGATACGGAAGCCTTTGTAAAAGCCCCCAGATTTTTTTATTGCTAAGCGCACTTTAGATTCGATTAGATCTTCAATTCAAGACCTAGCCTGAATTCTTTTGTGAATCACGGATGTTGAAGCGTGGGCAGCGAAAGAGTAGCCCAGGTTGGATCCATTCGAGCTCTAACCCGGTTTAATTTTGAGGGTCTGAGACTGTTGAAGACGAATTAAATCTGAACTTCGCCGATAGACCGCCTAAGTCTGCATAGATCACCCGCCGCCCTAAGGTCGTGTGAACTGGCTGAGCAGGGTGAGTAGGGTGAGATAGGCAATTTTATAGACAACCGGGCTGTTAAAGAAGATTATCTATTACCAGAAGAAGACTAAATTCCGAACCTTGTATTCTATGCCCGCCATAATCAGCTATATTAAGACCATCTTTAAATCTCCTGGTCTAGCATAGATAAATTATGTATAGAATACTAAAGCTTACTAAGCTTACTTACGCCTAATATTATACAACTAGGTAGCTATGGCTGAATTATCCTACTTGGCGCGCCTTCTATTTCTAGTCTACAAATCTAGTGCTAACTAATCTCACTATAAAGATTCGTACTAGAGTAATAGATATTCCTCCTATGGATATTACCAACCTACTAGCGGGGAGCGTAGAAAGAAGAAGAGATAGATAATGCTCTACCCGACAACCGGCCCAGCAGAGACCAGCACCCGGAACAAGTGCAAGACCAAGACCACCCGGGATGGCCGGTAATCGGACGGCTTGATTGGGAGCTGAATGGGGTCCTATTCGACGAACGCCTAGAAGTGGACGGCGCTAAAGAGGCAAAGAAGGTTGCTAACTTTAATCAACCGATGGCGATAATTACAGTTATGACTCAAGCGGTCAATGAGTGTAAGGATCTTGAGTGAATGAGACACTACAGTAACATTGCGAACGCAGTAGCTACAAGTACGATACCCACCCTAACGCGACCTATCGGCGCGCCGTTCGCCACAGTAGACGGAGCCGGCGCGCTCGTAGACGAAGCTGCGCCAGTCGTCTCAGATCCGGAAGCAACCGCAGAGCCCCTAGATGTGGCCGCAGCCGAAGCTGAGGCCGAGGCGGCAAACGCCGATGTTGTCTTTGCCTCGTGGGTGACGGTGACAGTGACCTGCTGAGTTACGGTGGCAACCGACTGGGTTGGCGACTCGTAGAGCTTGATACCGCATACCGCCTCCGCGTCGAACGTGAACGGGTTGTTCCAGCTCTCGCATCCTAGACTCTGCCGCTGGATCGAATCTGGGTGTTTTGCAAGTAAGCATGTGTGTCCGTGGACTATTGGGTAAAACTCACCGATCAGGACGGAGCGGTCGCATTTGTCGGCCATGCAGCAAAAATATCTCTCGCGGTACTTCTGATGGGTGCACATGCATGCCGGGTCGTTCGTGCAGGAGCCGCCTGGGAAACTGCCAAAGAAGCAGCCGTTCTAAGAGAGTGAGCTGTGCGTCCTACGGCATATTGTTTTGGTTGCGACTCACGTCGCAGTCTGCGTCGCGGTGTTGTTTTTCTTGATCGTATGGCGGCGGTGTAGATGCCAGGCTGGTGCCCAGCAGTCCGAGGAGCATGACGGTGGTTGATCGCGGCATGGTGTGGTGGAGGTAACGACTGAATGGAACGAGCGACTGTGGAGAAGGTTGATTTCTCTAAATTTTCTTTTCTCCTTCAGAGAAAGGAGGAGATAGCCTCCTATTTGTAAACGGCAGAAATGACTGCGACAAGTTTACCAACGGTCCAGGTTAGCCTCGTCGCTGTGCCGCTGACAACGACTGATGCTTATCTTGATTCGGAAGTTCGATCATGAATGGGACCATGCAGGTACCCCATGTCACTGCCCGTCTGGGATAAGTCTAATTTAAACTATTTTAGCAAAAATTACGGATGAACAACTTGTTTGTGTCGCTTCTCTGTTAGGTCTAAGGGGGTGACTCCCTTACGGAGATTGGTTGGTTCAGTGGTTGGTGATTATGAATTGTCTTCATATTGTTGAATAGTGTTTGGAGGAGACGTATATCTTGCAACTACACTCTCTATTTCAGCCCTGCTTACGCTCATTCGCTACATTTGGTCTTTTTCTCAATACATGATCCTTTCCCATAACTATTGCGAAACCTGATTCTCTGAGGGTTTTTTTGAACCGTAGGCAATTAAGGTATCTGTAGCCAGGGACCCTCGTGGGCCTCATTCAGTCTCAGAATGTAGTACAACCTCCTAGTGTTTTCAACTATAAACTATCGTCTCCGAGTCCTACAAAACTAATCTAACCACAGGCTAGGAGCCCTGCTTTGAAAACCCTTCCACGTTAAAAATGGGTCTACGCGAGCTGTACGCACTTCTCGGCCGAGCCGATGGGCTTGTGGAACTTCCAAGCCGGAAGGCATCCGGTGTGCCAAGACCGCGCAGGTCTTCTCACCGGCACAACGGCTTCTTCGCGACTAAACTATCCCTCAGCCAAAATAGTATAAAATCGGGCGAGCCAATTCCGTCTCAATGAACGACACTCGCCTTGTTTCTTCGTAATCGGCTTGAGACGGTTTCCAACTCAATGTCCACCACCACTCAACCGGCAGCCATGCCGCCTCATTTTCCACAGCAGACACATAAGGCCGGCGGCGGCCAATCTAGTGCCCAAGAGAGTGGTCTACAGGAGACTCTTAATGAGTCTCTACTCGGCCACCTCTCACAGCTGTTCAATAATTATGCCGGCCCAAACGGCAAATGGACGCGAGACCAGACCGGCATCTTCATGCAGCATGTGCAGGCAGAGGACCCCAACGGTGCAGCAGGATACCTCGTCGACAAAGACGAGCTAGACCTTTTCGACTTGATTGAGTACATTTCCTCTCCTTGCGGCAACGTACTAGGGCCGGTAGCTCCGCAGGATCTTTCCTGGCCGCTGAGCAGCTACTTCATCAGCTCGAGCCACAACACCTATCTTATCGGAAACCAGCTCTCGAGCGACTCCAGCACCGATGCCTACAAAGATGTCCTTCTACGAGGGTGTCGGTGTATCGAAATTGATGTGTGGGATGGCCAGCAGTATTACAAACCAGGCTTCAACCCAGACGGGATTGACGAGTCGGGAACACCAGCTGGTCTTGCCACCAATGCTTCACCTCAGAGCATTGGACTCAGAGATCGACTGATTACGAAAGTTGGGCGGTGGGTGATGAACAAGTTTGACCCAGTTGACCCAGAAGGGAGAACCGTCGACGACAGGCTGTCGGATATCATCCAAGCAGAACCGCGGGTCCTCCACGGTTTCACAATGACGAAGGAAGTGCTGTTCCGCGACGTGTGTCGAGTGGTCCGGGACTACGCTTTCGTCACGACAGATCTGCCTCTTATTGTCAGCTTAGAAGTGCACTGCTCACCGCTGCAACAGGGAGCCATGGTTGACATTATGGAAGAGCTGTGGGGAGAGTACCTCTTGCCTGCAATCCAGACGGCCCCCGGCGCCCTTCCGTCGCCCGACCAGCTGCGCAATAAGATCCTAATTAAGGTCAAATACATTCCCGATGACGAAACGGACAACACCGCAGGCACTTCTGAAGAAGACAGCATGTTTGAGGTGACGACGGAAGACAACGAGAGGAAAACGAAAAAGGTCAAGCCGCCCAAGGTCACGTCGAGGTTGAGCCGTTTGGGCATCTATACGCGCGGCATCACCTTCAAGTCCTTTGAGCAGCTCGAAGCGTCGATGCCGAATCACATCTTCTCCCTCTCCGAAAAGGAGGCATTTGCAATCCAGAGACGCATGCCAGAGGCCTTGTTCGCGCACAACAGGGCTTTCCTCATGCGGACATACCCGCACGGCATGCGGGTGGACTCGTCCAACTTCGATCCCGTCAGTTTCTGGCGGGCAGGCGTGCAGGTTGTCGCGCTGAATTGGCAGTCGTGGGACGTGGGCATGATTCTTAACGAAGGCATGTTCGCGGGCTCCAGTGGCTACGTCCTCAAACCGGAGGGCTATCGCCATCACCATGGCGAAGTACGGGGATCCGACGGCGAGGGAGAAAAGGCATATGGGTCGAAAATCACCGGCAAGACACTTGACAGGATTGCAGTCACGGTGTTGGCGGCGCAGAATGTCCCTCTGTTCAGGCGAGATGATGACCCCGCCAAGTTCATACCTTACGTCAAGGTAGGACTCCATACGGAACCAAGCGCGCTGGCAGCCATGGTAAGCGAAAGTGCGGGCGGAGAGCAGGTCACGCAGGTCGGGTATAGTGGCCAGACGGGTAAGGGCAGAGGCACCAGCCCGGACTTTGGCAGCGAAGTTATAGAGTTCCTCAACGTGGAAGGCGTCGTACCTGAGTTGGCATTTCTGTCTTTTGTAGTCATGAATGACGTGATCGGTCCCGATGTCATGACTGCCTGGGCGTGTGTCCGCCTGGACAGGCTGAGGGTCGGATACCGCTTTGTGAGGCTGTTGGACAAGGGAGGCATGCCGACTAGCGGCGTTCTCTTGATCAAGACGGAGGTCAGGGAAGCTGTTAAATCATGATGCTTGAGGATCAAGATACGTCCTTTGTGTTATTGATGGCCGCCTTAACACCGCTGAACACGCCGTATTAATTGAGTTAGGGCTCAAATATGCAACTACTTCTTGTATTTGGGAATCAGGTCTTCTTGGCTACCATGAACAACTACCTAACAAAACGGATCGTCACTATATCAAAAGACTCTAAACCCTAAGAATGATATAACGATCTTACAGATGCTAATTGCTTAGAATTCATAAGTAGTAATAGCAGCCTATATGTTAGCTGGTAATAGAGCGCGGAAAGGGATAGTTCAGGTTTGGGTGTTCTTTCTCGAGGGGCTTCCTCTAAGTAGAACGAAGCCTTTCCAACGAAAGACAATACTGATCCTAACGGAAGGCATTCATTTTACACTTGCCGATTGTCATCCGATAACGGTTGTGTCACGGGCAGGACACTTGACAACACCATCGAGACTGACACAAAACCAGGCTCCAATCAAGTGAGTACGGATACGACCGCAACTCCGAGCGTTATGTCGTTCTCAAAGCGCTGCGGTGTATCAATCCTATGCCGCATTGCATCCTTCTTTCGGGTACTTTTGCATGCCCAACGCTGCAGTTTCGTCTCAGCTCGGAAGCCATGAGAGATTACCAGCCTTTTATCTGTTGTGGTAGGTTCTTCCGACCAGCATCATCCGACCGACCCTAAGCTCTTCAGGTCATCATTGCGCTCGTGCGCCAATGGCCGAGACCTGCGGAAGGTCATCTAGAGCGTGGTCTTCCTGCGGAAAGAAGAAGCCTTGAATTTCTCGGCATAGATAACTCTGGTCAAGCCCTCATTCCGCGCGGCCATCCCGCGTAAGGTGCAAACGTCTCACCCACAAGCGGAAACTTCCCACTCTGGCATGATTTCGAGCTGTTTGCACTAGTGGCCAGCATCTCTTTCTGTCACCCTGGGTTCAGTTTCCCTTGGCTTTGCACCTCTCCTAACAGAACGGAGGTGCTGGATGACAAGAAGCGTGGGCCAGCGGCACGGTTGACGTCGGCGGGCCCGCCAGGTCCGGCTCGGTCAGGCGCCGGCTGCCCACTTCTTCCGCCCATAGTGACGCCGTGCGGCCAAACCAGCTCCGCATATTGAACGCCCAGGTCTATCCTTCGGCTAGGCAGTTACATGGTGCTTCATCAGCATTAGGACAGTGAGAAAGAAAGTCACGTGCTTCATCTTGTGTAACGGACTAGTACTCCCTGAGCCATAAATCGGTTTTCAAGCCTACAGTGAAGCGCTAAAGGAGTATTGTAGTTCAAGTGGGACTAGATCTCAATCGGGCCGGATATGAGTGGGTACTTGAAGACCCGTGTAATACTCTTATTCGCATCTTGCGTAGGCAAATGCGCGTGTTCACTCGTAGCTCGGATATTTCACTCAATGCCTCATAACAATTTTTGGCGAATGCGCGTATTCGTGTCTTGTCTTTGAACGATTAGCATCGATGTTTTAGCCTTTCTCTTAGTTCGCCGAATCATCTTGATGCAGCAGTAATGCCTGATACGAGATGCAGGGATCGCCAACTTATGGGGGAATGCTCACCCATTGTTAGCTAACGTTATCATATTGGTTGCTGGAAACAAAATTTCTGGGGTATTCCGACGGTACAAGATGCCACCCCCTCTCTTTTCTTAAATGATGAATCTCTGGACTATTCCTTTTCTCTTTTGCAATCTTGCATCCTACTCTAATAGCTGTTCTCACATATCGTCCAAAGTTTAATCGCAATGGAGGAATTTGAGTTTTATCACTATTCCCCGTCATTAACGGCGGCCATTATCTTCACAGTTCTTTTCGCTCTGTCGGCAGCGGCTCATCTCTATCAAAGCTTCCGGCTCAAAGCCTGGTTTTTTATTGCCTTCTTCCTTGGCTGTGCATGTAAGTGCGCATTGAGAACTTCCCGACAGCCTAGACCGTCGAATAGGTAGCTGACCGTATGGTTATCAGTCGAAGTTATCGGTTGCATTGGGCGCATTATTTCCGCAAGGCAAAGTACAGAATGGACATTACCGCCATTTATGCTCCAAAGTATCTTCCTGCTACTTGGCCCAACTTTGATGGCTGCTTCTATCTACATGACGTTAGGAAGATTCATTACGTGTCTTGACGCCAACATGTATTCATTGGTGGATGCTGGAATGATCTCTAAAGGATTTGTTATTGCAGATATTATATCAATCTTAGCACAATCCACAGGTGTGTCTTCAAAATCCTAGGTATTGCTTCATGCTAACCGAAAATCTGCTTAGGAGGTGGCATATTAGCTGCTGATAAGTCATTAAATGGACACAAGCTCGGTGAGGCCATTATTATTGCGGGCCTTGCAATTCAAATCTACTTCTTTGCGTTCTTCATCACCCTCCTTCATGTTTTTTACAGTGCGGTCGTGGCCAAACCTACCAAGAAAGCTTTGTCCCTGCGTTTTTCATGGCGACGGTATATCCAGGCGCTTTATGTGGCAAGCAGTCTGATTTTTGTTCGATCAATTTTTCGAATCGCTGAGTATGCACAGGGTTCTGATGGAGAGCTTCAGTCGAGAGAAATTTATATCTATGTTCTTGATATTACCCTGATATTGTTAACTACGGCTATTTTTAATATTTTGCATCCTGGGCAACTGGTTTTAGCTAGCAAAGTGGAGGTTTAGACTTGCAATGTTCCGACTGTCAGAGGAGAAATACATACTAAGCACACCTATGTAGCTGTTTGAAATTGCATCTTCAACATAATAACGCCAACAAGACTTCATCCAGATTCGCCGTATATAGCAGAACAATTGACCGCCCTAGAGCGAGTCTGATGAAGAGCTTTGAGTCGATAAAACTAGATCCTGCTGGAAACATCTACAGGTATAATATATGTATTGAAAGGCCGCCATAAACCAACTTGTAATCGAATTCACATACCAAACGCTATCCCCGAACTTAGTGCAAGATTGGGGCACGGGAATTTATAGTTCCGCCTCCCAGGTCACGATGTGTTGGTGGACGCCGACAAGGGATTTAGCCGAATGGAGTCAGCGGCATTGGCACTCACCGTTTCGAGCCAGTCACGGCGCCCGGGTACACTTCGGCCGGCCAATTTGTGGGGCCCCGTGGGCTCCGGCGGCTTTCGGACAGGGTTCCGGAGGTTACAAGTTTAGCCTAAATAGAGTGAGAGAGTGTTTTGCGTATACTGTGGCTGCTTCTGCTGACGCATGGCCTCCCGCAATTCCGTCGTATTTTCCGACGCTACTCCAAATTAGGAGAGTTCCACGCTGTCGGAGCCGTCAGATGAGATGGGATTTTCGGATCTTGAATAAACGTGAGGAAGATCAGGAAAACAAACCTCATTCAAAGGATAGGAAGAACAGCCGCTTCTAGGCCCAGACGATTGGCAGATATTTTGGATAGTCGGAACTCATCTCAACTGGATCACAACTCTTCGCGCGCTCTTTTCGACACATCATAGGTCCCCCGACTTCGCCATGACTGTCAAAAATATCCCACTCGATGTGGAAGCGTTGATAAGTCAGTTAACGCTCGACGAAAAGATTGAGCTTCTTGCCGGCCAAGGCTCCTTCCGTACAACAGGTCTTCCTCACCGAGGCATTCCGGCGCTCATTGTGAGTTTTGACAGTATTCACGCGTGCATCCAGCTGCTAAATTGAAATAGACCTCAGATGGACCTCATGGTATTCGCGGCCGTCGGTCGTTTCATCGAGTGAGTAGATCGCGCAGCCGCCCGGGAAGCCTTTTCATGCAGGCTACCGGCTCACTGGACAAGACTAAACGGACGTGCCAATTTAGAACCCGAGCCCCATGTTGCCCTCCGCAACTGGTATGGGGGCCACTTTCAACGCTGAACTCCTTCGCAAGGTCGGAAACCTTCTAGGAGAGGAGGCTAGAGCGAGGGGAGTTCATGTGCTTCTTGCACCCACAATCTGCCTCCAACGTTCACCCCTATTTGGCCGAGGATTTGAGGCTTTTGCTGAGGATCCTTATCTCAGCGGCATTCTCGGAGCAGCGTACATCAATGGCGTCCAAGAAAGAGGAGTTGCCACAAGTGTGAAGCACTACGCGGCTCATGATCAATCTGACAACTCCATTGAAGACAATGTCTGCATGACTCAAAGGACCCTTCGCGAACTTCATATGCTCCCTTTCCAGCTGGTCATGCGTGACTCAGACCCCTGGACCTTTATGACATCCTACAATAAGATAAACGGTATCCACGTGAGCGAGGACCCATTGTTGATGAAGGAAATCTTGAGAGAAGAATGGGGCTTCAAAGGGCTGGTAATGAGTGACTGGTTTGGCACATACAGTACCTCAGAAGCAATCAATGCCGGCCTGGACCTAGAGATGCCTGGGCCTGCCCAGTGGAGAGGTAAATGTTTAAGTCTCGCCGTCAACAGCCGCAAGGTTGCGCGGACAACCATTGACGAGAGCGTGAGAAATGTCCTCAATCTGGTCAACAAAGTGACGGACACAAAACCGGAGGGGTACTTTTCTGCTTCAAACACTCCAGAGCAGCAATCTCTGATTCGGAAGTTGGTTGCTGAGAGCATTGTTCTTCTGAAGAATGAGAAGAGAGTCTTGCCTATTAAGAGCTCGGAAAAGAAACGCATTGGTTTGATTGGTGACCACATCAAGAACCCTGCTTTGAGCGGCGGTGGAAGTGCAGAGGTCGAGCCTTACTACTCCGTGACTCCCTACACCGCTATTGTAGAGGAGGTAGGAAAGGAGAATGTCTCGTATTCTCTCGGATGCCACTGTAAGTTGCCGCGACATGAAGATGCTTGCATTGGGCTAACATGTCATGATTCACAGCCTTCAGATTCAGCCCGCTTCTCAAGAACTTGAAGCCTCTGAACGCAGAGGGGTTCGGTTGGTCCGTTGAAGTTTTCGGAGAGAACCCGGAAGTAAACCCTAATGCTGAGGTTCTCTTGTCAGCCACTGCCGAGAAGGAACTGATTGACGTACCCGAGAGTTTCCATGCCACGTTGCCAAAGATGTTCTACGCCAGAGCCCGCGCCATCTACACTCCGGAAACGACTGGCCCCTTCCGCTTCGGTTTCAGTACGTCAGGAAAAGGAAGGGTGAAGATTGATGGTGAAGAAGTCATCGACCTGTGGACCGACCAGCCTGAAAAGACGGGACCTACGCCCTGCTTTAACAGATTGTCCATGGAAAAGTTCTGCGATACCGAACTTACTGAGGGCAAGCCTATCACTATTGAGGTCGTCCAAGTCAACGAGGATCTTTCTGGCGGTGTTGGTACGGCGTTGACTCTTGCCGGCAGAGTCGGTGGTTTCGAGATTATTGACGAGGATCTTGCTATCAGGGAGGCAGCGGAGCTGGCAAAGAACGTTGACATTCCGATCGTTGTCACTGGACTTTCCTCGGACTTTGAGTATGAGGGCGCAGATCGAAAGCATTTGAGACTACCTGGCCGTGTGGACGACTTGATCCAGGCGGTTCTTGCAGCGAATCCCAACGCCGTAAGTACCTTAATTGCTAAGGATGGTCTATTGTTAGGAGGTTTTGCTAAAATCAATCACAGGTTATCGTCACGCAATCAGGTTGCCCTATCGAGATGCCCTGGGAATCTCAAGCGTCCACGTTAGTTCACGCTTGGTTTGGTGGACAGGAGACTGGACATGGCCTCGCAGATGTCCTCTTTGGCAAGGAGAACCCCTCCGGAAGACTATCTCAAACGTTCCCGAGGTCCGTTAAGCACAACCCGGCGTACCTCAACTTCTCAAAAACGGATTACGATATTGTGTACGGCGAGGGCGTTTTCATCGGCCACCGATACTACGAGGTAGTTGACCGCGACCCGCTCTTTTACTTTGGACACGGCCTTTCGTACTCAACCTTTGAGTATTCTCAACTCCAGGTGCCGGCCACGTTCGAGCCGTCTGTCGACCACAAGATTACTATCTCGGTGAATGTGACAAACAAGGGTGCCTATGATGGCGCCGAGGTCATTCAGGTCTACATTCACGATCCAGTCAGCACGGTTCAGCGTCCAGTTCGGGAGCTGAAAGCGTTCGCAAAGGTGTTTTTGGCTGTCAATGAGACGAAGACTGTCCAGCTGGTGCTCGACAAGTACGCGCTCTCGTTCTGGTCGCAGGAGAGGTCAAAGTGGCAAGCGGAGGCTGGAGAATATGTGGCGATTGTGGCAGCCAGTTCAAACCCTCAGAATGAAATCCTAAGAGCTAGCTTCACTTTGCCTAAGACATTCTTCTGGGAAGGTGTTTGAAGGGCATCGTTGGAAGTATAGTACAATGCCTTGAAATGGTTTTGCTTGAATGTTTTCATATTCCTTACGCGGTTTTACTGGCAGTTATAGATTGGTTAGAATGATATCAATCTCTTATAGTCCTTCACCAAAGTCTTTTTTTCGCATGATCCGTCTTATCGCGGGTAGAGAAAGTGTCTGATTACTAACTTTGACATTGAAGGAGACAACTACCGATGACGTGCTTCGCAATCAGCCGACTGCGGAGATGGTTTGTTCTGATAAGGCAGTCGATCGATGCAGATGCGATCTCGACATCTCTCCTCATTTGCGCGTCATTCCCGGCTTGCATAAGCAGATTGTTCAAAGCCTCAACTTGCTTCACTGTGTAATCAAGTCGATAGAAATAGTCCAAAAGAAACGACCCGTTGATGATTCAAGACATTGAAAGCTCGTCGTATTGTAAACAATTATCACACGAACGTTAAGAAATGTCAGCTACTTCGGTTCGTGAGGGTGGGCCTACCCTTAAAGGCCCATTCGACTTTAAGGACTCACCCCTCAGTCGCGCATCTCGCCAACCACTACTTCTCGGCCTTTTTCTCAACCTTCAAGATATCAATATATCCACTCATCCCACAAGCAACAGCTGGACGTTTGATTACAACGTCGACCTCGTTCGTAAAGCCGAGGACCTTGGTTTCGAACTCGCTTTCAGCCGCACCCAATGGCTGCCGAAAGGCGGCTATGACGGCGAGGCCTCTCTCGACGCCTTCGTTGCTCTCGGCGCCATGGCCGGAGTGACCAAATCCATCCTGCTCATCTCCACCATGCATGTGCTATACGGCCCGCTCCATCCGCTACACATCGCAAAGTACGGCGCCACACTGGACCACATCGCCAAAGGGCGCTGGGGCATCAACGTGGTGACAGGCCATCGTGCTGTTGAGCATGAAATGTTTGGATGGCAGCGTATTGAGCATGACAAGCGGTATCAGATGGCTGGGGAGTTGTTCGACGTGGTGAACAGTCTTTGGGGCGAGACGGAGAACCTGTCATACAAGGGTAAGGTGTCACCTTGGCAGCTCGAGAATGCGTGGATCACGCCCAAGCCGCAGTATGGCAGGCCGATCCTCATCAACGCTACCGGCTCGCCCGCCGGCATCGACTTTGCGGCGCAGTACTCTGATTTGATTTTTATCACATCCCCGGGGACGGCAAACATTGAGAGCGCGCTAGAGACATTGCCCGACCACATTGCCACGATCAGAGCTGCGGTTAAGTCCAAGGGCCGGGAGGTCAAGATTCTCATAAACCCCATCATCGTATCGCGTGACACGCCTGAGGAGTCTTGGGCGTACGCTCGCAGCATTGCCGAGGGCACGAAGGTGCAGACGGGAACCAAAAAGTTTGGTACGGCGAACGGGAACTATGACAGTGATGCCCATGCGTGGCGGGGAAGGAAAGGGGTTCAAGGAAAGCAGGGGCTCAACCTCGGAGGAAATATTGAGATCATCGGCTCACCGGAGCAAGTCGTCAAGCAGTTGGAGGCTCTGCATAAAATCGGGATCGATGGGGTCGTCGCGAACTTTTACGATTTTGCACCGGACTTGGAGTACTTTGGCAACAAGATCCTACCTTTGGTTAAAGAAGCTGGTCTGCGAGTTGCCTGATTCTAGCCGTTATTATTGCAGGTTTACTTGTCATCCTACTACATAGACGTGTTAGTGAATAGCAGGTAGATGTGAGCCACATTGTCTGCTCAATTGACGCCGGTGAAAATGATGTTTAATTGCCGACATGAACATACAGCCGCATCTTGACGCATGTAATCCCGTAGAGTAACAGTATACTACTAAGTTCAGTCAGCAATACGTGCCATATGCGAGGAAGTCTCAAGGGAAACCGTGCAAAGTCAGGAATGAGGGTAACCCGGGCAGCAGCACCACCAGCGGCAGCACGGCCTTCCTCGCGCACCCCCGACCGCCGAAACCGCCGCGGTGCGCCAGGGAACGCACATCGTCCCAGATGAGCACCGAATCCGAAATCTTCATGCGCAAGCCCTCGTCGACGTTTTTCTGGCGGCGCGGCAGCCGCATGAGCGACGCGACCATGCTCGCGGGCGGTGACGAGATCGAGCCGGTCCCCGTGTCGGCGTTGCTGCGCACGCCGACGATACCCGTCACCCTGATCACGCCGGCGTCGACGCCCACGGTGGTCCAGATGCCCGTGCTGGAAGTCAGGAGGCCGAGCGATAGCACCGTCAACAGCGCCGACGCGCCGCGGGAGCGGAGGAGCATACGGCTTAGTCTGCGCGGGGACGAGGTCCTGAACCTCGGGGGTGGTTTGAGGCATGATATGAGTGCTCGGAGGCACATGAGCCTGGCGCTGACGGAGAGGGATTCGGACGACGACACTTGCTACTTTGGAGTCGCTGAGGAGGATGTTGAGGCGGAATGCTCCACGCCGCTTAGCCCACCGCCAAAGGGTCAGCAGTTTACGGATAGTCCGTGATGTTGTGGATTCAGTGTATTTACACATTTTCTTTTTCATTCCTCTACGGGATTGAATATCTTGAAATTACATGGCCCTAATTCTCGTGTGACGTGTGACGATAAACGGCCATGATACTAAACTCGATTTCACATAGTCTGGAATATAGTCAGCCTGGGGTAAACGGCTAGCATGTGATACAAAACTCATGGACAGAAATGAGCCCAACAGCGGCCGAACCACCTATTCCGTCGTGGAAGGCCAGCCACTTAGACGGCTCACGGCAAAGGACCAAGCTACCTACACTGGAAACAGCCTTTTTAGGCACAGCTCACCTGCCATTCCTTTCTTTTCAGCTTTCTTCCAAGCCTTTTTCTTTTTGGAACTCTAAACTTTAACCTTCAAGGTACCCTTCCTCGTTGGACAATCTAACTCCGCGGCGCAAGGCAGAAAGCTAAGTTGGATTCAATGCTACATACACCCTTTGTTTAGATGGTTCCTTATGTTTATTCGTACAAGCATACGAATTAACCGAGAACCTGGAGTTCAAAACATTACTATCTCGTGAGAAGACTTTAGGCTTATATGGCTGCTTACGTCAGCCAGCATTGCCACAAAGTGTTGTTCCAAGAAGTTGAACAGCTACAGCCGACAGAAAGCTGATAATATAAGATATGTCAAGTTTTATTCATACAGCATGAAATGTCCGCTTCCCTGAAGCCGAACGCGACGCAGATCGCGAGCATTATGCGTTTTGTTTGTATGATGTGCCCTTCAGACCCCGGCTTAGTCTGGTTCTGGGACCAAACCCACACCCACCAACGGCAAGAAGAGGGTCCGCCTCCACGAACGGGCCGCCCCGGTCGTGCTGGAGATGGTCCAGACTTTTGGTCAGTTCGAGCCAAGTCTTTTGTCAGTGCCGTGATCCGATTCTCTCTGTGATGGAGGGTCGCCTTTCCCACGCCGCACGGGTTCTAGTGATTTTCACGCAGGGTTGGCTTCTCAACACTTATTCTCAAAAAGTTTTCATCAATTTGGGTATCTACCAGATGTGGAGGCAGTAATGCCAATCTGGATGAGAATAGATAAAACCACGCTCAAAGCCGACCTGTTTCATTTATACTAGGTCATTACAATGAAAAGAAACCCAAGTCGATTCCTGTGCCAAATGCCACCCTTTCGGAGAGGGTGCTGTATATATTGTTTGTTTTCCCGTGCCGAAATGCTCCTGACGCGAATCGCTAAACCCATTCCCAGCCAGCCTTTTATATGCAACAGACGGGAGAAATGAAAAGAAAAAGGACACAAACACCATGAGAATCATTGTCTCTACACATTGTGATCCCCGTTGGAGGTGACAGTGCCTTCGCTACTTGTCTTCTTCGTTGTGCTGGCAGTCTTCAGCGCCTCTTTCTCAAGGACAGCCCTCTTGCGGAACTCAAAGACGGTGTTGTGTTTGGTCAAGATGGCATCACGAACGCGGGTGTCGGAACGCGTCATCCACACGGGATACGGCGCCATGCTCGCGGGGAACAGCGGAAGGTTGCGGTTAGACTCCATGAATGCGTAAGGCTCACTCTTCTCAAATGAGGCGATGATGTCAAGCTCCGAGGCAATTTGCTCGCAGTACAACTCGAGAGGCAGATCGTTGACGTCCTCTCCGAAAGGGTTCTCAATTTCACGACCAATGAAGAGAATACCGAGGATGATGTACGCAGCCGCGACGGTGGCGGGGATCGTGATCCACTGAAGCTTACCGACGAGCTGGAAGGGTAGAAGCATGACGTAGACCCAGGTGATCTGACTGATGGCGATGGTGTAAGCGATGGGTAGGGGAGTGGTGAGAACACGTTCAGTGCCTGTCATGATGTCGTTCAGGAGAGCGACGTTGTTGTAGGCAAGGGTCTGCTGCATGGGTACCTTGAGCTGGCCGTCCTCAACGATCTTATCAACGAGGCACGAGATGTGGCTGAGGATTTCGAGAGGCAGGTTGCCGAGGGGGCGGGACGCCTTCTTGATCATTTTGCGAGGGTTACTGGCGGCGAAGGAGACACCGAGATACTCTCCCGTCTCCTTGAAGAAGTTCTTCTTGCGCATGACCATCTTCTCGGGCTCGGCGTGAGTGGCCTCCTGGGCGAAAGTCTGCAGGTGGGCAACGAGGTGCTCGAGGTCCTCATAGCCGGTATAAGGCTCGAAGCGCAGCTTGTGCTTGAGGGCGACCGAGAAGGCGAGAAGCAGGTTCATGCAACCGACCTTGCGCAACAGTGCTTGTCTGGGCTCAATGCCATCGGGGTCGCCGCTGTGAATCCAGAAAACGCGGCCGAGGTTCTGGCAGGCGAGAATGAGCTGGGCCCAGTAGCGACGGCCCTCGGCATAACGTTCATAGGCGGTAGAACTGCGGAAAGACAGACCCATACCGACGACGAAACCCAGAACGGTAAGCAAGACAGAGTCCACGGCCATTGTGGTTCTCTTCATGTGGATAACGGTGATACAGGCAGACCAGAGACACATCCAGAGGAGGGGCACAATCATCTTGGGCAGAATGCTGCCGTGCATCTGCATGAACAGGGGCCATTTGGAGTGCTTGAGGATGTCGCGAGGACCGGTGAAGTAATCGTCAATGTCGATACTCGTGTTCTTGCGACTGAAGGGGTTCGGGGTCATGGGGCCGGTGGGCGACACGGCTTCACGAAGCTCGGTGGCGTCGAAGTCGGTCATTCTGGGCTTGATCTTGACCTCGTCGGGGGGCAGCTGGTTGAGGTTGTTGTCGCTGGCCGGGTTGTGGTTGTTTCCACCGGTTGGCGCGTGGGTAGCGCCGCCGCCGTCTTCACCCATAATGTAAGGTGTATTGCCTGAGTCGTAGACTTGTGTATTGATTACTGGGACGTCGAAGGCCGAGGATGAGAGCTGTGGCATAGCCGTGGGGGAGAGGATAACGGGAGACGAGAAATGGAGAGTGGACGGGAGGACCTCTATAAACAAGGTCCTGCCAGTCGACTGTAGATGGACTAGGCCCTGTCAATCAGCTACGATGACGCGGGAAGGGATGGGCGGTTTAAAGAGCGTATGCAGCTTGGCGTTAGAGTGTTAGGTATACGAGGCGCAGTGGCTGAATGGGGGATAGGAGGTTTAACGGTAGTTGATGTAGGCTGAAGCAAGGAGGGATGTTCCTGGTCTGAAGGGGAAGGAAAGGAATGGTGTTATTACGGGAAGCTGAAATGGTGTGGGAGGTCTGCCGGGGGGGTAGAGGGAAGTGAGGGTGTGGTGGGTGACCAATGGAGGCAAGTGAGTGAGAGAATTAGCTTGTTTGAGAAATATGTGTGAGAGAAAAAGGTGATGCACGTAGAAAGGGGAAACCGTGAGTGAGGAGGAGGAAAAAAAGAAAACGGAAGGAAGAAGAAGTGCTTTTGAGAGGAAGGAGAAGGAGCAAAAAAGCTAAAGAAGGACCCTGCTGTTCGGTTGTTAAACGGGGAGGAGCAGAATAAAGAAAGTAGAATACAATGGAAAAAGGGCCCAGGAAAATATTTCCCTGTCGCGTCTCTCCTTCCGTCCAAGCAGGCAAGCCAGCCCATCTGCTAACAACAACTTTCTACCATTGCGTACTAGGAAGGAACTAGGCCTCTCTACCTTGCCTTCGTGCCTGCCTGCCTGCCTGTCAGCCAGCCCGTGTTGCACTTGCACTGCACACTTACGTCCAGGCTCTCCTGCAAGCCACAAGCTGCACCCCTGAACGCATTTCCATTTTAGTCCAGACGTTCCCGCTGCTGGATCGTCAACTGAGCAAGTGCCCCTGACACTAGGCCAATGAGACCACTTCGTTTCTTCGTCTGTTCCCCCTTCGCCTTCCTGCTCGGATTGACATTCTTTTGGACCACAGCCGGGGAAGGAGCCACTCGGCCAGCCCAGGCAGGAAACCAGTAAGAACCGGTGGAAAGGACCAGGGACCCGCAGATGAAACAGGGGCCATGCGGCTCCACCTAAGTTGCTTCCCCTGCTTTTTTCCATGGGGTCTTTTGGTATTGTATATGATTTTTATTCATTTATTCCATTTAATAGTAATAAAATTTTATGGCACCTGGTATTGAAATTATTGCATTCTCTAAAGGCGGTGACGGATAACTTTCACTCGCCGCTCTGTCATCATCACCATCAGCATCATGCTGCTTATGAGTTGCGGCTGAGGAAATAGCTCCAAAACTGGCCCCTCGTAACAGCAGAAAAAAGAGGCATGCCAAGGGGGCTGTTTCTGTTCGGCTTCTTCACTGCCGTGTAGTTGCATACTGGCGGTTGACAGCAGTCGCGAATCGCCCAAAGCGATACGCAATTCCTATTACGGTGGGCGTAGGAGCCACACTATCAAGGCAGAAGCCATGCACATCACAAAATTAAGCGCTGACTTGCAGCTTACTCCTCCACTTTTGCAGTGGTCTTTGCGACCCAGACAGGGCCATCCGAACCGCCATCGACACGTGGAGGCGCCCAAGTTGATCGCTTGATGCTTGGGATTTTCTTGATTTTTATTTTTCTTTCGTTCTAACAACTTCTCCTTCCCACCTCCCTCTATCCGGATGCACATCCACTGGGGCTCAGAGCAACGCAAAAAATAGCACCTCAGCCTTTCATTGGGACCACACGCCACCTGCTACGTAGTAAAAGTCGGAGCCCCCAAGAACGGGATCGACTGTCAACAGCCAAGCGCGCCAGCATTGTTTACAGGCTTACAGCTCCATTTTTCTCCCCCGGTTTGTGACTGGGATTGATTTGCTGGCCGACTCATGTCTTGGCACGCGCCACAGCACATGTTGGGTCACTCTTGTCATCTTCAGCTTGAGATTGCACAGGTGAATGTGACGCTCTCACATCGATACAGTGTATCACACTGGCGAAATGCACTGCATTTTCTCACGTTCTGGCGTAGCTCACCACCCATAAAACACCCCCTGACACTAACCATGGGTTACCACTTCTCATGGGTCAGGTAAGGAGCGGGCACTGTGGCCCCCCCAAAACACCTCATCACCGTCTGTGAGCCTGTCCTATTTTCCCCCTGATGGCCAACCAGCCCAGGCCCCTGGCTCATCCCCATTCCCAGAGCACTTGTACACGTATCGATCGTATTCCGTGGGCATAGGAGAGAAGATCATTCTCCTTCAGGCCGTTCCCGCTCAATAATGTCCGTAAGATCCCATAGCCCAAGACCTGCGAGTAAAAAAGTGAGGCAGGCGACATTGGCTCATTTCGCCAGCGCAACAGACAACTATCACCGACTGGATCTTGGCGGCATCCTTAATAATCTGAAGCTTGCAGCAGGCTGGCATCCAATGTCTGAAGCTGAGGCGGGTAGTCTCCAACCACAGCACCAATCCGATGTTCAGACGTTCGAGGGAGAAGACACGGTCTCTCTCAAGAGACAAGAAGACCGGGATGACCTCTGTTGCAAGCCTGCCTCATGGGGGTTAGGCGAGTGCGGCTACTAGCGTCTGAGCGGCCGGCAGTTTGGCGGCTTTTGCATCACGACAACAAATATGGGGAGTCGGAAACGACCTCAAGGCATAGAGCACAGCAGCCGGTTGTGTCTCTGTTAGTCTGTCTGTCTGGACACTACACGTGTGTTGACTGGGCACATGTGTAATTAATGCCTGGCCTTCGGGATCGAGGTTTGAAAGGTGGCATTCGAACAGTCCATCAAGCACTGGCATGGATCTGCCTGTCCGTTTGTTTTTCCCTCTCGCATGCCGCCCGTCTCTTTGCCCCTTGATATTCTCATGGTTTCAATGACGCGCTCTTGATGTATCTGCCGTGAAATGTTTCTCCTTGATTCGTGGTGGTGCCAAGAACCCACTTCCCCTGCATTTCAACGTGAAATCTCGCTCTTCCCACTCCAAGTCCCTCCCCCTTCCTAGCGGTATGGAGTACCTCATGCTTTGTACTATGTATTACCGGCAGAAAGGAAGTCGCGGTGAGGGCCTCTCTTCCTCTCCTCTCCTATCTTCCTGCAGCAACTTGGTTGCAAAATAAAGTAGGAGGCGATATGTCACGGGCTGACTCGTGCCGTCGATGCCGGTCATGAAAAAAACAAGCAACGATAAATTGCACTTGCATCTTGCTCCCGACTCTCGTTCCTTCGTACTTGCTCTCTTTTTTCGTTCTTGGGTCCCTGTGGTGGCGAAGCTTCCTTGGCGAAATGGGAAGTAGCTCCACACTTTCCCTTCACAGCTTCACGGTGGAGAAAAAAGAAGGAGACCATGGCCGCTGGTTCCAAATGAGTGGCAGTGGTGGAAGGTGTTCCGTCAAGTGGGGCACTTCCGTGCTACTAGTCTACGTACTACCAGTCAGTATACGTATTTTTTTTTTTGTTCTTCCCCAGCACCCCAGTCGCTGCCGTCAAACGGGGTCTGGCCACTATTTTTTGGTATACACTATTATCCCTCTCGGTTATGAACGGTGTCCGATCCAATCATTTGTGATTACTTTTCTGCCTCAGCCCACCCCCGTTCGGAAAAAAAAGCTTGAACGTTATTTTAATTGGGGCACCGTCGGGCTAGACGTGATCCAGGAGGACCTAGTTTTGTCTTTTTTTTTTGTGGGATGCTCTGACTGCGACGGTCGCTTCCGTCTCCTGCTGTTCCGTTCTCCCAGGGTTCCTGGACTTTACCTCCTCGGCTTGGCCGCTATTGCAATACAACTACTTTGCAGAGTTCTTTTTCGTCCGCTGATTATTACTGTATTTGTGTAGACAGAGTACCATTCTAGGTATGAGCGAAATGTTAGCAGACTTGCCCGTCTTGCAAAACTTTGGATGAGAGTCACAGCCTGTCGCGTTTGGCTAACTAGGGCTGAAATTCAATAACCGTCTCTACTTTGCACCATCTGAATATTAGTCCAGACTTAAATGTTAGCATCCGTGCACTTCATCTCGTTCCTAGCTCCAGAGGCTAGACCAGACCAGACCAGCCTGAACCAGACTACGGATCATCCATCGTTAGGTTCCAGGTTGGTGGTTGGGGCTTTCGAAAAAGCAGGTCTGACACCTCTGCTGCATACGCATAGTCTGCGTATGCAAGTTGCACCCATCAGCCTCGATTGTGGCTCCGTCCATCGTCCAACTTCTATTTTTTTTTTTCGTCCCCTCTTCGCCTCCTTTGAATGATCCGAGGCATGGCCCCGAACGGGGTGCTCCGCTTCGTGACTCCGTCAGATACGAAGGGGCCCAGAATGGAGCAGAGCCCGGCATGTGGGAAAAAAACAAATGAGGGAACCTTTGCGCTTCGACTGGCAGTTGAAAGTGGGCGGACAGCGTCATGAGTAATTTTGGCTGCGCGTGCCGACGAAATTGCAGCTTGTGAAGCATACATAGCCTTCGGATGTCCTTCCGATGGTGGAAACCCCCTGGCCCGAACGGGATGCCGTTTTTGGGGGCCCACTTTACGGAACGCGTGCCGTCCGACTCCCGTGCCTCGGCTTTTTATTCAGCCTTGCCAAGGGAGTTCTTGCCGTTGGAGTTGTTGGAGTTGCTTCGCTGCCGTGATACTTCTTGACGAATAGCCATTGACTACTTGTGCTATATCATAGACTCGACTTATCGTTCTCAAATTGATCACAAGAGACGAAGTTGCAGGAACAATCATTTATTGTTTTGCATGTTCAATGTGGCTCTCCCATGAAGAGTTGTTTCCCTTCCGTAAATGTTATCGAGTATCGTCAACTGCGTCTTAGACAAAAGCCCCAGACCCAACAGTCAGATCCCTATTCAAATATCAAAGCAACTGCCTTCACATTATTCAAGACATGCACATGAGACATTCATTCATAGGAACGATTGTAAGAAGAAGGAGTGACTTGTATTCGGCAAACGAGTGACTAAAAGACCAAAAAAGACAAAACTAAGCTATCCGTCAAGCGGGGGATCCCAGAGCTATACAAAAAATGATTAAAGGGATCCCCGAGATTCGCCCAAAAAAAAAACGATGGCTTTAAAGTTACATGGCTCGGAACAAATCGGCCGTCATGTCTTATGAAATTGTGTGTCTGGATGCCGAATCGCAGTATATGCCACACCGTTCGCTCTTGTTAACCTCTTCAAATCTCCCTGTCGCAGTCTCCGTCGGCGAACGGAGCCAGCTCGATGGGCGTGTTGACCCTGTTGAAGACGCGATCGGCCGTGGCCATGCGGATGATGAACTCGGCGTCGTTGCTGTTGTAGAACAGCCTGGTGTAGGTTTGGCTGTTCACGCCGTCGTTGCCGGTGGCCGTGCAGCTCAGGGGAGCGCCGACAGGGAGACTGCTGCCGTTGACATCGCACACGAGGGGCGCGAGCTTGAGGCGCAAAACCTGGGACGGGGTGAAGCCGTTCAGAGGGCGCGTGTTGGCTTCGAAAGGAGCACCGAGAGCGACCAGCTCGCCGTTGGACTGGTAGAGCTGACCGGTGACCAGGTTCAGGTCGAAGCGAGCGGCGGACGCGGAGGAGGCAGAGGACCGGAGGACGAAGCGGTTGGTTCCCTCGACGACCTTGGCGCCGTAGTGGAGGTGGTCCTCGTCAATCACCCTCAGGCAGATGTTGCGGGCCCAAAGGGTAGGCGAGGGAGTGGCGCTGCTCGAGACCGTCGTGGTGGAGGCGACGGTTGAGGAAGAGGAGATCGTGGTAGAGGCACTAGAGGCACTGGTGGTCGTGGATGGCACAGAGTCAACGATGGAGGACTCGGACGAGGTGCTAGCAGTGGTGGACGCCTCAGTGGATGTCTCCTCGGCAGTGGTGGAAGCATCAGTGGTAGTGGTTGTCTCCTCAGCAGTTGTCGAAGCCTCGGTGGTGGATTCCGTAGACGACTCCTCGGCAGAGGTAGTGGTAGGCCCCGTAGTCGAGTCAAAGATGGTGCTCTGGACAGTGCTGTTGGGGGGCACAGTGGAGGAGAAGTCATCAGTCCATGTGGTGATGGTACTGTTGGGGTAGACGGTGGACGACGAGGGAGCAACAGTGGTGCTGTTGGTGAAGGGGCCGCTGGTAGAGGTGGAGGTGATGGGAGGCTCGATGGTGCTGCTCGTAGCGTTGGGGGCGATAGTCGAGGAGCTGATGTCGGTCACGGTAGACGAGGCGCTGGTAGTGGTGTTGGGGAAGGTGGTGGATGTGGAGAGGGTGGAAGAAGCAACGGTGGTAGTGTTGGAGTATACAGTAGAAGAAATAGTGGTGGACTCGGTCTCGCTGGCAGTGGTAGACGCGATGGTAGAGCTGTTCGTGTATACGGTAGAAGATACAGTAGAGGAAGGAACAATAGTAGTGTTGGAGTACACAGTAGAAGAAGCAGTGGAGGAAGCCGTGGTGGTGTTGGAGTAGATAGTGGAGGAGAAAGTAGTAGACTCCGCAGTGCTCTCAGTAGTAGACTCGGAAGAGCTGGGAGTTATAGTAGGCTCGATAGTAGACGAGGTATTAGAGTACACGGTGGAAGAAGCAACCGTGGTGGTGTTAGAGTAGACAGTAGAGGAGAAAGTGGTTGACTCGGTCGAGCTGGGAGTCGCGGTGGACTCAACGGTAGAAGAGGTATTAGAGTATACGGTAGAAGAGAAGGTAGAAGAAGGAACCGTGGTGGTGTTGGAGTAGACAGTGGAGGAGAAGGTGGTCGACTCGGCTGTACTCTCAGTAGTAGACTCGGAAGAGCTGGGAGTTACAGTGGGCTCGATAGTAGACGAGGTATTAGAGTACACGGTGGAAGAAGCAACCGTGGTAGTGTTGGAGTACACAGTTGAGGAGAAAGTAGTAGACTCCGCAGTGCTGGTCTCTGAAGTGCTTTCGGTAGTAGACTCAGTTGAGCTGGCAGATGTGCTAGACTCGGACTCCGTGCTGGATGTCAAAGTGGTGCTGTTAATGATAGGAGGGTTGGAAGTGGTGCGAGTAATGAACGTAGTGAAAGTAGCGTTGAGAAGGAATGTGTTGGTCAGCGAGGTGGTCTCCTCAATCACATCAGTGACAGTGCTGGCGACCTCAGTCGTGGCGGTCACGGAGGTGGTGACGGCAGAGGTGACGGCAGTGGTGATAACCACGGTGGTCAGGTCGGTCTCAGTAGCCAAGACAGTGGAAGTCGCGCCGGGCTCGCCAGTGACGGTAACAGTGACAGTCTCAGTGGCGATGACAGTGGCGGGGACAGTCTCCGTGGCGGTCACGGTCGAGGCCGCCGAGGTGACTGTGCCGGCAGTGACACCCAAGCAAGAGCAGGCCGAAGAGTAGCGGGCGAACGAGCTGCAAGCAGAGGCGTATGTGGGGATCGCGCTGGGTGCAGCGGTGCTTGCCTGACGCTTCTTAAGGCCGGCGATGGTAACATCGATGGTCTGCGTCTCGGTGGTCACGGTCACGATCTCGGTGGTGCCAAAGGTGAGAGTCCGGGTAGAGGAAACGACAACAGTGGTGGGAACGACGATGGTCTCGGTGGTTGCGGTGATAGTCTCAGTAACGTCGACGAAGTCGGTCTCGGTGGTAGAGACGACAGACGTCTCAAGAACAGTGCTGGTGACGACGGGGCCAGGAGCGCCGGCCTCGGTGACGGTGAGGGTCTCGGTGAGAACTCCCGTGGTGGGAACCGTGACGGTCTCCGTTGAGGTACTAGCCAAGCTTGTTAGAGAAAGAATGATGTGCTTCAGGGATAGGAAAGCTTACACAGTGCTGGGGAAGACCGTGACCTCCAAGAAACGAGAACAGTCGGCAGTACCAGTTCGGGTGCTGAAAGCACTGGCCGCAATAGCTAGGTGGGGTGTTAGTCGACGATCACAAACCATGGATCTCCCGGTACCACGGAGTGCCAGGCATGGGTGGGTGGTATAAGCTTACCTCTCAGACAGTTGTCCCTGGCGCACTGAGCAGCGCTCAACCCAAAGAGGGAGGCCAACACGGCGGTGGTGGTCGGCTTCATGACTGCTGCACAAGATGGACCTCTATCTATTACTTACCGAAGACTGAGCTCTTGGGAACCTCGGATTGAAACGAAGGTATGACTCGGCCGGAGCTTGTCAAAAGAAGGAGATGCAGGAGATGGCTGCGCTGATGAGGATGAAGAGGGAAACATTCGAGAAGAACCTGTCGGAAGCCCTCAGTCTATATACTACCGAAGACATCGTAGAGAGCAATAGAAATCAAGGATCGAACGCGAATCTCAAATTCAAGGGATAGGGGGCAAATCCGGTCACCACGGCCGCCAACAATATGGCGTCTTCCTGGGTCTCAAAGTCCTTGTTCCCTTGGATTCATCTCGCGATTGCCTCAACCATATTGCCATGCGGTCCTGTCATGGTAAGGACTCGGCACTAAAAACGGTTGCTTTTCCTCAAGGTCAATTAAGACATAAGCAATCCCATCCCTGCACTGAGCCGGGCGAGGGGCCTCAAGAGCAACAAGACCAAACTTGCGGACACTAGCGAAGATGGCTTTACTAGCTCCAGCGTGCCTTGCGTTCGCGGATCAATCGCCGGGACGTAGAAACCCGGTCATTCAGCCCTCCGGACGTAGATAAGCATATTGAACGCTCAAGTGGGGGGGAGGAATGTTTCCCTTGGAAAGTCGCTAGATAGCCATGCCTCTCGCCTTAGCTACCAAACTAACACTCTCGGCGCTGCTTCAGGTTAATGTGTCTGCAAGGAACCCGTCATTCTCACTGCAAGGGTTCGATGGAAGCTGTTGTCTGAGACGCAGTCATCGGCTCATTGCATCAGGACCACTGTACCAGCACCAGTGGGAAACAGGGAAAAAATCATGGAAAGGGAGAGGTTCTCAGCCGTGAGGAGAGACTTAGTGGCCATATTCCGTGCACATCATTGGTTGGAAAAAGGAAAATCTTGGTCTAGGAGCATGCAGGTTGCATATGGTAATCACGGAAAAGAAAGCGTTTCGGCTGTGGTCGCGAGGATCTTGAGAGAACGTGTCCCGCCCTGCACGTGCGAGTCATATTTGATGAGTGAGTGGACTCTCCAGAAGCCCTGCATTGGCTGTGCATAGTGAACTGAGAAGAAAAGACGCCACAAGCTCGAAATGGATTTGCGTCCGAATATTGCAAGCTGAGATGTCGTGAGGTTTGTGAGAGGAACGGGGGCTTGAGCCTCTTCTCCCTGTGGGATATTTTGACCCCCAAAGATTGAGGGATTGCAGCCAGATGCATATTCAACGAACCAGCTTGGAAATTTATGACGTAGGGGTTGTGTTAAGCAAGGCGTTTTCACAGTTGGGAGAAAGTACATCACCGATCACGCACTGAGGTTTATTGAGGTTAGGTAAATCGGCAGATTCCATGCAGCCTTATCGACACATATCGTGGAGAGCTGAAGCCCCATTCTATCTGAGAATAGTCTCTTGAGATGCTTCACATTCCGCACATCGTATGGAAAAGACATATCAAAGCCTCGTGCCGAAAAGCTGTCTCCACGATTCTCCTCGGCTTTAGCCCAGAGCTCTACATCCCAGTAGGTTTCTCACTCAGAACGGCGGCTGAATTCCAGACCGACCTGATTGTCGGGACCGCCACAGGCATTCAGCTCGTGGGGCGGCCTGTCCAGCCCGAATAAAAAAAATATGAGGGATAACTTCACGCCGTCATCTTCGTGTCTCCGCGCGAGACATTGATGGATACTGCACACAGGCTAGACTCTGAACGTGCTAAAGGTCTCACTAGAACAGTCTGCAAAACACCCCGGTCATAGTAGTGGTGAGCTGACAGCTGCGCCCTCGCTTCTACCCTTCATGAGACCGGGTGTGAAGTGCGAAGAGCTTGTTTTGGATATTAAAAACAGTGAAGTGACGGGCTAACATTCTGAAGGCGCAAGACGGGCAACATCACAACGCATGCCGATTAAGAAATGAGCACATAAACAAGCAGCAAAAATACCTGCATTTGAGGCGTTCAGCCAGCATGAAGACCTGTTTCCTCGCCCCCTTTTCGGGATACTCCGGCCCCCAATGGCTAGCTGAAGAAGATGGAACCCAGGCCTTCCCTCGATTTCGACAAAGCCATTACAAAAATATACTTGCCAGTGAGCACATCTCAAAACAATAACTCGATGAGCCTCTGTTTGCCCTGTGTAATTTTAGTGCCTTGACTTCTCTGCAACTTTCTCCTAGGAATTTGCCTAGTCGAAGTATGTCTTTGGACCAGCTCTCCACTTACCTTAGATCTCGAGGGCCTGCTGTTGACAGGTGTCTGAGATCTTCAACGGCGTGTCCTGGTTGGTCGCTAGCCGAAGGATAGGCTCGGATAGTTTATGTCCGAGGCAGTGTTCAGAAGGGAGATGGTGTCTCTGGAGAGCGTGAGTTCCACCGCTCTTTTACATGTCTCCCCTTCTCTCTCACTGTGGTCGCAGTCACAACCTCAACGGCCGAAACTGACTCTAGATCAGGCCTGATGGCTGTTGTGGATCAAGTTTCGCCGTGGCAGTCGACGTCGCTCGCCATTGCCAATGGCATCGAGACAAACGGCTCGCTTGCAATGCCAAGTAGCAGAACGAAGATCTGCTCTCTCAAAATTGTGTCGGAGTGGTGCCCCTTGCCGGCCTCGTTGCCATTTCGAGGTTATTGGACTCACCAGGCCATGGCAAAGCCGGCCGCCGACGTGGCTTTATTTCCTCATGCGATGAATGATTCAAAAATGCCTGAGGTGCACGAGGAAAGATGTGTTGCGGCGTTGACCGATTCTTTCGAAACCATTCCATCGAACCATCATGAGCAATCTAATGAAATGGCGTTCGGGCCCAGGAAATCGGCATCACCACGCCTCTAAGCCTTAACCACCTTTTTCTCTGCTTTTTTCTCGAGAAATTCCGACACATGCGCTTTCAATAAGCAAGACCCATCACATCTGCTGGAAAGAGCTAGCAGTATCAGTAAGCAGACACGCACATCGCACCAGACCGTTTCTTACAGACGGAATGAGTGGGTGTCAAACGTCGGCCACTCCGGTCACTCTTTGAGCAGCTCATGGTCATGCCGACTACTTGTACTATAAGACTACCATTTCTCCCAAAGCTTTGACGGTTACTCAGACGACACATTCATCTCCTAGTCTAGTGCCTGAAGGCAATTACCCTGTTTAAGTGTGCTATCCTTTCAAGCTGATCACATCGGACTATCTTCCCGTCACAAAATCATGGTAGACACCATTCTACGCCAGGCACGCGCGTTAGGCCGATCCAGGCGTCGTTAAAAAGGTGAGCAAAAAAACGAACAGCAAGTCTTACTCCAACTGCATTCTGTTATTTCTGGTTTTAGGAATCTTTCAAGCTTGAAACCACGGTCAACAGGCTCCGTAACGACCGTGGTTCACTGTGATCGTGTTTATGACTAATAGATTGAACCAGCAGAGCTTTCAGTTGCATGCTTGACGGCAGAAAACAAAGTTAAATTTGCCCTTTCACGTCCCGAATCTTTGCAAAATCACGCTTGGTATTCTTCGACAAACAGTGATTTTAAGAGAGACTAATGGATGCAGGATTCAGACAAGTGTCTTTTAGGGAGACTCGGCGTATGCATGCATACAGACCCTTGAAGACACATGCATAGCGTGCATAAAGCTTGCATACATGAGGAATCGCCACGGGAAGATGGTTTTCCCGACATCCACATGGCAAAGTGTACTTTCTCGGTTGATGTTTTATTATGTCATTGAACTCCTTGTATCACAATCAAGACATTGACGCCTTTGCTTTATATTCGATGAATCTCAGGAAACAATGCGACGGCTGCGCTGTATCACCTGGTGATGATGAGGCAGAGAAGATTAGACCAACCGAGACCCCGCACTTAGTCAGTGCGCTGGAAGCCTTACCAACGGAGATCTTGAATCGGATATGTGAATGCCTCTACGACAATGACTACGTCGCTAGTTTGGCCGCATTCGCTTTGGCAAGCAAGACGTGTCAAAATGTGTCCAGAGGCATATTAGTCCGCACCATCAAGTTTACACTTTCTCATGCTCAAGACATAGCCCATGTACGATATCAACTGCACGCCGACATCGAGCTATGCGCCAAGACACTTCGCCGCGATGATACCTTCGCTTCAGTGCGTCGCCTAGTTGTAGACGGTGATTTGCCGACAGAGTCAGAGGAAATCCGGAAGCCCGTGTTTCGGCGACCAGCTCAGCGTCGTCAGTTTTGGCGGCAACCGCAAATCGCTTTCTCTGAGATGCACGATGACGACACGCGGCTAAAAAGCTATTTAACAGCTGAAATCGATAACGACGACTTTGAATTTGGCGACGAACCACATCGAAATAGAGGTATTGACGACGGCCCGGTATGGGCCCCGCTGGCCGACCTTGTTGTGCAACTACCGGGTCTAACCGATTTCCTCTTTGCCTGCTGTAGCCAGTTTCCCCCTTGCCTACTCAAAGCGCTACATACGAGGCTCCCCAACTGCAGGCTACAGCTTCGTAGATTCTATTTGCATAGCATGTTTGAAACAAGGCTAGACTCTTACGAGGTAGAACTTTTGAGCTCTCGATGCTTGCATAGCGTTCAATGCTGGTGTCCGGGCGACCCGGAAGAATGGGAAGAGGACCATGATGATACAATTATCCATGATCTCCAGCCAGGGAACAATCACCGAAATGCGATAAACATGGATTTATTAACACAGTTTGCACCTGCTCTGAAAAATGTGAGCCTGCGCCTCCCAACGACACGCTCTTCGGAATCAATGTCTTTAGAGTCCGTCAGACACCTTCACAGCACGGCTCCACACTCTCTGGGCTCTCTAACTTCTCTTTATCTAACTTGTGCCGGAGTTGTGAAAGCTTGGCAATTGCAGGAGTGGAGCAAGAACACAGATTTTACTGTTATACGGAACCTTCAAATACGCAATGATCTGGGGCTGGGTGCAGTTCAGTTCCTTGCTAGCTGCAGGTTTCAGTCCCTGAGAGTTCTTGCAATCAAATTTGAGACCATGCCGAACGAGAATTACTGCGCCACTGCGGTGCTGTTCCTCGAGAGCATCTCGCCGCAGTTGGTAACTTTGAAAGTGTCGGAGTGGCTTCCTTCTATGGGCATATCATCGGTTTTGGGGGCAAACTTACGAAGCCTTCATCTTAAAACGGCAGAAACGGCAGAATCCCACGTTGTCGATGTAGACAGTGTTGAGCGAATCGCCACGGAGAGCCCGCTGATCGATGAATTATCCCTCACAATCCTGCGGTCTAAAGGAAACACTCAAGAAGTTTTGGTTTATAAAGCACTGGGAAAATTACCTCGGCTGCGCAAACTGTCCTTGAGTCTACAAGTGCGCCCGCCAACAGACCCTCATCAGCCTCAAACTGGATGGGGTCGTAGTGCCTCTCATGACTCCATAAATGAAGACCAGAGACCTATAGGAAGCAGCGAAAGCAGAACGACAGAGTCATCTGAGGAAGATCCGGATTTCAAGCCATACAAAAAGTACCACATCAAGGACCTTCTCGTCAATGTTGCTGTCGACGAGACTCTAGCAAGGGCTATATTCAACGTCATCGCTACGTCCAGAGGGCCTGGCCAAATACCCTCTTTGGACACGCTAGAACTATACGTCAAAGGTTGGTATAATTTCAGACTCCTTAATTCGGCACCCCGCATTCTTCGTGCGTATTGTAGCACCCTAGGCCGCCCCTGGGTAGTCAAACGGGATCCCCGCTACGAACACCGTTCTGAGGTAGCCGTCAAGCCGACCAAGGATGCATACAATCGCACAAGAGCCACAGCCACTATGGCAGTGGTCGAAGTTGGACCTGTGTACTCGGCCTTTCGAGAACTGTGGCCGAAGAAGGAAGACAGGCCCGAAAGAAGAGGCTCGTGGTATTTGGACTGGAAAAGCTTTCCTTTAGCACGCGATTAGTATAGTAGCGAATACCTATTCATTATCGCTTTCCGTTTGTAACTTTAAAAATAAAAAACTTTTGCTTGATCTTACCTAATGATTGATGTTCAAATCACCATTTGGTTAACGAGGGAAAGTCCCGCTTTCTTTGAACTTGACTCTTTAAATAACTATGACAAACAAAATCTTCAAAATTTGTCAAACATATTTACCACATTGTTTTCTCTGGATGTGTTAGCAAAACATCAATTTATAAGCGCTATTTACTTGTTTTATGTCCGCAATGTACCCTACGCAGACATCGACTGACGCTTCTGCGCCTGTTCCCATGTTCCATGCTCTCCCCTTGAACAATTGTCCACTAAGAAAGCAACATGCATCTTTCTGGTGGCCAGGGCTGCAATGTAAGCGGTTCTCATGTTCGTGGATGTTATTTCGTCTTCGTTTTAGGAATGATGATTTTATATACCTGTATCTCTTGGGCCCTTTGATGTGATAGGTCGAGGAGATGGTGTCGAATGCTGCGTTAAGAGTGAACCAGGAATCCCAGCGCCAAGCCAGCTGAAAAGAAGCATATTCTCCGGCCACTTTGACAACTCCCACGGCACACCGCTTGTTTCCATTTTATTGGCCAGGTACCGACATCCAAAAGGCTAATGGCATTAAGCATTCTTGTGCACTAATTTGATTTTCGCCCGGGCCTACTCACGAGGCCCTAGATTTCTGCTTTTCAACACCCTACTCGTGGCAGTGTTCATCACCTTGCATTCGCAGCGACATGCAGGAACATAGCCTACCTTTTTTCCTTCTTCGGACGGCTTGTCCCAGCACGAGAGCCAATCACAGATTCGTATCTTGAGAGGCCTCGCACGGTTTGTCTGTACGATAAGCTTATGCCATGGCTTGGCATCGTCTAGTAACTCCACCGTCTCTCTCTCACAAAAGGCGCTATTCGCAGATTTGCCAGTATGCATTCAAGTGGAGACTTTCGTTACCACGTAATCGCCGACATACGGGCTCGCCGATGCAAGCTTTTCCCGCCTGTATTCAGCCTCCTCTATGCGGTTCTATTTGCGTTGAACGTGAATGAGTATGTTGCTTTGAAACCACCTTTCTGCTTGTTCGGCTGTTCACGATGTGCCATCTTCGTAGTATGGCCAGCGAAATATATAAAAAGGGAAAAATGCCCTCCTCAGTGATTAAGTAGTTGGACTATTCAGCATCGCATCATCAAACTACAATCGCAATTCCTCTTCGAAATACAAAGACTTAACCAACACAGCCTTTTGACATCATTCCAATCAAGAACCCTCGCATTGTCTTCCGTTAAACATTCCAAAATGCTCGGCATCAACTTTTCCAGCCTAAATTCTATGTTGTGCATAATGCTTGCCATGTCGCAGCAACCAGGCCTCACATCCGCCTCGCCGGTTGTAACCGCATCGCTTGCCGCCAGAGCGTCCGAAGGCGCTCCGAAAGCCCTGCCAAAGAACGCAGACAAGCGCTACCTCGCCTTTCAGCCGTCTTTGGACTTTAAAACCGACGGCTGCTACAACTGGCCGGCGATCGACAAGAAGGGCGTCTTGAGCGCCGGCCTCCCGGCTGGAGAGGGCTCGCCTAGCGGACAGTGCCGGCTCGCCTCGGACCTCGACAATAACAATGTATACGCTCGTCGCCGCTGCAACCGCGGCTGGTGCGCCTACATGTACGCCTATTACTTCCCCAAAGACGCCGCCCACGTTATCGGCTCCATTGGTCACAGACACGACTGGGAACACGTCATCGTTTGGACCAAGTCGGACGTCGGCGCGGGCGGAGTGTATGAGAACGAGCAGGTCAAATATGTGGCGGCCTCGGCGCACGGCGGTTACGATGTGAGAGCCGTCAGCGACGTGCGCATGGACGGGACGCACCCCAAAATTGTTTATTGGCAGAGCCTTTTCAACACGCATTCGTTCCGCTTTGCCAGACCAACCGACGAGAAACTTCAAAACCATAAAAAGGTCTGGTTCCGCGGTGATCTCGTTTCGTGGGACGGATTTCCCAGTGGCGTGCGCAACAAGCTGCTCAACGCAAACTTTGGAAGCGCCCACCTTGCGCTCAAGGACGAAGATTTCGCCGGCGACTTGATTGAAACCATGAACATGAAGAAGTTGAAAAATGGTCCCAAAAAGGGCGAGTTTGACTGCGCTTTTGACGAGCAGCCGGCTACCGGTGGCAAGTAGAGGGTCATTGATGGGAGAGAGAAAATGCGCAGAATAGGGAGAGAGAAAATGCGCAGAATAAGGAGAGAGCAAGGGAGGGAGAAACCGGTTCTAGATTTGCTGTTTTGGTTTCTTTCATCGTTTTATTTTAGATTTTACATTAGAAGCGCTTTTCACGCCATCTGTATTCAGTCAAAACCTGGCAAGGCGCGCCACACCCTTAAGCCAGTGCCTTACAATAGATCATAAGGCGTTACGAGCCAAATATCATAGAATATACAGCTGTATGCATATACCTACCTATCTACGGAGAGACATTTGCTAGTTGATCATGCTGGCACGTCTTTGCTAATATGCTGCATTCGAAAAAAATGTAAACTGAATTATCTGCGTAAGCGGATGAGGATCTTTTTAAACCATTGTTGCTCCATCGATTGCACTGGACCACCGCATTTTGGGAACACTGATTGTGCTGAGCCCTGTTAAAGAAGAGAACATTAATTGTTATGGCAACGCGTGGCACTTTCACGTCCCAATTCTGTTAGTAGTTTTCTATTTTTCGTGGTACAAAACCCTTTTAGTATGCAACTATGTAGAGAACAACTTGAGTAGGTACCACGACAACATAGCTAGGTTCAGTAATGATGCTCACTTTTCTCATTTGTAACTCCAAACAATTTTGAACATCACATAGACGGCAAGAACTGAAGAATGGAAATAATAGAGGGTATTCAATATGCGCTAATCTAGTACTGCAATCTCAAAACAACCGGCGTAACCCATCAAGTCATGTAACTCGGCTCTATGGCTTTACAGTTCCCTTGCTACAGCGGGCTGAATGGATTTCGAATCAGCGCCCCCAACAGTGGGCTCATTCTCTGCAAGTTTAGGGTTCTCCTCATCTGAGCCGTTGGCATTGATGGCGGGTTCGTAACCATATTCGGCCATCTCCGGATGGCGTCTATCCCACCACAGCATGCCAAGCTGAACCGATATCGTGGCAACAGTGAAAGCAGTTGTGAGAGGGAAGCCCACGGGGTATCTCGGGGCGTCCGCGACACGGAATGCCCTCAGCGGGATTGTTGCGTGACCGACATAGACAATAGTAACCGTCATTGCCACAATGATGGAGCGGGCCTCGGGCTCTTTCCGGAGGATTTCTGCCATCCATGCCATGAGTGATGGACTACCGGCGTTGGTACCGTACGTAAGGAAGTAAAATGCAAGGATGACCTTATGATCGGATGGCCAACCGCATAGAACCGCCAAACAGATGCCGTGAGCGGCAGCCGAGAAAATGCTGATTTGCCAGCGCCAGCGTTTCCAGTCAGATAGCCAGTTGAGAGCAATATTTGTCACGATCTGCAATGCGTATCCTCCCAAGGGCAGAATGTTGACGTGATAAGTGTCATATACTGGGTTACCGGAAGCGTCTTTGATGCTCTCAAGATATAACACAAAGTAGGAGTTGGCGCGGTGGGCCCACGCGCTAAAGGCGAAGGAAAATAGGTAAAAGTATGTAATCGGGTGGACAATGAGCTTCCGTAGCTTGTTCTTGAGAACAGAGGCGGGGATTCGCTTGGCGGTGTTGACGCCCGCGTTACCCATACGCTCTCGTGCGAGTCTCTTCTCGTTTTCGGATAAATAAAGGGCGCGAGTGTTGGCTGGAGAGTCGGGAACAGTGACAAAAGCAATAAGACCCTGACCGACAGTGACGGCACCGGAAATAATGAAGAGCCATTGCCAGCCAGCAAGACCACGTACGCCATTCATATCGCGATACAGGGCGGCCTGAAGAGCACCGAGGAACATGGCACCGGCGACATCGCAGACAGTAAAGCAGGCGACACGGACAGCGAGTTCGGCGGGGGTGTACCAGTTGAAGATCAAGCTCACGACTGACGGCCAGAAAGCACTCGACAAAAGTCCCAAAAAGAATCGCAGGCCGAAAATGGTTTGTGCGTTGGTGGCCTTGTATGTGCTACAGGTTGTTTATTAGTCAATGCTAGTGTTTGGCCAACGACGAATTGCACTTACAAAAGCACCAGTAATCCCCAACTCATCTCACAAAAAGGCAGGAACATGGACGGTCGAAACTGTTATCGTTGTCAGCTGGTACTGCGTATATGCCACAAGTGTTGAAGCTACTTACTCTTGTCTGGATCAACTGGCCAGGAACCAAACCAAGAGCGTATCCAATGGAGAAGTAGGTGTTGAACTCAACCAACTCGTTTCCGTAGAGACTCAATGACTCTCTCATTCCAGAAACGTAAGCCTGTGTTGTGGCTGACTGGTCCATCTCTTTCATGATGCCGGCAAGGAACATCCATGCGAGTAGCATGACATCCAGCTTGAAGACAAGCACATTGCGAGGGTTGCGGAAATATGGAATGACTTTGCAGATGTACTTGAAGATGCCTTCTTCGGGAGGACCGTAGTTGATGGGCTCCTCAGTAGACTGCTGAGGTGTCGTTGACACCTCTGTGGCTTTACCCATGGTAGCCACTTGCTGTCGTCGGAGACCAAAGGTTGGTTGTCAACAAAAGGTGTGGGGGAGCCTGAAAGGCGGGGGGAGGGAGGATCGACGGCGAGGAAAAGGTCCGGTTCAGTTGCGATAGCCTCACAACAAAAGGTTAGACGGGAAGGGCTGGCGTGGTTAAGGTTATATAAACGTCAGGCCAGTCTTCAGCCTGTATTAAAAAACGTAACACCATGCGTTCATGCGATTCAGGTAGGTTAGTAACCGAGAAAACCCTTTCCAGATGAAGTGATTTTTGGATGTCGCGATCCCAAAGATTTGCACCACCATCCCGCGGCCATGTCCCATTGTGTCCATTTTTCCAAGGACGCCAAAGTCTGGGCAAAACCCACTCAAGCTTTCCTATCACTGCAATACTGCATTTCCAAGGTCATTTCCCGTTGGCTGGTGGAGTTGGCCTCCAATCATAGCCGGAGTCAGAGCCCGCGATGGTGGGTGCGGGTATTGCCCCGGGTGGTGGCGGAGAATCGCGCACGAGGTAAATATGGAGAAAGTTCGGATTTGGATCCAGAGAAGCCCTGCCACCGGCGATTGCGTGACTGAGGGTCCAGACTGCGACATCTCCAAACCGTACTTTAGATCCTAGAGATGGCAATTCTTTGCTCCGCATCAGGAAATTTTCGTCGGGCTATCGGCGACAATGCGGTTACTAGGATCAGGAGGAGCCGACGCTCGTGTAGTTTATTGACTTGGCTATGTCGGCGGACGACCGCGAGGTTGTTATGGGCAAAGTGACTTAAACAAAGCCAGAAGACTACAAATGCAGCGGGGGTTCATCCTACAATAACAACCGATATTCTCCTCCTGTGGCCGACCTGCAGTACCTTATCAATGGAAAACAACGCGCATTGCCAAGATGACCCAGCAGCGGAGTTACGATAAGGCCGATCGGGTCAATGGGATCTCGGGTCCTTGATGGGGCACTTCGAAAATACTTGAACCATTATCCAAGTTGACCAGCAAGTTATTTGGAAACGAAAACAGACAGTTTGCCCATCATACAACAAGACAAACCCTGGAAATCAATAAACACCCGCTGTGAGGTTACCTCCTAACTAGGAACATAATCTTTCGAAGCCTTCACAGGGGGGGTCGACCTTTGTAGCACTTCAGGTCCACTCAAACCACTATGATCAATGAGCTACTTCACGGTATTTGCTTCGAACTATTAGCCAAATTCAGCAAGTTGTCTAGCTTGACTCATTACGATTAACATCATCCGACGACACCCAGCAAACCGTCAATTTGCCGCTGTTCGCCCAGTCTAAGTATTTAATAGAATGAAGGACGAGGCCGTTAGACCGTAAATTGGCTACCCTCGTTATCACAGCCACTGTCGTAACTTCAACACGATTGGATTGAAAAGGGCCCTTCTAAGCTATTCGTCCCCCCTTTTTCTCTCTTTCTGAAATTCGATGCATGTGTAAAATGGCACTTCGAAGGGATAGCCAAATTCCAACAGTTATCGTTGCATATTCAGACTGAATGAAAAGGTCTGTTGAATCAGACAAAACAAGATGGCTTTACCAAATGCGTTGTAGCCAACCATAACATCACCGACTAGCTCATCGCAGACGGATGCTTCTCGCCGGTGTGATCCCAAAAAAAATCAGGCTATGTTCCAGAGTAATACGACTTTCGGTGTACCAATGCTCTAAGGTTTTCTTTTAGAAAGAACGCTAGTCAAGAACCACGCGTCTAAGTAGAATCAGTGGTCCGCAACTGAGACATGTGATGGTAATTGCATGAGCTGAAGACAGGGGTGTTAATCAGATATGAAAATAAACAGTCTCGAATAACTGAAAGAAAACCTGGAGACACCCCAAAAATGCTCTTTGAACAACACCTACTTGTCGTTTGAGCTCGAGCATTAATCATCCCAGTATTGAAGCAGCTGAAGCGACTACAAAGTTGCGCAATCTGTGCCAGCACACCAGCCAACAGGCAAAAGGGTATTGCAACAAGGACTCAGTGCGCCAATTCTTTTGTCACCACTCAGCTAATCACATCCAACGTACGTTGCTTTTTTTTGCTGCTGGCACAGACCGCCAAAGATTCCGCCACCACCAATACGGGTTCACTTGCACGCATGTCTAACTCCTGATAAGACAATGTCTCTCATATCCCTTGAACTAGTAAGAAACAGTTGAAATGTCTCGGGCTAACATGGACTGACCGGGGAGGCACGCAGTAGCGCACGTGGTGGGTGTAACGGGGACGCCGGAAACCACGCGTGAGTTCAAATATCTTCCTCCCTCACACATGGCACCGGCATCCGCCCTTACAACTTCTCCTCCGTTCCAGGTTTATATGTACTTTATTTCGCGTGAATGGAATGTCAGTATTACGTTAATCATCCAGCCCCCCTATCTTTTGTGAAAACTCCAACAATTTACTTTTCGAGGTCGACAATAGACGGAATCATGTCAAATACGAACTGGCCAGGGCAAACCACAGACTATTCGTCGCTTGAGAGCGGGGCTCGACAGCAAAGTTCGATGCTTGAGGTCAAACCAAAGTACGCTGAGAACCGTCCATCTACCATCGATGTAGCGATTCCTATATCTACAGAAAACAAATCTCCGAGGAACTGGCGATTGTGGTGGCGGAGGTACTGGATCTTTGTTTTGGCCATGTCGATCCTGGTCATTGGAGGAATCATTGCTGGAGCCGTGGGGGGCATTACCGCTGCTGAAAAGACGAACAAGAACAGGTCTGTTTGAAAGCCTGTCTCTCTTTTCGCAACGACAAGTGTGGGATAACATCCCAAGCAAAGTGAGTAGAAGCCGCTCTTAGCAGGATATTCTTTTACAACCCGTGAACTTGGCTAAATTGTTATTGAAATAGTGAGACGATTAGGCAAGACCGAATCCAACATTTGCAAAGCCTTGAGCAGCTTGAAACTCATTGAACCCGAGGAATGAACGGGGAAGCGCCCATCTGAATCTCACCATAGCAAATCGACCAACTTCCTAGATGACTGCAAGCGGCGAAACTTAAGAATCAGTAAAGAATTTGGACATGTTGACCTTCATGGTCACACTAAAGCCGATGCTGGACGCTTTGGTAGTTGGGAATGCGCATAGGACGTCATGACAACAGAATTATTGGGCTTTTCGTACATCCACTACGCATGATTCTGGCCTACTCCCCTACAAATACGTCAATGACGGCCAGATTTCTTTTTATCCCGTTGGAAGATTTTCGCCGCGGAACCATTTTTGCAGGCGGGTACTGCGTAGAGGCTGTGGTGAGGTGTATTAGGCGACCAGGTGCTTGTGGTAACAAGCAATACCTGACGAGTTTGTGGCACAGAATAATGAAGATACCAGTAGATAGAAAATGGTGTGGCTGCAATTGAAAATTTCTGTTGGGTAGCGATACTACATGTTTCGAGGAGAACATGATGTTGCGATGGGTGACCTGATACGTTAGTGTTGTGCTTGTGTTTACACTACGGTCGCAATCAAGTACTGCAAGCAGTCCGAATGGGCGTCAGTTTGGGGTAAGCAACTCTGAACCAAATATTGTATTTGCTATTATCTAAGTCTTCTGATCTACCTGAACCTTTGGAGTCCTGTACAGGTGTTTTTGTATGTTGAAAAACATGAGCAGCGCTAGTAAGTGAAGCGGAAGTCCAAACGCTTGCTACCTTCGTCGTCATTCTGGTCTAGGTATGCGACCTTTTCATCCTCACGCATGGCCTCCCACTTTCCAACCCTCACATTGTTACGCCATTTATAGTAGGTCCTACTGCCTGCGTAGAGGATAAGGTTCCAAGCTACAAGGCCCAGGAGAACACTATTGCCCCGGCGGTACAAAGGAGAGTCATCAGCCCTGTAAATGTTGGAACCAATGATGTTGCTGACCTGCACCGTCATGTTGTACAGGGCCGCAGACACAGTTCTTGAACGGACGGCGTTGGAATTACGTGATACGAGATTCACTTGCATCGGATGTGCTAAACAGTATTGCGAATCAGTATGAACGGCAGGTTCTTATGGGATGAAGGCTTGGGGGACTCACGCATTGGTTTTGCCAACATAAGGGTCATGACAATCCAGACGACCCACCTCGAGACTTTCGTGCTGTCAACAACCCTTAGCCAGATGAGGAACGGCAGCATCCAAACTTGAGAGAATGCCGCCCAAGCAAGAATGTTTTTGGTTCTTTCGGCAATCCACAACAGCAACATCATTGTAATTGCTATGATTTATGAGCGTCATATTACAGAGATAAAAAGTGGTTAGGTGAAAACATACTGCCTAGAACCTGCTGTGGGATGACAAGCAAGTTCGTATGAAATGTATTAAACCCAAGGCCACGGAGGGATAGGGTCAGGTACTGTCTTGGAGTAGTGGCGGGAATAAGGAACGTGAAACCAATGAGGTAAATCGGCCTGTTTGTTCACGGAATGTGAGTGATTGTGAAGTCGAGACGGGAACCTAGATTCTCCTTACCATAAATCATAGTCGCACATGCTCTTCCAAAGCAACCTGAGGGTGATTCTCTGGCGATTGTGCATAGATCCCTTATTCGGATCGTCACGGATGATACGATTAACCATAATCTCTTCCTCTCTGAAATTGGTCAGTAACTATTGCTTCTGAAAACCTCAGATCAGACTTGCCTAGGAGTGTACCATCCATTCTTACCCCTGAACCAGCTAGCAGTTTGTGTGGGTCCCGCTGGCATTAGTAGGAATGAGAGAAAGCCAATACACATGGTGAAAAGCCCCTGAATCTGGTTAGAAATAGCGAGCGCTGAGACATTTATGCAAGAAAGAAGTACCTCGATCAAGAATAGCCATCTCCAACCTTCGTAGCCAAGGACACCTCTCATGTGAAGAATACCGTACGCCAGAAGTGCGCATAAGATGTCTGCGAAGGTCATTGCCATCCAGAAGAAGCCAAGTCGGATTGTCATCTCCGCGTGCTTGTAGAAGTACGACAGATACAAAATGATCTGTTCATTTCGTAAATGAGTAAACGATTTTCCTGTTTGAACTTCAAAGGTTTGGCGGAACTTACATCGGGTATAAAGCCTCCCTGCAGCAGCCCCAGAAGGCAGCGGCAAATCAAGAACGTAGCATAGCCGTTGAGCTTGAACTGACAGACAGCCACTAACGACCAAAGAACAAGTTGCGCTGGAATCCAGCGATCAGGCCCGACCCATTTTGACACTAGCTGAGAAGGCAGCTCGGCGCAAAGGAACGAAAGGGAAAAGACAGTATTGCCCATGTTATAATCTCGTATGAGGTCAGCTGGTTGTAACAACTCGTTGGCATGTGTACCCACGGTTCGTCGTCATTCCCAAGTCGTTTAGGAAATTGTCTGTCAAAGCCTACCCAACCTGTTAGTTCTTCCTCCTACTAGAACAGTGGAGAGACATCTTACCTGACTCAAGTTGGCGCGATCAATTTCAAGGCCAATAAACATTATACAAGCCCAGATCATGATTCTCCAGTCCGTCTTCCGAACAACGGCGTCCTCTTCCTCCCAGGTCCATCTTGCAGAAGGATTGAAACGGTGGAGGTTCTCCCTGTTAATCATTAATTATTGGACATCTGAACTGCGTATGTTCACCTACCAATCATCACGTGGCTGGTACTGTGGTGCTAGAACAGCATCGTCGTAGACACTGGGCTGCAGCACGGGTTAAAACAAGCCTGAAAACAGGATAAAGTCTCATATCTACCTGAGTTCCGATTGAAGTTTTGTCATAATTTTTCCTTTTCTGAAACCAGAATCTTCTTTCGGGTCGAGGTTTGCCAAGCGGTTCGATGGACGCAATCGACTCTTTGGGCACTGTTTTGTTAACAGATTCTGACGAGTCCGAGGCCGACTCAATGGCCGGCTTGACAGATTCTACTACACCCATTTTATATAATATGGAAACGAAGAAAAAGCTGGATGTCACGAGCGACAGAATCACGACGAAAGATGGGACAGCAATCTGTTGTTATTTATCTCGAGTACCTAGCAGCTAAGTTGCCACAGCTTCTGACAGGCAATCAAGTTCCAGCGAGAGCCGGAGAGTCCCCGAAAGATCTGCCAGTAAGGTCACCTACTGAAAGAGCATGCACAAGTGAATACCATCATCCGCTGTATGTCTTGCACCATCGCGGGGGTCCTTGATATAATAAATCGTTCTCGGCCATCGGATCGAGGGCCGCGACATGGACCCCGACTATGCATGCATGCCAACCGGTCGCGACCTTGGATCTTGACCAAACCAGCAAAGTCAATTGGCTGGATAAGCAAATAGTGGCAAGGGTCGAAAGACCGCCTCACAACGCCAGGCGTTGCTTCAGGGCTTGTCAAGTCTTAGCCGAGACAGTGTTGTCGGCAATGCAGTTGACCAAACAAACATGAACTGGGCCTGTATAAGCAGGAACATAATGTTATATGGTTAAATGGCTTGAGAGGATGTTGAATCCCAACCTGATGCTGCCGGCAGAGAATGACTTCGTTGGAATAAGTTGGATGGTAGCATTGATAAAACTTCGTTGGATCTTCTTCGTCATATGGCTATTGTCAACGTCTTAAAACACAGTAGACGACATGATGGTCAAGTTTCTGACTGACTACAATTTCAAGCCCATAAGAAGGTTATTCGCAGCATTTTAGTGTCGAAGACGCAATCCCAAAGCCAAGAGAAATCCATGCACCTTTAAGAAGTTTCTGTCCGACATAAGATACAAAAGGTGCCCCGACCCGAGCGAGAGCCGTTGTACACGGATGCAAAAGAGCTTTCGCTCATCGATTACTTGCTGGTCCGTTGGCGTTCTTCCGCCACCGAAAAGCCGACTTCGCTGTGGTCAAGGTTGTGGGTATCCGGGTGTTGCGATACTGGGGACGGAGCACGTCATCGGAACTCGCAAACATGTCGTTCACACACAGCAAACAACATCCGGCGACCCGGTTTTCGGATCGGCTCGCCAGAACTTAGCTAGATTTGTGTGGGGTTTCAAGTTTTGGCCCTTAAGGTTCAAGATTATATGGGAAATATTTCTTCTTACATTCAATTTACTTCCCGAAGCAATTGAAGCTTACTTTCAGATCCATTGATTTAAGTGTACAAGATGCAATTCAAATCATTAGCAATTGCCTCCGCGGCTCTGCTTCTATCTAGGAGCGCTTTGGCGGGAGCTGGCGATGCTCAGACCCCCCTCGTCGGCCCAGACCGGGATGCGGCACCACCATCACATTCGTCACGACCAAACATCATCTTTGTTCTCACTGATGACCAGGACCTGCATATGAACTCTCTTGAGTACATTCCTCTCATCCAAAAACAGCTCATCGAGAAGGGAACTCTCTATAAGAAGCACTTTTGCACTACCGCTGTTTGCTGCCCATCCCGTGCCAGTCTTTGGACTGGCAAGTTGGCTCATAACACCAACGTAACGGACCTCAACCCCCCCTACGGTAAGACCTCTGTCACAGGGGTCGGCTATGCCATATGGCATATAGATAGCCAAGCGAGATGCGACAGTAGAGGACTGTACTGATTGTATCCTGCAGGCGGTTTCCCCATCTTTGTCAAGAATGGACATAACGAGAATTACCTGCCGATCTGGCTGCAGGACGCCGGATACAATACATTCTACACCGGAAAGATGTTCAATGCCCATACCATTTGGAATTATGACAGCCCCCACTTGAAGGGCTGGAACGCTTCCGTATGCAGACCCCCACGCCGAATCTCCTCGATTGCCACCAGCGCTTATTCCCTAACCTATCCCAGGACTTCCTCCTTGATCCCAACACCTATGACTACTGGAACGCCACCTTCCAGCGCAACAAGGACAAGCCAGTCAACCATCTTGGAGAGTACTCTACTGACCTGGTAGCCGAAAAAGCCTACGGGTTTCTTGACGACGCTGTTGAGGCTGGCAAACCTTTCTTTTTGGGTATTGCTCCCATCGCCCCGCACAGCAATGTGAACTCAAGTGTCCTTCTGCCAGTCAAGGGCCCAGACGACGATGTTCCCGTATCCGATGACAAATTTAGGACAAGCATCCCTAAGGCTGCCAAGAGACACGAGAAGCTTTTTCCCGATGCCAAAGTCCCTCGCACGGCCAACTTCAACCCGGACAAGCCATCTGGAGCGGACTGGATCCGCCGTCAGCCCAAGTTGACGGATGAAAATGTCGAGTACAACGATGAGCATTACCGTGGCCGCCTCCGAGCTCTACAAGCTGTAGACGAGTTGGTTGACGGTCTCATCAAGAAGCTCGAGAAACACGATATTCTGGACAACACTTACATCTTCTACACGACCGACAACGGCTACCATATTAGCCAGCACCGGCTGCAGCCCGGTAAGGAGTGCGGCTACGAGACAGACATCAACATTCCGCTCATTGTCCGCGGTCCTGGTGTCCCCAAAGGAGGCGTTACTAATGCCGTCACCGCTCATGTCGACCTCGTCCCTACCATCCTGTCCCTTGTAGGCGCGCCACTGCGAGCCGATTTCGACGGTACTCCTATTCCCTTGTCTAGCAAGGAACTTGCAGAATCTCCTCTTACGCGTGAACACGTCAATGTCGAGTATTGGGGGTGGGCAATCACCGAGAGCAAGTTCGGGTTTAACGGCGACGACACCAAGCGGATTTTCAACAACACTTACAAGGGGCTTCGCGTAGTTGGGGAGGGATACAATCTGTACTACTCTGTGTGGTGCACCAATGAACACGAACTTTACGATATGACTGTAAGTTTCGGCATGCATCTTGCTTTTAACATTTACTAACGTATGTCTGTAACAGACTGATCCTGGACAACTGCATAACCTCCTGCATGAGGATGAGAGGTCATTGGCCGCTCATACCACTGTCCTGGGATATCCTCTCGAAAAGATCATTCCCAGACTGGACTCACTAATGTTTGTCCTCAAGTCTTGCAAAGGGTCTACATGCTCTCAGCCATGGAGGGCACTTCACCCTCAGGGTAACGTCGGCAGTCTGCGCGAAGCTCTTTCACCACCATATGATCAATTCTACGCGCAACAGGCGCGCGTCGAATACTCACGCTGCGAGTTGGGGCATATTGTTGATGCCGAGGGGCCGCAGTTTGAGCACGAAGGAAACGTTTACTGGCAAGGATCCAAGTGGAGTGACTGGACTTGAATCAGTCCGCACCTTGGCTCGTAGAAGGAATCGATAAAAAGATCAATGAATCAAAATAAAAAGAACTCTGCCAAACTGAGTTCTTTCCAACACATCCGGATTTCCGACAACTTTCCGCCTGTATTCCGATTCGATCTTTGCGTACAGCTGGATTAGGTATGGATAGCCACATTCCCCACAAAGGCGGCATGTGATTCCGCCATGCGTTATCCTTCCCCTCACGTTCCCCTCAGGGCGGTGACGACCTGAGAGGAAGAGACGCTAAAACAAGGTTGGTATGCTGGTAGTTTCGATGTTGTCATTCATGACTCGAGAGATTATGTCAAAGTAGTTATGGTTAACCACATCAAAGGTGAAATGTGTAATGGTTGTCTAAATTAATGGATTAGCGCTCACTCGTCTGTCTCATCGCGGGTTTCACCTACAATTGTTAGATAAACGATATTAGTTTGATGCAATACACCTGGGGTTCATTGAGCAAAGAGTGATTCATGTTGTTGATTGAGTGATTCTACCCATTCCGGTTGAAGCGGGGTTCTGTTTTGTATCTACCCGTTCTTCCCGGTTTCAGCATATTGCAAGAATGCAACTAAGCTAGATTTCCTAGCATTTTATCCGGACGCAGGCGTCAATCTAACAACAATATGCAGACCCCGTTATCTTGTTAAGGGGAAAACATGTATGGGTTGAATGAATGCCTCGTTGTATGCGATGCTCATGATGAGGGCCCACATACCTTCTGACAAGGGACCTGTCGTTATCGGAATTCGCAAACTTGCACCCCTGTTTGTTTAAATGGGTTTCCTACCCCTCTAACATCACACGACAATCACACTGGCATTCTGGACGCGATTATTACTTTGCAATTTCTTCAAAAATTTATCAATTAAGTAGCTTATCGCCAGTAAACTACTATGGGTCAGTATACAGGACATTGCAACTGTGGCTCCATCACAGTTGCGTTGAAAGTGAAGCCAGAGACCGTCATTCTATGCCATTGGTAGGTAATTCGGTGCCTCACCCCAGTTAACCAAGCTCTAACGTTGCGGCCCCCAATTAGTTCAAACTGCAAACGTGCGGGTGGCCGTAAGTTACGATCAAATTGTTTCATTGTGCGGCCTACTCACTCTAGCAGCGTTCTCCATGAATCTGGTTATTGATGAGGGTCAATACGAGTTGAATGATGCTCAGAAGTCTCTCTCAGAATACCCGGACAAAAATACAGATTCAGGGAATACCGTACACGTGAGTAACGGGCTCTTGATATGGTTACGCAAGTATGCTGACAAGACTACCTCAGCGGCACTTCTGTAAGAACTGCGGAAGGTAGATGGCGCTATTAGTGTTCTTGCGTTTTCCTTGGCTTACATCTCTCACAGCCCGGTCAAGTCCGTAGCTTCCAGCTTTCCCGGAAAGGCGCTGATCAAAGCATCTTTGTTTGATGAAATTCCAACCAAGAAAATGGAGGTTTACACTGAAAAGGCCTTCGTATGGGAATGAATCAGCCAAGGGAAGAAGGCGATCAATTGGTAGTAAAGGGGACACTTAAATGCAAATCACAGTTGTCTACCATTTGTCCAATGTCTACAATGCAGGTTGAAATATTTGGAATATGGGAATAATTTGCGCGGATGATCATGTCTGAACAATGTGAACAAGTACTAAATATAAATATACGAACTCTAAGGCTTATTCGAAAGTCTATAATCCACCTACGTTTGTCCCTGAGCCCCCGAAAGTCCCCTTGTAGTTTGTTTCTCTCCTCCTGGCAGTTGCGTTCGAAGGAAACGCTGAAGGGAACGTTCGGTTGAACCCTGTGTACTCTCCTATACTTGGTGGTAAATCCTGGACCCTTGTACCCCAGTCGCTCTCCCTTCGGCCAAGCGTCAACACCAACTCCTTGCCTTCGGTGAAGAAGCTGTGATTCAGCCAATTCTTCCTGTATGGCTCACCATCAAGGGTAGCGCTTTGGATGTAGATGCTCCTGTACTTGGGATCGAAGTTGACGTTTCGCACTTTGGCCGTCTTTCCCGTTTGAGGGTGGGTAATTTCAACGCTCTCAAAGAAGGGCGGAGTGATGAGATAAACGTCTTGGCCAGGGTTGGGAAATAATCCCATCATTGTGAAGGCCAAGAAAGATCCCATGGCTCCACTGTCATCATTGCCAGGAAGTCCACCAGGCTGAGGAGAGAAGAAAGCTGGAACATAGTAGTGGGCCCGTTTAGCCGATAACGCTGGCCGTCCGGCGTAGTGATACTGGAACACTGTGAGGAAAGCCGGTTCATTTCCTATGTAGGTAATGTTTTGGTCGTGTAAGAAGTCAAGCCTGCGAACAAAGGCGTCGGGGCCACCGTATGTGTTGATGAGAGTTCCTTGATCATGGGGGACAAAGCTGGTGATGAATGTTAGCAGGCGCTCATGCTTGTCAAGTATTGGAGGGGAAAGGAAGAACTTACAATCCATACTCCCAGAGACTGCTTTCAAATGTTTCTGGCCCGTTGTTTTGAAGAGAGCAAGCACTGTTTCCGTCGAGATTGCTGCAGTTCAAGGGGTTCTGATATGCCCAAGTCTGGTTGATATACTTGGGCTCGAAAAAACCCCGGAATCCAGTATCGGTGCCGTTAAAGAAGGCGGACTTTTGGTCTTGCTTGTATAAGTAGCGCCAATTTCTACTCGTCCCAATGTACTTCTCGCGATCTTCATCCTTGCCCATTTTGTCGGCCATCTGCGCAATGCAAAAGTCGTTGTAACTGTACTCAAGCGTCCGAGAAACGCTTCTTGTAAGAGTTCCGAAGCCCTTGTAGTCGAAATCCTGTACAGGGATGTAGCCCAGTCTCTTCCAACTGTCCAGTCCACCACGTCCATTAACGCTCCAGTCGAAAGGTTCTTCCTCGGCGTCTTTCACCACCGCTTCGTATCCTTTGTCCCAGTCAATACCATCTGTGATGTTTTTGAGGTATGCATCTGCCAAGACGTTGTCTGCATTCGATCCTCCTTGCGTGAAACCTTTGCATAAGCTCATTCGGCAATCCGGTAACCAGCCAGTGTGAACGTAGGTATCAATAAGAGATCTCACCATCTCCGCGACGGCGGTGGGATCTATAATGACCAAGAACGGTATCTGAGAACGGAAAGAATCCCACAGGCAGTAGAACGAGTCCCAGTACGGCTCGCTGCTTTTCCACAATGGATTCTCGCCAGTGTAATTCTGCGGATTGACCATGGTTCTGTAGATGCCGCTGTAAAAGTTTCTTGCAAAAGACTCATCCACTCTGTCTGTTGAAATCTTGATCGGACTGAGCTTCTTTTTCCAGATAGCAGTCGCCTCCAGAGATACTCGCTCAAAGTTGTAGTCGGGAATCTCAGCCACGGCGTTGGAGCAAGCTTGCTGGCTGCTAATGAAACTTGTCGAGACTCGTGCAATGATGGGTTGGTCTGCCGACCTGAACCGAACAAAGGCACCTCCGGGAAGTGGATAACCGTTGATCGAGCGGGATATAGTCATGTTCTTAACATCAGCGCTGGCGCGGCTATCCACAAAGATGCCGTTGTCCAAGACCTCGCCACCCTGGAAGTCTGTACAGAAGTAAAGCACGAACGTGCCAGAGCCGAAGCTGGGATTGAACTTCGCACTACCTGTTATTCTTCCCGTGCGCCCGTCAACCTTGATTGTAGCATTATCTTGTCTCGTGTCGCCCAGGTCTGAAAGATCCTGGAGGATGAGCGGCTGCCCTTGTTGTGGAAAGTTGAACCTGAACAGCGATGTTCGTTGTGACGTGGTCATCTCGACTCTGATACCATCTCTCAACGTCACATTGAACAACCCTGGCTTTGCGATAACGTCTCTAGTTCTGAAGTAGCCGAATCGTGCCCGCGCCTTTTTCGGAAACGTGCAGTAATTGATGACCCCGCTGGGGCATGTCGTATAGGCGAATAATGGAAAGTTTCCCAAGGATGGCGCGCCGCCCGTTCCAGAATCATGCATAACTGAGAATCCCGTGATGGGGTTCCCGTCAAGAGTGAAGCCTCCTTGGTTGGAGCTACTATTCGTGTCCGCGGAGGCTTTCGCCATACCGTACGGTAACGTCGCGCCTACGAAGACATTACCGCCGTTGCTCGAGCCGATAAGGGGATCGACGTATTGTAACGGGTCAAAATCATCTTCGGCCAGAACCGTAGTGGACTTCGTGGTCTCGGGTGTGCCGGAAATCCAGTTCGAGGCTACTCCAGCTGCTCCAGATGCTGCGTGGGATATGGACGGCAGATGACTCTGTGGCATGAGCAGCCAGCGGAAGAGTGCCGCAAAGGCATGAAAGGACCAAAAGTCAGCCCACATCGCTTTTGCCCTTTCAATTGGTGTTCTGGTTTGGATATGAAGCGGGAAAGATGGTTGACAAGGAGAATTTCTTGACCGTCATGCAAAAACTCTTCGTCTATAATATTTGCAAACGCATGGCGTCCTTGCGACCACGTGACCGGACATCAAAGCTAAAATGGTCTCAAGTCTGAGTAAAGTTTTCATCAAGCTCTCCTCAGGATGTCCTGCAGGTCTGTTGTGAGGCCAAGCGATTGGACTTCATGGCGCACGGGGAGTAGATCTGCTGGATGTGGTGCATATCATGCCCCTGAACAACACCAATATAGAGGCACGACTTGGCCTTTGTTTTCCAAACGAAGCTGCCATTAAGAGTAATAATATTAAATCTTTTACGATCCTATTGATAATGTGAAAACTTCCATCAGCGCGATGGTGATGGTGAGCTCCTCATCGCATTGTATAAGCGCCCGCTTTGGCCGATATCCTAGCGTAACACCGCTAGGCCGCTGCAGAACCTTAACCAACGGGGCGAACCGCACAGCAGACTCCTTTCCCGCAAAGCAAAGTGTTTCAAATCAGAAACCAAACGAATAATTCATGACTTTGACGTGTTTCTGCGTTTCCTGCCCACCCAGTCAGAATAGTTTGGCCCATATGGGGTGAGAACAGACTACACGTTCGCTACCCCACGGTTCCGTAGTTGATGCGGATGATCCTTTCTGCCAAAGCCCGTCGGCAACTCGCATGCCTTCGAGACCTCCATTCTAGAAGGCCTGGAATAGGATGAAAGTTCTCAGAGTTCGAGGATGCATTTCGAAGCCACGTTTCCAGCTTTTTCGACAAACTATTCGACGGTGGGTTTTCTAACCGACTACTCAACTGCATCTCCATGTTAACCTGTCTACTAACAACCGCCGAGTGAGCACCTCCATTGTCAAGGATGTCCCCTCTTGGCAAAAGCTAGGAACACAGCTGTCGATTCATGAGTTACAGACAGTTGGTCCGAACTTGCAGAATGTTTTGGAACTGTTTTCTCTAGTGGACATTCCCCTGTCAGAAGCTTGGCAGGCATCAGAGCTGGAGTTGTTTTTGCTCATGGTGTGACAATCACTAGGTAGCGGCTCAGTCTGAACGCGAGTAAATGGCTTTCTTTTTCCCCCGCTATTTTACCAATGCAAAGCTCTGGACCCTGTGGTAGGATTTCCAAGCCCATCGTTGTACTGCTTTTCCATCTACCAACCTAGATCTTTACATTTCCCACAGAGGCAGCTTTCCTTCGTCTCTGTGTCATACTCATCAATGACACTTTGAGGCTTCACAAAGCTCCCCAATGGCTTGTATTCCAAATGGGTGAAGCCAAATGCGCTAGGCCCGCCGATCTCAATACCTCTCTCTGAAGCAGTCCAGCGGTCGCTTGCTGCAATGCCCAAAACAATAACAAGCAATCCATATCTGTACTCCGGCGTTCCAATGGCCTCTCCGTTCTGTGCATCGATAACAGCGATGAGATCCGGCACGATGGCCAAAACATCCTCTGGCTTTTCCTTTCCAGCTTCATCGGCAGCAGAAGTAGCAGAAGCAGTCTTGATTGCGGCGATGTTCTCATTTTTGAACGGAATTTTGACAAATCCCTTGAACTCTTGAACACCCTCTCCATTTGAATCATGCGTACCAGAAACGTTGGCAGCTTCGATGATGCATTCGCCGTAAACGTGACCTTTTCTCAATACTCTTTCAACGCCCACAATCTTGCCCTTGAACAAGACCTTCGCTGCGCCGTGACCACCACACTCCTCAATAATGGTCTCGGCAACGTTGTCTACCCTGTTGAGCTTTCTTGCCTTGGCAACTGCTCTCCCGATTCTCCATGACTGGGAGAGTGTATGTTCTACCACCCATCTCTTTGTCTCCGCCCCCGTCACAGGAGGGTCAGCGACGGCAACTTGTGATCCCATTTCTGCCAGTGCAGCACGCATGACGCGCTCCACCTGCTTATCCGAAGATGCGCGAGACATGGTAACAATGTTGCCGTTGCCGTCGCTCATAGTAACGGGAGTCCAGATGGGACTACGCTCGTTAAAAACAACAGGCGTCGTCTGCCACTTTGTAGGGTACGCCCGGCCCATCCAGTCTCCGTCGACTGCTGGCACGTTCATGTTGGTGCTAGATCCGAGCATCATACTCTGCAAACCGTTGGCGCCGCCGATTTCGACGGCAATCATGTGCGTCGCGGGTTGGCCGATTTGCCTGCACATTTCTTCCTGTGCCTCCTGCATCTCATCTGCGGATTTCTTCTCAATGGCCACAGTAGGAGAGCCAGCGTAACCTCCACAACCAACTAGAGCGTCGTCGGGAATATCATTGGGGTTGACTACTCTCACGACCGCACCCTTGCGAAGTTTCTCGCGAAGAATGATCTGTTGGGAATAAGGAGAGCCGCCTCCACCAGTTCCGAGGATGTAGCAGCCAATGCTAATCCAGTCGAGGTCGGTTTCACTAATGTACCACACACGGTTTTCGACACGTGGTTTGTAAGTCAGAACATCGGGTGCCTTCTTTAACTTGGCCTTGATAGTTCTTTTACTCCGAGTATGGGGGGCCGTGTTAGTCTGTGGTAACTCTGCTTCATCGTTTAGAGGAATAGACGCCAAGTCAGTTCGAGAAAAGTCAAAATCTCCAGCTGCACGAACAATAAAACGCGATTTGTTCGCAATGTACTAACTTGCGTCAGCCGAGGCCTCTCTCCCCATGGTGAATCACTTACAGCGAGAGGTATCGTGTCCACGTCAACAATTTGGACGGATGAAGGAATGGCTCCCGTAGCGATGGCCTTCTCCTTAGTCTCCTTTTCCACTTCTTCCAAAATCTCCTGCGTCGTTCTAGACTCAGTCGATTTGACGGTGTCAACAGTCGCACTAACACGTGCAATGGCCGCGCCGATGGCGTTGGCGACTCCAGCCCACTCGGGCTTTAGCACCTTGCTAGCTCCCTCTAGCTCGTCTGGAGCGATGACTGCTCCACCGCCAACGAGAAGGACGGGAATATCATTGGGCGAGGTCTTCATCGTGTCAATGACCTTTTCAATCTTCTGCCGAACAGTAGCGGTGAAACGTGCCAGCCCCTCGCTATCTAAGGCGCCCTCAACTAGCTCAGCGTCACCGATGGATAGGGAGATCGATGTGGATGAGTTCTTATTCGCCAGTACGGTACAATCGGTTGCTGTTAGTGTGGAACCGCCAAAGACGAGAGCTTCGGATTTGATCTTGTAGCCCACGCTGTCCGGGCCTACAGTTAGCTTCCCATCGCCCTTCCGTACAATGGACCCTCCGCCAAGGCCAATACTTTTAACGTCTGGGCAGGAAAAGTTGAGGCGAACCCCGGCAAATTCACTAAAGGCCGCCTGTTGACGGGGAAAGCCGTTGGCCTGAAGAAGACCAACGTCGGTGGTTGTGCCGCCGATGTCGACCACCATGACCGCCTCGTCAATCTGGTCCTGGACCAGGAAAGCAGCTCCCCGCATGCTATTAGTCGGCCCACTTGAGAACGTTCTGATGGGCAAGTTGGCAGCCATCTCACCCGAGAGAATGGTACCGTCATTTTGCGAGATGAAGACAGGACAGTGCAGGCCTAGCCTTTTCATGGGTTCCTGGAAGGACCTGATGGTCTTGCGAGCAAAGTCGAGCACCGTAGCGTTGAGAATCGCCGCGTTCTCACGTTCCTGAAATCCGAGGTTTGCCACATCCTTAGAGCAGGTAACGGTGCATTCGGGGAGCTCCGATCGGATGATGTCTGCGGCTCGCTCCTCCTGACGCTCGTTCGTGTCAATGGGGCTGAAAATACCGCTGACCACCACGCTCTTGATCCGTTTCTCGCGGATAATGGCACACTGTGCCTTGATTTCTTCCGGGTCGATTTCGGAAATCAAAGAACCATCAACCTCCAGTCCACCCTTGCAGAGGGCGTAGTACCCCAGAATGAGGTCTCGTAAGTCCTCGGGCCAGTCCAGGCATGGTGGATCATGCTTGGAGAATTGACTTGTTAGCCTTATGATAGCGACGGGGGCCAGCCTTGATTCGTCTCTCTCGACAAGTGCATTCACAAAGTGCGTAGTCCCAATTGTGATGCTGGCAATCTCGCTGGGCTCAGTCTTGGAGGACTCGAACATTGTTACGATGGCATTGCTGATGCCATCGCTTGGGTTCTTTGTCGTCGGCGACTTGTGCCACGCGATTATTCCTTTGTCCGGCTCTGACGCGCGGGAGGGATCAAGCACAACGCCATCTGTGTTTGTCCCACCAACATCGACACCGATACGAAGATGTCGCGATCTTGGTGGCATGATATCAGGATTGTGATTACCCGGGTCTTGGCTGAGGTCTTGGCAAGAGACAAGACGAGTTGAACCCTTTTGTTCCACGCTTTCACAAGATCAAGCTGCGGTAAACTGCGTCGAAAGTCGTATATCTGTTGTCGTCCGATTGTTGACTGTGCACAAGTTCCTCAAGGAGGGGTTCATCAGCCCATCAGGCGGGAAGTGGGTTGTGGGGATAAGCAGGGCAGCGCGTTATCGCTCGGAGACCGAGACCCGATGCCGGAACGGAGACCGGGCTCGGACCGGCCCGCCAAGAACGGCTTCCACCGTCGACTTCAAGAGCCTCATCTTCACGTCCGGACCTCCAACCCGGGGCCACTGCTGCTTGATGTTGGCCCAGGACTCATCTCAAATCATACCCACACTTGTGGGTTTCCATCAAAAGGTACTTTGGAACCTTTCGACTGGTTTTGCATTAAGGCAACATTGACTCGGTCAGTCTCGCCCGACTAGCGATGACGTGCTCGCAGAGGTACTGAGACGGTCTCTTGGCACATTTAAGCAATGCAGTGCGCTTTCCATCAATGCCGGCGCTGGTTTCTAGAACCGTACCGCCAAGTGAGTGGCCTGCTCACCCAATTCCTGTCATCCTAGTCCCCCAAGGCCACCGCCTCCTGTTTGTCTTGCCTTCTTGAAGGAAAGCTCGGAACCACAGTCCTGGGATGTTCCACTACAGGCTGCAGCTGGCTTCTGCACTTGCATTTCCGCTCAACAGATGAAACCTGTCCAACAAACCCGCAGGTAATTAGAGAGCAGAGTTTTCCTTTCGTCTCCCTTCGCCATTGGTGGCAAGGTCCAAACCACATTGGATCTATTGATGGGGGCCAAATGCGCCTATTTCAGCCTCTGAACATGCAAAGGAGTCAGATGTCGCGGCGATCCCGTGTCTATCTCTGAATTTTGTCTCAATGAGAAAATGTGGCTATTTGAGCTGTCTTTGCCATCACTGACTGGTGTTGACCTCGTTGGTCGGTCATGAACCCTCTTTGGGTAGGCTCGTCTCGCCAAAGTATCTTACAAAAAAGTACATTTCCATGTGATATGTGACGCATCTGTAGGATGTGAAAGGGGTGTTAGTGAGCCGGAGGAGCATACATGCATGCAGCCGCGTAAACACGGGGGGGGGGGGGGGGGGGGGGGAACCTTCGTTCACGCATTTTATTTTTCCATCCAAAACCCCTACTATCACCATCTCGAGACCCATGACCCTGGATCGGGGCTGGGATATGTAAGGGCGAAATGGAAAGAAAATCACATCTCCGGAATATTGACACCCGAGGAGCTTTGATTTCGACTCCAGGTTGGCAGCATCATCATCTCATGGATTGGACCTCTCAAAGTCTCCAAAGCCGCGCATAGCGCGATGAGGAATCATGTCGATCTATTGCGTTCTGGGCCACCTCCGTCACAATTGACGATGCCCAGCTCCTGTGGTGATACAGACGTTTTTGCCGCCTCTACTCTCCCTAGCTGGCGCGAGCGAGACCTTTGCCGACTGATCTCACCGAAGTCTTCCGGATCGAACATCACAGCTTCTTGCCAGGGCACCCATGCGACCCCCATCACGCTCGCATGGCGCCGAGAGACCGGATGAGAGCAACCCTACGGCATACTTCCATGTGCATACCCGAGTGAAAAAGGCTCGTGTCCCAATGAGGCGCCAGTCTAATGTAGAGGCCTCTCGTACACTAGCATGCCTGTCGAACCGAATGTCTCTCACCATTCAGCTGGGACGTGCCGTCGGCAGGATTGACACACTACATCCCACTCCATTACCATTGCCTCCTCAATTTGTTCGCGTAATAGCTCCAAAGTCTGGCCGTGGGCAAAGTTGCGAGACCCCCGTTTTCTCATTTGACAATGGCAATGAACCCTGCCATTTCGATACCGCGGTGGCTCGTCTTGTCAACGACACGACAACCCCAAGACATCTGTGGCCTTGGTTGAATTGCAGACTTTACACCCTTTTCATCTCCTGGATCCAGCTTCAGTCCATTTTTCGCCTCCGCTTCCCCTCACCCATCGCGTGACAAATTGCTCTTTGTGGAGAGAAGCCCAGGAAAACCAAGAAAACCAAGAAGCCACCATCTGTCACCCATGAGATCATGTCTTGTGCGCGAGTTAGACTCTGGTCTAGGAGCGTCTTGGCCAAATCTTTCCCGCGATGCCCAGCCTGAACAAGCAACACCAAGCTCACAGTTTAAGCATTGAAGGCTTTTCAAAAAAGAGATAGTTAGGGTGGCCTGGTGCTGGTGTGAGACCATTCGAGGACGGGGGGTGTGAAGGAGTTTGCTGCTGGTCAATGGTGTTGACCGGGGAGATGGCGAGATGATTTGCCAAGGAGTGAGGAAGACGAAAGGGACAATCATGTCAAAAGGCTTCGAAATCATTGGCGATCTCCCCTGGAACCGGGCCTTGCTGGAAAACGCCAAGATGGCCACCCAAAAAAGGAGATGGTCCCCGAAAGATTCGCGCCCTTTTAGTTTTTTTTGTTTGGCGCGGGTGCGATCCTGTGAAGACCGGCAGAGAGGGAGGAGCCTCTGCAGCGTTGGTCTCATTTACGCCAAGAATGGCGTGCTCGACACCATCGTCCAAGGTGCTTCCCGGCCCCAATCTTTTTTTTTTCTCCAACACCAAGAACATTACACCCCATCACAGACCACGACATGGTCTTTCCCCCCATTTCTCCCCTCTTTCAGCCCCAGAAACCGATAGGAACGGGCGAGACAGGGACAGACCTTTACTGCCTAACCTACTTTTTCTTTTTGACTTTGCCTTCCCTGGTCCTTTTTTTCTTTCAGGGCAGGGGGGGCGATCCGGTATACGAGGTATCAGACCGGCGAGTAGTCGTGACAGTCAAAGAGTGACATCCATCATCTTTTCTTTGCCCATCTCGGGTCTTCGGCAGCCCTCTGGGTCGCATAGAAGACTAACTATGCTATACATGGCACTGGCGGATGAACATGATGGCAGTTACCACCAAACCGTCTGGCATTTAAGCTTAATGAGAGGAGCTTTGCCCCAGCATTCTAACAAGGGAAAAACCGACGAGCAAAGGCCACGTACCGATGGCATATGCCGCGGAGAAGTACCGCTAGGGTGTATTGCAAAGAAGTATGTACATGTTCTGGTAGACTCTCTTAGCCATGGACTGGTACTTACCCCCAGTTCAACGCCCGCGATGTCCGCTCTGTTCCAACGCCCCAAGCATCCCGCGAGACTCTGAATCTTTTTCTGGTCTGGAACGTCATGGTCTGGTTCCAAAAGATCAGCCTCAGGCGCTATCTGTTGTGAATTATCATGTTATTGGCTTTCATCAGCCGAAGAGAAACATACTAGGAAACCATACTGGTCATGAACATTAGCGAGGCAGGGAAGATAACTCATCCATCTAGCCCCGGCATCACTCACGCGGCGCCTACCGGGCACTCGAAGCCAGCGTCATTAGGCGTATTAGCCGCACACTGTTGGTTAATTCTCATGTTCTGCACATGGCGCATGCTGAATCAAGGTAATGCGGTGCTGCCGGCGATGCGCTGAATTAGACGGCGGAATTGCTCTTCTGACAGCTCTCCCGTTGCCCCCACGTCCTCTGGAGCCAGCCCCCCCTGTATTCGGCGAGGGAGAATCAAGCTAGCCTGTGACATGTGAGACCTTGGACGAATGTAGCCAAAGACTCACATTCCGCACAGAAGTTACTTCCGGGAAAGGTATACAAACATTCATAAAATACGCTCTTAGACGACAGAAGAGGACCCTTATTAGTTCAGTCCACCATGGGGGTGGGCATCTGTCCGCCCCGCCGTCCCTCTTCCCCCTCTCCGTACCCTCCCCCAGGTCAAGCCAGGCACCAGACCAGACAGACGCACACTACACCAGAATACTACACCATAACATGGTCTATCCCGAAGAGCGAGATGTGCAGGTAGCTGAACATTTTTTAGTACACTAGGGGGGCAGAAAATAAGTTCTAAAACCGAGAGTTTATTCTACTCAAAAGAGAGTAAAACAAAATAAGGGTGTCCACCCCATGCAACGCAATAAAGATTGATAATGTCGTCAGAAAATGGCTTCTTTTCTCAGTCTACACCCCCCCTGGGGGGGCGGCATGTGGGAGTGCAGCATCGTAGAGCTCCAACTGAGCGCTTGGCGAGACCAGGACGATCCGAAGCCACGCTTCTTGGCGACGCGGCCAAGCTCTATACCCAAGATGGGGGATACATCATCATGTCGCCCTCGTACGTCGCTGCATATAAGTTTCCTTGTCCGGCCTCGCTGTCGTCTGCTTCGATCGTTTTTTCTGGCCAGGTCCTTCGGTCTTCTTACATTGTTGACCCCCCCCCCTTCTTTCTGTTTGCTCAGTCAGCCCAAAATTCCAGTCGCGGCTACAGAGCATTTCCGGAACGGATTGATCTTTTCAAGGTCCCTCACAAACTTTCAATTCCCACCCAGGGATAGAAGATCGAAACATTGTCCGTCATGACTAACGCCGGACGTGTCCTGGCCAAGGGCCTCGGCATCGACGTCGACGCCCGATACCGCAACGAGCCCAGAGAGGCCGTCCAGTCTGCCGCTGCCTCCTTCAACTCCGTGGAGCAGTATGAGGAGGAAGAGCCGACCGTCAAAGAATTCCTCTATGCCCATCGGCCTACGGTCCCGGGCACCATCGCCTATGTCAAATCTCTGTTCCCATTCTGGTCGTGGATCTTCCACTACAATGTCACATGGCTTCTGGGAGACATTATTGCAGGTACGTTTTCCAACTCTAGGGGGGGGGGGGGGTGTCGCACAACGGCGGCACAGGGCCCCTTCGTGAGGGTTCTTCAACGGGAAAATTGTTTCTTGGGCTAACCCAGGTCTCGTGATAGGTGTCACTGTCGGTTTCGTGGTCATTCCCCAGGGTATGGCTTATGCACTTCTGGCCCAATTGAGCCCCGAATATGGCCTGTACACATCATTCGTCGGTTTCCTGCTGTACTGGGCCTTTGCGACCTCCAAGGACATCACCATCGGCACCGTCGCTGTCATGTCTCAGCTGGTCGGCAACATCGTGCTGCGTGTACGTGACACCCACCCTCAGTATGAAGCACCCCAGATTGCCCAGGCTTTGGCTGTTATTTCGGGTGCTGTGCTTCTCGGTATCGGCTTGGTGCGGCTTGGCTGGATCGTTGAGTTTATCCCACTCGTTGCCATCACCTCCTTCATGACCGGTGCCGCCATCTCCATCGCCGCCGGCCAGGTCCCCGCCCTCCTCGGTATTTCCGGAGTCAACACCCGTGGTGCGACTTACATGGTCATCATCGACACCCTCAAGGCGCTGCCTAGGGCCAAGCTCGATGCCGCGATGGGTCTTACAGCTCTGTTCCTGTTGTATGCGATCCGTTTCTTCTGCAACTTCATGTCGGAGCGCCAGCCTAGCAAGAAGAAGTTCTGGTTCTTCATGTCGACTCTGCGCATGGCCTTTGTCATCCTGCTTTACGTGCTCATCAGCTGGCTCGTCAACCGCCACGTCAACTGGGACGCCAAGAAGGCCAAGTTCAAGATTCTTGGCAAGGTTCCCAGCGGTTTCCAGCACGCCGGAGCCCCCAACATCGACACCGAGCTTCTGTCGGCCGTCGCCCCCGACTTGCCCGTCACCATCATTGTGCTCATCATCGAGCACATTGCCATCTCCAAGTCTTTCGGCCGAATAAACAACTACGTTATCAACCCCTCGCAGGAGCTGGTCGCCGTCGGCTTCACCAACCTCTTTGGACCTTTCCTCGGCGCCTACCCTGCCACTGGTTCTTTCTCCCGAACGGCTATCAAGTCCAAGGCCGGTGTCCGTACTCCCTTGGCCGGTATCTTCACGGCCGTCATCGTCCTCCTGGCCCTGTACGCCCTGACTTCCGTCTTCTTCTACATCCCCATGGCCAGTCTTGCGGGTCTGATTATCCACGCTGTCGGTGATCTCATCACTCCTCCCAAGGTCGTCTACCAATTCTGGGAAGTTTCGCCCCTCGAGGTCTTCATCTTCTTCGGAGGTGTCATCCTCACCATCTTCACTGATATCGAGAAGGGTATCTACCTGACCATGTGCGCCTCCGCTGCGCTTCTGCTCGTCCGCCTTGCCAAGGCCAAGGGTCACTTCCTCGGCCGCGTCAAGGTCTACCGTGCGACCAAGGACACTGCCGGAAAGGGCGTTCCCTTCAACGACCAGGGCGAGGCCATTGACTTGCCGGCCCGCGAGGCCTACGTCCCCCTCAAGAAGGACGATGCCTCGAACCCCATCATCGACGTCCAGAGCCCCCACCCCGGTGTCTTCGTCTACCGCTTCGGTGAGGGCTTCAACTACACCAACCAGGCTCACTACATGGACGGTTTGGTTGCCTATGTTATGAAGCACGCCCGTCGTACTATCCTCGACCGGTATGAGAAGCTTGGTGTAAGTTGCATCCCAATCCCCACTTGACTTGTTTCTTGAAAAAAAAAAAAAAAAGGCTGACATGGCACCCCCTATAGGACCGTCCTTGGAATGACCCCGGCCCGCGCCGTGGCGCCAAGATCGACATGGCAGACAACCGCCCCATCCTCCGCGCCATTGTCCTCGACTGTTCCGCGGTTAACAACATCGACGTCACCTCCATCCAAGGTCTCATCGATGTGCGCAACCAGCTGGACCACTACGCCGAGCCCGAGGTTGTCGAGTGGCACTTTGCCAACGTCAACAACCGCTGGACGCGCCGTGCTCTCGCTGCTGCAGGCTTCGGTTTCCCTTCAGTCAAGGATGAGACGATTGGCCGGTGGAAGCCCATTTTCAGCTTCGCTCCCGTGGACTCTGGATCCAACCAGGCGCCGCACATCACTTCTCAACGCAGCCGCGACGAGGAGGAACAACAACACGACGACACCATCTCACCAAGCAAGCACATTGGCGATGGCGCTGTGCCGGTGGCGGGACGCGGTGACGGCAAGCTTGCGGCCATTCAAGGTATGAACAGGCCGTTCTTCCACATCGACGTTGCTGCGGCGGTGGAGAGCGCCATCCTGAACGCGGAGCAAAAGAGCGAGGCGTCGCCAACGACTTCTATCCTCAAGAGCGGTTAGATGTCAGAGTTGTTATTAGGGTGCAAGCGTGGGCGCAGTGATTGATGATTCTTCAAATTATATACCTTAGATTACAGATACCTGAAATGTTGTTGTTGTCAGTTGTTGCATATATCGGTCCGGGTATAGGACTAGATGGATTAAGCCAGAGTATATTCTTATAATTCAATCTTTCATGAACATCGTATCAAATATCCGACTATTATTGGTTTAGTGAATGTACCCCTCCAGTGTTTCAAGGTTGTGACCGTGCATTTTCAATACGGAGTTGGTCTGAAACGTGGGTGAGGCATCTTGGCGTTGCCGCCGCCGGCGATTTTCAATGTAGCCATCAAAGGTGCATATCCAGAAGAGCGCGGGGAGGAACAATTGATTTATTTGTTTTTGTCTTTGTAAACCTCAAGCTGCGGTTCACGCCACCACAATGCGAATAGGATCAAAGATAATCTTCATAGCCTTCTTCACAATTGCCTGGATCGCTTCTACGGCGTTGGCGATCCCTCAAGTTGTTGATCGTGAAGATCCACCTCCAACTCCACCGGCTCCTCCAAAACCCATCGCGACAGCCGACGAAGTCGACATAACCAGACCAAATACCACGGCCGGCCCAGATGGGAAGCCACCGATCCCTATCACGGTGCAGCTTTTCTCCAGCTCGCCAGGCGTAAAGTCATGTCGGAGCGGCGCGATGATAGTGGACATGGAGTTCCCCAAGAACGCGTCGATAAGCCCGCAGTTCACGAGCCAGAACGGGCAATGCTACGACTTGCCCAGCACAGCGCAGTGTGGAATATTCTTGGCAAACAAGGCAGACGGCTGCGAGGCGAAGCTGTTTAGAGGGCAAAAATGCACAGCATTTATCAACGTCGCCGTCTTCCAGCCCGAGCTACGACCGGTGGGCGGGTTTTTTACGAGTATGGCTATCAAATGCGGCGTCAAACCCGTCGAGGTGCCGCCCTTAAACTTGGGGGGACTCGGAGGGAAGATGCAGAAATCGACTGGCAAGACAGCCAAGGCGGCAAGGGCTGTTGATGCCGCAATTCATGCCGGCCGATCCTAGAAGAAGGAGGAGGAGGTTTGAAGATCGAGGTGACGGATCGCCAAATTCTAAGCGCGGCTGTGCCTTGACTACGACAACCAGGTAGATAGTGCCTCAGAGGCTATACCCTTACGACTTAATGAATAATAAGATACCTCACGAAAAACTAGATTTTGCTGGTGCTCGATTAGCTGTGGCCCTAGCCACCCTGGTCGAGTAGTGGTCATCTGTCTTCGTTCGAGAGTTCCGGTCTCAAACTGTCAGATTAGGTCTAGTAAGGAGGGCATAACAGAGCATGTTAAGAAAGAGCTTGTCTTCAGTTCTTCGATTCAAACATGAGCCCGGCTGGCTTGATCCCTCGGGCTTACAGTCATGCTTGTGGCGACCAAAAACAATGACCGTCGTGCCAGAGGAGGATCAAACAGGAGGGACCACGACCGGACCACATTTCAGTGGCCATTGCTGGTCCGTGCAGCAGTTAAAAAAAAAGAAAAAAAAAAAAAAAGAGATGCTCTGTAATGGCATCTTTAATTAACAGCAAATGTCATCGACTAAAAAGCTCTCTAAAGTGCATCAACATCACAAGCTTTAGTTCTTCGGGCATTTTTTAAAAAATGCAAGTCAATCAGATCCAATCGATTATCTTCAGCAATCCAAGACTCATTAGAAGCGCCATGGCGTCTTACCCCTTTTGTGTGGCTTCACCCAAGACAACTGACCGTCTGATCTGAGGTTACAAATGTGTCATCTCGTCTCAGACGCTTCAGCCCCCTGCACTGACAAGAACACAGCCATTCATGGCACACACACACATATAACCACTGAGCCTTCCCTGTCCCTCTTTCACCTGTCTGCTGCTATTTTCCCTCTTTTTGACACAACCTTCCTTTCCGTTTAAACCTTTTTTTCCTTCGTATTATTCCTTCTTTTCGCAGTGGCCGGCCACTTTTAGACTTTGGGGGTGCAATTTTGAGTGGTTTCGTCGTTGTCCTCTCGTTAACGATTCGTCTATCCTACCCTGTCCATCGTCACACGACCTCACAAAAAGTAATATATATCTTGCTCGACTATCTCCCACTTTGAGAGAAAAGCAGCCAAGAAAAAACACCAGTCAAGATGCACAACTTCTTTCTCGCTCAACTCCTCCTGGCGGTTACCGTCTTCGCCAACACTGCCTTTGGTCATGCCATTTCCAACCCCGGTCCGGCCGTGGTCGTCCGCCAGGCGGCCCCCGTAGCCGCCAACCCCCAATCCACCATCATGTCATGCGCCGATTACAGCCGCATTGCCAACCTGTCAACCATTGGTGCCAACAGCACGTACCGCGCCACCTTCTTTGCCGCCTCGCCCAACGGCAACCAATACAATGCCGAGGTCCTCGACACCGCCATCGCGAAGCTGCCCTCTGTCATCATGGACAAGGCCCTCAACGACGCCTGCGGCAACCTGACGGCCCTTGCGCTTGTCGAGGCCGAGCGCAACTTCACCCAGCGTATTGTGGCGCAGTTTTCCAACATTCCGGTCCCCCCGCCTTTGAAGACCGGTCCCATCATCGGCATCGTGTGCCTGAGTATTGTCATGTTTTGCGGAAGCTGGGTTGCTATGCCGTAAGGGCGTCGTTATGGCGTGGGAGGAGACGTCTTGTTGCGGGGAAAGGCTTGTTAAGGACACGGCGGCAGTCTCCATGTTACTGGGGACTTACAAAGATTTTTAATGCATCTCCTTTGCAGCCAGTTGAATCGGTGTTTGACGTTTGTTCTGTGAGAATGGATATCAATGATGCTTAGCGTGGTGTTCTATGAATACAATACGATACCCTAAATCAATTATTGGTTATTCATGGTCTCTTTTCAAATCGGTCCGTTATCTGCGACAACTAGATGCTTGATTCACTAATCAATGGAGGATTCATATGGATTTATGACGGGCTATGCCCGGAAGTAAGCGTGGGCTAGGCCTCACGCCGGCGAACGGACTACGGAAGCGGGACCCGGGGCGGATCTGCGATTCAAAGCGACGTATTGGTTCCTCTCTCCTTATCAGCCTCTAATGGTTGCTAGGCTCAATTAGACCCTCGCATCCCTCCACAGCCTATAGCTACTTCACAAGAAACCCAGGGGTGACCTCCCAGCTCCGCATATCATGCGGTTCGCCCTAGACAACGAAACCTTTGCGTACCGCAGTGACTTCATCCTCATCAAATCCTGCAGTAAGGGGTAGGGTCTATATGGCCTCCGGATTAGATATGGTTATTGGGTGCGAAGCCCGTGCCTTTGAGGCGGCATGATATTAATAATCGATTCTAATGATATGTCTTGGGATAGATAATCATCGGGTTCGTCTAGGCGCTAGCGCCTGATTTAGAACGGGCTTGACGTCCAAACAGAAGCCGGCTCTTGCTCCTTAATCCGCTATCCTTCAAATATTTTTTGGCTTAGCAGGCAATAAGGGATTTCTGGAATAACTTACGATATGCTCTTTAGTTCTTCCGGTTTTGAATCTTCCTGCGCTGCTTACTGGACTCGGCCCTAGCTTCAGCGTCGACATGGCTATGATGATGAATGACCCCACCGCTCTCACCCAGGGCTAACAAAGGCAGGATAAAGGAGTGCTCCATAATTTCAAGTCACCGAATATACACCTCTGTATTGCTGTTATCGATACGTAGCGGTCGACAGTGAGGAAGACCTTTGGGGTTGAAGAGTTTGTTGCACTAAACAAGGCCAATTATAATGAGCTGAACAAGGGCACGCAATAGATGTAAACCCCACCGTATAGGTTAGGCTGAATGAGGAGAAAATGTCATCGAGCAGGCCTAAAAATCAAATCACGGACGGCTCCGAGCCTCATGATAAACTCTGGTGAGAGATGCGCTAGACCGAAAAGGTAGAAAATGCCATCACACGAGTCAGATTGGCGACGGAGATTATCGTTACGAGCTCGCGATGATTAATAAACTTACTCTTAAAATACATCCGAACAACGGTGTTAGCTTATTGATTGGCTTATCGCCGGGAAGGACTATGGCTCGTAGTCTGCATCAAAAGTTGCCCTCGGTGAGTGCCCATTGAGAAGCTCTGATCATTCTCTTTTCGCGAACCGGAGGCTACCTAAACAATGAATTTTTAAAAACCGTAACCTTGTTTGTGATTAGTGATCTAGGTCAGTGAGGAATTAATTATACCTAAGTATTTAAATTAATGCCATACGTAGATCAGGTCTGTAGACGAGTTACTAATCGCATGGTTGGCAGGCAAACGGACGACGAGGCCATGTCGAAGCAGCCCGCGGAGTAGTCCGGTACTCTGGATAATCATCGTTCATCGTTGCCCATAAGATTTCTAAGCATCAAATTGAAGACTTGACGCATACAGGCTCAGTTGCACACATATATAAGAGTCCAGTACCTTGGCATGATGGTTCAAGTTGTGCTCTATCCACTTATCAATTATCTTACGGACTCCCCCCTCAACAATTACAATGAAGCCGCAGACCGTCAGCTCGATTTTCGCCACGCTTCTCAGCATCGCACGGGCTACGCCGCTCAAAACGAGCGAAGTGAATCAGGCAACTCCTGCAGTCACGATTGCTGCCGGTACTATCATCGGGTCTTTGGTCGACGATGTTGAGTACTATCGAGGCATACCATATGCCCAGCCACCAATAGGCCCTCTCCGACTGAGGCCACCAAAGCCCGTGGAAGGGTTTGGCACTATCCAGGCCACCGGTCTTGGCCCTGCCTGCCCTCAATTCGCAAACGCAGAACCTTCTCCAGTGCTTAACCGAGTGCTAAGCATACCCGACGTCCCCGAAGCCTTTTTTTTCTCTGCAGCATTGGGGAACGAAACTGAGAGCTGTCTTACTGTCTCGGTCATGCGACCAAAGAACACCAAGCCCGACGAGAAGCTGCCTGTGCTTTTTTGGATACATGGCGGTGCTTTTCAGATGGGAAGTGCTCAGTCTTTTAATGCCTCCGTGTTGATCCCCAGGGCAGTATCGCAGGGCAAGCCGTTCATTTTCGTCGCAGTCAATTACCGCCTTGGGGGCTTCGGCTTCCTAGGAGGAAAAGAAATACTTGCCGACGGCGCGGCCAACTTGGGCTTGCTTGACCAGAGGTTGGCCTTGGACTGGGTTGCGGACAACATTGCGGCCTTTGGCGGCGACCCGGATGCCGTCACGATATGGGGCGAGAGCGCAGGTGCCATGAGTGTCTTCAGTCAGATGGCGCTCTACGACGGCAATAATACGTACAAGGGCCGGTCGTTGTTCAGGGGAGCTATTATGAACAGCGGTAGTCTGACCCCAGCAGAGCCAGTTGATGGCGTCAAGGCACAAGAAATTTTTGACACAGTGGTCCGGGAAGCGGGCTGCGATGCATTCCCTGATGCGGGCAAACTAGATTGCCTTCGTGGCCTTGATTACAAAACGTTTGCCGATGCCACAACTAAGGTTCCTAGCTACCTGGGTTATCATAGCATCGCGTTCAGTTACACACCTCGACCTGACGGCCGTATCCTCACCAACAGCGCAGAAGTATTGGCCCAGACGAAGAAGTACGCAGCCGTACCTATGATCATCGGCAACCAGGAGAACGAGGTTTGTAGGCATTAAGTCACATTATGCGTGATTTAGTAGGCTGACAATGTCACAGGGCACGGTTTTTAGTATGTTCGCTTACAATATCACCACCAAAGCTGAAACGATCTCTTATCTGAACAACATCTTTTTCCGCAACGCTACGAGGGAACAAGTCTCGGACCTTGTCGACACATATCCCCTCTGCAGCGTTAACGACTCACTAAATGCTACGGCTAACGAGACGTACCCAGAATTTAGGCGATTGGCCGCGATTCTTGGAGACTTCGAATTTACTCTCATCAGCCGAGTCTTTCTGGACTTCGCCCCTGAATCTGTACCTGCATGGTCCTATCTCAGCACTTATGGGCGTGGCACGCCTATTCTGGGGACGTATCACGTGTCCGATGTACCAAGGATGTTCGCCAAGACAGATGCAATCAGCAGGGGCATCCAGGATCGACTCATTACATTTGTGAATTCTCTCGATCCCAACGATGGCGTAGTCGACGCTGTTGATGGCGCCTCTATGCACTGGCCATCATGGCATAAAAGCAGGCAGTTGCTGGAATTTGGGGCCGGTTCGACAGGACTGCTGGACGGAGATTTCCGGAGCAGTAGCTTTGAGTATCTTCTCAGCCACTTGGAAAATTTTCGTCTTTAAGTATGATGTGAGGTCGGTTCTAGGATTAGGGGAATGGGGTTTTAAGGTAGTGCAGTGTCTGATCGTTCTACTAATCGACATACAAGAATACTGTAGTCTCCGCTGAATTGTATGTCACCCTCAAGGAGAAAGCATGTCTTAGTCACAAGCAAACAGAGATCTCCAGGGTTGGACTAGATAGACACAATCCTAGGACTTCACTAAGACTTTTTATCGAATTTGTTGATGTCCTCCTTGGATGAGACGTTGGTAATGCAGCTACTTCACTTCCTGTTATCTGTTCACCATGAGTTTAGCAAGAATGTATTTATTCCATTGACCAACCGGAGCGTTTGACTTGCTATGCCAGTAAATAAATTCTTGGGCATTTAATTTCAATGCGATTGACATACTTGTCTTCGAAGACTATCAGTTCAGTTAGTCGGCTATGGGTTCGCACATTGAGTCATTTCAACCAGAAAACCTCATACCTTTTGCCTGCAAAACGCCTACATCCTACTCACGCCTACGCTGGGGTTCCACTATCCGTGTTGGCAGAAATGCAAGTACTTTTGAAGCACACTTCACGCTGCTCACTACAGTTGTATTCGATTCCGCTCGAATTTAGGCGGTGGGGAAGCTGCGAGGCCAGACGTGTGTTGCTGGCATTGCGCTTGTACCGGGCAAGGGTGGCGGGAAAGGCAGCCAAATGAAGTCATATTCCATTGGGCTGAGCTTTTCACAAATGGAAGAGAAGCCCCAGTCCCGTCTAGCTCGACAAACGAGAATTGGATAAGGTGCCTATACTCATACTCTCACGTGCCATCTCACAGAGGTTCAAGAGCTCCTAAACCGCTAATTGGTCCGGCCTCTACCTCTCTCGCAAGCTTTTTCCAGCTCTTGAGACGTCTTTGGTCCACCCAATTACCATGAACCTGAGCTTTGACATGGAATGGCAGCTGAATCACGGCGATAGGCTTCCCAAAGCTCCTGGTGTCCAGCACAACGATCTCGTTTCTGTTTGCTCCTCTGCGCTCCACCATGGCCATCACCCAACCGTCTCCTTCCGGGGCATTATCGCTTCTCGGGATAAAGATAGGCTCTTGGACAAATGACTGGGAGCCAGCGTAAAAGTATTCTGTTTTGCCGCTTGATTTGTTGTGCATCGCAAGCCCGTTGAGTCCATGGACTAGCGTGTGCCCATTTGCGCCTTGGCTCTCATCAATATGAACATTGATCCAGACGCAATTGTAGCTCTGCGTGAGAAATCTCTCATCTATCCGTGGGAACTCGGACGGTAAGTTAAGAATAACTTCCGGGTCGCATACTTTGCTGTTATTTGGCTGTGATAAGTCCAGTGTCCAGCAGACGTAGTCGGAAGCCGGGTCGGGTGCTGGCAGTCTACCGTCGTTCGTTGGGAAAAAGGGGAAACCGTTATCGTGGACGCGCGTCGTTTCTATTCGCAACGTGGACCCATCTTCACTCTCCCATGCACCGCCAGTGTGGATAAGCATGCAATTCTCCCACGAGTATACCCTATGCTCACCGGGCTTCCAACCGGGGGGCAGCGGGGTCGTACTGCGGCGGGGAATGACTACAAAGGTCGCCGGCAAATCGTAGTCCCAGGCCCAGTGGTGTCCTCCCTTTTTCATTCTCTCAACATTTGCTTCGAAAGGCCAGAGCACTAAGATGATCCAGTTCGGCGTGATAGCACAATCATGAATAGGTGCGCACCACGGAGACTTGATCCATTGCTCGTCGTGCTTGACTCCTTGGCTGTCAAGGGCGAATATCACTATGTCGAGGGATGCAAGACCTGTTGCTTCATATCCGAAAACTAACAGCTCGTTCGTGTAAGGGTCGACTTTTGGATGTGCTGTAAACGTTTTCGACCGGACCTGCGGCCCGAAAGGGTCGTACTTGATCGTCTCAAGAGTATGGGGGTCAACTGAATAGGGTAGCCCTCCTTCCTTGAGAGCCAGAAGGTGGTCTGCCCAGAGTACGAGATTGGTATTTGCCGTCGAGTCCACAGCTGCGCGAACACAAGGGTGGTGCGTGTAAGGGTTGCGATAGAGGCCAAAAAGGGCTTTGTTCGCCTTTCTCTCCAGCTTGTAACGCTCTGTTTCGACGTAACGCATTCTCATGTCCACTCTTCCGTCCTTGATGCGGAACGCCGAGATGTGGCCGTCGCCATCGAGTGGAACGTTGCCTGGATGCGGTGGCACGAAAGGGTCTGTCATAACTCTGTAAAAGGTCCCGTCGATTTCCTTTGGGATTTCTCCCAAAACTACAAGGTCGCCAATCTCTCCTTCAAGACGACACGGCAAGTTGGAGCCAGCTAGGTCATAGGCTTCTGGCCATTTCGTCTTCAACCCATAGTTTGCCTGTGTTGATACGTTATTTTTGATGACATCATGCTCAGCACTGTTGGAGCCCATCTTGGTCAAAGAAAACTTTGTGAAAAAGAGACAAAGAAGGAATAAGTCTCAAGCTTCTCATGTGAGTTGTTCGAGTATTGATCTAGAAGCCCGGCAGAATTTTCATCGGACAACCACGCTTTATAGGGAAGATATCAGATGGCTCGGTGTACCCAAATCACCACCGGGCGAACGGGTCTTCTGGTACATGATAGATGTTATAACTACCGATTCGGTCTTCAGCTAATTGGTTTTAAACTTTTTGATCGAGATGTCATGGTCCGGTTACAGCCCTTACAATGTAGCTCACGCAAGGTTCCCCGCACTTTTCACAGTCGACTATGCTTGCAGCGGCATCATGCGGTCCTAGCTTCACTCCTTCTTTCGACTGCAAAACCACAAGCTTAATATGAGATTCAGTATCACCAAGCACGGATGCAATTTTGCCCGGCACTCTAGCTACGAAGGGAATATGCTCGTTTGCCAGTACCGTAGTCACTAGCGACTAAAGAAAACTAATCGAAATGGCCTCAACTACGATCCAATATGCATGAGACCGTTATCTGCTGTAACATCATCGAGTTTCTGGCCTTGGCACCTGGCAATTATAAATAATCGGTACCCTATTGGGTGGCGGACTGCATAAAGGAGCCTTTAGTACACTATTCCAGGTTTCACCAATCCTACTTCGCGTATCTGGCGGTCAGATGAACCTGTCGGCATGGTGCCGAAAGTCAATAATAGTGCCCGTGCAACGACATTACTACTCGTGCGAAAACGAGACGGACGGACTTATAGATGGCTCCGAGACGAAGTGCCGGCAAATAAGGATTTTATATATCTATCAGTTTGATGACACAGGACGGTTCACGAGATATTCAACAGCATTGCCGGGTCTAGTTAAGACGGCACGTAGGTTTTCATAAGTGATGGAGGGGTACTAGTAAGTCAACAGGGGACCGTGCTAGGATTTGAGGCCGCGACTCCTCCCAAACATTGAAAGATATCTGGGGCATTCTTTCGGAGATGGAATTACGTCTTTCTAAGACGCATGGATTTTATATCCACCTGAAGAACGGTTCGTCAAAGTTGTCACGGCAATGTTTGTTTAGCAAGCATCGCATCCTATATCTTATCAAGCTGACAATATTACTGTGTACGACTTCATTAACACATCCACCGATAGTTCCCAAGCTTTATGGCTAACCCTGCTATTTATCAGACATAATTGGGGACAGCTTTGGCACAAGTAAGTCATTACTATTCATTTAAAGTAGTTTCTGAAATCGAGGGCATCCATCATTATCATAAGCCTTTCGTGGCACCACAGCTAAAAGAAACCTGAAAACAGCTCATCAAATGTTCGAATCACAGAATCCCTTGTCCTTTCGGCAATGTATCTGATTTCCTCTTCTGTACTGGTGTAGGCGGGGGCCAAGAGTATGTGATCCCCTAAAACGCCGTCCTTCGTGCCGGTTCCTGGATAGAGGCTGATACCGAACTGGTTGAGACCCACGAGATGGACTCTATTGGCGATATCCGCTGACCGTTGGAAAGGCTCTTTGCTTTCCTTATCCAGGACAAACTCGATCTGATCAGATTTTAGCAGATGTAGCAGAATCCGTGCAAGGGAAACTTACCCCCCAGAAGAGTCCTTTGCCTCTGATGTCACCCACGTGAGGGTGATCTTCAAGATATCCACGCAAAAGCTGTTCGAGAAGAGCTCCTTGTCGTCGGACATTCGCCACCAGATTCTCTTCTCTGATTATTTTCTGGACCTCTAGCGCAGCAGCACATCCGACCGGATGACCTTGGTATGTATGGCCATGCGAGAACGCGCTTATAAAACATCAGCAGGACACCACATGAATGAGTGACCAAATACTTACCCAGTTCCGTCAGTCAGCGCGTCAGCCACCCGGTGGTTAATCATTATCCCGGCAACGGGCGCGTATCCACCACCTAGACCCTTCGCCATCGTCTGAATGTCAGGTACGATGCCTTCTTGTTGCCAGGCGTGCAGAGTGCCGCAGCGGCCCATGCCCGACATAACTTCTGTATGAGTGTGAGAATCATATCAGTAAGCTAGCGAATAGTAATCTCACCGTCCAGAATAAGAAGAGCGCCGTATTTATCGCAGACTCTCTTCATCGCTTTGAAGTAGCCAGGCACTGAAGGAACACATCCCAAAGCCTATTACATGTTGGTCAGTAAAATACCTTTATGCATCTTTGCTCATCCGTCGAAACGTACCGCACCGACGACCGGCTCAGCGACAAAAGCGCAGACCGTCTCGGGGCCAAGTTCCTGGAATTTGCGATCCAACTCATCTGCCAGCTGCTCGACATACTGTTCCACCGTCTGGCCCGCGCTCATCCCGCGATACGCATTGCAGGCTGAAACCCGCGCAATGTTGGGGAGCAACATGTCTGTGAAGAGACTTCGGCGCGCAACGTGACCGCTCATTGAAAGAGAGCCGAGCGTCGTGCCATGATACGACCCTTCCCGGGCAATGAAGTTGATTCGCTTTGGCTGGTTTATCTCTACGAAATACTGACGGGCCATCTTCATGGCCGCTTCCATAGCTTCCGAACCTAGAAATTGATGAGATTATTGAAAGATATCTCATGGGTAAAAAGGTTTGGGGAGAGACTTTACCAGAGCACATTATGTACGTCTTGGACATGGCGCCGTCTGTCCCTTGAATCAACTCATCCGCTAGTTCCTCCCCAATCGGATGGCCGAAAAACATTGAGTTGCAATACGCGAATTTGTCGAGCTGCGCAACCATTGCTTTCTTGACTCTCTCGTTGTTGGAACCAATGCAGGCTACGGCCGCGCCACATGTTGTATCCAGAATTGTCTGACCGTTGGAAAAGGTAAGATGTTTTCCGTTCGCCGCGACAACCTGCGGTGGAGGGGCTTTCAGTGTACGATGGAGCACTGCGCTCGTAGCTGGGTGCTTTCCCCGGGTGGGCGGTGAGTGGGGTTCATTGTTGTTTAATGAGGGTATAGTTGTTTTAGCTCCCCGGCGAGTAATGGTTGTGATTCTCGTCGAGGGAGTTCGACAAGGCCGCATTAAGGTGCGAGTCAGGGGGTGGTTAAGCGGCATTGTATCGAAGTGGTAGTAGTAGGTCAGTGATGTTGCAGTGAACCGTTTGACAGTCCGGGGATCACTCAGGGCTCCACTTGCTTTCCTCTGGCAAATGTGGTGAAGTAGTTGAATAAAAGTAAGTAAGATGGGGGTAAAAGGGGCTTTGTTGGGGCCAAAGCCTTAACTTTGCCGCTTCTTGTCGGTTTAAATCCTGGTACTGTACACTGCTAGGCGCCCATCAGCCATGGATAAATAACCTTACGCTTGGCTTATCTGCATGGCGTATCTGGCGTGTCCCATAAATGAGGGGTAGCTCCATCTCTCCCAACACGCTTAGGCGTCATAATATGCAGTGGACGGATCAGTCCGTACGGCCGTTACCACAACAAAACTCTAACATCCACATGTTCCTTTCTAGAAGGATGCTGTGCTCTATCCGATGAGGTTGGCAAGTAAGAAACTGGAACCGACATATTACGGGCGTTACGTGTAGCTGCCGTCTCATTCATCGTGTAAAAGCTTTCTGGGAGACTGAAAGCTGAGATTAAACATTCTGGATTTGACTCTCGATGGAATTATCATCGACAGTTCTTTAAAATTCCATCTTGTCTCGAATTCGTGATTGTTTGTTATAGACCAGTTGGTTGACACTGTCGAAACTCATTCCCAGTCTACAGCGCGTATATTGACTTCAAACTGGGGCCTGTATTTCTGCCCACACGCTATTTCCGATATGGCACCCAACACCGGTGACTAACAGCCCAAGGTAATACGTCATTCTAAATGCATGTCCCATATCTCATATGGGGCAGAATGCTTGCAAGCCAGGCCGATAACCGATGCAGATCACTCCGACCAAGAAATAGTAAAGGAAAGGCATGGGCTACAATGCCTTTACAATATAAAAGGCTCTTTACGCTCCTGACTATCCCACTTTAAGACTATAGTCATCGGCACATCAATGAATAGTCAAAATTAACTTTGTATTAATCTATGTCAATAATAGTGGCTCTCCATACTCATCCAGAATCTGTGTCCAGTCAACCCGAGCCCCGTCATCAGACCTCCGCTTTTGCCACAAATCCTCAAGCGTATCTAGGGATAGTGCAATGTTTTGGAAGCGCCGCTTCTGCAATGTCATCTTTAATCGCATGCGGATGGCTTCCATGTGCTCCTCCTCTGTTGCTTCTCCACCAGCAAGAAAGAGCGGAAACAAAATGGCAGATTCGGCGTGGGTGCCGACGGGGATATCACAGACATGCCTCACTATGTTGGACACCTGTGTACGGACCTTTGTCGGCAAAAGCTCCCATGCCCCTGATGAGGACAGCACCATGTTCTGATCCGAAGATTCTTCATCTTCGATCCGAGAACGCACAAGGCGGTACAGAAATATCAGAACAGCACTTCTGAGAGCGTGTGCCAAGGCCACCAGGTCGGGCGTAGCGTCCTGGCGGCATTGCCAGCGGTGGAGCTCATCTTCAACGCTGGCACAAGTGCTATGAAATTGAGCCGTTCTCTTGGCGGATTCCTCCGCTGACAAGCCCGACTCTAGTTTCGTTTCCTCGTCGAGACAGCAGAGTTTAGAGACATAGCGTAGGAGTCCTGTTGCAACACCTAAATAGGTGTCCACGACATCCGTGATGCCATCCAGATAACTGCAGTCAAGCAGCGGTCGTCTCCGTAGGGTCACGCTGCCAACAATATCATGGTATGCGAAATTCCGAAGGATCCATTGGCCTTCGGAGCTGTTCTTGAACGCGTCAGGCCCGCGCAACACGACTCCCGAACTGGCGTTTGCAGTAGCAGATTCGATGATGAGTTTTGCCCCGTTAAGGTGAGTGTACCATCTGTCGCAGCTGCCCACACAGACCTCCCCGATTACAAACGCCAGACATGTCGCTGCTTTAGTCTCATACCATGTGATTTCGTTTTGAGGGTTATTTAGAGCTGCTGCCATGTTGTTCATGGCCTTTGAATGGGCTTCAAGCGCCGAGACCTTGTAAGACTGGTCGTTGAGTGATAGATGACCTGAAGCAAAAGCAACCAATGCATCGTAAAGCACGGAAGATTCCATTGCCATGGGCAGGAATGCTGTTACGGACCGTCTTGTCAGTACAATGAGAACACACAATCATCACGGAGGCTTCGAGCTTACCTGAGATGAAGGAGTTGAATTGCTCATTCACAGTCAAGTGATGACTAAGAGTATCGATGTAATACCTCATGATGTGCCGCTTTTGAGGCGGCTTGTATTGATCTGGAACCGGCGCTGGTGCACAAAGAGGAAAACATCGCGACCATTGTTGTGAGTGGTTTGAGGCCGCTATTCGAGATGTTTGGTGTGACTCTTGTTTTCGATCAACCCAACTTGATGGCACCACGTCGCGAGTTGTACTCCGTATGCACTTCAGATTCAAGCGAGCACAAGCTCCACAGACTGGGAATGTGTTTTCGACGCACTTCTTGCGCCTATCTCCCCCCAATGTTTGTCAGAACACGCACTGACGGCAAACAGTGCAAAGGTGCCCGGAGAGCTTACCGATATCGGCATGTCAGACAGCCAGTTTTGTCATGCTTGGACCCTTTCCTACGGCGGGTATCTGTCTGAGAAGCGGTTGACATGGCCGGAATCGCCTAATTAGCAGCATCAAGTCAAAACAGCAGCTGATGATTGAACGTGTGGTGCGGCGTGTTGGGCGTAATGGGCTTGACGTGGGGGTCTTTTGACGACGGTTGGAGGGAAAAGAGGGACCCCTATGGAAACCAAAAGATGGTGAGTGGATTCCAGGGGAACTTAAGCGGAACTTCCCAGTCGACATTTGCACGGCACTGCAACACTTGCCTGTTTTGTCTTAGCGGGTGTGTCCCTCCCAGCCATTCGGAGTCAGTCGCACAGATCACAATGAGACAAGTCATGGATCTGAATGACTCTTATCTAATTCGCTCACTCAAATTATGGTATCTAGTGGGGCAAAACATTGTTCAATCTTGCATCTTCGAATCTTCGATATCGAGATTCAGTCCCATCGGGACGGGATCTATTTCACGATGAATATCTATGTCGGATGGCTCTCCCGTGGCTTTGACCATAACCCAAGAGGATCAACAGTGCATGTGAGTTAGACATTTAACGTTCAATATAGCACCACAATGTGGAGCCATGACTCTGTTGAAAACCAATTACTCGCTAATTAATGGATCGGACAAAAAGGTAGGGAATCATAAAGACTCGAGGTCACTCCAAGTCCACAACTTCCATCACACTCGTCTACTGTTGTCTTCCACCATGGTAACATGTGACGTATCCTTGTATTCCTCATTTTGCATCTTGTCATGAAGTCTTTCTTGGACGTCATGTCTGACCTTTTCATCTTCGGTCGGGTAGGCCCGCTTGAACATTGTCCAGAGAGAGTGCTGAAAGAGGTCGTCCATCGACTCGATACTGCGGCCCTTGAGCTCGGGCAGGCAAAAATAGACAAAGATGGCGCCAATGTATGTCAGAATACCGAAAAACAAAAAGGTGCCGTAACCCATCGTTCGCAGCATGTGCGGTGTGGCAGAAGTAATGCCGTAGTTGACGATCCAGTTTGTGAAGAGACAGCAAGACATGGCGAAGGATCTGATGCGAGGGGGGAATATCTCAGCCCTAGTACGTCGCGGTTAGTCTCTAGAACTATTCATGTGTTTTGTGACCGCGCTGGACTTACGCAGTAAGGTATGGTGCGACGGAATGCCCGAATGACCACCCGAAAGCATACAAGTAAATCCTGTTCCAATTGTCAGTAAGACGAATCATCAACCCAAAGCCTGTGGAAAGGGAGTGACCTACCAGATAATACCCACTATTCCACCAGCGGAAGTTCCACTTCCCGCCTCTACCTTGGAGAATCGAAGAAACAGCCCAATGTACAGCATGGCTGTGGCCTGAATGGTGGCACCAATAATGAGTGGAAGACGGCGCCCAACACGGTCCACAATGACAGTGACGTAAAGAATTGTCGTTACGAGCTTGACCACTCCGTAAACGCCGGTGGTGAGGAGAGAGCTAGAGCCCTTGGGAACACCAATCATGGCAAAGATCTCTGGCGCAAAGTAGTTGAGAGAATCGGTACCGGTGAGCTTATGGAACAGAAACAGCATGATAGCCAGAAAGAAACGGCGCCGGTTGCTGGCGTTCGTAGCTATGTCCCGAATGACAACAAGATAGTTGGTTCCTATGACTGTTAGGGTTGTTCTATTTTTTTTATTTTTTCGAACTTGGCATATGTTACCTTTGACCGTTTCTTGCTCTGCCTCAACCTGAGCAGTAATCTCCATGTACTCTTGTCGTACGTAGGGGTGGTCGGCTGGTAGGCCTCTCAGTTTGCACAAATTCTTCAAGCCAAGTTCTTGATTTACCTTTGCAATGAGAGCGCGAGGAGTTTCGACAACAACTACACAGAGTCAGCTAACAAGTTTTGTAACAGAGTTTGATACTCGCAGAGGCTTACACCAGATCAAAACGAAAAGAAAGAATCCAGGAACTAGTTGGATGCCAAGTGCCAGTTGCCAAGGCTTGTTATCGTTGGGGTCTTGATTAGGCCAAAGGCTAACTGCGTAGTTGACCCAGAAAGCAATGGCAAGGGCCAGGATGATCATGAGATTGTATGACGTGGTAAGAGAGCCTCGGATCGATTTGGGGGAGTTTTCTGCGAGGTATTGGGGTGCCAGCTAAAGTTCGTAGCAAATCATTAGCTCAAGTCAAACATGATCATTGCAGATTCTGTCTACAACCACTTACCATAGAAGTGGCTCCAATAGCTACACCTGCCAACAGGCGACCTGCATAGAGGACATCCAAGTTGGGAACCTCTTGCATTGCGCATCCTACGAGAAAGAGACCAGCCATGGAGGTCACAGCCTTCTTCCTGCCAAGGTAATCGGAGAGCGGAGCCGCAAGCAGAGCACCCGCAGTTCCTCCAGCAGCCACTGTATAGTGTTAGGAGTGCCTGACATTCAGCAGGCTAAACAAGTGTCCACTCACACATTGCCGCAATGTTACCCTCTGCCATAATGTGTTAGATCCGAAACTCCTGAGCACATATTGATTTTCAATCTTACCTCTCTTATCCGCTTCTGCTTCACTTATCTTGTCGAAACCGAAAGCCTTCCGGAATGAAGGGAAGGTCATGATACCTCCGATGTTTCCCTGATCGAAGCCATACGAACATCCTGCAAAGGCGATGGTGATTCCAAGCAAAAGAAGTTTAGAATTAAAGATCTCTCGAGGATCTTTCTTCCAATCAGGAGAAGCGAAGAGTGAAGTTCCGCCGCCCATTTTCGCAGTCTGTTCCGTCAAACTCGCAGTGAAGAAGGTGAAGAGTTGGGCGTCCGATTTTGACAAAACTATATCGAACAGTTTTGTGTGAAAGACAAACTGAAGTAAAGGTTGTTCCGTGTATCATATATCTGCATCGCCTTGGTTAATGACTCCTAACCGTTCGTAAAACACCACCCCATGGGGGAGGAGCCAGATACCAAGAGCCGAACTACCCCGCGTAACCCACAGTCGTCTCCTCGAACCACAAGGGCCAGGGAAACCATGAGAATCAACCTATGCAATAACTCGGCGAGAATGCCGGAAGACACAACAAGAGATTCTAGTTGAAAGGGCTTCAATCGCAATCATTCGACAATCTGGCAAAGTGATCTGCTCTAGTTCCCACATTCCCCAGGTTCAATATTTGGGGGCTTCTGCAACCCCAGGTTCCCATCAAGCTAGGCAGAATTAGGAAATTCGGCGACATGTCCTAGTCTCGAACTCTCACCCTGCGACACAAGAAGCCTAAGGACGGGGGCTTCTCGGAACGCTGAATAGCGGGGCCGGGGTTTGGGCCGAATGGGTCACTGAATCGCGGAGGAAAGTTGGAAGCGGGGATTAACTGACGCGGGGCAAAAGCATCACAACTTGGCATTTGGCACCGTGGATGGAATACATAGAATTGGGCCGCGGTCCACTAGGGTTCCATCATATCAGCGATATTCTACGGCATCATCATCATTAATCGTGCTTCCATTGACATTAGGTTACGTCAGTCGCGCTTTGCTCTATACTTCCTAATTTTTATCTTCGTTCCGGAGCCCTGACCGTAACAATGTCAACTCCTACTCTACACAGCGCCGCAATCCCCGCGGTAACGGTCCAATCGCACGCTTCCAACCTTCTCCAACTCCCCAATAAGACGCTGCTATGTGCCTGGTTTGGCGGCTCACAAGAGGGCCTGCCTGATATCAGCATTTGGCTTTCGCGCCTGGAGCCTGGCTGGAACTCCTGGTCAGCTCCGCGAAAAATATCTTCCGACGACAACCGCAGTTGCCAGAACCCTGTCCTATTTAGGGCTCCCAGAACTGGTGATATCTGGTTGTTCCACACCTCTCAAGATGCCGGTAACCAAGATGGCGCAGTTGTGATGGCTCGCACATCTAGTGATGACGGCGTGACATGGTCTGAGGCGCGCTACCCTCTTAAAGGGGTTTCCGGTGTATTCGTGCGCCAACCTCTCGTGGTATTAGATGATGGAACATGGGTTTTGCCCGTCTTCCACTGCCGATCTATACCTGGTCAGAGATGGATCGGCAACAACGACATTTCGGCCGTCTTCTATTCTAGAGACGAGGGGCAGACTTGGGCGGAAAATATCGTCCCCGACAGCATAGGCGCAGTTCATATGAACGTCATTCGCCCCGGCAAGGGTTCAGATTATGTTGCTTTCTACCGGAGCCGATGGGCCGACAATATTTACAGGTCTACCTCGACGGATGGCCTATCATGGACGCCTCCGAAGCCGACATCCCTACCAAACCCAAACAGCGGTATCTGTGCTGCTCGTCTGCCTTCGGGCAAACTGGTAATTGTTTTCAATCGGTCTGCTTCAGAGCCGCACATGGCCAAGAGAGAAGGATTATACGATGATATCACTCCAGAGGATGACAAACGTCCCAACCAAGAGTCTGTCAATGGAAAAACCGCCATCTGGGGAACGCCCCGAAAGACCTTGACACTTGCCATTTCTAGTGATGAGGGTCTTTCATGGACAGAAAGGGTTCTCGAAGATGGCGACGGCTTTTGCATGACGAATAACTCGAAGGAAAAGACTAATCGGGAATTGAGTTACCCAAGCATCTTTGTGGACTTGGAAGAGCCAGTTGTACACATAGCATTCACATTCTACCGGCAGTACATTAAGTACGTTAGGATCGAAGGCATTGAGAAATGGGTCGAACAAGCATGAGTTAGTATTGCGCCGATGAATAGAACACAGGTAAAAGCCCTCTTTGCATGATGCATGTACATGAAGTGACTCTATGTCTTGAGCTTTGAGTTGGATTTCGCCCACTAGCCTACGAAAGTCGTCACATAATTCCCTCGTACCTCCGGTTTAATTTACTAGTAATAGTTTCCACAATTGACTTACCACTAACTGTCTAGTTTCATAGGTAGACGATGTCACAAGGTATAAGAATCGAAGAAGGAAGTCAACATATTGTAACCCATATGCTCAGGTAAAAAGCGCCTGATTAATCCGTAAGACCCCAAGTTTTTATGATTGTGTATATAGAAAATGCTAGCAGTGAATCACGATTACTTCGTTGAGCTATGAACCAAGGGCACGAGCAGATCACACCAAAGCTAGGAACCAGAAACGTGAAAGTCAGGTCTACAAAAGTCTTAATATGGAGGTTTCACGTCCAACTATGCATTTTTAGAGACCTTTGTTTACTTTAGAAGCATGAGAATAGTCTTGCAACGTACTAGGTAAGGTCTTTTCCATTATTGGCCACCCATAGTATTTTCATAGCTTAGTGGCGAATTTCTGCCTTCATTCCTCACGAGCAAATCCTTTGCAAACATCATCAGTGACCCAATTGAACTGGAAAACCTGTTTCTCAATGTGTTGTTGTCCTCTTCAAAGCAATCAACAATCTTTAGAAGAGGCTGTACAGCTACTATCAATACTACCACCTTGTCTATCGCTTGCAGTAGAGCTTTTGGTACTGCTTTGTTTATCGCTGCATGTTACCCATTGAAACAGACTTGTTGCAAAGCTTTAAATGCTGTGCCATAAACCATATCTAACATATATAAGAGGCCTATGCTGACGAGTAGTTATTCCGTTGCAGACGCGAGGTGTAGCCTAATACGAACACGCGTTTCGGAGAGCTTCTAGATTGATAGCCTAGGAAATTGCCCACTAAGGTACTCCACCGTGGCTTTATGCCCCTTGGATAACAAAATCTTTACACAGCCACCCCGCTCATACCCTTAGTAGTGATTCGAGATACGAATACTCGGGATTCATCCTAAAGGTAGAAGTCCCTTGGCTGGCATACTGGACATTTGACCGTAATAGACACGCACTACCACATTTGCATGCTCTCAATCAACGCTCTCCACAATGCAATCCTCTTTTCAGCAATGTCGGATGATACGAGTATTCGTAACAATTCTGAAAAGCTCTTCACTTTGGTTACTTTACTCTATTTTTAAGACGACAAAAGCCAGCACTATTTAAATATCGGTATGACTACATTCTCTTTCCAAAGATCTTCAATACTTCTACTCTTTATTATTCATCTTCAAAAACTCACTACCTCCATTTCGCATTAGACCGTTGTACATCGGTATCTCTTTTTACGGTTTTGCTTGTTTTTCAACAATCGCGAAGCCAATTTTCATTCAGACCATACTGATTCAATAATTTCAAAACTGCAAAAGCCAACCGTTTCAAACATCGCCAAAATGGACTACAGAAATTTTCTGTCTCCCAGGGGAGAGCTTCTCCCCTACAAAGGCGACTTCTACCTATGGAAATACGTTCCTTCGATGGCTGCTGCTGTCATTTTCACCATTATCTTTCTCGCGCTATCCGCGTTACACACATGGAAGATGTTCCGCACCCGCCTGTGGTTTTGCATTCCGTTTGTTATTGGCGGATACAGTAAGTTTATAGCATTGGCCCAATTCTGAATCACGCAAATGGAGCATGCTAACGTGTATCAACAGTGGAAGTCATTGGTTTTATCGGTCGAATCGCCGCCAATAATGCAACCGACCAGCTCATGCCGTACATCATCCAATCCGTCTTCCTACTCATTCCACCTTCTCTCTTCGCCGCCTCGATCTATATGACACTCGGTCGAATCATAAGTGGTCTCGGATCTAAAGCCGAACTGTGCTCCATCATTCGAGTAAAGTGGCTGACGAAACTGTTCGTTATTGGAGACGTCTTTTCGTTCTTGATTCAGAGCACTGGAGCAGGTTTGATGGCCGCTGGCAATGACCCTAAAATGGGCGAGAATATCGTCGTTGGCGGCCTCTTCATCCAAATCCTGTTCTTTGGGCTCTTTGTTGCCGCGGCTCTCATTTTTCATCTTCGCTACCGCAAGAGAAGTGCTCATCGGAGGACCATGGACTCCACTGGAATAGTCGGGACTTTTGACTGGGAGGGGATGATGATGATGCTGTATGCAACTTCTGCACTCATCCTCGTTCGGTGTATTTTCCGCATTATTGAGTATGTCATGGGTGCTGATGCTTACCCCCTCAAGAACGAGTGGACGTTGTATGTTTTCGATGCCGTCCTGATGGTTGCTACCATGGGCATCTTCTACATCTGGTATCCTTCTCAGATCCAAGAGTTTCAAGCAATGAGGGACACGGAGGTTGTCAGTCTCGCATACGGACCCGTGGCATCTTGAAAAGGCTCAAAGGTTGTTGTTTACTCTGGTCTGGGGAGTACTGAGTAGAATCGGGATGCCTGTCAAAGCTCTAAGCCACGTGAATCACGACCCAGATCACGATCAGCTATTCTCCATAGGATTTTTCATAGTAAAGAATATTATGTAATATTTTTGTCACATGTTGATTTCTCGTGAACAGCTTTTTCGTTCCGTGGGCTTTAGCATCAGTCCAAGCAGCGATTAAACGCAACACACTCGGGACAGAGACTGCGTCAAATGTTTTAAGAAATCAATTTTGTCGTTTTCGACGATTGCATACCCATGAGAATCCCTAATAAATATATGTACGTTTGGTCAATTGGCTTTGCCGCGACGCACACTGTGCATCTCATCGAGTAGACGTCAGGTAGAGGAGATCGGTCAATCTTGCAGATCAGTCACACAAATTTACATTTAAACATTCCTGTCACTTTGCAAGTAGATATCGTGTGGATGTCGGCAACATGCTGAAGATACTGTCAGCTCATAGATCAAAACTGTGGGCTGCAGCAACCAGAGTATGCTGTTCTTGTAGGACAGAGAGCCGAAATCCGAAGTACCGCGGTAAATTTCCCCCTGGCTGCAAATAACAGATTGAATGAACAAGCCCTCAAAAGCCCAAGAAAAACGATCTACGGCGAGTTCTAGACCAAATTTGCCAAGTCTTTGGATATATTGTACTCATTTTTGTGGCAGACTATTTTGCGAGCGGTTGATGCGTGGCACAGGTCCGTTTCCTCGCATTTTCTTCCCTTGTTCCGCGCATTCGTATCTCACGGCCCCACTTCAATGGTTTATTCATCTTCGAGAACACTGGCCGAGTTTGGCTCACCTAAAGTGCTGTCGTCATAAGGAGCGCTTACGGTGTATTCGAAAGTCACTACCTATACCTTAGGGAAAACAGGCTTCCGTAAAAGCTCATTTAAGACGGGTGAAAGACACTCAACTCGAAATAAGCATTGCCATCGGTTCTGACACCTTCTCTTCACCACTGGTTCATGCGCGCTTGGTCTCAGAATGAAGAACTTTTTGATACATGCAGCCTTCATGGGCGGCGGACTCGCCGCTAATATCTCCGTGTTGTCACAAAAGGGCAACTACACAAGCCATACTCCATACGGTTTAATGTTTGAGGTATACCGAATTTCTCGCCACACAACTTCTATTGAAAACAGCAACCTGTCTGACAGTCATTATAGGAGATCAACCACAGTGCAGACGGAGGAATTTATGCGGAGCTGATCCAGAATAGAGCCTTTCAAGGAAGTGATAGCGCCCCAGCAAGCCTGGCATCGTACAGTGCCATCAACGGTGCAATCCTCTCCCTTCAGAACAGCAGCAATGGCGAACCCTTGTCGGATGCCCTCCCCAACTATATGCGTATCTCTGCCAGCCTTGGCAATGGATCCGATACCACCACTGCTGCGCAAATTGGCTTCTCAAATTCTGGTTGGTGGGGTATCGATGTCAAGGTTCAACCCTATCAAGGGTCCTTTTTCGTTCGAGGCCGCTACAACGGAACCTTTACAGCATCTTTGCAGTCGGCGGTCACAAACCAGACGTTTGGGAGCGTACAGATTCGGTCACAGAGCAATGATGAGAGTTGGACGAAGCATGCATTCACCTTGACTCCTACTACCGCTGCTGAGTCGACTAACAATGTAATCTCAATCACGTTTGACCCTTCGGTATGCGAAAGCTCTGCTGCGAAAGTAATACGCACCCTGTACCATTTCTAACCGTTTCTAGCTTACGGACGGTTCGTTGGACTTTAATCTTATCAGTCTTTTTCCTCCTACATACAACAATCGAGCCAATGGGCTACGGTCTGACATTATGAATGCCCTGGTTGAGTTGAAGCCGGTGGGTCCTCATAAGTTATGCAGCTCACTCTAAGCCCACGTATCTAATATTTCTTAGAAATTCCTCCGGTTTCCCGGAGGAGGCAACCTCAACGGAATTCTGAAAGGCACCCAGCATAAATGGAACGAAACAATCGGGCCTTTGCAGAACAGACCCGGAAGAACTGCTGTTTGGGGTTACTATGAGACTCAAGGTTTGGGCCTCATCGAATATTTGCAGTGGTGCGATGACCTAGATATGGAACCTGGTGAGTAAAACAAAGTGACACTTAACCATCACATATTTCGACTACCCGTCTAGATCTAACTCGCATTTAGTCTTGGTTGCCTGGTCAGGCTTGAATTTCGTCGACGGTCCCCTCTCAGCCTCCGATCTAGCCGTTTATGTCCAGGACACCCTCAATCAACTCGAGTTCATCACCGGCTCAAGTAGTACCAAGTTCGGGGCTCTCCGTGCATCTCTCGGTTACCCTGATCCATGGAAACTCAAGTACATTCAAATCGGCAATGAAGACAATCTAACTGGTGGATTGCCATCCTATGAGGGTTACCGCCTTAAAATGTACCATGACGCCATAAAAGAGGCTTACCCAGACCTCATTGTTATGGCTTCCGCCTCGGAGCTGACGATGAACATGACTTCATTTCCTGGGGATCTTGCGGGAGACCAACACAAATACACCGTTCCCGATCGGTTTGTGGGATCTAACTTTGGCTTTTTTGACCATTTTACTCACCAAACCATTGTCTCCGAACTCGCTGTAGTCGCACCAAACAGACCGGACGGTTCCGCACCATCAGACCGAGCTGAGTACACTACCTACCCTTTCTGGCTAGGTTCTGTCGCTGAGGCTGTTTTTCTTCTCGGTGCCGAGCGGAACGGTGACAGAGTCATCGGCGTGTCGTACGCACCACTTTTGGCGAACATGAACCCCAATGCCTCGCAGTGGACGCCCACGCAGATTGCTTACGATGCTGACCCAGCACGGACAACCCGCTCAACGAGCTTCCACACATATAAGCTGCTAGCATCCCACGTGTTGACCGAGACCTTGCCTAGCGAGGGAGATATTGGGTACGGCCCTCTATACTGGGTTACTGGGCGCAACAATCAGACAGGATCATTGATATTCAAGGCGGCCGTGTATAACAGCACCGCCGATGTTCACATATCATTGGATTTTGATGGCGTGCCTGCAGGAGCAACTGGAGAGCTTACTATTCTTACGTCGAGTAGTGCTGATGCCCAGAATGTCTTGGGTGGCCCCGAGGTAATTCACACCAACGTCTCAACCGTTGTCGCTGGCTCTGATGCCAACTTTGTATTTGCACTTCCTAATCTTAGCGTCGCCACGTTGATTGTCAAAGAGCAGATATAAATTTATCTGTGTCTTTTCATGGATATAGATGCAAATAATAATAACTAGTCTAGCCTACTTGCGCCAAGGCTTCTGCTTTTCGGCTGTTTCCAGCACACCTAATGTCTCCAGGGCCCAATTCTTCGTCGCATCACCCAGTGGCAGATATGGCTTTCTCATGTTCCATGAAGACTCATCATCGATGCCGATATCGCGGCCAAGGAAGTACCAAGCACCATATTTGGTGAGCGCAATGCCTTTCTTACAAGCCCACTCTGCATTAGCTACGTCGAACTGCAATTTCTGTGCGGCTTCGAGTTGTCCAGCTTTCCATAGATCGAATACACCAGACGTCGAGGCCGGAAAGATGTTCCCCATTCCCGTCACGCAACCACTGCCTCCTGCTTGCAGCGTAGGTAGAAGGTAATCGCTGCTTCCACCAAAGACACCGAATTGCTCGTGGTTGAACTTGCTTGTTAATCTCGTCAACTTTCCGACGTTTCCGCAGGTTAACTTGACAGCCACAATATTGGGGTGTGATGCCAATGCAGTAAGTTGGTCGGAGTCGAGATCAACCCCTGATGTTACACCAGGGAAGTTGTAGATGACAATCGGGATATCAGAGCTGTCTGCAACATCACGGTAATAGCCCAGGATCGCCTCGTTGGATAGTGCCTTTGGCCAATAACTAGGGGGCAGAAGTAGGGCAAAACTGGCGCCGGCGCTCGTGGCGTCTTTTGCGTTCAAAATAGCCTCGCGGGTCGACTGTGCTGAGATCCCTGCGACGATCGGGTAGTCTGGCTTTTGGAGGTCTTTTACGGCGCGCACTGCGGTCTCGATTATCGCCTTGCGCTCATCGGCCGTAAGAAGTGCGAGCTCGCCGTTCGTGCCCAAGTATACGAGGCCATGCATTCCAGCGCGTACTAGCGCTTGACACTGTTTGTACATAGCATCATGGTCGACAGGTTGTAGAGGGTCGCCGGCTTTATAGAGCGTAACAACAGGGTTGTACACTCCCTGAGGGAGAGGCTTAGACTTCGGCGCAATAGTGCTTGAAGGCATCGTGAAGGTCTCCAAGTAACGAGATAATGCAAACAAGGAATTATGGGAGTTGGAATGTGAATACTAGGGCTTCAGCATTGACAATTCTCTGTTGATTCAAACGTTAAGATATGAATGAGTTCGTGGCGCTGGTCCTGGCCTGACCCCTCATTGCAGCCAGACTCACCATTCGGACACTGTGGAGAATTGAGCGGAGCATCACTCGGCCATGTCTAAGAATGTCCTGATACCGGACTATCCCCCGATCTCGCTTTTCGAACTGGCTCGGGCGATCCGCTTATTCGTTGAACGTCAGACGTACCCAGAACTGATGGTACAGATGCCATGGATTCTACCGTGGGGAATAGTGTACCTCCTCAGGGAGTTGTTCGGCATTCTGGTGCGGCCCAGATCGGTGAGAAGGCCGAGTAAGCGTGGGGAAGTGGATTCGGAGTTGACAAGGGTGCGGCCGGTGCACAGGGAAGACAGGGATGTTGCAGTTTGGGAGACAATGCGGAACTGACGGTTTTGCTAAAGCGCGGTCAACAGCTAACGGGGCATGGAGTGCGCGCGGCTGTTTTTCAAAATCCCCTTTTTGAAGTTCTGATGACCAGAAATTCCATCCTACTTCGATATTACTTTAGCACCTCAGACAAGCGGAGGTACTTGGCAGCATTCAGAGCTACCTGACCAAACATTGAGACAAACATTGAGACAATCGGCACATACGGTAAAGCAAACGCGATGGCGGCCAAGCCCCAAGAAAGTAACCTCATCAGCCTCACCGACCTAAGCAAACACAACACCAAGACAGACTGTTGGATAGCAGTTCATTCTAAGGTGTGGGATATCACCGACTTTATTAGTGAGCATCCAGGAGGTCCGTCAGGTAAGTTTCTGTCCCGCTTCCTCGACCGAGTCATTTGTCTCATTACCTAAAACCCTGTCAGTTCTCTTGAAGTGTGCGGGCTCAAACGCCACAAAGATTTTTGACGAAGTTCACGCCCCTGACATCCTTGAGGAACTTCCAGAAGAGAAGTTTGTTGGTGTACTGAGGGACGCTACTCCAGACGTTCCCGCCATGGCATCGCAGCCAGCCAGTGATAACCGCACAGCCGCGTCAACCGTTGGCCTCTCTCACTCTTCTGTAACAGTGCAAGAAGAAGACACTGAAATCCCTCCTCTTGAAGCCATCATTAGCGCCCCAGACCTTGAAGTTGTAGCCTCCAAGGCTTTAACTCCCAAAACGTGGGCCTTTTACTCTTCTGCTGCTACGGACTTAATAACCCACAAGAAGAACAAGGAGTTGGTGCGAAGAATCATGATTCGACCAAGGATTCTCAGAAATGTTTCTCATGTCGATTTCAAGACGAGCATTCTTGGTTTTGAGAGCTCGGCTCCATTCTTCATCTCCCCAGCAGCAATGGCCAAGCTAGTTCATCCAGACGGCGAGTTAGCTTTGAGCCGAGGAGCCTCCAGTGAAGGGATCATTCAATGCGTTAGTTTATATGCCTGTCAAAGAAATAGGATCAAACTACTGACATTTTAAAAGATTTCCAGTAACGCATCATACACCCTCAAGTCTATTGTATCAGCTGCGCCCCCAAGCCAGCCATTCTTCTTTCAGCTCTATATCAACTCGGAACGCCATAAAACGATTGAGATTCTTAGGTCTGCGAGGGCACTCGGAATCAAGGCGATTTTTGTCACCGTGGATGCTCCTGTTCCTGGTAAGCGGGAGGCTGATGAACGCGCAGCCCAAGCAGGTACTATTAGATCGGCTATTAGCAACGCTGAAAGCAGCAAGGACAAGAAAGGAAGCGGTTTGGGGCGACTTATGGCACAGTATATCGACAAGTCAATCACATGGGAAGACCTTACGTGGATTCGTGAGGCGAGCGGTGTACCGATCGTACTCAAGGGCGTACAAACCGCTGACGATGTCCGGTTGGCTGTAGAGTATGGCGTCGATGGCGTTCTTCTCAGTAATCATGGTGGCCGCTCTCTTGATGGGTATGAAACCCCCTGGATATGAAAATCTACAGTCCGGGTTGTTTTGATGCTAACCAAACTGATCTCTAGCTCTCAAGCATCAATTCTTGTTCTGCTGGAACTCAGAGAACAGTGTCCGGAAGTCTTTGATAAGCTTGAGGTTTATATTGATGGCGGCTTTGAGCGCGGCTCAGATATTCTGAAAGCAATCGCACTTGGAGCGACTGCAGTTGGCATTGGTCGGCCGTTCCTCTATTCCCTGGTCTACGGCCAAGAAGGCGTCGAGCATTTATCACAGAGTAAGTTTATACCCATTTCACTTTCTACAGTGTAACAAGGCGACTGCTAACCAGTCAATCTCGAACCAGTCTTGAAAGATGAGATTGAAACTTCAATGCGACTCTGTGGTATCACGAGCCTCAGCCAAGCTACTCCCGCAATGGTAAACACGTTGGACGTAGATTACATGGTTATGTCTGAGGCGCAAGGGCGACAAAAGAGGCCGCTAAGAACACCTCGATCCAAACTATGAGCGGTGAAATTGGTCCACCCTACATATGCTCTTGTGTGTTTTTGTCTAGTCATACCCATAAATTAAAGCTTGGATATCCAGATGAAGAATAGTATTAGGACATACACGAGGTTAGGAGAATCGAGCGTAAAATTTTAGTAGTAGATGCCCTTCCCAGGGCGAAGACATATTCAAGTTGCAAAATGTAAGAAACGTGTGCTAGTATAGCTAGAGATATCCAAGATCTGTTAGGAGCGCTTAACAGTTAACATCTACATCATCCTCTTTTCCCTTTGGCCCACCGATCGTCACAACACAATCAGGAAGTTCCGTCTGTACAGATAGTTTAATTCCCGAACCCGTGACGACAAGCACATCCAGAGGGTCTAATATTTCATCACCTTACCACCCTCCATTATCAACCTCAAAAACAAGCACCAAGTTCACCGTTTCAAAATCGCCGACATAATCCAGCACCACAATAGAGTTAATTTCAAGCTCTACAACTAAGACTACAATAGAGTCGACCAGTAAAAGCATTACGACGACAGATGAGACTACCACAACAAGCATTGCTAGATCAACCTCTACAGACGTCACAACGAAAACTTTAGCAACTACTACAACATCGTTTACTACTGGGGGACCCACAAACGTTGCCACCACCACCTTCATGTCTAGCCTCGACTTAACAACAGGAACAACCACTTCGTCAGCCACATCATCTACAGCAGAAGCAGCACCGAAAATCGTATGCCCTTCAAACCCACGGCAGTGTTTTAGAACCATGCAGATAAAATGCGATACTGCAGTCGCAGGCATTCCTCGGGTTTTTGGCTCATTCGCTGCCCAACAATGTTTTGAAAGGTGTTTCAACGATCCAAGCTGCATCATATTTACCTATTCCGGGACTGGTTGCTCCTGACTTCCGATCCCGGCGGCAGCCAAGGTTCTTATCCGTTGACAGGATGGACTAGCGGGATCAAGGGAGACTGTTGACCGTCATGTTGAAAGTTATGATTGCAATTGGTAGAATTCTGGGACGAAGTGAGCCCGGGACCGCCGGTTTACCTGTCTCTACCAGTCTCGTGGGTGACTGCGAACCAGATGGCTTGGGCAACTACTTCAGCCTGCACTCCTACATTATCTCTGCTATATACGGATTATAGTAATAGACTCCTTTTCCTCTACAGTAAAAGGCAATCCTACTACTACTACCCGTTATGTATATCCAACCAAGACCCAGGCTAGGCGGTTAAGACAGGATATTTGATGGGATGTAGGAAGGGGTAACAAGGTACCGTAGAAAGGAAGACCAATCATTTAACATATTGAGATACAAGATAGTACAATAGGTACATTACTAAATAAATAAAAACTTATCTTACGTAGCTGTTTTTCTAGTACACTTATATAGGTGTTGTAGCTTTACTGAGGAGCTGACAAAATGGTGTAGGTACTTAACAATTGCCCGCTACTAAGAATAGGCCGGTTAGTGAGAGAATAAAACCATGCCTAGGAAGAGCGAGGATAGAAACTTGGTTGGCGCGCATCTGGCGAGCTGAGAATATCAGGTGTTCCAGCCCTTTGGACACAACAAGGGTCAGGGATCTCACCTATAATGAAATATAAATTAAATGGGTCTTGTTACCTTCAGGGAGCAAGCCCCCCGGCACCTCAGGTGAGCTGCAATCTGTTCTATGCCAGTTTGTCTCGAACCGTATAGTGGATGCTTGCGTAGCACGGGCCACCAACGAGTACTTAAACAAAGAAACACCTGCTGCACATTGATAAACCCATATCAATCTACAATCTCAAGATTACTCTAGTATCAATGGCATTAACCCAAAGGTTGTTATTAGGCATGGGTCGGATTTCCACCCATCAATTAATTTCCCACCACTGGCGACTGACATCGTCAGGCTCTCTAAGGCATATGAGCACTCAAAATGGCTCTTATAGCTTCACGCTCAAGGATACTAACGCATCCAATTGGGGGGAACACCCGCTTGCCGCCACATCTTTTGGCATGAAGGATGCTGGCTTCCACCGCTTTGGATTTGTTATCTACCGGACTGTATACAACGATAATGCAGCGTGGGAACGCTATCTCGAGGTGCTGAAGCTTGCTGCACGTAAATCTCTCGACATTGTAGGTGGTGACGTACTTCTTGAGCAGTATATGGATTGTGAGTGGTCTCTTTACTTAATTATCGTTTGCTCTCCTATATTGAAGTACTACGACGTTTCTAACGCAAATATTAGGGCCGGTCATCTCCGACCCGGCTTTACTCAATGGTGCATCCAAGGCCGATGTACGACGACACTTTAAATCTTGGTGCGCAGGCCGTAGTGAAGAGCGTGACGGCCCTGGCGCTACCAATTCTGGGGTGGAATGGCTACCGCGATTCAACTACTGCCTTTATGTGGACAGTAAATGTATCGATACGCTAGCCAAAATGCCAGCGAATAGTATTAAGCCCCAGGAGTATCGTGTCCTATCTAAGCCAGTCATCGCCGTCATTGATGCTGCTTTCGATGGGAGGACCCCTGGCTCAGACCGAGGCTTGTATCCTGATGTTGAGGGCTGTACTGAATGGTATGTGGGCTGGAAGTACTTTAAAATCGGACAATTGGTCTCTACATACGATGTTTCACACGGATTTTCGTTGGATGAGATTGATTACGTGCGACCGCCGCTCATTGCGCCTGACGGGTATGAGTCCATGCCCAACTAGGCACTTTGTTCTTCACTTTGTCACTTGATTTTAATCAGATAGCTACTAATTACAGCATCTACTTACATATACAAGATCCCGCCGCTACCGCCATGTGCTTATAAGGTACACTGAGGTACTGATGCCTACCAGACGTCAGATGGCGGTTGAATGTAACGAATCTGTTCTACAAGATCATCCAGAATTTATTTGACCTCTGCAGTATTCGGCGGCAGGTCGTCATTTTCCTGGAGAGCGCTGAATCTCAATCGAATATCAGTTATGATATCTATGGCCCAAACTCGCATTCTGTCGGCAGCCTCATGGTAGCAAGCGTTATCAAACTCTTGATGGATAGCTAACATATCGCTCAGGGCGTGGACAGACTTGGATACGTGCGTGACAGCATGTCGAATATCTCTGCGTTTGCGTTGAACTACAGACAATACGTCTGGGTGATTGGTGTGCCTCAAGGAAGCGATTGTTGTTCGAAGACTATTATACATCCGATTTTGTGCCGACACGTCGCCCAGCATGGTAGCACTTCGTAGACATTCGAATTTTCAGTAGCGCATATAGTGTGGACGATCGTGGTCGATACTACTGTCACCATAGGTATGTGATGGCTGGTAAATTGAGGCGTAAGTTGAAAATTTGGCGTATGATATTATGCATTATTCTTTCTGTAAGCATAAATGATGATCAGCTCCTGCAACTCCTTTGTCCTAATCTTTTATATTTTTTGTGAACATAAAGCCATCGAGGCGCCTGCTCTGGCTGCTAACACAACCAGAAAGCACGAGAAGCGTTGTGGAACGCCTGGATCACGTAAGTAGCATTTCTGTGGAACTGTTCCATCCAAAGCCTGTCATGGGTAGGCTTAATTAGCCGCGATCCAGATATTTTCGTGATGTTGCTTATTGGGAGCCGGAGAAGACTTGGCTTGGCCTATACCAGGACAACCCTACAACTGAGACTTTATGCTGCAGGTTCCTGGAAGACTACTATTTCTGTGAGCTTTTAGTACTAATATGCTACTATAGAATAGGCAGAGAAGATATTAATGGCCATTATGAACTCCATGTTTAACTGATATGACTAATCTAGGGTTTGTAGAAATAATGGCTTGCTGCTAACGTGGAAAGGTCGGTGCTATGCCGCGGGACCTTCGTTACTAGCGGGACCTTTGCATTATGCTTCGTATTTTGGTTTGTCTGGGTCAGTGCGTTTTCCTACTAGCAAGAGCAAACATGATCTGAATGAGGGACTTGGGTTATGAAGTCGCTTGTAGTAGTGTGTGTAAAGGGAAATATAAGTATTGTACTCTTGCTTCTTCAAACGTGCGCAGAAGCCGCTGTTGCGGATGTAGGAGGACGAACACTACTATATTTAGCCTTAACTTACAGTTATGTTGAAATTGCTGTGTTGCTTCTCAAAAGGACATACACTATTATAATGGCTGTCAACAACGGGTGGTCGCTTCTCAATTCAGTTTAACATAGCGGCTATATTGAGGTGGTTAAGCTACTTTCTCCAAGATGGGCGCCCATATCTCAGTGTCTAACAGCAACGGACGGGTATCACATAATTATTCATTCTAGACTAAATTGCCTAAGAAAGAGGACTATAGCAGCTTATAAAGTTGCCAAGCACATACACCCCCTCATATCCTCTTGGTGACATCTGCTCATCCATCCAATCCCAGATTCATCTGATGCCGGCCATGGTCTGAACAACGTCTCAGTGGCTGCATGAGCAAGGGTCTGCCTGCTTTCATGGGCGCCTTCGCGACAGCTGTTGTGTTGTGGGGTTCTGCTAGTGATTCGATTGAGTCGGCACCCTTCTTTGAAGCTTCACGTGGGAAAGCTAGATAATGATGCTAATGTTGAAGGTTCTGTTTCAGAATGTGGCGTGATTCTCGACACCCATGTATGCCTATTGGTTGCACTCATCCAATACCTCCCTGAAGGAACTGAGTCAATCATGTACGGTGTAATAAGCCTGAGTAAGGTCAAACATCCTCTCCAAGGTTTCTGTCACCTCCTAGGGCGTTCCTAATCGCGAAAAGCCTCAATATACGTGCATCGGCGCATTCCTACCATACAAAAATTTCTCTCAAAACCTTCAAAGGCTTGATAACAACGTGCTACCTTGCAGCTGCTGCTCCGTTTGCCAGTCTTTGTTGCTGGAGATGAACATGTAGCAATCCACCCAAAATTTCGATTTTGCTCCTCTCGCATCGCAATAATCAGCGACTCGCCGCAACATCATTCCAATTTGCAACACTGCGTCTAGCGCAGGTCTTTGAGCAGCCAAGCGCGACTCCTGACTTGACGTTCTTCGTCGAAGACCCCCAGGTTTTCAAAGCTTTTATCGAAACTTCATTTTTTGCCGTCCATATAGTCAGTCTCAATCCCCATTCAATCTTCATTCTTGTCTTTCTTAAAATTTCTGTTCCTTGGAATGGCCGACTTCTCCTGCGCCTTGTTCCACCTTAGCTGCTTGGACACAATTGTAGGTAGGGCTACACCTTCGCCTGTCATATTCTCTATAGTGAGGAACAAAAACATGCGTTTGCCCATGACCTTACCAGTCAGCTAATAGGCTTGATCCAGCTACATCGATCGACTTCGCCTAATACGTACAGGCCGACGCGGCTACGAGAAGGTTGAACTGAGAAGCTCATCTTGGAAAATGAAGGACAGCTTCGGCGATGTAGTCTCGAAAACGACTTCGGATTTTGCCGCCCAGAACGATATCAACCTTTTAGTCACACTCGAAAGAATTGGTGCTATCTTATCATTGTTGGGGGTTAGTTTGATATTTGTGACCTACTGGGCCTTTAAACGCATGCGATCGCTTCATAATCTCTTTGTCCTCCTCGCTTCTATCGCCAATGTCGGTGCAAGTATCGCCTGTGCTATAGGCTATGGTGGGCTCCATATCGGTGCGGATTCAGGGTTATGTCAGACGCAGGCCTTCTTGCTACAAGTGTGGGTGCACCAGAAGCTTCTTCCTTACTGTCACGACAACTGACACTTGTCCTTGGCAGGTTCATGCAGTCCGACCCTTGGTGGTCCTTCGCTATGGCTGTCAACGCTTTTCTCATCTTTTTCGACGGCGCCAATCCGTCTTCATTTCGACGATACCTCTGGGTCTATTGTGCTATATGTTTCGGGGGACCCTTGATTCTCGGCATCTGCTTGCTTGTGATAAAGCCGGACGGAGCAGGTGCTTCAATTTATGGCGATGCTGCGGTAAGCCTGAACTCCACATAACTTGAAGATAATCGGGCATGGTCTGATATGACAGCAGTTGTGGTGCTGGATCACAACCAAATGGGGTGTTCTTCGCATTTACACATTCTACGTACCTACGTGGTGCTGCATCTTCGGCTCAGCCGTTGTGTATTTTATCGTCGGGTACCACGTGTTCCATCAGCGGGATCAACTGAGGAATCTCATCTTGAGCAATCCAAGTAATGATTCCAGGAACGCCTCGTGGTTGGGTAAAGATTACTCTGCAGCAAAGGAGTCTCACTCGTCGTGGACACCCATGTCTGAAGATTGGTCTCTTCCCGATACCCAACAGAGCCTCACTGGTCGCACCGAAAACTGTGGAGACACAGCGATTGATATACAGGCTACTACTGTCTCACCAAAGCCTTGGGTGCCTCAGATGCCCTGCTCTGCCATGACAAACGATTTTGTGAACCCTACAGCCCGAGACCAGGATCCAAAGCATCTGAGTGATGAGCAGGCTGCTTTGCAGGGCAGCCCACTACTCAAAACAACCTACTATTCTAGTCCACCATCGTTGGAGCCCCAACTTTCCATCCTTCCGCGCGTAGGTTCCGTCAACGAAAAGATTTCGTCACGATTAAAAAGTTTCGATCCCATCAAGCTCGCCTATCTCCGAACCTGTTGTTTGTTTGCTGTTTCCGTACTCTTTACATGGACTCCAAGTTCAATCAACATAATCTACGAACTTGTCAATCCAAACAATGTCAGTTTCGGTTTGAATGTTGCTTGCGCCGTGGTGCTGCCGCTTCAAGGGGTGTGGAATGCGGTGATCTTCTTCATGACTAGTTGTTCAACTTTCAGAGAAGAATGGACAGAAATGCGGCATTTCCGCCAGACGCGCCACCTCGACAGTCATGGTGATCAACCTAGACGGGCGAGATTCGGCATGTTTAGAGGTGCCCAGGAACATCGCTTGAGTTGGGGTGGATATCGATTCAACAAAAGATTCAACAGAAGCCAGACACGCGACTTCGAAACGGCGACCTCCTCACTAGGTGGAGATATACGCGTGATGCAAGGATTTCTAGTATAGAATCCGGATATGGGAGTGTATAATGAGATTCAATCGAAGATCCTCCGGAAGTGAGTTGTTAATTCAACATAGGCCTTACATCTATATTGTTGATTCTACGTTGATCACCTCAGACCGTATTGATGCAGTTTCGGCTTTTCCTTGGAAGTAAGATGATAGAAAAAAGTACAGGATACCTAATACACTCAAATCAATGTACACATTCACAACCCTCTGCATAAAGACTTAGGGTTCTCATAGCTTATGTAATACAATTGGTCTATACGGCTCCCAATAGGTTCACGGGTACCCGTGCGTGTAAAATTTCACGGGTACCCGTGGAAATGACTAAGCAACCTGCCCACGTCAATGAACGCGTCTTGTGTCATACACCTTTCACGCGTTATTTGCATCCAGCACTTCAGTCATATATTCTTAAAAATGGAAATAGCTCTCAAAGACTCAATACTCACATTCCCAGACGACAGTCTCCCCCCTGAAAGCGATCATAAATCTCGCGATGAGCTTTTTATGTTAATCAACAACTGGGCGGCGACAAAGGGATACGCATTCACTACCGGGAGATCAACAAAGGAGAAAAGCGGACGACGGACGATTATATATTCATGCGATAGGTCGTGTCATCCGCCAAGCACATCAATAGCGCGGCAAAGGCAAACTACTAGTAGGGGGACTGGTTGTCAATTTTCCGTCCTTGCTAAGGAATCTTTGGATAAGAGCACATGGAGCTTGAGACACCAGCCCGATAAGCGTTTTTCTTCTCATAATCATCCCCCAAGCCAACATCCGTCTGCTCACCCAACGCATTGCAAGCTATCTGAGGAGGATCAAGCCAAGGTGGCCGGTCTTTCAAACGCTAGCGTCGCACCCAGGGACATCAGAACATACATACGACAAACGACAGACTCTATAGCGACCTAGCAGGATATCTACAATCATATTGCAGCCGCTAAACGAGATGTTCGTGAAGGGCAGACCTCGATCCATGCACTTGCTAATCAACTTGATGAGGAAGGCTTCTGGAGTCGCATGCAGTTTGTACCAGATGGCCGAGTTACGGCTGTCTTGTTCGCTCATCCAGATTCCTTAGCCCTTCTCCAAGCCTACCCAGACATCATGTTACTAGACTGTACCTATAAGACTAATAAGTATGGTATGCTACTTCTTAATATAGTTAGCGTCGATGCTTGCCAACGGTCGTTCTGTATTGCGTTTGCATTTCTTAGCGGCAAGGCAGAAGATGACTATACCTGGGCTTTAGAGCGGGTCAAATCCTTGTATAGTCAGTGCAACGCTAGCCTACCTGCGGTTATCCTCATAGATCGCTGCTTAGCATGCATTAACGCTGTTGCAACCATCTTCCCCTCTTCTGCATCTTTGCTTTGCCTCTGGCATGCAAACAAGGCCGTTCTTCAACATTATAATCCAGCTTTTGACTCTACTAAGCCAAAGACAGTCAACAATCCTGCAGCGCTCAAACCTTCAACTCAGAGCTAGGAAGAATTCTATAACTCCTGGCATTCGATCATCAGCTCGCCATCTGAGGTGGTTTTTGAGGAGCGCGTTTCCCAGTTTAAGGAACGCTATCTTCTGGACCATCTCGAAGAAGTCGGCTATGTTACGTCCGTTTGGTTAAAACCATACAAAGAGAAGCTAGTGAAAGCCTAGGTCGATCAGCATACCCATTTTAGCAATATGGCTACTTCGCGAGTTGAGGGTATTCATGCACTACTTAAATCGCACTTGAAACGATCTATATTAGACCTTTTTGAAGCTTGGCAAGCAATGAAGCATGCTTTACTAAATCAGCTATCGGATCTAAAGTCAAATCAAGTTAAACAGCAAATACGGATACCAGTTGAGCTTTCAGGGTCAATATACGGCGCAATGCTTGGCTAGGTATCGCATAAAGCCTTGCGCAAAGTAGAAGAGCAACGGAAGCTGCTCACGAAGAAAGACACAAATCCTTCCATAGCCTGTACGGGGACGTTTTCTCGAGTATATGGTCTCCTATGCTTACACAAATTGAAGACTTTACAAGAACAGAATCTTGTTCTTCTACGTGAGCACTTCCATGCACATTAGCATTTGAGGCGTGATGGAGCGCCGCAGCTATTGCTAGAGCCTCGCCAGCGCATAGAGCCCAGGTTGCAATTAGAGAATCCCAGTATTCCCAAATCAAGCACTAGACAAAAGCCTAGCAGGTTCGAAGTTGTTAAAGTTGCTTCACGGGCCCCAAGCAAATGCAGTAGGTGTCATACAGTTGGCCATACTATGACTTCAAAGGCGTGCCCTCTGCGATACACGCATTTATTGCTTGAACCGACACCTACTCCAGATCCAGCTACAGTATCAACTGCGATATTTACCGGGACGACGACAGATACACAAGAACCTCCTTCAAACGCCGTGCAGGACGTACCAGAGTTGGTTCAACCGACTATTGCTATAGTGGTAGAGACCAGTATATCACCACCTCGGGTATTATCACCATTTGCGCATTCGCATTCACCTTCGCTGCCAGGATACGATTCACCTCAGGCGATATACGGACGGTACTATGCAGCAAGAAGCGCCTGGTACGGTGCTCAACCTCGTGGGAGTGTCAAAACAAACCAGGAGTATCGAAGGGCAATAGGACTTCCGCTACGTTATGACAAAAAGTGTTATGAGTGGTGTCTTGACTATAAGCAGATGAAAGGACGCTGCACTACCTCACACGGGTCAAGGGATTGGACGAAGGAGGAGATGATAGCTTATCTGGACTAGGATAGGGCTGAACACAAACGGGTCGATAAGCTGATTATTACGGAAGATGGACAAAACCCCTTTAAAAACAGTAAGAGAGGTATGAGCGAAGTCTGGAAACGAGTCGAGCAAGATAAGGCAGAGCAGGAGGCGTTATACGCTGGTAGTAAGCCCGAAGAGTGCATCGTAGTAAAGTCGTAAACTTTCCGGATAAGTTTGATGCAGGCCGTGCCTCTCATTGGCTCATGAGCCCCATATCAGAGTTGCTTAGTCATTTCCACGGGTACCCGTGAAATTTTACACGCACGGGTACCCGTGAACCTATTGGGAGCCGGTCTATACATTTACTTTGCAGAAGCAGTGTATGCAATCTTGCGATGGACCTATATCCTCAAGAACATTCTCTAATAACAGAAATTGGATAACCTAAAACTGGCCATTTGCCGACTTGAGACCCCTAGCATTGAGTATACAAAAGCTAAAGTTGACTCCAAAGCAAGCATAGAGAAGCCCCCCTTTGCTAGTGAAATTTGTACAGGTCAGTATCGCAGTATTAGATCGGACTGTGTCAATGGCAAATTTCAGATTTCGGCGAGGAGAGAAAAGAGTGATAAGCATGGTTTAAATCCGTAACTAAGCACATACCAACCTATCCCATAGGCAGCATGCACCGCTTCAGCCGCCGTGAACAGTACGTCAAACATTTAGAGAACAGCGTTTAAGATGGCATGCTACTAATAAGGTACAATAGGCCGCGGGAATTCGCAAAAAGGCAGAAATAGAAGAGCAAGCAGGGAAGTGGGCACAATTTAGGCTTCGAGGAAACCATAGCATAGAGTCAAAAATGTATGTCCAATCAGCTTTAGTTTCCCCGTCGGCTTTACCGCCGGGCGTAGTTAAGTTCTTTACGCTATCGCAGTCAACTGAACTTGGACAGGAAGCGATACGAATGGTATCTACCTTGCAGCCGAGTACACCGACAGAAGATCACTTCGCGTAGGTGTGACGCTCACGCTGCCAGACCTGACCCTGGCCGAACTGTTTTAGATGACAAAACGATGGCTTTTAGGAACACGTGAACGGTGAAGCTGTTGGGACCTGCCATATTACTCACCAAAGCCTTCAACAGAACGCCAAGATAATGGGAAGATCATGCCACATGCTTATTCTTACCTTCAACAAAAGGAGGATTCGGGTTTCGTATTTCTAAAGGCTACCTAGTTGAGTTGGATGTCTGCTCTGTCGATCAAATCCAACATGTGTCAAGAACAACGCAGGAGATACAGTAAAGACGAACTCTGATTGATGATGTTCATAACCTTGGTCAGGGCGAATAAAGTTTATCTATAGATGTTTGACCAATGACTTCTGATCTTACTCCGCGCGATCAATTCCTGTGATAGGCCCCAATGCCCTCCATCTTGTCTTGGAAAAAAGGCCCTTTTCGAGTCATAACCCAGGCTCCACGGCCTGACAACCTAACCTCTCTTAAATACTGGTCGATGAACTTTTGGCAAGCCATGTTAGTTAAGGATCCGCTCTACTTGAACTCACTTGGTGAAATTCAGGAGTTAGTCATGCTGCCATACAAGGCAGGTGTTTCAAATGAGGCCCCCAGGGACTTTACTTCCCGTTGACCTCTGCATTCATTTGTAGCTGCCTTCTGCCAATAATGGTGATTCAAGCCCGCCTTCTTATGCCCCGACGACGCCGGCGCCTGCATTTGTGGCGATGTCAACATTCTCTGAGCGAGGTTTCCAGCCCACAAGGACGCTTGAACGCTCCATATCCGTGGCTGAAGTACTTGAAAAGACGGCCCTAGGTGGGTTTGGCGTCATCAGGCTTCTTGGGAGTCGTGCGATGCCGACGAGGCATCCGCAACTGTTCTCAGTACTCAGGGGTTCTTTGTTTCTGGCTGTTTCGAAACGTCCACTAACGCAGCTTCAACGACTGTCGAAACGTCTCTCGTGTCATTACGTTGCTGACTTACACGTCCAAGTGACCTGACTTAGTAGTTGGTGGATAGCAGACGTCAGCATCTGTGGGACGTTGCCCCTAGAAGTCCCAGCTGAGAATAGGTCGGTTGTAAGCCATGCAAATATTTGTCAAAAATATGGTTCTTGGATGTTGTTTAATTGACAGTTTAGATGCAACCTAGCGGCACTGTTGCTTTCTCTTCCCTGTGATTACGTGCGTTGGTCAGGGAGACGGTTTGATAAGCAGTCAAGGACGCTCTTAGAAGGCGTATGAGATCCCCATAAGCCTCATCAGAAGGACAGACACAAAGAAAAAACATATAATTTAGGAATTATCACACAATGGGGAGAGAAACTACGTGTGACTGGGCACAACATCCGTGTGGAGTTTCGACAGTGGTCGCTTCACCTCTGAGTAGAGAAGGCGTATTAAACCCAATTAAATGACGTACATGTGGCAGCTTGCCCTCGGTAGGCCTTGTCTGTAGATATGATCATCAGAGCGTTTGGAGGTTGTTTGTAGGTAGCGAGTCACTTACTCGGTCCCCTGACGGAGAGTGTACGAGTCGGTTAGCAGGTTTTGCGTAGTGTTGTGTGGTTTTGGTGTTCACAGGGAGGTGCCTGAAGGCGTGTCGCCAGGCCTGAAAGTGTCAACCTCAGAGTCTAAGAAATATGAATTAATCGCTAGTTTCCAGCTATGTTACAGTTGCAAATGGAATTCATTTCGTCGCTATTTTCATTGTTTTGTGCCACTGGAACGACTCAAAAATGTTCTTGTTCATAGGTGCCCTGGGGCCAAGCATCTGCTTCAGTAAAAAATTCCCTGTTGATCTCAATAGAGTAGTCAACAACTTTCGTGAAGAATTTATGCCTGCTTTATTCTCTATAACGTCGCACACCCACTTCTCGCACACCCCCACATTTCGCACACCCATAAATTGGGTCATCATGAGGTATTCATCAACTTCATAACTATAAGTCTGATTCGTCTCCTGCAACTGTGATACTATCGCCAGTTTTAATAGGTAATTCAGGCTCGCTAGATTCATCTGAGCTATCCTCAATTTCGCCAGCCTCAATTTGGGCTTTGTGAATTGCCTCAATGTTGGCAAACTTCGAATTTGGGCTCATTTGGACCTTACGCCGCTTCCGTACCATTCCAGCCTCAACTTCTGCTTCCAACATTGCAATCTTCTTCTCTGCTGTAGCCAATTGATAGTCCTTTTCATCAAATCCCTTTTGAACCTTCCGAAACAACAGTCGCTGCGTTTGCTGATCTTTATCCAACTTGCTGAATAAGCTAAGTTGATCATATAGATCAACTGTCTTCTTGGGCGTTGACCAGGCTACTATGGATGTAGCAGATGCCCAGTTTTCGTCTTTTCCACCATCAGAGGCCCTCATAGGCGTAGAATAGCCTGGCTTTGAGGGCTTGGAAGCATTCTCAAGCAGTAGAGGGCTCATGAGCGGTCGAGCTATCGAAATGGGCCATAGTCCTGTTGCTTTCCAGCCGCTTCTGATATTCTTGCTTGAAAATGCCATCTGGCGTGCTTTTCCATAGCAGGTAAGAAAGTTCCGTTTGCCTACAACTGTAGAATCGTTGTGTTGAATGAGGTATCCAAGCTCTTTTCGATAGGTCGCCTTGAGAGGCCCAAAGACTGCTTGGTCTAGAGGTTGGAGAACGTGGGATGTATGTGGCGGTAGGAAAAGGAGATATATCTTGTGTTTATAACAGAGATACATAAATTCTGTTGTTTCATGACTGCCATGACCGTCTAGGATCAATAGTCTCTGCTCAGAGGGATGATCAGGCTTAGTCAGAGGGATAAAGATGTTCTCAAGCCATTCCACAGCTGTAGAGTCTGAAGTCCAGCCATTCTCAGTTGCTGTGAACTTCCAACCACTGTAAATATCACGTTTATGGATATCAAGAGGAAACCATTGTTGTTGAACCGATTTCCCTCGATAAATAACAAGTGGAGGAAGCGCCTGACCAGTTGCAGAGACACACTCAAGCATAGTTGTCCAAGCCCGAGACCCAGGCTGTTTTTTTCGCATTGATGAGCTTTCTGATGATCCCAGTACTAAGCCATTTGATCCTCTGCCTTCTAGGATACCAGTTTCATCCATGTTATAGCGATGATGTGGTTTGATCGCCTTGATCTCTGGAAGGGCGAGTTGTTGAAACCATTGCCTGATTACATTAGTTGAGGCCCCATTGACACGCTTAGAATCGATGGCTCTAGCTCTATGAACCTTGATTGATGGATTTCTCTTAATAAAGAACTGAATCCAGTTTCTCCCAAGTGGCTGGGTAGTGCCTCTGATGTCTAGGATTCGCTGGGCAAATTCCTTGAGTTGTTGATGTGTTGGCGGCAGCCCTAACGCCGCCTGGATACGCACCCATTCAGCTAAGTGACTTTCCTGTGCTGGAGATAGCTTCTGGAAGCTAGAGAAAGCTACATTTCTTGCCTGTGAACCCTTTAATCGAGACTGGAGGGTTGATGGTGGAATTCCAGCATCATGAGCTGCCTTTCGGACACTCTGCCCACTTGCAACTGCATTGAGAGCTTGATTGACTTCTGTTTCCGTATACTGGCCCATTAAGCGTATAAGAGTAACTATTCAAAGAATTATAATAATCGCTGTAAAAGTGGTGAAGATATTAAAGAATGTTGAAGAGGGTAAAATTCTACATGAGCGATTTATGGGTGTGCGAAATGTGGGGGTGTGCGAGAAGTGGGTGTGCGACGTTATGTGCGGATACTCCGATTTCTTTATGGACCCAACTATTGCTTCAAAGTTTTTGCAAATGCCTCAACAGCCTCCAAAATTGGCCCGTCGGGCTCCAGGCCAAGACTATAGGCTCGACTGACGTCGAAGCGAGCTGGCCATGTGTCCACAATAGCCAAAATACCGGGGTCCTTCTTCTCCTCGATCAATGCCAAAGCGTCCCTACCGCCAACCTTCTCCACTGCATCCAATATCTCCTGCACAGTTACAGTAATACCAGGGAGGTTGACAACCCTTGAATCGCCAAACTTCTCCTTAGGCACGTCCTTGACCTTGACAAGGTTCTTGACGACTGTAGCTGGGCTACAGACCCAGATCTCAAGGTCGCGGCTAACGGGTAAGACGTTCTTAATACCCTTCAATGTCTCACGAACAATTCCAGATGCGAAACTTGACGCTGCTGCCGACGGAGCGCCGGGCCTGACCGTAACCGTTGGAAGGCGAACAATACGTCCATCAATAAGGCCGCGGCGGGAGTAGTCTTCCACCAGCAACTCGATGATAAGTTTCTCAGTCCCATAAGAAGTCTTTGGCTTCGGCACCGTCTCACTCTCAATGACGGGTTGACGAGGGCCGTAGACGGCACATGAGCTGGTGAATACGACGGTAGTGCCAGGGTAGTTCTTGCGGAGGTGGTCGAGCACTGCACGGACTGAGTCTAAGTTCACTCTAAGACCCAGGTCAAGGTTCGCCTCTGCCCCGCCTGACATGAGACCGTGCAGCAAGTAGACGGCGGCAAACGGCTTGGATAACAGAGACGTTACCGCAGCCGCGTCGGTGAGGTCAGCCTTTAGCGACTTTATTCTGCTACTTTCTCCTGCCACATCAGCCGGGATTGGAGGTTCAACGACATCGGTTATGGTAAGTTGATTAGAGGGGTTGGCATTAATGAGGGCCGATACAAGCGCCTGGCCGACGAAGCCTGCAGCTCCAGTGATGAGGATTTCGCTTGCCATGTTGGTTATTGTTTCGGTATTTGGTAATTAGATGACAGTTCGTGCTGCACAGAGAATGAAGCTCTACCTACTAAATGATGTAGACACGATCCTCACCCCTCATTGCCCCCTCACGATTCGGTTAACCTGTCCGATCTCGCTACGGGGAAGGCCAAAATACGTCTTTTGGGAAGTCCCCTCTTTCCGGCTGCCAGTTGCCGAGTGTATCCGACCTGATGCGCGGCGGAATTGTAGGCGAGCAACGTTCGCGTTCGTTAGTCGGACAGGTAGCCGATGCAGGATGCCGATTTTGGTCATCGGTGAGAAAGCCGGCATACCCAAAACAAAGTGGAACTCGTACGGGCCGGGGGGGTTCCCCGCACCTAATGGGGTCCACGCAACCGATGGAGTCCCACATAACCGAGCACGAGAGGAAAGTGAGGCCGAAGAAGGAGGAAAATGACGTGATGGGACAAGAAACAAAACCTCGAGGTTGTTCACACTAGTTGTTACTGCTACGTTGTTGCGGTTTATCCAATTCATTAATCGGGTTGAATTGTCGAAGATCCTGTCAATCAAGCTCTCAGCACACAGATACCGAAACATGGAATACGTAAGGTTAGTTGCGAAATGTTTTTGGTAGTTAACGACATAACCCCTCACATTAGCTGCCCCTCGTTCAAGAATTAGTCTTATACTATATCTCACTGTTGTGCCTTTTTTAACACTTTGATGTCACTTTTCTCTTCTTCTTTTCGAAACTTGTGTTTTCTTACATGACAATGCTTACTATTTTCTCCCAGACTTGGAAACAGTGGCCTGAAGGTCTCTAAAATCATCCTTGGATGTATGGCTTTTGGTTCACCTAAATGGGAAGGCTCACCATGGGTTCTCGAGGAAGCAGAAGGCCTGGAACTTCTCAAGGCTGCATATGATAATGGAATCAACACGTGGGATACGGCCGACATGTACTCAAATGGTCAATCCGAAATAATCATCGGCAAAGCCCTGAAGAAGTTCAACATCCCTCGACAGAAAGTGGTGATACTGTCAAAGATCTTCAATCCAGTCATGGACGACGACTCAAGACCCCCGAGTATAAACGACGGGCCGCTAGTCAACCAGATGGGTCTCAGCAGAAAGCATGTTTTCCATGCGGTTGACAAGTGCTTAGAACGTCTCGGCACGGATTACATCGGTGAGTAACCTTGAAAAGGAAAAGAACGCAGCAAATTCTCACAGACATAAGATGTGCTTCAAATTCACCGTCTTGACCGCGAGACACCACCCGAGGAAATCATGCGGGCACTACACGAAGTCGTTCAGTCCGGCAAGGTCCGCTATATCGGAGCGTCATCCATGTACACCTGGGAATTCGCCCGTCTGCAGTACATCGCAAAGTCCAACGGCTGGACCGAGTTTGTTTCTATGCAACCGTTCTACAACCTTCTTTACCGCGAGGAAGAGCGAGAGATGCTGCCTTTCTGTCGCGCGACTGGCGTCGGGGTGATTCCTTGGTCTCCGATCGCCCGAGGTATCCTCGCCAAGCCGTTGCCAAAAGAAGGCCAGGAAGGCACTTCGCTGCGAAGCCAGACAGACAAGAAGTCTCAGGCTTGGTTTGCCGATGCCAACATGGACATTGTCAACCGCGTGGAGGAGATCGCGAAGAAGAAGGGAGTGAGTATGGCACTTGTATCTACCGCATGGGTGCTTCACAAAGGGTGCTGGCCCATTGTAGGATTGAGTTCGGAAAAGCGAATCAAGGAGACTATTGAGGCTCTCAAGGTCAAGCTGACGGAAGAGGAGTGCGAATATCTGGAATCCGAATATAGACCTAGGCAAATTCAGGGCATGTAGTTTGTAATTTAATCGACTGCGTTATAGCAAACACCACTTCTTGGTGATGGTCTATGTACTTAATTTCAGATGTCATTATAGATTGATGTTTGATTTCATGAACCAGGTCTCGTAAGTTGGTACTCAACGTTTGGGAACTCTTGAGCTGTTGCCGACGACTGCTCATTATTCAAAGACGACAGGTCGAAATTGAATACTGGTGATAACCCAAAGCTCATGTCATAGTCAAAGAAGAACTCTCCTTCAGGGCCAAGAAACGCTCCGTCAGTTCCAGGAGCAGCCAGTTGTGAGCCTATTGTTCCGTTCATCCCGTTGCTCGCAGGCATAATGTCATGGAGCTGACTTGGCTGTCCAGTATAGCTTCGTTTCAGAGTTGCAGCCATGCGTTCAAGACCCGGTGCCATAAGATTGGCCAGATGCCACTTTCCTGCGGGTAACGATCGAAAATGCCGTACAAGGCTTGTCGTCAAGTCCCAGACGCGGTCTGGTTCAATGAGATCTCCACCGTATTTGACAGCCACCTTGATCAGAAACATACATGCGAATGCAGTCATACAGTGAAGATATGACGGCATACCCACAACACCAGCAGCAACGTCCGGGTCGCTTAATATGAAGTTAATGGTCGAGGTTGCGACTGATATTGCAGTCGCAGCGCAGTCGAGGAAATGGTAAGGTATCGGACTGTCTCCTGATAGACCGCGGAAGATGTGCGAGTAGAGATGGAGTTTCGCGAAGTGAAAATGCAACTTGGCGCCTTTACGTGGGAAGCGCCCGATATGTTCTGACTCTTCTGTATACTGTCAGTTTATCGCCCAATAATACGCGTTAGAGAAGTCCACTTGCCTGGTAGCGTTTCTGACCAATGTTTAATCCAATGGTCAAGTTGTTTGTTGAACTGCGTGATTTGGTGAATGTACGCTCTTGGAGTTGGATGCCCCTTGTCTGGACCAAAAAGTTCTCGAATACTACCAATGATCCCCAAGAGCGCCACTTGACTTGCTAGTCGTTTATCCTGTTCCGTTGAAACCGGTGACTCGAGGAAGCTTTCCCATTGCTGCATTGACGAGTCATCCTGAACAATTGCGGGCCTTCCGTACAATGTCGCCAGGTGCTGGTCACAGATATTGAGGATGTACCATAGCCTAGCTCCATCAGCGGCCTCTTCACTTTTCTCCTCGATCGCACGAGTGTAGCTATTGTGTAGATTGCATTCTGCTGCCCTTCTGATTGCATAGCCCGACAACATCCATGACATATCGCTGAGCCAGTAGGACGCCACACACATGGCACGGAGGTAATCACGATCCACCCTGCGATCAAACATTGATCTTTCAGTAAGCCGACGAAACTCTGAGCTGCAGACCCCGTAGATCCCGTTCGCTTGGGGGTCATGAAGTGATGCGACTGTAAGGGTCGCAGCAGTGAGGATAGAGCTTTTGCGGCGCAGTTCGTCCAGTGTGTGATATTTGCATCCAACGCCATACATGAACGGGTCCAGCCGGTCACGGTAAAGCCGAAAAAGTCGTTCAGCATCGTCTAATCGTAATGCACCACGTGCAATGAAGTCGTCAAGAGCAGGACTTGAGTGGCCCTCAGGAGCATCTGGAGACCTCAGAGCTCTCAGTTTTGTGAGGGCATAGAGCGAGTGAATGGGCACATGGGGAAGGTTTTCGTCCTCAGGGGAGATTTTGGGCGAGTTGTCGCAAGACGGGCCATGATTGTCCTCCCCGGGTACACCAAGGCGGTAGCCGTTACCGTTTGTCGTGGACGCCGGGCGCCCATTATGTGAGGGTGAATCTGTAGAGTTTCGAAGATTCAAGGTCTGAAGTGCGGCAGGCTCAGGTAGGCCAATCTTCTTGGTAATATCTTTCAGAGTGTTATGAAGACTCTCGATATCATGCAACACTGCTTCGTTGTACCTGTGAGGTTATCAGCCTTGTTAACCAGATACGATGTCTCAAAGCTAACAGCGGCTCTTACTGAGTCTTTTCATCAATAATGCTCTGAAAGGTTCTTTCCAAGTACACAGCCCAAGTTTCGTTCGGAACATCGACGACATGGCGGCCCGCTTTCGTCCATTAAGCACTTGATCTACGAATTGTGAGCAATGGACCTTGAATATTGAGGCTTGGCGCAAACCTTATGTTTGCGGCATGCAGCGCATGCCTTTATCTTTCGCGATATCTGTGGAACAGATCCTTCTCCATTGCCAGCAGTTAGCAACTAAAGGTTTGGGTCAGCTCACTTAATGCCACAAATCGGTAAGCAAAGACGAATTACCGTCATGAATTCCATGCCGTCATTGGCATCTGACCAGGTCCGTTTCGACATCGCCTGGAATGCGGCTCATACAAGCCGTCTTTTTTGAAATCGAGCTCTTTCTTATGAGACTTGGGGTCTGTCATGAGGAGTGAAAGAGGAGAAGTTCGGTTGTCAAACACGCGACGAGCACCAATGGGTGGTGACCACCCGGTACTTGTGTGGAGAAAGACAGGGAATAGGGACGTCTTCGAGGTCAGATGTTCCCCACGGTTGCTTAGAAAGCGTTGGAGATGATTGAAGGTAACGGAATGGCCCCCCCGCATCCCCGCATGAACCCCGCAAGCTGTTCATTGAGAAGTGGGTTTTATTTTGCTTGTCTCACTATCTACGCTCATTATGGTATTGTTAGGCGCCGTGTCCTGTCGTCGCTTAGAGATGAAGCTGAACTGTTATGATGAAAGATTGAATTTCCATCTCTGAGCACTCAGTGCCTCTGAAGCCAAAAGAAATTTGGGGAGTATGATGCTTGATTAGATTTCATGACATACTAGACATAAAAGATCCAGAATATTCGACTTAACCCCCTTATTTGAATTTGGATATGCCTCGTAGCTGGGAGATAACAGGTAACAACGGCATGTAAAAGCAAGGATATTTGCTCTACTCGGCCCCATTGACATTTGAAAATGGGATAATTTTCTACTTTTTTGGCGTTTGATTATTTTAATAAAGCTCGTGTATATTAATTGGAGTTTCTAGCAACATGTTTTTAGAACTGCACATCTTGGTTGGTGCCGTTCAAGAAGTAATCCTGGAACTGCCTGACCCCCACAACCCTTTTGGTGGGGACCCGCAAATGTCGATATCTACCGTCTCTTAATTAAGCAACTTGCATACCAATCTCTCCGTGACATGGAAGTCGAGTCAATTTTCATCTCTCCTTTATGAAAATAATTTCAACATAATAATGTTTACGAATTGACTGCCATTGATAATGGGGGACTGGCGTCGGTGACTAAGAGACAAGACTCTATGGGGATCTTCACCTACCCATATGTAAGGTAAGCCCAAACAGCAGCCTTGGAACCCTCTATTTCTTTCAAGTTGCTTTATGGCTCGTAATTCCCATGGACACTAACATTCCTCATCGGTTCGAGCTACTTATCTTTCAGATCGAGTTAAGCAGGTTCTGGGAAAGCAAGGGTTAGCCGGCTTCGGAAAGGCCTCGTCATCGAAAGTGAGGGGAAAGACACTGACGAAGGCAAAATGATGGCATCATATGGATCAGACCAAAAGATGTCCTGGTATTTGGAATGCCAAAAATGCTCCGCGTCGGATAACCTAGCAATACTCAAAACCAAGCTAGCCGTAGAATAAGAAAGCATATCGAGTCGCAAAGGGTGGGAGAACAAGTTTAGGTTCCTATCGTTATCAAGGATTGGTTCCAGGATACCCAACGGCTCCTACTTCCGTTCCGACGCGGATCCATCAGAGTGGACACAATATGCCGATAATTCGGCTTGGACCGATGATCCCCACTGTTCAGACGGAACTTTCTGCTGTTCGATGAACAACAGATATGATTGAATCCGACGCATCCCAACATTGCTCCGAGGAAATCCTGACTCACGGACCACGGCAAGCTTTAGCTGGCGTCATCCGATCACACAAACATCGGCTATGAGGTCGTGTGGCTTTCATCATGGCAAGTGCCATTGGCTTGAGACAAGGTGTGAGAAACAAACAAGCTTTGAGGGGTTGCAACGTAAAATGATACAGACATGCTTGCATTCCACAAACTAGCTAACCACCCGGTTGTATAAATGTCATTTCTGGTGATTTTCCGTCATCAAACATGTATATTACAAAGAATCCATAATCAAAATGTATAATTAACCTGCCGGATAAATACTGTTAGGGAGTTCGTTAGCCGTTGATGTCGAAATCCGAGCAATACTATACTAAGAAGGGAAACTGAAGAGATTATGAGAGAATTTCCCCTGACGAACTTTGATCCGTCGCAATCCTTGTTGAGAAAGTTTAAACAAGAGCTTCGCGCTTCCTCGGAAGCTTATATCGTGTTGCTATCGGCCTTTCACAGCCTTTGTGTTACCATTTAGGCCTGTGTCTCCGCCTTCGCAACATGTTAGCGTATAACGTCAACATCTTTTACTCGTTGCTTCTTTTTCTTCCCGTTCGGGACTACTTTCGTGATGAAGTTCCTAACACTACTTGTGTCACTCCTCGTGACCCAGGCGCTCAGCTTCCCTTCTATGGAAAGGAAGCCCTTTGCAGGAATTAGAGCCCCCAAGAAAGGAGACCACGAGCCTTCAGGGAACCGTGGGAATTGTTCTATGAAGATACGGCATCGGAGTGTCTTATACGTGACCAACTGGAGCATCTATGGTGCAGGTTACAACCCGGACAACATCCCAATCGACAGTGTAACCCATATCCTGTATGCTTTCGCTGATGTCAAGCCTAATGGAACTGTGTAAGTGATTCATTCCGTTACGCTAGAGATACAATGATTTCAAGTCACTCACAAAATCAGCGTTTCTTCCGATCCCTGGGCGGACACGGGGAAGCTCTTTGCCAAGGATAAACCCAATGAGCCAGGCCATAATGCCTACGGTCTAGTAAAGCAGCTGTACCTGAAGAAGATGGCAAACAGACAAATGAAGGTTATCCTATCTATTGGAGGCTACAACGGATCACCAAAGCTCACGCCTATCCTCGCGAACCAAAAGCTCAGGCTCAACTTTGTCTCCTCGGCTATTAAACTTGTCGCCGATCACGGCTTGGATGGACTCGATGTGGACTACGAATACCCGAACAGCACTGCGGCGAGCAACAACACTGTAAAGCTTCTCTCTGAGCTCCGTGCTGGATTGGATATGTATTCAGCAAAGTATGCCAATGGGTATCACTTCACATTGGGCTTCGCAGCACCTGCCGGACCTAAGAACTACGCCGCCTTGGACTTTAAGGGAATGGACAAGTCGCTTGACTTCTGGTCATTGATGGCCTTCGATTTCGCAGGTCCATGGGAAAACACTACTGGCCACCAGTCAAACGTATATCCAAGTAAGAAGAACCCACTCAGTACAAGAGCGAGCATCGATAAGGCCGTCAAAGACTATACCATGGCTGGTGTCCCATCTTACAAGATTAACCTTGGTATGCCTCTTTATGGACGTGCCTTCAGCGGCACCAAGGGTCTCGGCAAGCCTTATCGTGGCTTGCCTAACGGTACCCTTGGTCAGGCCGGCATATGGACCTACAAGGACCTCCCACGCCCAGGAGCCAAAGTCATGTGGGACAATGTGGCTAAAGCAACGTACTCATATGATAATGTCACACAACAACTCGTTTCTTACGATGACCTAAAAAGCGCTCTATACAAGCAGGAATACATCAAAAAGAAGAAGCTGGGCGGCGCCATGTACTGGGAGGCTTCAGGAGACAAGATAGGGAAAGAGAGTATCGTCCGAAACACGGCTATATGGATGGCATCACTCGACCGGTCAAGAAATTTACTCTCATACCCTGTGTCTCAATACGACAATATCCGTAACAACATGCGACCTCTAAACTCTACACGTAACTCAACTTCGCCATCTGGAGGCAAGCAATGCCCCTCACATCCAGTGCGACTTGGAAATAATTGATCGTCATGATTCAGACGAGCCGAGCAGTGTGGCTTATAAATAGGATTTTTCCTACCTGCTAAAATTTTCAATCCATGTCTTTAGCTTTAAATAATGATACCAGCCTCTCTGAATTGCTCTAGTGCTTCCAACCAGCCTTCAATCGGATCTCTTTCTTCCACGAAGTCAACTTCTCTAAGCCTTTTCAAGCTGAGTTGTCTGTCAAAAGACAACCAGTAGCCCACGCTATCGAGCTGCGACGCTCCTGCACCAACCCCTGCAGTAACAGCTTTGTGTAGACCCATCTCCTGGAAAAGGTGTTTGTGCCTTTGAACATACTCACCAGGCTTGAGGACATTCTCCTCTCCACTGGGATCTGTGCCTCTAAGGCCAAACCATTCGGCGAGAGCTGGCCAAATTTCTCGAAATTTTGTTGGGTTCTCGCTGTCGGCTACGTTGATGATCTTGCCGCCGCATTTATCTGTGCTCAAAGAAGCGTGGACGATAACACGCCCCAGAGTGTGTGAAGACACGGGGGTGAAAAGCCCGTCAAATCCACCTTCAGTGCCAGGAAACGGGACTTCCACAGGAGAGGTTGACTTGTCTGCGGAACTTTTGTGGTTATGGGCATATAGTGAAAGGTATTGAGCCCAGTGCAACGCAAGTGACCATCCAGATCCATTCGGAGTGAAGCCGACCACGGCGTCGGGGCATACCTCCGTCCACGTCCAGCTTTTTCCTTCGCTAGCTTTGGTGAGGAGTTTTCTGAACCATGGATACGCGACGGTCTTGGCATAGTCTTCTGGAAGATTATCCGCCATGGATTCTTCCAGTGGAGGCTGAAAGGTCCCTCCAGGTACATATATTCCATAACCCTGTGACTATCAGAAAGATTAACATTCATCAAAGGGTGCTGACACTTACTCTAGTTCCACCAGGGTAGACGACTGATTTCAACTTATGCGACAAAGAAGTGATAGCGTCAACAACGCGTTGCATCATTTCGCAGTTTACCTGGCACTCAAGGATGTGATTGTCGTTGACCTCTTTGAAGACTACGTTGACGTGTTAGCGATGAAGAAGTCACATTGAAGAGGTGAGACTAGAGCTTGGTACCAAAATAAAAAACATGCGTAACGTCCTTAATGCCGCTGACATTGGCCTTCAACTGTTGACTTAACTCCTCCGCAGTCACATCAAACAGGTTTACTTTTGGCACTATTTGCAACTCAGGTCGGCTTGAAGAGTTCTGTGGCCAGTGGAATTCGGCTTCTGGTAGTGGACGGTTGATCACGGCAGTGACCTTGTCAAACGAGCCCTTGGCGGGATAGTTGGATAGTAGTTGATTGACAGTTGACCAGCCGATAAGGCCAGCGGCGCCGAAGACGATTGCATGATTTCGTTCCGACATGACTGAAGTTTTTCGAATAATGGAGTGTGGCAAAATGGGGGAGTTGTTGAAGGTATGAATTTAGCGCTGCTGTTTCGACGATTGCGGTTTTGATGATGAGCATGTAGCAAAGCCGCCCCTCAAATGTTTATTGGAAGCCAACCCTAACGCGGTACGCATGCAAGTGAAACAAAGTGTGGTGTTGTCAAGCCAATGAAGTTTAGCGCTAAACCTGAGCCATGATGATTCATACCGGCGAGTGACGCAGAGCCATTTCAGCACTGGGGCAGTTGACACATCCTATAATCTAGCGCCTATCCTCACTGAGGGCTCCACCACTGAACTGTGGGGTATCCACTGGTCCCTGGAGGAATTAGAGGACCAGGACTTCTTCTATCCAAAGCATAAATTGACAATCTCGAAAAGTCCAAGCATCGTATTGAGTTTTTATATGTATATGTGTATTAAAGGCCCTCTAATAGATTATTTACGCCTATTGTTTTCCCGCAAGCTGACATGAGCAGCGCTTAGTTCAGACTTTGCGTTTATTAATGTTCCAGTCACTAGCCTGTATGCTCCAATTTTCAGAGCATAGTTGGTTTAGCCAGTACCACAATAATCGGCGTATTGCTTCGAGGTCGACGTTGGGTTGCCCCACCACTGCGTCCCTGTCAGCCGCTTCAAGACATTCGAGATCAGTAGGTGATATAGTATTACGTACCTTAGGAAAAGGAACCTCCTTTCCAGAGCCGCCAGCAACGGCAAAAGTCAGAATAAACATCATGACCTTAGCACCGGCGTCAAGGCCACCACCAACGATGTAATTATACTTGCCGAACCACGCCGGATGGCGCAAGCGCATGTACCATTGAGACCACAGGCCTGTGGCAACTTGGGACCAAATGACTGAAGTTGTGCCAGAGGTCGTGTCAGACGCGTTATGAAAGATCACTGGAGTTACCATCTTCCGGACTTCCCAAGCGTAGATGGTCTTATACTTGCGAGAGACAAGCCACAGAATGACAGGAATTGCCGCGCCAATAACAATGGATAAGGGAATCCTGGAAATAATCAGGAATCATTCCAGAGCATCTGTTCATTCGTTGTGGCAACTCACCAACCATATCCATCCTTGTTGAAGCCGTAGACGTACTTCGCAAGTGACCAAGTCACTGCGGTGGTGTTGAGAGATTGGATCTTACGTCCACTCCACTGGATATATGTCAGTAACCCGGTAGTCAAGCTCCCAGAGAGATCGAGATTGTGACTAACGACTTGGTTTCCAATAGGGTCAAGAAGAATCTCTCGACGATTGGTAACGATGGTATCCATAATGACATAATTCAGCGCAGTTCCAAACAAACTGCCCCAAGTCTGAAGAAGAAACATTGTCCTCCACGGAATTTTGAGATACTGCGCCATTTTGAGATCGGTGGAAAGAAAGACGGAAAGCACTGTGACCTCGTGGCTAAACATCGAGAAGTATAAGTTTGCAACGGGCTTGCCGGGTTGCAATACACCACACAGCATTTTGGAAAGGTTGTTGGTTGCAACACTAGTTCCAAGGAGGCCATACAAGCAGAGCGAGAAAGGCGCGACGATACACCCAAGAAGCTAGATTGTCAGTAATAGAACATGTGATAATATCTCAAAGGCAGACCTACAATAGCGCAAACGTAGGCCCATGCATCTAGAGTAGTGTGCCCCTTAATGACGGCACCGAGACCGGTGAAAAAGCCGATCAGAAGGATTACGAAATACCACCACATCGGCACATCCTTGTAATTCTCTTGCATGATCTTGTAATGAGGGTCTGTCTCGGTCTTCTTCCAGGCCTGTATAAGCGACCGCTTGATCCTGATTCAAGTTAACACAGTCCCCTTCGACTCTAAAATCATGGAACACTCACAATGGTCCATAAAATAATGAGATATGGGTGATCAGCGCGCCAATAGCTGCCATCGCGGCCATGTTCGCCCAGACATTCGTCGCGGTCAATCGCGGGAGGCCGTGCCGCTCCAACGCCTCCACATCTAAAATTGCATTTTGGCCAAAGACTGCCGTCTGGTTATAGACCTTTCCAGTCTTCTCGTCAAACATGGCGGTCGACATAAAAGGGAACTTTTTGGCGCCCCAAGCTCCGCCGTAGTAGAGACTGAAGCACATGATGTAAGACAGCACGATTCCAACCCAAGAGTTGGCTTGTTGCAGAAGGGGAAGTGACATGTAGCGGGAGGTGATGTACTGCCAGTCGAGCGAGAAGTTGAGGATACCTTGACCTTCGTTGGATGAGATACCGCCAAAAATCGTCATCAAAACCTTTCGCGTCGGGGGGGCGGCTTTCATTGAAGCGAGGCAAGGAATGGAAATGCCGTTCAGCCATGGCCAAATGTAAGATGCAATCGGTTCCCAGATGAACATGCCGATGGATGTGAAGCCGAACATACGAAGGCGTTCTCGGTTGTTTCCTTTAGGGTCACGGTGGAGAGTTTGGTATATGGATATCATCGGAAGGCATTGCCACCAAACCATTTCACTTGCTGTAGATCGTCAGCCATTTCGAACAGCTTCAAATCAACATACTACTTACGATGAACTAGAATAGATCGAAGAAGACCAACAAGACCGTATCCAAAGATTGAGGCAGAAAACACGGTCAGGATGGCAGTAGCAGCATCAGTGCTTCGGTTGTAAAACCTGCAATGAAATTAGATTATCTGGCCAAAGATCACTTTCAACAGGCATCAGTCCAAGACTTACAGTCGCTCGGCACCAAATACCTGCACAATTGCTGCGCCATTACCACTGGATGTGGATAAGATTGAGGCCACCGCATGCTCTTTCAATCCAAAGTGGCCAGGATTGATGAAGTGAACGACAGGGCCTAGCCATTTTGCTTGAGATGGCAGATACTTCTCAACATGGTGGCGCCGGGGAAGCGCGACGGACCATAGGACTCCGATCACGTAGGCCATTAGGCAGAGGAAGCTATAGTATACACACGATTAGATTTAAGTAACAAAGTTAGCGGCTGCATAACCTACACTGAAGCAAAGGAGACTTCGACTGGCTTGTAAAAATAACTGGGCAAGTTAGATTTGTCTTGAAACTTCGTATTTTAATTGAACGCACATTTGGTTAATACACGCTGCGAGAGCAGTGAGGCCTGACATGGGTAGTTAGTATGAGTCTACGATTCGTCCAGCGAAACACTTAGAGCAACTCTTACCAGATCCGATAATGAAAGATCGAAATGTGCATGCTGGGTCGCCGTCGTCTTGCGTTGAGACAACGTATCTCGCGACATCGTTACCGTCTCTGATAACAACGCCACCGTTTACCAGCTGTCTCTCGTCTTCGGCTTCGTTCCGCTCAGGATCGTTTACTTTCAGGCCGTCATCAGACTTGTCGTCGTCAACACGCTGAGGCGTGTTCTTCACTGACTCGTTAGGCACGCCACCGTCTGCTGTGGGTGTGAGTGCGTCTTGATCCACCTCCGCGGAGGAGACCATCGTTTTCTTCTTACGGATGAAGTCCATCTCTTTTCGTGCACAGGCTGTGGGCCGAATGATGAAGACTTTCCGTGAGGAATGGTAAGTTTCACAAACATCGAAAAGTAGCTGAATGACATGCACATTCTCCTTGATTCCTTTTATTGCCCCATGGAGTGCTATCAACTGGGCTGGACTACTCCGACCGTCCCTAATCACGTAAACGGTCTAACGCAGCCAAGCCCGTTGTTGGACAAGGTCATGGTTTCCTCATGCTCCATGTCGTCCCAGTTCCACAGAGCCTTCCTACAAATCGAACGCTGATTCTGCGCGATGTCGGGCTGGCACCGACTGAAAGCCCGAGTTTCTGGGTTTAATTGGGGGAGAGAGTGGGATGTGGCCCTCGGAAGTGATTGCAATCTTTGAATGACGCGAGACCTGCCTAGCCAGTCGCCATCTCGCTCTGGCCCACATAATCGGGCCCGATCCCGACATGGCGGGATAGATATGTCCGGGCTAATAAGCCAAGACTTTGCTTGAAAAGCTTGAAAGAGCAACATCCGAAAGCGAGCTCCGATAAAACAGAACTGAATATATGTAAGGAAGTATTTGAAACTGGTGTATAATGCAAAATTAAATATACATACCTAGGTATCTTTAAGTCTTTAGATCACTACAGACGTCCTGGGGAAGTTCTGTTAAAACGGAAAAGCAACAAGCTATCAAGATACTCTGATGAGATCGAAAGGCGAAGCTTCCCTATTCTTCCTTTCTGGGTCGAGGCAACTCAATTCTGCAGTTCTGTTTGCTGCACATGCCTCATGCCATGGCTCATCTGTTCTGCCCTTGACCCTGGTCACGAGCCTTCTTGGTCGGTCCGGACAGCCCGATACCGGTAAAGCGGTTTCATTATTACGTTGCTTTAGGGATCACAGCTGCTGCATGTTGTGAATAGATCTCGACGATTAGCAACGGCGAACCGCATGAAATGCTATGATATCGGCGCCTTTTTATTATATACAGCAGATTTAGTCCAATATTTGCCTCCAAAGACTACTATCCTAAACCTTTCCGCATTAGGAGAGGACCTTCTGAAGTGGGCCAGAATCGGCCAAACAGCATCATAGCAGTTTTGTATACTTTTTCAGACATTCGTAGTTGGTATAGAACTAAAGCCTTCAAGGTCTTTCTCATGGGATTCTTTATCATTTCGGTCCAGCAGTTCAGCTCCAAGCCCCCTTGTGGCTGGTGACAACAAACCATATTGGTTATTAAGTAGACGGTACCATAAACACTGCTCCGCGGTAGAGATCTACGGACCCCATCCTAGTTAGTCAAACGGGCACTGCAACGTGTAGTGGTTCATTATTTAAGTTAGGAGTGGATGCTCCGAGTCTATGAGTTTAACGGTGATTTAACCAGCTCCCTGTGTCCTACCCAAGCGGTAATTCAGCCCTACCGGCTGGAGAGACCCTTCAAATGAACTTCAGTTGCACTAAAACCCAAGCGACAGGATCGCATCCAGGAAAAAGTTCGACACTGGTCAGATTAGTAGTAAAACAGCACTCCCAAGCCCTCATGGTAAGCAAAGCGTCCGTAAGCAATACATCTGTCGTATTGCTGCTCATCCATTGACATCCGTGTTGCTTTGGTTCATGTTGTCAGTAGATTTCAGGCCGGATACTCGGCTGCGACAGCGCTGCATTTTACTATTCGCTACACTAGTACACTTACCTGTCTTGGCTAAAGGCGGTCTAGTCTTTATCGTGATTCCGTGCAGTTGGTGTGTTCCATGGCCCATGTACCATGCATGTTGAACGCACTGAATGCTTTGGGCGAAGCCCTAAAAGGAATAGTCCCGGTAATAGTTTTAATCGGTGTGCATGATAATTAACTACTCAACCGGCGAGCGATGTTTCGGCATTCTGATTGTACTCAAAGTTCCTTTTTTTCTGGAGAGATTTTCCCCTACCCTGGTTTCCCCTGGCCAATATTCAGCAATGCATGTGATCTATCATAAAAGTCACTGTCGTTTGAAGGCGGCAGTGATTGCAGAGCATGGCACAGCCCTCAACTCTCCACCAATACCCAGCACATCCGCAGGGAAGCTGACTTTCACCGGACCGGTATGCCAGTCTCAACCAATGAATGCACTGGAGATTTTCGGCCCTATAGCTGAAAGAAACGTGGGATCGGCGGAAAAGCCCATGCTTTTAGGTGTCAAAATCCTCCAAAATACTACGCTGCAGCTGTTTAAACCCCTCATCGACTTGTACGCTCGGGCTTTAATAACTGGATGTCTTTCTCAGCCTTCCTGTTCCTCAGGATTGACGGTCGAGTTTTCATATCCTCAGAGCGTATTATTGAATAATAAACCCGGCCATGAGCAGTCCTCCCAGCCAGGCTACCTCCGCCGCGGCGCGGCCCGCTGTGGCGCCGACCACTACTGAAGGAACCCCCTCTCAGGTTCCTGAGTCAGTGGCCGCGCCCACCACCCAAGATCAGGGCATCGAAGCAGCAGCACATGAGGTATGCTGGTCGAATTCAAACGCGCAGCTCTTCCTTCCAAGCGCTCTTTCACTGATACTAGTGTCTTGGTAGACAGACGACGATGACAGAGATTCTGCCGTCGGTGATGACGGGTGAGGCAGCATACAACGCTTAGCTGGTTGGTGAAGGAATGGGCACTAACTGGTGCGCAAAGGGCAAACTCAACAGCATCCATCACATCTAGCATCTTAGAATATCGCACTATTCAAGGGCGCAGGTATCACAGCGAGCGACATGATACAAGATACTTTACTCCGAACGACGACCAGCAGTCCGAGTCGGTTGACAGTGAGGATAGTGAATGCTCGGCGTTTCCAGCAGGCTGACACTATTATAGTTACCCATCATTACCTTCAGCTCCTCTTAGATGGAAAATTGTACTTGGCACCAATCAAAGAAAATGCAGAGGTCAGTAGCTGTTACAAGGAGCTTCTTTGGTGCCATCGAAACTAACGCGCATGCAGAAAGTCCTCGATGTTGGGACTGGAACAGGTGAGGAAGCCGCCGCTCGCTAAACCGCATGTATTGGTCACTGACAATATAACAGGAATATGGGCCATGTAGGATGTTTGCAGACAAAACAAACCTCCAAGTACTGACATCAAACCAGGGACTTCGCAGATGAACATCCCGACACGGAGGTAACCGGTACAGACCTCTCGCCGATCCAGCCAGCCTGGGTTCCCCCAAATGTCCTATTCGAGATCGATGATTGCACCCAGCCCTGGACCTGGAATCCCAACACCTTTGATTTCGTGCATATACGCTACCTTTTCGGAGCAATCATTGACTGGACGGCTCTATTCAAAGAGGCTTTCAGGGCGTGCAAGCCCGGTGGCTGGGTGCAATCAGGTGAAGCTGAGGTCGAGTTCCACAGCGACGATGACAGTATCCCTGCAGACAGCGCTATGAAAACATTATGGTGGAGGTTGTATACCGAAGGCGGCGAGAAGCTAGGACGCCCCTTTGACGTGATTTCGAAGGGGCTGCAGAGGAAGGGATTGGAGGATGCCGGATTTGTGGACATTGTCGAGGAAAAATTCAAGGTTGGTTGCACCAAGAGATGAATGTAATAATGATGCTGACTCCGGACAATTTAGCTACCTGTCGGTGGCTGGGCTGCTGATCCCAAGCTGGCCGAGGTCGGCCGCTATGTCCAGCTCACCATGGAAAACGACATTGAGGGTAGAGTCCTCTTGCTTATTTGCTTAACCAGGCACCATGCTAACATTTACAGGTTACACTCTCTTCATGTGGAACAACGTCTTGCAGTGGCCAAAGGACGAGTACCAAATTTTCTTGATGTCGATGCGTAAAGAGCTGCGCTCCAGAAAGATTCATAGCTACATGACGGTCAAGTTTGTCTATGGACGGAAGCCAGAAAATGCAGCGACCTAATCTAACCTCATGCTGTTTGAAATTTGACAAACTCTTTTTCCACCTGACAAATGACATGGTTTTCTGGTGTCCTGCTCGATTTGTTTCAAAGATGTTTGGAGAAACTCTACTCTTTCTTAATTCTCGGTTCCGGCCAGTTCACTAGCAAATATCAACAGCGCCTTAATTTGTTGCACACCAACTTCTTCTTGACTTAGTTCCAGATTGTACTAGGGGGAAGCTGTAGGTTAGGTAATGATGGAATTACTGTTTCTTGATATTCATTAAGAATATTGAGCTTAACCCCTGTACGAAACAGGATAGAGTTGCACAAGTTGAGGTCATCAATGAGGCTTGCCATCTGTATTTACTTGAGATGTTATTCGAATCGCCATTTTGAGAGATCACAGTTATGGGGCCATTATCACCGTGAACGGATTTGTTTGAATTCAAGTGACATCTAGATGCCGGTCTCAACTCTGAAAATACTGCTCCTACAAGGGTGCGTAACACAAACAAATCGAACAGACAAGAACGCTTGCGAAATATATACACCTTAACTGGATTCGGTGAACAATTCACGCGGCTCTTTGTTTTCTCATATCTGTATCCGCATTTTGCTGAATCCATTAGTGCAACATCAAAGCGTTCGTGAGTAATAGGAAGTTGGATGAACACCACTACATGTATACCCGTCTCCCGCCTTGTCATAGAGCATGGTATTTTCGCTCTTGTCTCTGATGCACTGGTATATGCCCTCGAGTCGAAACTGATAAATGACTAGCTTCCTTCAACACTATTAAATGCAATGTCATGCAACATAACGCAAAATGGCACTTGTCAAGCAATTCCTGATCGCTCTCACCGCCATCACTGGAGTTCTAGCAGGTGGTTACAATCAATCTTGTTCTCAGATACGATACTGGGATCCAGACAGCATATACGGGCACAAAATGAATGCATCACCTTACCTAGTCGCCAAATGCACGGATACGGACGGAAAGGACCGTTGCAGCTTTCTGCCTCTGACTGTCTGCTTCAGCCTTGACCAAGGGTTGTTTGCCTTCCGTGCATAGTAAGTAATTGCTAGCTTTCCCTCACTATTCCTTCTAATTACTATTTTCGCTTTTCAAAGTGTAAAACTCAACGACTTTGTTTTTCTATAGTGGAAAATTTCACAAAAGCTGCCATAACTGCGAGTACGACCGAAAGACAACTGAATTTTATTGTTTATGCCCAGCCAAAGGTATCAATCAATATTACATCCCAAGAGTTATTCTGGGTAAGCTGCTGCTGATTTGAGGATGTCCCACTCTGGGGAACATCTACTGACAAAAGTCGGACAAACAGACAATTTCTTAGACAACGATAATGGCAATCTATATTGTCACAACATCATTGGCTTTCCGATAAAATGTACTGACTTCGAATTTATGAAAATCAGATGGGTCAGCATATAGCAGCATGGATCAACTCCATTCCAGGAAGGACGCAGCATAGTTCCGAGTCAATTGTTCGCAAACAATTGTGATATGGTGGCTGAGATTCGATTGACAAGATTTGTTTGGTAAATAACTTGTTGCGAGCTAAAATTTATTGTTTACGTCACAAAACATATCGTGGCTTTTGTCATTTTCTCGATTATTTCGTTGTACATCAGTACCCCAGCTCTATGTAGTTTGTCAAGAGAAGCCAAACATGCCTTCGGCCATACCGAGATCGAATCCCCTGCAAACAAACACATAGACTTTGAAGCTTCGTCAAATATTAAGCCCTTTTCCAGGTTCTCTGAAGTACAAAAACCATGAAATCTCTCGTAACTGCTTTCCTCTGGAGCCAACTCCAAAGCAACACGCCTCTCTCCTACGAATTGCCAATATTATTCATCATGAAACTCACTGTCTCTTTCTACATGTCTGTGGTTCTATCTTATGGGGCTTTGGCAAGCTTCCGCGACGAATGCGACTTCATGTCCTTTTCTCTCGGCGACAACAATGCAAACCCTGCGATTCATTATTCGTGCCCACTCAAGGAGTGGAAGTGGCCTTATATCAGCTGCTCAACTGTCTACTTGAATGATTGCTACGTGAATGACAAAGGCGTCCTTCGTGCCAGGGCAAGGTAATTTGGTTTTCCTCCTTTGTAAAAAGTGCTATTGACTCACAAAGCATACAGGGGAGCATTTGGTAGAAGCTGCAAAGATTGTTCCTATGACGCGAATACCGGCAATCTCAAGTGTTCGTGTGGCGATGGAAATGGAGGCACAAAGGATACCTCAGTGAACGTTGGTATGTGGGCTTCGCTTTTTCTTTTATTGACTTCCCAGTGCTTCAATATTCTCCCTTCCTGGTAATCATATCGCTGATGCTAGTACAGACGAGGTCATTAATCTTGAACCGGGATCCAAGATTGGCTGCTACGGTATTTCTCCGGACAACAGATGCAGCCCATAAAGGCGTCGTTGGCTGTCATATTGCGTGTTAGCTTTGCCACTATGTCCAGGTTCTTCTGGCCAGCGAAAAAATCAGTCTCTTAAATTGCGTACGAGAAACAAAACTTCATGCTGTCTAATTGAAGTCTCGATCCAATCCCTCTATCCAGTTCTATCACGGTCTTCCTACACCAAACGCCTGTATTCCCCCTTTTGCCAGTACTCGCACCTTTCATTCACTGTCTTGTCCGGGCCAATACCAACTCCATCAGTACCAAAAGTAGCTAGCTTCGCCTCATCCCCATAGACTGGCCAGTCAGGCAATTCACAAATTCCACCTTTCCCGTTAGGATTCCCAGTCATAGCAAAGTTGGTGAAGTACCGCTGCATGACCCTTGCAAGTCCAGGCTCTACAGTCTCATCCTCCTCCACGAAGAAAGTCCAGGGGAGTTCTTGACCGTGCATGCCAGGTGGATATTCGAATCGGTAGTTGTATGTCTGATTTTGGAAAGCTGTGCCGAGGAAACGGGTGTTACACGTGTATACCAGTTCGTCCACAAGTAGTTTGGCCCGGTCATGTTGGCTGGTGTATCCATGGCTGCCATTCAATTCATCAGGGTATAGCTTGGTCAAAATGGTTTCTTCTGCAGATTCCGATACCGGATAGCTATTCCTGAGCAAAGAAACAAGCTCATCGTTTGTGGTTAAGTAGGGTATAAAGTCTCCGGACTCGTTTTTGTTGTGGCCTACCATGACCTAGTCAAGGTTAGAATAGATTCACAGGAAGGCCCAAGGGGAGTAGCAAGCTACTTAGGATTCTTGACTGACTTTGACATCATCATGGAACCGTCCATTTAAGAGCAACACACTGGGAATGTCTGGCACAAATGTGCCGTCGACAGTCGGGCCATAGGTGAACAAGCCGTAGCTCCCATTGAAAACAACCGCTTGGTTAACGTTCATCAACACAGACGAGTTCAGCTGACGAAGTTGCTCCGCAGTCTCGATTTCCTCGCCGAGAACGGTTGATGCAGCCTGTATGGTCTTTTCCCATACCTCTGTGTCGTTAATAGTAGCCCTGACCGAAGGGCTCTGGGCTATGGCACTTGAAAAGGGAACCTTGCCTTCTCCGCCAAATGCCGTGATCTGGTGCATGACGCTGCCGGCGCCTGCAGATGACCCGATGATAGTAACGCGGTGTGGATCACCGCCAAAAGCGCGAATGTGTTTCTGAATCCAATCAAGCGCTAGTCTCTGATCCAAGAAGCCGACGTTTCGGGTAATGCTGTCTCCAACACCGGGGAGGAACCCAAACATGCCAAGTCTGTAATTTAGAGACACAAAGATGATGCCTTCTTGATTGTTGATCTGTGATCGGGTTATCAGACCAGCAGGGTCGAATTGCTCGTCGTGTTTGTATCCTTTTACCATGGCACGTTAGCTTTGCAAGTGTCGGTTTTGGCAATAGAACCCTACCGAGATCGTAACCGCCTCCATGAATCCAGGCCATAACGGCGACTAGAAGGTTTCAGCATTCATGCAATTGTTTTGTTCTATATCTGACAACTTACCGCCCTTTTTCTTGGAGTTTTTGTTTCTAAAGACGTTTTCTGGGACGTGGACATCGAGGAACAGGCAATCCTCATTCATGCGAGGGTCGCTCATTAGCATCTCAGACAACTCTTCGGCCGAAATTCCTTCAGCTTCGGCAACAGGGATCAAACCCCAGCCTGGGTACGACTGAGGACATATCGGAGAGTCGCGACCGTCATTTACTGTGCGGTTTTTTGACTGTGGAGGGACGGGTGGTTTCCATCGCAGCTCTCCAACGGGTGGCTCAGCATAACGAATGTTTCTGAAGCTGTAATAATTGTAGGAAGTCTGATTTCAGTGTTAATATTGATAAATCTGGATTTGTCGCATATTGGCCTGGTGTTATCCGAAGAGTGGAAGCCAACTGGACATTTAGCTTACATTGAGTTGGCCCTGGTGGACCGCATAATCCAAGTCAACAGTAGGCGTTTTATCCTTGGAAATTATTGTTGAAGAAGTAAAATGTAGGAAGACAGCGACAACAGTATAAAGAGCGCGCTTCATGTTTACAAATGAGTTGTTCGTCTTGTGTAATTTTTGAACTGTAGTTATGTTTTATTTTTCGAAAATTAATAATTCGTCCTCGATGCTTTATACCTTGTGAGATTGAGACGTGAGGTGCAAGATTCACATTCAAGTTGTCGCACTCGCACTCGCATCTATTCCGTAAGCCTTCTTAGCATCTTCGTCATTTCACACAATAGTTGCTGGGCTGTGAGACTTGGCCACTTGGCCTCGGGGGCTGAGACTTGGGCTACTCTGTCGATTAAGCTGAAATAACGCCTCCAAGATCCGAATGGCGGCACAGCGGACGCCCGAGAAGAGGTCAACGAATCCCATGACTTTTAGAGTCTCCCAATTGAGAGATGTACATGGAAGGGTCTAAATCTGTTTTGAGATCTTCCTTGGATACGGCAGTCCAAGGCCGTAATTCCATCCAAAAGAACAATGATCGTCGTCGGCGAAGTCGTTAATTCGCCAAACTGGCGACAGCTGAATATCCTTATACCCAGTAATGAAGATAAGTGAGTGGGAACCCTATTGAGCGCAGGGTAAAACGTGACAAGACAGAATATGCAACAAAGCAGTGCCCCACTAACCGCACCTACAAAATCCTCACTGCGGAAGAAATTTTCAACAAGAACTTCCCTTCCCTCATCAACAGGTCTTTTTCACGACAGAGAAATCCCAGCCCGAAACGGCACGATTTTACGAGGATTGAGCTTTTTGCGCACACCATGTAGCTGCTGCAGTGCACCATGGGCGCAATTCACCTCTACCTCGTCCGTCACGGCGAGTCCGTCGACAACGTCGCGAATCTCTAGTACGCGCTTTTCGCTGCTTTCAGCTTTGGCTTGGGAATCTTTTCATCCCTTTCTAACGTTGTGTGTGCGCGTTTTGCAGTGCTGGGTCTCGCGACGCTTCTCTGACCTCCCATGGCGTTCTGCAAGCCAGACGTCTGGGCACCCACCTCTCCTCGCGGACCGCGTCTGCGCCCGTCTCACACATCTTCGCCTCGAATCTGCAACGTGCATTCCGCACCGCTGAGGCCATTCGCGATGCCCTCTCTACATCGTCCGAGGCCGAAGTGTCGACGCGGAGTCATGTCGTGGAGGTTGTCCAGCTGCCCGAGCTTCGCGAGAAGCACTTCGGCTCTGGCGAGGGTCAAAAGGTCGGCGCCAGAAGTGTTGGTGAAAGACACGTTGGCGCCGAGACTCACGAGGCGATGTTTGCAAGGGCGAAACGGTTCGTGAGCGACTACCTCGCGCCCATCTTCGCATGCGTTGATGCGGTTGAGGCAGAGTCAGAGAGTGTGGTCGTCGTCGCGCATGGGATCATTCTCGGCGTGTTGGCGCGGGTTCTTCGTTCTACGTCCTATTTCGGGACTGTGGTTTCGACACCAGAAGACCAGATGCCTTTGGCTTGGAGCAATACCGGCTACGTTGAGGTTCATATCACGGCGTCGGCGACAAGCAAGACAACCGAGTCTAAGCAATCTGATTCAACTCCCACCTGGCCCGACCTGTCTTTCAAGACAATCACGGTCAATTGCACCGATCACCTGCAGGGTTTGAAGAAAACCCGCGGTGGCATCGGTAGCGCAAAACACGACGAGAAGCAGAAGACGCTTAACGCATTCTTCACGCCGACCGCCAAAAAGCGCAAACACGACGACGAAACTTGACGTCGTCAACGGCCATTGGGTCTGCTCACTTTGCGGAGGATTCAATGGCCCCTTTCGCAATTAGGTATGTTTTACATCTACTTTTCGTCTTCATATCCACTCCCCGCTTGTAATGATGAGGCAAGAAAATTCACAGACCTGTACCGAAAGTATACGTGTGGAAAAACATTCGTCCAACCGCTGTCTGACACAAGCTATCAAATACACATTTTGTTTTGATCTCTCATGGACGGGCTTTGACTAACATGGCTCAAGATTTCAGGTTTTCCCACATTCGTCGCTTCCTGGCCGATGGTCTCCATTGAGCACATCACACGGCAAAGCAGAATTAAAGTAGACTGGGCTTGTCCACAATAAATATCATCATTCACCATGATGAAAAAAACGTGTCTTAATAAAACTAAAGTCTTGTGACACATTATGATGTCTTCTAATGTGTTTTTATCCTTATGCCCGTCATGGTCATGTTCTCGTTCAATGGCTCGTTAGAATACTTTGTCTTGGGCAATTTACATCCCTTCGATGATTGCCCACCAATACCTGCCTGCAAACCAAACCCCTACACGTCCGTACTCCATTCATCTTGACCGGTAAAAACCTTGTAGACCCTCTTGCTGACAGCCTTCCCAATTGCCCGTTCAGAGAAGCCACCGTCTTTGTTGGTACTCTTCCGCAGGTTCTCTAAAACGAGTGGACCACCTTCTTCTAGCCCTTTCACCAGTTTCGGTACCGTCTCAAACTCGGCGGCGATGCCGTAAGCGATGGGAGCCGTGATCCGTACAATTTCCTGTAGCATCCGGACGTAGGTATCCTTGACATCCTCTCCAGTGCGCACCTGTCCTGTCTCCATGCAAAAACCAGCGCCGGCTGCGTTGGCCGCCTCGCGCTGTTTACGATATGGAACCGTTGAAATGTGTTGGGTGAAAATAGCAACCCACTGCGCCGTCTCAACAGCCGCGTTAGTGTGGTGAATGAGCACGTTGTGCATCACCTGTAGCTCTAGCAGCGCATCTTCAACCGAGTCTTCGTCAATGTACTCCTGCTGCTGCTGCTGGTTTCTGCGCCGTCGGGATTGAGCACCTGCCGAAGCAGCTTCCGCGGGCTCCGCACTCTGGTTTCGCACAGCAGAGACGAATTGTCGGTTACGGACGTTGCGATTTTTCCGCATCCACGGATTCAAGCCCTCAATGAGATAGATGAGCTGCTCAGTTGGGAAATGACGCTTTATCTTCAGAACATGTGCTTCCAAATCGTTTCCTTCGGGCCCCAGAGCACAAGCCACAAACTCTGAAGCAGTAACGATAACAAGAGCGAACTTCTCAGGTTCAATTCGCATTGGTATCGGCTCCCAGAGCCCGAGCTCGTCATTGAAGCGGCTCGCAACCTTTCTCCTCCACTTGATAACATTGTCAACCGGGCTTTCCCACACATAATGCTGAACGCTCAGATCTTTTAGCAGGGTCTGTATTTGCAGCGTCACTGCAGCGGGCAGACTCGACGAAATATCCGTAATCATCTCTGGTGTTGAGATTTTCTTGTCCGTTCTCACTTTGTTGACTTCTGCAAGAGCAGCAGCACGTTCTTTTTCTCTGGCTTTTTGCTCCTTCGCCGCCTCCTTCTCTTGCTTTTTGCGCTCCTTTTCCTGGTCTCGCTCTGCAGCTTTTACTTCTTTATCTTTCGCTCGATCGTCCGCCGACTTCTTGTTCGTAGCTCGGGCAGATGTGGGTTTGCTGGTTGTTGAAGAGACTCTGTGACTCGTTTTCTTGGTCTCAATTCGCGTTTTCAATCTTGTGGCGTCAAAGTGGTCGAGATCCGGGAAAGCTTCGTCCGAGGCCAGATCGAGATTGTGAGATACTGGTTCCTCATCACTCAAGTCAATCACCTCACTAACAGACTTTGTAAAAGCCCTCCGCGGCGGTGGAGGGGAAAATGGGTCACTGGGTAGCTGTCTTTCTGGAGCAGAGCTCGAGATAGGGTCCCAATTCGACCTTCTCTTGGGTGATTCTGCCCTCTGTTTGCCCTTCTCCAGTGGTGCAGTTGTAACCTTCAGAGATGGTGGTCTTCTCGCCCCAGCAGGCGCTCGGATCGGTGGAATCGCGAAGGGGTCGTCATCGTCATCAGTGTCGTCAAGTGTGATTGTACAGGGCTTGGATATAGGTTTTGGAACAGGTTGAAGTGAGGCATCAAGGAAATCGTCCGAGTCCAAGCCATAGTCTATCCGACGAGTTACGGTAGGAGCAGGCCGAGATGTGACCTTTGGAGGGCTCTGCCTCTTCGGTTGAGGCTGCGCAGAAGGAGGAGAGGAGGCAAATGGATCGTCTAATTCAATATTTTGAGAAACCTTATTGCTCGCCGTGGCCTGCACTAGCTTCGGCGAGAACCGAGGCGAACTAGAGAACTCGATCGGATCGTTCAGTACCTGGGCACGCCGCAACCCTCCCGATAGCTTGAGGGGCGGTCGGTTGGTTTGATCCGTAGTAGAATGCGACGGTTCGACTGAGCGGATATCAGAAGGCAACAGACAAGGCCTTTTGCTCCCGGGCAAATCTCTTTCCACATCATCATTTGTAGGTAAACTACTATCGAGATCAATTGTCGTATCGAAGTCATCCGACATGAAATAAACGGGCGCATTAACAGTTGCCTGCTCTTCTCTAGGTCGTTTCGTTCCCAAAACACTCTCTGGGGAGTAAGTCGGCCTCGTTTTCTTGGCTTGAGCCACAACTCCCTCCGCTGGTTCAGGAGCTAACTCCGAAAAATCTGTTGTTAGGTCCAAGATGTCTTCATCGTAGGTTACGACTTCTGCAGCAATCGCAATAGCCCGCGGCGGTGGTCGAGATTGCGGCAACGCGGGCTGGGCTGACGATGGCCCCAGTGAGGGACTCGACAGCAGGCTGATCACCTCGGCCGGCATATCGTGACCTGGGGTTTGAGGCTGATGTCAGCCATGTGTCGAGGGCAAAAAAGACACAATGGTTTTGGTACACCGTAATGGAACCTTGACGACCAAGACAATCGCGTCTAAGAATTGGAAGTGGGGCACGCGCAGGACTCGATGTTGAGAAATGCAACCACGAACTGGTCACGAAAATCACCTGACTCAGCACGTGATCCAGCTTGTATGTCAACAATCGACCCCGCCCCCGCAATCGGAATCAGCCTTTGTATAAGAATGTCAATTCTGGACTTTTCATGGCATCAGAGGAATGATGATCCTCGGTAATACCCAGCTAATCATTAGTCTCACCTTCACCTTCTCCTTCTTTAGCAGATTTATACTAATTTTATTGAAAATGCTGAATGACGCTTTCATTTTCCATGTACGCGTCATTTCATCCTCATCAGACATGCCTTTGGTCTTGACTATTTTCAAAGTCGCTGCTCCCACGCAGTGAACTGACTCCAGCACGCTCGCCCCTGGAATGCAACCTCAACAGAGTTGCACTTCACAGGATTCTAGAAGCCAAGACTGGCATCGTCAGTTGGTTGTCCGGACGTCCGAGCCACAAAGCAGATGAAAGCTCGCTCAGACAGTCGACTGAGTCCGACACCTCCGCAAGAGAGTCATGCAACGCTGCCAACAAAAGAGATGTCAGTACCGAGGGGGTCCGAACGCCGAATGAGTTACTACATGGCGGGCCGAGGTTTGACAGGAAGCCTGGCTTTTGAATTTGTACAATCTTGGCTTGTGACCCCCTGCACCGGAGTATAACCTCCCCACGTGTGGTTTATGAAACAATAATCGAATCGGGTCCATCGTCAGCCCTAGGATGAACAACACTCTGCATTGTAGCTCCTGTAGCGTAAGTTTGGCTGTGGAGCCAGGCGGAGATGTCTCTCTTTAGGGCCACCTTTACTCAGCTCTGCAGCACTCCGAATAAGCCCGGGAAGACATGTAAGCCAAGCATAACTGCCGAGGGTGTGTTGAGTTTTTGTCACGACGCACCCCAATCAGGTTTTTGAGCCGACATTTTACCCTCTGTCAACGTGAACCTTGATACCTCGCGCTGTGCTATGCCTAGACGATTGGCCATGAGGGTGGCTATGGTGTACCGGTAGCCAAGCAGACTTGTGTAACGACAGGGTCGGAAAGTCCGTCCTCGGACTTGTCGTTCAGAAGTCGAGACGTTTCCGCGTCGAACCATACTTGCACTGAGAATGCCGAGGAGCATTGGCGTAGGATGCGGCAGGTTAGGGTTGGTCTTTATTTGGACATGTTGGCAAAAGCTTGCCAATGAGTGACATTCACTCATATCTAATCCTCAGTTGAATTCTAGGCCGTTCGCATGGGATGATGGCTTTCGTCCGACTCAACATCCAGCATGTCATGCGTCTCCCGGCGCCATGGCAATCCAGCCCTTCAAGTATCAATATTATCACGCTCCCAGTATACTTCGATCCCCCTCCTCTCCCTGGCTTGATTCCGTAGTTCATCAGATGCGCAAATTAACAAGTGCCAACTCTTCAACTACTTTCCGACTGCATGAGAAAGTACCCACTTGTAGCCGAGCTGAGGGCTGTAGTAATCAATGTCAAAGTTGGCATCCAGTTCTTCGGGAATATGTGCGAGACTCGGCTCTAACTCCCAGTTTAGTTGGATATGCCCCTTTCTTGCACCGCCTTCATCGGGTAATGTAAGGCCGAAACCGTGAGTAAATGCTCGGTAAGCTAGTATGTCCCGAGATACGTGGGGCATAAGCTCCGGAACTGTAGACTGGTACTGCCCTGTGATGGCGGCCATGACAACCTGGTATTTTGCATCGGGGCGTCGGAGAACGAGTTCCCGAATAGCCTTTTCTTGGGGAACTTGAGGGTGCCAGATCACTTCGGGCACATCTTCTTGGTCTTCTCTGTTGGGGGGTATACGAGAGAGGTCGTTGTCCATAATGAACCGCGCCGTGATAGCTTGGTCAATCTTTCTGCTGTAAGTTTTCTCTATGCTCTCGCAGATATCGTCATGCAATGACCGCCACTTTGCAAAGGTTGTTCTTTGATGGATTCCTCTCACTACTGCGATACACTCCCCCATATGCACGTGCGTCGGCCGTCTAAGCTTTTCACATCGGTCAAAGTTCCCCTCCCACGCCGCCGCGATGATCAGCGGATTCTTTCTTGTGGCAGGCAGATCCGGCGGAAGAGTTTCATAAATAAGACTTGCAAATTCCGTCGGCAGCCTCGCAAAGTCGAGGTTAAAACAAAAATCCTCCCCTGTGATGTTAAACCCCACCCCGTCAGTCCAATTCGGCGGCGTAAGTATTCGCAAATCCTTGAAAAGCCCAGACTTCACTGCTGTATTAACAATAAAATAAGCCCCAGAACGCGGGTTTTCCAAGTTAATGGTTTGCAAGTAGTCATGCATGACCGCGTACCTTACAGGCTGAGTAATAATCGAACGGAAGATCGCGTTGGCTCCGGCAACATTTGTGTCTGGCGGTTTCATGTCACAGGCATCGCGCGCCTCTTTGGCTATGGATACATCTGGTAGCAGGTCCAGCTCGAAATAAAGAATGTCATAGCCTGCTGCCGCGCAAGCTCTTCCCACTTGGTACCGCATGTCCAGGAATCGGCGCGCAAGCTGGCGGTAGGTGTCCTCCTGGCCAAGGTAGTACCAGATACATTACAGCTTGGCATAGTCGTCGGCCATGTCTGGTATAATGCCGTTTGCTATTGCCGCAGCGGATGCTCGTTTAACTTAGGTAGTTTTGGAGACCCTTAAAAGTCGTCGTCGTTTTTCAACAGGATGAGCTCTTGGTCCACGTTTGATGAAGAGTCATCAGACGACTCGATAGATGTGCCCCATTTGCCCATGGTTTTGAAATTGCATTGACATAGACTGAATCCAAGATACAGTTGCATATACTGCAACGCCGTCGAATAGCCGTATAAGCGGGTAATATGTCCATGTTGGACCACATTGGCCTCACCTGCGACCCACAATCCCTATTTGGCAGGCAGCTAGCCTAGCATATACATTAGTCGGACCCTGTAATATATGAATCAAGGTGAAGAACAAATCGACCTCAGAGTGAAGAAATGAACACCTCTAAATCACGCTAAAAGCATTTAAGTTCTGAGAAACGCAATATATTCGATCTGAAGCGGCCCACCGGAACCAACAGCTTTTACTCCAGACTTTACAAAGGGGACGGACACAACTGAGGCTGAAGATGTGTTTCCACCTTCGGAATGAGGTCTTCCCTCTACCTAGTGACTTCGTACTTTGCGAAAGCAACCACCAAAATCAGTCGTAATATCATTTTCTTTTTCTTGTTCAACTTGTAACTCAAGAACAGGTCTACCCAACTCCTCGCAGACGCCATGCGACTACAAACTTAAGTCAGCAAGATAAACAACCTCAACCCATGCACTCAAACAACCCTTCTCGTATTCCCTCGTGTTTGATTGACCTCCAACTTTACCGAACAGGTAACTTGACTCGTCATAGCACAAGAAGGGTTAAAAAGGCGTCCAAAAAGGGGAAACAGAACACCGAGCTCGCCAAATGAGTCATGAACCAACACCGTTGTTCAAAGCCCGAAGTGGTTGTTTCTGCTCAGGTTACAGGGCCTCCGCGCGGTACAACCAATGGCCAAATCACCTAGTGTTTCAACAAATTGAGTCCCCTCCGCCGAACCTTAATGCAATTATCAGATCACGCCCGCCCCATCTTTTTCCGATGAGAGAGAGGAAGAGGGTGAGTAAGAAGGGGGGGAGAAGCTTTATAGGACGAAGGTGGGAACACGCCCATATCCGAAGTTCTTGTTCCCCCCTCTCTGCCTCTCGCCCGCACCCTCTCCATTTTCTCACGAGAATCCCCGGCCCCCCCCCCCCCTCAATGGGTATTCACGAAAGCAAGGTCCAAGATTCTTGGCGGTGATCGTGGCTGTATCTTTCATACCACCGGATCCTTTCACAGTTGAGCCTCACGGGGGGAAAAAGAACAAGAAAGGAATTAGAAAAAAAAAAAAGGAGTGGGAGGTGGGCAACATTCACTCAATACAGTGGATCTTTTAAACGGTGATCCGTGGAGCTTAGCTCCCGTCTTGGTATACTTGGTATTATTATACCTTGGAACGAAAAAAAATACGACTTCAACCCCCGCGAGGGCTCGACCCGAATACTACCGGATCCCGCGAACGCAAGCAAGCCCTCCGTCAGGGCCGAGACGCTCACAGAGCCTTCTTTTTTCTCCCGCGGCTCTGGCCTGGCCTCGCCATGGCGGACCACATAAAGGGCGCCGTGGACCTCACGCGGGAGGAGTCAATGGCCATCGCCGCCCTCGCGACGGCGGGTATATACAACGCACTCGAGATCTTCGTGCTCATCTTCTCCACATTCCGGCAGCGCCGCGGCCGCTACTTCTGGAGCATGATCGTCGCCAACAGCGGCATCTTCGTGCACGCCATCGTCTCGATAACACGGTACCTCCGGCGCAGCGGCAACGTCGTACCGGGGGGCTTCGCACTGATGGCGTGGTGTGCGATGGTGACGGGGCAGTCCGTCGTGTTGTGGTCGCGGCTGCATCTCGTGCTGTACAGCCGTAAATGGATCCGGCTGGTGCTGGCCGTGATCGTGGCGAACGTGTGCGCTATACACGTCCCGATGATAGTGCTCTGGGCTCTCTGCTGGGCGACGCCGAGAGAGGTGCAGCCGGAGTGGATAGTGCGGTACGGCATCTACGAGAAGGTGTCGATTCTCATCTTCACGCTGCAAGAGACGACCATCACGGGGATATTCGCAAGGCAGGGGTATTACAATCTCAGGCCGTTGTTCGCGTTCAAGACGAGGTCGGCGAAGCTGATATCGTGGTACCTCCTCACCCTCTTCATACTGGTCTTCGTCCTCGACATTGGTCTCGTCATACTCGAGTACACAAATCACTTTCTTTTCCAGACCACGAGCAAGCCGTTGGTCTACAGCATCAAGCTAAAAGTCGAGTTTACGGTGCTCAACAAGCTGCTCGCCTTCACCAAGATGAACTCGTGCGACTGCCACCACCTAAACGACACCCCGGGGGGATACTCAAAAGGATTAATTACGTCCGATACCAGCACGACAACAAGAGGGTTTGTGCCTAATCACAGAGAAGCATTACAATCCAGTCTATCGCCACTGCCGGATTCAGAACGACCAGATCACATCTTCGATGGATGATTGCAAGGCAAGGAGGAGGCTCCAGCAGATTTTCATGAATTGTATGTGTACGTCTATCAGTTGAGCGTAAGGGTTTGAGCCAGTAGTTTGGATTTGATACCCCATGGAATAATGTACAAAATAAAATTTCTAGGTCGTCGAGTATCCCCCCGGAACCAAAGGGTTGGAACTGCCGCATTGGGATCAGAGTTCATAGCTGAGAGAACTCGCGTAACCCAAAATGAAGCAAACCAAAATGAGAGTAGAAACTGAATACCTGATCTGAGTCGGGCAAAATGAAAAAGTAATGCTAAAAGATTTAAGGTTGGAGCTGAATGAGTTGGTCCAGAGCTTTGCGGCATTTGTATTGCGAGAAGCAGGCCCGGATCAGGCCATACCCATGTTCCTGAGCAAACAAGCTTTTGAAGATCCGAAGAATTCCTATTGGGGCATGATTTTATGATCCGGAAGTCTACAGCCTAGGTAAGGCCACCAAGAGCTGTCAGCCGACTCCCACTCACTAGGGTTTGGAAATGGTGCTGATCGTGCATGCTGGTGTCCCTAAGATGCTAGGCTGAGAACTGCCCTTGTCACAGCATGCGATCAACTCACACGAATTACAAGAGAATTATTATGCGTGAGATTGAAAGCCTGGGAGACGTTGAAGAAGAGTGACAAAGAGACATTATTTCTTCACTGCTTCCTCAGGAGAGCAGCTACCTTACCAACCGGCTCTGCTTGATGCCAACCTCCAAAACATAAGCCACGAGTCACCAATGGGATGAAAAAGCCAATCAAGGGCCTCGATTACCAATTCTATTCTCCGGCACTTGCCATGCGTCTCTCTCAGGGGCTTAATCAATTAGCAGAGGACGAGTTGCAGTCTACTCATATACCTTGCCATTTCTACCGTCGTCTACTACATCGCGCTGCAGGAACTACCGTGCCGCAGCCGTAGTTAGAGTGCCTCCGGCTCTGCAAGCGTAATGCGACGCTAATCATTTGTGGTCGAGTTCGAGATAGAGTGCCAAGACGGCCTCAAGGTTCTGCTCTGTTTCTCACTTACAGAGATGTTACAGCCATTTCACCAGCCGATTTCTATGCAGTCAAGACTTATCTGCCTTGAGCGTCAAAAAGCCGACGGCGATAAGAGACACCAGCAAGTTTTTGGGTTGGCGATTTCTAAAGGATGTCCAGGTGTGAGCAAGGAGCAGCGGTACAAGGAAACCTTCACGCCAGGTGTAAGCGAGCGTATGATGAGGAGGGCTGCTGGCGGAATATGGTGAAACAGTAAGCGCGGTGTGTGGCGGAGGCAATTGAGAACGGTGAGGCAAGGTGAATAAGGGGATGGCGACGCCACCATGACCCTGCGAGTTGTGCACGAGCCGGTAGCTAAGAAAAGGACACGCCAGTTCGTGGGCGTCAACACCTAGACAGGCGAAGGAGCACGTAGTTGGCTTGTGCTTGAACGGGGAAAGCGATCCCGGTAGGCTTAGCGGTTTCGGGATTGATGTTATCGGGGTTTCCTGGCTTTCTTAAACCCAAATGGTTCTCATGCCACTTTTTTAAGCGACCTGGAGACTTGGTTTGAAGTAAGATACAAGGCTTGTAAAAGATCCCTTATCTATGCCTGGAAGGCAGGCAGCTTGCTTGACGAAAGTGCTACACATCCGTGATAGGAAATGTTTTTGGGGTGATAACAAGACGTGTTTTATACCCCTTTCAGATAGGGATGAACAATGGTTTATTTGGTGGACGCACGCGAGTTTTGGTATGGCAATCAAACAGGGACCATCACAAGGACCAGGGGACAAGGCATATGGACCGTCGAAGATAGTCCACGCGGAGAATCGGTGAGCCGATGCTGAAGTCGCCACGGAAGCGTGTGAGGTTTGCAAGCTGCATGCCTGCTGATTCCAGAATCGATGTCGAATCTGCATTGGGAGCAATCAATTCTACGTAGGCATGGGAACAGACACGATAGAATGCGGGAACTTCGGAGCCAGGTTCCGCGATCCAGTAGTGGCGGGAAGCGACAGGACGTCCAAGTCCAAAAAGTTAGACCGTGAATCTTACCCTCGGACTTTGATATCTGTTTGTACTTCCAAGCCATCAAAGAAGTCCAAGAGTCGAAGTTGTCGAGTCACAGACCTCGTAGGGCATACAACGATGGTGAAAGGATGACGGACTGGCTTGTGCGTGAGACCCTTTTTTCCCTGCAAAGTACGACAAGAAAGCCATCAAAGTGAAAAAAAATAAAAAAATAAAAAAGAGCACGCGCACGGTGAAATGCGACATAGTGGCTGAAAGCTGTGATACAAGAAATCGGAGAGTTATGGTTTTTTTTTTTTTTTTCTTTTTTTTTTTTTCGTGTGAGTTTGTCAGCGCCTAAAAAATTCCGAACCTTATGCAACAACGTCAGCATTGCTCCTCGCTGGCGAAAAAAAAGAGGGATGATGAGATGACGATACAAGGCGAGATGGCACGCTGGTGGGTGTGTTCGCAGCGATGCATAAGGTTTGGGGTGAGATTAGCGGGAGGGTCGATCAATACCTTGAGACGAGAGTTGATGGCCGGATCCGGTATTGTCATAGTTATCTAAAAGTGGCCATTGGAAGCTGGAGGGTGAATAATAGACTCTGAAGCTGTAGCCGGACGCGGAGTGATTCAAGAGTGTAATGGACCTGGCGCCAGGATTCCAATCATCGTCGCCGGGCAGACTGAGGCCGGGTTGCCGGGTCGCCCGTATAGTAGAAATGGCCATGTTAGTTACGAGGCATAATCTGATGTGTTGGCCGGTGGAGCAAGGAGAAAAAGGGCACATCGGGATCCAGATTTGATTTGGGAGCATCTATTTTGGCTGGTTACCATTGTTGTTCTCTTGCTCATCAACTTGATTCGAATCCGAACCTCAAGTCAAGATGCAGTTCCGCAGCTTTAGCCAACAAGACGCTCAGCTCAGGTTCTGGCTAAAGGTGTGTTCCCGTCAGCTCGGTTCTTGTACGGCAGTCGGGTGGCTCCCTCCAGGTCTGGTTTATGCGAATGAGGGCACAGCGGGACGGGCGGCTGGTACAAAGCTGTCACGTCTCAGAAACCGGCGGGACTGGTGAGGCGGAACCTCGGCCGGAAGTATATATGCGGCCGACTGGGCCTAAGTGCGCCACCTGGCTACCGTCCCATTGTCTGCAGTTTAAATGTCAACGGAACAATGACAGAACGTTACGACTTTTGCTCTGAATGCGAATAGCCGCTGTGACCTGCCTCCATAGGAGTTTGGTGGAGCGTCGGGACGACCTATTCTTCTCACCCTCACAGCTTTGCCCCCTTCTCCCCCTTCTTCAACGCTTTCGGAATCACGAGGCTCAGCGATGACCAAAGAAGAAAAAAGAAACTTTAGTCGCCGTTTTAGGTGCAGAAATCTGACGAGTTTTGTGCAAGCGGCTGCAGGTGACCGGGTCTTCAGGCTGTTGGAATGTGATTAATCACCGCCTTGCTGCATCATTCTGCAGCATGGTAATCGAGAAAGCGCGGTAACCGTCTCTCAAGTTTCCCGAGGAACAAAGTGCCGTTGTCTTGGAGGATTTGTTTCTTTCATCGCCTCAGTCAGCATGGTAAACATTTTTCGTCAGCGATCTTTGTGCCCATACCCTTGAAGAACGAGGGGGCTACAACGACACGGGGTTCCGAGGCGTCGAATGTCCGTGAAGGAGAAAGAAGAAAGAAAAAACGAAAACAAAATAAAGATGCAGAGGAGAACAAGGTGATCCCAAGTACCGATACCGGGATGGGTCATGTTGTGTGTCGTTTCAACCGACTTGGTCGTTGTGTTTGCTGGCAGTTGTCACTTCAACGGTTCATGACGAGTGCCAAAAGCCATCCACTCAGTGGGACGTTTTTGGTGGGTTGTCGGGGAGGGGGTTTACTGGTCCCTGCGTCCGGTGTGGAGGCCCACGTACCTCGTGCAAGCTCAAGGAAGGTGCGATGCTACTATGGAGTACCTACTGCGTGACCGCCTGTACCTGCTTACCTGCCCTTGGAGGCTTTGCTGCATACTTGCCGTTCGGGGACAATTTCTGGTCGTCTGGAGTCTGGTGCCTTGTGCCTTGCAGACAGGCAGGTGGATGTGGTACCTGCCTTCCTGTGTGTTGCCCCCAAGTTGTTTTAGGGCAGGCAGTTGGCAGCTGCGGCAGCCTCTTGCTGAACTGGGGAGACTTTACCTACCGGGGTTGTAATTGACCTTGCCTGATAGGGACTGGAGTGAGTCCAATAGACCCACATGAGGTAAACACCCCGGCTCCATTGGTCTAAGTGTCTGGGCTCAAGTGGCTTGACCTGTTCCGCTCACCACAGTATTTTTCCTTTCTTTTTTTCTTCCCCCTTACGCTGTACCGTCAATTTTTGTTCTGTATTTTTTTCTTGCCTAGCTTTTCCCTCCCATCCGTCGCGTTTTAGCCACCCCTTTCCAGCCAGAGCAGGCAAAACCAGCTAGTGGCTTTGCGCCCCTGGATGACCAAACAGCCAAAGAGCATTGCCCTCGTCGAGCCGGCCTCCTTGTCATCGACGGTCCTGAAATGGCTTGCCCTGGTCGGTGGTGGTAGCGGCGACTAGCCCTTTCCAAAGAGGAAATGTCCTACGTTGTAAACGGAACGTGCTTGCCTGGGATTATCTGTACCATCCGAGGAAAGTGAGGCAACCTCCCTCTTTTTCTCTCTCTCCCTACGGATACGAATTAGGAATCGCACTCGCAGCCCTCTCCGCTCCTGTAAAATACTGACCAAATTGTACAAGTGGACGACCCTGGAGAACACGGTCCCCTCCCCCAGTGCATGGCCATCCCTGGGCTGGACTCTTGACCCTGTATCGCTAAGTGAGCACCGGACCATCGGTCGTTTTCCCACGTCCTGTCTTGTCTACGGGATTGAGACGGTATAGATATACGGATACAGGGAGATGTGTAGGAAGGAGGAACACAAGAGCAAAAGGGAGAAGAGGCATGAAACCAATTTTTCTCCGCTCCTCGTCTCTGGTTGTTAATAATTAGCTAGGAAATGGATAGTGATAATGAATAGCGTTGGCTTTGAGTGTACCCGTTGCTATGTCATCAACGAATACGTCGCGCTGGTACCGTTTTGCAACCGATTTCCGTTATTGATGATCTCTTCGGACGAGGCAAGAGCGAGTGTATGCTGGACTCTTTTAGTAGATCGTTCCTTCTTTCATTGATCTGTCCGATGGCTTATTGAACACACACGCACACACACAACCTTTCTCTTCTCGCCTTCCTCGTCCTTTCCTCTTTCCTCTTTTTTTTTTTCCTGCTCCGTCTCTCTCTCTCTCTCTCTGTCTTCCCATCTCATGCACCGTTTCTTACCGTCTTAACCTTTTGATTCCGTTTGCTGTATCTCTTTGCTTTTTCTCATCCGCTTACATAGATTTCCTCCCCTGGTATTCATCACCGGCATCAACCTCCTCTGAAGACGGCGGCATTGTGCCTATGGCGGCAACGACGATCGCTCCAGGATGTTTCATGGACTAAAACGACCCGAGCGGCCCCCCGAAAGCAGCATCACCCATCACCTTCATCTCCAAATCGACCCAGCAGACTGTCGACTGTGAGGACGGGCGCATCCGTCACACACCGCGCCACCCAATCAGACGCCACGGTCGACGCGCTCCTAATTTGCCAGACATCCACCTACCCCAGTCATTATCCACGCCCATCCTGTCGAGCCCTTCGACATAAACACGACGGCCAGTAGGCTTGATTGGCCCCCCCTGGTCTGTTCCCCCCTGTGCTGCTGCTGCTGCTGCTGCTGCTGCTGCTTCTGCTTCTGCTTCTTCTGTTGCTGCTGGTCCACGCTAGTCCACTACCACGCCAGCCCACTGCTGTCTGGTCTGGTCCAATCCTGTTAAGTAGTAGTACACTACTTCAACGCAGAACAGACTTCTACAGGTACCTTAGTGGACAGGAACAACACCACTGTGAGGACCGCACAGCCCGCCTAAAAGACCAGTCCAACGAGGGAATCAAACCCCCCCACCCCTCCTCCTTGTCGACGCACACCCCCCCTACTTGGCCCCCCAATCCAATTCCACTGGATGGGACACCGCGCAACAAAACAGTTAATTATCCCAGGCTACCCTATCCTGCGAATATCTCCAACAAACTTGCGCTCCCAAGCAACGCTGGACAACGCATCGCTCCGCTACGCAACGGGAACTACAGGAGCCACTGGCCAGCGAGCCTTTGCTTTCTGTTGTTTATAATTCGCTTTCCTCCATCGCCTATGACGCTCGCGTCCGTTCGTTTCCACAAAGCTGCTGCGACTGCTGCGCTGCCGCTGCCGTGGTGAAAGAAAATCGCAGCCATTTTCTCTCTGGCACTTGACGAACGATATCCCCAAACATCGGGTCCCCAGCAACGAAAGCATAAGAATAGTGCATGGAAGCCGACATTCCCTCGCCTAGGACTCTCCACGCACGCAATTCCCCCGCCCACATCGACCCGATTTCACTTTTGAGACATCGGCACAACAGCACCATATACTGAACAGTGCTTCATACCGTCAACTGTACAGGGTCTGGGCCTGGGGACTGCACAATCCTGACGCCCCCCAGTTCGTCCAGGTCTGCTTCTGACCTCGGGCGTCTAACTTTATACAAGGAGGAACGGATTCCACCAGCGCCCATCGAAGAGCCCTTCTCTCCTCTTCCCCTTCCCATTATGGCCAGCTCACCGCCGGCCTCCCCCGGGAATCAACCACCCCAGAGACCGCTGAGCGCCATGGTGCGACCGTCACCAAGAAGTAATAGCCGCATGAGCATGACGAGCAAACATGGCGGTGGAAGCAGAGCTTCTGACGACGATGCCCGGACCGCTGTCAAAGTCGGTAAGTTTGGTTCCCGGCCTGACCTCATCGTTCGTCGCTTGATTCGACGTCGGGTTGCCTACCCCCCCTTTTGCTGCTGCATCCAGGCCATCACACCACTAACCACTCCGTCTCCAACCCAGCCGTGCGCATCCGACCAGCGCTCAAACCCACAGACCCGGGCTACGAATTGATCCCTCAGCGATTCCAACGATCCATGGTCCAAGTCACATCGAACACGAGCCTAGCAATCGACTCGCCGCAAGGAAGGAAATTATTCGTCTTCGACCGTGTCTTTGGGTCTGACGTGGATCAAGAAGGAGTCTGGGAATACCTAAACGATTGCGTCAACGCGTTTATTCAAGGTTACAATGTCTCGCTTTTGGCCTACGGCCAGTCGGGAGCCGGAAAGTCGTACACAATGGGCACATCAGGTCCTAATGAACAAGGCGATGTTGAAGTCATGGGTAAGTTACACCGCGCCTGATTGACACCAAGCTTGTATCTCTCGAGGCTTTCCCCCGCCTCAGTAGGTCGCCAGCTGATAGCATTCTGCAGGTGTGATCCCCAGAGCGGCAACAGCATTATTCGAAAGGCTAGACGGCTCGAAGAAACAGGTGAACCGTGGATCCATGTCACAACTACGAACGCCGCATCGGTATTCTGCGCAAGGCACTTCGGGCTCGCCCTCGGAGCGAAACTGGTCTCTGAAAGCCACATATGTCGAAATCTACAACGAACAGCTGCGAGATCTGCTGCTTCCGGACCACGTTCCACAGCATGAGCGTGGCACTGTCACAATTCGCGAAGATGTAAAGGGTAACATTATCCTCACCGGCCTCCGACAGGTCGAAATCAACTCAGTAGAAGACCTGATGAACGCCTTGAATTTTGGCTCCACACTTCGACAAACGGATGCGACAGCTATTAATGCTAGATCCTCCCGGTCTCACGCCGTATTTAGTCTAAACTTGGTCCAACGCAAGAGCGGGCTTCAGGGTTCCAATGGCAACGACAAGCGCTTTTCCGTCCCCATCGAAGCCATGACTGGATCCGAGACTTGGGTGACAACAGACAGCAAACTGCACTTTGTTGATCTGGCTGGTAGTGAACGCCTCAAGAATACAGGCGCGCAGGGCGAGAGGGCCAAGGAAGGTATTTCCATCAACGCAGGTCTCGCTGCGCTCGGCAAAGTCATCTCGCAACTGTCATCGCGACAGGCTGGATCGCACGTTTCCTACCGTGACTCTAAGCTCACTCGTCTTCTCCAAGACTCCCTAGGAGGGAATGCCATCACATATATGATTGCCTGCGTGACTCCGGCTGAGTTCCATTTAAGCGAAACGCTAAACACCGTCCAATATGCGCAGAGGGCCCGAGCTATCCAAAGTAAGCCCCGGATTCAGCAGGTAGAGGAGGGTGACAAGCAGGCAATCATTGATCGTCTGAAGGCGGAGGTGGCATTCCTGCGGGAGCAGATCCGGAGCGCTGAGCGAGGAGGGGGCGAGCGACGGATTGCCTCTACAGGAGAGAGGTCCGAGCGACAAAATGAGCGGGAGGTCGAACTGCAAAACCAGCTTCTGGACGCCCAGGAAAACTACACAACCCTTAGCCAACGTCACGCAAAGCTAATTGCGGAGATGGCCAAGGCCCGCGACAACGAAGCTGCCGAGAACCACAATATTGAGGAATCGCTGGGCGACACTGCGACTGAGAGACTGAACCGCTCAAACTCGTTTGCTGCGGCCGTTGAGCAAGTCGTACTCGAATACGAAAAGACGATTCAGACTTTGGAGCAGTCCTTGTCTAGCACTCGTGGCACCCTTGCCAACACTGAAGCCAGTCTCTTGGAAAAGGAGACCAAGTGCACTTACATTGAGACAATCAACACTCAGCTACAAGCACGATTGCAGAAGCTCATGGATCGCGAGGCGAGTACCGAGAACTACCTCCACGACTTGGAGAACAAGCTCGACGGTCATACTTCCGGTGAAGAGAAGAATGCAACTATTATTGTGGAGCTGCGCAAGGAGATTTCTCGTGTTAGAGAAAACGAGGCCTCCTGCGAGGATTATATCTCGACATTGGAAGAGCGACTTGCCGAGGCTGACCAAGATGCCGAGTTGATGCAGCGCGAAATTGATCGCCTCGAGCAGGTCATTGAGCGCCAGCGATCTCTCGGAAAGCTGGACTCTCTCCTGCACGAACTGGATCACATTCAAGGTGACGGCAAGATCACAGAGCCGGATACTGAGGTACCCAATGGGGTATCAAGACGCCACGCTGCGGAACACTCTCGAAGTCTCTCACACGTTAGCCGGATGAGCCGAGACGTCATCCCCGAAACCGTTGAGGAGGAGGCAGCAGCAACCGAGGCGACTGACAGAACAGCGGGAGATGACCACAAAAGCACCACCGTGAAGACGACCGAAGGCGATACGCAGAACCTGCAAGCTGACAAGAGCGAATACCCCCCGCAGAGCCCTGCCCAGTCCAAATTTGTCCAGGACAAGTTGGAGAACGTCACCCAAGAGCTTATCGACCTGCGTGTCGAACACGAGACCACCATTAACGAGTTTGACCTGCTGAATGCCAAATACGAGGAGGCATTGCGGACTCTGGCAGAGCTTCAGGATACCATCGATGAGTCACGCCATCCTGAACGCAAGGTGCGAGACTCAATGATGTCTGTTACCTCGCCCAACCAAACTAGACCCCCGTCCTTCTTCTCCGACGCGAGGTCTAGTGACCTGAAAGAGAACGGCCAATTCTCATCGCGGTCGTTGTCTTCAGAGTTATCCTCTGCGCTGGAGTCACCCGCCAACGCTGACCCGTCCGATGCCGAGACTGGTACACTTAAACCCGAAGCAGACTCGGATCCTGTGTCAGCTGGAGAGCTCGTGCACCAGGACCTTCTTGCGACAGAAGTCGAGAGATTCAAGACCCTCGCGGCCGAAAAGGGCGAGGCGGAGAAGGAGCTAGCTGAAAAGTACACCCAACTTGAAAAGAAGCACCAGGAGGCTCTAGACATGCTGGAGGAACTCAAGACCGAAGTTGCCCAAGCTAAGGCGCTCGAAGTGACATCGCCACGAGCTGGCCAGCCTGTCATTCGCCGCAAGTCCAGCCAAAATGTCATGATCATCGACCGCGCTCATCGATCTTTCGCTTCGCTCCGTAACATCGCAGCCGAGAACTTCGAAGAACAGCCTGATGTCATGCAAAACTTTGAACTGAACCTGAACGCTGCCATGCACGAGCTTCACGCACGATCAGAGAGAATCCAGGAACTCGAAGCTGATATCGCATCTACTAAAAAGGAGATCGAGATGAAGATGACCATCATTTCTGGCCTCACCCGTGAGCGGTCTAGTTTGCAGGCCTCACCCATGGACATGTCAGTAGTGTCAACCCTCAAGAACCAGCTTGAGGCAAGTGAGAAGCAGATGAAGGAAATGAGAGATACACACGAAGCCAGCGAGAAGAAGCTGATGAGTGAACTCGAGAGTCTTCGTGCTTCTGTCAACGACGGCGCCGCCGCCCCCTCCGAACCTGCGTCCAACTTGGCTTCTGAGACTGCCGTTGCCACTGCCACAGCCGCCGCCGTTGCCGTCCTTCCCGAGGCGTCCACAGAAGTTACTGATGTCCACGCTAGGGCCCTGCCAACGGCAGAGGAGAACGACAAGAAGATCACTGAACTTCAAACCGAGCTGACTAGCTGGCAAGAGAAGCACCAAACAGCTCTCAACACAATGCAGGAGACAGAGGCTGCCATGAAGAAGACGATCGAAGGACTGGAGTATGAGATTACCACGCTGAACACCAAGGCCGCTGAACAATCAGTAGCAAGAAGTGCCGACGAGGTTAAGGAGATCGAAGAGAAGCACGAAACTCTTGTCAAGAACCTTCGCAATGAGATCAATGAGTACAAGGCTGCCATTGATACCAACGCCAACAAGGTGTCAGAGCTTGAGGCAGCGCACCAAGCTACCAAGGCAGAATTGGACGAGGCTATCAGGGCCCGCGACCTTCACGAGACACAAGCCAAGACACAACAAAGCCTCATCGCAAACCTTGAAAACCAGATCACAGCTCATGAGCAGGCACTCAAGACTCACCAGGATGGTATGAAGCTACTTCAGGAGAACCATATCAAGGAACTGGAGGAGATGAAGAAGGCGGAGCAGACTGGCTACGAGGAGCAAGTTGCCGTTCTCCTGAACGAGCACGCTGAGAACGTCAGGGTCCTCGAAGGCGAGTTGAACGATGCCAGGGAGGAATTAATGAAGGTTGCTACCCAGGTCGCCTTTGCTCTTGGCCTCGACGTCAGTATCGATAAGATCACTGAGCGCATCGAAGATCTGATTGCCGACCAGAAGGCTTTGGGCGTGGAGCAGAAGAAGTCAGGCGAGATTCAGAAGCACATCTCTGAGCTCTCTACCATCAACGACAATCTCCTGAAGGAGTTGGAGCAGGCCAAGTCTACTCTTAGTGACCTCCTCACTGCTGAGGGAGAACCTGTCAGAAGCCCTGCGCCTCTTCCCGATCAGTTGTCTGCGATTCGCAAGAAGATCTCAGACCTCGAGAACAAGAACAGAAAGAACTCTCGTCTGGTGGAAGAGCTTGAGGACCAACTTCAGAGCAATTTCGATCAGGTTCAAATGACCAACAACCGCCTGTCTACATTGCAGACGGAGCGCAACGCGCAAATCGAGGACGCGCAGGCTGCCAAGTTCAAGGCGGAGTCCGAGTTGGAGTCGCTCAGGGCCGAGTACAACGCTCTTCAGGTAAGTTACCTCCCTCCACCTGCATCGAAGAGAGACGCTAATAACGTGCAGAACAAGCTCGATGAGTCATTGGCTTCGGGCCACGTGCAACGATCCAACTCGATCAGCTCGCCTCTCCGGAAAAGTTCGTCTGCCACTTCCCTGCCATCCCCACCGCCAGCCATTCCTCTGCCTCCGCTGCCTGGCGCGGGCAACAACGCTGCTGGCCCCAACGGACCGGTGCCCAGCACCCCAACCCAGGGAAACCGGCCTGCCAGCAAGGACAACCACGGAAGTGCCAACCAGATCCAGGAAGATCAGGAAGCTCGCATCCGCACAATCGAGAAGCACCTCCAGGCCGAGAAGCAGCTCACCCAAACGCTCGAAGAAGCACTCACGGACCTCGAACGTCAATCCAACAAGGTCAAGGCAGACGGCGATGCCTGGCGCAAGCGCTGTTCGGAGCTGGAAGCCGAAATCAAGGAGCTCAAGGATCGCCCTGCGCCGACACCCCAGCCCGACAACCGTTGGAGCCTTCATGCCGTCGAGGAGGAGCGCAAGAAGCGGCAGGCTGCCGAGGCACAACAGCGTTTGCTGGAGGAGCGCATGAACGCCTTGTCGAAGAAGAAGAAGAAGGGCTCCCTCAACTGCTTCTAGGCGAAGCCCTGCTGCTTGCTCCTTGCCGCTCCAAGAACCTGAGCTCGACTGGCCTCATCTACTTTTTGAGATGCAAACCAAAAACGGATATTTCTTTTGTCGGGAAGGGGAGTTTTTCTTTCTTGACCATTTCGTATCGGCCTTTATTTTTACCCCTCTTGCGGCATTGAATTCTTGCATTTGCGACATATTTATGCTAGCCGAAGATGATTCCCCCTACGCATGGCGAAACCCAGAGAATGGGCAGGAGTTTCTTACACTGGCGGTTCGCGCTTGCGTCGTCCAGCTAAGGGTTTTGATGTCTTTTGTTTCTTCTTTGCGTTTTCTTTCTCTTCTTCTCCTTCCCAATACAATACCACTGTGCGTTGTCTACTCATGCACACCCAACCAGTTTACCCTTCGCTTCTTTTGTCTTATCTTAATTATCTTCATTTACATAACTCGTCTACGAATGGCAAGACCAACGACGTGCTCTGATGATGGCACGAGGGAAGGGACCGGAGGACGGAGGTTGTGGGGTTGTCAGTTGGCGGGCAACCCAGGTGCATTCGTTGGACTACCTTTTTTTTTTCCTTTTTTTTTTTTTTTGCCGAGATGGAGTGATCTGTGGGAGGGGAGCAAGCATACATCCTATACCTTGGCTAATCCTAGTGCTCGCGGAACCGAATGTATTCGGTTGAATAAAAGACTTTGAAGTTCAATTTTTTCTCTTTCGATTCATCGTGACATCTTTTGTGCCTTCATTACTGTAGTTTATCTGTCCGTGGTGTATCTGATGTTCTTACATTATTATCCTTTGGCCCTTGTCATTGCTCGCCCTCCTCAGACGGAAGAACATCCGGAAACCATCCGTAAGATTCGAAATCGACCTCGAACTCGCCGAGGGCCGTCTGGGTGACTTGTACGTCTTCGGCCCGGAGGGCGTCTGCCTGGCTGCGAGCACCTGAAGGTTGAGAGCTACAAGGGAAAAGTCAGTCGGTTTTCTCTTGATCTTGGGGGTGAAACGCGGGAGAAGAGAAAAAAAAAAAAAAAGAAAGGGGGGGGGGGCCACGGAGAGTGATGGAGAGAAGTTAATAAGTTTGTGAGGGATGAAAGGTTCATGTAGACTGAGGTAGGTGGTGTGCCAAGCGAGGGGAAGATAAAAGATGTACCGGGGCGAGATGGCGCCCTTGGCGTTGATGACACGCTGCCAGGGGACGGTCTCGTTGTTGAATTCCGCCGAGGGGTCGGTGGATAGGTGCTTGAGGCAGATTCCTACTTGACGGGGCCGTTCGGCTGTGACGGTTTGCTTTTTGTCAGTGGGAATTCTTTCTGTAGTATCATGTTTCTCGTTGGATGAGAGGACGGGGGATAGGTAGTTCTTACGAGTTCCGATGAGCTTGGCAATGTGGCCGTAGGTCGTCACCTTGCCCGGGGGAATCTCCTGCACGGCGGAGTACACGGCGAAGAAGAACGTCTCGGCTTCTTCGCTGCGGGGCATGTTTGGTCTTGGTTCTGCGGAGGTGGAGGGATATCGGGGGTGGTGGTTTTGGTGGATGTTGTGTTGTTTGGTGAGGTGAGTGAGTGGTGTGGGGGTGAAGATGAAGAAAGATTGGTGACATGAAGGGCGTGCTAAGTATTGCTTAACAATTCTTGATGGTGACGGTTGTGGGTTTCGTGTCTGATTGGCTGGTTTGCCTGTTAAGGGAGGGAAGTACTTACCTAGGAAACGATGGTATCGAGGGCCTGTTTTCGTTATCTTTATCTTTTCGACTTCTGATTTATTAATTCTGAATTTACCTTTGGAATGTCTTTCGCAGTCTTCTTGTTTAAATACAAATGCTGATCGTCAAGTATCTCTTGTTCTTTTTGATGGTGAGGAGGCTCAGTTCCAGATGCACGGTAAGTAGTACATGATTGTATTGGTTCAGCATTTAATGACTGGCGTCGAGGACTTAGAAAATACTTATCCGAGACAAATTCGACGATGCATGTTTCGTGGGGCTTTAAATGCTATTTCAGTTCATCATGGGCACTTGAATACCATACGTTGTTGCATTGGGTTGGTGGTTTGCATCTGTGAGTGCAATGGGCTACATGTTGACTACTACTTCAATGGCCCATGCGGCAAGTTTTAACTTGTGATTGAAAGTGCCCCTTCGACAAGGCCCGAGATTAGGCGGCCTAAAAGAAAAACCAACCGAAGTGATACAGTAATGGGATTATCAAAATCATCATGGAGTTGTGCGGACGATACCATCAGACCATGTCTGTGCATGATGGTTCTAGTAGAAACACTGAATGGAATGGAATGCTAGCGGCCTCGCTCTCGGTGAAAAACATGCCGGACGCGGGGCCCGCAGTCGCAGCTCCAGCCACCGAGACGCGTCCTTCACCCATCCCGATGTCGCATCATCGTGTGTCTAACCGGTAGACTTGGTCCCGACGCCCCGCGATTTCCATCCCGGGCTCATATCCGGACCCACCCATTCGAGAATGCGGGGGAATCTTGCGGTTCGGGTGTTCAAGTTGGCAAGCCGCCCTTCTCTTTTCAACTCAGACTTGATCTCTCAACTTACCATTGTACCCTCTGAACTTTCTTCAGCAAATAGTACGCGACAACCTCATAAACTCCTGCAACTCGGACCTCACAATGGAAAGCTTCGTCAAGTCTCGTGAAACCCGGCCTCAGCTGCTTCAAAGCCTCTTGGCCGCACTTCCGCCGTTGGACCCTTCCCTCGAAGAGTTTCGCGATGTCGCCACGCTTCCAGATGGCTACAAGATTGACCTCCAAATCGTTCGCCCCAAAGGCGTGAACGAAGCCCAGGGCGGCAGGCCTCTCATCCTCCTATGGCCAGGTGGCGGCTTCATCGTGGCGGGGGTTGAGCCGACAACCCGACCCGCTCGGGAGTTCGCATTAGAGTTCGGTGCTGTCGTCGTCAACGCGACTTATCGTCTGGCTCCGGAGCACAAGTTCCCCCAGTCCGTCAGGGATGGCTGGGAGACGGCCGTTTGGCTGTCCAAAAACGCGAGTCGCTTCGGTGCGGACATCACCAAGGGCTTCGTCGTAGGCGGCTTCTCCGCCGGAGGAAACATCGCCGCCGTCGTCGCCCAGCGGTCCGGTGTCGAGGGACTCGGAATCACCGGCGTCCTCATGGGAATTCCCGTCCTCTTCGTCAAGGAGATCGTCCCGCCCAAGTACGCTGCGGAGTGGACATCGCGGGAAGATAACGCTACGTGGAGTGAGTCGTTCACGACGGCGATCATCCAAGACGTTCAAAAGGCTCTGGAACCCGACGTGAAGTCGCCGTGGTACTCTCCCATCAACGACCCTGAGGCGATCCCCAAGTCGCCAAAGGCGTACATCCAAGTCGGAGACAGAGACCCCTTGAGAGACGACGGCTTGATTTATGCAAAGGTTCTGAGAGATAATGGCGTCGAAGCGAGAGTTGATAACTACCCGAACTGGGGACATCAAGGATGGACCATTTTCGCACCCAAGGATATACCCGCGGATTTGGCAGCGAACACGATGAAGGGAATGAAGTGGCTTCTGGGCAGAGAATAGCTGTGGCGAAAACAATTCAGCTGCTGTATTTCTAAAGTTTTAAATTTAACAGTTCTCTCGGCTCTTTTGTCTCAGCCTCTCCTTTTTTACAATGGCGCTGGTCTTCAAACTGCAACCAGGTGAGACATTCCCCTCCCTGAAAATTTTCATTGTGGCCTGCACATGTGACCCCAACACCGAAATAAATAAACACAAAAACAATCTTTACATGTTCTCTGTTGGCTGCCCGGAACTCAAATTCCTCAGAAACTTATAGAAACCTAAGGGTTGTAGTCTTCGTATCGTCCCTTCAGATATTTCAACAAATGCAATCAAATATTTGGTTTGCTTCCTAACTTTTATCGACCCAACACTCAGCCAGTTATTCACGAAAGCCGTAACCGCCGCCATGTCAGGTCCACCAGCATTGAAAGGCCAGCCAGATTGTGCTATACCATGTCTAGTGGAGGCAATCTCGAAGATTGGATGTGTGATCACCGACACAGCTTGCTTCTGTGCCCGAGACAAGCAAGAGGCCCTTGTTCCTGTTGCTGCAGGGTGCTTGCTGGCCAGCTGCAGCTCAAGCGATCTTGGAAGTAAGTTCAAGTCATGATGCATTAGAGTTAACCATACTTGCAGACACTGGATGTTTGCTTATTTTCTGGGCAATAGGAACACAAGAGGCAGCAGCGTCAGTGTGTGCTGGGTTATCAACACGGTCAACATCACGGCCGTCATCCGAGACTACCCCGGAGACTTCGACCGGGGGCTTTCCATCCTCAGTTCTTACACCGAACAAAAGCAGTTCTGTAGGGGCTATTGCAACGTCAAATACAACAACCAGTCAAGCCAGTGCAATTGGCTCAACCTCGCCAACTCTATCAACAGGGGCTATTGTGGGAGTCGTTATTGGAAGTGTCGTAATGGTGGCATTCTTCCTAGCCATGATTGCTTTTATTCGATATAGAAGAAAACCGGTAGTCTATGAAGAACCCGGGCACCACATAGTCGCAGTCACTGAGTTGGATGGACAGCCATTTGCGAGAAGTGAACTAGACACTCAAAAGCCGGGAAAACACAAGCCAGCTGAACTAGCCAGTGGTCCCCAAGCATTTGAGCTTGACGGGAAGTCGGCCAGAAGCTGTAAGAAAGTGGAACTCGATTGCAATCTTCCAGTTGCCCAAAACACTCACTCGCTAGGAAAATTTTCAGGCGAAGACAATCACGATCCAAGCCCTGGTGGTCTTACGGTAACAACCGCAGAGCTTCCATCACCTTCGGAATCTAATCAGCCCGTCTCCCCACCCAACACCATACAGACCAGTAATATTCTTATAGAGTCATCACTGCAACCTGTCGCATTGTCACCTAGCCCACGTGAGCTAGAGGACTTATTGGAAGAGGAATCAGAATTGCAAAGGCGAATAGAGACATTGGATCAATTACGAATTGCACAGGAGGAGCAGGTGGCTATTAGAGAGAAGATACAAGCATTGAAAAAACACAACTGATTCAAGTACATGTAATACGAAGGCTGGATACGTATACAACTGCAACAGATATTCACAAAGTTTCTGATCACGAACAAAACTTCTTGTAGCCTATTGTTCCCGTATAATTCATGATGATTAAAATTGTGCGCAACATATCTGGTTGGAGTTACCTTACAGCGAAAACACTATAGGATACTCCGTACGTTCTCAACGACATCAGCTGGCATTGAGTCGGCAGGTACTATTGTCTATACTTTAGTTCAAGCTGCTGGTAGGCAGAAGTCGCGACCCACGACTATAACTGAATGCGCTGCCTGTGCCAGCCCAACTCCTCGGACTTTAAGCTCCTTGCTAGTGGTAACAGAGATCTTCCTGGGTCATCGAACTCTCCGTCGTCACTAGATGAGCCAAATGTCCTGGATGGCCTTTGCACAGCAAAGTGTTCTCTTTAAAATCGATACAGTTGCTGAAGAATATGCAAGAGCTCACCGGCAATTTAGCTGAGCAAAATATGTTTTGCCAACTATTGCATACCCAAAATGTGTAACATTGCGAGGCCGCCGTTGGCAATCTATCTAGCTTGCCTTAATCAGACGAAATTCCTCGTAAGTAAGAACAGCCACACTTTGATTATGAGTCCTTCCTATTGAAACTCCTTATGCCCTGAGATATGGCAGACTACAATGTTACTGATCTTTTACTTCGGTACTCTGATAATTATCGCAACAACAATAACAAAGAGGCAAATTTGTTATTCTTCTATACTACACGCAGCTCAGCTCTTCTCCGTAAAAGCACTGTCTAAACTGCAGCCCCTTTAAGGGGCTGATCCAAGCGTCCCTCATTCACCTTCAATGCCGGATTCCTAGAGAAAACGGATAGCACGGACAAGTATGCATTAGCAAGGAACTTCGCATCTTCCGAGCTGTAGAGCGTGTTTTGAAGCTTGAATGTAATGAGGGGTGTCTTGCTTGGGTCATCCGATATCTCCAGCACAACGTCATAAGGGGTTCGTTCACGCGTTGCCTTCACCTCGGTGATCTTGGCTGCGCCAATAGTGCCACTTTCCGCCTGGCCCTGTCGATAGTCAAAGACAGCCTGGAAAAGCGGTGCTGGCTTTCCGGACTTTGCTTGTGCTGAAGACAGGTTAAGACGGTGGAGCAGGACGCTGTACGGCACTTGGGAGTGCTGCAACGCCGTCCGCATGTGTTCTTTGGTTGCAACAAGCTCGTCACCGAAGGTGTCGCCGGCGGCGTAGGCCATTCGCAGAGGCAGGAGATTTGCAAAATAACCCATTGTCGCCACGTCCTGCAGGTTGGGCCGGTTGGTGTCGGCAACACCGACGGCGACCTCGACAGTGCCGGTCAATCGAGCAAGCAGCACGTGGAATGCTGTCAAGTAGAAGTGAAGAGGGCTGGCCTTGTGTTTGCGGCTACGTTCCTTGACGCGGATGGCAATCATGGGATTCAACCGGACATTGATGGAGTGTTGCTCCCAAAGGCCAGTTGGAACCGCAGTAGCGGACTCACGAGTTTGGGCACCAGGCAAGCTCATGACCGGCAGCACAGCAGCTGGGGTCCTGTGCAAAGACAACCAAAAATCGATGTCATCGTCCATACTGCCACTCTCGTACTGTTGTCTCTGACGGGAGGAGGACTCCACATATTGTTGCACGGGGGCAGGGAGCGATACGCCTGCGTATAGCTGCCCGATCTCATTGAAGAGATTCTCGGTTGTTTGTCCGTCACCAACAAGCCTGCTGTAGCCAAGTACCAAAAGATGTTGATCAGATGACCAATGGAATACAACTAGTTTGATCGTGTCTCCATCGGCGAGGGCATATTTGTGTTGCTCGACCCGAGAGAAGCCTTCCAAAGCTGTATCGCGATCGGCCACGCGCACTGACTGTAGTCGGACAGCAGATGATGGTAAGGACATCACGGTCTGTACATGAGTATTGCCATCTTCAGAGAATCTTGTGCGGAAAATCTCATGTCGGCGTAGCATAATATTAACCACTGCCGAGAGCCTTGTGAGATCGATAGGGCCCTCCATAAACATGCCGATTGTGGAGTTGAAAATAGTTGGGTCGTCAGCCTGCTGTTGGAGTATCCAGGAGTACTCTTGAGCAAGCGACATCTGCTCTTGGCGGACAATGACGGGGTCTTTGGCCTCATTGTCCATGTCTTCCGGCTCGGTTAGGGGAGTCCTGGTTCCGGATTCTTCCTCGGTGGAACTTCCATCCTTGGATCCATCGCCCAAAGAATCGACCTTTCCATCACCATCGTCATCATTTCTTGAACCGTCTTGAACAAGCGGGATAGCAGAAGAGGGTAACCTTTCTGCTGCCTCCATAGCCAAGTCAGAGATTGATGCGCCGCCTAATACCTTTAGCAGCGGGAGATCGAGATTAAGTTGCTTGGAAAACCTTGAGCACAGAAAGGTTAGTCACTGCCAACCAACCAATGAATATAGCATCAAGTCAGGGACACACTCACCATGTTCCAATTGTTACTGCGCCAAGAGAGTCAACTCCTTGGTCAATAAGTGGGCTCACAATGTCTACACTATCCTCTGGAGGGATTTGTAAGGTGCTGCGTAGCTTCGTAGCGAGGCCATCGATAACTATATCGCGGACCTCATCCAGGGAATGAGCTGCCATCAATCGGTCTTTTATAGAACCTCCAGATGCAGAAAGGTCGTCCAACTTAGCGCTCTGACTCTGAAGTTTGTAATATCCGAACCGTGGATCGTCAAAGAAGGGAATGCGGTCCCGGAAGGTTGGGTCGATGAACGGCACTCCCGTAATGACCTCAACGTCCTCGTCCTTGGGAGCGTCAGGTCTTCCAGCTACAACAGCCTCGGCAAAGAGCGCGTGCAATTCGTCCTCAGAAACAGTATCAAACAAGAAGCGGACAGCGTCGAATTCTTCTTCGCGGCCGGCGCGGGTAACATAGCCGACACCGTAGACAGCACCAATGTCAATGGTAGACCCCTAAAATTTGATGTAGAGTTAGAATAAAACCACTATGAAAATAAAGAGTGAGGTTTGGAAACTTACCGAGAGCCCGCGTGCTCGTCGCTGTTGTGCAAGAGCATGCATGTAAGAGTTGGCAGCACTATACGCGCTTTGACCGGGGTTACCCAAGACAGCAACAACTGACGAGAACATGACAAAAAAGTCCAGATTAGAATCCGCCAAAGCTTCATTGAGGATGCGCACACCGGTGACCTTGGGTGCCGCAACCATCTCCATCATTTCAAGGTCCATGTTCTTGAACAGGATGTCTTGGAGAACGAGTGGACCGAAAGCGACACCTCCAATAGCGGGCATGCCTGAAGAAGCAATTGTTTCAAGCCCTGTATCCACGGAAGCCTTCTTAGAGACATCCATGGGTAGTACAAGCACATTACCTCCCATTTTCTCAGTCTCGGCCAGCCATCGTGGATTGACTTGAGGATTGCGACTGGAGAGTACAACATAGCAGGCTCCGTGCTTGATCATCCAGCGGGCGAGAGATCGACCGAGGTCTCCAGCAAGTCCCACCAGGAGATACGTCTTTGTAGGGAGGAAAAGATTAAGAGAGTCGATGGGTTGTATCCTGACATTGAGATTGGGATTAGCCCGCCAGTTGATTACTGTAGACATACCCCAAGTGCCATTGAACCCTGTCCACTTGTTCGCAGGGACCATATCAGGAGCAGACTTGGAAGTGACTGCCATAGCAACAGCTTGTTCAACATGCTTTAGGTAACCATTTGGGATACATGAAGAGACGGTCTGTGTGGCCAAGTCTTGGATAAGATGTTCAGTGCGAAGTACCAACACTGTCGATGGGAAACAAGCAGCTAGGCGGCGGGCCAAGCCGAACGGGCTCTGATCGATAGAAAGATCATAAAAGACCGACGTGTCAGGGGTAAAGGCTTTGACCAAAAGGCTGCTGTGCGTCTCTTTCTCGTGCAATCTAATCCATTGTCCTTTACAGGATGGTGCTGGATGTACTGATGCAAAGTTGACACGCACGCCTGCTTTTGCAGCTGCTCGCTCAATCGCCTCGATGCAAAAGTGAGGCGGCTCCAGGACAATCATGGCGGTGCCGGGTGCAGCTTGGGAAATAATTGCCTGTGCCAGTATCTCTGCAGCTATAGAGAGCAGGACACACTCGTCTTCGTGGACAGAGTCTAGAGGAAACACTCGACCGGCAGGCACGGCAATCGTTGATGCGTTTTCTTGAGAGAGTGCGATGACGGGCTTGCTGGAGCCAATCTCAGTACCTTGAACGACGTACAGATACCCAAGGTTGCCGATGCGAATGGATTTGGCTAGAGCAAAGCTGACAGAAATATTGACCAGGCCAGCATGCGTGTCAGCGACGCTGCACTCCAAGTACGAGTCCTGATTGGCCTTCCGCAACCTAACAGGAGACTCATCAATATTGACTTCAGTGAAAATAGGCCGTCTTTTTGAGTTGAGTCGGTCATTTCTCGTAATGTCATGCTTGAGACGAGGGATTATCATGCGGCCTTGCGATAAGTAAATTTCAGGTTCCTGAGTCCAAAGTAGGTGATCCTCCTGCCAGGTGGATCCAAATTCTAGACGAAGCAGTTGCTCCGCCAGAACATTGCCATGAAGGTTGCCAAGATTGTCCACGTCAAGAACCTGGGCAGAAACTTCAGGGTGCTCAAGACGCACTGAGCGAAGGAGACCAATCGCCATGGCTTGGTAAGGGTGTTCAACCCAGGCGTTCTCTGTCACCCAAAGAATGTGGGAGGCATAGTAGAAGATGGATTTCATAGCTTCAAACTTGTCCTCATCCAAGTCGATGAAGAGCGGATCGTCCAAGTCTGAAAGAACAAGAAATGTAGACTTAGTCTCCAAATCCGTCTCATGGATATCTCGTAAACTTTTGACGCAGGTCAAGCGGCGGTGAGGTAGAATCTGCCGCAACTTTTCGATGGCAGCCTTCGTCCATAGAGAGCCTCCACCAATGGTCACAATGGCGGGCTCTTTGTCCTTTGGTGCGGCAGAAAGCGGATGGTCCAGCCGTGAAATTTGGGTGGTAAGAGCGTGTGTACTGAAGCACGAGTTGGGGAATAGCTCAGCGTCACGGTCTAGGGTACGAGAATCGATACCCGAAAACCCAGTCTGCCTGAGGATTTCATCCCATTTGTCAAAGCTAACAAACGGCTCCCAGATGCGGCCTTCATCCTGACCTGCCCACCAGTCGGGAAACAGACCAAAGATGAAGCCAAGTCGAGAATGCTTACGGTGCGTGAGCTCCATCACCACAACGTGACCACCAGGCTTCAGAAGCGATCGTACATTCTTCATAGACTCATGAAGGATCGGTGTAGCATGAAGAATGTTAGAAGCAATAATAAGAGCGTACTGTTGTGGTTTGAAACCTTGTTCTTCAGGGTTTCGGCGTATATCTAGAGTGCGGAAGTCCATGCGATCTTCGTACTTGACGAAAAGCTCACGCGCCTTGTCGAGAAAGCTCGAAGAGATGTCGGTGAATGTATACGTGTTGAAGGCAAGCTGCGGAATATCAAGGATGTGCTTTGTTGCGCCTCCAGTACCGCCGCCAATCTCAAGGATATCCATATTCTGGTAACGATGGGCAATCTGTGACGAGAGATCCTGGAAGTAAGAGAGTGACGGACCAAAACTGCGAGGATTGGCGTAAAATTCTGTAAGAAGACCATCATGGTCCATCAGTTGAAAAGGGTTCCGTGTGCCGTGGATGATAATGTCCTCAAGGTTCTGGCCTATCCGATAGATTAAGCGGACGTGTGGATGGTCAGGAAACCTGGATATTCATGTTAGCATTTCTTTCTAATGACGAAAATAAGAGGCTCAAATGACACGTACCTCTCGCAAAGTTTCGCAATTCCGTCCTGAGTGTCGGTCTCCCAAGACTCATTATACCATGCGTGAAGCCGACCCCCCCTTGCTTCTGCCAGTACATACTCGAACCATTTGACCTGCTGCTGATGGTATGGAGCAATAAACTGTTTATCCTCTTCTGTAATGAGTTGTAGAAACGTTCTGATATAAAAGAACACAATGCGCTCCATCACTGGCATTGCAGCCTTATCCTGCTCTGTTGCCCAGTATTTCTCATCGTCGAGGAGCTTCTCAGGGGAAAGGGGTCCCCATATCCATTTCGAAAACATTTGGTGGTCATCAGCGGCAGATGGAGGGGTAAAGGGCTTGAACATTATTCCATCGACTTGGAATAAAGTAGATCGATTGTCGGTGATTCCATCAGTGGCTGGTGCAAAGACTTCAATGTCACCCCCAATTGCATCGCTGGTAGAATTTCGGACTGAAGAGTTAAAAAAAACCGTACTCAGACTCTGCTTGTACAGCGAAGCGCATAAAAAAGGGTTGACGGCGACGCGCTCGATGCTGGTAGGCACATGAAGTGATCGCAGTCGCTTGTCTCCCGGAGAAGAATAAGCACCAATAATGGTTTGGAAGGACAAATCCAGGGTTGCTGGGTGAAGTACAATAGTACTATCACCATCAAGACACTTGGGAAACGCCATCGTGCCAGTGGTCTTTCCATCAACACGCTTCATGTTGGTAATCTCGCGGAACTCCTTGGAATATTGATAACCAATGCCTGCGAGCTCCTTGTAAAATGTTTCGAGGTTGACCTTATTCATGTGCGGCGGCTCATCCTGTGAGTGCGGCAGAGCATGGTAAGATAGATCACCTTGAGCCAAGGTGACAATAATCTGGCCTCTAGCTGACGAGGATGGACTATTCTCCTTGGCCAGACATGATGCAATATTGAATGTAAGCACAATCCGATCAGGATCAGAGGGCTCCAGTGTGACGACATCGGCCTTCAACGAAAGCTCTACAGATGTGCTCTCGTCCTCAAATGTGATGGCCTTATCGATGCTCAACTGTAGAACCTCCAACAGTTGCACTTTGCGGCCTGAGGCCACATGAAGCGCTGCCTCCATGGCCATGATTACATATCCAGCACCAGGGAAAACGGTCTGTCCCTGTAGTCCATGGCCCTCGAGCCAGTCGATGTCTCGTGGCCGTATGAAGTTGTTCCATATCATCGATGAAACCGTGCTGTCAGGGGACAGTTTGCCCAGCAGTAAGTGCGGTTTATCACCATGAAGAAAAGCCTTTGCACGCCGGGATGCAGCCCAGTACGTACGGGAGTGATCCCAAGGATAGCGAGGAAGCTCTTTCGCCAAACTTCTGTTTAATCCTCGAGGAGAGATCTTGTTTATGATACCGGCAATATCGAGGCAGCCGGAGCCGAAGCGCTCCCACAGATGACCCAGAGCGCTGGCGAAAGCATCAATATCATCGCCACCGCGTTGCATACACCCAGTGTAGGTGAGCTTGATGCCTGCGCTCGCCTGCATGGTCGAAAGTGCAGGGCCCTTGAGGGCTGGATGTGGGCCGACTTCTATAGCGACGTCAAGTTTGGTCGCATTGTCGCTCGTGGCGTGAGTCAGCGCTTGTGAAAATAGTACTGGCGAGATGAGGTTGTCTTTCCAGTAATCACTGGCAACATCGTTGGCAGTCATAACCCTGCCCTCCCGAACGGAAGAATACCAGATGGGAGAAGTTGATGAAGGGATTTCAGCTTTGATGGAGTAGCCGCACGATTCCATTGCTTGGGTATACTTTGTGGCGCAAGGTAGCATATGGTGCGAATGATAGGCCTTGTCCACTTTCAACAAACGTGCAAACTTTGCTTCGTCCTCAAGAACCTCCTGCATATCATGAACAGCGCTCGCATCACCCGAGAGCGTTACGCTATCTGGTGAATTGCTTGCTGCAACACAGATTCGCCCTCGGAATGCTTCCAAGGCACACAGCTCTAGAGCACCCGAAAATGAAGTACCCGCAGCGAGCATGGCACCCTTCTCACCTGTAGGGGAGCAAGCGTAATTGGTCGTAACAACACCGCGGAGGTACGCAATTCGGATGGCTTGAGAAGCGGTGATAAAGCCAGCGGCATACGCGCATGCGATTTCGCCCGAACTGTGGCCGACAACTGCTTTAAAGTTCACACCCGCGGCAGCGAGAAGGCGAACGAGAATGATTTGTACTGCAGTGCAAAGTGGTTGTGAAAAAGCCGCGTTCATGACGTTTGAACATTCCTTTTCACGCATCATTTCGCCGTATAAGGTCCAATCAGGTCTGTACTCCTCCGGAAGTGTCTGCAACGAGTCTTCAAGTTCTAAGAGAATGGCGTTGGCAAGGGGAACATCGGAGACCAGCTTCTTGCCCATCGTGGGCCACTGTGCTCCTTGGCCGGTGAAGATGCCAAGGATGCCAGGATTATTCCTCAGATCAGTCGTCATAATTGGAGGTTCTTCTTTGGCATCGATTTTGGCGACTTCTCCTTGGAGAGTGGCGATCGCAGCATCAAGGGTCTGGACGCCAACGATGGAGCGCCGCACGTTAAGCACAGAGCGATTTTGAAGCTGGGTCCACGCGACGTCCTGAATTTGAGTTTCTGGATTGGCCTTGAGGAATTCAATAAGACTTTCCATGACGTTCTTCAGCGACCTTTCGGATTTTGCTGAGAGAACAAGCGGAAGAATGCATGCTGCCTCCGTATTGGGCGAACCGAGGTGATCAGGACGCAGCGTGTGAGCCAAGGAGTCGGGGGGCACGTAGTTCTCAATAATGGCGTGGGCATTTGTACCACCAAAACCTAACATTTTCATGGCCATGTCAGTTGTGTCTTTGCACGTATGCGTTCTCATGTCTTCCAAAAAATGGAATGTAGTAAGCACGTACCGAAAGAGTTGACGCTTGCTCGCCTCGGCTGCCCTGGAGCTAAGGTAGGCCAAGGCTGCGCCTCGTTGAGAATGCGCAAATCATGGTAGTAGGGAGCTACACGGGGGCTGAGGTTATCAAACAACAAGTTTGGAGGGATGATGCCATTTTGGACAGCAAGTGATGCCTTCATCAAGCCAGCAATGCCTGCTGTTCCCTCTGTATGCCCAATGACTGTCTTGACACTACCAACGTATAAAGGGTCTTCATCAGTTATACGTTTCCTATGACCAAAGAAAGCTGTGGAAATTGCCTCAGCCTCCTGGGGGTCTCCGGCGGGCGTTCCAGTGCCTAAAACAAGGCATATTAGCAAACCGTATTTGTTTTATCATCATGTAACACCCAAAAGAGGGGGCAGATAGGTGATGTTGACTTTGCGAAAGGGTTCTTACCGTGCGCTTCGAAGAATTGACAACGATCAGTGGGCTTCTCAAGATCAAGCCCTGCCTTTTTGTACGTCTCTCTAATAAGGCTTGCCTGCGCCGCGTTATTCGGCATTGTGATACCTGGGGTGCGACCATCCTGGTTGACTCCTGTTTCACGGATAATGCACTCGATTTGGTCACCGTCTGCGAGTGCTTGGCTAAGGGTTTTGAGTACAACACAAGCAACGCCTTCCTATAGGAACAGACCAAAATCAAATTCGTCAGTTCCAGAGTTCATATTTGCCATTCAACGCGGTCTGTCTGTGGTAAAAAACGAGAAACGCGTTGTTGAACTCACACCTCGAGCATAGCCATCGGCTGATGCATCCCACATTCGCGACCGGCCGGTTGGCGACAGCATGTTCAGTTTGCTTTCCAACACATAAGGCACTAAATCATTCAGGTTAGTTGTGCTACATAAGGTAGATTGCCGGCTATCCATGCTATGAAATTGGCAGGTGTTCCACGGAACATACTGGGGTCAAGGATTAAATTGGCTCCAGCTGCCACAGCAATCTTACTGCTACCGCTTCGTAACTGCTGCACAGCTAAATGAACGGCAACCAGCGACGATGAACATGCCGTGTCCAAGGTCATCTAAAAATGTAGATTAGGTCAGTAAGGTTGTCCTTTGGAAGTGTTTGGCTTCAGCGCTAGTATACTATGAACAAGACAAAAAGGGAATTATTCAAACTTACACTAGGACCATGCCAGTCGAAGAAGTAAGACAATCGATTCGATGCAATACACAAAGAAATCCCGGTAGCGGTATGTGTGGGAACGTTAGTCAAATCGCGTGTAATATTCGTCTCAAAGTCATGTGTCATGACGCCAACGTAGACGGCCGTCGAGCTGCCTGCAAGATCTTCAACTTTCATCCCTGCCGATGAAATACCCTCATAGACAGTCTCCAGCAGCAGCCTCTGCTGAGGGTCAATAGCCTCGGCCTCGTGTGGCTGGATGTTGAAAAAAGGCGCGTCGAATGCGTGCGTGTTGGTGGACAGAGTGTACGCGTGCATGGCGTTAGTCCGACCTTGATGCGTTCCATCGGGATGGTAAAAGGAATCAATATTGAAACGGTCCTTGGGAATTGGGCGCTGGAGATCGGTGGGTGCCTTTAGCTCATCCCAAAGCTTGGATGGCGTATTGATGCCGCCAGGGAAGCGGCAACCAGAGCCGACGACAGCAATAGGCTCATTTAGAGTTGAAGTAGCCATAATAAATTTAGGTACAGGATACTATAGTGTAAGAAGAACTATAAACATCTGTATGATGATCGTGGATGGAATAGTCGTACTGGTCATGGATCTCGAGGAATCAAAGCGACCATTGCCTAACAAAGTCTCAAGTGGTAGCAATATCGATTTGTATTATATTGAATCAACTTACTGTCTTCAGTGAGGGCTTCGGCAGTCCTATACAATGGTACAAAGTGAAGACACCAACGCACTCTTTGGGCTGGTTGTAAAAGCAAGCCCCGAAGAACAATTCATTGGGACCATGCTGCAGGTCGGCAACTCGGAGTGAAGTGAAGTTCACCCAAGTAGCATTACTGGCAGTGAGTCTTCGCTCTTACTCAGATTCGAAAGATATGAAGGATGCAATTCCCTGTCCGTCTATGTCGGAGACACTGCCGATGCGGGGCTTCGGCAATGGGCATCAGGCTTTCCTGCACGGCGTTCGCCTGGAATCAAATCACCGTAAACCCATGGGGCTCGGCGTGATTCGGCGTTTACCGTGCTTCACAGCGCTGAAATGCGAAGGAAGTGTTGCGTGTGGCAGTCAAATGACATATTCCGGAAGACAGATGAAACGACTTGAATCCCATTTCTTATAAGTGTTGGTTCGCATTTCATGTATGTCATCGATCTCTCACTTGGTATCTCAGTTTCATATGTAACATTTTGATATATGAAATCAGAAGAATGATTTCCGCAAACATAGTCGACAGCGTTCGGGCTCAGCTGGACCCTTTGGCGCCCGCTAAACCTCTTCCTTATCTTATAACAGTCTTACTCTTCGCAGTGCTTATCTATTCCCGCCAGACTTACAAGTCAAACATCCCTTTCCTCAACCCCAAGGGGAAGTTTGAGCTTACAAACACCCGCGTCAAGAAAGAGTTTGACTCGGAGTGCAAGGCTATGCTAACATCTTGGTTCGCCTCAAACCCTGACAAGGCCATTCGTCTTAACTGCGACACTGGGACAGCGACGGTGCTACCGCCGAGCTTTGCCGTCGAGGTGTCTAACAACCGCGGCTTCGACCTTTTTGAGTTTCTTAAAGATGTATGGTGATCTCTCTAGTGTTTGACCCGGTTCAACTGCTGACTACGCTGCTGTAGGCGTACCACATCGGACTCCCTGGCTTTGAGGGCTTCAAAGAAGTCTGTCAACCAGCACATTTAGTGAACAACGTTATCCAGAAGGACCTTACCAAGGCTTTACCCAAGCTTACTAAGCCTGCTTCTCAGGAAGCTGGGGCAGCCATTGACAGAGTATTTACAACTAAGACTGGTAAGATACTCGGCACTATACCGTCTCCTCACTTCTTCATCTGGAGCCACTTTTCCTCTAACCGTTTTTGAAGACTTTCACCCAATTCCTCTCGGTGATGCTATTCTAGAGGTTATCACTTGCACAACCTCACGGGTGTTTCTTGGGGAAAAGATTTGCCGGAATAAGGAATGGCTCAGAAATGCTAAAGCCCACGCTGCCGGCGTATTTACCGCAGGCTATGAGCTGCGCCTGTGGCCGACACCGATTCGCCCGATCATTCACTGGTTTCTACCAAAATGCCGCGAAGCCCGCGCCCAAGTAGAGAAGGCTCGAGACATAATCATGCCCGTGGTTATGGAGAGGCGTCTTGAAAAGGTTCACCTGGAATCACAGGGGAAGCCTGTGCCCGAGTATAACGACGCCATAGACTGGTTCGAGCGGGCTACGAACGGAAAGGGCTACGACCCTATCGGCGCGCAGCTGGCGCTCTCATTTTCATCCATCTATACCACCACCGATCTTGTATGCCAAGTTCTCATCAATATCGCACAGAACCCAGAGATTATTGAGCCCCTGCGAGAGGAAATTCGGAACGTCATTGGTCAGAATGGATGGCAAAGCAATTCACTATTCAACATGAGACTGCTCGACAGCGTGATGAAAGAAACTCAGAGATTGAAGCCAATTGAAAGCGGCAAGTCAGGCCCTATGATATTGCCTCCTCGCTATTGCTGACAATAAAAACCTGTCAGCCCTCATGCGTAGCCTAGCAGTCACCGACATTAAGCTCAGCGATGGAACAATCGTACCCAAGGGTGACGTGGTGGCTGTTGCATCTCATCAGATGTGGGATCCTACGACATACCCAGATCCTGAAAAGTTCGACCCGTACCGTTTCTACCGCATGCGCCAAGAACCTGGTAAGGAGGCTGCATCGCAGCTTGCAAACACAAGTATTGATCAATACGGCTTCGGACTAGGTCGCCGAGCCTGCCCTGGCCGCTTCTTTGCCACAAACTCTGCTAAGATTGTTTTGACTCATATCCTCATGAAGTATGATTGGGAATTGCAAGATGGTTTCGAGCCAAAGCCCGTATACCGCGCGTTTGGAGTCCGATTTGACCCCAGAACTGTGCTTAAGGCAAGGAGACGCAAGGTGGAATTTGAATTCTAAGGGACGACGCAAAAGTCGCGGCGATGCATGCACAGAAAGTATTGGAATCATGATAGGTCGAGCACCAGGGCACACAAGAACCAGAGCAGAAGCAGATGGTGTTCAGAAGGCTATGGTACGATGGTCGTTTTGAATCGCGCTCCTCTGAGTTAATAATTGCATATTTGTGTTGTCTGGCACTGTCTCAATAATGAGGTCCTTGAGTAGAGAATATAAGATTAAATTTTGACATCTCCCAATTATAACTTCTTAGAACCAATTGATTGTAATGTTACGATGTTCGGTCAGCGAGTTCGTCAACTCTTTCGTAGGTTTGCTTATATGTGTGCCTAGTCATAACTGATAGATACAGATGTTATTTCGCTAGACTATATTTCAAAATCGCATTTTCATGTATTTGACTCTTCACAGACACTGACTTCCGTCCTCAGCTTTCGATGTCTCAGCAACATCCATTTTGCGACGTATCATACCTTGCTAAAGTTCCCCTACTTTGTGATTTAGACATCCTCTCGAAATCTTCTCTTTTCACTAATTGGTAAATTTTTAACTTAGCAGACGAGACGATCATCATGACTCTCAATAACACTTAGGCGTTAATCATCACTTCATGATACTAGTGGGTTCAGAGCAGTTCGTTTTCCCTCGGCAACGCACATCCGCAGTGTCAACATCTCTGCCGGCGTTTTTCGGTGTTATCATGCAGAAAGGTTCGGCGTTTTTCGGCGCTTCATCTGTTGTGTCACACAAATTGAATTTAAAATGTCACTGTGCCGAGATATCCGAGTTGTTACGAGGATATGTAGCAGGGTGTTCAGCTCGGAAACGCCCCAATCATCGTTTTTAGCTGGTATCCAAAAGTGCGCCTCCATAAGGGGCTTGCATATGCCATTTATGAAAATCGACGCGTATTTATACATCTGGTTTGTATTCACGCGTCCTTGCGGTGAGTGAAGTGAAGAAACAAGCGGCACAGTAGCAACAAATAGGAACGCAATTTGGATTTGGGCCCACACATTGTCCATAATCAGCAGCAGGTCATAGGGGGATCAGACACACCCATCAGTGATCGAAGTAGTCGAGAATGCCTATCGATGATTAAAGTCCCTCGGAAATGTGTCTTCATTGTGATTATTGATGTCTCACTGTGCTTTCGTTGCTATAGGGTACACAATAAGCACCACACTACCTTGAGTTTCCTTCTCTTTTGTTTGCAAACATCAGACTCGACTACATTTGAAGGAATTTCTCGTCATGAACAGATTGGGAACTCTCACCCGCAGAAACCGTGAAATTTCGCGACAGCATCATGCATCATGGCTTAGCAAGACGATAACCGCTTTCCTGCAACCTCTGCCTCGGGTGGCGGCCATTAATCCGATCCCAGTGGTGACTTTTATTGCTCTCCTCGCGAGCTTGACCTACATTGTCCTTCTCGAAGACACCCTCAACGGAAGTAACGCTACTCTTGCCACAGGCTACGCCGAGACTACCTGGCCATCTCTTGCCCGAGGAAGTCGGCAACTACGCACGACTCCAACGTCGAATTGGACATGGTATTACGACGATTTAGAGCCCTCAGACCCAATCGATCATGTTGCGCTCCTTACCCTCGTCTTCCCCGGCACTACGCCAGGTAATACAGTTTCTATTGAAGATATCCAAAGCAAAGTCGGCTCCGTTACGCTGCTGTCCTCCAAGTCCCATCCACGTCCTGTGGATGTGCAGGATACGACGCTCTCATTCTGCATCCCGTACTTTGAAGCACCTAGGCACCTGGATTCACTTCAAGAAATTTCAATCAATGACGACACGAATACGAAAGAAGATAACAGACGGCTCGAGGGAGAAAAATGGGTCATGAGGGCAGCGAGAGAGCACAGCCAGGGCATGGATCGTAACAGATCACGTATCGGAATTGCTCAATGGATTCGCAACTCTTATTCGGAGTTGCTCGATCTCTTGCGGACAACCCAGACACTCGATATTGTCTTTATGGCTCTTGGTTATGCGTCCATGAACGTTACGTTTGCATCCTTGATAATTTCCATGAGACGCTTAGGTTCACGGATATCACTAGCTGCAAGTGTTTTGATCTCCTCCTTCTTCGCCTTTTTGTTCGGTCTTTTAGTTACTACGAAGGGCTTCCACGTTCCAATCAGTATGCGTCTCCTTTCAGAGGGCCTACCGTTCTTGGTTGTTCTCATCGGCTTCGAGAAGAACATTACGCTCTCCCAGTCAATCCTGTCGCATGCGATCAAACACAAACAGTCAAGAGGCCCCTCGAACATTGCTAGATATGCCGTCGAGACTGCCATACAGGAGACAGGGTTTAGTATTGTCAGAGACTACACCATCGAAATTCTACTCCTAGTTGCTGGATCGTTATCTGGTATTCAAGGGGGACTCCAAGAGTTTTGCTTCCTTGCCGTATGGATTCTTTTTTTCGACTGCGTTCTTCTCTTTCTCTTTTACACTCCCGTTCTGTGTATTAAGTTGGAGATCGACAGGATCAAGCGTCATGCTGACATACGCGACGCTCTCGAAGACGACGGAATCAGTCACCGAGTCGCTGAGAATGTTGCGCGAGTCAGCAGCTCGGGAACAGCCAGCATGTTTGGAAGTCAGGTCGGCAACTTCCAAAACATTCCAAGCCTCAAGGGCTTCATGGCTGGATGTATTGCGCTGCTGGTTCTTGTGAACGTGGGCTACTTAGCATATATTGAGGGCGCGACCTTCCTCTTGACCGGCTTTCCCATGTGGTCTCGTTACCTAAGCAGCGCAGTTATCACCAATCCCTCTGTTGATCCCTTTAAAGTTGCTCCTCATGGCCTTGAATCTTTGCTACTGTCAGCCAGAATAAGTGGCCAGGGATTAGCCGTCAATGTTCTAAGGCCTATCAGATACGAGTTGACAGAGGCTCTCGGCTCAAACACCAACAATCAGGCCGGAGTTGTTTCGAGTGGCTTTGCTTTTCACGCTGCTGGCAGAAGTGTTGCCGATAGTCTGCTCAGTAGCCTTGAAGATCCAGTACTTCATAAGTGGATTATGGGTGCCCTGTCACTTAGCGTTGCCTTCAACATCTACCTGTACAATGCAGCGAGATGGGGCATCAAGAACGACATTGATGCGACAGATGGTGGTCGTGTCAGCCAACAGAACGATACCCTCGCCAGTGACATTACCTCAGGCAGCACAAGCATGTCCCAATGCCATAACATCGGCTCTACGAGAACTCTGGAACATATCGTAGAACCTGACGGGCTCGTTCAGCCAGCGTCAATACATACTGCAGCGTTTCCGGAAGAACCAAAGCTATCTCGACGCACTGACCAGGAAATGATTGACATGCACCAAGCAAAACGGACTCATGAGCTTGGAGATGAGGAGGTAGTGGTTCTATCCCTTCGGGGTATGATACCCGGGTATGCCCTGGAGAAAGCTTTGAACTTCGATTACGGTCGAGCGGTAAAAGTCCGCCGAAACATCATCTCTCGAGCTAAAGTAGCCGCAAATCTGACGTACTTGCTTGAAGACTCGAATCTCCCATACAAAGATTATGATTGGTCTCAGGTCTTTGGCGCCTGTTGCGAAAATGTCATCGGCTACATGCCAATTCCTGTTGGGGTCGCAGGTATACGCTCATTCAACCTCTTCTGGTGGCCTGCTACATGTTTTGACAACCGTTACTGACGCATATTCTAGGACCTCTTATCATTGACGGAAGAAGCTACTTTATCCCTATGGCCACTACAGAAGGCGTGCTTGTCGCCAGCACCAGTCGCGGTGCCAAGGCTATAAATGCAGGCGGTGGTGCGGTTACCATACTAACATCAGATGGTATGACGCGAGGGCCATGTTTAGGCTTCAAGTCTGTTGAGCGTGCGGGTCAAGCAAAGTCATGGATTGAATCCGAAGAGGGGCGAACAACGATTGAAGGTGCTTTCAACTCGACGAGCAGGTTTGCCCGCCTTCAGGGAATAGACTCAGCCCTTGCGGGAACATGTCTCTATGTTCGATTCAAGGCATCTACTGCCGACGCTATGGGTATGAACATGATTTCCAAAGGGGTCGAAAAAGCCCTTTCCGTGATGAAAGAGGCGGCTTTTGAGGACATGGAAATCGTGACGCTTACCGGCAACTACTGCACTGACAAGAAAGCCTCAGCCATGAATTGGATCCAGGGGCGGGGCAAGAGTGTCGTTGCAGAGGCGCTTATCCCGAGTGATGTAGTAAAAAACGTACTCAAGACTGACATTGACGCATTGGTGGACGTTTTTGTCAACAAAAATATGATTGGGTCCGCTATGGCAGGCTCTATTGGAGGGTTTAACGCACAAGCAGCGAATATCGTTGCTGCAATCTTCATCGCCACCGGACAAGACCCAGCTCAGGTGGTAGAGAGCGCCAACTGCATCACCATTATGAAGAGGTAGGTTGGCAGAGCTAGCCAGAAGTAACTTGTCTGTCTACTAACAAGACTGAATAGAGCCGGCGAATTCCTGCACATAACGGTATCGATGCCGTCAATCGAAGTGGGCACTCTTGGAGGTGGAACAAGTAAGTTTCTCGGGTGACAGTGTCTGACAGGCTACTGACACACGTTTGATTGCAGTTCTGGATCCTCAAGGTGCCATGTTGGATCTACTTGGAGTTCGGGGTCCTCATGGCACGCAACCTGGCGCAAACGCCCGTCGTCTGGCTCGTATCATCGCAGCAGCCACCATGGCTGGCGAGCTGTCGCTTTGCAGTGCCTTGGCAGCTGGTCACCTCGTTACAGCACACATGCAACATAACCGCTCGGTAGCGCCCACTAGATCAAACACACCAGCGCCGGCAACCAGGCCGACTGCATCTCTTAGTTCAAACAAGACGAAATAGATATCGTCTTATCTGTTTGTAGGAAGGGGTTTACGAGAGAGAATCACACGAAAGTTCTACAACTGTTCCAAAGGAAAATACGCTCCCTCGGTTGTGGAGAGAAAGGGAAATTATAGACATATGATTGAATTCTTCTATTAACATGTAGGCAGTGTAAAAAATGTGGACTGGCAGCGGACGGCTACTCTCCTGATATGAGAGCCTCACTCTTCTACTTCGTTTAGTTTCTGATATATGGCTCGTTCAAAGTGTCTGCCCAGCTCAACACATTGTTTATCAGCCCACGGAATCAGCTGAAAGGCGATTAGAATGCAGATTCCAGCTATTGGGTCAATGCACTGGCTCAAGACGTCGTTAGTGTAGCTCTTAATCTTGAGAGCGACGGGGAAATCCTTACCCAGTACAGATTGGGAAATCCTCCCCAACTCATCGAACCCTTCCGTCGCCAACTCGTTCCGTCACAATCTTCCATGACCATCAACCCACCAAGCCCGTGATTTCTTCTGATATCCACTTGGGGTAGCAGTCCTCCATGGTTGGTCTCTCGTCTGGAGTCGAGTTCGTCATTGAGAGACTGCTCACACTCCCAATCTAGCTGCGGACGGAACATTTCCTCGACCGTCTGAGCCCCGAGAAGTCGACCATCATTGGCTGTCAATGAATATAGAAACTCCATGAATGCAGCTGAGCTGGCAAAGATCCCCATGCCACCAAAACAATCTTTTGGGTCAGACTGGAAGTAGCTCGCATTCTCATTCTGGGGCACTCCCTTTGGGTCGCGTTTGCTCATATCCGCTCGGTTTATAGCCATGTCGGGACGTTGCTGCAGTTTAAACGTCATGTCTGTCACTCCCAGTGGTATGCAGATGTTCTCTTGCAGGTACTGATCCAAGTCCATACAGGTGGCTCGTTCAACCAGTTTACCCGTCCATTCAAGGTTCGGACCATAAGACCATCGCAGACCGGGGTCGTGTATGAGCGGGTAATTGAAGCGCTCTGTTACCGTCCCGGCGGCGGGCTCTGAAATGAAGCCTAAGTCTCGATATCGCATCAGGTTTGGGTCTTCAACAACATAGCTGATACCAGATGTATGGGTCAAAAGGTGCCTGTGACTGGGTGAGCTCGTGATAATTAGCGTTGACAACAAAGTTTTTTCAAGTACCTCAGCGTAACGGCCCCCTTCATGGACCTTAGCTTTGGTTGCGACTCGTCATCGAAACCGTCCAACACTTTCATCTTCCCAATCTCAGGTAAAATGGTGCTGACGTCCTCATCCATACGAAGAACTCCACGCTCGACACATTGCAACGCCATAACAGTGGTGATAATTTTAGATGCGCTTGCGAGACGCATTGGAGTGTCGGCCTTCAGAGGAGGTCTAGACGAAGGGGCAATTTCGGCCCGAGCAGTCTTGGCTCCATAACAACGCGTGTAGTTGACTTTGATGCCTGCGAGCTCAGGGAATGCTTTGTTAGTTGACCGATATTGACTATTACGGTTGAGCTATAAGCAATGACAGACATCCTTACCCGACTTGTCCTTGGCCATAAGCACCACGCCTGGGATTTCCCCCGAGTTGACAGCCAACTCGAATTCTTTTTCAACGGTATCCAGCATTGTGGCAACATTGAACTCTTGAGTCCATCACTCTATTTCCTAAGCTAGAGACTTCCTGCATGATGTAGGTGTGCATCTTAATATTGACTTCTCCTTTGGACTAGTACCCTTCGCTTTAAGACTATCTAGGACCTATCGACCTTGCACTCATGCTCCTAGGTACATCAGCGTACATATTTGAAGGAGGTGGGTCGCATCTCGGTAGGATCGCGAACGCCGACTCTGGCGCCGAATTTTTCTAAATATTCGGTGAATCATAAACGACCAAGGCACCGATGGAGGAGAGATAATCAGGGATATCGCTCCTAACGGGAGCATCTCGGGATGCAGATCGTCCCGCACGCAGAAAGGACTTTTGCCGTGGTCAAGCTTTGTGCCATAAGCTGACAGCATAAAGGTGCATTATCTTCGCCACCATCGGAGTTATACAATCTCATAATGTGACAAGTGACGCTTGTAGAGCCCGAGAATGTCCATGTAGCAGCGTCGCAACACCGTTAACGCCTTCTCTGAGCCGTCCCCTTGTCCATCCGAGGCGGAGCCGAATCTCTGCCCCTGTTCATCCCACAGCACCACTATTAAGCGCGCAACGCACGACGAGTCAATGTAGATGCAGGGGCTGGGCGGGTCGGTCGCGCGGCCCGTTGCGCATCCAATCTGACTCGTGTAGGGCAAAGGGCCGACAGGCAACCCTTTGGCCGCGATGCCGTGCTCCCGTGGAAGGCCAATCATCAGCTCGATCTCCCGCAAAAGTCTGCTTCCCGTACGGAGCGTTGCGCATGCTGAAGATAGGGCATGCCCAATAACGTCAAACTGGGCGGCCGACTCACATATTTGTAGATCGTCGTCGAAGCTGCCAGGACTGCTAATGCTGCTGCTGCCACCACTCGACGCGGCGCCTGCGATCGCCACAGACTGGACACTCATAGATGAGAACATCTGTCCCGCAAAAGAGCCCGGCACGTGTTCGTTTCTTCGACTCTGGGTTGATTGGAGCGCTTCGCCACCATTCAGGGATGCCAGGTGCAAAGACGAAAGATCTTGCCAGAGCTTCTCGGCTAGAGCACTCATAATGTTGACACATAGGACGTAGCATTGTACAACCAACAGGGTCGTTTTCGTACGCAGATGCCCCTTTAGAACAACGGTACTGACCCCATTCTGTGCCTGCTGCGAGTGGGGTTCCAGGGGTGGGGGTTCAAAGCCTGCAAGTAATTTCTTGAAGATACCAAAGACGTGGCCAACAGGATCTTCGCAAAGTGAGCTTCTCTGGAGATCTACGTGGGAGTTAAATATGGAAAAAAATACGTACATTCTTGTACATCCCGCCCTGCCCACGTAGTAGACATGCCCTCTAGGGCTCTCTCCAAATCTTTCAAGATGACCGTGAGTGTGTCTAATAGAAGCTGCTGGTGGCTTTTAGCACTCCTGTCTTTTGATTCCTGGAGGTGTTGAATATCTGGCCTCCCTGCTCGAGTTTCACTGCCTTGAGAGGTAGCTTGGTCGCTCATCTGGTAGGCTGTCGTATCCCAATCCATGAAAGAGACAAAGTCATCGTGTGTAATGTCAGGGAGATTCATTGAGGATGGATCGAGAAAACCGCCATCGAAAGCACCAAGGGTGCCATTGCTTTCATGGGCGAGGAGATCCCGTGATTGCTGCATTTCCGGTAGTTCCGAGGATTCATTGGTGCTGGTGGTGGTCCCGCCTTCGCTACCTTTTGACGATGTCTGTCTGGCAGATCGTGCGCTGTAGACACATCTCTGACGAGCTCGTCGACAACGGATGCAAGCCGCGTGCGAGTCCCCATCTCTAGAGCACTTCAGCTTTTGTGAATGACAACGATCGCATGATCTTCGCAAAGCGCGTCCTTGCTGGTCCATCCTGAAGAAGGCTTCATTCTGATTGATAGCCTCGAGAGACCGGCTGGTCGTGGCTGTTGGGGATGTCGACATGTGAGGGCAGGAATAAAGTTATCTTCGTCTGGCTTCCGAAAGAAACAAAGCCACAAATACTTTCGCTTGCTGTTTGATTGTTGGCGAAGAAACGCTTATTAAAGTACTAAGCACGTTTCTTTTTCTCCATGGGCTTTAATAATGACAAGCTCTGCCAATAGCCACACTACTGAGGGGGTATCATGGGTAACCCATTTTATTGTGATGATTTGGAGAGCCAGAAGAGCCATGTTGTGTCCAAGAACATAGATGCTGCAGAATCCCACGCAGTCTGAGTGTACAAATTTGCTGGCCTATCCACTAACAATGATAACAAATGCAGCTACTGCAAACGACATAATCACATTGTCAGGCAGGCCATGCTGTCCTCTGCCGATCTTGTCCTGTCTGGACATCAACACGACCTCGCTCTTATGCATTACCAATTAACGATAGCGGTTAGTCATATTCCTCCCTGCTTAATTCTTGTGGACACTGGTCGAGCAGCGGGTTGATAGACCTGCATATCTGTCAGAAAACGTGATATGAAGGATGTGTTTACGCAATAACGCAGGCAAGGTGAGAATATTTGTGAACTGCGACTATGTAACATTCATTGCTACATTACACACGTAGCAGCAACAGTTCTAGCTCTTCTCATACTTGGCCGTCATAACATGAGGTTAGATCATCCGAACGACCAACTTTTCTCCAGAATGAGCTCCGCTTTTAATGACATCCATTCCGCCCAGCACCGCCTCAAGCCCCCCGTCCAAGATACGCAGGGGGTGATGCTTCAGCTTGCCCTCGCAAACAAGTTTCTGTGCCAAGGCAAAGAGCTCGGCTCCATACCGCCGCATCTCATCGCTCGGGGGCCTTCCGTATGGCTCCGGCCAGGTTGAGCCCTCCCCAAAGATGGAGGGTCCTAAGACCCAGTCGGTTTTGACAACCTTTCGTGTAGCCGCATGTGCCGGAATCGGATCCAGGGATACGTATTTCCCGCCTGCTCTTCCAATTGCTTTGAAACAAAATGCTGTCGACTCCACGGTGGTAATGCAATCCAACGCATATTTCAGGTTGCCCTGAGTGGAGTCAAGCTACGTTGTTGTCAGCTTGCACAACGCAGGCCACTGCAATGGGGAATCGATTTTGATACGTACAATTTTATCAACACAGTCTTTGTCATGGTAGTCAAAGACCTCCTCTGCGCCATGGGACTTGACCAGTTCGAAGTTCTTGGGTGAGCAGGTAGCAATCGGGATTAAGTTGGCCCTATCAAGTGTCAAACCAAGACCAAGACGTACGCTATTAAAAATCTCCCAAATGTTTTTGAGCTAGCTGAGAAGAACTCACAGTCTTAGTAACTGTATCGCAATGGTCGCCGTCGCAGTGCTTCCGCCGTAAACCAACACTTTGGCTGGTTTATCCACAGGAGAAGACGGCAACGGCAAGCCCAAAAGCTTGATTGCAATCCCCGCGGTGCTAACCCCAGCGCCAAGCGTTGCTCCAGCCTCAGTCGACCAGGAGGGCGGCAACTTCAGCCAGACATCGCCGTTGGATGCGTTCCACTGCCCAAACGCCCCGCGATCGGGCGCAGACGCATGCATGGCGTTCTGGGCCCCGCAAACGCGGTCCCCCACATCTACACCCCTGACTCTAGATCCTACGGCAACAACAGTTCCGGCGTAGTCGGTGCCGAGTATGCCCATTGACGTGACAAAAGATCCTCTCATTTTGGTGTCGCTTGGGTTGATGGCGACAGCCTCGGTACGCACGTATATCTGGTCTGGGGACATGATTGGACAAGGCGCCTCATCCCATATTGTCACTTGGTCCTTGTCGTTCACGATGACGGCTCGTTGTGTTTTTGGGAGGGTGAGATTCTCTATCGCCATAGTGATCTGGTTGTTTAGGCCTTGACACTTTTGAATTGATGTCGTTTGAGACACAAAATTGTTATGGTTGAGGTAGGATGTTAGTATTATTTTAACAAAGCTGTATGATTAGTATGCTGCCCGCCGGCGCCGAGTCGGAAGTCGGTGCCGGAGCCGAAAGATCCTTTTTGGTATACTGATTCCTTTCGGAGTCGGAGATTCATATATGCAAGCATATCGCTGACATGTACTATCGGCGAATGGCCTGCGGTTCGGTAGTGGACCTGATACAACGCCATCAAGGGCTGGGCACAATTTGCTATTGCCGTAAATCTCCGTCTACTTGCTCACTTTCATTCCTATGAGTTCTAAGATCGGTAGCCATGCACAGCCTTCCCAGAAGCGAGTGAGGGCATTTTCATAGTATTGGCCATCATTTTCGAAGCTCAAGTATCTTGTTTCTGCTCCTGTTGGTGTGTTGAATCTTGTGTTGATGAGGTAATACTCCATCAAAACACTCGCATCAAGGACCAAGATTCTCACGAAAAAGGACGAGGCCATGAACACACACGCAAAGAAGATAGCTACTGGGGCGCCAGTTGATCAGGGCTTACCGAAAGCAATACTCTGCATTCACGGCGCAGGTTCATCCGGGGACATCTTTCGCATCCAGCTCGCCAAGATTTCTACAGCTCTCAAGCATGAGTTCGACTTTGTTTTTGCAAACGGGCCCCATGTGTCTTCTCCGGGACCAGGTGTTCTTCCTTGGTTCAAAGACGCTGGGCCTTACTACTCATGGTTCAAGGAAGAAGAAACAACTATGAATCGCCGAGTCGAGCAAGTTGGTGACGCCGTAAAAAGTGCCTTGAAGCAGTGGGATTCCACCAAGAAAAACCCCGACGCCCGCGTAGTAGGAGTAATAGCCTTCTCAGAGGGTGCATTGTCGGCCACTCTCTTGCTTTGGCAACAGAAGATGACCCGGTTGCCATGGCTGCCGACTTTACATTTTGCGGCGCTTTTTTGTTGTTATTTCCGGAGAGAAGCGGCGGAGTATATGGCTTCGGACTTGGAAGATGGCGAGAAACCAGTGATCAAGGTCCAAACGTTGCATGTCCATGCGAGGCAAGACTTCTGCTTGGCCGGCGCACGAAGGCTAGTTGCGAATCACTTCTCTCCTGGCTATGCACAGGTTATCGAATTTGACGGCACGCATCATGTACCAATTAAACATGAAGACGTCGACAAGACAGTGAAACACATTCTACTTTTGTCCAAAGCTGTATCATAGCGTTATTATAGCTTACCAATTGCAAGCTATAGATCGATATAGCGGCCAAGGATAAAATTTCCTGTATAATGCGTTGTGATCGCAGGTTGTCAGCGATTGTCTCATCCCTCGACAGCAGTTGGTAGAAGTAATGTTGGAATAGTAAGTTACAGTTCTCTTTTTGACCATGTGATTTGTGGAGTGATGCCGCATCAAGTGAGCCTGTTCGTGACATACTCATTAAGCCTGATTTCTGATAGCATTACTCAATAAAATTTTATGTTTACTAAGAAAATAACTACATCTCTACTCTGTTTATTTTCTGCATTTCTTGTAGACACGGGCGTCCGAAACCCTCCGCATACCCCTGCAGACTTCAGAAACCCTCCTACTAGCCGTCTAGCTAACTATAATCCATCCGTATCATTCCCAATTCGATATTCAAAATCGGAATTATCGAGCCATTTGGTGTGGTCGCTTTTGGAGTAGTTTCGTGCGGATACAGCGGCATATTTCTAAGCAATTCTGAAAGTAAGAGGTTTTTCTCTGATCGCAGAGACAGTGAATAAGACTGATCCCAGAGAGAGCATGCGTCTGGCATGCGTCTGGGTGTTGTGATTCTTGGCCTGAGTCTGTTCAGCTATGATTAGATTAGCCGTAGCCATCGCCCTTGAACCGTCTTGCGAGCGGTAAGTTTGTCCCACAATACATAGCTCATGATAATGACGACGACAAAAGGTAAAGCAATAGATAGACATAGCCATAGACCAGGGTGTATGTCAATGTTCAAGTGGCCACGAGTTACTGAGACGTCAATATAACCCATGTCCAGGAAGCCCTATGGTGTGGATATTAGTCAGGGTCTCAGCAAAAGAGTGATGGAATGGCTGAATGATAAAAGATCTTATGTATTGAATGACTACAATCCGTAATTTATAGAATATTTAAAAGGCCTTCGTAGCCCCCAACCGACTGATAACGCAGGATGTCAAAATGGTCAGTGGCGGCCCGTGCTTAAAGACCATCAGCTTTCCAGCGCGCTGCCAACGTCATGGAAACAGTAGATTGTATATTAATATGCGCAAGTCTCTTTAATTATGCCGATTCTCCATGATTTTAGCATCGGGCCTGGTCCTATACGAAAAAGCAAAACGAAACTCTGGCATAGCATATGCTACATGGGGGCGCTATTGACCAAACAGCCTTCCTCACACTCTAACACGCAATCCATCATACACTTGGTAAAGGGAAAGACCAGCGCGATTACTGAAGGCATAGGATTCGGCACAAGAGGCTTATCTAACTTGTCGCTTTGATTTCCACGCTAGTAAGTTGCCACGTTTGAAAAGCTGGACAGCTCAAATAGAAATTGGCGGCTAGCAGACATGCGTTTTGAATGTGCCAAAGGTTATCTCTTCTCTGTTTAACGCCGTAGAGTCGTAGAGTTCCGCATCTTGTTAACCCGAGAAAAGGTTCATGCTTAAAACTTCGGCAACGGGAGAATGGGTGGCTAGACCATGAAAGTGGCCCGTGAGAGTTGTTAGGCAAGTTTGGATGAAAAGAGGTATAATAATAAATATGAAACTCGAAGCAACAAGAATAGAAGGTGCAGCTAAGCATTAAGCGCACGCCCTGAGAATTTGCAAACTAGAAACCCAAAGTCTGGCCCGCCTCTTTGGTAACAGCGGCTTTGACGTTGCCGGATCCCAAAAGTGAGTACGCGTAAGGAGGGCTGCTGGCGGTAAGCTTGCCGACAGGTGCCGTGTTTGCGCTCTCGCCCGTAAGTGTAACATCGATGGCGACGACATAGCTGCAATAGCGATTGTCCGTCAGCCTTGTAACACGGACTTGCATGACGATTGATCAAATAAGGAAAACTGAAGCATTAAGGAAAACCACTCACCCGACTTCCTTGCTAGACTCGGAGAAGATAGCTTTCTTGCCGACGTTTTCAAATAGAGAGCTCTGGATGAGAGCTTGAGCACCCATACGGGAGTTTAGACCTTGGATCCTCGTTAGTCAATAAAACCCTTGCCTAGTTGATCGTCCGCAGTCCTGATAAACGACGCGAAACCCCACACTTTGGGGAACGGAGACAGGGCACACGTACCAGTATCCATGCTGTTATAGTATTGGTTGTAGATGTGGGCAGTTCCGAAACGCAGAAGAGGGCCACGACTACGGACGTTGTACCAGTGGTTGTTGGCGTAAGTGACACGCAGAGTTCCGGTGTCCTCAGCAGCATTGTTGTCGGAATGTCCCACCAGAGAGCCCTTGGAATGGTCATGGAAGTAAGTGTGCGAAACGGTGACCCAGTCAGCAGCGTGGGAAAGGTCGGTCAGGCCGTCGTAAAAATCCTTATCAACACCCTCACGAGTGGCAGACAAATCGCAGTGATCAACCCAAACGTTCTTGGTCAGCTGAATGGTAATGGCATCGCCATAGTCGGCCTCGACCTTGCTGATCTTCATGTTGCGAATGATTACGTTCTTTTGGCCAAGGATTGTAAGACCGATACCCTCGAGTGCTTTGTATGCCCAATTAGCTGACGCGACTCTGTTTCAACGATGAGAATGTCTTACAGCTGCCAGCCTTCCCCACAATTGTCTTGTCTGAACCGACCTACACCTTGGCTTTGCCAACAATGTTACCCTGAACAATCACGATGCCAGGACCTGAAGCATTTGCTGCTGCTGCCAGCTGAGCTAAGGTCGTTACAGTCGTGGTAGTACCGCCAGCGCCACCCTTGGTACTGAAACAAGTCAGGCCATACTCTAAAAAAAGAAGTCCCATCGTGAAGGCTCTTCACGGTTGGTAACCGCTGCCTCACTTACCCGCCATTCTGTGTACAGTAGCCAATGTTGCAGGCGTCCGTAATGGCGGCCCGCTTGTTTAAAACGTGGCCATCATCAGGTGTAGGAGTTGGCGAAGCAGATACGGCAGCTGAGAGAATTGCCCAAGGTGCGAGAGCTGTGAACTTCATGATGAAGGATCAAATAAATGCTAAATAAATACAGAAGAATTGTGAAGTCGATAAACCCAGAACGGATGCTGTCGAATTCGCGTTGTTCCTCACTAAAAGCTACGGATTATGATCGATTATATGCTGATCATCACCCAACTATAGGGTATCGTGATGTCGCCATGTTTCCCCCACTAGTCTCTGATTGCTTTCTGCCAAGACCTTCAAAGACTCGATTTAGAGGACGGGAAGACTTCCTCCCTTGGCGATTCCAGATTGTCCGCCAGGCCGCCCCTCCTGCTTACAATGACGCGGCCACCTCACTGCTCTCTTAGGTGGAATAGCCGGCACTTTTCCAATTCCCCGAATGAGATGGCGCTGCCACCACCGTCGTGTGAGCCTCTGGGCGGTAGTCCTTCGGCTTCTGTTTGAAACGGAAGCTTGCCCGAAGTGGCTTTAAGCGCAACATAAGCTGGCGCGCCATTGGAGCAGCAATTTATTCGCTTCTTCTATTAAGGGGGCAGATGATCTTCATTCAACCATTAGGGCATCTTTGCGCGGAGAATTTTGTTGTTGGAGGAAAATTGTTAGGATTACCGAACCCCGGACTGGAGAAACGTGGGGGAAGACAGGCTGGGGTATAGCCAAGCCTCCGGGAGTTGTCATGTCTTCGCTTCATTCCGAGTGGATCAGGGCCGGAAAAGCAGTCATACTACGGTGCCGGGGAAGACCCGAAGTCTCATTGGACGTACAGCAACTGAGGCTTCTTCTCGATGAGCATTTCTTAAAGCTCGAGAGTCAAGCCTCGCTACGAAATCCGCTCTTCATCTGAACATCGACCAAGCTTGAGATTGATAATACTGCTCTGATGCTTCTACATGCCGAAGTTTTGTGTCTGGACTTCGCCAGCCCTGAGATTGCGTGGCCGGTGTGAGAAATAGTAAAAATAGTCCTGTCCACCCCGCGGCCGAATATGCCATTACGGCCGAATTCGGACGCCCGAGCTAGGCAAGTGCGTGATCAAGAATCGAGATCTCAATTCTTCCTCCATTAGTACTGGAAAAGCATGCGATATGGTATGATCCACATGTGAAATGCGGTATTTACTTTGTTGAGAAAAACGGGTGAATCTGATCCGGCTGCCAGCCTCACTTTAAAATCCGGTATGGCCATTAGGCAAGCTGCATTTCAGACCGTCAACAGAAACTTCGGTCGCATCTTTGGAGGTTGCGACAGTTGCAGTAAGCTCACCAGAGCGAACTGATTGGCTACATTCATCTTTTGCAGGAATAGCTAGCTAGGGCACAGACTTATGTAGTGACAAGCTTTCAACGGCACCACGCGGCGCGATCCGCAAACTTAGGCTGGACTGGGCTTTGTGAGTGTGTATGCGTACCAACGCGTGTGTATGTGTGACAGAGAGTCTCAGACCTAAACACCATGCAGGTATGTACTACTAGTTTGGTCTAAAGTCTCCTCATCCTATTTTCAACTCGTCTCATACACACAACACAACATCTTCTGGCGAATTTAGTCTCAAGAGGGCTTTGGCCTTGCGCTTGCGAATGAGCTGTGGGGAAGTCGGAGGCTCTCATTGCCAAACTCGTACGGGGTAACCGTCTTCAAAAACGCAGATGATCTTGTTGACCCCGGCTCCAGCTTCACCGCTCTTGAACTGGTATTGTGACAACTTCGCCACACATTCGGTCTTTGTGGCACCCGAACTGGTGTTGTGGGCAGCTCCATCGTTTCAGCGTGTAGTTTCGAGTGGTGATTGGACGCTCCACTGCGAGCAAGGACGACAACTGAATCCTCACTTCTTGCAATGTGTTGTGAGTAACAGGTCCACGGTCACGCTTCAAAGAAGCCAAGGCTGTCTTCATGTTCTTGAAACTGTGGCTAGAAATGCGTTACTCCCTGAGTTTTTCAGTGCCTATCTGGTAAATATGCTGGTGCTTATTGCGTTCAGAGATAGCCGGCCCGAGTAGATCTCCCTTCAAATTTAGAGTCTTGCCAGTGAGGGTTGAATTGAATCATGAGTCCCAGGTCCGAGCCCGCGTTTCGATATTTCTGAACTGATCTTCATCAAATGAACTCAGACACCCCTCACTTACCCCGAATTCGTGTACTCGTTTCATCGCGTCATTTTGGGGTTTGCACTGGCCTTCAAGCGAACAACTAACGGCGGGGCTGACGTTGACGACTTCTTCCCCTGACTAAGACAGCGGACGGCGAAAATTGGATATCTCCCAAACCTCCTTACTAACCAGTTGCATTTCTCTTAAATGTTAACCAGGTTAATGGCCCAAATCACGATGAGCTAGCCGTGAACCGATTCCGCTGCACATGTTCGATTGCCAGTATCGATGAACCCTTAACGGTCCACAAATGCATTCTAGAACGCATCCACATAACCATGTGGCGGTCTGGGCCAGCAGCTTGAATTCCATTAATTAGTCGATTAACAGGTAATTCCGGACCAGGCTGGGAACATGATAGACCCTTCGTGGAGTTGGAGGTGATGATGAGCCAAAGTCAGGGCACCCCAGACTAAAGTATGGCATCAATACTGGGGTATGCTGTCTTTCATCTCCAGCGGCCGTGTCAACCCGCCCTCTCCAACCTCGTTTCCCAGCCATTCTGACTTTCTTTTTCGAGAGGTGTGCGGATAAGGCGAAGCTGCCCTTACTATTTCAACTCGTGGCAGCTCGCTACGTAGATCCTCCCCCCACCCTCACGGATCACGCACAGGGTCGGAGAGGGTCATGTAACCTGGGAGACTTTGACTGCTCGGCCAACCTCTGGATATCGACACCAACCACACCATTTCGGGTCAAATAAAAGCCACCGGGCTAAACTACCAAGTTAAGATGACCTCGTTCGTTGCCGAGCAGGTGGGATACTGAGGAAGCTAAAAAGGATGGCCATCGACCCTCTTCATACTCTTTCCTGCCACCAGTGTCCCGCCTTGATGGAGACATGGCTGTATGTCGTGGCACAAGTGGAGATAGATGCGTCTGTTAACTGCAATGGCTGGTATGACTTTGGGTCACACTGACAACTGTCTTGCAGTAGATATGAAAAGACTCTCGCCTCACAAACATATTGCAATACTACTGGGAAGTAGGGCCAACTCTTGCTCACCGCTCAATGGGTTCAATTTAAGGAGACCGTCACCTGCCGACTCGTGTCTTTCTTCCCAGTTGTAGCGACACATCGAGAAAGGGGGTTGGCGCCCGCTCTCTCCTTGGCATTATGTTTAATATCCAGGGTGGGAGGCAGCAGTATTAGCGTACACAAGATAATGTGCGATGGGCAGATGACAGCGTGGGGAAGGGATAGACGAGAGGCCGCACGGATTGGCTGGGTGTGGATATAAAGGGTAACCGGATATCCGATGTCAGCATTTTGCAACAATGTACGTACTCAAGCTCACAGTTCTCGCAACCCGGATATAGAAGTTTTCGGCCTTGAATATCAAATGAGAGCGCATAAAATCACAAAGTCCGAGCTTCTTTGGTTTGTGGTGAGGTGATGAGCCCGTTGAATACGAGTAAATGCCCACATTCAACGGATTTCCCACAAACTACCTATGCCCGCAGACCCTTAAACTTGAGGGCCAAGAGCCCACTTGGCTATATGAAAATCCAAGCAGTATGAAAGGGAAAAAAGAGGTAATTGTCTTTAACTCTATTTAAACATTGGAAAGATGAATCAAACGTCATTGAGGGTCGCAGAGCCGCAGATATTCCTGCATTTTCACGGAAACGAATCTATCCATTCATTAAACGCAACGCAACTTGCGAGTTGCGTCTTGGCACACAAAGTCTACTTCTTCCAATTTTAGTCATTGCAAATACTACTGAAAAGTCACTGGAAAATTTGGCGGCTGCGGCGACCCCTTGGCAGTGCTGAGACACACTCGCTATTAGTGAACAGACCTTAAAGCCAAGGCACGTCCCAGGTTTGACTCCATCCAGTCTGCTTCTCATCCGAGCCACACCAGGGCCGTCCATCGCAACCCTGTCTGTGAATTGTTTTCCCTTATGCAATTGGCAACCATTCAAAAGTAATGGGACCGAGCCAAATATCCCTCTCTGCTTTCCTCAACTTCTACTTCGGGTTACCTGATCATCTGCATCGATGATTCTAAGCCCCCTGGAAAAAAAACCCAAAAAAGGAAAAAGAAAAAGGTAGTGGGGAAATTTGCGACGTTTCTAACACCAAGATCTGAGCATCCATTCCTCCACTGTCAAGACTTTATTTCATGATTCAGCTACTCCAGCGTTAGGAATCATCGCCCTTCTTTGCAGCTCCTCCTCCACCATTTCGCTCGGCAACGCCAGGTAGCGGAGAAACTAGTTCAGGGACCTCAGTCATATCATTTGGTTTTATTAGGTGTTCTGAGGGGCCCTTCCTTAGTGTCCTCCGATCTTCTAGGATCCCACGAGTGAAGGCACCATCGTGAAGCTGTCATTCAAGGGTAGCGCAGTCGACGTGTCAAAGGTTGGCGCAGCAGCAGCCTGGTCCCTGATTTTGAGCCGCGATGATCCTAGCTCTGATCCCAGATTAACGTTAGTTCTATAACATTGGACCCCCAACCACACAGACGCTGCAATGCCTCATTTGCCCCAAAATTGGGGCTCGTTTCACCCTGCCCCTAACGTAGTTACCAGATGAGGTGATGGATCTCATAAGGAGCAATCCGATTTTGACGTCACCCATCAAGGATCTCGGCACCGATTTCCCCCCCTTGCCCTCGTAAGTTTTGGGGCAGTTAACCCAGCCTAGTCCGGCTGCAACGTTTGCCTGCATGAGATCAGCCCTGGGTTAACCCATGAAGACGACGCTCCGCCTCGTCCGGCCTGCCAGCCACTCACAGCCGTGAAGCCAGTGGCCCCCCGCTGGTTGAAGACAGGAAGCAGACGAAGAGGCTCAACGGTTCCCTGTCGAACCTTCCATCCCACCCATATTTGTTCCGAAATCATACACCCCTCGTAGTCCATGTCGAAACTAAATCGGTGGCTGATCAGACGAGGGTAATCAAGGCCTGAAGAAATGAAGCCCTCGGTGACGTCGAGGTAGAGGTTGGTTGGGCACCAATACAAAGTTTGCAAAGAGAGGTATATTATGCCTTCAGACACCTTCGGAAACCACCATGGCGTAACATGGTTGCCACAAAACACCAAACCCACTTCAATACTGGACGACAAGAGAAACTTCTTACTCGTACAACTCCCACGGCCTCTCCCACGACGGCCGAATCTGATATTCAAGCTTCCCCTCATCCTATATTACTCCCTTCCCCGTCTCTGAGCCTCTCACCCGTCTTCGATCGAATAATGTCAGGCCAGCAGACCGGGACATTGAAGGCACCTGAGGGTGAACCATCTCCAGTATCACCAGCAACGGCAGTCGAAGGCAACGCCTACTCTGACGACGAGAACACTCCTCAGTCACCTCGGTTCGCACAACAACACTCGAGAGGAGGTTCACGCTCTGTTAGGGGTCGTAACATTCGCCTTCAAGCAACAAGGGACTCCGTGGAGGATCCTCCACCCACCGCAATGTCAATGAAATCCAACCGCCCTCTTCGTGACGGGCCTCGCTTCAACACCAACGGGGAATACGACGATGATTCCGACACCGACAGATACTGGGGCAACAACGCCAACCACCCCGACTACAATGGGGGTCGCACAACTCGATCCCGCCCACCGCGTGCCCACCTCAACCGCCCTCAGCCTTACTACAACTACGACCCTCAGACGGACACCAAGGACTACTACGAGGAAACACGGTCTTACGAGCCTGGCGACTACTCTGGAAGACCACCCTCTCGCAGAACTTACGATGAGGAAATGGCAGGCTATCCCCCGCGCGGCGGTGTCGCTGTTCGGAGCACCAACGGCGATACGGCCCGCATCGACTGGCGCAATCTCACTCGGGAGGAGAAGGCTCAGGTCATGCGCCTCCCTCTGACCCAATGGATGAACTCGGACTTCAAGAACCACTTTGTTGCCAGTCTCGGTGAGCTCGTCGGCACCACCATGTTCCTCTTCTTCGCCTTCGCAGGTACAGAGGTCGCCAACATCAAGTCTGCTGCCAACAATTCCAATGCCCCGGCAGACAGCAACACCACCACTGGAGCTGCCACCGGTTTCAACACGGGCACCTTGCTATACATCTCCATCATCTTCGGCTTCTCCTTGATGGTCAACGTCTGGATCTTCTTCCGCATTAGCGGTGGCCTTTTCAACCCGGCCGTCACGCTTGGTATGCTTCTCGTCAAGGCCATCAACCCAGTCCGAGCTGGTTGCTTGTTCGTCGCCCAGCTTCTCGGAGGCATGCTTGCGTCGGTTATTGTGCGCTTCCTCTTCCCTGAGAACTTCAACGTCCGCACTACCTTGGGCGGTGGTGCCTCTCTGGTTCAAGGCGTCTTCATTGAGGCTATCTTGACGGCCGAGTTGGTTTTCACAATCTTCATGCTCGCCAAGGAAAAGCACAGGGCCACTTTCATCGCTCCTGTGGGCATTGGTCTGACCCTGTTCATCGCGGAGATGGTTGGCGTCCAGTTCACCGGAGGCTCTCTCAATCCTGCCCGAAGCTTTGGACCCTGCGTCATCACTGCAACCTTTGACCAGGAACACTGGATCTATTGTGAGTTTCACCACCCTCCAAGTCATGACTTACGCAGCCGAAAGCTAACCTTAATATACAGGGGTCGGCCCATTCTTTGGTGCATTGATTGCTGTGGTCTTTTACAAGTTCATCAAGACCTTGGAGTACGAGATGGCCAACCCGGGCGCTGATGGCGACCCGGAAAATGATCCTACTCAAAACCCAGCGAAATTGGCTGAGCTACGGATGTCACGTACCAAATCTGCCAAGCAATGAAAGCGATCTTTCAGGAACACAGCTACACACACACTGGCAACATGACACCAACGGCACAATAATGATGGGGAATTTGACGTGGTTAATGACGATTGATGGTAATGATTTGAAATGTGTCACACGAGCAAACTCCTGGCAAAATTGACGAACGGTCTACAATGACTTTATGTTATGATGATCAAGGAGCAGCGCAACATCAGCTACAGCCTTACCACAAGAAGGACTGGATTTTTTGAATTTTTGGGATATGAATATAGATGGGAAAAAGTATGGCAACAGATGGAACGAAAGAAGGGAAACGATGAAATAACGAAACAAGAAAAAAATGAACTTGAATCGATATAGTTTTCAGATAGTCTTTGTTTTTTTTTTCTCTTCACATATTTGGCAACAGTTTCAAGTTTTCAAATACCTAGATAGAATGATGACAACGGCTTAGAGCCGATTACTTAACTCCTCCAAAAACATCTTCTCCTCTGGTGTGATGAACATGTGTTCAGGGACTATCACTTCTCCAGGCCTCATAATTAATACCGAGTCTGGTTTTACCGTAGAAGTCGATTCGACCTCATCTGCCTCAGCCTTACCCTGGCTTTCCTCGTCTTCTCGCCGCCGCCTCCACGGAACAGGATGAAGCCGGACATCCTCGGGCGTCCACCAATATTGCGGGAATCGCCGTTGAATATTGTTAATGATTAGTGCGACGACGAGCATCACGATGCAACCAAGTAATACAATGGGTATCAGGAACCATCCCAGCCGGACAACCTGGTCGTCGACAACAGCAAGGAGCGCCGTCGCGCCAGCCGGAGGATGAACCGTCTTGGTAAGCGCCATAACGGTCGTCGCTAAGGCACAGGACAGGGCACCGCCCAACCAGCGGACCTCCTGAAAGTGCGGGCTTAGCTGGAACAGTTTGCAGATCGCAACTCCAACAAGCGCGGCAAGAAGTTGGCCGAGTACTGAGTTACGGGGCTGAGCAAGGGGTGACTCGATGGAATAAAACTCTAAAACAGCGGCTGCGCCCTGGTTGCGAGGAAAGAAAAAAAACGTTCGAGTCAGCCGATCGCTCCTCCAAAGATGCCACTGACGAGAGAGAGGTGTGCCGGTGAGGTCACCTTGTGTGTGAAATGGTGTCACATGTAAAGGGGTAAAGGCATGAAGTGTGGGAGGGGCTCGGGGGCCCGAGCACACCTTGGCCTCTCCGTAACAATTACGGTGTATGAGAGATGTGGGAATGGTGTCAGGGAAGAGCGGGATGAGAGAAATAATCACTTACAAAGCTGCCAACGATGATGGGGGCGCCATGTTCTCGGAAGGATGGTATTTGGTGTGAGACCTTGGCGACGACGGCAACACCGCAAAATACGCCAATACAGGCCCAAAACGTTGGAACGAGATTGCCGACATTTGCTGGTTTATTCTTCCGGTACCCAAAAAAGTGTGCGATGGGATATGGGATGTATGCCCATGGCGGAGGCGGCACGAAGGGGTTGAGGAATCGATCAATGTCGAAGTTCCAATTCTTTGGGTTGCAGCGCGACATCGGGTATGTGATCGTCGTATGTGCCAAGTCCGGGGTAGTGCTCGATTGAAATCTGGGGAACGGGGACCACTTTTTCCTCGGTAGGGTCTCGAGAATTTCCGTTTGGAATCCAAAGCCAATTTCCCACCCCTTTTTTTTTTTTTTTCCCTTCTGCTCCTGTTCCTTTCTCCTCCCAATACCAATACTCCTCAAAAGTTGCCAAGGAGAAGACTGGGGCTTTCCAGCTCAGTCTCTTTTCGTGCTCGTCGTCAGGAATCGTTAAAGTCGTCGAATAAACGTGGGGGAAGGCTTTCGCTATAACAAATGCAGGACAAAGAATTACAAGCCACCAGCTTTCAATGGTGTCATATGAAGCAGTCCACACCAGGCGAGACAATGACAGCAACACAGTCCCCTTGATTAGTTTTCGTCCAATTCAGTGCCATCTGCCAGGCTCTGACATAGATCTGGGATCTGGCATCGCTTTAACGGTCATTGCCGCCGCGGAGATTCAGTTTCAATCACAAGAAGCTGACTGTTCGTTTTGCTGGCAACGTGCTTGGAGGCACGTCATATTTGGTAACAGAAATTCCCGAAGCGGTTTAGCTCCCGGGCCGGACGGGGGACCACCGGGCATAAGTGGATCCCAAAGCGGCCATAAGCTCATTCCAGCAGCAAACTATTATATAACAGATGGCAAGTCGTCATCCAATGCCCTTCTTGGGCCATTCAGATGAGCTACTGTGCCGTCCTGGCACACCAGGCTAGACTCGGCCATGTCACGGCCATCGTTCGGTTTGCCAGTCGGCAAGATGCCAGTCTTTCTTGATGCTTTTCTCCTCTTGCCAAATTTCTCCCGTGAGTAACTTTCCGGACCTCCGGAGAATGGATCTCTCTTCTCATGAATCTCGGGAGATCGGCCGACGCCACTAAGAGAAATTTTACACTATGAGGGACAAAAAAAAAATAAAAAATTCTCCGTACCTGAGTCACGAAAATCCGGCTGACTTTTCCGAGGACCTAACAAAGACGCCATACCAAGGCATCGGGGCCATTTGGAAACACTTGGAGTAAGATGCAGTGCCAGGTCTCCCACACTTCTCACAATATCCAAGTTTTTTCAACATCATCCTATGTCTATACCACAGGCGTTTGAATCAAGCTGACAGTCGTGAGACGCGTTCCTCTTTGCCTTTTTACCTTTTTTTCTGACCTCTGTTGATGCTACCTATGGTGCCTAGTCGAAACCTTCTTTGTATTCAATGGGCATGCGGACAGTGTAGTATTACGGCCACACGGGAACCCCTGTACCCCTGCACGTGTCACACCGAAGCGGTTGGCATCTAAGCGAGCAGATATACCAGGTGACCATCTTAATTGTGTACAAGACGAATTAGTCTAGACCCTACTTCGGCTTTTTTTCGCGCTTTTTCCCTCGTGTTTTCTGCCCTGGAATACCAGTCGCACCAATCAGTAAAGGATGTGATGGGTTTTCCGTCTCCATAAAAGCTTGGACTTAGGTTGAGCCTGGCGGATCGCCTGAAGGCCGGTCTGATACCGTGAAAGGCCGTGCTAGCCGTCATACAGCCTGACAGCATACTCGATCCGTAGAAGGGCTCCAATAGTACACATCGGATGCAAGAAGTGTTCCGCATTGGACGGTAATGATCGTGGCATTAGCAGAGTCTCTCACTTTTGGAGTTTGACTGAATTTAGTTCAAAGCTTCCAGGCCAGTCCGGAACAAGATGGAAGAGATACAATCAAAAGTTGCGAGGACTTATCGTCCTCGGACTGGTTCATAGTCTCCCGCATCAGTGTTTCGCAGGTTAAAATTGACCATATCTGGGCTTCCATGAAACCAAGTCGATATCTCAAAGGATAGCTGCACGATGCTCCGGCCTTTGAAGTACCTATGCTGGGCTGCTCCTAGTTCAACATTCAGATAGTTTTGGTGTAGCGAATATCTGAATAGCCTTTCTACCTCAACAACTGCAGTATGTTATGTGACAAATGGAAACTTTCTTTGTAAAACTAGGTAATTGTGCTGTTGATGTTTCGCATCAACTCCATTTGAAGCGGTGGAGTAAAATCTTTGAGTAACAAAAGCGAGGACCTTGATGGAAACCCACATGCGCAATTTCTCCACCTCTGATTTGACACCGACCCTCATCAATACTAACCTTGGCCCACCAAAAGAGTCATTCACAGCGCCAAGGTTTTCAGTCAGTCGGCAGAAAGAAAAGGGAATGTCGTTGCAGTGAAACCTTCCAGCTGTTCCATGGTAGTGCTCGAAGCCGCCATCATCCGATCATAATGTGGCTGCAACGAGCGAACAGTTTGTCAACATACCTACGATACCTACTTCGAAGCGAGACCATAGACATGCAATAAAAGTCAGGAGATGGATTAAAGATGTGAAAAGCACATTAGAAGCAAACACATGAAGATTCCTCAACAACTAAAAAAGCAAGCACAAAGGCTATGCATTCGGCTTTCACGGTTGATCGTATCACTATGTGTGAATGCTAGCAACGTTAAGGGAAGGCCTATTGAAATTGATTGAGGAAGACCACCAGGACCAACGGGCCGGCTTCCAAGCTACCGTCGTAAATAGTGGAACGAATGATCTGCTAGTTGTTAAACAATCTTCGTCAAAGACATGGCTTGAGGAAAGACTTGGTTTATATATTAAAAACATCTTTCTTTCTTGAATACGTCTATCAACTTTGATTATCTTAAACCATTTTTCAAAATACAAGGGTCTCGTGTGCGCTTGATATAGTCTGGAAGCGAGTGCCAGTTAAATGCCTTCACAACTCACCTGACTACTTTGGTCGATAGGTAATGCAGATTGCAAACGTTTCATCTTGCAGCCAGCTTTTCAACAGCTTGAGGAATTTATAAGCTCAATCAATGTGATCTACTGGTGGTACAGTATTTTTACGTGATTTCTTCTTGCGAACCAAGCCTGCTACGATGATATATTGGTGCAAATGAAGTTGGCTTTCACAAGCTGTCGACCTCACCTCGGATAACATGTCTACTAATCAAGATGAGACAGGTGCAACCGGATTCATTTCGTCTTTCCAGGGATATGTACCGTTCACTTGTAAGCCGTGATTATAACCACCATTATTGTTCAGAATCCTCCTCTAAATGCTCACCGTACGTGCGTTGGTTTCAAACTGCTCATCTTCTATTTTTCTGTTTCTCGCTACCTAAAGAGTAGACCGCTCGACATTGTTTTTCTACACCCATATCATTTTCGTCTACTTCTACAGTCTTAGACATTAAGCGGTTTTGGTATCACTATATAACAACAAAGGTTTAAAAACCAACCCCCCTGAATCAGTTCCCTTAAGCCCCTATGTCCAAGTGCTAGGACTTGGGAGAATGCCTTCCCTAAAACTTTATTTCAACAATTTTGAGCAGTCGGTAAGTTTACCCAAGTCATTACCCATAATGCTCATCTTTGCCATGCTATCAATTGATTAGCCAATGTGTACAGACACAATAGGGGGTTTAACCTCACGCTAGCTTGAATGCGGTGTTCCACCGTGTCTGGCTCGTACCAAAACCCTTCCAAATGTTTTTGGTTTCACTAGAATTGCTGAGAGCAAAGTCGCTACCCAGAGAGGTGGGCGTCTCCTCGCGGGATGTCTCAGGATAGAATACGGTGCTGTCCAAGGTCTCGGGTGTCGAATCGAAAGACAACTCCTGCATGCTCACGCCTGCACTATGTGCCCCTACAAGAGCCACAAGATCCGTCGATGTAAAGCCTTTCTTCTTGAAGGCTTTGATTTGGGTTGCAGCGTCTGAGTCTTGTGTCGGCAGCGTCCCCTCGGCGTTGGGCTTAGTGGAATCTTTACGACCAACAAAGAAATGAATTTTGGGACCCGCGCAAGCAGCAACGCCAAAGGCTGGTTTTGCGTTAGCACCAATCACTACAATAATCTCTTACCAAGGACTTATTGCTCACCTGCCGCTGCTTGTATCATATCAGCAGTGCTGACACCGTAGTCAATCGCCTTTTGGCCCAACAGTTCACAGATTGGTTGAATCTGAGCATTTTCCTCCCTGTCGAGGCATTCGTTGGCCAAAATTAAAGAGCCGTCGCATGACCCGGGAAAACAGTCATGGAAAGCGGCGCGCATTGCCTGTCTCGCCTCGGCAGGGCAACCGGTGAAGGATTCTTTGAGGTCTGCTGCAACCTTTGTCCAAACTGGGGGACAGGTTCGTGCATGACATGTTGTCGCAATTGACAAGAGTAATGGAAGAAGCGAGGTGAGCTTGTAAACGGAAGGCATTGTTGTAGCAGAGATGAGGATGGCGATAGGTGACAACAGTAAAAACGGAACACGGGTATCTGGTAACGTCGAGGGAGCATGCCAGATGAGACTTATAACATAGAGCGTTTTACCATATAGAGTGTAAGTTCATCAAGGCGGTTAAAGCCTTTACCGGTCTTCATTTCGAACTAAAATGCTTTAGAGAAAGCCGAGCATGACACTGCCATCAACATCATCCTTAATTATAAGTGCTCAGACGTTGGTATCTTACCAACGCTAAAATGGGGAATCTGGCCCTTTTGGAGTGATAGGCCAAGAGACTGCTAAGGAAACTCTAAGCCATTTCAACTGTAATCGTTGAAAAGTAGACGACTTACCTGATACTGGAAATCTGACTACTGCTGCTTGACAAATTTGTTGCTCTGAGCGGCATTCTCTTAGCGCTGGTGGCTCATACGTAGGACCGTCGACTACGCACGGTAAATCTTGTGACACTAGACATCAACTAAACTAGGAGTTGCTTTTCTTGATTGGTTACTTCGTCTAGGTCGAATTTTAGCTTACATGGGGAAGTATGCTGCGCGCCACCGCGGCCACACCCTTTCGCGCTAAATACTTTAAGCTGTGAATATGCTTTCCGCCCCAACTGTCGGTAGGCTAGAAGGCAACATAAATAGCTACGGCGTCAATTTCTAGCTCAGGGGCACGCCGAGAACAGTCCAAGACACAACGCCCCGCGCCCCACGGCAGAAAGGATTACGGGAGCCTTGTTAAATTGCCTGTCATAGTATGCAGCTGATCTGTCAGACTTTCCGAGTCCTTGTAGATGGTCTAGAAAGGATCTGTGCTGTAATAATTGCCTGAAACATGTAGCGCCTGCACTCGGTTGCCAAGCCCAGATACCCCTTTACAACAAGTAGACGTCATGAAGAAACATCAAGACTGTGATTTGTATAGAACTAACTGAGTATATGTAGAATTTGGTTTCCTCCGACCAGGCGGGGTATCAGTTGCTACATTCGACAGCTTCAAGCACACCAGTCTCTGACCATTTGCAAAACCCTCCGTCACAATGGTTACCCTTTATTCGACACTTCGCAACTTTCCGGCAGCGCTGCTCGCCTTCGCCGCAGCCGTCGAAGCTCAAAATGTTGGACAATGGGGTCCCATGATTACGTTCCCTGTCGTCCCCGTCTCTGTAGCATTGCTTCCTGAGACAGGAAATATGCTGGTTTGGTCCAGTGGTTGGCCGTAAGATATCTACCCTTCGATCTACAAAGATAAGTTGGCATGACAACGTCAAAGCCAACTTCTCCAGGTCCAAAAGTTGAAACACTGACACTGAGTTCTAATAGTAACCGCTGGACAAACGCTGGCAACGGAAAGACCTACACGTCGCTTTATGACGTTAAGACTGGAAAGGTTGGCGAGGCGCTTATTCAGGTAAGTAAATCTATTTCTACTTTATCATCATTTTACTGTGCCACCTAGTCTTAATAGTTTAATGCTCCAACTCATCTCTTCTATACTGACGTAAGCTTGGGATAGAACACGCAACATGACATGTTCTGCCCCGGCACTTCGATGGATGAGAATGGCCGCATCATCGTGACCGGAGGTTCAAGCGCTGCAAAGACCAGTGTTCTCGACTTCAAGAAGGGCGAGTCGTCTTCTTGGACGCCGTTGTCCAACATGCAGATTTCGAGAGGTTATCAGTCAAGCTGTACTACGTAAGCAAGGGATGCTTTCACTGCCATCTAAGAAATGCTAACGATGCCTGAATCAGCTCTGAGGGTAAAGTGTTTGTGATCGGCGGCTCCTTCTCCGGAGCTGGTAGACGAGATGGCGAGGTTTACGACCCCAAAACCAACACCTGGACGAAGCTGGCCGGATGCCCTGTGAAGCCACTGGTCCAGCAGGCCGGCATGTTCCCTGACAGCCACACCTGGCTGTGGTCGTGGAAGAATGGAACTGTTCTCCAAGCTGGTCCTTCCAAGAAGATGAACTGGTATGATACCAAGGGTACCGGTTCAACCACGCCTGCCGGCCTGCGTGGCACTGATGACGATGCCATGTGCGGTGTCTCCGTCATGTACGATGCCGTAGCAGGAAAGATTTTCACGTAAGTCATGGAAGACCCAGCCAGCTTCTTTTTGTTGTTCACTCAATCTAACCAATATATACAGCTACGGCGGCGGCAGGGCTTATACCGGAGTCACATCTAGCAGCAACGCCCACATTTTGACCGTTGGAGAGCCCGGCCAAGCTGTCCAGGTGCAGAAACTCCAGAATGGCAAATTCAACAGAGGTTTCGCAAACGCAGTTGTTATGCCTGACGGCAAGATCTGGATCGTTGGCGGCATGCGAACAATGAGACTCTTCTCCGATACCACTCCCCAGCTGACCCCGGAGCTGTTCGACCCGGCGACGGGCACCTTTACTCCCACTACCCCGCATACTGTCCCGCGTAACTACCACTCCACGGCGCTTTTGATGGCGGACGGCACTATCTGGTCCGGCGGCGGCGGTCTCTGCGGCGCCAACTGCAAGGAGAACCATTTCGATGGACAGTTCTGGTCGCCACCATATCTGTTTGAAGCTGACGGAAAGACTCGCGCCAAGCGGCCAGTTATCCAGACCTTGTCAAGCAACACTGTCAAGGCTGGCGATGCCCTTACCATCACTATGCAAGATTCTGGAAAGTACACGTTCAGCATGATTCGCGTCAGCGCAACCACGCACACAGTCAACACTGACCAGCGACGTATTCCCCTTACTGGACAGAATGGCGGCAACAACAAGGACTTTACTGTCAATGTTCCGGGAGACTACGGAATCGCAGTTCCCGGATATTACATGCTTTTTGCCATGAACGAGGCTGGAGTGCCTTGCGTGGCTAAGTTCTTCAAGGTTGCTCTTTGAGATGTGTTGCGCTGTGTTACTGATACAAAATGCACTTACTCTATCCTTCTGGCTGTAATATAGTAATGTTAATAGTAATCTGGTTAGAGGCGTTTGAGCGTCCTCAAAATTAAGGAAAAAGTTACAACAAAACGTTTCTTATTTCATTCTTTGACAAATTTGGTACTGTTACTAGAAGTCAAAAGGGATACTGCCAGAAACCCTCAAGTAAGCCATGAAGTGGTATCCGGTGGGATACATTAGAATTGAACTCACCCACTATTCATTTGGTAGCATTGGCAATGAATGCATGGTTGGTTTTAATGTCATTGGCATGAAAACGTCCATCGCATCTGCCCATCCATCCCCACAATCTTCGCAAGTGCCGCCTGAAAAGTCTGGAGCATTGCTTTCACTAGACCATCTTTTTCTTCTCTTTCTTTTTCCCCTCTATAACAGCAAGTTTAGCTCAATGTTCATCGATAACTCCGTTGCTCGTTGCCAGCTCAGGCAGTGACTTGAAGGGTCGACCCAGACAGTGACTTAGATCTCAGTCTAGGTAGAACACCGGTACTCGGTTACGTGCAACGCACGATATATTGGCAGCATTACTAACGCGCTTTGCATACTTTCTCTATCTGTTTAATACGGTTTTGAATGTTCAGATTCATCGCGGGCCGTGGTCTGGCACCTTGCGTTACTGATGAGCACCCTATCTCATCAACTGTGAACGTTAGTGGGGTGCCGATCCAAGGGTGGAGTAGTGGCAGCAAATGGACGACGCACCTCTGACGACATATCGGCCACGAAAAAAACTACCAATGCATATCAGACAACAACATAGGCCATGTTTCTAACCCCAAAATTAATCTTTAATGGAATAGGGCGTCCAGAAACCGCATCCTCTCAGCCTGGGCGCCACACCGGTTAGATATGAGCGCGTCATCGAACCTCCACATGCGGACGCGGGTGAAATAAGACAGTGACATAGATAATGATTCATAGGCCTCAACGATTTCCATTATAAGCAACATCTAAGAAGCCGAGCCAATGGAGTGCACATGGAATGAAATATTTCTTGGTATTCTCGTCCAATGAACTCAAGGCGATTTACCGTTGACATATTCAAGCGTAATAAGTTGTTAGACTTATTTTCCTCGAGATCCTCAATAAGCATATCTTCTGCCAAACCCATTCAATTCGACACTTTTCGTCGTCCTTCAAGGTCACTACATTATACACGTCCAGTAAAAATGCAAGCAATCAAGGTGAATACTGCACGACCAGATGTAGAAACAGTGCTGACATGTCCAGAACACCATCGCCGAAAACGTTGGCGGGGCCTCACAGTTGGGGTCCCACCAATTTAGCCTAGAGGAATGCCCTGATCTGACATCCAAAATTGCCGTCGTGACAGGAGGCAGCGAGGGTATCGGCTACGGCATCACGCACACGCTTCTCAAGAACAACATTGCTAAGCTGTACATTCTTTCCATGTCCAAGGAGGTCGTTGATGGTGCGCACGATGCCATCGCCAAGGAACTCGGGGTCGAGAAGGCAAACCGCACAAAATGGTTCCAGTGTGACTTGACCGACTGGAAGCGAGTCAAGGAGGTTGCGGAAGCCATCAAGAACGATGCCGACCGTCTCGACATTCTCGTCAACAACGCCGGCAGGGGTGTCATGACGTTTGAACTCACTGATTACGGGGTCGACCGCCACATGGCGCTCAACCACATGGGCCACGTGGTGCTGACGTCGCATCTGTTGCCGTTGATTAAGGAGACGGCGGAGAAGGGGAATGTGGTTAGGATTGTGAACCAGGCAAGCAATGCGCACCAGGGAGCGCCGAGCGACACCAAGTTTGAGAGCCTCGAAGAACTGAACCAGGACTTGGGCCCGAATGCACAGTACGGACGCACCAAGCTTGCGAACATCTTGTACGCGAGATACTTCAACAGGAAGGTCACGCAAAGCGGACACCCGAATGTCCTGATGAATGCGACTCATCCCGGGTTCGTGAGCACAAAGCAAAGCAAGGTGGATGTTTTTGAGGCGTGAGTATTAACCTTTCCCTAAACTTGAAATCAGCAGGGAAAATGGACTAGTTGCTAACCATCGCAGATACCCCTTGGGAGGCTATGCAATGGCGGTTGGCATGGAGCCTTTCAAAAAGGATCAGTTCGAGGGAGCTTTGTCGGCCGTATATGCGGCCACCACGATCAAGGAGTCTGGCCAGTATATTTGCCCACCTGCTATTCCGGAAAAGGGAAGCAAGTTGGCGCAGGATGATGAGCTCGCAGATCGGTTGATGGAGTTGACGCGCAAGGTTATTACGGAGAAAACTAAGAAGGACTCCGTTGACCAAGGCTGTCCTATGGATGACTTGGTTTTGCACTGAATAGTATGATTGGAGTATACTACATTTTATTTTTTATGAATTACATTTGATGAAATCAATATTTCAACTTGTTATCGGTGAAATAATGAACCTTCCCTCTTATTTTGATTAACATCACCCTCTAAACCAAATCCGCACTTGACCTCATTGGGAGTCCACGTCGGGCTCTGCTGAGGGACTGCTCCATTCCCGCCACCCGGGCTACCCAAGCTTGGGTTCATCACGCCGTATCCAAGCTTCAATTGCTTGATATCCTTGGGGACATCTCCGTGGTCTCGATCTGGACCCTCCCAATTCACCTTCTCCAAAGCCGGGCCTCGGGTAGCAGCCACAATGCTTGAAAATCGCGTGTCCCGTAGCACACCGCCGTTCTCCCTGACTGCGAACGCGCCGGCAGAGACACCCATGATGGCAAGAAATATCGCGATCGCATACACTATCCACAGGTCGCGGACATGATAGCTGTACAAGTTGGCCATGCGCGAGCGTTGACAGGGATACCTGTACGCAGACCTATTATTTGGACCACCGCCTTGGAGAAGCTGCCCTGACATCTCGTTCGGTGCAGCGGCCCAAACAACGGGCAGGAACTGTGGCATTGAAAATATGGACAAAATTAGGTCCTCGTAGAAACTTTGCACCATCTCCATCAGGTTCTCATGCGGAAAGAAGTTGTTTCTGGGGTCCAGTAGTTTGGTCTGGATTGCGTCAGTGTTCGTCACGGGGTTAACCAACGTTTTATCCGTCTGTACAGTGCCGTTGAGGAACTTCCGCAGCATGAAGCCAAGAGAGTGGTACGCAGCCGTGCGGCGGTATTTCTCGACATCAGTCGGGAGAACATAGTTCTCTTTCGGGGTGGCTGTGACGTTATCTGCAGTGCCGTCTGCTGCGTCAAGGCCAGGGATATAAGTCGTGTTGACGATAGGGCCGAGAAACCTGCGCTTCTTTATATAGGCCGATTGCGTGGCATCTGTATAATTAAAGACCGCTGTGTACTCTGTTTCGTAGTGCTCGCATGCAAAGATCACAGGGATGAAATTGAAATCGTCTCCGACCTGGACTTTGGCGTTATCGTTGCGTCCAGACACAACATGACCAATCCAGATGACGGGTTCGGTGCGAAAAGCTCCCATGTGCTCCGGATATGGGGGATCCATCCTCGGTATGCCACCGATCTCAACGTCCTTCATCTGCGTTGTTGAGTACTCGCCTCCACTGGTAAACGCGTAATATGCAAATGTGCCTTTGGGAAGCAGAAGGTCAGTCCCGAATGGCGATTTCGCTTCGCCTGACTCTTGAGTGAGATTCTTGAGTTGTGAGTCAACCCCATGTGCTAACTCTGTACATTTGTACCCAGGGGCTTTGAACTCAATCTCGAAGGTACAATTCCAGCCTTTACTGCAAACCTCCACAGAGGCGTTCTTTCTAGAGACAACTTCTTGGAAATATGCACCGAGAGTTGCAGTCTGTTGGAAGTTGGGACTAGGCCCAGTGTAGTAATCAAACCATCCTGGGGGGTTTTTACCAGATGGTTTGGTTGTGTTCCAAAAGGACAGCGGCATCTCGTAGAGCCCGTCGATCCTGATGGGCTTGCGCCAGTCGTTTGTCTCTTCCATTGCGAAATTCAAGCTGCGAACCCCTGGACAAGTGGTATTTTCAACCGTAACCTGGGGCTGCACAAGAAGTGTATTTGCTGTAAGAATAACGACTAACGGGGAGAGCCTTGAGGTCTGTCAGTAAGGTAGTCTAGGACGAGAAAAAGAAAATCCTATTCAAGCTCACCAGACAAATAATGCAAGAGCGGCAGCAGCTTTGGCGCCTCTGAGAAATTCCCAATTCAGAAGTGAGATGAGATTCTCAGTGGCAGCAAACATGGAATCGAGAGCCGCAATACTCAAAACTCTTGACCTCACCGTCGTCCAAATGCGCTGCTGATATGCCGATATCACAGCCGCGCCCAAGCTCGCTTTCGCCGCGAATGCAAGAATTGTCCCATACCGCAGCATGCGCACTTGGTCGTCTGCGGGTTTCCCGTCTAGGGTGTGGTAAAATGCGTGATGACCAATAGCAAAGCATATTCCGAGGACAAGCCAGAGATACATATTCCATGACGAGTGCCAGAAGCCACAATTCGGCTTTCGCATACGAAATGACCTGCTATTCTCGTTTGGCGGTCCCAAATAATTTGCTGCTACATATGGAGGAGGCTGAACCGGAACCTGCTGCTGATACTGCTGTTGATACTGTTGCTGTTGGTATTGCTGCTGCTGCTGAAACTGCTGCTGATGCTGTGCATGTTGTTGCTGCTGTCCTGTCGCAGGAGTGGAAAACCCATACCCATCGTATGCCGGCTCCTGGGCGTTGTGAAGTAGCGCAGCTCGAGCATCGTAACGCTGGTCGTGTTGGTGATGAGCACTGTCTGCCAGGCTGTTGAGTGAGTCTTGGCCACGAACGCCGTAGTGATGGTGTGCCGATCCGCTTAGCGAGCTAAGGTCGATGCCATGCGTGTCCATTGGGCCACCCGTTGTCGTTGTTTCGGTGACATGAACGGTGGTGCTAGATTTCTTCGATATTGATGCGGATTTCTTAGGGATGGATTCTGATGAAGAATGTCTCCGTTCCTGCCATCCCTCCATCACCATCGTCACTGGCGATGGCATCGAGGGATGAGTTGGCCCAAGAGGGGCGGCAGCACTACCACCCCAGCGTCAGCTGAAAGCGAGAATGAGACGGAGGGGGCGCTAGTTCGCTGGTTACACTGTTGGCGTGGGCGGGAGATACCGAGGGTCAGTGTTTGTGTTTGGGGAGGGAAGCTGATCTGCTGGAATTTTCCCCTATTAAAACATGCATGCCCTTGCATCTGCTACTAGGCAATAATCGGATGCCAGAGGTTCCACTTCATCCACGCGGCTGGGATTGCAAGCTGGAGGGGTCTGGACTGGATTGGAGTTTGAATATGACGGACGAGATGCCAGCCAACCTGCTGCCCTTAATGCAGCAGCAGCACCACGGAAATGTGGGTTACGATCGGGTGCGACGAGACAAAAAGACAGGGTTCTGTGATGTTTGTTTCTGAAGCTCAACCGCACTCTTGGCTTGAGACGTGCTCTTAGGAAATCTAGAGGGGGAGAAAAGACAATATGTTGCTTTGAGACGCTACTATCGCTGCCGAAGAGCTCACTGGTGCGCGGAAGAAGTCTACATTCCAGACGTTTTGCCGCAGCAAGAAAGTCGCCGGCATAATTCCACTTCGTGGGAACCTGTGAATCATTATGTACGTAGGGACGAGACTCCTCTTGCCTATGGAGTCATGCAAAATTTTAGCCGACCCCTTGTCAAGACCTCCAGCCCCTTTTCCACTCGTCTATCCGTAATTGTAGCCACATTGCCAGGCCGGTTTCAATGGATGACAGCTGGACGCGCTAAGACGTGGCTGGACTGTATGCATTCGGACATGCCTGCTTAGTGTCGCCAGCCGCGTTTCTCTGCGGCCAATCGTAGAGCGGTGATAGAGAACACTGGGTGATAGATGCATCTGTTTTCGATATAGGATGCAGGTGAGAAAGCATGGACACGCGGCAGCTGTTGGGCTAAAAGGCTCAATGGGGGAGACTAAATCCCGAACCCCTGCTGACAGATGGGGTCACAAACCACGCCATACGATGCGATACCGAGACTCAGTAGCCTACTGATGGGCATGGATTCCTATCAGCCCTACGTGGTTGATGAAACGTAGATTCTGATTATGAATTGAATCCGGTTTTCATAGGGATCAGTCAAATTTGGATGCCTTGCGTTTTCATGATCGCCTTCAAAAGACGTCGAATCCTTCTTCTTCAATCGGATGAGATTATTATTAATGAATGGCCTTCACCCCGATTCTTCCTCAGTGTCGACACCTTCTGGAATCAAGTGATTAGCCATGAAAACAGTGAGCTGCCAAAACAATTTTTGAATTTGTTCATTTGCATGCCTCGAAGTTGGTCTTGCTCATATCTACAATCTTTTTGCTCTCCCCTTCTTTTCGTCCATCCTTTCTCTACCGCGGCTTAGGCACTGACAGCAGCTGAAGTGCTGAAGTCTCATGAGCCGCTGGAGAACCACCCAAGCTGTAGCTGCTTAAATAGTGACTTGCTGAACGCAGCCAACAAGGCTCATTGATGGTTCGCCTGATAGTTTCATCATGCTCGAAACAGACGTATCCATTTGGTCCCAATCTTGGGATGACAGGCCCCCGCAACAAAATAGAGTACACCCCCCGGATAAGGGTCAACCCCACTGTGACAAACTCACGTTAGAGACGGCCCCTAAATCTGCCGATGATCCTAGACTAGTCATTTTCTCAATGGAACCGGTCCCTTTGTCAATATCCTAGCATCTACATCGTGCCTAAACGACCTGCTGGTGACCCAAAATGTCAAATCACGATGATATCTGGTCACCAAAGGCGTTATTCTTGACGCCGTCTTCTGCGGTCGTAACCTTGGCAGTGGTGTTGCTTTCGACATGGTACTTCTTATCTTGGTTTCGCCTGAGGCACATTCCCGGCCCCTGGCTCAACTCCATATCCATCTTGCCCATGAACCGCATGACCATGAGCGGGAAGCTGAGTTTCAAGTTGAAGGAATTGGGAGACAAGTACGGTGAGATGTTGCGACATCCCGGATGAAGACTGAACTAGCTGACGGCGAGGTTTGCAGGTCCTTTGGTTCGCGTCGGGCCTAACGAAGTTTTGTTTGGCGATGCAGATACTTATCGCAAGATATCAGCGGTGCGATCGGATTTCACCAAGGGTCCTTGGTATGAGCTGTCTAAGATCGTGCCGGACCAGCACAGCTTGTTCTCCATGAGAGATGACGAAGAGCGAAAAGAGCTGAGGGCTAAGTTGACTCCAGGTGTCTGTAAACCTCGATCCAGATAATCACTTAATGGCAAGACAAGCTTCTAATCACCGCTGCAGTATGCTGGCCGAGATGATGGCGGCTTCGAGCCTGGAGTAGACAAGATTGTCGCCCAGTTTGTCAACCTCATTGAGTCCAAGTACATCTCTACCGCCACCGAATTTCATCCCATAGAGTTCTCTCATAAATCTCAATACTTCGCTCTCGACGTTATCAGCCAACTATCTTTTGGCGAGCCTTTGGGATTTTTGGCAAATGACGAGGATTTATGGGGTTACGTTGAGACAAACGACCGCGTGTTTCCTTCGCTTGCGCTCATATTAAATACACCACACATAGGTATTATGATGCAGCAGTGGCCTCTCAGCAAGCTCTTGCCCTTCTCAAGCGATGAGTATGGTTTCGGAAAGTTGATGCAGTAAGCCATATCGTTCGCAAGGCGCACTCCGTTAGCTGACGATTAGTAGTGTGGCAAAAGGTCTAGCCGATGAGAAGCTGGCCAATGAGCAAGACTCAGAAGGCATCATGGCCCAACATCACCTGCGCAACGGCTTGACCTACAAAGAGCTTTTAGCCGAAATCTTTCTCGAATTGTATGTTTGCATTGACTTGGCGTTTAAAGCTGATTTTTAACACATATCATCAGCATTGCAGGCTCCGATTCAACAGCAACGGCAATCCGCATGACAATGCTTTGCCTCCTCAACACACCTGTATCCTTTAATAGTCTTCGTCAAGAGATGGACACCGCAATCAAGAAGGGCCAAGTCAGTTCGCCCATCACCGATGCCGAAGCTCGACAGTTACCGTATCTTCAAGCCGTCATCAAGGAAGGTATACGCATGTACCCTCCATCAACTGGTCTGAACTATAAGCAAGTGTCTGAAGGAGGGGCTGAGCTATGTGGTTACTTCTTGCCCGAAGGAACGCAATTAGGTGTTAACATCCAGAAATTGATGAGGTCCAAGGAAACATTTGGGAGCGATGCAGACATATTCAAGCCGGAGCGCTGGCTAGACGCGGCTGCGGACGAAGATCGTCTGAAAGAGATGAGTTCCGTGGTCGAGCTCGCTTTTGGTCATGGGCGTTTCCAATGCCTCGGGAAGACGATTGCGTTCATGGAGTTGAACAAGATCTTTGTCGAGGTAAGACCTGATGAACAACCACGGATTGTGGAAATAAGCTGACCAGTTTAAAAGCTGCTACGAAGATTTGACTTTGCTGTAGTAACTCCACAGGAGCCGTTGAAACTATATGACGCAGCTTTTTGGGTCACGAGAGACTTTTGGTTGCGAGTAACTCGAAGGGGGGACACGTAAGTGAAGCCTAGTACTTGAGTATAGACAGGCCGACCGAAGCGTTCAGCAGGTTTTCAGAGCAAGATGTAGGAAACAGGTCTGTTTATGACGGATCTGTCCAGCTTCCTCGCAGACATGAGGTCTTGCATCGAATGGTTTGGTCTTATAGACATACTAGCACAAGCAACACATAATCCATCAAGTGTTAAAGATCAATCTTTATGCTCTGCTACACAGCTGGAGAGCACCAGATGCATGATGTGACAATAGCCTCTCCTGAGACCGAATCAGACGATCGAGTAAGTCTTTTGGGTGTGAATATGCACGCCGTCATAACCCTAAAAAAAGCTGTGATGGGATATCCAGAGGAGGAAGTAGTCAACTAAAAATGCAAAAAGTAAACGATGTCAATCGCTGACGGGAATTGAGCCCGACGTGGGGGTCGAACCCACAACCTTGAGATTAAGAGTCTCACGCTCTACCGATTGAGCTAGCCGGGCAGATGGGAACATCTGCCTTGATTGTTGAAAGCTGGGCTGTTGAATGGCTTTACAAAGGATAGGTGGATAAAGAAAAATTTTCTCGTTGATGTGGGCCTTCTTACCACTAGTCAGAGTCGGAGCAGATGGTTCGGCACTTCGGGGTGGATTGACTCGGGAGCTAGCGGGTCCGGGGTGAGAGCCGATGGCAGATGCCGGTATGGATCGTTCGAGTGCTGGGGTCGCTTCGGCATTTTGCTAGTGCCTGGAGACTCTAGTGTCTTTGAGGCCCTGGCATTGTATACTGCAAAAATAATCAACGTAGCAACCATTCTTTGTCCCGTTAAGTAAGATGTGGTGATGGCCCTTGTGGCTTTTCTACTCAACATACTGTACCTTAGGCATTGTTTAAATCCGCATTGCCGAGATAGGATCTACCATGTGACTCGCTGTCTGTAGAGCTGACATAATCCTGGTACAATCGGCCACAGTCGGCAGAGGTATACGAGCATGGCCGATGATATGACCCGGAGCTTACTGTCAAGCTTGTAGGCTTGGGATTTGGACCAAAACGAGAGATATTGCCTGCTGGAGTACTGGTAAGAAGCCGTAAATGAGGTGTCTGGAGGCTGACCGCGTCACTCATAAGAGTCCGAACCAATGATAGCTGAGGCTTATTTGAACACGAAAGGAACTCCGAAAATTGCGTCGACGAGCCAAAGAGCTCTAATAGGCTTAAGAAGGACACTAAAACCCCTCATCCACGATTCGTCATCCGGTTTTGTGAGAGGAAAGTGGTGTGAATAGTGTCATGCGGTGGGTCATCCAAGCAAAGCCGAGAAACGGCCAACGCGGGGTTGATATGGCCCTGTCAGCCTAGTCCGAACAGCAAGGGATAAGAGGATGTTGATATCCATCCCCCACGTTCGCATCGACCCAAAAGTCCCAATGTTTTTTCCTCAATGTATGGAGCTACCCCGCTGTCATTGCTTGGCGTACCGCATCTCTAGCACAAACAAGGCAGGTCGTTGACTGGCCCAAGCGATTAAGCAGCGAAGGTAGCCGATTTACTGGTTGTGTTCCCGTCTGACAACGTACTACATCGCCCTGCAAGTTGGGGTAGCTCCATGCCGGCCTCGGAAACATTGCTAGCTCCAAGTAAATTCTCCAAAATGCCGAGATGTCTAGAGGCAGGATGACGACTTCTGCCAAAATGTTTTCCTGCAAGAGGCCTGCAGATGAACAGTCTAAGGATCCTCCTGCCTGGCAATTGTGAACCCCACGGTGACATGGCATCACCGGGCTTACCGACCATTCGTGGCACACACTGAGTCAAGCTCAATGCCTGATTTCTTTGTGCAGCCAAATCAAGAGATCGAATGACGATTTACATGCGTGAGGGCGAATATGCAGAGTGTTGTGGGTAGCAGGCTGCAGGTTGATCGGTAGCTATAAAACTGGCTGGAGCTCTCCGTGCTCCCCTCCAGCCAGCTTCTAGAAAGGTTTTTTCTCCTACCGCATCATTTTGGAGATAAAGTTTGAGTCAATCGGCCTTCAATCTGCCCATCATGCGCGGCCAGATTCCAATTGTCTTGACCTATCTAGGCCTCGTCTCGGCTTGTCAGCGAGACCTCCTCCTTAGTCCTCGGCACACCCACCGCAAGCCTATCACTAGGCGCGCCGACGATCAATGGCCTCCCGTACTGACGGAGCAGGAGACTGTCCTAGTCAATGCTTTTGACAACGTTACCATTGACGAATGGGCCGATTACTACGGCCACCAGGTCAAGCTCGCGGGCCTAGGCAAGGACGCTGCGCAGTGGACGGCCGACCAGTGGAACAAGCATGGATTCGAGTCGCATTTGAACGAGTATCACGTCTACCTGAGCTATCCGGTGCACGCCTCGCTCCAGATCACGTATGCCAACGGATCAACGAATGATGTCAGGCTGGACGAGGATGTGCTGGAAGAAGATGATGTGACCGGACGAGAGGATAACCAGCCTACATTCCATGGGTACTCTGCCTCTGGAAACGTTACGGCTGAATACGTTTACGTTGGGTCAGTTTTGGACCACTGACGGCTTGGGGTTCTCTACTAACGCATCGATAGACGCGGTTCCCAGGCCGACTTTGACCGACTGGTTGAACTGGGTGTTGAACTCGAAGGCAAGATTGCTCTCGCCAGATACGGAGGGCTTTTCCGAGGTTTGAAAGTCAAGAATGCCCAAGACCATGGCATGATTGGTGCCGTCATTTTCACCGATCCAGCCGACGACGGAAACCAGACTGTGGCTAACGGTTACGAGGCGTATCCTAGTACGTTATTTTACCAGTCATAGTGCTCAAGACCAGACTGACACTTACTCCCACAGGCGGTCCTGCCAGGAACCCAAGCTCAGTCCAGAAGGGCTCCGTTTTGTTTCTCTCCACGAACCCGGGCGACCCGACAACTCCGGGCTACGCCTCCCATGAGGGCGTCGACCGCGCAGACATCTCCAACGTCACTCCGAAAATCCCCTCCATCCCCATCTCGTACGCTTCTGCTGAGCCTCTGCTGAAGGCTCTCGATGGCTTTGGCGCGTCTGCTGACGAGGTCAACCGTACGGTTTGGGCAGGCGGCCTCAACGCCAACTACAGCACCGGTCCTGCTCCTGGAGTTACCCTGCACCTCGACAATCTGAGCGAGGGCAAGATTACGCCCATTTGGAACGTCATCGGTTATATTAACGGCACCAACGCCGACGAGACTATCGTCATTGGAAACCATCGCGACACCTGGATGATTGGTGGAAACGGTGACCCCAACTCTGGCTCTGCTATCCTTGTCGAGTTCACCAAGGCCGTTCAAGTTTTGCGATCCAAGGGTTGGGTCCCGAAACGAAACATGTCAGTATTTCTTGACAGAACCAATGTGAATCTCCGCTGATTATGACCACAGTGTTCTCGGTTCATGGGACGCCGAGGAATACGGCCTCGTCGGAAGCACGGAATGGGTCGAAGACAACGTCAACTGGCTCACTGAGACGGCTGTCGCCTACCTCAACATTGACGTCGCCGTGTCCGGACCCAGACCTAACCTCGCAACCACGCCTGAGCTACACACTCTTGCCACCGAGACCTTCAAGAAAGTCATCCACCCCAACTTCGGTGGCTACAACACTACCCTGTACGATGTCTGGGAAGAAGTCAGCGGTGGTCTTGTAGACCCGCTCGGCAGTGGAAGCGACTACACTGCCTTCTTGCACAGGGGTATCAACTCGGTGAGTCTTTTCATAGGTAAAAGCAACAAGCACATCGCGCAAGTATTAACGAGTTATCAGCTTGACGTCGGCTCCAGCGGTGGTCCAACTGACCCCATCTGGCATTACCACAGCAATTACGACACCTACCATTGGATGGCCAACTTCGGTGACCCGGGATTCCAGGTCCATGCCGCCATCGGCCAGTACCTAGCACTTGTTGCCTTCCACTTGGCTGACGATGACATCTTGCCCATCGACTTGCCAAACTACGCTTCTGAGCTGCGCTCGTACCTTGAGGATTTAACCGAGTACGTCGAGTCTGAGGGCCAGGAGCTTGACCTCTCTGAGCTTTCCGATGCCATTGATAAGTTTGCGACTCGTGCCGATGAGGTCAAGGCATTGGAGAAGCTTGCTCTTACCACCAATGACACTGATCTTATCACGGTCGTGAACCACAAGTACCGCGATTTCCAGAGGGGCTTCATCAGCCAAGGTGGTCTTCCCAACCGAGAGTTTTACAAGCACGTCGTTACCGCGCCAGGCCTAGATACTGGTAAGTCCCCCCTGAATCATGCAGTTCTCACACAACGCTGATAAGTCCTCGTAGGCTATGCCGCTGTCTTGTTCCCTGGAATCACTGAGGGAGTCCAGTACGGCGACGGCAACCTAACTGTTGCAGAGGAGTGGGTGTCCAAGACGGCACGCGGTATCCTGCGGGCTGCCGAAATCATCAAGACGTAAGACTTTGTGATGAAATTACTGTTCAATTCTAGCATGTGAAGCGAGGTTAGAGGAGTTAGGCGTATGCGGCGGTTTGGAGAAGCATTGGCGAAGGCATACCCTTTTGATTCACGTTGGGATTGACGACTTATGATGATGGTGTTGTGGCGATAAGGGCTGTTAAGTGGCTCGAAATACCCTCCTTTATACTAGATTCACTGCTCATATGGCAGAAATAATCACTGTTGCCTACTTTTTCCTCAAAGTCATGCTCTCATGAGGAATCTTGGAAGAAACCATGTTTGCAACATCGCTTGTGATGAACTGGTCAAGGTCACAGTGAAAACTTGCAACTTGTGAGTCATAAAGTCGTCTCATTTGGAATCATCATAACTTTATCCCATGCTAAAACACCGTGCCCGAATACGCCTGGTACAAATATGGTCTCTTTACTGGCGGCCACCAGGGCGCCGTTTCTCAATGTTCAGCACAACGTCAATGAAACTGCGCTGCAATGTGCTCTTCTTCCTTGCGGCAAGCAGCTGCGCCGTCTTGAGGATATTCTTAATCTGACGACCATTAAGCTGCAGCTCGGCCAAATCATCCAGGTCCTGATCCGTGACTTCGCTCTTGAGCGTCGCCCCATTGAGGAAGTTGCCCCAAATCTGCCGGCGTGATTCGACCGTAAGGTCGGGGTATTCCAGCGAAACGTGAATACGTGACTGGAACGCAAGATCGATATTGTCAACGCGGTTCGTCGTCATGAAGAGAATGCCCTCGTAGTACTCGAGTGTCCTGAGGAAGATGGAAACGACCTTGTTACGCTCCAGGTCGTGCGTTGAGCGCGCTTCCAGGAAGACGTCACACTCGTCCAGGAGCAGGATCGCATTCCACCGGGCTACGAGTTCGAGGATACGGGACAGCCCGTTCTCGACTTCCCACGGCTGAGAGCCCAGGTCACCGGAGCTGAGAGTGTGGAGGGGCACCTTCAAGTTCTCGGCCACGGCTTCGGCGGTCAACGTCTTGCCCACACCGGGCGGGCCAGAGAGCAGACAGATGATGCCCTTGCCCTTGCCGGAAATCACATCGTCGAAACTCGAACCGTCGAGCTGCGACTCGGAGAAGGCAAGGATGAGCTCCTTCTGGTCTTCGGGGAGAACGAGCTTGTCGAAAGCATTGGTGTTCCACGTGATCTCTTCGACCTTCTCGACAAAAAAGTCGAGCCACTTCTTCAGCTTGAGGGAGTAGCCTCTTGTCCGCGAGCGGGCGAGCATCTGGTGGTAGGGGGTTAACTTGAGGTTTCCATCCTTGCCAGCACCATGCGAGCGCTTCCATGCCGAAAGCGCCTCAATATCTTTGGCAGACCAGTCGTCGAGGTATCGGGGGTAGTAAGGGCTGTAGCTGTTGAACGAGCTGATATCCACAACGATCCGACCGTCTACTTGGATAGGGACTTCGTTGTTCTCGCGGTCCCATGTAATGGCAGTACCATTATACTGCTTGTAGTGGTGGCCGGCAAGTTCCTCAAAGATCTCACCACGGCGGATGAGTGCTTGGCGGACGGCATCCTTTTCGGGGTGGAAGGCCCATGGGTATGCGTTGAGGCTGGTGATTTTCTTGGTGCCGATGAACTCGCCAATCTTGATGCTCTCGCCGTACCGACCAAAGTTCTTGCCACCATAATCAACGCAATCCGCGCTCAGTTCGAGGAACTTGCCGCACTGCGTAGCCTTGTACTCAGTCTCCTCCAGCTCGAAAGCTGACAATGGGCCCTTGTAGGCGGAGAGCACGATAGCACCGGGCTGGAAGATCATCCACAGATGGTCAAACGTAATGACTCCCTTGAGAACGTAATCCTCAAACGCTTTGATGGCGTCGCCAATCTCGTATTTCAAAATGTCGTACAGAATCTTGAGATGCTCCGTAGTCTTCTCGTCAAGATCGGTCTTCTTCATGTATTTGCAGAATTCGGTCCAGCGGTGAACAAAAGGATGGAATGGAGCTTCAAACTCAAGGCGCTCGAGCTCGCAGGCCACGCCTGTGTAATCTTCCAAGATATCACCCAAAGCCTTTCTCAGCCAGGGGGATTGCACGACGATAGAATGAGCCTCGAGCTTCTTGCGGCTGTCGGAAGACTTCATGTTGCGCACAAGTACGGCGTACTGTGCCGTCTCCTCGTTCTCTGCTGCCTCGTGAACATCCTCGGGGTACTCGTCAACCCAAGTCCAGTTGCCATCGCTGTCCTTGGGAGTTTGGTAAATATTCTTTGTCGAGCTGATGGAACCGACAGGGGCAAGAGGCTTCTTGGGCTCTTCCGCGTCTTTCTGCTCCTCTTCAGTGGTCTCTGCTGCTGCCTCGTCACCATTCGACTTGGGCTCGCCATTTGTGGTGTGACCGTTGGTCTCTTTTGTTTCTGTTGTGCCATTGGTCTCTTTGGCGATAGTCTTGGTGTCTTCCTGAACGGCGACACTCTTGGTGTCGTCCTCAATGGTGAGGCCTAATGCCTCTGCTAATGTAATGCCAGGCGCCATTGTGTAAGATGTGTAGTCAGAAAAAGAAATGAAAGATGCCGTAGTTGGTGTTCCCAAAAGATCTAGTTTCCAAGGGGGGTCTAAGGAAGATATTTATCTCATATCATCATCCTACGATCCGTAAACGTTTCAAGAGAAATAGAAAAACTCCAAATCAGGCTACCAAACTGAGGACAGCAACGGCGGTTACCTCAACAAGGGTAGACGCATCTACTGTGGCAGTGACTCACCCTTGTTCACTCTGTTTTCTACCTAGTAGATCAATCAGGGGAATCTCATTCTCTGAGGCTGCTGCTGCCTGCACCGAACGGATCGCATCGCAAGGGTCTATGCGAGAGATAAACCAATAGCAAACCCCAGCATAAGCACTAGACCGAGTACAGTGGCGGGATGGCGCAAGGCAGAAGGGCTGCTGGAGCCCAAAGTTACTGGGCTAAGCTTAGGCCGCCAGCTGTCACCGTATTGCTCATTGCCGGTCTGTGGCAAACAGCTATCAAAATTGGCCTCAAATGTCTGTGTGCATTACTGAGTGTCGAGACCAGTTGATAATTCACGCGAGAATAAAATTTCTCAGTCCAATAAGGTCTCTTGAAGGACTATCAATCTGGGGATCGCCATGGCAAAAGACCGTTTCTACTACCCGCTGTAGGCACCCCAGCTACTAGTAGCCTGAGCCCCCACAAATCCCCCATTGTCCACGTAGCTAGGCCCGAACTAAAATCGAGACGGGAACTATCAGCCGCCGGTTAGGCCCCTGTCAAGGCTGAGTAGCACGGGCTGCAGTAGGGTGCAGGCGAAGTCGCTAGGGCGGTTATGCCAGGGGGAACCCTCTGATGTTTGGGAAGTGCTTCGCTTTTACTGGGTGATGGTACGATGTTTGTTTGCCGTAAGCCGCATGACTGTCTTGTTCTCATGTAGCGCAACACTTTGAGTATGTCGAATCTTTCCAATGAGACGCAATATTAAATCACTTGTCCAGGCTGCCTCCTTCACCTTGTTCAGAACTGTTCTCTGCCTGTTGCACATACTCTCTCGCGAGCCAAGAACGCGCTGTGGAGAGACGATTATTCAATACCTTACTAATGTTCAATATCCATACGGGCAAAGAGAAAAAGAAAACAAGAAACTCTCAAGTACATCTGCTCGCCTTCCAATCTTAGATCACTTCCAGTTACTACTGACAGTAACAGCAGTTGCACATCCCCTCGGTACCGTGTATGACCTGTTGGGATCACTCTCCCAAGTCGCTGCACCGTTTGAGGCCACATTGATGAACTTGTATTCAAAAGTCGTTCCGACTGGCAGTGTCACTGTATACGTCCATAGATTGTTGGAGCTCGTGTACTGCGCCGCCGAGAGTGCCGGCGCCGAAGCCGCGTTCCAGTTTCCGAGGGCCGGAATGGACCCCGCAATCTTGATTGTCTGCCCCGGCACCGTCTTAACGATCTCGTTGAAGGTAACAGCCACGCTACTGGCTGCTGTACAGGCGCCGCTGGTCGCGGTTGGGGAAGCGGTGCTCGTTCGTGTTGACGTTACGGGATTACTTCCGCCACCTGAGATGGCAATGTCGGCGCAGGTAAGGTAAACTTGCCCTGTCTGAAAGGAGTTCCACCTGAACGAGAGCAGTGTATGATTGGAGACGTAGTCAGGGATTTTGATCTTCTTCGTCACAGTGTAGCCGCCCGCGATAGACGTATAACACGATCCCAAAGGAGCGTTATCAACTCCCTGACACGCACGACGGCTACTTGCTTGGAACGCGTTGCAGGTAAACCAGTCATTGCGCCAGCATGGCTCGCTGGAAGTGCAGTCGGGGCTATAGTTGCAATTCTGTCCAGAGACATCAGTGCACGAGAGGGTGCCTCGTTGGAAGCAGTCCTCGGCGGCCTGCTTTTCGGCATCTGTAGGTAGGTATCCTGGTGTTATGAACTTGTTGACGAGGGCTTGATCCTGGCAGATTCGGTAACTGAACATTCCGCCGTGATCACCGTTGTTGTCCACACACCATTGCACGTCAACGACCTGGCCTCGAGTATAAGTTGCAACGGGCGAGTTACCCCAGTTCGAGGAGGGTTGGTTGTAGTCGACACTAACGCGGGCGTTGTAGCCGCAGGGACCACTCCGTCCGACAGTCGCTGCTGTGACGTCCGGCCAGGCTGACACGGGCTCGCGAATATTGCACTCCGGACAAGTGTCTATTCCAGCCTTTAGAAGTTAGTTCTGCTGCAACTGAGTCGATAGATAGGTCAAGTTTTCATACTTGGGCACCAAGTCGGGTACGACTAAATGGAATGGTAAGGTAGCCGTGGCCATAAGCGGACTCAAGCAGGCCGGCAATAGCCAACACTGTTGTTTGCTTCATTGTGGTTAAGACAGTATATAAGAAGCGGTATTTGCACTTTTTGCAATTGATCGAAGGGGATGAGATGGAGTAACCTGACGATTAATCTATAGCAACTAATACGCCATGTTCTAGCAAAGATAGTCTACTCTTTATACTTGGACTCGAATCTACGTTTGTATTACATCGCAACAGCATCAATTATCGTAACTCCATGATGCCACCTTTCTTGGTCGAGCTGAGATGCTCCCACCTACCGTCGTCACACACCTCCGAAGTACCTCCAGCCGAGACGGCCCTACCCGCACATGTTTCCCCGGATCTAAACTTGGATTGGAAGTCCGGGGGCATCTCCAAATGGTATGCAGGTGACGGCGGGGTAGTAAGTTTTGTTAGTGCCGGCTGTCATATCTCCAATCGGAAACCAGCGCGGGGTGAATAGGGCCGTTTTGTGGCCGCACCACCCTCTAACGTCCAACAGTTATGTGTCTACTGCATTGCGTTCTTCTCTAAGAAGTGGTTCACAAATACGCTGCTGCTGTATAATGGTGTCCAAAGCGAGCCAAGGGCGGAGTTTGGCGGAGTTCATTAGTAGGAGGGATAGCCTGGCATGCATGTGACCTGCCCAATGGCTGGCAGTTCGCCGAACTGTATGGACCACGAGAACCTCAACGTCAGACAAAAGGGCCGAAGAGTCTCAATAATCTAGTATTCTATTTGAAAATTAATGAAATCGAGGGTTCAAGAGGGTGACGGGACTTTAAAGCTGCCGAGAAACATCCGCTTTTGTGCATGGCACCACCCAAATTCAATCTTGGGTGCGGTGGATCCATGCCGTTTTGTTCAAGTTGTGAAAGGCTTGTTTTTTGCCATTAGTTTATTGAAAGATCCTGCCACTGACTGTTGAATCGCTAATGTTTCGGTCATATTTTAACTTTTGGCATAGGTAGTATTGTAGACTTTGAGCGAGCATTTTCCCTCAATACGCCATGCATCAAGCATGGAAGCTGTGCCAGCTCCATTGCTACTTTATGAACGGAAGTGTGAGCCGAATCCAAACTAGAAAACAACTAGAGATTTCTCTGGGGTTGACCCTCCATGGTTCGTCCAAAATAAGAGAGATCTAACCCCCAATCCTCCATCGATCCCCATCCATGCGCCCAGAGGATCTCCACAACATCTACAATTACCTGAGACCGACCTTGCTACCGACCATTCTATATATGCACTCAAGTAGATCGTTATCAGTTCTTGCAAATTTGCGCGGATATGTGGGACAAGCTTTAAGACTGACAGGGGTTACAGAATTCATCTTGCGGCAAGACCGACGTCTATACGCATAGCCCTACGGGTCTGAATTGCTCGCACGAGTCAGCCTTTACTGCCCCCAACCAACTGTCGGGAGTACCGACCATGTTAAGCCTCAGTGCAAGGTCATTAATAGAAGCCGTTAAATGAAGGATATCAAGGGTCCGCCTAGCCACAATGTCCAAGCGTAAAAGAGTAACTTTTTTGGGTGACTATAATTTCTGATCGGTTTGTATATAACAAATTGGGTTGCCCTTCCGAATGAGCTTCCATGCTGAATCCAATTTCTTGACCACATTTACAAATCGTGCATCAAAACTTCACCGCCGCTAGTGTCAAACTCGGTCTATCAGCAAAATCATCAACTGCCCACGTCAACAGTCCATCTACGACGGCCCTGATACTTTACACGAAGCCCAACATAAAACCGAGATCGGCAATCCTACCGAACCATGCCTGCCATCTACTATAACCCCGTAAGCCAACTGTTGGCCCGCAATGGAGACAACGATGGTGATGACGACGGCGGCTTCCACATGCCCGGCAGTGTAATGGCAATCATCATCGTCTGTGTTATTGCTTTCGTCGCCGGCACCGCCGTCTGTTGCTGTCTATGCCGTCGCAGGCGCAAGAACCGCAATGGAGACGGTGGCAGCAAAAACAGCAACGAATACGGCGTCGACTCGAACAAATGGATCAAGAAGGCCATTAAGAAAGCCGCAAAGAAGATCAAGAAGATGTTCTCCAAGAACAAGAAGAAGAATGCAGCGGCCGCCGCTGTCGGTGGATCAGTCCCATATGGTCAGGGTACGCACCCTGGCTATGGCGAAAATGAACGTACGATGGGATACAGTGGAGGCTACGGCAGGCTTGATGCGCACGGGGATGAAGAGATGGTTGGGATGACGTCCCCGCATGGAGTCAGGAACTGAGAAGAGTTGTAGCACCGTCATGGTTTTTGGACGACTGGAAGAATGTAATAGAATGACCTAAAGCGACCATGCGAATAGACCTTCATACACGACCACGACAATGGCATTTATGGCAAGCGTTGGATCCTCACTAGTTGATTTTAATGTCACCGATGCGCCTTCATTAGTCTTCTGCACCGCAACAAAGTGAAAAGCGAGTGACTTCTACTTGAATAAGAATCAGTGTCAGATTCGGTTGGGTCGCTCACAGTTTTCTTGTGGTGCTTGCTGGCATACTTGAAGGACATTTTCAAGTCTGGGAGACCAACCAGGTGCGGGGTCACATTGGTGCTTTTGATAGCCGAGGATATTTCCTATTTTCATATGGGATAGAAGAAATCTGGCTTTCATGAACCTTTTGTAAGGTAACCTTTTACATAGATCAGACGGAATATCAAGGGGCTGCCAACTACCACCTTCATTGCCATGAGTCAAGTTGCGCTAGTTGCTCAGATCAGAGACCTGTAGCCGTTTTATTGGTTCGGAAAGAGCGACGTAGAGTAGGTTGACTTTGCACAAGCCGTAGTAACAAGTACTTTTAAATACATCTCTTTTGACCAGTATCCAACAACCTTGAGTGGAACTTCATCTGAAGTTGAAGCTTCCATTTGTCAAAATTCTTTGCAGACCGTATAACATGTTGTATAACGGCAATTTCATCAAGAGCACTCTGCCATTAACATGATACAGTAAAGGAAACTTTGGGAATACTCAAAAATTAGTCCTGTCGTCATCATTTGCCACATCTAGCATCCACTGCCAGAACATGTGTTGTAGTAAATTTCGATATCTTTGATTTTAAAGTTTGCCTCAGTAGCAGGCGGGCCGGCACTCCAGCCGTTGTCTCCGTTGGACCAGTTGTTAAAGACCCATGGCCCGGCAGAATTTGGGACGTCAGAGGTCGTGTTCCAAATTTGAACGCCGTCGACGAACCACCGGACTAGGCCTGGAGTCCAGTCCAGACGATATTCATGTTCAGCGGTAGTTGCGTCCGACGGAGGTGTGACGGCGTTGTAGGTTTTGATGCCGTTTTGGTCAGCGTCCTGATTGGTAAACCACAGTTTGCGAGTGCCTCCATTACTAAGGGATGCGGCGTCAGAAAGCCACTCAATGTCGGTTTCTTGTGTGTCGTTCTTATAGTAGAATATGCCTAAGTAGCTGTTAACACAACGACTAATGACTAAAGCGGCAAACTTCATTTACCATTACAAACACCGGCCGGCCCACTAAATATGGCTACAGTACGAACAGAAGCGTACTTGATGTTATTCACAACAGTAACAACCTCGGCAGATCTGTATGGCTGGGCGGTCTGGCCGCCAGGGACTTTCAGGTTGAGGTAACCGCCGGAAACAACAGCATTGGCGGCCTGATAGACGTGCGTGCCCACGGAGTAAGTGCTTCTGTACAAGCCGGAAGGCAAACTGGTAGCACCAGCAAAGTTGAAGATGGCTCTATTGGTAAATGAGAACTGCCCATCAACGATGTATTGCCCGTTGGTGGGCCCTGCAGGCTTTGGTGAACGAACTAAGGCAGAGGCCTGGCTGGCCGTGAGGAGAACAGTGGCGAAGAGAGAAGAGCGCATTGCAAGAGGTGGTATTATTGTGAAAGCTAGTTATAACTTGTATGGGTGAAATGATTTCTGTTGAAGGACAGTGTTACACAAAAGGTCTATCGACTTGACGAGTGTTTAGTATTTATGAATATTCTTGACGTGAGAACAATACAGCAATACAAATTGAGAGCATACGATGTAGATCGTTTTGGACTGGCTCCAAAAGGGATAATTGCGTCAGTTCCATTGCGTAAGGCTATGTAAGGCCCTGCTGACACGAGAACCTAGATCACCGGCGAGACCCTCTCGAAAAATCTATCGAAGCTCCCTTGCTTCATCAGGCTCGGCATTTGTCAAGAATGCGAGGGAGTTGGTCTTACATCCTTCCAATGTGGGTATCGTCCATTCTAGAACCAGGAGATCTAGCCAGTTACCAGCCACTACGGGAAATGGGTAACGGTCTAGTACATGGTCTTAAACCTTCCACCTCGGCTGTCAGCTTTGCTATAGTCTAAGCCAACTAGACTTCCCCAATTCTAACCCTTACGAAATTGAACCCATGAGCTCCCTTGAGGGGAATGGCGGTTAAGAAAGATCGTCAATAACTTTGCCACAATTTTAGTGCCGAAGGCAAAGTTATCCCCTTCTCAGCAAAATCGTGACACTTCAAAAGTACCAAGGAATGCAAGGACAGGTGACAGAGAAATCCCTCAGTTTGTTCCAGCGACAAGCTTCGTTATGATGCATTATGGCTTGAACACTGCGTTTCTGACCATGCCCCTCGACAGTTAGCCGACACCCGTTTCGCACGATAGCTTGACTGAGATCCTGACCTACTATGGGAAATCTAGTTTAGCATGTTTTAAATTTCATCGTCTTCATTACCCATTTCCTGGTTTCTGGACCAAATGATGCCATGCTTGTTGATCATTGAGTCTTCTTGTCGTTCTTGATGACGATCGTGAGCTCCTTACAAGATTGGACCGTTTCACTCGGTAACCTCTGGAGTCAGAGACCGAGAGTTGTCCTAGTCTTCTCAAAGTGGCATCATTCGAATGTTGAATGCAATCAAATGTAAAGAGAATACATTACTCAAACTTTTACGATCGATTCAAGGCGGAGGCCCGTGAGGTAGTAGTTGGGCTATTACATGTTTAGGATGTCATCCTTTCCCACACTTAAAAAGGTGATAATGGTGCTTCACTTGTGAGATTCGACATGCAAAACGCTGATTGAATGTACTTTGAAATAGTGTGTGCTCCTTCTGGGAGGTTTCACTGAAAATTAGGATTATAGGTTTGACAGTCGTCAAATAATTTAGATGCTAGTTTATTAACTGCAACTAACAGGCCAGTTGTGGAAGCACTTGTTCAGACACTCATCGAATATATCGTATGTGTTAATGCTCAAAACAATGTGGAGAATGCAATCCGCTTTGAATATTCTGAAAATAGTATATCAGGGTGCAAATACCTTGATTGAGATGAGTGGGACACTCTCTCACCGTGGCCTTGGTATAGCCCAAACGTATTCGCTGATACTATGTAATCCAGTTCCTTAGCCCCATGCAGAGACGGCCATTGGAGCTTAGAAAGAACGCAAAATTCCCATTTTTTACTGTTTCCACTCTATGGCAACGCCGAAATCCCTGAGCTGGTGTAGTACTCGGACCTCCGCGGCGAATACCAACTCCGTCAACCCCTACCCAACACGTGTTCTAAGGTAGGGCTCACAAGATCAACGTATTTGAGTTATTTCATCACTCCATGCTCCAAGTGTAAACCTATGTCGCGCTACCCAGAACCACCAAAAGACCGCAAAATTGGAGAAATTGAAATAAATTCATTACACCAGGTTGTTGGGCCTCAACTCCCGAGCTTTCGAGTCAGTGCGTTGGCGTGGAATGGGTCTTCGCTTCGACACTCCGTCAGGGATGTCCGCACCCACATCACGAGTTCAGATATACAATGCACGGACACGGGAAAACAGGGATAGATACTCTGACGACCCGCGAGTTCGCAGTCCGGGCAATGTGGAGCCGGCTGGGTTGTTGATAAACATGCTATCAACCAACAACACCCCCGCAAGGAAGCGCTTAATTTGTGTCATTTCGGTCAAAAGTGCCACAGTTGTCATACGTGATCATGAAGAAACGCAGGCTTTTTTTGGTGTAGGAAATGCTTGACTGGCTTTCCATTTGGGACATTGTTCATTGTTTTCCATAATACTTTACTTAATAGTCATTATCTCATCATACCATAGTATTCACTCCATGCTTCCGATCACGGCCTGTGGTATCCGCATCCGAACTTTCCCTTGGCTCCTCGTGCCTGTTGTGCTGTATAGTATCCAACTCAACTCCATTATCCTTTCCGATGATATTCTCGGATGAACTGGTGTGGAGCTTTTGTGACTTGGAGGAAATTGTTTGCTCTGCGTTCGTGGTGTTTCTGCTGTTACCGTGTCTGTCCGGGTTGGAGAACCCGAGCGAAGACTTGGCTGTATGCCATGAGCCCATGATGGCTGCGTCCAATACTGGCAGGGAGGCAGTGACAAAACCCATGGATATATCAAGCACCGTCCACCTCAGGATAACTGTATAATCCCAAAATATGTCAGTAGATGTAAACTTTTGCGTTTGCTGTAGCAAGCCGCCGGAAACTGTGAGGCCTCCAGCCGCCCAGATGATGAAAAGCCTCGTCTTCTTGCCCCAGTCTATGCGAACATTCCACAAGATAATGATGGGCGTCGCTAGAAGTAGGATACTCTGGACGACGTGGATTATGCTAAGAACCTTGGCTTGCAACAGCTGGTTTCCACATGTCGCTGGCTCTTGCAGGCTCCCCGCGTATTCTCTGTCCCATACAACCCTTGGAGGGCTGCAAATAAATATGCCCCAGAAGACGGCAAGTAGAACGTAAGCAATTAGGCTGGCAAAAAATATATCGGCGATGATTTTCCAGGTCTTGTATGCTGTGTCGACAAGACGGCGGATGAACAACGTGATGGAAATCTTGATGATACCGACCGTGGGATAGTAGAGAAGTCGACAGATGGTCAGGTAATACGAATAAAATTGGTAGTCGTCGTAAGTGTTTTCCCAGGTGTGAAGTCCACCTCCGGCATCTACAACAACTAGGATTTGAAGGATAGGGTATACGACGGCGAGGATCTGAGAAAACAAACAACAATCAATCCCCATGCATCATCACGCATCATGGTGGAAATGGATGATCAACGTACCGAAGCAGCGGCAATAACCCAATCATCCCACCCGAATTTCGTTTGAGACCCACGCCATTTGACAACCAGCCTTGCTACGGTCGGAATGATGATGGCAAGCATTACAATGACCATGCCGGCGATGATGGCTGCCTGCTTCGATTCGTGAACCGCGTTCGGGGGCTCTTTGGCGGCGAATATGTAACCTAGGCTGGGGTCGACCGTGGTAACACCATATTGGCGGTAGATGCCCCTGATGATGTTGAAATCCCTGGTATTGTTAGGCGGCTTCCCGACTTTGGCGGAAGCCGTCGTGTTTGACATGGCGACAGCGGGTGATGTTCGTCGAAAAGAGCCGGTTCAGGGAGAAGATCTTCGAGAGGAACGGGAGGCCAGTCCGCTTTATGCACCTTTCTCCAGATGGGCTTAATCTTGGACTAATTCTGGTATCATGGCGCACAGTTTAGTCTGGTTTCACGTCGTAAAAAAAAATAAAAATTCCGCCTGTTCTATCACCAACTCCTCATCGGGTGTATGGTCCCGGGATCATGGGAGGGTTGTAATGAGATGGATTTCGCATCATTGATATTCACATGGGGTAGGAGGCGATGGTCGAGCGTCCTGGAATAGCTTGCAATGACCTTCAGCTGTCATGCTTTTTGAAATTAACCTACAAGGACAAGGGCGGCTTTGGTGTGGGCAAGTGAGGAAGAAGTGAGGCGATGGCGAGTCATGGCCTCCAGCGGCAAGGTTGCGAATCTTGGGAAGTGAGTGTTGACGAGGCCCTGAAGCTCTGCAAGCGGGGGGGCGCAGGGCCAGCAGCTGTCCCTCAGCAGGTTAGCTTCAAAGATCGGACAAGACCCAGCATGCACGTATAAACTCTGAAAAGAGGTTCTTCCCAGCACGTCACGCTGCCGTGTGCTAGGTAAGGGTTTGCGCCTTGGCGGTGATCGGTTTGGCAACATGTCCGGCCGGCTACTCCCCGGCGCCGTCCCGTACCCTGAAGTTGGCCAGACAGAAGTTCTAAGTGGAGGGACCGTAATTTAAAGAGCGTCTCGCCCGATCCGGTCTGCTGCAGAAACAATCAAGTTCGTCGGTTTAGCGTATATTAACAGTAGTTCTCGTTTGTAAAAGCCTTTGGAGCTGTAGATCGTGGTTTCTTTCTGCCCGTCGTCTGCGCGTTTTTTTCCCCGACTCTGTGCGCACATTTGGCGCGATACCTGGGGTTTCTTTTTCGGCGTGTCAACTCTTTAGACTTCCTGACGCTTGTCTGCGCCCATATAGCTAATAATCATGGTCCGGCTCTCGGCACTCTCTGCGCTCGTTCTGGCCACTGCCGGCGTCACGGCAACTCCCGATGCCGATTGCACGGGCATCAACGCCATCAGCTCAAGGTGCAGCCCGCCGGAAACACTGCACAGTCGAGAAATCTTTTATGTCGGAGGCCAAAGCGCGTCAGACCCCACAGGCAACATCACGATCGGGCAGATCTATGTCGAGAAGCTGACACCGTTTCTAAAGCTGCGGTCGACGCCCTTGGTCTTCCTCCACGGCGGCGGCATCTCTGCAGCAACATGGCTCAACACTCCTGATAACCGCCCTGGATGGGCATCTTATTTCTTAAAGCAGGGCTATCAGCTGTATCTGATAGATGCGAACAGCATCGGACGGTCCACGGCTAACAACCCGGCGGACTTTAATATGGCAGTTGGCATGTCTGCTGAGTTTGTCGAGATGGGTTTCACTGCTGTGAAGGGGTATAATACGTATCCTCAGTCGCAACTACACACACAATGGCCTGGTACCGGTATGAGAGGTGATCCCACCTTTGACCAGTTCCAGCAGAGCTTCATTCCCTACACAAGTAGCTATAACTCGCAAGAACTAGCTATCCGTGCCGCCGGATGTGAATTGCTGTCTCTCATTGGCGCTAAGTCGTACCTCATCTCACATTCTCTGGGCTCCAAGTTCGCCCTTGTCATCTCCAATGACTGCCCTCAACTTCTTGCCGGCAGCATCAACCTTGAGCCTTCTACCATTCCTTTTTGGGCCTACGGCTTAGGCCTCGGCGGCCGATCAGCAAACCCTTGGGGTCTTACCAACACTCACGTCGACTACGAGCCGGCGGTCACGGACGCGAGCGAGTTCACGGATAAGATTGAGTCCGTGGGTCAGGAAACCTTGGCTCTCCGGAACTGCTACCGCCAGAAAGAACCTGCGAGGCAGCTGCCAAAGATTTCCAGCGTCCCATATGTGGCGCTGACAGGCGAAGCGAGTGTGCACATCACCTACGACCACTGCATCATCGATTACCTGAAGCAAGCCGGAGGAAACCCCGAGTGGATTAAACTGGGCGACATTGGTATCAAGGGAAACGGCCATTTCGGCCACGTCGAGAAGAACAATCTTGACATTGCATCAGTCGTGCACAAATGGATCAAGAAGCAGCAAGGCTGGTGGTGGTGATTGTGATATATACCCAGCCGGGACTGGCTTGCTCCTATTTGTACATAGTTACCTTACCCCAAACTGTCCCATAAACTCACCGAAAGCCACGTTAAATCCTAATATTTAAATGCATTAGCAAGATTTCTCGATCATCGACAGAACTCAACGCTTCTAACTGTTTCCTAAATTGTACTAGTGATCATCATGTCAGCGCAGTCGTGTCTCGCCAAGCGGCACCCTGGAAATGTCCGCGAGGTGACTACCGAAAGTCAAAAGGCTTCGCTTAAGATCAAGTGCAACTTTGGAAAGAATCATATTTTATACTGCTTCCTTGCATGGCCCAGATGTTTCAAACCATGTGTTGAGGGCATGCAAAAAGCATAGTGCATTGTAAGCCTATTTTGGTCCGGAAACAGTCCCTTGGTAATAATCTTGATCTACCAGGGAAGTTTCCGCATTGGCGGATGAACCCAAGCGGTAGTTTTCGCTGTTGGCGGATCACACCGCCAACGGTTTCATTGAGCGCTTCCCGTTGCTACCGAGTGACATTTGGTTGTTACTGCTACCACACGAATTCATGCTACCACGTTATTCTCGACAACTCTCCGTAACAATAGCTACCATTGTGGTGGGTCTAGTTTCAGTCTTGCTACCTGTAGCCGCACACGTTGCGCTTCTCCATACCGCCCATTCGTAATCCAAGTGAGTGGAAATGCCCATTACGTTGCTACATGTTTAACCCAGAGAGTGGCGATCTCATTGGAGTATGAGCCTTGGAAGGTCCATAAAATCGAACGAAAATTGCATAGTCACCGAAGGGATTTTGTTGCAATAGCCGGAACTCCGAGTTGAAGTCGCTCCGTCGCCGGCAGCCCTGCCGGCAGCCGGGCAGCCTACGTGACGGACAGTTCGACAGGCGCCGCAGTCACTTCCCCGAGCACTTCTGCTGGAACTTCTTCTTGAAGATTAGACACAAGATTAGACACCAGTTTATCCCTCGGAGGATTATCCCATTTTACTGGTACCCCTGTGATCTCGATAGTTTCCGTTGACAGAGCGGCGGATGGTGTTCTACAGGGCTAAAAGACATTGACGACTTGATTGACTTTGAGACCAATGATTGTCTATACCTTATACTATGAGAGATAAGGCTCGAAATATTGATGTCATATAGCTGGAAATATCAACATTCTCCTTCTTATTTCAGGTGTTCTTGTTTTCAGTGTGCTGCGCTTTGGGGTTGCAAATTTTCCTTTAGATACGGCAATGCCGGTACAATGAGGTTTCGATTATAGAGCCCTTTGAACCGAGGTTTTAATAGGCCCGCAGCAACCGATGAAAGCAGAAGCAGAAACAGAAGCGTTGACAGTCCAGCTCTAAGCTCTAGGGATCAGACGGTGGAGCCTTCATGAATGTCTGTTCAAAGGCTTCTTGAAATGCGTCGGCTGCGTGTAATTGACCGTTCAAGTTTGATGCTGGCGGAAGATCAAGTCAAGTGATGGAGATGCGGCTGCTGAACCGGTAACGTGCGGTGTTTTGTAGGGCTTTGACGATCTTGATCTTTATCCTGGTGCAGGCTAGACTTTGATATAGATTTTGACGTTGAGATAATTAAATAGTTACTCTCGGGATCAAAAGATATGTATGCATTATCAGCTGGAACTTACTTTGGCCAAACTCATTAGCTTTGCTGGTTATACTCAAGTGTCAAAGGCAGAAAAGCCTGTTTGTGATTACAAAAGATTCACAAAGACTCTCGCTGCCGGCTCTCATAAATCTGAGCGTTGTAGAGTGTCTCAACTCGAAGCCAATGTGGTATCTCGAGGATCTAACGGTACCTGGGTGGGAACCACGGTCAAATAGGAATGACGCATCCAACGAAGCTTCGAATTTTAACTATCGTAGTGATTTAAGCATTTTGAAAGCTCTGTACAAGGCCCCTCAATGTTTTACAAATTGAACATCAAGAACAAAGCCTTTTAGCATCGCACATAATTCAGACAGCGGCCTGTTCATGAGAGAAACAAATGACATGAGCGACAGTTCTTTCATTGAACAGGAGATCAGGTAGATAGGGCCATACACCAGTTACCTATATCAATCTTTTCTGAGATTAAACAATCAATTTAGCCGGTTTAAAAATATGCGTCATTCAATGTCATTGTTGCGATAGTTGGAATACGGAGTCGTGTGGCACTTCCAGCCACACGCCCGCCAGGCTGAGAGGCCTAAGCCTCCTAGACCTACGTGACAGGCCAAGGGGGAATATCCCTACCTTCTAGTTAACAACACTACTTTCAACTATTATAAACTATCGATTAGAACTAATTTACTATTATTTATTATTAACAAACGGAATTCCGTTTTACCCCCTATGAAACCTATACTAATTAGTAGTAAACCTTATAGTTACTATTAATTTAGTTAACTTTATAATTACTACTCTGCTACGGATAAACCGTAGATTAGCAAGGTTAATACTAGAAGAGACGACTTCTTAAACTAGATACCTAAGCCTAGGTAAAAGTAGGGATTTCGTACTAACGAGAGAAGAAGCGAGAGTAACTAGGATCTACGGAAACTAGTAGAAGAAAGCTTCTTTTCCTCGAATCTACTAGCAATCCGATTATTTAAGTAACCTAGGGACTGCTATGCTTACCTTAGGCGGGATAAGGTTAATCATAGCTAATTATCGCTAGCAAAAGCGTTCTATTACGCGTTTTTAATTACTAGAAGAAGAGACCTACCGAATCGACGGTCTTCTAACCTCTTTACGCTATAAAGGCGAAGATTTACAAATCCTATAAAGGATAATAACTTCCCTAACTATAACTATCCCCTACGCGCGGTGCTAATCACGAAGCGCCTACTAGTTTCTTAATAAATCCCTAGATAAGGTGCTAACCGTAAGGCGCTTATTATAAAAGACCTCCTTACTAGAAGAAGAATATGCTAAAAGGCAAGTAGAGACTACTAGTAGTAATCCGCCTATATAGCTATACGTATACGCCTCCGAGGCTATAGCTTAGGAGAAACGCATATAGTTATAAGCGTTATAAAGCTAACTATCTACTAGATTCTAAACTTCTTAATAGTAAGGAGCGAAGCCTGAAGTAAGAAAGAGAGATTTACGAGAGAATCTACGGTAGAACTTTCTCCCTACTAATTCGAGACCTATATATACCTTTATACCCTTCGAGAATATTAGCGAGAACGGCGCCGACGGAAACAAACGACGAACCGACGAAAATCCCCGATTTTACGATTCTTTCCTTTTAGAATCGTAATATCCCGAATCGTCTTTTAACTCCTACTTCTAAGCTTATATCTTATACTAATCGTAGCTAACGCTATTAAGGATTAGAATTTAAGATTCTAAATAGAAGTAATCCTTTTATACTATTAGAATAAAGCGAAATTTACGAGAAGGATCGCCCGCAAGCAGCGTTACTACTAAAAGCTAATTAATAGTCCTTATCTTATAGAGAATCGAAAGTATAATCGATCTAGTAGTATAAGGTAACTAGGCAATCGACCTTATAAACGCTAGCCTATAGCAACTAGGTTCCTATATAGGTTTCCTACTTAAGACTTATAAGAAGAGGAATCTTACAGGCCTCGAGCTATAGAACGAAGTTTCTCCCGATTTCGCCGACTAGTTAGAAGAAGACTTCTAGAACGTACCTCCCCTAATCCTACGATTCTTTAAAGACTATTTAATCGGTAATAGCGTCTACGTCGAAATAGATAGTAAGAAAATCTTAAAAAACGTAGTATTAGCCTTTAAAAAGGAAGAATTCTACTACTAGTTACCTTAAGAACTCGAACAAGGCGTTAAGAGATATCGCAACCTGAAGGCTTTGATAAAAGACCCCGAATTCTACGAAGAGATTACGAGACCGGCAATAGTAGCTAATAGTATAGGAGGAAGAGTCGAACTAACCCTATAGCTACCTCCTCTATAAGAATAATAATAGTAGCAACTACTATACCGACCGCTATATCTTACGGTCTCTCTGTTAATAGACTTCTAACTATATAAGTTAACAAACCGTATCGGAAAGCAATTAACAGAATTCGCGAAACTATACCCCGACGATATGAAATATAGCGGCGATATATACGATATACTCGAAAAGAAGATGCTAGTATTCGTAGATCACTATAGAATGCTAGGAATTTATACCTCCTAATATAACAAGGCACTTCCCCTAATACTAAAAGGAATAGCTAAAACCTACTTCTACGCCTCGATTAAAGTAATCAACCTATAGCCTAACTTCGAGACTATGATTAACTAATTAAAATCATACTTCGAGACTAAGGAAAGGCAATAAGCGTACGTTACGTAGTAGAATATAACTACTCTTCCCTAAATCATTCGTAATAACCTTAGAAAGACTAAATCGGAGTATTTTAACATACTATATAACAAATTAAGCAAGATTCAGCCTGGTTTGCTATAACAAGATTATAACGACCGATCCCTCTATACCTAACTTCTATACGCTTATAGAGATATTCCAGAGTATGTAATAGCGTTATTTATACCGGCTAAGACGTATAAGGGACTTCGCAGCTAATTAATCTCGTCGATCGAGACAGCTACCCGTCTTAACTAATAACAATTCAACATAGTAGCCAACCTACTAGAGTAGTACTAGACCGATAGAACTTTTAACAGTCGAAAGCGTTATTTATAATATAGTCGTTTATTACGAAGTCGATCATTACGAGGAAGAAGCCGTAACAGACCCCTATTACTACTAACGCCTAAGAAGTACTACGTATATAGAAAACCTAACTGCTAGTCAACTAAACATACCATAAAAGAGAGACGAAAAGCGTACGAGAAGTTCAAAACTACCTAATATGCCTAGGATATATTACTTCTAGTATATAGCTAATTTCTCGTCTAATACAAAGGTTTCGACAGGTTAGACCTATAACCTACCGCCGAAGACCCTTAGCAATTGTTACGGCCAGCTATCTGACAGTAGGGTTCTGCTAACAGAAGGTGCAGTAAGAGACTAACACTGGTTCGTAGAGGTCGTTCTGGTAGATCGTAGGGTTAGGGTAAGGTGATCAGTCTTACACTATGGTAACGAGGTTCTTAGTATTCACAATACTGAGAGGTAAGCTGAAAGTCATTCGAGGATGAATCACAAGTTGATTGCTGAAGAACTATCTAGAGGGCTTGAGCAGATGCTCAAGTCCTGGTCTATATACAAGTCCCGTTTCCCAATGTCTTGGAGAGTCTATAGAGTCGCTCGTCGACTCTATCGACTCTCTTCTGATTGGTCCTTTACAGGAGTCTACAGAGTCGCTCGTCGACTCTGTCGACTCTGTCCTGATTGGTCGATTGTCACGTGACTTGTAACGTAGTTCTTCCTTGCCGAGAGGTTTACCCTTGTTCCCGTGATCCTACGTACATATGTCCTGTCGTAGCCGCCCGACCCAGTGGGTCTGTTAAGTGCATCTGACGGGTCGTAACATCAGGTCTCCCCTCGATGGTCTTGTCCTCAAGGCCAACATAAGTAGGTCGTGGCTTCCCAGGTTGGGGAGTCGTCAATCGTGCTTCCTTGTTTATTCATAATGCTGACATCATGTCAGGTCGCGTTCAAAAATCCAAATCAAAGAACCCTGTCCCTTGTTCCGGTTGCGCGGCTGCCGGTGTCGACTGCGTCGTTTCCGAAGTTAATTCTTCTCGTTGTTCGCGTTGCGTTGCCGATAAGCATTCTTGCGACATTCACGGTCCTTCCGCGGCTTCCCTCATTCGGGTTCGGCAACAGAAAATAAAAATTGATGATGAGCTTGAGAAAGCTGAAGAAGAGCAGTTAGCTCTTATGGCGAAGATTCGTCGTTTACGAAGGCGTCGCAAGGACATCAATCGTGAGGCGACTGATCTCATTCGATCTGGTTTGCGGCGTGTGGAGGAGGTTGAGAATGAGTATCGTTCCGAGGTTCTTGGTTTGCAGAGTGCTAGCTCGGAAACTGTGGGTGCACTTCATTCCCTGGGTGCTATTGGCGTCGTGGATTGGTCTGGCGTCGGTTTGGACGACTGGGGTCCAGAGACGTCCTCTGGTGCCAGTATTGTTGGAGTTCTTCCTGAGCGTGTTCCAGGTTCTTAGCTGGTTCCCACGAATCGTCTTCGTGTCCATAGTTTTTCCACTTAATGAAGTATTCTGTTGTTTCGTCATTCCTCCGGTGGTCTAGAATGCGTTCTACTTCGTATTCGGTGTCATCTGTTTCCACAATGATGCAGTCTTCGGTGTGTGTACCGTCCGGTGCTGGTTCTAATAATGAGACGTGAAAGACTGGGTGACATTTCATTGTTTCCGGTAGTTTCAACTCGTAGTTGACTTCGGAAATTTTCTTCGTGATTTCGAAAGGTCCTAGTTTTTTGAAGTCGAGTTTGTCGCTAGGTCGTTTCGTTTTGATGTTTCGCCGTATGAGGTAGGCGCTACCTCCCTCTTTTAGGGGTGGGCCTCTCACCCTATGTCGGTCGGCGTGTTTCTTCATTCTTTGCCGTACGAATTCGAGTTCTTGGGGTAGTTTTTGTTGGATTTCCTTAAGTTTCTTGATGTCTGCTACTGCTTTTATCGCGGCAGAGCCGGTTCGGGGTTCTCCATAAGCGGTAGGGTTGAATCCATAGTTGAGGAAGAAAGGTGATTCTCGCGTGCTTTCTCCTATTGAACTGTTGTATGCGAACTGTGCGGTTGGTAACAACTTGACCCAGTTGTCCTGGTCGTAGTTCACATAACTCCTTAGGTACGTTTCCAGGATCTGGTTGATTCTTTCCGTTTGTCCGTCGGACTGCGGGTGGAAGGCAGTGCTGAGGCTGTGCTTTGCTCCGAGCTGCGAGATCAGGGATCTCCAGAACTTGGACGTAAAGACTGATCCTCTGTCTGATACTATTTCCTGGGGCAGGCCGTGTTGGCTGACAATGATCCTGAGAAAGGTGTATGCTAAGTCTTCTGCCGTGCTTGATTCCAAGTATGGTATGAAATACGCGTACTTCGTGAATCTATCCACAACCACTAGTATACTGTCGTACTATACTTTAGTGAGTGGTTCTCTCGATTTTGGTAGTTTGACGATAAAGTCTAGAGAGATTGAGTGCCAGGGTGCTGGTGGTGCTGGCAATGGTTGTAATTCTCCATATGGTTTGTGTCTGCTGGGCTTACTTTTTGCGCAGACTTCGCAATCCTTGATTGCGTCAGCGACGTCTTTTCTTGTTACTCGCTTGTCGTGGTGTTGTCTGATTCGTTTCCAGGTTTTCGTAACTCCTTGGTGACCGTGAGCGGGTGCGCTGTGTATCTCCCTGATCTGGTCGTGTGTCATTCTTCCAGTCGTGCTGGTCTTGACACGGTCGCCGATCATTAAGAGTTTCGCGGCGGGTACGAGGTCGCCATTGTCTTTTTTGAGGATAACCTGAGTTTCTTCTGGGACTTCGTCCTTGTAATCGGGTCTTCGGCTGAGCGCGTCTGCTCTGCCGTTTTCTGATCCTTTCCTGTAGATGATTCTGAAGTTGAATTCTGAGAGGAATTCTGACCATCTGATTTGTCGTTTGTTGAGCTCTTTCGAAGTGGTGAAGTGTGCCAGATTCTTGTGATCCGTGTACACTTTTACTTCGTACTTTGTTCCTGATAGTTGGGGTCTCCATTCTTTGAATGCGTCGATAATTGCCATAAGTTCCTTATCATGGATCTGGTAATTCAGTTCAGGTCCTTGGAACTTCCTTGAAAAGAATCCACAGGGGTGTAGGACTCCGTTCTCGTCCCTTTGGCCTAGCTGCGCTCCTTCAGCTTCGTTCGAAGCATCCGTTTCGAGCTCGAAGGGCTTCTCAGGGTTCGGAATCTGGATGACGGGTTCCGATGTGACCTTGTCCTTGACTTCTTGGAACGCTTTCTGTTGTTTGTCTGTCCATTCCCAAGGTGCATTTTTCTTAGTGAGTTCGGTAAGAGGCAATATCGTTTTGGAGTAGTCTTTGAGGAATTTTCGGTAGAAGTTGACAAATCCTAAGAAGGATAGTATGTCCTTCGGGTTTTCTGGTGTAGGCCATTCTTGCACAGCCTTGATTTTGTTAGGGGACATCTTGATTACGCCTGGCGTGATTGTGAACCCTAAAAATTCTACTTCCTGTTTGTGAAACAGACTCTTCTCTGGTTCCACAAGTAGCTTCGCTTGTTCGAGTGCTTTGAGAATCTCGTGGACATGCTTCTTGTGTTCTTCCAACGTTTTGGAGAATATAAGGATGTCGTCGAGGTACACAACAACAGACTTGTCCAGATATTCCCGTAGTACTTGGTTGATCATAGTTTGGAATGTAGCCGGTGCGTTGGTGAGTCCAAATGGCATGACTAACGTTTCAAACTGTCCTCTTCTCGTTCGGAAGGCTGTTTTCCACTCATCTCCTTCTGCAATTCGGATAAGGTTGTAGGCTCCTTTAAGGTCCAAGGCTGTGAACCATTGGGCCTCGTAGAGTAGGTCTCTTAGTTCCGATATGAGGGGCAGTGGGTAACAGTCTTTGATCGTAATATCGTTGAGTCGTCGATAATCGACACAAAGTCGTTTCTTCCCGTTCTTCTTTGGTACGAATAGTACGGGGTATCCTGCGGGTGATTTCGAAGGTCTGATGAATCCTTTCGCAAGATTTTCGTCAAGCCATTCGTCTAAGGCTTTCATTTCTTCTTGGTTGAGTGGGTATATTTTGTTAAAGGTGGGTTCGTGTCCTTCCTTAATTTCGATCTTGTGATCCCACTTGCTGTGTTCCGGTAATCCGGTCTCGAGTTCTGGTGCAAAGAGTTTGCTGTAGACCCTGTATTCAACAGGTATCTTTGACATTGGATCTTCCGTGACTTTGTCAATCGTCGTGGCTGCTAGCGTCCTAGTGCCAATGTCTTTTATCCTTAGCATTAGGCGTGGTCTTGCTCTGGTTGCTGCTAGTAATCCGCATGAGGCCTTCGTCGAGTGCTTCTCAGAGGCTGGATTGAATTTTATTCGGCCGGTAACCCAATCGATTTGTGGGTTATGTCTTCGTAGCCATGGAATTCCGAGGATAACGTCGTGGTTTCCTATCTCCGTGATGTCGAGGCTGATAAGCTCCTGATGGCCATGGTAGAGCAAAGGGAGTTGCGCTGTCTCCTGATCAATGCTGCCTCCGCCATACTCGACTTCTTTCCCTTCCACATTCCTTAGTCGGTAAGGGTTTTGCTTCTGATTCCATGGTATTTCTCGCTGTTGCACTATTCGGGGTGCGATAAAGTTTCCTTGGGCTCCTGAGTCTATCAGGACCTGTGTAGTGTATCCGCCCAGGTTTACTGTGATCTTCATTTGTGCGTCGTCGTCGAATGTAGCACATAGGGACTTGCTGGGGGAGCTCGCCATGTGTCCCGGACAAGGCGGCTCTCCTAGTTTTTTGAGTAGAAGGCCTTCTCGCCCTTCTTTCGGTCTCTGCCGAGGTTACTTTCTCTGATTCCTAGACGAGGTGGGCTGGGCGTCTCGCCGTCCTGTCCTTGCTTGTCTAGTTCTTGTTGTCGGAATCTCCAACTTTCGCTTTTTGGAATGTAGTGGAGTTTGCATAGGTCTTCCCTGCAATTCCACCAGACTCCCGTGAAGTGGTTCACACACTTCTGAGGGTATTCGACGCTGGGTCGTAGGAATGCTATTCCATTGTTGTTGGTTTTCCATTCTCCGGGTTCTCCCCGTACTTCCCAATATGAGAGTTCTTGTTCCTCATGGGCTCTGCGGATTCGCAGTTCTTCTTTTCTTTTGGGGTATAGTTCGTTTTCTGCTTTCTTTGAGAGATGGTAGGCGCAGTGATCGAAGATGCAGTAGATCCATGCTATCTCCTTGTGTTCTCTGTGCTGTGTCGTAATCCTGGGATCGTCTTCCAAGAATATTTCTTCATCCCGGGTTTGTGTGATTGTTGTAGGGATTTTGTTATGATATTCTTCTGCATGGAAGGCGATCTGTTGGCAGTCGTCTTGGGGGTCGATGTATTTGTATTCTAGTACTTCCTTAATTTTTTCCATTCTGTCGAGATGGTGTTCTTCTTCTGCGTCTTCCGGGTCGGTATCGTCTATCGACGTTCCTTGTGGACGTACTTCCGCCGAGGGTGGTCCGTCTACGACGTCTTCAGCCCATTCCGAGATGGGTTGAGGAGTAGCGCGGGTTCTTTGTGGCAATTCAAAGGTCGAGTCGCTGGCTACCGTGGTATATGGTGAGCTCCATCGTTGGCTTAGGTTGTCCTTTGCTTGGTATACTCGGGTCTGGGTGCTGGCGTCCCTGAATTGTTGTTGTCTCAGCATTTCATCCAATTGCTCGGTGGCTTTGCGGGCGTATTTGCTGGCTACCGCGAGGGTTCGTTCCGTCTTTCCATCGTTTTGGGGTCGGTAGACAAATTGGGTTGCTTTGTACTTGAGTTGATACTGTCCTCGGGTGTTTCCGCGTAGTGCGATGCGGCGGTCTCGGGTTTTCCGCATGTGTTGGAGGGTGTCTCCAACTTCGCTGTTGTTTCGAATTTGCATCGTGTAGTTGATGGCGTCTTGTATCCGTTTGATGGCTGTCTCGTTTTCTTCTTCGAGTTTCCTGGCTTCTTCTTCTGAGAGACTTTCCGGGGTGTTTACTTCATTCGTCTGTCGATAGTTGGCGAGGCGTGGGATGTCCCATAAGAGTCCCGGTTGGTACACAATGCTACCATCTTGGAAGGCGTTGTTGAGTTCCGCGGCCTTCTTCGCTTGTTCCCAGTCGTCGAGTGGCTCTTGTCGCTGCTTAGTGTAATCCGGTCCACCGGTGTATCGGTCTATCACAGCAATGGCCTTGGGTATGTTGGTGGTGTCGTATCCCGATCGTCCTGCTGGGTTTTGAGGGTACCATCCACTATTCTCTTTTGCATGCCTGTGCGTAGTGCAATCATTGTCATAGCAGGCTGTCCATCCCTTTTCTTCGTGGCTAGGGATTTTGGTTGCAGCGTTGGCTTGCTTAGGGGTTGCCGTAAGTTTCTTAGGCTGTATGCAGTGTCTGGCCATGTGTCCTGGCTTGTCGCAGTTGTAGCATTTGAATTCTCTGCGTCTGGGTTTGTCTTTTTGCGCGACGCTCAGGTCCATGGGTCCACTGTGTTGTCCATGTGCGGTGCTCTGCTGATTGTTGTTCCTGTTGTTCTGGTTTTTGTTGTTGAACTTGTGTTGAGGTTGCCATTGGTATTTCTTTCCTGAGTTGGCTGTTTGACGTTTTTCTCCTTTTTCCTTGCGTCGTTCAAACAGTCGGTTGTCAATCTTAATGGCGTATTCGACATAATCAAGGAAGCTAGGTGGCGTGTCCACTTTGGCCATTTCGTCCTTGACGTCGTCCTTGAGACCCTGGTAGAAAGCGAAGACTTTGCTTTCGTCGGTCATGTCGAGTCTGGCTGCGAGTCGTCGAAATTCTGCGGCGTACATTGTAGCTGATTTGTTTTGTCGTAGGCTTGCCAGTTCTCTTTCTGCTTGTCTTTTCTCATCGGGGTCTAAGAAGAGAGATTGAAGGGCTTTAACATATCCACTGAAGCTGAAAAAGATGTCCTTCACTTCTTGACTGTATCTCTCGATAGGGGTGTCCAGCCATTCTTGTTGGAGGGGTTCGAACCAAGCGAGGGCCTTCCCTCTCAAGAAGGTGGCGGCGTGGACGACACGTTCGGTATCGTTCTGGAACGTGTTGATGTGGAAGGCTTGGTAGGTCCGTATCTGTACCAAGTATCCTTTAAGCTGTCCAGGGGTTCCGTCGAAGGTGGTAGGGGTGTTGAGCTTAAGGCGTTCTCTTCCTTCGACAGGAGCTGATATGACGTTCGCGGCAGCTCGAAGGGTTGTGACTTCCTTCTCTAGTTCTTTGGTGCGGCGGGCTTGTTCCTGTAGCTCCTTGAGGGCTTTGACGTTCTGGTTGAACAGGTTTTTCATTTCCCTGAGCTCGTTGTTGTTCCGCTCAAGTTGCCGCTTAAGTTCTTCATTGTCGTCATCGCTATCGGATTCCTCCTTCATTTCCTGGTCTTGAATCTCTTGGGCCAGATTCTGGGGAATACGTCTCTCGGACGTGGACGAGGTTCCAGGAGTAGGGTTTTCGGTAGTTCCGTGCGAAGACATCTTGTCTTATACTGTTCGTTAGTCTCAAAGGGCAACTTACTGAACAGGAGCAATCAAAGTGTTACGGCCAGCTATCTGACAGTAGGGTTCTGCTAACAGAAGGTGCAGTAAGAGACTAACACTGGTTCGTAGAGGTCGTTCTGGTAGATCGTAGGGTTAGGGTAAGGTGATCAGTCTTACACTATGGTAACGAGGTTCTTAGTATTCACAATACTGAGAGGTAAGCTGAAAGTCATTCGAGGATGAATCACAAGTTGATTGCTGAAGAACTATCTAGAGGGCTTGAGCAGATGCTCAAGTCCTGGTCTATATACAAGTCCCGTTTCCCAATGTCTTGGAGAGTCTATAGAGTCGCTCGTCGACTCTATCGACTCTCTTCTGATTGGTCCTTTACAGGAGTCTACAGAGTCGCTCGTCGACTCTGTCGACTCTGTCCTGATTGGTCGATTGTCACGTGACTTGTAACGTAGTTCTTCCTTGCCGAGAGGTTTACCCTTGTTCCCGTGATCCTACGTACATATGTCCTGTCGTAGCCGCCCGACCCAGTGGGTCTGTTAAGTGCATCTGACGGGTCGTAACAGCAATACTACTACGTAACTAAACAAACTAGTAAAAGTAACGAAGAGGAAGAGACCGGCAGCGATAGTTAATTCCAAGTCACTACCTATTTTACTATAATAGCAATTAACGGCAACAGGATCGCTACGATCCTAGCAGACTAGTCAACCTGCTATACTATTACGAAAGAAGACCTCTTCCGTAACTAACTAGAACCGAAAGAGCTACCTTCGCAATTTATACTCGAGGGACGCTACTCTGCCTAGAACTTCTAAGGGATTATGCCCGACTCGGGCGTAGCAGGATTCTTAACCGCTAGCTACTTATAATTCGTAACCTTATAATAAATTTACAAAGGAATTACGTTAAATACTAAGGCGGCTAGCGGCGTTATAGTAAAATTCGGCGATAAGATACTACTAGAGTCTATAGGGACTACTAAAGTGCTAACGCCGTTTAGAAGTATTAAATTTTACGTTATTAAGACTAATACTCCCTTCCTTATATACCTAGGAGATATAGACCGATTAAAGGTCTACTTTAACAACGTTACGAATACCTTTATCTAAGGAAACAAGGTCGTACCTATTATTCGCAAATAAGGCTACCTATAGTTATTACTCAATAAGGAGAAACTACTCGCCTAGAACTACCTTATAGACGCTAAATTGCGATAGGTTTACCGTCGCTTCGGATACCTATCTATTTAACGATTATACAAGGTGCTTTAGAAGGCTAGCTACCTAGTTGAAATTATAGTAATTAAGCAACTATCGAAAGTCTGCTATCGATACTAAATATACGTACTAGCGCTATTACGGTTTAAATTTACGTTACGAGACGATTACGAATTTAACTACGAGGTTATCGCTAACGTAATATACCTTGAGGGTAATAGACCGGTCTTCTACGTCGTCGATACTGCTACGGCGTTTAACGCTACCCGGTTCCTTAAGGATATTTCTACGAAAGCTACTTAGGAAGCCTTACGCCTCTGCTAGATAGATATATATCAAGGACCCCTAGACTAGCTAGTTACCGACGCTAGAATAAACTTCTGCTTAACAGAATTCCGAAACGCGGCGAGAGGAATAGCAATTAAAATTAAGGAAATTCTTATAGAAGCCTATAACAGTATTAAGAAAGTTAAACGATACTATATACCTCTAAGGAAGGCGTACGAAATTATTAAAGTAGAAGACCTAATAATTATGCTAGAATTAATACTTTAAACAATAGTTAAAGCAGTTAACGATACTACTAGCCTAAACGGAATAGTACTAATACTCTTAGTATTTAGCTTATACTTACGAATTACTAACGATTTGCTACTATCTCCCGAAGTCATAAGGTAGGCGAAAGCGATTAAGAAGGCGATAAGCGAAGTATATAAACTTTACGCAAGGCGATAGGTAGTAGAAGCTATCGCTACTTATAATAGCCTTAATATAAGGCTAATTATTAATTTACTACTATAGTCGTAAGTATAAGTATAGCGTAAAAAGAAAGGCTAGACTAGACCGTTTACTTTAGTAGCTATAAATAGCGAAACCTATACTATCGATACGCTACGTAGTCCGAAGACCTTCCGGTCTACTATAGTTAAACTATATTACGAAGATCCTAATCAACTACCTAATTCTATCGCTATGCTAGAAGAAGAAGAACCTAAAGCTAAGATACCGTAGTAGGAAGTAGTACGCGACGAAATTATCGTCGCTAGCGGAGGTAGTAAACCAGACGAACCGCAAGAGGCACTAGAGCTACCGAGAAGACGCCTAAGCAGACCCTAGAAGAGACTACTACTAATCGCCTACTTTATAAAGGAATTTAACGATAACCCGGATTATTAATAAATATTCCTATCGATTAAGGAGTAAGTAGACGAAGAATTAGTAATTAAACTACGACGAGAAGGTATTATTACTATACTAAGCGAACCGTTCGAATAGTTAACTAAATAAGAGATTAATAGCCTTATCGCTAGAGGAGTATTTAAATTTACTTAGTTTAATAAGAGAAGGTATTAGAACGTATAAATCTTCCGATCTCGTATCGTTAACGAAGTCAAAAGTAAAATAACCAAACCCTACAAGAAATCAAGACTTATAATATAAGGTTACGCCGACGATAGTAAGAAGGCTATATTAACCTAATCGCTAACGATTTAGCAGGCGAGTTAACGGCTAATTCTGTTAATTACCTTGTTACTCCTACGAAAAGGGAAATAACTATAGCTTCGAGATATTATACAAGCCTACGTTTAATCCTCTATAAGGCTTAATCGTACTATTCTCGCCTACCTACCGAAGCAAATTCAAGACTAGTACCTAAAAAGGACTATTATAGAGGTTATAAAGCCTTTGTACGGAATCGCAGAAGCTAGAACCTACTGTTACGACCCGTTGGACATGGTCGCCAACACGACCCCGCCTGGATCCCGGCGGCTAACGCAGGGCATATGTAACCCAGCCGACAGGTGTAACCAGGGATCCTCGGAACGGAAGAACTATGGACAAGTCACGTGGCCTCGGGGATAACGCGGGGTAGGGACAACCCGGGCTGGATATGTTGGATATGTCAGATATCCAACCGATCCCCGGATATGTTGGATATGTCAAATATCCAACATAGCCAAGATAAGGAGGACCGTTCAGGACTTGTATATAGGATGGACTCGAGCCGGGCTCGAGGACAGACTTCCATAGCTCTTCAGCAATCAACTTTGTGATTACCCTAACCGGTACTTTCAGCTATACCTAAGTGACGACTACTCTACGACTCTTGTTGAGGCCTTGACTGATCACCAAGACCTTTGAAGATCTACGATTCAATCGACCAGACCCCAGAACGACTGTTACTGTTGTCAATCCCTGGCTTACTGTTAACACAAACCCACTGTCAGTTAGCTGGCCGTAACACCTACTAGTAGGCAACGTATTATAAGCATTATAGAGAGAATCTCTAGATAGTTACTTCTTCGTACGATCTATGCTTATTAATCTTATCTACCGAAAATCTATACTTTAGCTATATCGGCATGCAAACCGACGATACCCTCGGTTTGTTAGACAAGGCGTTCTTATAATTAGAAGACGAATAGTTAGAAAAAGCAGCTTTTATAGCAAAAGCGAAGAATATCCTTATAATTAACAAACCCTTCTAATTTAACAGAGGGATAATCGCGCTGTTAACTAATAATTCGATTAATTTAAGGCAAAAGGGATAAGCTAAGAAGTTACGATATATTAAGACTACTAAACCTAACCTAAAATAGCAATATATCGAACAACGCGCTAGAAGGGCGTATATCGCGTTAATTTGCTAACCCGAGGCTTGTTTCGATTTATCTACTACTACCTAATACTAAGACCCCTTGCTAGAAGCGATAAAAGTACTAAATTAATAGATTCGATAGTAAATAGAATCGCCTAACCGAGGAATAACGTTTATCCTACTCGACCTTATAATAGCTAAGCTATTCGTTTTCGTTAACAGGTTGTTTGCTAATAACTACGACCTTTCCTCCTAATTAGGGTTTCTAATCATCCTAGCTAACGATACTTCCTCTAATAGTAATAATAGAGAATTTACGATTTATAATAACCTCGTTTATTATAGCTTTATAAAAAGTAAATAAGTTACCTATAGCGTATTAGCGTTAGAGATCTACGGGATAGTCGCTAGCGTCGATATAGCTTACGCCCTCGCTATAACCCTAGCGATAATTACTAACTACCTTAACCTACTAACGATTTAGATAGTTATCTATACCGATTCTTATTCGCTATATAAGTATCTCGTAAAGCTAGGTACTACTAAAGAAAAGCGACTTATAATCGATATTATAGCGTTAAGACAATCGTATAAAAGACGAGAACTATAAGAAATTCGTTAGATTAACGGCAAAGACAACCCTGCTAATGCCCTCACGAAGAGCAAACCAAATCAAGCCCTCGAGAGATTCGTTAATAGCAACACGATAACGATACGTATAGAGGGATAGGTAACAAGACCGTAACTACGGGAGAAAGTAGGGATAGGAGGCCGAATTAACGAGGAGACGGAACTATATAGGGATAACGTATTCTAACCGCTTCAACACTATAAAAAGAGAGTTTCCAGTGTTGCGATAGTTGGAATACGGAGTCGTGTGGCACTTCCAGCCACACGCCCGCCAGGCTGAGAGGCCCAAGCCTCCCAGACCCACGTGACAGGCCAAGGGGGAATATCCCCACCTTCTAGTCAACAACACCACTTTCAACTATCATGAACCATCGATTAGAACCAATTTACTGTTATTTGTTATTGACGAACGGAATTCCGTTTCACCCCCTGTGAAACCTACAGTCATGCATTTGAAGTCCTTCTAATCACAAACGTTAAGGGCTTGGTCAAGCCAAGATATGGAACCTCAGATCAACATTTGCTCGATACAGCAACTTATACTTTGTTTTGTGAATTGAAATGCCCCATGATATTTGAGCTTGATTGTATGCCTGTTTAAGCACAAATACTAATCAATTTTTAATATTCGCATATGCAAATAGGTAGCCTCTTGTATCGTTTTTGGTTCAGCGATTTCCATTTGTTTTACGCAACAATTCATTACAAACAAAGCCGTTTATGACCTTGCTTTCAATACCAACATCCGAGAATATTAATAACAACCCATAAGTATCGGTCTTGAAAAGTGATGACATAACCGTAACCCAGAGCCAAGGACAATTGAGGGGCGGTGAAGCGGCTAGTAAAGGAATATAACGGAAGCTGAACAGGTGAAGAACAAACAGTCCCGAGGTATTCTCGCGGATGGGTAGCTAAGCGATCCACTACACATAGTGAATTTCCCCCTCACATCGGCCCATGACCCAAATGTAGGACAAGCAAGCCAAGCTAGCTAAACGACAGACATTGACAATTTCCATTGGTGCGCATCTCGGTCAGCCAACCCTCTTTGCTTCGGTACTTGTCTCCATTTACCCCGCACGATCCCCACAACCAACTCTTGGGGTTCACCGAAAGAAGCAGCCAAGGATGGCGCACCTCGAGATAACATTGGCCCGGCTCCCATCGACCCCAATTTCATTACTCTCAGTCTCGGCATAACCTCGCCTTTCAAGTCCCGTGTTTACTGTGTTGGTTACAGCTGAAGGAGGTTTGTTTGGAGCGCATACCATTTATCGCCCGCATCGATGCTCCCAGTCAGTTGCGCTTATTAGTTTGGCACCAAGACTTTTTTGCGTTGGTCACCGTGGAGTTTCGTCTCCTCCATGTCCTTGTCAATACCATCATCCAGCTTCTCCAGCTTCTCCAGTCTGGGGGAGCAGCAGGGTAAAAAGAAGGTAATGGGTATCGCCACATGGCCGAGGTTACCGAGTGAGAGCTCATAGCTCGGGTCATGTCGCATCGCGTCTTCATTTGCGGTCCTTATCCTAGTTCAATTGCTCCCCTTGCAGCACTGCTATGGGTCCTGCGCCGGTGAGGACGATGTCGAATGCTACTCTTATAAAAAGGTAACCGTCGTCTCGGTCCGGTGAAGAAGCTCTTGTGTTCTACTCGCACCTCGTCCTTCAAGACGCGTCGAATCCTGCAGAGATCGTCGAGTCCACAGCCATCATGCTTCGGTCCGCCCTCTTCGCCGCCGTCGGCGCTCTTTCCTGCGGCTTCGCCTCTGCCCTCGAGACCTTCGAGCGCAACCTCATCTTCCAGCCTCCCGAGAACTACACTGACCCCCGCGTCTTGTACCCTCGCACCGTCCAGCTGGAAGACGGCCGTCTCCTGGGCACCTGGGAGAACTACTCGCCCGAGCCCCCTCTGGTCTGGTTCCCCATCTACGAGTCTCTCGATGGTGGCCTCAACTGGGAGGAAGTCGGCCAGGTCCACGACCAGGCCAACAACTGGGGTCTTCGCTACCAGCCTTTCCTGTATGAGCTGAGACAGGACTTCGCCGGATACCCTGCCGGAACCATCCTCCTCGCTGGTAACAGCATTCCCACCGACCTCAGCCAGACCAAGATCGACCTGTATGCTTCTCAGGACAAGGGCCGCACCTGGGAGTTCCTGTCCCACGTCGCTGCCGGCGGCAGAGCTATCCCCAACAACGAGGAGACCCCCGTCTGGGAGCCTTTCATTCTGTTAGTCAACAGTTATCCCCATTATCTTCATTCGATCAGGAACTAACTCACCATAGCATCTTCGAGGATGACTTGATCCTCTACTACGCCGACCAGCGCTCGCCCGACCACGGCCAGGAGATCTCTCACCAGACCACCAAGGACCTCAAGAACTGGTCCGACGTCGTCATCGACGTCACCTACCCTAGGTACACCGACCGTCCCGGCATGCCCTTCGTCACCCAGCTCGCCAACGGCGACTACATGTACACTTTCGAATGGGGTGGTGCTCCCATCATCGAGCCCTACTCCTTCCCCATCTACTACCGCATCGCCAAGGACCCTCGCAAGTTCGCCGACGCTCCCGACTACTACATCAACAGCACCAACGGCGGCGTCTTCCCCATCAACAGCCCCAACGTTGTCTGGTCTCCTGTTGGTGGCTGCAACGGCACCATCGTCGTCAGCAGCAACAGCGCCCCTCTCTTCGTCAACCGCCGCGGCGGTGACCCGAACGCCTGGGTCGCCTACGACTCTCCCGAGGCCGGCGCCTACACCCGTAACCTGCGCATCATGGAGGAGGACCCCGACTACCTGCTCATCATGGGCGCCGGTGTCCTTCCTCCTAGCACCACCAACAAGGTCACTGTCAGCATGCTCAAGTTGACCGAGCTTTTGGGTCTTAAGCAGGCATGAGAAACGAACTCTAGGAAAATTCATGTAAATAGTTGATATCCCTCAGGGCTCACGTATCGCACAGCAGCATATCTGCGGGTGTGATTGTGAGTGCATAATTGTAAATCATGCCGTAATGAAATACAAGTATTAAAAAAACAAAAACAAAAATAAGGTGCTGGAACATAACACAAACTGCCGGCAAGGCAAGCCACATGCAAACTTCCACACAGCTTAATTGAGCTTGGTGATTCGTTCAATCTTCCTTTTTTACTTTTCCGCCAAATAACACTACCGTCCAATTTAATTTGACGTAATACTACTTTGCACATACTACTTCTCGGGGTAACCTCATCGCGTCCCCCTGCTCTGGCCGCATGTGACCAGCCGCTTATTTATTGGGACCCGGACCGGCCATCCACTTGAAGTCTTCCTGCCGATGACCGCCTGGAAGATCTCCAGGGAAGATGAGCAGCCTCCAGACGAACTGTAAGCCTAAGAAAGTTGCGCAGCACAAAGTGTCGAAGCTACCACTTATTTTTCCGTCTCGACCAAGCGACTGCTATGGGCTCTGTATGGACGGAAGTTTCGTCGCGGTCCTCGTTGCTCCGGCCGCGGCGGGCCGTTGAAGGTGGCGCAACTATCCGCAGGGACAACCCTGTTGTCCAGCTCGTTCAAGCAATGTCGGTCTTGGGGACGACAAGGGGATGACATGGCTTTTCCAAGCGTCGGCTAACCGACTAACGCGGGGCAATGAGCGGGGGAAGACAGGGTTTTGGTTGGAGACGTGATGAGAAGTGCCAGGTCCTCTGCCGTTACTGTTGTGTTTTTAGTTTTTTTTCCGCTCCGTCAGCTCACCCAACCAATTCCCCGTACCGGTCGAGTGCTGCACGGCATGCATATCATGCAATGCTTCTCGCCATCTATGGACTGATGAGTTCATAGAGTTGGAGTAGAAGAGGGGGAGACGGGCCTGACGTTCGTCTAATCGATCGGCCGGTTGAGATTGGGGGATGATGATGGCTGTGCCTTGCATCTGCCGACCATTCACAAGCTCCCAATTCCGACGCTCTGGCGGAGAGCATAGTTGGAGTTAGCTATATTGCCGTCCGCCTTGTGGAGCGAGCGGATATACGATTCGTATGTGAAATAGAGGACATGTCCGCGCTTTCCGTAGGATTGGGAGCGCTTCACCTCTCATCAATTGATAGTGTAAGCTGCGATTAGGGTTGGTTCCGGTTCTTCAGAGCTTGGATCAAGATGTTGCTCTCACGCGCCAAAATCCTGTCTTTGCTAGCCCTGAGCTGGTTCAATGGAGTCAGCGGTAGAGCCGTGGGAAGGGACCTCCACCTTTTGAATGGAAGGCAGCAGGATATCGTGAGTTTGCTTGTTCTCCCGTGAAGCCATTGGCCCTCAGAAGACACCTGGCTCTTTATGTGAATGTTAAACAGTTAACAATAACAGGTCACATGGGACGACAAGAGTCTGTTCATCAATGGCGAAAGACTGATGGTATTCAGTGCCGAGTTCCATGCGTTCAGGTGAAACCTTCTACTGACTGTATTCATGTTCACTTGTTAACCTCCAACGTAGAATGCCAGTTCCTCATCTCTGGTTTGACATTCTGCAAAAGATCAAGGCAGCCGGTTACAACTCGGTCTCCTTCTACGTCAATTGGGGTTTGCTGGAGGCTAAGCCTGGCGAAGTCCGAGCTGAAGGTATCTTCGCCCTGGAGCCTCTCTTCGAAGCTGCCCAGAAGGCTGGACTGTACCTCTTCGCCGTAAGTCCTAGTCTGCCTGCTTCAACATTGTCTGTTGCCTAACATATATCAAACAGCGTCCCGGTCCGTACATCAACGCCGAAGTGACTGGAGGTGGTTTCCCCGGCTGGCTGCAGAGAGTCCAGGGCGTCCTCAGGTCTGGAGATGAGGGATACCTGAAGGCTACCGACAAGTAAGCATAACATATCTCTTGATGGTTACTGCTGCTAACGACGTCAGCTACACTGCCGCAATCGGCAAGATCATTGCCGGTGCTCAGATCACCAATGGAGGTCCGGTCACTCTCTTCCAAATGGAAAACGAGTACAACGCTGCTATCGCGCCGTACCCTTTCCCCGACTATGATTACTGGAAGTATGTCGACAACCAGTTCCGAAGCGTCGGCGTTGTCGTCCCATACGTGAACAATGAGGCCTGGCAATTGGGTGCCATCACGACCTCTACCCCCGCAAAGGTGGACATCTATGGTCACGACTCTTACCCCTTGGGCTTCGATTGCTGGAACCCTACTGTGTGGCCTGAGAATGGCCTCCCCACGGACTGGCTAGCGACGAACAACAGAATTGCACCTGACAGCCCCTACACCATTGTCGAGGTATAATACCCCTGTTGCGTCAAGAATCGCAAATTACTGACGACATACAGTTCCAAGGCGGCGGCTTCCAGCCTTGGGGTGGTGCTGGCTTCGAATCATGCGCTGGTCTGCTGAACCACGAGTTTGAACGTGTTCTATTCAAGAACAACTACGCTGTCGGTACTACCATCTTCAACGTGTACATGGTAATCCCCCCGTGCTCCATATCTTTTCATGACATGATAATGACCGTCGACAGACTTGGGGTGGCACGAACTGGGGCAACCTCGGACACTCAGATGGATACACCTCCTACGACTATGGCGCTCAGATTACTGAAGAGCGACTCATCAACCGCGAGAAGTACAGCGAGACGAAGCTTCAGGCCAACTTCTTCCATGTTACCCCTGCTTACTTGGAGGCTGATCGGTTCAATTCTTCGCTTGAGTTCACAAACAACGCTGCCATCACAGTCACCCCTGCCACTACCAAGACGACCAAGTTTTACATTGCCAGGTTGGTCGCCGGTGCTTCTGATGCAAAACAGTGACTGACCCGAGTTAGACACACCAAATACGACTCCCTCGAGACCGTGAGCTACAAGCTGAAGGTCGACACGGTCAAGTATGGCAAGCTTGAGATCCCCCAGCTTAGCGACGGCCTCTACCTTACAAGGAGAGACTCCAAGGTCCACGTCAGCGACTACCCTGTCGGGGACAAGAACCTGGTCTACTCTTCAGCTGAGATTTTCACCTGGTGGGTACAGTTTGATGCTGATGAAGAGGGCCATTGCTAATCCCTATGCAGGAAGAAGTACGACGACAAGACTGTCCTCGTTGTTTATGGCGGCCCTGATGAGCACCATGAACTGGCAGTGGAAGGCGACCAAGGTGATGTGACTGATGACGATGTCATCGAAGGCTCCGATGTCACTATCGAACAGAAGGAGGGTTACACCATCCTCGGCTGGGCTGTCTCCGACGAGCGCAAGGTCGTCCGCGTCCACAAGAACCTTTACGTCTATCTTCTAAGTAGGTATCCCCACACACAACTCTTTCGGGCTCCGCTCACCTTTAACAGGCCGCAACGAGGCATACAACTTCTGGGTACCCCCTACCGAGAGCAACTATGGTACCTCCGACGTGATTGTCAAGGCCGGATACCTCGTCCGAACCGTCGAAGTCAACGGCGACACCCTCAGCTTTTCCGGCGATGTCAACGCCACCACTCCCATTGAAGTTATCGGCGGTGCTCCTGCCTCACTCAAGACGCTCAACTTCAACGGCAAGTCTGTCGAATTCAAGCAGAACGACCGTGGCATCGTAACCGCCTCTGTCGACTTTAAGGTCCCTGCGATCAAGCTTCCATGCCTCAGCCAGTTGAGCTGGAAGTACATTGACTCTCTCCCCGAAATCAAGTCCGACTACTCGGACGAGCTGTGGACTGACGCCAGCCTCGAGAAGACTTACAACTCGGCCAACCCGCTCAAGACCCCGACCAGCTTGTACGGCGGCGACTACGGTTACCACACCGGATCGTTGCTTTACCGCGGACACTTCACCGCCAACGGTGAGGAGAGCGTCTTCAACATCACCACCCAAGGCGGGAACGCCTACGGCGCTTCCGTATGGCTCAACGACGAGTTCATCGGCTCTTGGGCTGGCAACGCCGTTACCCCCGCACGCAACAGCACTTTCCAGCTCCCCAAGCTGACCAAGGACAAGAAATACGTCTTCACTGTCGTGGTGGACCACATGGGTATGAATGGCAACTGGGTTATCAACGAAGAGCAACAGAAGAACCCCCGCGGCATTCTCAACTACAACCTTGCAGGACACGAGCAGTCCGACATCAAGTGGAAGATCACCGGAAACCTGGGTGGTGAGGACTACGCCGACAGAGAGCGCGGCCCTCTCAACGAGGGTGGGCTTTTCGTCGAGCGACAGGGCTACCACTGGCCTGAGCCCCCTTCGAGCTCCTGGAAGGACAGCAAGGGCCCGACTGAAGGCATTACTGAGGCGGGCATTGCCTACTACTCTGCCACCGTTGACCTTGACCTCCCCAGCGGCTACGACATCCCGATTTCTTTGACCTTCACCAACGCCACAACCACTGCCTACCGTGCCCAGATCTTCATCAACGGTTACCAGTACGGCAAATATGTCCATCACGTTGGCCCCCAGACCCGCTTCCCTGTCCCCGAGGGTATCCTTAACTACCAGGGATCCAACCATATTGGCATCACGCTCTGGGCCCACGAGAAGGGCGGCGCAAAGGTCGAGGGACTCAAGTGGGAAGTTGGCATGGTCAGCGCTACGGGCTTTGCAAAGGTCAACCCTGCCCCGCAGCCGAAGTGGGCTGAGAGGAAGGGAGCTTACTGAATGGGATCTTGAACTTGAGATACGTAGGGATAATAGTCGTAACGTCTAATCTATCCAGTTTTCTCGAAGAGCACTTCATAATGAACCGAGCTATCAAGGCCCCTCTAGAACGATTGGGTCCTATTTTTGGGGTTTTTCGGCTTTTCAGGGGTCGAACGTTCCAATGTTTAAATCTTCTCCTTGCAGTTTGCCAGCTTCTCAGACACGGCCTTCGGTGTACACTTTGGGTTTTACTGACCAATCGTCCCTGAGCATTGATTTCTTGACGGCTGCTGTCGAGGTAGTTGGTAATGATAAACATGTCGCGATCATGTGCATCTGCGAATCCTAACTCAACAGAGGCAAAACTTTGATGAAATGATTATGAAAAACATATATCATTGTCTTGATTGGTCCGAATTGCATCACTTCCTATATATACATACATGACAAAATGGCAAAACAAGTAACGAGAACTAAGATTTAACAGAGAGCTCAGCAATGACAAATGCGAAAGAGCGAGTTTGCATTGATTGCTTCCTCAAACGCCATGACTCCGAATTCCCCGCTATGCAGATATGCTCGCCGTCAATCATATTTAGAAGCCACCCAGCGGGTTGGGGTTAGGGAGAACCTCGCCAACATGGTTGACAGGGGGGATGATGGACTGGCTCTTGGTGGCAGCAATCTCCTTGTGTCTTCTGAGAGAGAAGTCCTGGTTGTTGAAGTTCTGGTTGATAACGCCGACCATTCCGGAGGAGCAATGGTTTCCGACGTTTTGAGGGCAGTAGTACCACTATTTCAAGCATTGTTAGTATGCATTCACACTTTTGTTATCGGAAGAGGATGGGAAAACATACGATGGGGTTCTTGTCCTTGACGACAATTTGGAAGACATTTTCAGCCTGGCCCTCGGCGGTGGCGAACTCAAAGCCAGGGAAGAAGCCCGAGCCGTCAGCAAGGGGCTCGCAGGGGTTGCCGAAGCTGGACTGGACGATGGAGTGGTTGCGAGGGAGGAAATGCCACTCGACGATATCTCCAACATCGGCGACGACGTTGTCGGGGTTGAAAGTGAGGCTGGCACCAAGGCCGGCAACGACGGAGTGAGTGACGCCCGTCAGCTCGATGGTCTTGGTCGGTCCATTATCCTCGCAAGCGGTAACTGGGGCGGCCGAAACGACAGCGGCGGAAGCCAGGAGGGTAGCGGTAAGGGTCTTGAGAGAGAACATTGTGAAGTTTTTGTGTGTGAGGAAAGAAATTCCAAGAAAATAGACTCAAGGAGATTAAGGAAAATGAGAAAAGAAACGAGATAGGAAAGGTGAGAGACTTTCTTTTTGGTTTGTCTGTTGGTTGTGTGATGATGAGGCAGAATAAGAAGCCATTTCAGAAAGAACACTGCCAGTTATATAGCATGTCTGCGGATGTGCAATATGCACTTTTGTTTTGGTTGCTTTACAAATAAAACGACGCCAGATGTACAGCCCTACGGGATGTTCCTATTCCATAGCCGCGTCTGACAGCGCGTAGTAGGCTGTTCAATGGCTGGCCTTGCTCCTGTTGGCCGCGTTGGTGAGCAGGCCAACACAAAGTCTGCGTACTGCCACTCAAAGGCCATGCGCAGCAAGACCACCGAGCCGGAAAGGCGGGATTCCGGGGGAACGCTAATCGGCACTAATTCCTTCCATACGCTATCTTCTCACTGAAAAGAAAAATGGCGGATGGTATGATTGGTTGCTTGCCGCGCAGGAAGGCTGCTGACGGCGTCTGACAAGAGAAACGCTGCAGAATCAGGGAGCTGGTGGCGGAGCAGCTAACGCTCCGCCACCCGCAGCACAGCAAAACACAAATAGGCACCGGAATTTGGTGGAATTAAATAGCCTACCCATCCAAAATTATCATCTCAATTCATCCCAACCCAGCGGTTGCAGGATCGACGGGGCAAAAGCAACTTTGTATGATGGGTCAGCATGAAAGGATTCTTGACGTGGGTTTGAAGATTGCGGCGACCAAATCTCTGTGCGAGGTTGCTGGCAATGGTATCCTACGTGCATATATGGTTCCGCTGTCATCTAGTAATTGCATAGCCGCACCCTCGAAAGAACCCGTCCGACGTTGTATCCGTGGTTTGCAGTTTATTTATTCGATTCCTGTTGCGGTCTCTTGCTTAGCCGTCAGCAAAGCGCTGTATTCGGCGCCTGTCGGCTTTCATGAATCCCTGGGCTTTTATAGAAACAGAAGAGAATATAGAGGGTTTAACGAATGTCCAAACAGTACAGAAGTGTGGGCTGCTACATAAAAGATATATCGCGAATTTCAGGGACGCCGAGTATCAGTCTCCATACTGAACAATATCGCTACCAATACCAGTGACGGTGTGTGTCCAAGCTAGGCTGCCCAACTAAGTGTACCTCAAATGCACTGAGAAGGAGGTAAACGGGTTTGAATCGCAGGATCTTTCAAAGTTGCCAATGTACAGCCAAGGGGCACGCTAGTGCTGGTGTCTTACCAACGCTTGGCATGGAACTAATTGCATCCTGGAAATTGAAAGCGATTGCTAAGCTCTCTATTTCTAGATCGAATATCTTTGACTAAGCCTTCGGGCAGTTTGCCGCGTCTCTGTCCCGTCTGACCAGAAGCCACACGCTTAGTTCTAAGCTTGTATCGTGAAACGATGTCGTCTAGTGATGGCGGCATTGCAGTTCATTTAAATTCGCCGTGTTCAAATCATAGACTATTAATATGGGCGTAGAAACATGTGTTCTTCTCTTTTCTAGTAAAATCTTATGTTTGTATATGAAAAAAAGGTATAGAATGATAGGTTCAAGTAGGTAGAAAGGGTACATCTCATCCAGTTGCCCCCGTGTGGATAGTTAAAGTCGCCTACTCACATGAGCCCTGGGTGATCGGGCGGCCAGAGGACCACTTCAACCCGGACTTCCGAGTGTTGCAACACGCTGGCTCCCTATGCTAAAATAATGCAGAAATGTGCACCGTATGCGATAATGAGATATGCAAAGCCTACACAAAGGTGAAAAGACTATGTGATGCAGCAGCCCATCTAACACACCAGGGCCTTAATTGCAGTAACAGTCGCAATCGCCATTCGGGTTTGCCATCCACCTTCCTTGATCACCACTTTGGCACTAGAGAAATCTGTAAGCAATTGACTTGTCTACGTCTCTGTCGAAAACGACTAATGATCACTCACCCTGCCGTCGCACAGGTTGATGCAGAGTCTCCTATCATTAGCGCCGCAGTTGGATTTCCACTACGACAAAAATTTGCTAGTTAGCAAAAAAAAAAAAAAAAAAAAAAAAAAAAGAACATAGGAAAGCAGTATCAAGGTCGGCACGAACGTTAGGATCTCCAATACTGGCACACGCTTGCCCGATCATCAAGTTCGTCTTGGCGGCAGCGAGAGAAACGCACACCGCTACGAGGGAAATAAGTGAATAGCGCATGATTGTAAAAGAAAGAGAGTTCTTGCTAGGATGGTATAGAGAACGAGAATGAATTGTTATGGCGAAAGTAGTAGTAGTAGTAGTAGTAGTAAGTGCAGTGTTAAGAACACAAGTTATAGTGTTGGGATGTTTTTATATGTTCGCGTTGAGTTGGACTTGCTACTATCGAGTTTAGTTGACAAATGTTGTTGGCTCGAGTCAGAAAGTAATAAAAGTGGTACAACACGAAACTAATCATGGATTTTAATTAACAGTATGATGCAGAGAGACTTTTGTCAAAGGCTAATTATTAATAATCAAGTCTTCGCGAAATGGTCGAGTTGGGGCTTGGAAAGTCTAAACGATCAGGTGCAGTGCAATACGTAAAATAACTCAAACTGGGATCCATAATTTTTATACATGCAACTTGCCAAGTAGCTGACCTCGCCTTATTAAAGCAAATAAGGTTTTGAGGCTTTCAAGAGTTGAGTCGCACCAATATAGTTTCATTTAAACAACTCTTAGCACTTTCAACTTAAGTTCAAAGAAGGCGGTCTGATCAGCAAACACGAGACAACAATTTGTTACGACCCGTTGGACATGGTCGCCAACACGACCCCGCCTGGATCCCGGCGGCTAACGCAGGGCATATGTAACCCAGCCGACAGGTGTAACCAGGGATCCTCGGAACGGAAGAACTATGGACAAGTCACGTGGCCTCGGGGATAACGCGGGGTAGGGACAACCCGGGCTGGATATGTTGGATATGTCAGATATCCAACCGATCCCCGGATATGTTGGATATGTCAAATATCCAACCGATCCCCGGATATGTTGGATATGTCAAATATCCAACATAGCCAAGATAAGGAGGACCGTTCAGGACTTGTATATAGGATGGACTCGAGCCGGGCTCGAGGACAGACTTCCATAGCTCTTCAGCAATCAACTTTGTGATTACCCTAACCGGTACTTTCAGCTATACCTAAGTGACGACTACTCTACGACTCTTGTTGAGGCCTTGACTGATCACCAAGACCTTTGAAGATCTACGATCTATTCGACCAGGACCACGGAACGACTGTTACTACTCTCAATCCCTGGCTTACTGTTAACACAAACCCACTGTCAGTTAGCTGGCCGTAACACAATTATAGCCACTGACGAGCTGGCAGAAAAAACGAATGTAGTAATACTGTTGCATTAACAATAATGATGTTAACTCGAGAAAGGTACAATTGCGGATAAATATTTGTGCCATCCCAATTGTACATAGGTAATTCTCATGATGACCCTCGCATTCCCCAGGTACCCAGCACATGATACCGGCGCGCGACACCGTTGAAGAGCCTTGGTCAATTCTAGGCAATTAAAGTCACATGAAGCTCGCATTTTGATAGTCGTCTAACGCCGTAGTGTCTAGCGAATACATATTTCTCTCTAATGTATCGAATTTGTTCGCAGACTACCTGAAAATCTTCGCACAGAATGTCGCAGTTTCTGCTTCGCAGTTGACAATCGTAACAACTGACTCACACTGTACAAAAGCCTGATCGGCTATAGATATTTCAAGTTTATTAATCGGTTCAGTCCCACTTCTGGAGTCTCAGGGAGCCTGATTGACGCTATTCTCAACTTCCAAGTAGTGCAAGGACGGGAAACATACAACGCAAGGTAAATGAGCCATCAAATGTAGAGTAACTGCGACAAAAATAGTACCCGTAATTTGCTGTAGGATGGTAAGAAAGAATGGCTGGATTTGAAAAGAGGGTATGGCCAGGAACGCGCATAAGTCCATTTACGGTATGCATTTGAGAGGGATTACAGAAGCACTTCTGGTTCGGTATGTTCAGTGAGTGTTGATTTTATCGTCACAGCTTCTTACTAGAAATTTTCTCTTTTCCTTCTTTTCACTCTTCCCATCATCTGACCCTGATCTGCGTTAACACAGGTATTAAGCACTGACTTACTGGCTAGGCGCACGTCAATACACTCTACGGTCACTATCCACTACTCAATAAGCTTAATGATAATTTCGGGAATAAGGTACTCCAGACCACCTAAATGTGGAAAAAATGACTAATTGAGCTGGAACCCCTCTGGGCATCTCGTCTGACAACGTTTTCGACAACCATCATGAGGTGTTTACAGCTGCGACTTCAAACAAGCATTGCCATCATTCTCGCGTATCTCAAGGGACGAAGAGTTCAAGAAGCAGTCCGGTCATAAAATTCCGGAATCTATCGCACTTGAAGATGCAAAACTGCCGTCTCCGCCCGGCTAAGGTTGGTTCTTTCATGGTGGCAGGCCGGACGCAGCTACATCTTGAGTCCCACTTTAGTTGACAATATGAGTCAGCAAAGCAAAGGTACCATAAATGCTAAATGCATTCAAGCTGCTAGGAATACGCATATACGAAAGCACGTCGAAGTAGACCACGGTATTTCCCCAGAATTTGGCTCTACGCGTCGCTGGGACGTATGCCAAGCACCCTGGTTCGTACATTGTGACCCCACGACCACCGATCGCCATTCTGTGGGATGTCTAGCGCTAGATGTACTCAAGCTCGTAAAACATCCTGGTAGCACAATTTATTGAGAAAGCTTGCGTAAGCTTGTTGACGGGTAATTTTTATTGATGGCGTTGTTTTGGCACTAGCAAAAAAAAGGGCCTGACTCGTCTGAGCAAGTCACGAACTTGCAGCCACAGCCTTTTCTCGCATACGCGTATGGATCAAGCATGATTTGCATGTTGGTGAGCTACATCGGACATATCCACTCAGCGGAGTAGCGTGGGACAGAAAGGTTGACCAATCACAAGCCGTGCTATCCACGTATACATCCATATGGGGAAGCTCAAGGGCTAAATAGCCCCCAAAGCTTCGCCCTTTGCTTGGGAAAGACCGCGTATCGGTTAAGGCGACAATGCCTCCGGGCGAGGAACCCGGCATCGTAGACGGAGCCAATTTCATTCCAGTCTTCAAGATTTCGCTATAAAGATGGCTTTGTTCGAGCCCTTGTGCCTTGGCGCGATTTCGACTGTTACTCGAACGGAGAAGAGCATTACCAATTGTCGACTGACATAGACACCGAACAGAGTCGCTGCACAAAACACTACAGCAGTATCGACCTCAGCGTAATACCTATCCAGAATGCCGGAACTCCAGTCGCACAACGGGTACTACCTGTGGCACTATGTGCCAAATCTGGTGGCTGCTATCATATTTGAAGTTCTATTCGTCCTGGTCACGTTTTACCACGCGTGGATGATTGCGAGGACCAAGACATGGTTCTGCATCGTGTTCGCTATCGGCGGTGTCCGTAAGTTTGAGCTACTATTCAACAATGCTGCACCTTTCTTTCTACAGCACCGCTGATGTTGTGTAATTCGCAGTTGAAATCATCGGATACGCAGGCAGGGCCATTGCACGGGAACGCACCGGCGAGATTGGCCCCTATGTCATGCAGAGCGTGACCATCCTTGTCGCGCCTGCCCTCTTTGCGGCCTCGGTTTATATGACACTGGGAAGGATTATTCGCAGCGTTCATGGCGAGTCACTCTCGGTCATTCGAGTCAACTGGCTCACGCGTATCTTCGTCACCGGCGACTGCTTTTCGTTCCTCGTCCAGGCGAGCGGCGCCGGGCTTATGGTTAAGGATGGCAACCAGAAAATGGGACAGAACCTCATTGTAGCAGGTCTCGTTATCCAGATTGTGCTGTTTGGCATTTTCTGGCTGACGTCTATTATCTTCCACATTCGACTGGCCAAGTACCCAACAGAGGCCTCGATCAACGGAGGTTCGCCATGGAAGTCTGGCTTGTGGATGCTTTACATCGTTAGTTGCTTTATCATGGTGCGGTCCATCTTCCGCCTTATCGAGTACATTCTAGGCGGCGACGGATACCCGCTGCAGAACGAGTGGACACTCTACGTCTTCGATGCGACACTCATGTTTTTCGTCATGGTTGCATACGCATGGCGTTTCCCCAGCGCTTTCCAGATCCGAAAGAACGGCCACCCGTCGACGTCGGATGTCGAGGGCTTCGATATGACGGAGCAGGAAACCCAGCAGCGCTCGATGCGGAAGTCGATGCGATGAAGTAACGACGTGTTGATGATCTGGCAGGCAGACAGAAGACGAGAGGAGTGTACTGGTTTGGAGTTATTGTAATATTTTGATTGACCATGACCAGACAGACTGCTTCATGCGTGGAGAAACTGGGTTGCGATGAAATGGACAATTAGTAGGACTGCCGAAATAGGCACAGCACGGGGAAACCGCGGTGTAATCGGCTTCTCCGCGGCATTCATTGGTCCGCAAGCAAGGTCGAGGAATTTTAGCAAGGCAAGGAAGGCACTTTGGAATTGAAAGGACTTGCCAATTAAGGCGTTGATAAGTGCAGGACGCGTGGACACAGGGCGCAGTCGGGTCAGTCCAGGGGCCATCTTCGGTGCATTAAGCCCCAAAGTGGTCCCTGGAACACCTAACAAACCCCTTTAACAAGTCCTCGTTGGGGTTGTTGAGGACGCTGCGACAGGGTTTCTGTACCTTAACGGCACCTGCCGAACCGTGCTTGGCAGTCATGTCCCACCACCTGTGACGATAGGCGGATACACTAAGCATAATTATTCTCTCCCCCACCAAAAAAAGGCTGAAGGTCCATTTCCTCGCTTTCGCATCCTGAGAAGTAGCCTCCGTGTTTTCACCTTATATGAGCCGCCTCGTCACCGCATCGCACACCCTCCTCTTGCCAACCGGTGCCTCCAATGGCTTGTACCTCGCCTTCTACTATCCAGCAACCGGTTCAGTGATCTCCTAGTCGACGCGAAGTAGCAGGATGGCGCCCCAAACGCGTAACCATCCCCCCACCCCGGCAAACTCGACGGCCAACGACGACGAGGTTGGCACCCCAGCATCCGGAGCTGGTGACGTCAAACTTCGCCGGGCGCATAGGAAATCTCGCAACGGTTGTAAGGAATGCAAGAGACGCCACGTCAAGTGTGACGAGACACGCCCGACATGCGTCAACTGTGCGACGGCGGAGCGGCACTGCTCTTACCTCGATTCCCTCCCGGCCTCGGCCCGGGCAGCCGTTCCGGCCAAGAGAGTTCTCGTCACCGATGGTCACACCCCGGCCAGCTCCGTCACCCAAGCCGCCATGGGTGCCAACCCGGTCTCCGCGTCGTCACCGTCTGTCACCACCGTCGTCAACGACTTCATCATGCGCACTGGCGAGACCAGCGAGGTCGCAAGCCCCGCTAATGGCCAGTTCTTTACCATGGAACATTTGCGACTCTTCCGCCATTTTGCGACTCACATGCCAAGCTTTGCGGGTCTCGATGAGTTCTTGAAACCTATCATAGACATGACCATAGATGTGGCTTTGAGCGCCCCTTACCTAATGGACGTCATGCTGGCCAACGCAGCGATGCACCTGGCCGAGACAAACCCTTCCCGCGCAGACTACTACCGTCTCCAGGCTACTCAGCTGCAGACACGCGGCCTGATGCTGTTCAACGAAGCTAAAGAAGAGATCTCGGAGGAGACATGCATTCCCATGTTCCTCTTCGCCGCCACCGTTGGCAACCAGACCTTGTGCGAGACTCTTCGCACTAACCGCGACGATTTCAATGCATTCCTCGACCAATTTGCCTGGTATCTTAGCCTGCACCGCGGCGTGTGTACTGTCACTGGCAGCTCATGGCATATAATTCGTCAGTCTGGCGCCAAAGAGTTTCTAGATTTTCTGGATGCCAGGCATCCTCAAGTGGAAGTCCCCGAAATCGGCCTTCTCTACCGTATGCTGGATCAGGCCGATCTTGGCCCGGCCTCGCTCGAGGCTTGCCGCGCAGCTGCCGATATTCTTGCTCATGCCTATGCTATCTACCGCAGCATCTCCGAAAGGAGTAGGCACCAATCCTCCTCTGTCATGGCTTTCGGATCTCGCATCACGACGGGCTTCATCGACGTGCTTAAACAGCGCCGCCCAGAGGCCCTGGTCATTCTCGCCTACTATGCTGTGCTGCTCCACTGGTGCCGAGAGTACTGGGTGTTTGGCGACGCAGGCCAGTTCATGATCCGGTCCATCTCGGCGCATCTTGGCGACTACTGGTCGGAATGGCTCGCATTCCCTAACTCTGTGCTCGAGGACCAGCAGCAGCAGCAGCATGCAGGCTGAAAGGAAAACAATAAGACCTCCTGCGTAATTGGAAAGCAAATGGTTTTAAAGAGCGCAGCGGCTCAGCTCTGATTTGCTAGCGTGTCTGGATGAACGCTGGCCGAACTGTGCGGCGGGTCTCATCTCATCTTCGGGCTTTGCGCCGCCGTGCTAGAACCACCAAAGTCCGAAACATCCACCACCGACAACCACTCACAGCGATCGGTTGCGAACTCCCACAAATTTTGCTCTCGATGTCTTGCCCAAGCCGGTTATTCCGGTATTGGTGAGGAGAGAGACATCTCCCCAAGGCCACACACACAGTTTGACAGCCTTTTGGGAAGGACGACAGGCGTCGACAAGACGCACGGCTTGCGACTTGACGTATTGGCTTCGTCTCAGTATGCCAAACGCTCGGGAGTCGGTGCTCAACCACCACCTCATACGCACCCCGCCTGCATTCTTTCTTTTTCCCCCCTCAAACCCAACGCCGCCATGGTCGCCGGACATCACATGGGGAGTCTATCAAAAAGCTGCGCCTCCCGTCAACGAACCGTGGGCAGGGGGGCGAAGCTGGTCTTTCTGATGAATCCCACTCTTTTCGCCGCTTTCTTGTTTTAATAGAAACAAACCCACAAACAACGCAGCTTTCTTCAAGCTGGCGCAGCCATTTCCAACAATCCCATTTGGGCCGACAATGTCGTTGCCTTTCCCAACCAACCGGTTCGGACCCAGCTTCACGCTGGATCCGACACCCAGCCCGACGGCAGAGGCAACCCGCACCGCGGAAACGACAGTATTCCCCACAGGCGAAAGTAGCAACCCGTCGTTCCCGAACAACATCCTCCAGCAGTCCGGACTCACACCGGGGCAAGTCATCGGCATCACAGTGGGCGCTACCGCGGGACTCGTCTTCTTTATCGTCGCTTTGGTCTGGGTGTGGAACTGGAGGAGAGAGAGGAAGCTGGCGAAACAGAGTCTAGCACTCGCGACAGTGTCAGAAGGGGATCCGGAGAAGCCAGACGGTGTGATGATAGCACAACACACCGGCGAGACAGTGGAGCTACCTGCGCCGAGAGGGCTCCACGAGATGCCGGAGACGCAGCAAGGTCCGGCCATCGAACTACCGGCACCGGTTGAACGATCTGAGTTGCCAGGATGACGATGATGATGATGATGGGGGGAGGTGGAGCAGGTGAAACTGAAGGGGGGAGTCAAGCACGAACAGGGGCGGAGAAACTTTCGGATGAGGCCTGACGAGATTTAGAATGAGAACCACGATACCCTCGCTAAGCATTACTTTCGCTTTAGCATCTTCATACGACGACAAGAGTCGGGCTCTGCGAGGACGGCTCTTGCGGCGGGAGACACTGTTGCCCAAGGGCGGTTAATATCGGATTATTTAGTAAAGGGTCGCTGGGATGCGGCCTCATATGTACGGCATTGCATACATCAAAAGCGTATAAAACGCTTAGATTCGTAAATAGAGCAAAGACAACTCGAACATTTCACCATCATTGTTCACTACCCGTGGTGTATGATGCCACCCGTCAAGAATGCCACATCACGGAGCAAAAGGACCCAGCAGATCTGCCAGGGCCCAGGATCAAAATGCGCAATTGAGCGCTTGCTTTACAATAACTGTATACACGGGCTGGAGACGCAAGGTTTTGCGTCTTTGAACCCACTCGACAGGGGCTACTGCCAGTCCTCGAAACCACCCTTTAAACTCCCATTTGCCATGTAAAGTACACACTCAAAGAGCCCGTCACCGTGCCCGTGCAGACAAGTGGACAGACCATGCATCACGTCATGCCACACTTCCTCGTCTGCCTCATGCTCTTGACAGCTTATAGACCTACTAAGCCTGATCCTCACCGTAAGTCGACGGAGCTATGCTAAGGTCCACGTCAAGCTCCTTGAGGAAGAGATCATCAAGAGTGCTACCATCACGGGCATAGACCCAGGCACCGGCCGCGGTGCCTTCTTTCTCGTTCTGTGAGTCGCCAACAATGACCCAGTCGTAGCGCTTAGGGCCTGAGATGGGCGACGAAAGCCAAATTTGCTTGTTGGGAGGCTGCTTGTTGATCACGTAGGTGCCTGCGTCTGGGAAAGTGACAGAGAGGACGCCAGCCTGTCGTGCTCAAGTTAGTATTTGAATCTTTCGAATCTTGTTTGAAAGTGTAAAGAGACGAACGAGCCTAGGCCACAGACCTGGCTGGCCTGAATCGTCTGGAAATGAATCGTCAAAGTTTAACTGAGGGAAAGCGACTTACGGCATACTCTACATCAACGCCTTCGCGCGCATCCTGAAGCTCCTCGAGCTTGGTGACGACGGTCTCCAGGTAGGCATCGGCGAGGTCGTGATACTCGGAATCGGAGAGCTCGGCGACGCTCGTCTTGACATTGTCACTGGGGGTTTGCTTGACTTGGGGGTTGTCGGTGTCAGGCATAATGCCCCGGTTGGCAACAGCAGAAGTAGTGAAGAGTTTGCGAGCAGCGATGAAGCTGGCGGGACCTGCGATGGATGCCGACTTGGAGGCAGTCGAAGTAAGCAGGGCAGAGGACCGGCGCGAGAGAATGGTCTGTGATGATGAAGAGCAGAGGCTGCGGGTGGCCGCCCGAGAGAGCTTGGCAAGACTACTACGGGCCATTTTGCAAAGATTTGACTGATTGATAGACAGAAGTTGATAGATCCAGCCTCGGGGTGACGAATTGGGAGTGTTGTGCGGTTGAGAGGGGTCGAGAAGAGGTGGTGTTTGCAAGTCTCGAAGCCGCTTCTCAGATAGGTAAATGAGGAAACTGCTGGGTAGCTTTGCCGTGCCTTCCCCACGTCACTGCAGCTTCCAGGTGTAGCTTCGGTTCCGCAATTGAAGGAAAGGCATGAGCTTGGGGCATAAAGTGGACAGTGCGTCAAGGATTACATCAGAAAGTCATGTGCCAGGCACAGCGTTGCACCTCAGGTTTTGGGCGGCAGTTTGGCGGGCTACAGGGGGTTGAGGCGGCTGGTAACGGTTCCGCCTAACAACCCCACCAAATACAGTCAAGCTGTCTTTCAGCACACTTCGCGAGGCGCACTCGTAGTTGTCGACCACATCTGCAGAGGCGGGATGCGCAGTTGACTCAGGATACAATGATCAACGCTTTTCTGGTCTTCAACGGCCAGGGCCAGCCTCGGCTGACCAAGTTCTACACGCAGCTGGTATGAGCCATCTCCAGAGCAGAGGTGCTGTCGCAGTAGGCACGACAACTAATGCGTTATCGCAGGAAACGAGCATGCAACAACGCCTGATTTCCGAGATCTTCACCCTCGTCTCGAACCGCCCGGCAGGATCCTGTAACTTCCTTCCGCTCCCGCCCTTGCTCGCCGCCTCGGGCACTTCCCATTCGTCCTCCGAAGAGCAGAACGACGTCCCCTCCCTCGTCACATACCGCAATTATGCGACGCTCTACTTCATCGTCATCTCTACATCTACCGAGTCACCTCTCGCGCTTATTGATTTGATCCAAGTCTATGTTGAGGCTCTCGACAAGCTATTCGAGAATGTGTGCGAGCTGGACCTTATTTTCAACTTTGAGACATTACACGCCACGTTGGGTGAAATGATTGTAGGAGGAGTGGTTATAGAAACAAATCTGGACCGTATTGTGTCGGGTGTAAGGGCGCAAGGAACAGTAGCAAAACGGCCAGTGAACGAAGGCCGGAGTGCGGGTATTGGTGGTGGTTTGGGTATGGGAGGCAATTTTGTCTGGCATGGAAGGTAGAAAGAACGGTCTGTTTGAGAGGAATAGCATTATTGTTTGTTTCGGAGAATCTTGTTGTACATAAGCTCTTGGGCCGGGTATTCAAAACGCCATAAACTCCTTCCAATGCATGCGCCGGTGTGCTGGGCTTATTTCGGCGATTCGGAAGAGGACGGCTCAGGCGCGTCCTTGCGCCGTTCGTATCGTTTTTCAGAATCGATGACACCGAACAGGTTGCGGAAGTGCTTCCGGATCTGGTGGAGGTTAGAGTTGCTTGATCAGGAGAAAAAATTGGGAAGGAAATCGCACCTCTTCGGAAGGACGGTATTGTCTGCCGAAGAATTCGAACTCTGAGAAGAAGAACGCCCAGCCAAGGAAACCTGCTGTTTGTCAGAAGCGTAATCTATACAACACTCCTAAGCCTATACCAACCAGCAACAGTGGCAAGTTGAATCAATTTGATCGCCTTATCCCATCTCGGTCGCGCGTATACTAATGCCAAGCGTCGCTTGTACTTTTTCTCGAATCGGAGCTGCGCCTGGGGGGAGAGGCTTGTGAAATCGGGGGGCCAGACTTTTTTCGTTCGGTACGGGTTGCTAAACACGTCAAACCGACGACCGGCTGTCTCGGCTGCGCGCCTAATGATCGTTGGGAGCATTGTAGCTGCTTTGTGAGGGCATTCGTGGTCGACTTTCGCCCCAAGAGCTGGCAATGGCACTCAAAAAGACTTGAACTGCGGACGATGCGGCGTCTGGGTCTCCAACCGCGGAAGCTGTTGGAGGCACTATCAGCCACAAACGCCACATTTCTGAGAAACCCCAGCCACATGGTCTTCCTTCTGGCAAAAAAAAGGTACGTACCGCTGGAGGGGCGGTTGAAACAGACACAGTGCTCCAACAGTGACTGGTCAGTGACCAGTGGCCCGATAGTACCCCGCCATTCCCGCACCAGCGACACCCCCAAAGTCATCGCGGGGCACACTCAGCCTCGAAAAAAACAGCGGAGCTGCGACGAAATCTGCTCCTTCGTGCTGGTTGTGACTCAAGACTCGCGACCGAATCCCGAACGAGAAGAGCACGCCTTATCGAGAGTGACTCTCTCAGCCTTATCAAAAGAGTCACACTCGAACACATAAACCCATTGGATCGACCGGGTTTGTCCCTGTGCCTCTCGGTCATCGACAATTCCTTGTCTTCTCGGACGTCGAAACAAATCCATACCGCAACCATGGCGAATGAAGCCGCCAAGGCCCTCGAGGCCCTCCAAGTCTCCAAGACCAAGGAGCTCAAGGGAACTGAGAAGCGTGACTTTTTGATCTCCCTTGAGAAGAAGTACCAGCAGAAGTGGTCTGAGGAGAAGATCTTCGAGGTCGATGCCCCCTCCATCCAGGAGGTGCCCCTCCACTCAATTTCCGCCGAGGAGCTGCGCCAGCAGCAGCCCAAGTGGTACGACGCAATAGAATATCTTGAATGAGTGAAGCAGCTTGTTGACGTGGATATAGGATGGGATGCATGGCCTTCCCCTACATGAACGGTCGTCTGCACGCCGGTCACTTGTTCTCTGTGTCCAAGGTCGAGTTCGGTGCTGGTGTAAGAGATATCTTTCTCTCCGATAAATTGCAATCAGAAGGCTAATCATATGGTCTAGGTCGCCCGAATGCAAGGAAAGCGCACCCTTTTCCCTATGGGCTGGCACGCGACTGGTATGCCTATCAAGGCTGTCGCCGATAAGCTGAAGAACGAGGTTCAGATGTTTGGCCGTGACTTTGAGGGTTACCAAGAGGAGGAGGTTCTTGTTGACGACAAGCCCGCCGACGCTAAGGAGGCCCGCGAGGATATTACCAAGTTCACGACCAAGAAGAGCAAGGCGGCCGCCAAGACCGTCAAGGCGAAGTACCAGGTGCGTTGTAGACAGTACCATGTTATGTTATTCGTGCTGACACGCCAAAGTTCCAAATCATGGAGTCCATGGGCATCCCGAGACAAGAGATTCACCTCTTTGCCGATGCATCCTACTGGTTGACCTTCTTCCCTCCCCTCGCCCAAGAGGATCTTACTAGCCTGGGTTTCAGAATAGGTGAGCCCTGGATTCTACAGTGACTCTGTGCATGTACTAATCAACGTGTGAAGATTGGAGAAGATCTTTCATTACCACGGACGCCAACCCCTACTTTGACGCTTTCGTGCGCTGGCAGATGAACCGTCTTAAGGAGCTGAACAAGATCAAGTTTGGCAAGAGATACACTATTTACTCTATCAAGGATGGCCAGCCTTGCATGGACCATGACCGAGCCGAGGGTGAAGGTAAATTGACGTGCCTGCCGTTTTTCTGATTCTTTGACTAACGTCGACTGTAGGTGTCGGTCCCCAGGAGTACACTGGCCTCAAGATGAAGGTCCTCGAGTGGGCTCCCAAGGCCGAGGAGGCTCTCAATGCCAAGCTTCCCGCTGATGCCAACGTCTTCCTCATCCCCGCTACTCTGCGCCCTGAGACTATGTACGGCCAGAACGCCGTCTTCGTCTCTCCCAAGATTACCTATGGTGTCTTCAAGGCCTCTGAGAAGGACTACTACATTATGACTGTCCGCGCCGCTCGCAACATGGCTTACCAGGGTCTTTTTCTCCAGGAGGGCGTCGTTGACCAAGCCGCCGATATCGACGGATCCGCTCTTATTGGTACCCGCGTCCACGCCCCCTTCTCCGTTCACGAGGCTGGTGTTCGCGTTCTCCCCATGGAGTCTATCCTGCCCACCAAGGGTACCGGTGTCGTCACTTCCGTCCCCTCAGACAGTCCCGCCGATTGGGTCATGACCATGGACCTCCGCAAGAAGGCCGCCTACTATGGCATCGAGCAGGAGTGGGCTGAGCTTGAGATTATTCCCATCATCGAGACTCCTTCCGGTGATATGATTGCCAAGACCCTGGTCGAGCAGCTCAAGATCGCCTCCCCCAAGGACACTGTCCAGCTTGACAAGGCCAAGGAGACTGCATACTCTGAGGGTTACTACAAGGGTAAGATGAAGGTTGGCGAGTTCAAGGGCGAGTCTGTCGAGGCTGCCAAGCCCAAGGTCCGCCAGTCCCTCATCGACCAGGGTCTTGCCTTCGCCTACTCCGAACCTGAGCGCAAGGTCGTCAGTCGATCTGCTGACGACTGTATCGTTGCCCTCTTGGACCAGTGGTACCTGGACTACGGTGAGGAGTCGTGGAAGAAGACTGCTCTCGACTGGGTTGAGAACACTGACGGCAAGGGTCTCAACACCTTCAGCCACGAGACCAAGAACGCCTTCCAAGGTGTTCTGAACTGGCTCAACCAGTGGGCTTGCGCGAGATCGTACGGTCTCGGATCCAAGCTTCCTTGGGACCCTCAGTTCCTCGTTGAGTCTCTTTCAGACAGTACCATTTACATGGCATACTACACCATCGTTCCTTACCTCCACAAGGATATCTTCGGCAGAGAGAAGGGCACTGCCAACATTGCCCCTGAGCAGATGATGGACGAAGTCTTTGACTACGTCTTCTGCCGTCGTGAGCTTGACGAGCAGCTCATCGCCAAGTCCAACATCTCCAAGGAGACTCTCGAGAGCATGCGCCGCTCTTTCGAGTACTTCTATCCCCTTGACCTCCGCAGCTCCGGTAAGGATCTGATTGGCAACCACTTGACCTTCTTCATCTACATCCATCTGGCCATGTTCACCCCCGAGTACTGGCCCAGAGGTATCCGTACCAACGGCCACTTGATGCTGAACGGTGAGAAGATGAGCAAGTCTACCGGTAACTTCCTTACCATGCAGGATCTCGCCCGCAAGTTCGGTGCCGATGCTGCTCGTATCGGTCTGGCCGACGCTGGTGACACCAACGGTGACAGCAACTTCGAGGAGGACGTCGCCAACCAGGCTATTCTGCGTCTCCACACCTTGAGAGAGTGGTGCGATGATGTCGTCAAGAACAAGAGCGAGCTCCGCACGGGCGAGTTGAACTTCTTCGACAAGATCTTCGACAATGAGATGAACGTTATCGCCAAGGAGGCCATCCAACAATACAGTAAGTATCCCTGTTTTTATGGCCTAGTTAAGCCCGCTAACTTGAAGCAGCCGATACCTCCTACAAGCTGGCCCTTAAGGCTGGTTTCTACGAGTAAGTTTCTACATGTGCTACTTTTTATAAAAACGCAACGCAAGCTAATCTATGTCGCAGCTTCAACAACGCTCTTTCCTTCTACCGCGAGAGCAGCGCGTCGGTCAAGATGCACCACGACCTGGTCCTCCGCTTCATCGAGCTCCAGTGTCTCCTCCTCGCCGTTGTCGCACCTCACTGGGCTGAATCTGTGTGGATCGAGATCCTCGGCAAGCCCACGTCGATCCAGCAGGCGACCTTCCCCGAGATCCCCGAGACCGACGCCGGCCTCACGGCGGCAAGGAAGTACATCTCGGTGACGGCTTCCAACGTCAACTCGGCCGAATCGCTCCAGCTGAAGAAAAAGGCCAAGGGCAAGGAGACGTCTTTCGACCCCAAGAAGCCCAAGAAGCTCACCATCTTCATGAGCGAGAAGTTCCCGCAGTGGCAGCAGGCCTACATTGACCTCCTCAAGGAGATGTGGAACGCCGAGACCAACTCGGTTGACGACAAGGCACTCAACGGCAAGATTGCCAAGATGGGCGAGATGAAGAAGGCCATGCCCTTCGTGCAGGGTCTCAAGAGACGTCTTCAGGCAGGTGAGCCGGCGAGCGCCGTTCTCGAGCGCAAGCTCGCGTTCGATGAGAAGGCGGTGCTCGTAGACATGATTGACGGCCTCAAGCGTAGTGCCAACCTCGTCGAGGTGACAATCCTGGCGGTGGAGGAGGGCGGCAAGAAGGCGACGGATCTGGTGACCGGGGCCGTGGTGGAGAACCTGGCGCCCAATGCCGAAGGCGCGGTTCCAGGTGCGCCGAACTTCTTGTTCGCCAACGTGGAGTCATCGTGAGAGGCTAGACGGCATGGCGCATAGCCCTACACAGTGATGCTACATGCTATGATGGCAAAAGGGAAAAAAAATAAAAATAAAACGAGACAAGAGAAGAGTTAGATATCGATTCCCATGTGATTGTCGTTGAACATGACCCATTTTAGACGCGGCGCGTTGCTTGTGAAGATGTGAGACTCGGACATGTGGTTATAGTGGCATGTCCTAGTGCCGGACTTGGCATAGAATTTCTGTGCTTCTTTGGGGATCCGGAAAGGATCTCGTTCGTTACCGTTTCGGACTCATTCTTTGCTCTTGCTTCATCGTCTTGTTCACAGATTACAGCTCTGAGCGAGAGACATCACAAAAATCCTTAAATCTAAGCTCTATTACGGCCACCGTGTTTGCCAATCCTGTTCGGTTCGTTACCCAAAAGAGAGGAAGCACTCAAGCAAGGCAAGGTAGAAAGATGGGACTCTACAGAGTCCGCGGATGGGGCCATCGATGAAAGGGTTCGGGGACAGCCGCTCGGGCAGTTCCATTGCATTGCGGCCTGAGAGCAAGGCGTCTTCCTCTGGGTGAAATCAGGGAACAGATGCAGTGGTTATGTGGGGATATTCAGCATCTGCACACTGGCCTGTCAATAGACTACTATGACAGCACACATGTCGGCAGTGAGGTAGTCCAAGGCGGGCTGCGAAGGTACCGGCGAACAAGATGATTCGTGGAAAATGAGAATTGGTGTGGCTTCGAGTATCGGCGACCGTTGCACAGGAAATGTTAGGAAGGTGGCTGGTGGTCTGTTTCTGTGTCCTCATTGGCTGAGTTTTCAGTAGAGAAGTGGCTGGGGGATGCAGTGACGGAGCTGCCAAACAACCCAAAAGCCATACAACTGCAACCTGGAAAAAACAAACTAGGAAAAAAAAAAAAAAAAAACGAGGAAATCGACTGGATGAGAGAGGGGGAAAACTTGGCCGGGACCCCTGCGCAACCGGCTCTAGAACCCCCTTGTCCCTGCCTCCCTCTTTTCCCGCTCGGGTTCATCCAGTACGGATAGTCAAGCTTGAATTTGGAGGCCGTCTACCGAATTGGCTTCAATTCTGTGCCTTTAGACCTTCTCTCCCCCCCTGGCCTGTACTACGTATGATGTGATTTTGGGTGTGATAGAGGCCTTCGACTGCCATGCCATGGGCCATCCAATCCAGGCACAAGGGGAGAGCCGATGCAGCCGCCTTTTCTTTCTTCCAGCATCTTCTCGACCACTGCGCTTTTTTTTTTCTTCTGTTTATCCTGGCCGCTTTGCTGGAGGCCATGGACAGTGTGGTCTGTCGTCAGGGTATGACGCAACAGAGCACTACATCGGGTATCGCCAGCTTGGTATTCTGTACTCTACAGGCGGCCTGCCTAGATTGGTTGCTCCTCTGTGCGATCATCGAATTTTAGCGACCTCGAGAAAGAAATCAAGCAGCGGCGTCTACCCTTTCCCTTGCCCTCCGTCATTCCCCCGCGCCGAAATGACGAGATGGTTTCTTGTGCGAGCGCGCGAGTTTGCAGGTTTGCGGGTTTGCGGTAATTCGGCAGCCATATGCCGTTTGGCAGGCGTCACATCTTTCTTGGAGGCTTAGGAGGGGGTAAACAAAGTTGTGCCTCGCATCGCGATTGAGGGTAGATCTCGGTTCTAGTAGACTCGGCAAGCTGGTCACAGATGGTGTTGTTCATCAGAATTCTGTCACCCGAATTAAAAATCTGATTTGCGGCGAGGAGCTGCCAATGGGATGAGATGGCAGCAACATGAAACGCCCCAGAAGAATAATAATTCTGGTGGTGGGGGAAACGCGGCTGTGTCCATCACTTTGTTTTCTTTTCTTCTGTGCTCCGTCTCCTGTGGTTTCGCAACTGTGCTTTTGCTGTTGTAGATAGAGCTGCGGAGCGACGCTGGAGCTGCAAGTGAAGCCATCCCCAGCCATCCAGAAATGCCCAATGGTTGCAACCCATCACAACCCACCACGGTACACCCCCATCCCAGCCTTCTCTTGTCTTCTCTGCACCTCTGTACGTGTGAGTTTTTCTTTCACCGTCAAAAAGTAACCCACTGGGTCGTCCAGCTAGTGGCCCCGGCCAGAAGAACAGCGACCCTGTTTTTGTTCTTCTCGGCTCTTCCTACCCCTGTCCACGGCCAGGCCAGAACTACACTAGAGGCCGGGAGGGCATCACCAAGGCCTCCCACTTTCTGCATCTAAGTCGACAGACCGTTGGGAAAAACGACGTACACTATCCAAGGGTTGCTTTTCATCACCCAGTGAAGTTCACCCACACACAACAAGCCAGTCCTCATGCCCTGCTTCGCCGGGCCCTGCATGCAGATACCCACCTCATCATTACACCCTGGCAAACGCAACCCTCCCAGCCCAACCTTTCGCTTTCTCACTCACCTTCCTCTCTTCCATCCCCTGGCGCGCCAACCCTGGCTGCTGGCTGCCCCTCGTCGAGATGATGTCGTGCAAAATCGCCATTCTTGGCACCTCTGCTGCCACCGAATCACACAATGTACAGCGTACGTAGTCGTACCGTCTAGTCGATGTTTTGGCTCGTCACACCCAAGCCTTACTCCTCCATCTGGCAGTGTATATATCTCGCTATCCATTTCTCCCAGAATCCCAATCTTCTCTCTTCTGTGTCTCATCCCACAACCCATCCGCCTCACTTACAACAAAAAACCAAAGAGCCTCAGCTTCAGAGCTAAACCAGTCGCTTCCTCTTTCATCGACCATAAAAATCCAACATAGAAGCTCTCCCGCTTTTTTAATATCACCCACATACCAAAAAGCCAAAATGCGTTCTTTCGCTGTCCTCTCCGCTGCCGGCCTCGCTGCCGCCCAGGTCACCTCCATCATCATCACCAACGGCATCACCACCACCATCACCCTCCCCGTCTTCCCTGAGCCGACGCCCACCGCCACCGTCACCGCCACCGTCCCCGAGACGACCGTGACCGTCTCTCCTGCCCCTGTGTCAACCGTGACCGCCTCTCCCACTCTCGAGACTCTCTTGCCGAGCACCACCGTGACCGTCTCCGTCGGCACCTCTACTGTCGAGAGCGGCGTCACCACCACCACTGTCATCAGTGTTCCTCCCGTTCCTCTTCCGACTGTCTCCGACCCCATCATCACCCTCAACCCCATTACCACCATCACCGGCCTCCCCACCCTCAACTGTGAGTAACCCCATCTCATAAAAGTCTATACACACAATGGATCAATGTCACTAACACACAATGTACAGCCACCCTCGTGACCGCCACCAGGACCTTCTACACCTCTACTCCCAACGCAACCACCTCCGGCCCCGTCGTCGTGCCCACCGCGGCCGCCGACAAGGTCTCCCTCAAGAGCTCCGCCGCCGGCCTGGTCGCCTTCGGTATCGCCAGCTTCTTCCTGTTGTAAATGGGCAAAAACGGGAGATGAGCGGAGTAACGAATCAGTCTTAATGGAAGCGAAGCGGACTTTTTCTTATTAAATCATTTCACACGCGCCACTACGGACTTTATGGAAACAATGTACGATGATGAAACTTACGGCTTGGAGAATTGGCGGCTATGGCGTTGGATTGCTCTGTCTACAGACGTCGATTAACGGTGTTTTTAATCACGTCACGGCATTAATACTGCTAATTAATAGAATACCTCTTGAATCATTATGTGTTCTTAGATTGCGCCTTCATGAAACGTGACACTAAAGTCTGATTATCTGATTTTCCCCCATAGTTGCCATTCTTTCCTAGATACCGTGAACTCCAGGTTCATCAAAAGATGAAGACGGCCATGCCAATGCCGAATGTAGTGGCAGACCTTTGTAGTTTGAGCCTCAGCTGGCGACTTGATGGTGGGAGCACTGTTTACGGCTGTTAAATAACCGCCGTCTCATGTCTTATCGACAGGTACTCCGGGTGTTCGTGCTTGTTTGGCAGGTACAACGCCCTTTAAATGGGCACAATTTAGTCCCCTACCCAAGAAAATGATGGGTCGGCGTACGGAGTGGCCCTCGTGCGCCGTTGCATCATGCCCATGTACTACCCGACAGACAAATCATCCGATGAGGACTAGATTGGAATCCCGTGGATAGAATGAAGTCGTATGTAGCGGCGTCCTCGTCGGCTCTTTGTACGAGATCGTCAGCGTTAATGCGCTCTCTGCGCGGCGTGCCCCTGGGCCCATTACGGCAGTGCCGCTTTCCGGCTGCCCGTCCCCGTAGCTTGCTCCTCTCTCCTCGATGTTACTCCGCTGCAACAGTTGTATATTGGTGACTCTTTAGGCAGCAACGGGGATCTGGGCGGAAGCCTCCTCGACAGCGGGCTCGGGGTCGTTCTCGGGGTCCTTGGGAAGGTCGTCCTGCGCAGAACTGTCAGCATGCTATCTCCGCGAACCTTGTGTTGCGCAACTGGAATTTTTTTTTTTTTTTTGAGAAGAAATTACCTTGTCGAAAATGACGCGAATCATAAGACTGCAGCTGGGGCACACGGCAATGTCCTCGTCGTCGCGCAAGTCGACAAGCGCAATTTGGAACTTGTCGCCACACGGGCACGGGTAGTGGTAGATTTGCATGTCCTCGTCAAAGGTCATGTCCTCGATCTCGATCTCATCGTAGATGGAAATGTTGTCGTCCGACATGTTTTCGGTATTTCCTGGTGTTTCGTTAAGTGGTGTTTGTAAGGTTTAATGTTCTTGATTTTGGATTTTTGTTATAGAGTCACACTGTGATCAGGTATTATGGAGTATGCTGAGGGGAACCATCTTTCGTCAAAAAAAAAAAAAAAAAAAAAGTTCTGCCCCGCGGTGTGGCTGACATCCGGAGATACACATTAGCCACAGACACCAGCCTCGGATGCAATTTGTGCTTATATAAGACTGGCCGTTCAGACGACAAATCACATGCAATCGGCATCCGATTCACATGGGAAGGGGCTTTAGCAGCATTTTCCGGGGTTCGCCAATCAGCGCACCTGCTTTTCTGGGGAAGGCCCTGTACCCAAGGTGTCCACTGCCACTCCGGGGCCGAGGGAAAGACAACGAACCAGTGCTGAACCCAGGCAAGAGCCGAGTCGTGGAGGTACCTGAAGCCGCCCAGTGCAGCACTACCAGTACGCCTCGTCCGAAGAGAGCCGTGTGACCTGCCATGTTCCTTCGGCCGCTCACAACATTCATCTCCCTTTTCACTACTGATTGAGGGCCGATTTCCTTTCTCCCCGAATTTCGAGTTGCAATTCCTACGATAAGTCGGCCGACGAACGTCAATTCGGTCCATCTACGAATGCGCTGACGGCTCCCAATCCCCCAGCTACCGGTGACGTAGCCGGTCCTGTTGTCGTCCTCCCTCTTTCATAACGCTCCACGGCCGACCGTCATTCCGAATTTCCTCTCTGGAAAGTAACACGAATCGAAACTACATCTCCATCAGTTTGCCCCCCTCTTGTGGGGGCTCGTCTCGCCCGCCGTCATGGCCGCTCAATCCAAAGTCTCCCTCATCGGCCTTCCCGGCGACCGTACAATCCGGAACCTCGTCCTCCAGCTCACCCAGCTTTACCTCGCGAATCGAACGCGCATCTCTCGCGCCGTATGGATAACTCTTTTTGTAGCCCTCGCCAACCGTATCCGTCATGCCATCTCAGAACAAAAGGCCGCTTCAGTGAGGGAGGCTGCTGCCCGCGAGTCGCGCGCCACGCTGGCCGCCGTGTCCGATGAGGACGTGACCAAGAAGCGGAAAAAGGTCGAGCTGAACCGCGAGTTCTTCAGATCGCTTATGCGCCTGCTGCGCATCGTTATACCCGGTTGGAGGAGTAAAGAGGCCCGGCTGCTCATCAGCCATTCGTTCTTCCTGGTTGTCCGCACATTGATCAGTCTCAAGGTTGCGGCTATGGACGGCGCAATCGTGAAGAGCTTGGTCAAGGGCAACGGAAGGGAGTTTTTGATGCGCATTCTGTGGTGGATGTTAATTGCCATCCCGGCAACTTTCACAAACTCGATGGTAACCACGGACTTCACTCCCACATATTGGAAAATTGCCTGCTAACGGATCACAGTTGTCTTACCATCAAGCAGAGTTGTCGTTGAAGTACCGGACACGGCTGACACAGCACATCCACGACAAGTACCTTTCCAAGCTTACCTTCTATGGTATATCTGCCCTTGATGACAGGATAAACAATCCTGACCAGCTGATTGCTGTCGATGTCGCCAAGTTCTCCAACAGCTTGGCCGAGCTGTACAGCAACCTGGCCAAGCCCATCCTGGACATGGTAAACTCTACCCAGCACGCCAAACCCACAATGAAACCCTATGCTGACAGCTTGCCAGACCATCTACACACATTCACTTTCCCGCAGCGTCGGAGGCGAGGGTGTCGTCTCCATGGCCCTCCTCGTCCAACTTTCCGCCAACGTCATGCGCGCGCTGACTCCTCCCTTCGGTAAATACGTCGCCGACGAGGCGCGTCTCGAGGGTGAGTTCCGCTTCCAGCACTCCCGCCTGATCGACCACTCCGAAGAAGTCGCTCTTTACCACGGCCACGAGGCCGAAAAGGACACTCTTGACAAGGGCTACTTCACCCTCATCAAGCACGTCAACTATATCCTCCGACGCCGCTTCTACCACGGCTTCATGGAGGACTTTGTCATCAAGTACTTCTGGGGCGCTCTCGGTCTGCTTCTCTGTTCCGTGCCCGTCTTTGTCAAGATGCCCGGCCACATCTCTATGAACATGGGCGATCGCACCGAAAGCTTCGTCACGAACCGACGTATGCTGCTTTCAGCCTCCGACGCCTTCGGCCGCATCATGTTCTCGTACCGTGAGATCATGGAGTTGGCAGGCTACACCTCGCGTGTCGACACCCTGCTTGAGGTCATGAACGACATTCGCGCCGGCCGCTTCGAGAAGAAGCTGGTTTCGAGCTCGGGCACCGATGATAACGAGGCCATTCTCAAGGGTCGCGGCACTGTCGTCGAGAGCAAGGATATTGAGTTCATCAACGTGTAAGTTGCTTTATCGCCTCCCGTTTGTCTGTCTGCTGCTGGCCAAAACTGATCATATCTACTTAGGCCCATCATCTCCCCTAACGGTGATGTCCTCGTTAAAGCTCTCTCCTTCTCCCTCAAGCAAGGCGACCATCTCCTGGTCTTCGGCCCCAACGGCTGCGGCAAGTCATCACTCTTCCGCATTCTCGGCGGCCTCTGGCCCGTCTACGGCGGCACCGTCCACAAACCCCCCTTCTCCGACATCTTCTACATCCCACAACGTCCTTACCTCTCCCGCGGCTCCCTCCGCCAGCAAATCATCTATCCAGACTCGCTTCGCCAAATGCGCGCCAAGAGCGTGACGGACGCCGATCTCCTCTCCATCCTTTCCATCCTCGGACTCGAGCACCTCCCCGAGCTCTACGACACCGGCTGGGACGCAGAGGCCGAGTGGCGCGATGTCCTGTCCGGCGGCCTGCAGCAGCGCGTCGCCATGGCCCGCCTCTTTTACCATCGCCCCCGTTACGCTATCCTCGACGAGTGCACCAGCAGCGTCACCCTCGACACGGAGAAGGTCATGTACGACAACGCCAAGGCCCTCGGTATCACCCTCATGACAGTCAGCCATCGTCGCAGCTTGTGGAAGTACCACAGCCGCATCCTACAGTTCGACGGCCAGGGCAACTTTGTCTTCACCAAGCTCGACGCCGACCGCCGTCTCAAGCTCGAGGACGAGAAGGAGGACCTCGAAGTTCTGCTACGCCAAGTGCCCGAGATTGAGCGGCGCATCGCCGAGTTGACAGCCGCGTAAAATAGAAAGAAAGAAAAAACAATGTAAAAGGCTACGATGGTCAAAGTTATCGTGTATGAATGGCGGCATCACTGTTGGCGCGACTGGGGTAAAGGTTGTTGGAGTGGTAAGATGGGAGGATATGAATTTATTTACTTACTTGGACGGCGGGTTCATGGTTTGCAATCTGTACATATGTAGAGCCAGGACTACTATTACCACACAAGGCTTCGGCGTAGAATGGACTCGGAAATTCAGATATTTACTTAATGTCACAAATTCCTAAGCAACACTGGTGTCGACGCCAAAAATACCCATGACCCTTCCAAACAAAAAGGACACCGAGATGTTCCGATCCAGTCTCGTCGCCCTTGGTTCTCCCCTGTCTTTGTCTTCCCCCATTGTTGTGAGGACCTTCAAAAGAAACGAAAACTCCAATATCGCCCTTTGTTGGAAAACTTCAATGCTGTGCAGATGCAAGGTATCAACCCAACCCCAATCACTTCTCCTCCTCGGGTACAGACAATTTAAGTTGAACGCCTTTAACCCTCACCGCCTCCCTCCCGACCTAGTCAAGGTCGCCCGTCTCGCTCCTGATCTCCAAGGTTATCCGGGTGAAACCGACAGTCTTTGCGATGTATGCTGTTGTCTTCTAACAAAATGCGCCTGTGGTCTGCTCCACACTCGTAGCAGAACTCGTGTTTGCAGCTCGAACCTAAGAGATGACCGTGCAGGTTAGATACCAATTTCCGATACATTGCCAGTTTTTATTGGGCAGCGTTTTGCGTGCTTTCGAGGACGCATAGCCGTCCTAGGCGGTGACAACTCCGCGGCATCGGACGCTATGCCCGCCCTTCCAGGCTGTATAGCACCCCCAGCAGAACTCGTAGCGGCACTTGATGCCTGCGACATTGTTGGCGTGAGTTTGACAGAAGAAAAACGGAACATTATGACACAAGGATAAATAAATATGGAAAAGGGTTGGGGCCTGGAAAAGCCAGTGTTGCATTTGGGTATACTTACAAGTCATGTGTGAGCTACAGTATCCAAGTCAGTATCAGCCATTAAATAAAATGCATGTGTGTGCTCACCATCCAGCGTTCTTCTCTATAGCCCAGCCACAACCAGGGCAAGGCTTCGTCGTCCTGCTCATTGTTGCTTGACTCTGCTCCTCCTCTGCTTTCCGCCGAGCAGCGACCTTTCTAGCCAGTGCCACGGCTCTTCGTGCCCTTTCTTTCTCGGCAGCCTCTCTTTGAACTCGAAACAGAATCTCAGCCTGTTGTTCAGCCATTAGACCCTGTGCCATTGCGCGATCGGCGTCTTCCTGGGCACGTTTTGCGGTATCAACCTCATCATTGTTCATTTCAATCCGCGAGCGAAAATTTTCAGGGTCACGAAGAAGGGCGTCATATTCCTCGCATGTCAGGTTTTCGTGCCACGTGACGTTGTGGGTAAAGCAGGAGCGCTGGCCGCAGTGCAAGCAAGTCACGATGGGTTGGTCTCTGCTAGTACTGTGAAGTTGACCAGAGCCGCAGTTAGCGGTACACCAAATGAAGTTATCGGCTTCGGCCATGGCAGCGCGGAGGGCTAGAGTCTCATAGCTGAGTACATGTTAGTTACTTGTTTCCAAAAGAGCGTTAGATGGCCTACCGGGCGAATGTCTCGTCGTCTGCGTATTTCTGGATATCCACGTACTCGAGAAGCTCTCGACATTCAGGACATCTGATTTCTGTCCAAAGCTTGCTGTTCAAATCCGACTTTATGGACGTTTGTAGACACTCCAAACATGCCTCTGGTGGATGGCTGCATGTGGATGTGACGCTAAGAACCGGAAAACCAGAAGGCTCTTTCGTTTCCGCACAGATGGGACATTCTCTTGAGCCTCCAAGATCGTTCGCTGGTAGCCTCTGTCGGGTGACGACAACATCTGTTGTATCTGCCGCTTTCTGGTAGCGCTGGCCGAAACTAACGAATGTCAACGATCATAAGTTTAAAGTACTATTTCTTCTGACATCAAAACACAAAAAAAAACAGAGTGGAGAACACTAAGTAAGGAATTTCAAAGACTAAGAAAAGAACCTACCTGAAGTCATCGGCGGGAACATCTGTAGATCGTGAGCCAGCCATGGCATCCTGGCTACGTAGAAAAGCGACTGTCATGGCCTGTTCTTTTTGTTCAAGAAGTGCAGCATACGGATTATTTGAACCAAGAGAATGAGAGGTAAGCTTAGGGCGCATGAATGGTGAAGAGACCGGCGGTGTGCTTGCAGCAGTGCTGTTGCTTCCTCCCGTTGTCTGAGGAGAGAAGGGCGACATATTGAAGTCCTCGAGGATGGACGCCGCGGTAGGTAAATAACCCCGTTGGCGCTGACGCGAAGATGAAGACGAAATGTCCGTCTCTGTGAGCGTGGCTACCGCTTTAGCTGCAGGCGGTGGAAAATCGAAGCCGGCCATGATGTCGGCGCTGATGGTGCCGTAAGAAAAGGCCCGCCGAGGAACATGGGATTGAGGAGGTGATGGCTGTTCTTCCCAATTACCCTCTTGAAGTCTTGACGGCCGCTGATCCTCTGAGCCTTGACTACCCACACTGATATTCCAGTCGTATAGAGGAGGCGGATCAAGATCATCGCGGTTAAAGGCTCTTACAAAGGAGGGGTTTGGGTTCGCGTCATAGCTGGGCGGTAGGTCATCATTGGAAGTTGCAAACATTATTGGTATGGGAACACCGTCAACGTCAATAACATATCTCCACGTTGGCGCTCTAGGTGCGTCGTCTGCTTGCTGATGATGTATATCGTCGCTAGTTCTTTGCGTATCTTCAGCTGCTGGAGCTGTCGGGGGCATCGACGGTTGTGGGCTTCTGTCGATGATGAACCCCTCAGGCATCAGATGGGATGTTGATGGACTTGTCGCCTGAGAAGCCGAGGATCTTGCCAAGCCTTCCACGCCGAGAGGATAGATGTCATGAAACGAGCTGGCATGCCCAGTGTCGCCGCCGGCGGTCGAACTTCCCCCACTCGGCAATGACCAACGAGAAGGCGAAGAAGGCCGTGTCGACCGTGAGGAACCATCTGTTGAGCCAGGATCCCTCAGGATAGAACCGCCGACTTTTGTCTTGAACGACCGAAACATAGCGGAGGACGGCATTTGGCGGGGATGGCCCTGCTCGCTGCTTGGAGTATAACTCGGGCCTTCAGCCTTGCATCACCGTCCGAGCATCTAATTGATGCATATAGGCCACGAGGTAAGATGATAACGGCGGAAGCTTAGGGGGAATGCTGACGTCGACAGCCGATGTGATGGACAAAGGATGAGTAAAACCTGAAGCTGAATTAGTTTGCAGATGACAAGGGTCAGTAAGAATGACAACGGAAGTTGGTCAGGAAGAGAAGACGAGAATGGCGAGCAGTAGCCGAGAAGTAATCAGTATCAGCTTGTCGTTCTCAGAAGAACAGCTCCAACACTTTCAAAAAGGTCGTCGAAGCTGGAAGTGAAGTGAAGCGTCACATGTACTGGAGGCGGCTCAAGTCTGTGACCTTGACAGCGGTCGCATAACTAAACAAAGTGGAAGTTCATCAGATGAGGCTGTACGGGGCAACCTTGAAGGCGGAATCAGTTCCAGCTTTGCGTCCAAGTGGTTCATGGCATGGCATGGTAGGTCAGTCCGCAGGCTTATTCTCCATCGGTCGCAGGTACATGTCTAGCCTGGGGAACCTACTTGGCAAACTGCCGCAGGTACCGACACACCCTGAGCACCGCAAAATGATGAACATCCATGATCGCCCGACAAGGGGTGAGCTTCCTTTGAGGCCCACCGCAGAGCTTGTTCTTCCTTAAACGAGGAACTCTGCAGGCACCTATCTCAGTGGTCCTCAGCTCCTGCGTTAAGCCACTCAGTGCCACCGTCGGCCTAGCCAATTCTAAAGACCCACTGAAACTATGGGCGGGGCTGGAACCGACTTCCCGGGCACACTGTTGAATTCTTGCTTAAACGGCAGCCACAATCCAACTCACATGCACATTTGACCACAGGCTGATGCGGGCCAAGACCAATACTGAGCCATAAATGACAGGGGATGGATGTATCGATACATTATGCATCGTCGCGGGCCTCAGTCTGGGGGCAGGAACGTCTGTAACAATTGAGTTTGCGGTACCAATCCGTGTAAATGAGGCTCCCTTGAAAAGCCGGCCCCACTTTGGTCTACAGCTTGAGATATGCAGAGTGGTTGAGAGGCGCCGTGTGGATGGGGTGATTGTTCATTAGATGGCATTGCTACTGGGCTGGAGGAAAGGAGCTGCTGGGCTGTGTAGATCTGTTTGTCATGGACATAAGTCTCTCTCCACATGTTCGATGCCACGAGTGAAAGCGCTTGTCCACTACTCGAACGGGATGAACATGCCCTATGTCCCCGTCCGACTAAAGTCATGTACATTCGCCGCAGTAACACATAAGGCTGAAAATCTATCCTACTGGGTATGTTCCTATGTTACCTCAAGGATTTTTCATTTCTATCTTTCTTCTGATTGAGATGCTGTGCTTTGCTACTGGCATCCTCAGCCATTATGGCCTCTCATTAGACATTGTTCGGCTTCAACAACAGTGTGGCATTGGATCTTGTAGTACCCCTGTCAAAAACCATTGACAAGCGCGATTTGGCAAGAGAATGGATTTAAAAAATGAAAGATAACCGTTCATGGCGCCTCTAGCCTCCCCAACGGAACGTAGCCCATCCGCCAGCCTCCGCCCTCTCGCGCTCATACTTGGCAGCGTAAAGGTGGCTGAGCAGGGTCTGGTCGCCATTTTCCATAAACGCCTCCCGCTTCTCTTGCGGACCCCATGCCACCAGCATCTCTTGACGGCGCACAAGTTGCGGCTCCTTGATAACGTCCTTTCGACCGATCTGCCGCATGTAAAGTGCAGGGGTCAGTGTGCAAACGTTGAGCAATCGATGGAAAAGTTCTTTTTCGGATGGCGGAGGATCCATCTTGGATAAGTTGAATGCTTTGCGATTATGGAGTATGTTCTTGCAATCTAGATTGTGCAAGTCATCGAAAAAGTCCCTCGACGGCTGGAAGTCACCGTTAGGCCCCCATACCATGTAAGGGTTAATATCGAAGTAGAAATGATGTGTTGACACCTGTATCTTTTCGTAAAGCTGCATAGCAGGCTTGATACAGTGTTGCTCAAAGCTTTTGCGAAAATCATCGATTCTGTCCTTCTTGCAAAAGATTTTGAAAATTCCGGCGAGCTCCATGGTTAGCTCTCGCAGCTTCTGTTCCCGGACGCCTTTGAACTCTCGAGAACTAATAATGGCGTTGTAGGCCTCAGCAGTCCAGGTGCGGATGGCAAAAAGATCTGTGTATCGCGTTAGTACTGACACAGGCTTCTCACCCAAGACTGCACCGTCTCCTACCTCGCTTGGGATCGACGTGGTTTTGCAACGAAGTCTCAACAAAGCTAAGGACTTCTACGTAATGCGCAATGGACCCATATAGAGTCTTTTGAAAGATGTTATCATAGAGGAACCTCATGATGATTGAAATAATAATGTCCTCGTCCGTCTCTGGGTACATGGTGCCATGTACCAGGTCGGGGAATGTGTGGATCATGTGCTTTAACTTATTGGCATCGGTGGGTTTCTTCCGTGCAACAGCAATGGTCTCCTCCACAGCTTTAGTATGGTTGTCCAAAAGGGGAGCCATGAACTTTGCGACCCAGTCTGAGATTCCCTCGATCAGATCATCGTATTGCTGCTAGGCTGTCAGAACATGCAAATAATGAGGAGAATGTCTTAACATACGCTGCCGATTTCCTCGGGCGTGAACTCCTTGCGATAAGGTTGCAGGCTAAAGATATGCGACTGGGCATCTCTGAGTTGCTCTTTGAGTGCCGAGTTCTCTACCTTGAGCTCACTGAGGGTGCAAGCAAGAGACTCTATTTCCCTCTCTGTTTCGCTCAGCCCTGAGGCTTTTGTGGTTTTGAGCTCTTGTATTCTTTTCTCTATTCTGGCCGTCTTTTCTTCCGCGATCTCCGCCCGCGCTGTTGAGGATTTGAGCTTCTGGCGAAGCCCATCTATCTCGCGGTACAACCGCGTCTCTTGGCTCGAACCGCCATTGCTCTCGTTGGAATGAGCTCTCGACTGGGACGTTTGAGAGGAAGTGCTTCTTATAGGCGGCGACTTGTCAGCTTCGAAATCGGCGGTATCGCACTCGACAAAGGAAGATGAGGAAGACGTAGATATAAGGGATTGTGATTGTCGATGGGCTGGGGGATTGATAAAACGAGTGGCAACGAGGCCTTTGGGCAGAGCTTGCCTTGGTCCTTTGCTCCGAGAAACATATTCAGGAGCAGGAAGTTCGGTCTTTGAGGACCCCATCGTGTCAGGCCCCAAGCTAAGAGACGGACTTGTAGGCTCTGTATTGGCACTTCGATGGCTCTTGAGAGGCGAACGATGAGTGGGCTTCATATCGTCCAGGTAGGGGCTGACTGTAGCAGCTTCGATAGGCTTTTTCTCGGGGATTGGAGGTTTTGGGTTCTCACGGTAATGCGGTAGGGTCGGCTCGAGTTGTTTGAGGTCTTCCATGTTGTCGACAGGGGATGCCGAGCGGCGGGAAAGACGGGAGAAATGTTTAGACGAAAGGTGACGACAGAGCCTACAATGATTGAGAGAGAAGAATGTTTCCAAATCGAGTGATTTGCAAGAAAATCAAGTCAGACATAGGACAGTCGGGGTAACCTGTTTTTACTACTTTCAGCAATAGGTTGGAAGTATTAGTTTTCTTTTGTCTTTCTTTTCGAGAAGGTCGTCAAAGTCGGGAAATTCACCTCGTTCCATAGTACTGTGGCAGTAAATGAACAATGCTCAAAGGGTGAATGGAGGAGAAGAGAGGTGCCTAAACCACTTGTATCGGAAGCTGCCTACCCAAGTCGTTCCACCCCCCGAAGTCACTCTTGCTGCCAGAAAGCTGGCGTGGAGATGCTGTGGAGACAGTGACATAGCAGGTTTTCGGCGGGGCGGTTCTTGGAGGTGAGATGATCTATGCACGAGCCATGTGAAAATGAAGGCAAGTGTACTACACTCACCAGTACTTTCAGGTGCCTGCTTGGCTCGCTATCACACAGGACTCCTTGTGTATGGAGAGAAGGTCATTGCCATATGTGCTTACTATTGTCAAGTTGAGGAATGCAAAAGTGTACATTATTTGCCTGTGTGGGGTCTGCCACACCCTGGACAACCTTAAGGTGGGAACAGGTACCGGTACAACCTAAAGTATTCCCACCCCACCCCAGGTAGGAGCTGAACTGCATTGCATCCAAGTACTGCCTTTATGCCTTTCCTTAGTTACCATCGCTGGGTGGCCATGTAATATTCGTCCTGGCTTTTGTCAGAGGCATGACTTTTACCCGAGTTTGCTTGAATTCTTTACTCTTAAGAAAGCCTGAGCTACAAAGCATCTAGTTAGCACGGGCTTTTCCTCAAAATCCCCCTTCCCAATCGAGAAACAGTCCACCAATGCCAACCATGCGCATTGTGGCGACCATCATTCTTTCGGCATGCATTCAAGTTGATAACAGACACCACAAGTGAAGTTCTTCAAGGCATTATTTGTTGCAAAAACTATTTTATTTTAATTTTCTTCGAATCCCGACTTCCGGATATTTCCAATGTCCTCCGTCTGGGACCACGACATCACGAATCCTCGCGACCAGCATGCTTAACAAGCAGGAAGGTTTTAAGCTCACTTTGTAGCCTGTACCATCTGGGGAAGTGGAGAATGGGTTCGATACGTACCACAAACACAACGGCAGCCATTAGGCACACTACCACCGGGCGGAATTAGCGCGCATGGCACCCTCTCACCCTTGTCACTTCATCTGCCCAACTCGCCTGTATCAATAATCTTCATGGCGAAGTTCGCAACTAGGGGGCCTCAGTAACCACACCAGCTGACTTGGATGACCTGATCACGGCCCGTGATTGTCTTGATTGAAACAGTTCGCGAACGCTTGATGATGCCAATATCAATTGGGGCGTTCCGGACCCACTTCCAAGTATCCAGTGACGGCAACAGACCGATAGAGTGTTCCTTCCTTGCCAGGTCTTTCCCTCCACTTCCGCCTCGATGGGAAAGGAGCTTGGAGCACAACTACTGCGCTGTGACAGGTACTCCTACTTTATCTGTCCAAACCCAAAAGTACCTTCCCTTACTTGAAGTACTTTCTCGGGAAGGCCAACCCAGTGCCTTCTATTGATCCGGTTGCCAATATCGCTCCACTGGAGCTTCTCATCAAGGCAGACTTTCCTTTGCACTACTCCTTCCATCACTCTAGCATATCTTTTCAAGGAAGACTGAACCACTCTCCGCTGGTCTCCATATCGCCCGGAATTTACTTCTATCTCTCACTTTATGGCCTTGGTTATCCACCGGCTTTTTCACGTCCCTCTCGTTGGTCAAACTTGTACCTAACAAAGTGGGCATATCACTTCAGCTACCAAAACGAGGCCACCGCCTATTGACTGCCAAGGTCTTCTGAACGGAGTACTGAAAGCCATTAGCGATTTTATTCTGCCCAGATTATGTGTTTCATTCGCCACACCTCTTGATCTCATATCTTTGTCTCTTCATCTACGATACCCACATTTTGGATACCCTTTCGCGATAACCTCCTCTGAGAGATCAATTCCCTTCTTCTCGGATACGCAACAATACTTCAGATCCTTCATCATGGACGCTTTTGAGAAGCTCGCCATTAGCGAGCGCAAGATCATTGTCGGCATCGATTTCGGTACAACCTACTCTGGAGTTGCTTGGGCAGAGACCCAGCGGTCCGATCGACGGACTACAATCACCACATGGCCCATAAGTAAAACAGTCCGCGAAGGCGAATCCTCCGACAAGGTTCCCACCAAGCTCAGGTATACTGGAGATGAAGTTCAGTGGGGTTTCTCAATCCCAATGTCTGCTCCCCAGGACGAGATTGTCGAGTGGTTCAAGCTGTGAGTCAAATATTACTGCTTATAACATCAAACATTTCTCTAGGTTTGTTATAGCTGACAGGAAAAGTGACCTCGATCCCTCGCTTCAAAGTATGAACCAGGCGGTCTCGTCAGAGGCAAGAGGGGGCCGCAATGTCGATAAGCTCGTCACTGACTACATATCGGCTCTCGGCGACCACCTTCTGTATACCTTGAGAGAGAAACTAGGTGACCAAGTTGTCAAGACTACACCTCTTGAATTTGTCATCACGGTACCCGCCATTTGGTCCGACCTGGCAAAGGAGAAAACGAAACAAGCGTGCCAGAAGGCCTCTGGTCTGTCTACAACCAGTGTTCCCATACACCTCGTTTCTGAGCCTGAAGCTGCGGCCATTTACGCATTGCAGGGCCTCGACCCTCACGGCCTCAACATAGGCGACACCGTTGTTGTTGTTGATGCTGGTGGTGGCACTGTGGATCTCATCTCTTATACCATAATGGGATTGAAGCCGATTCTGGAAGTCCAGGAGGCTGCTCCAGGCTCCGGTGCTTTGTGTGGATCTACTTTCCTCAACATGCGGTTCGCCAAATTCTTGAAAGCAAAACTAGGCAAAGAGGAGGGTTTTGATGACGAGGTAATGGCCGAGGCCATGGAACAGTTTGAGAAAAAGGTAGGTCTTCATTCCTGATCCTGTAATCTAGCGGAAACTTACAGCACACAGGTGAAGCGTCAGTTCGCCCTCGGCGCGGCTCCGGACGAAACGTATACGATTCCTGTTGGCGGTCTCAACAACAACAAAGAACTGGGAATCAATCGTGGCCGCTTCTCCTTAAAGGCGTCGGACCTTCAAACCATTTTTGAGCCGGTTGTCCTTGAATGTATCAAACTTGTCAAAGACCAGATCACGGCTAGCGGAGTACCTGTTCAGGCTGTCCTTTTGGTTGGTGGTTTTGGTGCCTCTAACTACCTTAAAGAGCGCCTGCGTAATGCTGTCGATAAGCGCATCCAGATCATGCAGCCGCCCAACGCTTGGCAAGCTGTTGTGCAAGGTGCAGTCATGAAAGGTCTGGCTCAAGTGTCTCCAAACCATTTAACCCAGGTCAAAGTTCAGAACCGAAAGGCACGAAAGCATTATGGGACTGAGTGGCGTACGAGGTACGACCGCAAGATACACAGCCATCTCGAGAATAAGAGGCACTGGTGCGGTCTTGATGGTTGTTACAAGGTGTACACTATGGAATGGTTTATTCAGCGCGGCGACAATGTTTCAGAGAATGAACCCTTCTATACCACTTTCGCTTGGACCGGCTTGGTTAGCCAAGGGCGTATTAAGAAAATCAAGATGGACATCTACGCCGACCGCAGCGCTCGCGACGCCCCCGTATCTCGAGATGAGAATGTTTCGATGCTTGCACACGTGGAAGCAGATGTTAGCCACATTCCGGAGAATTCGTTGGCTCGTCGGCGAGGAAATGACGGTCATTTGTACTATGAGCTGAACTGCAAGATTGAAGCGGTTTACCTCTCTGCGTCAACCACATATACTCTGCTATACAACAGTGAGTCAATTTCATTCTTGAACCCAAATAAGTTTGTTAACACTTTCCAGATCAACGATACAACACGGTGACGGCTGAGTATGTCTAAGCGTCCCTAAGGATGGTTTATGGAATGTTCATGGGAGATTGTGCCTCGAGATTCCCCCAATTATTAGTTGTATCTCCTTTTGCAGTAGTAAATGCCGAAACTCATATTTTCAGGTGATGTTTATACTTAGTGTTGCCTTCCTTTCTGTTGAGTGCCTAGTAAATACCGGTGCTGATAAGTCATTCAAATGTCACGAATTTCTTCTTCCATTCTCTTCATACTCTGAATGTTACATGCATAGAATTTAATGACAATTCGACCATGAGCTTTCTTACATTCTTTCTGACAACATCCGTGACTTGTTTCTCCAAAAGCTGATTCTCATTCTCTTGAACAAACAAAGGGTTGTTGGGAGTTGTGTTGAATGAGCCTCCCTCTATGTCTGATCAGTTCACTCTTGATGTGTAGGAAACAGGACTGTAATTTGTGAAAAAGGTTGATTCTTTGGCTGTGAATACATGAATCCATCTTTTCAGAATGAAGACTATTGTCATTTGGTTACACGATAACACTAAAGCAAACAGAGAGGCCGCTAGAGTTGAAGCCCAGTCAGCTTTGAAACCACGTGTTTTTGGGAAACACGTTGGACGCTGAAACTAATTCAAAAGCAACAACTTGGGTTGAGATAATTATGGAAGCTTTTGGTGAACTAACAGAATCTGCCTCTGTTGCGCTGTGGTAGAGAAAGCGAAAGAGCTTCTCATATCCCCTGCAGTAAGTCCTAGGTAACGTCCGCAAAAGCCGCAAACCCGTCCACAGCCTGTCGCGAGTTTTGCAACTGCTTGGATGGTGGAACGAACCGGCTGTCTCTCTCCGACTACGAAACGGTCGTATTTCTTGTCCACGAAGGCGCTGCAAAGTTCAAAAGAACAGCGACTGTTCGAATAATGCTGGTTTGATAGTGGCAACACATTCGTCATTAAATATTCATATTTTCAGCACCATATATATGTTGGGGTCTTAATTAAGCTGCTTTTTAGCTTTTTTTGACTTTGAATCATCTAATTTGTATTGTTGGAACTGATTATTATATCAATTGCACCCTGAATTTTCGTCTGGCGTGTGTTTTGGCCCACGATTGGTGAACCCGAATTTACTTCTACCAGGTCGATCGTTGAGACCGAAGTCAGCACGTGTTCTTTGTATCATCTTGTTCTAGTAGTTTAAACATCCACCCGGCATCCGTAGGATTGTAGCTCGTAACTCGTGCATAAAATTGCGCATTTTCTGTCATAATCGACCAATCCTGGCTGCCGGTAGCAAAGTTACGCGACTCGGCCAGTATTATCCGACTTGGTAAAGGACGAAACTGTCTAAACATTGATCCGCGGCTATAAAACTCATTATCAGCAGACTGCCCCATACCTTGATGCAGTTTCTATCGATCATATGATGTCATGAAGTAGCATACGACGATACAGCGGTATTGTCGGCACGCAAAGCCGTCGGAACTGCGCATGTAAATGCGGGGCTTCGGTCGATTTTTCTAGTTCTAAGCTGCACTCGTCGAAATGACCCCGCTTGTCAGCCATATGCTGTAGTTTGAAAATCTACCGATCCGGGGGTTGAATTGGCGGATTATTTTTTGAGCCTCGTTCTCGGTTTCGTATGTCAATACACAGAGGTCCCGGATTATCTATGGTTACTTATTAAGAATCGTGACCACCAGCACCAGCGATGTTACCCTAGGGAGTCAAAGTATAAATAACGATATGTACAGAGCGCCGGGTCGATGGTGTCAGTAGTTTCGCTAGTCGCATAGAAACCATTTCAATGATATTCTCCGGCCTAGTTTGGCTGTTCGTTGTCACACTGGCGGCTTCTAGCCAGGCTCATGTCAACCAGACCTTCCACAATCCCATCCTGCCAGGATGGAGCTCGGATCCTAGTTGCACATTTGTTAAGGAGTGGGAAGACACATTCTTCTGTACCACATCGTCATTCTTGGCCTTCCCTGGAGTGCCTGTTTACGCCAGCAAGGACCTAGTCAACTGGAAGCTCGCCAGCAATGCTCTGACAAATCCAGACCAGCTGCCAGAGCTGTACAGAAACTCTGGTCAGAATGAAGGCATTTGGGCGTCGACTATTCGCTTCCATGAGGGTACTTTCTATCTAATCACATCTTACGTGTCGTGGTATGATGGATGGGGACCCAAGATCTTGCTGTTTACTACCAAAGATCCTTATGACGACGCTTCCTGGACTGGGCCGCTTCACATCGAAAACCCGGCCAATGACATTGATCCGGACATATTCTGGGATTCTGGAAAGGTTTACATGTCTGTTGCTGCTGGCATCTACATTAGTGAGATCGATCTCACTACAGGCGCGGCAACAGAGCCAATCAGAGTTTGGAACGGAACTGGTGATCGAAACCCTGAAGGCCCGCACATCTACCACAAGGATGATTATTATTACCTTTTGATAGGAGAAGGTGGTACAGAAACGAACCACTCTGTGACTATTGCTCGAGGGAAAGAGGCGACTGGGCCGTTTGTAGGCTTTGAAGGCAACCCAATTCTTACCGCCAAAAACACCAATGAGTATTTTCAGACCGTTGGTCATGCCGACTTTTTCCAAGACGCATCTGGAAACTGGTGGGGTGTTGCGCTAGCGACTCGTTCTGGTCCGGCATGGGAAATTTACCCGATGGGCTGTGAGACGGTTCTCTTTGCTATTACCTGGGACGAAGGTGAGTGGCCAGTCTTGGACATGGTGCGAGGCACAATGACTGGGCCGCTTCCACCGACAAATAAAGACATTCCGGGTAACGGACATTGGATTGACGAGCCGGACGTTGTCGACTTTGCGCCCGGATCAGCTCTGCCGAGGCATTTCTTCTTTTGGCGCCCTCCTAAGGAATCTCTGTTCGCAATCTCCCCCGAGGGCCACGCAGACACACTGCAAATATCTCCTTCTGCTTTCAACCTTTCAGCATCACCTGATTTCAACCCAAAGGAAGACGGGCTTGGATTCATCGCACGCAAGCAGAGCGCTACCCTGTTCAACTTCACCATCGACGTTGATTTTAGACCCGAAGTTCAAGACGAGGAGGCTGGCGTGACAATCTTTTTGACACAGTTCCAGCACATCGACCTGGGAATCGTCAACCTACCCGCATGCTCGGGCAAGTCTCTAATCCCACGGTTCAGGTTCCGGGTTGAGGCCTCTGGGAAACCTAATATCACAGTCCCAGAGGAAGCCGTCATCCCTGTACCCAAAGAGTGGCGTTCAGAGAAGATCCGTTTGTTTGCATCTGCTGTCAGCGATTCCGAGTATGTTTTTGGCGCTGCACCGGCGTCGAGACCAGAGGAATACATTGAGATTGGCTCTGCCAGCGCTTTGATTACATCAGGAGGCAGTGGTCCATTCACTGGTAAGCTTACTTGACGTCTTGGGGTTTGCTTATTATAGATCGCTAACGATGTTAACTACAGGTACGATTTTGGGTCCGTATGCAACTAGCAATGGCGGTGATGGTAAGACGCCTGCGTACTTTAGCAGATGGAGATACACCCCGGTTGCGCAAAAGATTGATAACGATCAGTTGGTTCCAGTGAAATAAAACCAACCACGCCAGGTTGCCGGGCCTAGGTGGTTGTAAGCAGTGTTGGACACTGCTTGGCGCCATGATTTGGAACGATTAGCTTCAATAGCCAGGTTACCTGGTATACAGCAATAGTTAAAACAGTTGATTGTTGATCTAATAATTTCTGAAAATGTCCTCACTTTATCTCGCTTACTTGACTTTATTCAGATGTATGGCCTCCTTGTATGTCGTTCAAAAAAGGTTCCTTGAGTCTTGACTACAGAAGCGGGCTCAAGTTAGAAGTGGGCCTCAACAGCTGGGCCTTACAAACAACTCGCTCGGCCCCCCCACCAGTCTGATCGTCCCAATCACCAAAACGTCATCAGAGAGTCACGTCATTAGTCATATCCAACTCCTCTCAACACTTCAATCAACCGCATCGCCGGCAGCAAACGCATACATCCCAACATACATTCCTCAATTACCTCATCTCACAGTATTCTCAGAGCATAATGTCCAACGTCGATACCTCAATCGGTCCTCACACGACCGGCGCCGCTGCTAAGCTGGCTGAAAAACATTCCGAGCCACATGCATTGAAGCTCTACGGTGGTTGGTTTTGCCCCTTTGTACAACGTACATGGATCGTACTCTGCGAGAAGCAGATTCCCCACCAGTACATCGAGATCAACCCTTACAAGAAAGACCCGGAGTTCCTCAAGCTGAACCCCCGTGGGTTGGTTCCGACATTGGCCGTTCCCGTTGACGTGAAAGGAAAGGAGCAGAGGCCTCTGTATGACAGTACTGTCCTCTGCGAGTACTTGGAAGAGGCCTATGGTGGCAACAACTACGGCCCACACCTCCTCCCAGAAGGACCTTATGAACGGGCGAGATGCCGACTGTGGATCGACCATATCAACTCCCGTATTGTGCCGGCATTTTACAAATTCATTCAACATACCCCTGAGAAGGAATACAGTATTGAGCAAGTTCGAGATGCATTCTTGGGACACATCAAAGATTTTGCCAAGGAGTTAGACCCTGAGGGCCCTTATTTCCTCGGACAGAACATCAGTCTAGTTGACATCATGCTAGCACCATGGGCGATGCGCTTGTTCTTGTTTGACCACTATAAGCCAGGTGGTCTTGGTCTGCCAGATGAAGGGAATGGTGGCGAAGATGAAGGTACCTGGAAGCGTTGGAGGCAATGGTACAACGCCATCTCGGAAAAGCAAAGTGTCAAGGACACTTTCAGTGACAGAGACGCCTACATAGCCGTCTACAAGCGGTACGCGGAGGATAAGACGAACTCGGAGGTGGGACAGGCGACCAGAGGTGGAGGCAGAATGCCTTGAGCGAATCTACTGGATATCATGGCGTGTCGAACACATTCTACCCTGCCTCCGGGTTTCCAGCCGTTCCCAGCCGTGCCGTATTTATAGGAACGCTGATTCATATATCGATCTCATGCCTCTTCCCCGCTCACGATCAACGTGGTATGTGTGACTAAACGACAACAAAGCAGCATCCAGGCTTGCTTAATCCGTTACAGAGTGATCCGAGATAGGAGTTGGACCCTGCCGTGCCGCTATTCGTATCTTAGACCTGAGCTTATTGACAGAGTGGGCTACTTCAGAATACTTATCGGCCTCACCACCCGGTCATGCTCAACCCTCACGGAGGCACTACCGGCCACACCAAAACATCGTTTTACCCCACACACCAGACCATCGGCTTAAGGGGCCGATAGGTTTGGAGGGTCCAGATCTCAGTTTGGCATTACGCTGCATGCACACTATCTAGTGACAGCCAGACAGCTGGCTATCTTACCCCGCGTTGACGAGCGGGGTATCGATAAGCTGGAATCCCAACTCCCGCCTGGTCAAGGCTTGAGTTTCCTGGAGCAGTATACGCATCAGGTACTTTCAGGTGCATTGGCAACGTAGGTATTGATCATGTGTTCCTTTGGGGGGGAGGAATTCTGGGCCGTCACACCAAGCCATCACGATGCAGCAATATGATAAAGGGGGCGCGCCTTCTTGGGCCATGACTGTTGCTGTTCCGTAGAATCTTATCAAACAACGAAAACTTGTCGTTGATATGTCCTCCCGTGCACCGCTCCTTACCACTTGGGCGCCTTGGAGCCGCCACGCTACTACAGTCTTTTCATCGGGAGCAGTTTCCTCAAGAGCGAGACATGCTTCCGCCGCTCCTCTTCTCGTTGAGAAGAACACACAAGCTACGGCACCCACAACTCTCTCAGCTTTGCCTACAACAGTCTTGTTGAGGTCACTGCTGGTCTCAGCGATATCTTCTAAACCATACCTCCTTGGCCCATCACTTGCAGCTTTGTCGTTTCTCACAAAGCCCAACAGACCATGGCTCTTGGATGTTGACCGGAATCCTGTTCTTCATTCTATCTTGAAGACAGTATTTTACAGACAATTCTGTGCTGGAGAGTCGGCAGAAGAGACAAAGAATACCATGCGACATTTAAGGTTTATGGGCTTCCGTGGCACAATTCTTACCTACGCCAAGGAGACTGTCTTCGACCACCGCACAAACACAGAGCATGGTTTGGGAATTGACGCAGAAAATGATGCAAAGACGAGTAACTGCTCAAGCATCGAAAGTTGGAGGAAGGGAGTTCTGGAGACAGTTGACCTGCTTGGTGATGGTGATCAACTAGCGTTGAAGTAAGTAACTAGATGATGAGAAAGAGCTATTCTGTGCAAGTCAAAACTAACCCTGCGGTTAACAGGCTTACTGGCGCAGGTCCAAGAGCAACCGCAGCTTTTGCAGCGGACAAGATGCCCCCCAAACAGATAATGGATGCTTTGGACGAGGTCTGCATTCGCTGCAAGGAGAGAGGCATTCGTCTCCTGCTTGACGCCGAGTCCCAAAAGTTCCAATGGGGTATTTTCCGAGCTGGCATCGAACTCATGCGAAGATACAACCGTGACGGCTATGCCACCATCTACAACACCTACCAAGCATACCTGAAGAGCACCCCAACCACCCTGGCCAAGCACCTCGAGCTAGCAAACAATGAAGGTTTCACTCTCGGCTTGAAACTCGTCAGGGGCGCTTACATCCTCTCGGACGAGAGGTCTCTCATCCATGACACCAAGCAAGATACCGACGACGCTTACAACAGTATTGCCCAGGGTGCTCTCAAGAGGCACATTGGGGAATATGGGGCACCGGGAGGCAAGCCGTTCCCATCTCTGAATCTGTTCCTTGCCAGCCACAACAAGCACAGCGTCGTCACGGCCCACAAGCTACACAAACAACGAATGCAGGAGGACCTGCCGACGGTGCCGGTCGGATTCGCACAGCTCCAGGGGATGTCAGATGAAGTCAGCTTTGCATTGTTGCAGTTGAAGGACGGTCAGGATCCGTCGCCCCAGGTTTGGAAGTGTTCCACGTGGGGAACCATGGGGGAGTGCGTGGCGTATCTTTTGCGGAGAGCGGTGGAGAACAGGGATGCGGTATCTAGGACGGTGGATGAGTATACAGCACTAAAGAAGGAGCTTGGCAGAAGGCTGCGGTCTAGAACGTCCCGGTCTCGGCCTGTTGGCTAGAGATTAGCATTTGTCCGTAAATGGAAAGTCTTATCGGATCAAAACGAAACCAACAACCATGGGACTCGTGACCATCTATTTTGGGTGCCGTTGTTGTGCAGCTTAGCTCTGACCGGGAGAGCTTCCGTTGCTTCTCCACTTCGCCGTGGCCGGGAGGCTCCCGAGTGACGTGTGCGGGGGATGAGGGGTAGCGGGGTCGTCTTGTAGTAGCTTCCGCAAGCTCTTTACACTACGACATTCATGGGAGCATATCTTGTTATTCTAATTGTTGTTCCACATCTGTTCCTCGATTGATCTTTCAAGCCTCGATATCGAAAGACGGAGAACACTGATACCATCGATCACAATGGGTGCACTTCACGATATCACGCTGTGCGTTCTGGGCTGCGGTATGGCTTCTATATTGACTATGAACGGCTTTAATGTGATACTGATGACAAGTGCTAGGAAACCTTGGTATTCCGATCCTCAAAGCCCTGCTCGATGCATCCAACAGCGAAAACTACACTCTCCCAATCACCAAGTTCATTGCGTGTGTTCGGAGTGAGCAATCAGAAAAGGCGCTGAAGGAACGCTTTGCAAGCGCAGGAGATAAGCTTAGAATCTTGAGAGGTGACAATATCACTGCCCTCAAAGAGTCCCAGGTTGTCGTACTAGGGGTTGACCCGAGTGACGTTGAGGCTGTCTTGTCTCAACCCGGCACCAGCGAAGCCTTGAAGAACAAGCTTCTCATCAGCGTCGCCGCTGGCTGGACCAGAGGGAAGTTGGAATCTGCTCTATATGGTAGTGAGACAACTGCCGATAATACCAGCGATCGGGCCTGGGTCGTGCGGACGCTGCCAAACATCGCCGCGATGGTGTCTGAGTCTCTTACGGCTATCGAGATTTCGGATCCACCAGTTCCCGCTCATTACCTCGAGCTTACTGAAGCAATCTTCGAAAGAATTGGAAAGGCAGTCAAGATTCCGCCCAGGTTGATGAATGCCACCACGGCTGTCGGAGGCTCGACGCCGGCATTCTTCGCGGTTATCTGTGACGCCATGATTGATGCCGCCGTCGCCGTGGGGGTTCCCAGAAACTTGGCTCATACCATGATATTCCAGTCCATGCTTGGAAGTGCTACTCTCATGCAGAACGGTTTGCATCCATCACTGCTAAGAGACCAGGGCACATCGCCAGAGGGGTGCACCATTGGCGGTTTAATGGTATTGGAGGAGGCTGCTGTTCGGGGACACATTGGAAGGGCATTGAGAGAGGCTGTCACCGTGGCTCGTTTGATGGAGAGCACACCTCATGTCAATGACACCAGACGTTCATAGAAGAGGATGATGGCAGCTTTCATTGTACAAGCAATATCATAATAGTCGTTAAACGGCTCTCTAAGAAATAAACATTGAGGTTACCTTCCACCAAACCTAAAATACATATAACTAAACCACTTTGAGAAATTTGAGAAAAATGTAGACCTCGAGAACAATTAAAAGTGAACACGTGAAATTTTAAGTCTATTGAGGTATTTCTAAAGGACGAAACCAGTTGTGGAAGAAGGACCTGAACTCCAAGTTTGCAACACACCCAACGCTAAAAGCAGGAATAATCCTGATGCACCGCATGACTATTGTTGATGGCACATGCTCTTTCGTTTTCGCAATTCTGTTTGAAAATGGCAGTTTCCGTTGCCTGTCGTAGTAATCCAAAGCAATAAGGTGTATCGGAGAGGCGACCAGCTGAGACATCACTGGCACCGTCAGCTGCGTGAGGGTCGCCTTGGCGTGTGGGGAAGCTGTCACTTCGTCCGGGATTGCAGCCGATACCCACGTCGGGAGAGTAAACGATCCAAAGATGGTCACAGCATCCCTAGCCAGAAACGTCAAAGTTGCTGCCCTTGGGAGCTTTCGTGGCACTGGTGGCACTGCTTTCCCAGTCGTGTCGGAAGCAGCACCGTTTCCGAAGATCTCGGCAAATTTCAAGTCCTTCCAGACGCCAAGAGGCACGTTTACCAGGAACGTGGAGGCGAAAGTTGCTGTTGTGACGGCTGCAGGACCGTCGTATCTCTCTGCTAATGTTGTTGCAGCATTGGCGGTGATGTATGTTCCTGCATAAAGGGTCCAGACTATTCCAAGAGGTCGAGCCAGGAAGAATGATCGTGGGCTTCGGAGGGCGGAGGTCAGCTGCGAGCGGAGACCTCGGATGAGGGGCCGCCCGGTCGATGTTCGCTCCACTACCGCTCTAAATATGGTTAACGCAATGACTCAGGGGTCCTTTTATCGGAGCAACCTACCGATCTAATATTGTGACTGCCGGGGAGATCAGCAGTGCGGAGAAAGCTCCCGCTATCAGATCCCCTGCCAACTGCCCCAAGAGGGGACACGGCTCTCGCTGTGTACCAGCTAGGCTCTTCCCAGCTTCCACCTGTGTCATCGGTTCCGATTTTTTTCGTTGTCGTTAGGAGGAGGAGGTGTGCTTTAACGCCCGCTTCATCGTGGGAAGTGGGCAACGTGCTACTTATCTGTAGCCGCACAATCGGATCCGCACTTCACCATATCATGATCCGCTAACAACATTCGGTCGGATGGTTATGAATGTCGGAAGACAATTTTCTCACTCCACAATAAAAGTCTCCTGTAGATCTCTACTATTAGTTAATGCCTCAAGCGGTTTCTACTTACACCATTAACCTGAAGGCTGGAGGAAGCACAGGTAGGTAGAAAGCGATGCGGCTGAGTAAATCATTTCACATAGGCCCCTCCCCCCAGCTGTGTTCCGTGAGGTCGGTACAAGATATGATGACCATCGGGTTGCCATCGGAAGCCACAAGCCACACACCATGCCGCTGATTCAGGATCCCAGCCATCGGTGTTTGTGGGGTAATGCAACTCGCCTTCCGCATGGCGGGGGAGCTGCAGCTATAGAAATCGGCTGGGTGCCCGTTTTCACCCCGCTGCGGGAAGTGCTCCGTCCGATTTCGCTTTGAAGCACAGAATGACATTGATCACGAATATGATTGGCGAATTGCACAGAAGCTCAGTCGGGAGCATGGCCGGTATAGCTGCTATCAAATAGGACGGTGAGCTTCGAAACAGTGAGACGGGAGAAGGTATATCTGTAGTACTCCAATCAAATCCGAACTGCTTGTTCTCCAAATCTCATCTCCAGCAAATTGTTGCGAACTTGCTTCATATCCTCCAGAAAAATCACCCGCCGCGCAAATCTTCATCTACAATGCAAGTCGCCAGTGTAATGCGGTCTACGAGATCCGCACGCTCCTTCAGAGGAGCGTTGCGCCCCGTTGCAGTCCCCGTGGGCCTTCAGCAAACAAGGACAAAAGCTACCTCGCCTTTCAGACTGCCAGACCCTAGAAACGAGCCTAACGTAAGTGGTTTGAGTTCATCATCGTCTATCAAGCGTAAAGCTAATTATTTGCGCAGCCCACATATGAGAAGGGCTCTCCAGAGCGCGCAAAGCTGGAGGAGGCGTTGAAGAAGCTCAAAGCAAACCTCCCAGCACGAAGCGACCTTTTCTACAACGGCCAGGTCCAGGCTGCTTCCAAGTCTTTCGATACCGTGATTCCTTCAGAGCACGGCAAAACCTTCTCGAACTTCCCTCTCGCATCAAAGGAACAGGTTGCTGCCGCGATTGAGTCGGCGCTCGAGGCGAAGAAGAGCTGGGAAAACACTCCATTTGTTGATAGGGCAGCCATTTTCCTCAAGGCGGCCGAGCTTGCGGCGACGAAATACCGACATGAGCTTATTGCTGCGACCATGCTGGGTCAGGGAAAGAACATGTGGCAGGGCGAGATCGACGCGGCCGCTGAGCTTGCTGATTTCTTCAGACTTAACTGCAACTTTGCTGCTGAGATCCTTGAGAAGCAGCCTGAACGCGGTTCTGATGGCATGTGGAGGTAAGAGCTATACTTGATATATCTTCTGCAGAGCGGCTGGAAATTCTAACGCAAGCACAGTCGCCTGGAATGGCGTCCTCTTGAGGGCTTTGTCTACGCCGTTTCTCCCTTCAACTTCACTGCGATTGGTGGTAACCTGATTTCTGGACCTGCTCTGATGGGCAACGTTGTTCTCTGGAAGCCTTCGCCTAGCAACATCTACGCCAGCCAGCTTGTCTACAACATCTTGATCGAGGCTGGCCTGCCCCCGAATGTAATTCAGTTCGTTCCCGGCGACGCAGAGGAGGTGACGGACGTCGTTCTCAACCACCGCGAGTTTGCTGGCCTGAACTTTGTTGGTTCTTCTGACGTTTTCCGTTCCCTGTACGCAAGAATTGGAGAGGGCATCGGCAAGAGAACCTACCGCGATTTCCCTCGCATCGTCGGCGAGACGAGCGGAAAGAACTTCCACTTGATCCACCCCTCAGCCGACATCGACAGCGCTGCTCTCCACACCCTGCGTGGCGCTTTCGAGTACCAGGGCCAGAAGTGCTCTGCCACGTCTCGCGTCTACGTTCCCCAATCCAGAGCAGATGAGTTCCTGTCCAAGTTGACGGAGAACGTCAAGAAGATCACCATCGGAAGCCCAGATGGCAAGCTGGACGCCTTCATGGGTCCCGTCATTCACGAGCGTTCGTTCGAGAAGATCAAGGGAATTATTGACGAGAGCAACAAGGACCCGTCCTTGAAGTTGCTTGTCGGTGGAACATACGACGGTTCTAACGGATACTATGTCAACCCTACTATCTACCTGGCCGATTCTCCCGAACACCGCCTGTTCAACGAGGAGATCTTTGGTCCCGTCCTCGCTGTCAACGTCTACCCTGACAGTGAATGGTCTTCTACGTTGAAGAAGGTTGACCAAGGAGGAGGTGGCTTCGCCCTGACTGGAGCCGTATTCGCTAAGGACCGCGTCGCCATTCGTGAGGCCGAGGATGCTCTGCGATACTCCGCAGGCAACTTCTATATCAGTAAGTCCCACCCCCACCCATTCTAAATGCCCCTCAGTAACGATACTAACATATGCACTCTTAGACTGCAAGACGACTGCTGCCTTGATCGGACAGCAATCCTTTGGTGGAGCCCGTGCCAGTGGAACCAACGACAAGGCCGGCAGCGCTGACGTCATGAGGCGGTTCACGAGCCCCCGTTTGATCAAGGAGGAATACTTCCCCCTGACGGAATTCCTTTACCCAAGCAACAAGTGAAATTTGGTTTAGATCCTTTGAAGAGCGAAGTGATGGTGCTTGCATATGGAATAGGCGAAAACTGTATTTTAGAGAGAACTTTTCGTAACCCAAACGACAGGAGGAACTGTCGACCCATCAATACACATTTTGTCCAATCTTACTTCAAGCCCAATTCCCTGTTTCCAACTAAGAATCCCGTGTGGATTTTCGCGGTTTCGCGCGTCTCATCCCTCGAAAAAGCACCGAAAATTCCGCCTGGCGGACGGGGACTCCGTCTCTGACAGTCAGCTAATTAATGACAATGCGTTAGGTAAACGCGCACGCGACAGCAAGGAGTGGCTTGTAATTGTGTATATCGCTTCCCTTGAGATGCCGCTCAATAGTTTTGTGATTTTCTCCTATTCTACAGCAATGCTGTCTATTCCCACTCATGTGATCCCGGCCCGAAGGTTGATCGTTTGTTCCTCCCGTATGCTCTTCAAGTACGTACCTTTTCTCCATGAACCGCAGGCCACTGGAGGTGATCGGGTCCGGACGGGTGGGTGTCCCGATGCCGATGCCGATGCCGTGGCCCCACTAGGGCAGTTCCAACCAATCACATTCAATTCTTAGAATCGGGAGAGCTTCCGACTATTTCACTATATCTTGTCACAGGATACGTCTATCCTATACCCTGTCAGGTGTTCATCAGCTATCTTGATACAGGAAAAGTGATCGGTGCACGCTGGGGGGTGTCACACACACATCACGAGATGCAGAGACAGGTCGGCTCAGCATCCGTCTCGAACGATTTCAAGAAGTCAGATAGCAGTGGCGTTGAACCCCGCGTTGTTCTGGCCTCATTAGAGCACGGTGCTGTCACCGGTCCCCCGCTCTACCCCGGGAATAGCTTCACCAGTACCAAGGGTCCGAAGCCGGGGGATGTCCCGATTCGAGCCGGCCTTGGATCAAAAAGCATAGGTGACCGCTGGAGGTTACATACATCATAAGTAGCAAATTTCAGGCCGTTAATAGCGAAAGTCGTTGAGTTTTGGTACATCATCTTAATCGTCTCTCACAACCACCCAAAATGGGCATTAGCAAGTCTGACCCTATCATTATCGTCGGCGCCGGAGCCTTCGGCCTCTCTACGGCCTATCATCTTACTTTGGCCGGATACACCGACATATCCGTTTACGACAAGCATGACGAGATACCCCCACAGGAATCCGCCGCCAATGATATCAACAAGATCATGAGAGCGGAATATGAGGACCCGTTCTACACTGATCTCACTCTCGTAAGTCACACCGTACATCACATCACCCGCCCCAATAGGTCCAGAATCTCACAACAAGTAAAGGAAGCTGTAAAGGCCTGGAAGTCGCCTCTTTTCGCACCACACTGGCATCAAGTCGGGTTCCTCCACTGCGTCTCGGAAGAGGCTCCTGTCAGGGCTGTTGAGACGCTTCAAAGATTCCAAAAGGCTGCAGAGAGGAGTCCGACCCTTGCCAAACATGTGATTCCTATCTCAGGAGGTAAGGACATTGAAGACAACGTGTGGCAGTACAAGGCAGGCCCGTGTTCTGGGTGGAAGGGCTATCTCAACACCTTTGACGGATATGTCCACTCTGGTAACGCCTTGATTGCCCTGTACAAAGCCACCCAGGTACGAGGTGTAAAGTTTTTCTTGGGACAGCATGGGGCCGTGAAGGAGATTGTTTACCAAAATACCCCTGGGGGAAGAAAAGCCACTGGTATCAGGACACAAAAGGGCCCACTTGTGACAGCGAAACTGGTCATTGTCGCCGTCGGCGCTGCTGCGGGTAGGCTGGTTCCCGAATGTGGCAAGCAGGTGGTAGCTAAGTCGTGGTCTGTGGCCCATGTCAAGCTCACGGATGATGAGACGTCGGCCCTGCGCGGCATCCCCGTCACCTACGCCCGCGACTTTGGTTTCTTCTTCGAGCCTGACCCCAAGACCAACCTGCTCAAGCTGTGTCCCATGGGCGGTGGATACGTCAACACTGACCCGAAGACTGGTGTCTCGCTCCCCCCATCCCACGCCGATAGTGCGTTCATGCCTTTGCACGATCAGCAGAAAGTGCGGAAGCTCCTTTCCCAAACCCTCCCAGAGCTCGCGAACCGCCCTGTTGTCAAACAGACTCTCTGCTGGTTCGCAGACACTAACGACTCCGACTTTATCATCGATTACGTGCCAAACTCCAACTCATCCGTTGTGCTCATGTCTGGCGACTCAGGACACGCAGCTAAGTTGATTCCTCTTATCGGAGATTGGGTGAAGAACTTGCTTGAGGCGGCGGATGATAAGCAACCTGTTCAAAGATGGCGTTGGAAGGAAACTGACGACAAGGATGGTAAATGGGGAGATACCGTCAGCTGGCGTCTTGGAAACACTACCGAGTTTGCAGAACTCCAGAATCCCAAGGCTTCTAGACTATAAATAGATGTATTTATACGCAGCGAATTGATTTTTACCTTCTTCTTTTAGCAAGGACGAATCATTAAGTGACTCTGGTCAGTTATTGGTGAGGAAGCACAAGTTACTTCGAGGCATGTCACAACGCACAGCTACCGACAAGCATTTTCTTCAATGGTGCGAATTAGTTGATGAAGTTCAAGATTGAAAACCAGAAAAAACGCCTGGATGAAAGTCAAGAAGTAAAAGAGTCGCTAAATCACTAAAATTTACCAAATGCTATGCTCAACAATTGTTTGTGACATCCACTCCGTGTCTTCATGCTCGATAGAATTTGCCATGTCCAATAATTGTGTCATGGTCAGCCCACTGTCAAAAACCTGCATTTCTTCCATGTTCCCTGGTATGGAGGAGTTGTAACCCTCGTTTTGAGAGACATCTGTCCCCAACGACGAAATAACAGTGTCATTGGGGCTGGTGTCATCAGCGTGCGTCTGCTGAGGAGCATCGCTGACCACACCGCACATCGCCTGCTCCGGCATGCATGGGGACAGCTGCTGCAGCATGATTTCAAGTTGCTGCAGTTCTGTTTTGTGGAAAGATGCCACGGCGTTTCCTGCTGCGATCATTTCGTCAAAAACGCAATATGCTTTCTCGAGCGACGGATAAAGGTTATCAAAAGAGTGTGGGTCGATGGCAGGCCCGAGAAGGAGACTGCCTGCAGACACGAAGGTTGCCTCTAGGTCGAACGGGAGGAAGGTCTCTGGGCACCCGTGTGTTAACAGAAGCCCAACTGATGTTGCTAGACTGACTTACCCAACAGGCCCTGAGACAGCAGACAATCCAAGATGGCAACCATTTGCTGGGAGGAATCAATACACATATTGATCAGATTGCGAACCGTCTGCGACGCCCCCAGAAGCTCAGCACATTTGCTCTCGGATTCAAATCGAACCTTCAGAAAGCAGAAGAGTAAAGGTCTTGTGGCGAGGACAATACACTAACAAGGACATCAGTCAGCGTTTTCCATATCCCGTAGAGCGGCCATAGCGAGGAGTCACATACCTGGTGATGAAGGAGGTGCAAGTGAGCCGATATCCTCGAGATGCAGCTAGTATCTTTCTCGAGTGGTAAGGCAAAAGACTGCTGGAGCTCATTTGCAACCTCAGCCATGCTCTCCAGCACATCCTTGGTCCCCAGCATGAACTTGTTATTTAGTCTTCCATCTCGACCGTATACCTCTGTGCAAGTCTTTGTGAGCCAAGTTCGTGCAGTTCGAGCAAGATGAAATTAACTTACTCCTGTTGATGCTGCCTATAACCTCCGATAATTTTATCCTCATGCGCAAAGCTGCGGTCCGTTGTGTTGACCCTGAATATGTGGGAAGCTGACATAGAACATAATCTTCATGTATTGAGGGAGGTAGTCCCATCAAGGATGTGATTTCTCTGTCCAAGATGTGGACTGTCCACCACAATCTGCGACACCTCTCAACATGCGCCTCTCCCAACTGCTGAACTGGCATATCTGTGTGCATGCCCTCTCCCATTGCCATCCTTATGGCCTGGCCAATGAAGTTGTGAGAGGAATGTCGAAAATCGATGCATTGCATATAAAGAGCAATGCAGCAGAGAATTTCGGTCGATAGAGCGGATTGCCTCAGTAGCACGCTGAGATCCGGGAGAAGCTGGACAGCTTTGATGAAGTAGTCATGGCCGGGAGGCTTTGAACTTCGGTTGGCCTTGGTAGTGAATGCTTTTCCAAAGGCGAGGATCAATAAAAAGTGGATAAACCACAAATCCGTGGGATCAGCTCTCGGGTTTGGATCTGCATAAAAATGGTAGAGAGACTTCATGAAAGATTCTTCATCAAAAAGATGGAACATCTGGCTGCAGTGAAACTTCACTGCGTTAACCAGGTAAATGGCGTAGTCTAGGGTTGGCAGGGCGGGCATCTCCGGGCCTTCTCCGATCCTGTAGCCGTCCCAATCGAGCATGTAGGCGGCAGCATCGAAGATCAAGGCGCTTGTCGGAAGAGGAGTCTTGTTCACATATTGGTGCGTGATGTTGAGTACGCGACGAGTGAAGGACCAGTTAGAGGACGTTCCTAGATAGACTTGTGCTGTTAGATTGCAGCCTGCACAATGGTGCAGCTTTGTGGGCGACGTACATATTCGCCCAGTAGGGGCCTTCATAAACTCAGACTGCCCAGATGATAATGGGTTGGTGAGATTTGAGGCCACGGGGTCCATTGGTAGTTTCGGCCGAGTGTCTTGTTTCTCGGCACCTCTCGAGGCCAGAGGTGAGGCCGGGCCTTCTGCACCTGGCATGCCTACATCGCTCTCTGCTCCCCTAAATGGTTAGAAAGTACAACAAGGGGGACGTCTGAGGTGACCAACCACTCTCTGTTTTGTCGGTAGGCAGAGCGGCCTCAATCGAGTCCTGGGAAGGCTCGTTTGTGCTTTTGCTCCGTTCCCATCGTTCAATCCGTTGTTGTAAGTCAATGATATAACTGCACGACACGGGTTAGAATGTAATTTCAATCAGGCCATGGCGAAATTACCCTCGAGTGACGACGATTCTTTGGTCGCGCTCATCGAATGTGCAGGATTGCTTACGCTTGCCGCAGGCATCGCATGGCTGTGATCCAGAACACTTGATTTTCTGCCGGCGACACCTCACGCAGCTTCGCCCAGTGTGTTAGTGACTGCAACATTGCCTGACGGCCGGCATCCGAAAAAGCCGCACTTACGCATTGGAAGATCTTTTCGTAACCTTGTTGCGGCCGGCTCCTGGTTCCATTGTGCCGTGCCAATAAACCCAAGATACTCTACACACAAGGAAATGTTCAACCAGACCAATATACTGATACAGCCACAGGCCCCGCGACTGTCGTGCGAGCCTCAAGCCTAAGGTGTTGCTGTACGTTGCAGGACCAGAAACGCGGGGTAAAGATGTGGATACGGATTGTTGGGTCTGACAAGGGTGTTTTTTTTGTCTTTGCTTATCTACAAAATCTGCCGTCGGGGTCTAGTCTCAAGTTTTTGCATCGGTGATAAGGACTATGTATATGCTAGTCGCCACCTTAAAGCCCGATAGCGGCGGAAAACTAAGTCGCATGCTGCAGCAAAGCTATCTTTTACAAGATAAACGATAGTGTTACACTAATAACGACGCCTCCGGAAAGCCGGTGGTATGTCGGTTTCTGGAACCAGACGCAGACACCCTTGTTGTCAGAGAAGACATGTAACAATAGGTATCTCTCTGAAGGTGGAAACAACTAACTTTGCTGCCAATGAGGAGAAACAGCTGACTGACGCCCCTAGTTAGTTGTTTGCGGGGAAAGAGAACGGCATACTACTCCGTCCTCCGTGTTGGCATCTAGCATGTAGAGGACAGGTCAGCCTACCACAATCAAACTAATGTAATGTGTATCACTAGAAGCAAGTGGGTCGTCCGATAATACCGAACGAGGGGGCGAACGTATTGATGCATTAGTATGTTAAGATATGCCAAATGCCTCGTGCTCTGCCAAAAAGAAGAAGAAAAAAAGGGCTGAGGAGAAGTCCAGGTAGGGATTCTGTAAAAGGCCGCGGACTCTTCCTGGGCGCAATGCCTGGTGGACACTGCATTAGAGCCCGTATTTTCGCCGACTAATCTGGCGACACTGGTGACACAATGTCTGATCGCCTGGTGGAAGCGCTTTTTTTCTGGTACGTAACAGATTCTCCACGCCGTCATCTCATCGTCTCTGGTCTCCCCATGGGGAAACGGAAAGTTAACATCGTGGCTGCATTCAAGCTCAGATTTCCACCTGTCTTAATACGTACCAGAATGGAAACTATCCGACTGTGACATCAGGAAGAGCGCTTGAGCTAACCATGGTTATTGCCATCACGCGTCTCCCTTACCTCATGCGCCTGGTCTGCCCTAGGGGTGGCACGGAGCAGATTTTTCTCGGAGTAAGTCGGGACTGCTTCCGTTGAGGACGGACAACTGACCGGATCCTCATCCGATGGTGTTTTGCAAGATTCGGAGGCTCCGCAGCTTGCAAGGATCTATGCAGCGAAGGACCCTTAGATAGGCCAATGCCCGGCGAGTCATGGAGACGCTGGTCTCCGCTTTGGAAGTCTGCACCTGAAGCTGCGCTTGACCGACCGCCTCATTGTTGAAAGACCGGGGCATTTGACCCGCTAGACGCAGTCGTGTTTGCCAGGGCAGGAGGCAAAATAGCCTTCTGTTCATCTGCGCATTCAGATTGCTGCCTATCTTTTGCGTTGCTATGAGGGTTTTTCGCGGCAGCAGAGTTGTGATCTGAAGCTGATAAGATCCGGACTATCCGTGGGTGTTACATGTTCGGTTGGCAAGTGATATCAGATGAATATTTTCCCTTGGTTGCCTATCGCCCCTAATGTTGCGTGTGTGTGTCAATGTGTCTTTGTCCATGTCGGAACAGCATCCGACCGCAAAAAATCTGGTGGGAATAACGCTCACCAGGATATGTTTTTGCCGGACAAAGACCGAAAGTGCACCGTTTAGCTTGACCCTGAAGAGATTGTACCCACAACGAGTCATTTAGCCCCTGAATCCTAGAACATCGTCCCTTATGACGTAGGTCTGGCTGATGTAGTCTGGGGAAAACATGGGGTGGCTCTCGAAAAATAGGTACGTAATTTATCTCGCGCAGTAGGTTTTGTCCTATTCGCTGTTGTTGGAAGAACCTGTCTTGCTGATTGAAGCGTGAACCTTGGTTCTTGGCTCCATGCCCCTGGCGGCATTGCCCATGAGTTAGGAGACGTAGAAGAAAGGCGGCTCCAGCGCTAAACCAAATCTTGTTCAAAAGCGGCTGATTCCCAACCCCAAAAACGCCTTCAGATGTTTTGAATTCTCTATCCTCCTGTAGCTGACTTCGAGTCAATTCAAAGTACTAGGCTTCCATACCTGATCTTTAACGCTATTCTTTTGGCTATCCATCTTATTCGTTTACATTGGCCTTCAATGTCTTACGACACCAAGACAGCCCACTTCGCCTCCTAAACGCCTACCTCGATCTCTTCAAGAGAGTGCAAAAATTTTTCGACACACGACATCCGACGTTCAAAGTGACTGCTTTTTTTAAGTATTGAAAAAAGAAAAAAGAGAAAAGAAAATCCAATACTGTGACTTTGACGTTGCCTTCGAATCGAAAACCACGTACCAATTCCACCGACCAACAGTAAAAAAAAAAAAAAATGGCTATCGATCATAAGAACAAAGAGGGCCACCTCGGCGAGTTGGGACAAGTCTCAACTGAGTCGCAGGTTGGAGTCATCATGGATGATCCGAACTGTGCGTACGACGCTGTGTTCGGTGAAATCGGTGAAGGCGGTCCCAATTATCGCAATGTAAGACTTTTTACGGGTGACGACGCTCCGATCAACTACTAATCCCAACCCTAGGTCGGGTGGCTTGGAACTGCTGCTCTCATGATGAAGACCCAGATCGGACTGGGAGTCTTGTCCATTCCCAAAACTTTCCATTCGCTGGGCATTGTGCCGGGTGTGATTGCGTTAATCCTCATCGCCGGTATCACCACGTGGTCTGACTACATTGTCGGCGTTTTCAAGCTGAACCATCCCTCGGTTTACAGCATTGACGACGTCGGTGGCCTGCTATTTGGTGCCATCGGCCGTGAGTTCTTCGCCGTGGTATTTTGTCTCTGTAAGTCCCTGCGCGTGGTTCAATCGTGACGCCGAATTTTGGTTCCTAATAAGCGCCCATAGACTGGATCTTTGTTGCCGGATCTGGCATGCTCGGTGTCTCCATTGCGCTCAACTCCGTCTCCACTCACGGAGCATGCACTGCGATTTTTGTTGCACTGGCAGCCTTCGTTGGCTTCTGCTTTGGTAGCATCCAGACGCTCGGCAAAATTACTTGGTTTGCCTGGATTGGTCTTGTGGCCATTCTCAGCTCAAGTACGTAGACCTCTCTCCCTGCGAAAGAAAACAAATTTTGTGTGAACTCGTCATCTAACACTCTCCGCAGTCTTCACTCTGACTGTTGCCGTTGGCGTCCAAGACCGACCGGCCGCTGCCCCTCAGGAAGGTGTCTGGGTATCAGACTATGTGATTGTTGGAAACCCGAGCTTTTCTGAGGCTGTTTCCGCCCTGTCGACTCTCGTTTTCGCCTTCGCTGGTACCCCGGCATTTTTCTCCATCGTATCCGAGATGCGTGAGCCGCGTCACTACCCTCGTGCGCTCTTCATCTGCCAGGGTGTCGTTACCGGTACATATATCTGCATTGGAGTCGTCGTCTACTACTTCTGTGGCTCCTACGTCGCCTCTCCCGCTTTGGGATCCGCTGGAGTACTCATGAAGAAGGTCTGCTACGGCCTCGCCCTGCCTGGTCTTATTGTCACGACTACGATCGTCATCCACGTAAGTCCCCACATCCATGGCCAACCTGTGAAGATCATTTACTAATATATCATGCAGTTGCCGGCCAAGTACATGTTCATCCGCATGCTCCGAGGCTCCAAGCATCTTACCGCCAACACCGCCAAGCACTGGATCACCTGGCTGGGCTGCACTTTTGGCGTTGCCCTTATTGCGTACCTCATTGCTAGTTCTATTCCTGTTTTCGATGGCTTGGTGTCTCTTGTCGGTGCTCTATTCGGAACCCTTCTCTCGCTCCAGCCAATGGGTTGTATGTGGCTCTACGACAACTGGAGCGCTGGCAAGCTTGAGAAGAACCCGCGGTGGATTGCTATGGTTTGCTTCAGTGTATTTGTGATCGTTGCTGGTTGTTTCCTGATGATTGCTGGTGCTTATGGCTCTGTTGTTGGCATCATGGCGACCTACAAGAAGTCGGGAGGGTCCAGCGCATTTTCCTGCGCGGACAACTCAAACTCCGTGGCACATTAGTGGAGTTATGGTGGCGGATTAAGATACCAATTTGCAAGTTTTGAATGATTAAAAGCGAACATATACAAAAAGGGGCTGTGCCTCACATGCGGTGTCTATGATGTGTCTATGAGGCAAGAGCGTCACTGGAGGCAAATAATATGATGATCGACTGTGAGAGACGTCCCGAGTCAGCCTCTCTGAATGATGTCCGAATAATCCCGCATAAAATACATTCTATTGGCTGTGAGATTTTGCTGAATCGAGAGCCGGCCCTCCAATACAGGATAAGCTTTTCAACGGGAACCCTGCAGATACTTGTGTCCAAGATGGTAGTGATGTTCAACAGACCCCCACCTTCGACCAGAACAGGGTATTGTTTTCGTACTTTCTGTTCGGCGTTAAGCGGAACGATTCAGTTTGCAGTTGTTGGTTTCTTCAGTACAGCTGCCAAGTCCAACTGCCTTACAACAACAGATTCGGCATCCACTAGTTGTTGAAGAAGCTGACTTCCTCGCCAAGACTGGTAGTTCTTGGCACGCACAGAACGATTGATGTTCACGGAAAACGACAGTATTCATTTTGAACGCAAAATCCTAAAATTAAACAAGTAGGATGTTTATGCTAACTAGCATGCTATAGAACTGGCATACAGCCCCGCATAAATCCGTTTATTTGAAACATGCGGGAATGGAAAATTTCTCCATTATTTATAGGAAATCACGTCTTCGTACGACGCGGAAAAGATTAATTAACTTTTAAAGACCAATGAAAAGCTGAACATTATTGTGCCTGTGGTTTTCTCTCAATCTATATTTGGACTGGTCTTTCTGCGGCCCTTGCCAACTAGGATTATCTAGTTTCTCTCGGTGACCTCCGTTTTCAACAACAGAGATTTCTACTGGGTGACTTCAACCATAAATAATATTACCTGAAGTTTCATACAAATAACTGAATGGAGATGATTCGCGTGCAGAAAGAGCATCAATGACGGTGTAAGTTTCATTGAGTAAATTTGTTTCTGTACCCCAACTCAGTCAGGATAGTACCATACAGTCGAAGATTTCTATAAAAACAATTTTCTTAGTCTTCAAGTTTCATCACTTCATTTCCGAACGAGTCTCCTGGCAGTGATCTTGCCAGACCGTTGCATCTTATCCAATATAAAGTTGTCGATTTTGACAAAACCTTTGGCGTTTTCCCTAGCTCCACATAAGTCCTACCTATGCCGACAAGTAGTGTGTAATTGTGACAACAGGCACAGCAAAGCATGCTACAACGTAGTAATAATGCAGAGTAGAACATACTGATAATCATTCTGTCTCTACCAAAACTTTGGCCTTTTGCCATAGTGGCTACCCTGACTGCTCGTAACATTAGAAAATGTTTTGGATAACGTCACAACGTATAATCCAAAGACGACTTGAAGTTCGAAACCAGCCGGGTGATACAGCAATAGGGGGGACTTCAACTTTGTGGGAGCTTGTAAATGTGCTATTCTCAAGTCAAGTGTTTGACATGGATATGTGTGGTTATGAGTCCTGTCTGTGAATTCCAGCGAAATGGTCTTCACCGCCTCAAAGGGGCAATACGTCCGCTGCCAGAAAATATTGCAGAAAGCTAGTGTGAAGCTCCTGTATGCGCTGGGTATGAACTTTGCGCCAAATAGATAAATTATTTTGGCGATCGTAGCCTCCCGGCTGCTTGAGGTAGCCGCGTCACCGCATATAAGCGGAGACACATTTCTGTCCGGCTTTTTGGCATGGGTTTTTGATGCACAAAGCCACTCAAGCATCTGATCTTGTAGCTTTTGGCAGTCTCCCGCCGGACGTTGAAGAAAGCATCATAACTTTACCCTATTAAGAATGATCAGTGTCCCAAGTAACGTTCGTGAAGGCGATTGGTTGTGGCGACTGTTCAATACCTAAACGAACTTCTGCTAAAGGTTCGTTTTCGGCTTTCACATTTTGCAAATGTTATCTCAATAAGCCCCTACCTAGCACTCCAACAACCTTTCAGTGGGGGATTCAAACATCGTAATTCGTATTGGGCAATAAGGCTAATCTTTCCCACGTGTTTGGGTTTGGTGGGTGACACACCCTCTTTGATTTTGGGTTTTGACGATGTTGTTTGAGCGGGGAATGAGCCAGTGGGTTACTGATCAAATGAAAAGCAACTCACATGAGCACTCATGTATAGATAAAAGCTATTTCTGGAAGCCTCATGTCTTAACAGTTACATCCTATGTCCTCTTGGCAGAGGCACTGTGATTTGAATTCCCGAAAATGAACATCAAAAGTCCTTGCTGGTAGACAAAGTCTAGTGCTAAAGCCCTCGTAATTGGCTGTGTCTTGTTATCGTGGCAGTCAAAACAATGCTATTTAATCTTCAGCCCAAGGAATGTTTGGCGCGACTTACAGGTGGTTAGCCTGATCTGTAATATGCCCTTCGAAAGAGGTTCAGGTTCGGAATAATTTAAGAGTTATAAGCGCCCGTCATCCCGATGTTTGTTCTTGAAAAAGGCACCAATCAAGTTTTCTGAATACCTTCTACGTAGTAACCGGACCCAGGGCTAACACACTCTCGTCGAATGAAGATCATGTCTGCTTTGTAGGCGGGACATAGGTGCGGGGAACTGCGTCGGGAATTGACATCCGAGTTCGTTCCACGTTTGGTTACAGTTCTTATATGCATAAATGTTGTCTGGATAGAATTTGGTTGGTCCGGAGCGTACCAAAACACCGAAACGCTCATCTGAAAACCCAATACTTCTTATGCGTGAAATACTCCGCCCTCCATACTGGAGAAGTTGGGGGTGATGTATGCGTCACTGGACAGCTCGTTTAGCAGAAAGTAAAAAGAACACGCTCGTATTTTATCTCACGCTACCCCTTCTCTGTCAATGCCATGTAGCCAGATTATGTGAAGCGCTGTGGAATCACAATGATGAAAACGGTAGACCTTACTGCCGCCGTTACGGCTCATTATCTTCCAATCTTGAAGATCATCTTGATTACTGTAGGTGAATTCATCAATAATTGTGGCTCGTAACCTCGTCCATAGTAGGCATCAGACCTTTTACAAGTAACTGACCAAACGGTGTAGGCTGTTCTGTGGCAATTGCTAGCTGCGGGCTACAATTTGTTCTTCCATCCTCTTCGCAAGTATCCAGGCCCTCTTCTACAACGTGCCACGTCATTACCTTGGGCTTTACAAAATGCGACAGGAAACCAAGCCTTCTGTACCCAAAAACTCCATGACCGCTACGGGCCAGTGGTGCGCATTGGTCCACGCCACTTGTCGTTCACTCATGCAGATGCGTGGAAAGACATTTATGGGTTCCAGCCCAGCAGCAAAGGTTCGACTGAGATGCCCAAGTCCAAAGTGTTTTCTGAAACGATCGAGGATCTACCCAAAAGTATCCTCAATGCCGACCGTAACAACCACCAGCGGCTCCGCCGTGCACTAGCACACGGTTTCTCAGACAGTTCAATGCGAGAGCAAGAAGACCTGATTATCAAATACATCGACAAGCTTGCCTCCAGGCTTTCGGAATACTCCAGGAATGGAACCAAAACCTTTAATATTGAGGCCTGGTATAATTGGACAACTTTTGATGTTGCGGGTGATCTAATTTTTGGGCAATCCTTTCGCTGCCTCGATCATGCCAATTACCACCCCTGGGTTGCTTTCGTATTTAGCGCTATACGGCTCGGTGCCGTTATGACCTCTTTGAGATATATAGGCCTAGGCTTTGTTGTCCAAGCTCTGTTCAAGATTGGTGGAATGAGAGCAATGGCGAAAGTCAGGGAGAATACAGATGAGATGATGGAGGGTCGAATGAAGATGACTTCGGAGAGGAAAGACCTGTTTGAAGGGCTTCTGAGGAGGCGTGAGGAATGGGTAAGGTTCTCTTTTTTCATTCATTTAAGACGCTCAAGGTTGTCTTGTGCTAATTCAGTTGGCAGAACCTCTCCTTCGATCATCTTTCTGCAAACGCTCTAATCCTAGTGCTGGCCGGATCGGAAACGACTGCGACAACTCTCTCAGGCGCCACTTATCTGATTCTAACTCACCCAGAGGTTCACGAAAAACTAAAAGCAGAAGTTCGATCAGCTTTTAACAGCTCGAGTGAAATTAACATCAACTCAGTCAGCAAGCTTACATACATGTTGGCAGTACTGAATGAGACTTTGCGACTATATCCACCAGTAACATCCGGACTTATTCGAGAAGTTCCGGTCAATGGCTACAACATAGTTTCAGAGCACATTCCTGAGGGAGTAAGTTTTTGCGGAAACACATATTAAGACGAAGACGAACTAACAAGTATACTACATGCAGACATTTGTTGAAATTCAACAATGGTCATCAAACCATAGCCCCGATAACTGGACTGAACCGTGGGAATTCAAACCTGAACGTTTCTTGGAGGACGAGAAGAGCAACAAAAACAGACTCGATTCTCTCCAAGCGTTTAGTGTTGGTCCTCGCAACTGCATCGGTCGAAAGTACATATTTCCCATGCCCGGATGTCACACAGATCAGCATCGCTAACAATAAAACAGCCTAGCTTATGCAGAAATGAGACTGGTTTTGGCCCGAATCATGTTCGACTTTGATCTCACATTGGGAGAGGGCAACAAAGCTTGGATTGAAAGGCAACGGGCATTTGGTCTTTGGGATCGGATTCCATTGAGCGTGTCTCTGAAACCAGTTGTTCGATGAGAGTATCCCTTTAAGTCAAAAATGGGAAGAATTGAAGATTGTTTGAAGCAACAGGCTTGGTCCCCTTGAGTTGAGTCGGGTTGAAATTAAAGATATATAACAATCGGTATTCAATTAATTAATACCCAAGCGGATGTTTATCCAGACTGTCATAGAAGAAAGACGCCGCGTTGGTATCCAAAAAGATGTTACCATCAAACCCATCTAGTTGTGAGCTTTCCAGGCCGGGAAACAGTGTAGCGTCCGCAGGGGCAGCCGCAGCCTGGGCCGGCCATTGCTGAGCCAAATGAATGGGCTGGCTAGAAGAGAAACATTCATATTTCCTCAACCTCTCAACCACGGCCGGCGCCTCAATGGTCTGGCCAATGTTGCGGAATGCCAGCTCACGCCGCTGCCACCCGGCAATCAGGTTCTTCGCTCTCTGACCATTGTCCTTCTTCCTCAAATCATAAAGTTCTGGGTGGTGGAGGTATACTTTATCGACTAGCCTCCATGCTCTGTCCACAAAGATGCCCGTTGGCTGCCACTGCAGCAACTCGATCATGACAGAAAGAGCGTCCGTTTGCAGGTGAAGCTTACAGTACCACAGAAACTTCTCGTCTATAATGTCGTACCACTTGAGGTCGCCTTCAAAGTTAATCACCCATGCCCGGAAGAAAGATTGCTGACTTCCCAAGCCTTCAAGGTTCTCACTAGGAGGCTCCCGTGCGTGGGTAATCAGATCGCGCATCCGCTCGGTTATCATGACACGAACGTTGCAAGCTACTTTATGGATACCGCCAATAGTAGGATTGCAGTATCGTCGTTCGGCAGCGATCAAACGCTCTTCCAACTGATCTAGGAGAAATCCATATTTGTCCAGTGACTGGGCTCCAATGAGTTTTGTTGGGTCCTCTGTGTTAGGGTTGGCTTGTCCCAAGATCGCTGCCTCAAATTCCGGTACAGGATTCTCACAGAAGAATTGTCGAGATTCGTATAAAATCAAACATAAGGCCATCTCGGTTGCTCCATCTCGTGAGCGTAAAGGCTCTTGGGAGCCAGGTAATAGGTCAGCATCATTGAGGTTGCTTGGAAGCTTGGTGTCCCAGTTAGGTGGTAGTAAAGTGTCGCAGAATCCTGCAAGAAGGGCGTATTTGGTTTCCAACATGATTATCTGCCACCATATTCGTCGACGCATTTCCGTTTCAAAAGGCGGTAAGTCTAGGAACTCTCCATCGCGATGAAGTCCCATCCTTTGAGCTATCCTTACCAGCGTTCCTGTCAAAACCCAAGACGCATAGCGGTCGAATTGACCTTGAAGCGAGACCTGCAGTTCAGTTAGAAATGATTGACTGGTAAATGACTTTGACTACATACCAAATACAACACCAGACACTGCAAGATAGTAAGGTTGTACCTTCGGAGAAAGTCCACCCTTGTGAGTGCTTTTCGCAAGGCAGAAGTTGACTTCTCGAGAGCTTTTTCCTTTGAGATTTTGAGAATCTGTTCAGATTCGAGTTCTGAGAGAGCCATTATTGCGAGTACATTGATGGAGCATAGCAAAGCCTCAATATCGGGGGTGACATTGCCGTGATCTGTAGCTGCTTCGAAGACGAGGGGTTCCAGACTCGGCACGTGTATGACTTTCGTCATGGGATTTACGCGTTCTAGAAACACTTGCCATAAACGGAGCATTTCCACTGGACCTAGAGCTAACAGATCAAAGTCCATGGATCCCCGACTGCTGAGGTTCCCGTTGTCGTTGACATCTGAAGTTGCAACAGAGTCCGGGGAGTCTGTGGACTCGCCAGCCTCATCGTCAAGGCTTAAATTCGAAAATTGTAACTAAAGTCTTTGTCAGAGCTTGCCAGAGGCTAATGTGCGGTCAAACATAACAGCTTTACTCACATGGTCAACGACATTTGACCGAAGAGGGCTCTCCATAAAGGTACGGCGGCCCCCATCAAGAACGATTTTTCCATTGGGTCTTTGGCTCGGTTGTTTGCGAGCTTCCTCATAACTCATATACGACATTGAAGGGCTGTCTGCCGCAGGAGTTCCACCCGCGATAGAGCGGCCGTCCGCATCACGCGGAGTGACCTGATTTAAGAGCGACTCGCATTGGTTCAGCCTCTCTAGTAAATCTTTTACCACGCGTCTTCTTCCGGCTCCCGGAGGGGCCCGCGTAGATGGGACGCACTGTTGGTCGGCCTGCCTCGCATCAGTGGGATGCTTTCGGCTGCATCGGCAACGCACAAACCTTTATGCAATTTGCACAGGGTGATTTCCGGTCACACTTGATTTTCCGCTGGTGACAGAAAACACACGCCAAGACATGCGGCGGCTTTCCGGGTGCCGCGCTGTTGCTCTGCTGCGTTGTTCGGCTTTCGGCTGCCATCGAAGCGACTTATATACTCTCTCTGATTTCGTGGCTTGCTTATGAATTTTTGAGCCGGCCTGATGACGCTGCGTCAGGCGGGGACACTATTTATGTATCTTTCGGTGCGGCGGAGACAGGGACCGGCCGTTTGTGCAGTCCGATTGGGCTGACTAGGCTTAATTTGGTTAGCGACCGGGGATCCATGGCAGTGAACTGAAATGTATGCTTGGTAATTACAATTTGAAAGGTACGCATCATGTCAGTAGACAGGAAGAAACTTTCCGTTGGTTTTTACGAAACTATCATTCTCGTTATATAACCATAATCTTGCGGTATAGCAACCTTATCCCATTGCGATTGTCGGAGAACTATAACCCATAAAAACGCCCACAATAGCCTAGAAAGAAAGGACGATTTATTTGTCAGCATACATGAACTTGTGTTGAACTTGTATTCAAACAATCACGTAGGAGATAAATTCTCTAGTTTTTACGCTTTATCTCTAGTTTAATCTAGCAGACCCCCCTTCTGGAAAATAATTATCTGCCAGTCCTTGGTAGAACATGGGATCAAGGTCGGGAATGAAATAACTAAAGATGCCCATAACATCGGTGCCCATCAATGTTCCTAAAGAATCTTGGTTTAGGTCATTTTCGAAAGAGAATTCGGGAAAATTCGATGGTATTTGATTCGTCATTAAAGCGTCTTCGGGCATCTCCTGTGACAAAACTTGACTTAATATTGGGTTTTGGGATGGGGTCAAATAAGCTTACGGCTGACAGATCCAAGTTCATGGAAGTAGGCTGTTTAATATTCCTTACTCCGTCTCCAGGGGGGTCAATTGTCATAGGTGCCACGTCTGACACGTTCGGTGAAGTCCCTGCAAGGGTTGTGGGTTTCAACTCGGAGAGCTGTACTTCGTTCACATAGTCCCGTGCAATGTTGGCGAACTCCCCGATTAAAGACCCTGGAACGGTGCCTCCACTTGCGTACTCAATCCTGCTAAAATGGCCAGCTCCTATGTCGAGGAGTGCTAAGTTTGTAGCTGTACCTGGCTGTCGAGGGTCGTGAACAACAATATCGAATATCACAAATAAAGCCGATATGGGGATTCCGGCAATTACCCTGGATGACAAGAGTTAGCTGGGCGATTGTTGATTAATGAGAAATAGCTCTTCCTACCAGGTCACTGTATAGGGTTCCACGTCAATAATGGTCGTCAATTCCAGAACAGCTTGAGATGCGTTTAAAACAGTTTTCAGATGAGAACTCTTTTGCATCAAGGCAGTTGAATCTTCGGGATTGGCCAAGTATACCAATGAAGTCATTGATAAAGTGAGAAGAAGGCTGTAGTAAAGGTAGTGAATCATAAGTGCCATGGATCTTGCGAGGCTGCCCGAAAGAGCCTGAGGGCGAACACGCCCCTTTGGTTGGAAACCACTGTCGGGCAAGGACGATCGCCACTCCTCTAATTCTTCAGCCAATTGTCTTATGACGTCGAGATAGTACGAGTTGGAATTTCCCGATACACCCACTGAGAACAAAGATGTATATGCGCGGGAAAGAAGACGTCCAAACCGGATAAAGTGCAAAAATGAGTTAAAATTCCCAAAGCTTGCCTCAGGGACTATAGGTATTGGACATGATATGTCGCTATCAACAAACCCCTTTTAAATTTAGCATGATTGTTCAGAACTTTCGGTATCATCTTATGCTTACTGAACTCCTTCCAAAATGGAAACTTGAGATTTTTTCAATGGAATAGAGGATCCAAAATGTCTTTTGGTAAGCGTGCGCTGCGCTTCCGGTTAAGTTGCTGTTCGACATCATCTGCGCCCGCCTTGTTGCCTCGGACATGATAACTGGTTCTACAGCCACCCCAGATATACCCAACCCATATATCGACATGAGAGTTAAGGCCTGGAGCGTGGTGAGGGAGTCTGGGAGGAGCAGAAGGTCCGAGAACCCACTAAGAGCGACAGCAAACAGGTTCCAGGATTCCCCTTTACCTGCCTCGAAAGTCCCTCCGCCAGCATATTGACAGCCTAAAGCGAGCACTGTATAATACAAACACGACAATGGCTTGCTAAGTTTTAGATGAGAAGGGAAGTCCTTTCCGGAGACAGTGGCCTCAAACAATGCTTTGTCAAGGATTGGAAAGAGAGAGTGTACGCGTTCGAAATATACTGGCACCAATTAGCTTCTCAGTTGAACAGGTTGTTTTTCGGCTGGAGATATTACGTCTGGTGTATAAAGAAGCCTTTGCCCTGTCGATAACGAGATCTGGTTGTTGCATACGGCGTGGAGGAACACTTGAATCATCACGTCTCAGTCGCCCGTTCACAACTGTAGATATTCTCCCCACAAGTTCGTTGACTCTGTTGTTGCGCAGACGTGTTGAGAGAGAAAGCAGCCGGCTGTCTGAGAAAAAAGTCAGGCTGTTGCGACCACCTACTTTGGATTAGTAGAGTTCAGGGCACCTGGTTTGCATGGTATGGATACCGAAAATGCCACTACGCTGTCACTAGGTTAGCAACAGGATGTGATGAAATCACAAACAAACTTACCGGTACAAACACTAGGTCATCTTCCTTTCTATGATTGGAAGTTCTTGGCCTCTGTGCTTTCAACAGTACGCGGTCGACGTACAATTCTTGAATGCGGTGGGGCGGTGATCGTGGTTCTGGTGATTTTGAATTTGAACTTCTCTTTTGGCCAGAAGTTGATAGATCTAGGACGGCTTTGGCGTCGGGAGCGCTGGGAGTCTGCCGGCTACTGGAGTCGTAGTTTTTTGGTAACAGCTGGCCAGCAACTGACTTCGAGTCAGCCGCGTTATATCTCTCTGTTTCTTACATCGAGCAATTAAGAAAGTTTTAGAGTGGAGTGAACTACGTTGAGATCAAGAAAACCCAGTCACCATCGGGAAAGACTAAAGACTTACCATTTTTTCTATGTGCTAGTCTCTTTACACTAAAGCGACATTCTGTTTCACGCCGCTTCTCAGTTTAATAATGTTAGTCGTGGATGATTTTATGAAAATCTTTTGTTCCAGCGTACCACACAGTTTGCACAAGGACCAGGCGGACCGGAGCCTATGACGTTAGCTGACGTTTCCTTCTATAAGACAGCTGGAATTTGACAAAAAAAAAAAAATCCAATCTTTTAGCTGTGATGTGTGTAATTAGGCGGAATACATACTGGGGCAGCGAACTTTTCGTGTCTTACACGCATCGCAGGATTTGTGAATGCGGGCCCCGACGGGGGCCGGACTGGCGGCAGGACTATCATCTGGCATATTCTTGATGCTAAAGGGATGGAGATGAATAATATTCAAGAAACTGCCCTAAGTTCGGCGCCAGACACGAAACAGTGGGAAACGAGGAAACCAAAGAGCTGCATCATCTTTGGGCTGAAGTGGTGGAGCCAAACGATGGTTTTGGCTTTCACATGGTTCTCGTCTCGGCGCCGAACTGCCATAATGGGTAAGCCCCCACCGGGGCCGGATAATATCACCGTCCGTTAGTTATCAAAGGCTAGTGGGCAAACTGCACAGGCTTGTGTGAAATTTGTTACGGTAGGAGGATGTGGGGAGACTTAGCAACGAAGACCGTGAAATTTACAAGTGCATTAAAGAATATATATGGGAACTACAAAGCGATCAACTGAGGACTGATAAGCAGCTGAACTGCTCTAAGAATTACGATACTAATCAACGGCTCGGTCCACCAATTCAGACACGCGCGGCGGAGGCCCACACTTTTAAGCCCTTACCTAAATTATGGAGTGTATGATGGAAACCCAAAGGTATTAACAGTCCTTCTCTACACTTGAACAATCTTAAGTGGGTTTAATAAATGGCACTAATAACGAGGATTATAGGTGACACATAGGAGGAAGTTTGAACACTAGCATAGCAAGCCTGCCCGATATCCCGTCTCATACTACCATGCTGTATGTACGTAATCAATACCGTCATGAACAACTCTTCAATTAGAAGAAACAAAAACAAGAAAATGATTATAGTCCAAAATTTATTATATACAGCACAAGCTGATCAGTTGAAAGCGCCGGAAAGTGAAAAAAATCTATCAATCTGATAGAGGCAAAATCAAAACAATATGCGAGGGCTCAATCGGGGATCGAACCCGAGACCTCGCCCATTCCCGCTGTGCGGAAGGGTTGTGATGTTGCACAAGCACCCGAAGGGCGAATCATACCACTAGACCATTGAGCCGATATCGGATTTCCGTAGACGAAAACCAATGGTTGATCCAGAATGGGCTGATTGCGCCTCATAGATGCACGATACGCAGAACTGCGGGTCAGTGGTGGGACTTGAACCGAGCCGAGAGTACCAAAGTAAGCCTAGGCTCAATGTTTGATGTAAGCGATAGACATACTGAGCATAGTCAGTAATGTAGTACTTCATTCAGTTGCTGACACGCGTGCTCATTTGAGAGCATGTTTAGTTCCACGTATGAATTATCTGACCTAGAATGGGTAATATAAGAATGAGTCTGCGTTGCAATTCAATCCTCTATCCAGGAAATCAGACACAATCTGGACCTTGGCATATTCATTTGAGTTTGCCCATCTTATACGAGGCTTGCTGCGTCAAGTTTTGATATTAATTACAGTCATCTATGAGACTTCAAAGCTTCTGTTTTGCGTGGCTTCGCTCCTTCAGGTTCCGTTCTGCTGAGAGGACCATATTAACATGATTACTGAGTGCCACCACGTTTTGGTCTTGATCTAGTACGATAACTTCCAAGTCTAATCTGCCATTTCGAATAACCTTTGCCATGGTTCGAATGAAAAGCCATTCGACTCCAGTTTCAGGCAGACCCCTCTTCACGTCCAAATTCAACGTAAGCGTCGGATACCAAAACATCTCGTCAGAACGAAAAGGAGTCTGTTCTTCATCACGACGGGGTCTCCAACCCTCTATAATGGTCGGGTACGCGTCGGCAACATAGCCGAGAGCGGCGTTCGTAAATTTCTGACCCCCTTTTAGACGAAGCCACATGTCCGCCATCCCGCGACGGACACCTTCACGGGGGACATAATGCTCTACATTATGATGGGCGCGAGCGAATGAGATTGATCGGGCTGTCTTCTGACCCATCATGACCCAGTGCGGGTCATTATCAAGCGTAAGGAGGGTGAAATTAACCGGTTTCAATGGTGGTGTCATTGCCCAACCGCTGTCGAGCGTGAGACCCTTCTCAAGGCTTATGGAAGTGTTGGTGAGATAAGCCACAACATTTTTACGCGAATTGGAGCCAATCCAAGGTTCTGAAGACTGGAGGTCATGCTGATAGAGAGTGATGTGCAACGTCGAGAGCGTTCGCCCGAGTTTTACCTCGTCAACCACCAAGATCGCGGGGCCGACTTCTGTACGGTTCACATACTCGAAGTGAGCTGATATTGTATCTGGTTGACCGCGAGCTGCGAGATGGAGTGATGCAGCCTGCAGAATTACCGATGCCACGTAGCCGCCATTTGGTACTGTGGTGCGTCAGATTTGCTGAGGTGAGATAAACGAATCCATCCGGCTACCCACCTGAACCAATGCACCAAGCAGACGCAAGCTTGGCACCATAGACATTCGAATTTAGTTTAGTTACTCTTGTCGCTTCAGCGAACGGTAAGAGTTGCTCGACTGATGTGGAGGTCATCATGAAAGTCGGCAATTGGAGAGCCAAGTAAGCGATAAGACAGGAAGAGAACCACTGTCTCGATTGGCGCGCTGGGAGTGACGACCTGGTCGATAAAAGCCAAAAGAAGTACCGAGCAAGAGACTATGATATCAAGTAAACCATTCGGAGCAAAATGGTAAGGCTAGATGTACAATGGAGCACGAATGATCAAGTTGTTGTTATTCTTGAGATGCATCTCATGCTCCTGGAAATCCGGGGAAGCTCCCCCCCAAAACACACGCGGCTTCAGTGGATAGGTCGGCGCATACGGTTAAATGTCGCCTATTCAGGGGGGGTCTCCCAGTGGCTTGGGAGCTCGGTCTGAGCGTCCCCGGACTCCGTTCCCGTTCTGCCTCGGCACGTCCAATATCACCTGACTCGGGACAGCATGAGATATTGTTGGGGGATTTCTCGTTATTTCTGTTGTTCTTGGTAACAACTATACCTCGGCAAGTGGATCTAATCTGTCAGAGTGGCTCACTTTCATATGGATGGCGTGAGCTGGGATTTCTTTAGCCACCAAATAAGGGCTTCCAAGCCACACATAAGCCAGTGTGCCAAGTGGTTTAACTTCCGCCGCATTTGGTAGCTTCGCCGCACAGAAAAATGTCTTTTCACACGTAGTAGCTTATCACACATGGGCCTTTTGGAGGGTCTTTTAGATTTCGTGAGCGAATTGGAAGTTCCGATCAAAGCTGTAACAGTTTATTGGACCCACGACGGCCCCAACAAAGCGGCGCGATTGCGCAAACCCAATCCCGTTTCTCTTTTCTGGGCGCTCCGCAAGATATCACCGATCACCGAGATGTAAACTGATCAGTCATCAGAAAACCTCTTCAGTAAACCTCTTCAAAGGCCAACACACGACGCATTGAATCCTCTCAATACATGTATACATACACTGCAATCACACCCAATTTCTGAACCGTCTTTCATTTAGAGTTTTGCGGTTAATTCCCTTACCCCCTTTTTTTTCCGCTCAGCTCATTGCCACGTCTCTTCTTAACTTCAAACCAAGCTCAAGCTCACAATGTCACCAAAACCGATGCCCTTCCCCGGCTTCACAGCCCTTAACGACCAGATTTTCGTCCGCGACGGCGAGGAACTGGCAGAAGGCGCAACACGACCAACAGATCACCCAAGAGTTGTAATCATCTACAGCTGGGGCGATGCCATCCCGAAGCATGTCGTGAAGTATACAGACGGCTATCGCAAGCTCTACCCACATGCGAAGCAGATCGCTATCCTTTCGCCAATCCTGAAAGCTATCACTCAGAGCGTCGAGCAGCGCGCAGACAGCATGAGACTCGTCATCGACGCTGCATACCCCCCAGAGTCCGTGGGCGCCCCTGATGAAGACGCCGTCCTCAGTCATGGCATGTCCAACACAGGCGCCATCAACTACGCCTCGGCTCTCAAAGCATACCATGACAAATACAACAAGCCCATGCCGCACCGTCTTGCCGTCTGGGATTCGACACCCGGCAGCCCCTACATGACTTGGGAGACTCTCAAGCGCTGGGCCAATGCCGCCGCCATGGCAGTTGCGCCGTTCGTCCCGCTCCCTTACGTCGTTACGCAGACCATCGTGGGCTTCTTGCTAGCGGTACATCGCGGCTACCAACTGATGGTTGGTTCGGAGCCCGCGCCTGTTTTCAGCAGCAAAGTGGCCAACGACACCGAATTTGTGCCAGAGACTCTGCGGAGGCTGTACCTTTACAGCAAGGACGACAGAATCATCGCGTATCACGAGGTCGAGGAGAACATCGCCATCGCTCAAGAGAAAGGCTTTATGCACAACGCCGTCACATTCGAGGGAAGCGACCACGTCGGCCACATGCGCATGTTTCCTGAGAGGTACTGGGGTGCCATTCAGGCATCTTGGAAGGAGGTTGCGTAAGACTTCTCTTGGGTTTGGGAGTGCCTTTGTTGAGCTGCGGCAGCGTAAGCAGCTGGGATGGAGGTCATCTTGGCTAAATCCTGAGAATCAGGGATTGGACGCGTCGGTCTTTGTGCATCGGACCCACTTACCTACGAAAGGTCTGCTCTGCTTACTTTGAATATTGATATGGAACTTTCGTTTTCGGTGTAAGGGGGTTTGGGGTCATTTCGCAAAGGGGGGTTTTTTTTTTCCCTGGAGTTCTCTTGGCATTTTATTTCTGCCCTTCGTCGGGCCGATAGTAGAGTATTCGATCCAGCTCGGCGCGTCTCACGACTACGTAAGCACATTTCGCTTCGCTAGACGAATCTAACTTGGATATACGGGAGGTGAAGTATATCTTAAACCTTTCAAGAAGTTGGGTTGAGAAGAAAAGTTCACCAATAGATAAGCTTGACAAATAGATGACATTGCTGATCCTTACTCATTATGACGTCAGGCTTCTTTCATTTCGATGAGGCCGGGCAAATAACTGATGGATTGATTTGGTAGCTTAGATATGCAGAGAACGATCAACAAACGGACCTTATACAAACATAAACCACATTGCAAATTCATCGACTTTAAATTAAGCTATAATGGGCTCGAAAATCTCACTGGCGCCTCTTTCATCCCTCAGCGTGTCAAAACACCTGATTCCCGCACATGGCTTGTTGCCAAATACAAGCATCCAGAACAAGCCGCTGATGATATACCACTCGGCCTTTCGATCCCCAAGCGCATCAAGCATCGAGTCACACCTATCTTACATTGATGTCGTCGAACCACAATGGAGGTATACCATGTATAGTACTTCTCATTTCCACAGCACGTCGCATGAAGTGCTTTGCATCAGCAACGGCCGCGCGAAGCTCTGTTTTGGAGGCGAAGACAACGAGGGACGCGTCGAGCCCCTCGTTGAAAAGGGGGACGTTGTTGTAGTTCCCGCGGGGGTCGCCCATCGTTTACTGGAGGACATTGAAGGGAACTTCGAGATGGTGGGAAGTTACCCAAAGGGATGTCATTGGGATATGTGCTATGGCAAGAAAGGGGAAGAGAGCAAGGTGGAGAGTATTAGCAAGCTGGGTTGGTTCACAAAGGATCCTGTGTACGGAGAGAATGGGCCAGCTGTGAATGTTTAGACCTCTAGGATTTGCATGCGAGGCAGCAGTCAATATCTTTTTTGTTGCATTCGTGCGATGGCCAGCGGCCGATTTGCTCTACGTGTACGTTACGTGGTGAACACTGTGAATACGACTTTTCCCGCAGCAACATAAGAGCAGAGGCAAACAGACTTAGAAACAGGAATGAAAAGCTTGAACAGATTTTCAATGCTTTCCGTGCGGGTACTGACGAGGACGCTACCCGGATACTCTCGGCCATTAGAATTGGTACAGACCTTGAGCATCTTGTCTCGGCACCTGATGGAGAAGCAATAGGCATGCCGGGTTGTAAGCGACCAGTTCATCTTGTAGAGATTATATTGTCACCGACTGCTAAATGGTTAGAGACAAAATGTCTGCAAAGTTACGAGGTCAAAGTGAAGAGCCCTTGAAAAGCTCGTTCGGGTCGTCAAGCCTTGCTGGGTCAGAACCAACCTCCCGGGATGAATCATTCTGGCTCTAATCTTCGATCGTCATCCGACGCTATTACGGGACCGGAAGGGGCGACTGCAACTACCAGACAACTTGAAAACACAAGCACATATCAGTCTGCAAAATCAGTGATAGAGACTACCCAGCAACGTAGTTACCGTTTAACTTCGACAGAAGCTCAAGAATCAACAAGACTTAATCAAAACTCAAGAATAACAATGGCAAGTTACGTTAGTGTCAGCGCCAACATCTGGCACTTCGGTAACCCCCCCTCTTCCAGTGGCATTCGAACAAATCACTATCCTTCAGGTGTGCAAAACTACCAAGTCGACAGCTTGTTTATCCCTATATGAGTGATGCTATCTTTGAACCCTTTGCCTGATTCCTCTTCTGTAAAGGACTCAATTTTGGTTACATATCACGAGGCCAAAGCTCTTATTGTGACTGAGGTGCCAGTCGACGCCGTGACGGGTCTTGACTACAGTGTTGGGACCATCTTTGATAAAGCTGAATATGAACGATCCTCGATGCTATCGCAATGGGCTGCTCGTATGATCTACAACGTTCGACATAAGAGCAATGACTTTACATCACTTGCTGCTTGCTATCTGATGTGGGTGCTGCTGAGGTGGATGATAAACCCGCGGTCAGACACAAACCTCGACATACCGGAATGATACAGACCCACGCCATACCAGCTCTTCGTTCTTCACGTTGAATTGATCGATTTCTTAAAGTAGCCGGGCTTGCGAGAGAAGCTCATTTGTGAGCTAAAATTGCAAGCCAACTTAGGCTGGCTCATGGTTATGAGACTAACTATTAACTGCGGATGGAATGAGGATTTTCACAAGGCTATGGGGAGAGACTCGACATCGGGGGATAGAGTGTTAACAACGGAAGCAAGGTTACGAGCCGTTCATGAGAGTCCGAATTGCGGCTAATCATCTGTGTCAAAAGTCGAACCGTAGACTTGTACAGCTGGTCTGTAGGTCCATAAATCAGAATGTATATTAACGGGCCAAACACTTTGTCAACATACAAGGCACCTGATCTCACATTATCGCGCCGTGGCGGCTGCGGCTAAGACGTTCCTAGGGCGTAGGAAGCTAAATGCGTGGAAGCAGCATGATAAGAGCTCGGCAAGTGAGAACACAAGCATGAGACATGAAAATAGGAAGTAAGAAAACATATGTTGGATCCTAGGACAAATAGATCAAGTGTAAAGTATATAGACATTATGCAGTATCACACTGTTGTCTGGTTATGAAGTCAACATCACATACTATTAGAAACATCGTCTAACTGACGACGAATACAAGTCGCTATTCTGAATTGAATAATTAAACAACTGCAAAATGGACGCCCAGTGCATATGACGCTTTCCCATGATGATTATAATTCCAGCAATTCAAGTTCCCCCAAATGTTGCATGCTGTGTCGCTAGGTAGCCCCTACTTCGCCTCTTTAATGATACAAGTGCCCATCCTCTCACTTCCGAATCGCCGACCAAACACCAATGAGACCAGCAAAGGGCCATGTCACAGCCATTTTGTCGCGTATTGACCTCCTCTCTCTTTCTTTGCTCACATCAACCTTGACTTTATCGTACACATCCGGTAAGCTTGTTGCACTGTACCGCCCTCGAAGTTGAGTATACCAATCCTTGTCGTACATATCCCAGAATTCCTTCTCTGTATAATATGCGTGCGAATAGAGCACTTTCCGCCCACCGAGTTCCATTAACTTTGCTTCCAGATCCCGATTCTGGCGCATGAACCGATCGATCTTCTTGGACGAGAGACCCCAAACCCCTACGTTGAGCATAGGTTGTGGTGTTTCCCCGCCTGGTTCGGTTGTACAAGGGTGAAAACTGGGGGCTTCAATGGCTCGTAAAGGACAGAGCCACAGCGGCCAAATCTCCAGATTGTCAGCCACGTAGTCGATGAAGTTCTGTACAGTTGTGTACGGCAATGATAAGTCGTGAACCAGGTATCTGAACGTCATTCTACTGCCTCCACCGAGACCGGCTTTGTATAGTGTCCGTGTGTCCATTAAACGGTTCACGATCCGCCGGGTGAGCCGGTTGAAGGGAACGAGACCGAAGTATTTGAAGGCTAGTTCACCCATCCAGAAGGCACCACGGTCATATCGAAAGAGATAGTCTTGCAATGGCACAAAGTCTGGGGTCGGCACAGCATTTGCAATTCGTTTCCGGGCATGGAGATAAAACCAAGGATCTTTGGATTTACTGAAGGTTTGTGGCCGGTATTTGTTAGGCAAGTCGTCGGTCAACTGCCCGGTGACGACGGCGGCACTCGTGCGTGAAAAGACAAGGCCTTCAACATAATCGTTGTGAGCCAGATTTGTCTCTCGCTGGATTGCAGCTATTGCATCCGGTATGGTTGAGTAAGGATGGTAGGTGACTTTCACATATGATTTTGCCTTTAGCAGTCGCAGCTCCAGTTTCGTAACGATGCCGAGCGTCCCTAAGCCTCCAGCAGCACCCTTAAAGAGGTCGGCATTCTCAGTTTTTGACGCATTAACTACCTCGCCATTGGCCAGAATTATCTCAACCGACTGTACCGTCTCATCAAAGTAACCGTAACGAAATGAGCTGCTTTCTCCGGCCGAGCCAGCAAACCCGCCGCCAACAGTGATGCCTGGAAACTCCATCACCACGGGTGGGATCATCCCGCAGCGGTAAGTCGCGGCGACAAGCTGGTCCATGGGCACATTTGGCTCGACAATGGCGACTGCGGCGTCGGCGTCAATGTGCAGGACATGGCGCAACTCGCTGATGTCGATGACGCGCTGGCCGTGGGCGGGCCGCGTGCTGCTGGTGGACCCATGGAAGATGCGGAACGGCTCCCGGCGGGAATGAAACTCTTTGACAACCTCGGAGATGCGTCTTACTGAGGCGTTGTGGTCGTCCATGATTTTTTTGATTTGTTTCTGGGAGGCGACCTAGCATTTGCCGAATGTGACTCTGCAGGGCTATTTTTCCCTCGACCGCAGGGGAAGAGAAGGTTGTTGGGTTGGAGTGCAGAGTTGTGTAACGGGTACTGTCAGAAGTTCGATTTGACCCACTTTGGAGCAATGAAGCCGCCCTTATTGGCGTACAGCGCGTAGGCACTGCTTCAGTTGGTGGATGACTAAAGGGCCGTTTAGTGGTGTGTTAGGTGTGTGTGCGCATAACTGTACAAATTGCTGTTGATGTCAGATGCCTTCTCAACCCTGGCAAACCTGGTGAACAGAGTTGAACCCCCTTTTATGGATGTCGAGCTAAGATTGCTATTTCATTTGAACTGTATTTATGGTTTTAGCTAGTAAGCCGCAGTTTTCTTTTTATCGAGGTTACCAAATTCACTGCTACCTCCACCGAGATGTATTGTTGAAATACAGTTGAAGATTGGCACAAATCAGCTAATTCACTACCACTGACAGCATTGAGTACAGCATGATTTACGAGGTACCAACAGGCTGCCCCAATCTTTGCGACAGACAGCCCTTTTCTATTTCTCGCTCAAAACGAACAACGAGGTAATTATCAGCAATTCAATAAGATTGCCTAACCACAAAGATAAGCAGCATTCATTTGTCGCGAGAGCTTCTGGTTACTTTAACACCTACAACGCTAAACTGTTGGCATTTCTACAGACCCGAAAGAGCTGGCTGTCTCGTACCTTATTTCTCACTGATCATTATGCCTCAATGTAATGTCGCGGATTGCTCTACAAGCCGCGGAAACCCACCTGTACTACTGCGACGTTTTGTACAAGGGACCTATTGTTACTTTAAGCTTATATTCCTCGGGATTATAGCGTCTCATAGCGAGAGCCTGACAGACTAGATCGGAACAGCCTCATTAAAAAAAACGATTTCCAGAAACAAATCTCTAATTAACAGTTTATCTAATATCTGATATACTTCAAATCTCCATCTTACAATTAAACGAAAGTTATGAAAGAGGCTTTGCACAGCAGTCTTTTTTAGTTGCCAAGCTTACATGCGGCTTTGTTAGTGCATCTACAGGCGGTCATTAACAACACAGCAGCCTCCACCCGCTGTACATGCTAAATGCGGAGACGCCTTGCAGTGACCGCGACCAGCTATAAAACTACCATTCGATATATAAAATCCACGTATCACAAGGAGTAACTTTCCTCCATATTACTCGATGATCCGTTATTCTCACATGGATCATTCTTCCCGGAATGGGTTCTTTTGCGTAAAATGACGCCACTGACGTAAGCCAGCCCGTCTACCCCAGGTTGCAATTCACGCCCTTCTGCCTACAGAAGTCATAAACAACCCCCGCACGCAATTGTGTCCTGCCGACTTCATTCCCACAACACCATCCATAGGCAACCTTTGGAGTACTCACATTTATGGAAGAAGACAGCATCACAATTACGGCCCAGTGCCTCTGCAAGAAGCACAAGTTTACGGCCTCGATCTCAAAGTCTGCCCTGCCTCTCAAAGCCGCATGCTGCCACTGCAATTCTTGCCGCCATACCTCCGGTGCCCTCTACACCTCGTGCACAACGTGGCCATCGCCAGACGAGGATCTTTCTGCTCTCAAAGCTTACTCATTTAACAAGAATCTTGAACTATTCTCTTGCGAAGTATGTTCATCGCAAATTTTCTGTCGCGGCGATACCACTGGGAATGCTGCCTGGGTGGTTACCGGAGCATTACAAAACATACCAGGGCTGGTTGAATACGCTACCCACATATTCATCGGAGACACTATTGATGGCGGTGCTTCAGTCTGGCTGCCCGAATCCGAAGAGGGCAAGCCTGTTCAGCGGTGGAGGGAGGGACGTGGAGAAGGCGAGCAACTTCCATCAAACTGGCCCGGTCCAAAGGCACTATCCGCAGAGGAACTCAATGCTGGGCCATCCCCTGACGTCACGCCTTTGTGGTGTCATTGCAAGGGCGTGCAACTCTCACTGCGGAGTGCTGCTGATCTCAGGTCCGTTCCCGACGAGGACCTTGGTCGCTCGTTTATCAACACCAAGACGTTGAAGTACAGAGGAAGCCTCGAATGCTGCGACTCCTGCAGAATGAGTTTCGGAGCTGACCTACTCGCCTGGACTTTTGCTCCTCTGAGCCACGTCGAGTTTGGCGGTCATGAGAAGCCAGGCGCTTCCCAATTCCCAAGAAGTGTCAGTGCCCTCAAGGATGCCGTGACTTCCAAGGAAAAGGATCCTCGTCTGGGCACTCTGGCTGTGTACAATAGCTCACCTGACGTTGAGAGATACTTCTGCTCTAGGTGCTCCGCCAGCGTGTTCTATGCAGTACACGACCGGCCGGACATGGTTGATATTGCAGTCGGCTTGTTGGATCATCCAGATGGAGCTCGTGCCGAGAGTCTGCTGGATTGGCGTCTTGATAAAGTCGGCTGGGCGCAGGATGCAGCTGGAGGATGGCGGGAAGCCCTTGCGGATTCGGCAAAGAAGCGTCAGGCGGAATGGGCTGAGGCAACCAGAGGAGCATCTACAAGGAATCAGTAAAGGCATCCAGGAAGAAAGTGAGGTATCTAGCCATGGTTTTGTGTATTACGGGGACAGGTAGCGAAGCGGTTGGCCTTTAGAGTACAGGCAGATGATCCTTGCAAATCCTTACCCACCAAAATGAGTTAGCGCTCCATAGGTTTCTCCTCGCTTGGTGACGAGCATCAAGTGGAACTCATGTTCCATAATCATCAGCGCCGATGGTTTAGTGGTAAAATTCTCCGTTGCCATCAAGCAGCGTCGGGGAGCCGGGGGTTCGATTCCCCCTCGGCGCATTTCCTTTTGGCTTCTGTGCGATTACACGTCTTTTGACAGCAGGGACGTGTTAAAGGCTAACGTCGGAGACGCCAGAGGAAACAAGAGAGAGTTGAACATCACATGTTTGTTCTCTTTATTCTTGGAAGGACATAGTTTTGTTGCTACCGAACTACTAATCCAGATTTACACCTATTACTTGTTGTGTGCGTAGGAAATATTTGCTTTTGCTGGTTAAACCAAGGTACTATACAGTACGCTCCCTTTCATGGCTTTCCTTATTGGGGTATGGAAAATGCCGAAAGTTCTGATCTGATGATATCGTACTCTTTGGGGCGGGCAATTGTGGATAGAAAGAGCCGGCTGAGAGTGTCGTTGCGAACCAGAGAGTTGTAGATGATACCGATAGGCGACGCCGCAATCATTGTGGTACTCTCTCTAATCGAAAGGAGCTTGGGTGCTAGACGCATAAGCCTCAGGGCTTCAATCGATGGCTGCCACGGATATTTCAACTCGTTTGGCATGTATAACGGGTCATCTGCTGGCTTCGCGACTGAGGGGTCCATTTCAGCCGGGAAAGGTTGTGGTTGATGAACTCCTGTACGCAAAGCGACCAGGATTTGCATGAGATATATAACCCCCGCGTTATATACTAGCAAATGAGCTGCGTGTTCTGCTGTTCGGACTTCTAGTGGCCTGGACAGCAGATTGTTCAGCCAAGGTGGTGACACTTCTTCAGATGTCAACGGCAGCCAGACTTCAGTTGCGACTTTTGGATTGTCAACCTCCCACTGATGCCTCCATTTTTTCAGGCGTGAGATAAGACCCTCCGTTTTCATCTCAAGTTCAGCCTTTTGATCTGCGCTCATGGGCATCGCTGAGCGAACAAGCGAAGCACTCAGCCCAGGTAAGTCGATGAATACGTCTGTGAGAAAGTCGTATGCCGTCTTTTTACTATATTTGAAAGGGACTGTCTTCCAGTTTTCCTTTTCGAAAAAAGATGGTTCGTTGTGATTGAAAGAATTACAAGACTTGATTGCCGGAGGGAGGACAAGGTTAGCGTTCAAAATCAAACTCATACATCATTTTGTCTTTCTGGTACAAAATACTCACATGTTGCGACCTAATTTGACGGTAGTAGGTCAAAAGGGGCTCATGCTGGAAGTATTCGGGTCCACAGTACTCGATAACCCTGATAATTCCGCGATAGTGCGGAAGCTCTGTCTTATTCTCTACAGCGTACTGCTTTAAGCGTTAGCGTTTACGATATCAATTATGCGTGCTGACACACATAGTGTGCGTGCAGTTATGGCAGTGGATGATGATGCCTGTGATAGGGACTAGTTCCAAAGGAAGCGACTGACCTGGTAGAGGCACAAAACCAGGATCGTAAAAGCCCAGGGTGCGATGTCCGATTTTGACTTCGCTGAGAGAGCTGACTGAAGTGCGTGGAGGATTTTCCCATTCAATTCGTATCCGTCAGATATCATTTTAGGCTCATTAACATGATGGCCCATGTACGCAAGAGCAGTAGCGAGGCACCCCATATAATGAAACTTGACTGCATCCGGTTCGTTTCCCTCCAGTATGGCAATGCGTAGTAGTGGCTTCCAGAAGGGGGCCCATCGATAGTTGGCAAGGAGATACGTAAATGCCATGCGGTCACGAAATGCAGTCAAGGGAAGCTCAACCGGGATCTCCGGCAGAATCATCGTTTCTGTCGACTCCGTGGGCACTCGAACCAGGCTTTTCCCGCCGTCAGGCTGCGCGCCGATTGTCAGATTTTGCATTCGCAGGGGGTTGTCGTAACCTTTGCACTTGTAGCCCGACTTTAGACACCGTTCGCATGATGGCCTAGCCCGATCTGGGTAGCAAAATATTGTAAGCATCGACTTATCTTTGACAAAGTAGGTAATGTATGACTAAAGATCATGTAGCGGCCATATAGACTTACCGCATTTGATACGTCTTTGCCGGCAAGTATGACAGTACCCGCTGCTAGGAGGGCGTCCCATGACGTGAGTTTAGAGAACGTAGACTAGAAATAGATTGCCGTATGAGCCTATAATAGAGGGCTATGGGCTGAATCCTGGGCGCTTGTCAGAAACGGAAGCTGATTGTCTGTCAAGCAAATAAAACAAACAATACCACGTCTCCGTCCACATTAAATTTCACACTTCTCACATCACCAGAGCACGACATTTAATACCAGAGAAAAGAAAAAGCATTCAAAACATCATACCTTATTCAGCAACACTTAGATTAGGATATTCTGTATTCTGTGGTGTTATTATTACCCAAGACTAGGAAACAAATTTAGTCTTATCTGCTGTTATGTAAATTTCTACCGATGTCATTATATGTTTGTTTTGAAATGGAACGGCGCGAACCACCTGCCTTATTCTGACAGATTCTGACTAATAAACCAAGCGCTGGAAGTATCGACATGCAAGCTGTCGTAATTAGTTGGAGTATTCATACGCGCGCGGGAACCAATCAAGCCTTTGTCAGCCAACTGAAACATAGAGGAATCTTAATCAGCTGACTCAGCTGTGCAGCAACCAATGACAAGGTTGGAATTGGGGTTATTCAATTTCTACCGGCTTCCCGTTCGTTGATTACGTAGTGCCTTGGAATAATCAGGCATCAGTACAGGTCTGCAGGTGCAGCCAAGATGCATGGCACCACATAACAAGCTATCAAAAACAATAGATATTCGAAGTTGTGAACGTGTCGTATGGGATGTGTCTAATTAGACTATTACGGAAGTTTTACAACATGTACTCCTTTTTGCTCCTCATTGGATCAATGCAACCTGGACCGATTTGCATTGCAGTATGGCAAACACGTTGACGAGCCTTACTTCGAACTTGATTAAAAAAGTGTCGCAAGGAAATTATGTTATTCTCATTTAAGTAAAGGCATGTATCTATTATCGTTGCCCTGCCGCAGAGCGATCCACGAGATATACAGTGGGCTAATGAAGTATATGTACGCTGCTGACATGCTGTGGATCTACACGCATATCTGAGATATTAGCAGTCTATCGATCAGATCGTGCATAAATTATTGCCGATGCAAGCTCACCTAGTAAGTGGGATGTGTTACAGACTGTTTTGATAGATGACAAGTACCTCTTAGCATCACGACAGCTGCGCGAATATGGGCATTTAGGAGTCGGCCGAGAGTCACAAAAACGTAAGCTCTTCCGTGGCTAGCATCTATGGCCTGTAAAGTTTCTCCTTGGCAGGCAGGCCTGAAATGCTTCTATGCCTTAGCCCTAAGGGAACTACCACACCCCTGATGCCATTGTTTTCCGCGGATTTGTGTTTTCGCCAAGCCACACTACAACGCAGAAGAGACGGGGCATTGTACGCCCACTACCAAGATAGAAAGTGTCCCACAGGAAACGCCCACCGGCAGGTGCATTCAGGGATGTAGGGGTATGTAGGTGTCGCTGAAAATAAACTTTACTCCTTTCTAAAATACCTTAATCTGCCTGGAGAAGGGCGATCGTTACATAATTAGTACCACAAAATGCCCGGCGGCTCAAAAACAACATAAACAGTGGCCGACGGCCGGCATCGGAATTCACCGACATCGAATCGGAAATCGGGAGTCAGAGCAAAACAATCAGCACCAGGGGGGGGGGGGGGGGGAAACGCTCGGTCTTTAAGAGTTTAACGAGGTGAAAGCGTTGGGGACTTGTTCATGAGGCGGGACCTTCTTGCGCCCTTTTTATGGATAATTCTCAAAGACAAGGCATGCACAGGGAGTTTGTAAAACTCTGATGCGGCGAAGGTCTGTAAGATCGTTTCCGCTACTTACCTAGTACTACATCTAACTCTAGTGAGCCGATCCAAATTTTGTCAGCAATATTTAGACTGGTTATTATTAGTGCCCCAAAACTATTCTTAAACTTTTTTCCTTTAACAACTGTCAAAATACTAGGTGCCACCTATACAAACTTGGTCTTGTGCTATCCCTTCCCTGTCGTCAGTGGTTTTCCCGTTGAAGCTCGCCTCGCGATGGAGCAACGCGCCTAGGCCTAGTTGACTCGCAATAGTCGTCGAGGATGACACCTACGTATTGGCGGCCAACAAGTTATTAACGCCAAGTCCGAAAGGAAGTTTTAGGCTTCATGTACGTCAAATAGATTCCCTGGCAGCCTTGAAGTATTTTACATGGATTTAACAATAGGGATTACTTGCCTAATTCAATCGAATGGTAGTCAAAATCCCGCATCCACCATTGGGAAGTTTCGTCCCCAGCTGGGGCGATGCGGGAGGCGATCATGCGGGGAGTTGATTCTTTGCTGACTTAGATCGGTTTCCGCTCCCTATCCCTTCGGAAATAACAAGGCACTACTGCAACTGGTACGGGAGTTGACCGATAAAGGAGCAGGTGGTCGTTCTTGGCAGTGGGTAATAGACAGTTTTTGCATTCCTTTTTCCCCCCGTAAAACCCTGTCATTTCTGAATGCTTAGCACTTGGACCTGGACACAGCAATTGGGGAATGGTCGAGGTCGTCTGCCCTTCTACCATTGTACACATACTGACTATGTAACCGAAACTGATGTGTCATGCCAAGCCAGCAAGCGGATCAGGGAGTCATGTCACCTCCTCCACTGAAGCTTTTCCAAGAGGATAAACTTAACTACGGTACACACTTGAAATCCCGCCCCGCGCGGGAAACTTGGGCCGTTATTCCATGATCAGAGCGATGGTGATCGACAGCAATACCCAGGAGGCTGAGGAGCTGAGATTAGGAAAGACGCATGAATTACAGATGTATTGAGCGAATAGCAGGTGACTTCGAGTTACGGGTACCGCTGCTGAATGCTACTCAACTTCCGCAAGGCATTGCAAAGATTTCAAGGCAGCTAACAAACTTCTACTGAGGGGCAATACTGATGTCGTGTGATTGGTTCCCCTCATCAACATCACTGACATATGGCTTGGTTCCACGGGGGCACCGCGCCTGAGCATAAAGACCTGCCTGCTTCTTCGTGGACTCAGCTGTATATTCGTTCCACAGAGCCACTCCCAAGGACTTTGTGCGCTCGATTTCATCTTTACACTTGTCAAAATGGTTTCTCTTCGCTTCTCAAGCGTGGCTTTACTTGCTGCGGTAGCCAACGCCTTTGTCCAAAATGCCTCCTCTTCAGACATCACCGTGTTCGCGTCTACACGTGCCGTTGTGGATGGCATGTTGACTGAAGCAACACTGGTAGTCAATACAACTACAGGAAAGATTATTTCCGTTGACAACTCTGTTCGACCTTCTTCCGACTTCCCACCAGGAACAGCATATGCGGACTACTCTCCTAAGCTGCTCCTGCCAGGCCTGGTGGATGCTCACGTGCATCTGAACGAACCTGGCCGTACCGAATGGGAAGGTTTCTGGACTGGGTCGAGGGCTGCAGCATCTGGTGGTGTCACAACTTTGATTGACATGCCCCTGAATGCACTTCCTCCAACCACCACGGTCGAGAATCTCCTAGCCAAGGTTAGAGCAGCTGATGGACAATGCTGGGTTGATGTGGGCTTTCACGGAGGCCTTATCCCAAACAACACGGAGCATCTCAAGCCACTTGTAGACGCTGGTGTCCGTTCCTTCAAGGGGTTCCTGATCGAGAGTGGCGTGGACGAGTTCCCTGCCATTGGACCCGACGACATTGAGGCGGCTCTGCACGCTCTTTCCGGCTCGCCGACCACCGTCATGTTCCATGCCGAGATGGTGCCCCCGAATATGACTATGATTGGCTCAGGCGCACCGTACACTGGGCCATTGACCAGCTACCAGACCTACCTAGATTCTCGGCCTCCCACCTTGGAAACTTACGCCATCAGCCAGATCCTATCGAAGGCCCACATCGCCCCTGACTTGGATATGCACATCGTCCATCTTTCGGCCGCCGAGGGCATTCCGCTGCTTCGCGAAGCGCGGGCCCGTGGTGTTCGCATCACTGCTGAAACCTGTTTCCACTATCTCAGTCTTGCCGCCGAGGAGGTACCCGAGGGAGACACGCGCTATAAGTCAGCTCCTCCTGCTCGTGATCTTGCCAACCAGGCATTGCTTTGGGACGAACTCTCGAGAGATAACGGCGAAGGTGTCATCAAAACGGTCGTCTCGGATCATTCCCCTTGCACACCTGATCTCAAACTCATCCCGGAATCATTCCCTATTGCACCTCACAGTCATAAGGGTAGTGATGGCGACTTCTTTAGTGCCTGGGGTGGCGTCAGCAGCTTGGGATTGGGGCTATCTATCCTATGGACGGACGCAAAGGAAAAGGGCGTCACTATTGAGGATATTGTACGCTGGACAAGCACCAACACAGCACGCCAAGTTGGCCTGGAGCAAGAAAAGGGCAACCTCGGCGTCGGATTCGATGGAGATGTGGTCGTTTTTGACGACGCAGCTACCTTCCAAGTCAACCCCGAGACCATGTACTTCCGGAATGAGGTGTCTCCCTTCGATGGAAAGACGCTCAAAGGTGCTGTCGACGAGACTTGGTTGCGTGGCAAGAAAATCTTTGATCGCAAGACAGGATTCGATGAGGAGCAGGGACCCGTTGGAAGAACAATTCTGGAACCTAGGCGCCGACAAGCTGTGCGGATGGTGTAGATTACGGCAGGGGTAGGAAGCGTGTTACGAATACACCATCACATTGGGAGTTGGTGATATCTGCAAACCGGACTTGGTGTATCAAACTAGCGATGGAATGGCCATCGGCTAGATATAAAGTTTCTACATTTTTGAGTTTACAGTCACATTCAGTAGCTCAATAGATGACAAACTTTATTTGGCAGCTCTTAATGACATTCAGATCAGTTGAGAAATCTACTCCTAGGAAAAAAGTCCTCTTGGGTGAAGGTGTTCCTTGGGATCGATCTCTAGGGAGTGCATAGAGAACTATGAGTGACCTGACATAGTGCATCCCATTTGGCATTTCTACAGTCTACCTAGCATACGACTTCTTACTAAGGTGTTATGCCTTCCAACGTGATAAATAAGATACACCACATCGTTGCGGTGTGGATACGGGTACTTGTGGACGGCGTGAGTGGATACTTGGGATCCCAAAATGATATTACTCGATTATGTGCCAGGGTTGTAGTGCATATCTATTGGCCTCTAGAATATCCGTCGGCGGTCATACTATGGCAGGCTGGGTCAGAGTACCTGGACGCAATATGTTAAGGTTTTCTGGGGTCGCTGTAAACGTAACCCAGGCCTCTAGTGGTTCATCCCGCGTGTTCCGACCCTCACTGGTTAGGTTTGCTTTAAAGATGTCAAGCTTACGAAACAATGTTTCGCGAAAGACATCTTCTTACTCCTCCCAGTGGCATTCAAGGCTTTCTTAGAACTAATTGTGATTTAACCTATGCAATATGGTGACCTCTAAATTCCTTCAACTTATACTGGCAATAGCAAGCGTTGTCCCGGCGAGTGCAGTCGCCGGCTTTAAGAGCTCTTATGACTACATCATCGTAGGAGGCGGTACAGCCGGTATGACGGTCGCTTCCAGACTGTCTGCAAGTACAGCCAGTAAGCTGCGGTTGAAGTTGCTATTTGAACCAGTTACTGACCAGTCTTTTGTTACGTGTAGATAGTGTTCTTGTCGTTGAAGCGGGAATGCCGTACGATTTTATTCCTCGCGTGTTTTCTTTTTTTGAGAAAGTTGGCTTACTTTTACAGGGATAATTATGAAGCCGCGGTCATGATCCCTCGGTTCTACCCCGGGGCATCTGGGTTTTCTCCGGGCACTCGGTACGACTGGAATTTGACCACAGTTCCCCAAAGATATCTCCAGGGGCAGACAGTCAATCTTACTCAAGGCCATGCGATCGGCGGAAGCAGCACAGTTAATGCAATGATATTCGATAGGGGCATGCCCTCCAACTATGATGCGTGGGAAGCCTTTGGAAACCCAGGTTGGGGGTTTGACGGCATACTGCCTTATTTCAAAAAGGTAGAGTATTGTCTTGCTGCAATGCCCTACTTTGAATTGTCTAGCTAATTGTTGAGAATAGAGCGAGTCCTTTACAGCTGCACCACCGGATCATGCCTTATTGTATGGACTCACGCATGAACCGTCTTGTCATGGTTATGATGGCCCCGTCAAATCAAGCTACTTGGCTTGGTCGCATCCTAATAACAGTATGTTATCCCCTTCATTATGCTACAATATTAGATTCTAAGTCATATTATGAAGCAAATTTCCTGAATGCCATGCATGGCCTCGGTGTGAGCTCGCCTGTAGACCAAGGATGCAACCCTCTAGGAGCATACCTCACGACACACTCAATTGATCCCCGTAATCAGTCGAGATCAAGTGCAAGAACCTCCTACTATGATTACATCTTCGACAGACCAAACTTGGACATCGTTGCTGGGCATTATGTAACCAGAATCATTTTGGAAAATGAATCGGGAAAAATGACTGCCAAAGGCGTTGAGGTAAATAGACAGAAGCCAGCCTGAATTTGTATACCTCTTGAGACGTTCCGACTAATAGAACATGAAACAGTTTTCTACTGGACCAGAGTCAGTTTTACAGAATGTACTGGCAAGAAAAGAAGTCATCATTGCAGCCGGCGCTTTGAATACGCCTAAACTTTTGCAGCTTTCTGGAATTGGCCCAGCATCTGTTTTGTCTAAAGCTGGTGTCAAGACCGTTGTAGACTTGCCCGGAGTTGGCGCGAACCTCCAAGACCATCCGTTTGGGTTACTTCTGGCCTCTTGTTTGCGCCCATTTCTCCCTTCTCTTTTAGAACTAGGCTATGCTGACCACATCTATAGTAAACCCCGAGATTCCCGGAAATTCAGATCTTGACAACACCACTTTCGATGCTGAGCAACGTGATTTGTATTACAATGAGAGGAAAGGTGAAAATTGCGATGATTTCCTATTGGACCTGGGAGCTGTGTTTGACGATTTCTCCAGGCCGCTGGACCGATACCATCGCCGAAGCTCTTGCTTTCATTCCACTCAACAATTTCACAACAGCAAGCGAAGCTAGCAATCTCCTTTCCATTGTCAAGAATAACTCGGCGCAATACCTCTCCCAAGGAATCGACCAAACCGTGAAAAATGGCTATGAGAAACAAGTGGAGCAGATTCTATCTATGCACGAAAAGGGCTCGACAGCCGCAATGGAGCTACTCTATGTCGATGGAGGCCGTTCAGTGGTAAATATCTTGATGCATCCTCTCAGCAGAGGAACTGTGTCTATCACATCGCCAGATCCCTTCTCACAACCCATGATTGATCCGCGCTATTTTTCTCACCCTTACGATGGCGACGTTCTCGTTGAATCATTGAGATTCAACAGGAAATTGTTGGCCACTGAGCCTGTACAAGCTTTGGGCGCAGTGGAGACACTCCCTGGAAAAGAAACAGAAAGCGATGCGGACATTCTCAAGTTTATCAAGGGAATTACTTCAACAGAATTTCACTACACTGGTACCTGCGCCATGCTTCCCAAAACCTTGGGCGGGGTTGTGAGTCCAGATTTACGGGTTTATGGAGTTGAGGGGCTGAGAGTTGTCGATGCGAGCATTATGCCTCTTTTGCCATCGGCACATACTCAAGCAACCGTATATGCTATCGCAGAAAAGGTATGTTCCCATTTTTATATGTTATACTTCTCAAGTTACTAACATCATCGGCTCAGGCAGCGGACATTATCATGAGTTGAGTGGCTCGTATGACACCGATACAGATAGCTCTGTCTTGCGTGGCCAAGCAGATATACCCATATGCTGTTAAAATAAGAGGACCCAAATACAATGAAGTTGGTTAGCGTGTCATAAGGTTTCGGAACGAATTGATGAATACGTGTAGGGGATTCTTTACTCAATTGTACGTACAACTTGGCAAGCAACAAAAGTCTGCATGGTGTTGCTCACATGGACAACCACAATTATTTACACAAAGTCCTGTTGATATTTTGTCACCCAAGGTCTTAATCACAAAGCCAGATACTTGCCGCGCTCGCTCCATTTGAACTCGAGTGAGCGTCAGGTGGCGTGGTCGATGACATAGCCTGACAGGTGCAACTGAAAACGAAACTTTGTCAACCAACAATATGCACAACTACAAGCCTCATTTGTTCCAGTTCTCATGGCTCATTTTTGTCTCGCCTACTGTCGAAAACTTCTACATAAGTTTCTTTGTTACGGTTCCATAGACCAGCTCAGCCTTGAGCTGCGGCTCATCTTACACTACATGTTGCAACTCTTGAAGTGGAATATTATTAATGGCGGCATCAGGTGAGCATAATTTTGGGGACAAAGGAAATGCAGAAGTGTGCGCATCGGGCCAATTGGGGTCTACAATTGAGAGCCAATCGCTGAAGGATTCAGATCCCTGCAAAAGGTGCGCTGCCGTGCCACACATCCAGCCATTAGTTAATATACCTATCTGCAAGTGCTGATGTTGACACCACTATTTCCATTAGGCTGCAGGAATGACACCCTTTGTGCGTTGTCCCCGCATCAGCACCGAGAAGGGTTCACGCAGCACCAACTTGCAGACTTTTCCGTCCCGACCGGCAGAACTCTTTGGTGGCTCCGCTAGTCACCAAGCGATGCTGGAGCTACCCAGTCAAACTACCAGTGTTAAAAGAATAGTTGAGCATTCTTCGCAACAACGGTTGAAACTAGATAGCAGCACTAGGTACGAGGGCCCAGACTTGCATCTTACAGAACAGCTCAGTGGGACCCCTGGTCACTCTGGATCAACTAGGGTACTTCAGTCTACAGGGGGCTGTAGATGACCAGCCAGCCACCGGCGGGTACACAAGCCGTTTTGTAGCTGCCTAGCCGAGTTAGTATTTCTCGTTGGTAGTCCCCAGGTGAAGATACAGAGAGCCTCGTCAGAATCTACCTTCTTTTCATTTTTCCAGCCGCAAGTGGCATGCCCAATTACAGTTTTCTTTCCAGGACGGCAAGACAACTACAGCAACATCACCATCTAACGGACTTTTCTGAAACCAAGTTGAACCATCTAATTGACGATACCTTGATCAGTCAGGACCGTGGCTGTTATGTCCTCTAACTCAGCCAACTCAACGGGGGCGGACAGCGGCGGGGACGGTGGTGGAAAGGACAACGATGCTGAGCTGTTCGTGGCCATTGTGGCCTTGGTCATTTCTGTCCTGGCCTTTGTCATCGCGATTTTCCAAGCATTGCAGCAGTACTACGCATCGGCAACAGGTTATTCGTCGTGCACCCCCAAAGTCATTGGAGATTGGGCGAAATTCACTCGTCGCATTTTCAAGTGGTATGAGTTCCGTTTCGAAGTCGAGTTTGAAACTCCCGTCATCTTCGTCGCAAGGCCGACAAACGAGAGAGGGCCTCTAGGGAAACATGACAAGAAAGAAATCACGTACATGGTTGGGACGACAGAGAGTTACCAGGGAACATACACGTGGGACCAGGCTGAGTACAACCAAATGGATGAAAACCTGCGCGCTGGAAATACCCGCCAAGCTATCCACACCGCCGACAACGAGCTCGCAAACTGGCTGGGACTGCTGATGGCAATCCAACGTATGGAGAATGAGTCACGAACTTGGCAGGATAACGAGTATTTCGGCCATACACCCCAGTGGCAGGAGCAAACACCTTGCCATCCGACCCCATCCAGCAGTCCAGTCACGCATACACTTTCCGTTGGCATCCAGAGGAAGAAGAAGTCTTGGGATAGTATGCCGGAAAACATGAAGAAGCCCTACGCCACAACGACCATTTCGCATCTCGTGGAAATCGCGGCCATGTTGGGGATCTACTGGAAGGAATTCAACCGGAACGAGGACCGCTACCGCGCCCAAGGTAACGGCTTCATGATCACTGGATATGACGTCGACGACCTTGGACTTGTGTTCACGTTCCAGAAAACAGGACCAACTTGGTTCCAGGAGAACCGCCTGATCCCTCATAATAGCGTCAAAGAGCTTTGCTTTGGATACTGTCCCACAATCTTTCGTCAACATGGCAATGACAACTACAAGTATGCCGATGAGCCAAAAGATATTGGTACTCTTCAGTTGGGAAGCATGTCAGCAATTGCAGAGACGCTTGTTGTCATTGGCTGCAACACCAACACGGTCAATTCCTTCCGCAAGCCTAGCCCTGAAACCCGGCACGCTCATATCTTCCCTAGTAAGCACTTACTTCAGATCATCAAAAGCTTTGATTGCCGCGACTAACACATCTCCAGTTGCTTTCGAGCTTCTCGGCATGATCGGTGTTGTTCTCCAGATTCCTGGCACCGCGTTTCGAATGCTTCCGAACCCAACAATTTGGTACTGGGACCGAAAGTCCTTCTCGTTGCGCACGTTTTTGAGCGACTTCACACATCGGATGAAGGAAGCTTCGACGACCGACAATATGTTTACCGGAATTCCACAATCATGCATATACATTATCAACAGAGAAGCAGAAAGGATTGAGAGCAAGTTTGAGGAACTGAAAGGTTTCAAGAGGCATCAAGGGATCATGGCGCGTACTCAAAACGATGAGGAGAGGATATACTCCAACGATCTTGTCATTGCTCTTCACTCTGCCATCTCGCAGTGTGACGAGCACCTTCAGGATCCGAGCCGGCTTACCCTGGTCCAGAATGTCCTCCGTGTGCATTTTGAAGAGGTTTTACGCATTCTAAACGACTATGAAAGCGAGCCCAAAGTAGGTGCTGGAACGTCAGATGATGTTGGCAAACGTGGGAAGCAAGATTTGACCGTACCTGGCGCATCACCTACCCATAAGACGGACGAAGAAAAAGCAGAAACCCAAAAGGACACTTCTCTGCTACAAACGCTAGACTCATCATCTTCAAGCGAGAGACACATGGTTTTGGTCGAGATATATCTCTTTTCTGTACGGAAGAAAGTGATTGACATTGTGTGCCGCCAGCTGAAGCAAGAAAGGCTTCGTCGGGAACGCGGTGCCAGGTCTATCGCGTCAGAAGCCTCTATGGAACTTCTGCCGAAAGACCAGGAGCAGCAGATTAGTGATATCTGGTGCATGCTTGTTTTCCGTATGATTTGTTGGCTTCTCCTGCACGACTTCCATGGAAAGGACATCCAGGTGGAGAAGAGTGACATATTCGGCAGTCGAATGCCTGTTTACATCACCTAGGCACGCAAGTCACTTATGATAATGAGGTATCCTATGATATATGTTAATGATAGCGTAAGACTGAAAAGTTTAGAAATCAATCTAATGTTGTAACGTGTTATTTTTGGCAAATCGTCAGATGCAGGCGGCTGGTTGATGCTTTGGGAATTTCACTCGTGAAAGCGTGTGCTTCAATTAGACTTGCTATCTACGTGCCTCGTACAAAGATACTGGTATAGTTTCATTCTTCGCTAAACACACTGCCATGACCGATTTCTAAGCTCCATTTGAGCCGTTCTCACGCTTCTTTAGCTCCTCTCGCACCTTAGGTAGGATGTAGCGGCCATAGTCAATGGCGTCATTGAGGTTGTCGTAGCCACGAATAGAAATTAGTTCGGCCCCAAGGTCAACATAGTCAAGAATAGAGTCTGTGACAACCTGGGGAGAGCCAACAAGCGCCGTTGAAGCACCCCGCGCGTTGGTAGCTGTGACAGTAGGATACCAAAGAGCACGGTCCTGAACTTCACCACGCTTGGCAATATCAAGCAAACGCTGAGAGCCTACGTTTTGAGGCTGTCCGGCGCTGGCATCCTGTCCGTTTTTGCCCTGCCCAGCCGCGATGTTGCCCTTGAGGGCGTCCAATGTGCGGTGTGCCTTGGCCCATGCCAGGTCATCCGTCTCGGCAACAATAGGACGGAAAGTAACCCAGATACGGGGACGGTCCTTGCGGCCGGCCTTCTCAGCTTCGCCGTAAATACGGTCGATCTGTTCTTTTGTCTCCTTGAGGGGTTCGCCCCAAAGACCAAAAATGTCGGCAAGTGAGCCGCCGATGCGGTAAGCTTCGTCTGATGAACCGCCAACGGATACAGGGATGGTGCCTTTGGTCGGACGAACTTTGTTGCTAAAGTTCTTAAAGGTGTAGTACTTGCTCTCCCAGTCGAAGGGCTCCGCAGACTCCCAAGCACGTCGGAGGATCTTGATGTAGTCCTCCAGACGGCCATAACGCTCGTCCTTAGAGAGGAAGTCACCCTCCTTCGCTTGCTCAGCATCGCTACCGCCAGCGATAAAGTGCACAACGACACGGCCCTTGCTAAGCTGGTCTAGTGTGGCCAGTGCCTTGGCGGCGACTGTAGGGTACAGAGTGTTTGGCCTAAGAGCGATGATAACATTGACATTCTTGGTCACCGCAGCAATTGTCGCACCGATGGTGAAAGGGTCGAATGAGTCGGAGCCATAGGGAACCAGGGTATAGTTGTAGCCGTAGTCATCTAGTGATCTGGCGTAACGAACCAGAAACTCGGGGTCAACACCAGCGCCGGGGATCGGGTTGATCTCCGTAGAGGCGTTGGGGAAAGTAACACTGATGAATTCCGTAGGCATTGTGTTTTTTTAACTTGTGTCTGAGTACTGCATGGAATAATTCATTCTCTGTTTTCTCATTGAAACCTGTGGTCTATATACAATTGTTGCTGGATATGACGACAACTGCGAGATAATCACGCCTTACACCCATAGCCGATTTCGGCAAAGCGTCCCCCAGTAAAATGTTACCTCAACTCCATGCTAACGAAGATCTTTTGATCGTTTTGGGAGATGGAAGAATGCCTTTCTGTCTGGTTCAAGTCCATATAAAACTTTTGAATTGTGGTTGATATTTTTGCGGCCATGGTTGCGATCACCAAGGAACCAATGTTTTGGCGATGCGAGCGGGGAATGCCCGGTGAAGAAACGGATCTCGCCGGAAATCAGTCCAAGAATACAACAACCATAGCGACTCCCGGAATTTCGGGTTACAACTATCAACTTCAGTTTTACCCCGCCTCAGCCAGGCACGTCATCTGCAGGCTCTGTTTCCACATTTCTTCACATCCACACCTCAGACATAAGTTCACAAAGATGCCCAACGATTGGAACACCTTGACAGCGAAAAGGGGCGCAGTAATGTCCGACTCGGTCTTTATCGTGCCACCTACTTACAAATCAAATAGTCTTGCGATGTCGCATTGAGCCATGATTTGTCAGTAAAAGAATCTGGTTCCGAAATCAGACTAACCCCGCAAAGCACGTCAACTTTGTGGGAACAATCAGCGCATCTAAGATGAGATATTATATGCCTAGCTGGAATCATTATCGTTTACGAGGGTACGAGCGAGTGCGTGGCCTCAGTGTAAGCTATCAGGCATGAGGATGTGGATAAAGACCTTTGTCCCCATGATCCCCTTGGGCTACTATTCAATCTTTCACAAGGCCTACGCTACCTAATGCAAACGAGGTATACAATAACACTTATCGTTTGATTAAAGCTGCATTGATGATGCCTTATTCAAAAGCCTTCCTCCGTTATACCTATACGAGCTGACAGTTTGGATACTTCGTCTGGGTTATTAAATAATTACAGGCTTGTACGCAAAAAGATACTGGACTGCACCCATGCAATCATTTAGGAAACTGGTCCTGCCTCGCCAAGTCATGTGAGACTTGTATAAACCGGACTCTATACACTTGACATGTTTGCTTCTCGACTTCCAATTGTAACTGGTTGTCCGGTCAGCAACATTAACCCTACATGTTCAATGGAGTCAAACAACTATACAGCGCACTTCCAGACCGTGTCATCAACCAAATCGACAGATTTCGTGTTGGTTTCGGTGCAAATAGCCCTGTTCTCGCCACAATCCGTAGTTCCGCACCAGTTGTTGTTGTTGCACAGCCATACGCTGTAACTAGCAACATGGCGATCGTAGCGCTTCTTGCACCGGTCTACCTGAACTCTGTACGGATTCTCAGGGCCAAACTTGTCCAGTGGTACGTAAGCCCAGTTGGTAGTCTTCGCTGCAGGGTTGTTAGCTTTCAGTAAGGACGTAAGAGAAAGCGGCAAACTTGACTAACATGCACCTAGCTTGCCATTGTCATCACAGTTCTGTAGGACACCGATTTTAGTGAGCCCTGTAGCTGCAGCTCCTTCTTTGACTGCTGGATCTATGTGGAAGGTGTAGTAAGAGTAGTCATACTCGGCGCTAGCTGGCGTATTCTTGCACTCTGCACCCGATGAGCCCTGGCGGGACACAAGTCCTACTTCACGCCCTTCTCGTAATGCCATCGGACTAGCATTCACAAGAACAGCAGAGGCTAGTAACGATAAGGCGTATAGAAACTGGGAAGGATGCATATCTACGAGGTTGTCCGTAAGAAAATGCAAAGAGAGGTTGTTCAGATATCGAGTGAGACCGAGTCTTGGATGAGTATCGACTTAATGGTGGCTATACTGATACTTTTGGAGCAGGCTGACAACTGCAAAGGCCTTTAATACTTAAATCTGAAGTCGCGGGTGTTGAGCAAGGGGAAACTTTGAGAGAAAAGCCAAGAAACGCTTGCATTTATGAACGGGACCCTTTGGTGCAGGTCCTTGGCGTGAAAGGACTGCGTGACTACAGGGAAATGAAAAACGCCGATCACAAAGGCCTGTATGCTACCCTGCAAAGAAGTTGGGGAAATGGAAAGCCATCGAGCTCATCAGCTTATCAAAGAGTAAGTTTAGGGTTATGTCGATCACTACGATACGACTGATTTGATTGTATTCTGCTTAACATGCAATTGACCTAGTAGAAGAGCTATCCTTTCCTTAGCAATAGCTATATCACTCATCCTTATCCAATAAATGAGCCTGCAAACAGTAGTCTGCAGAGACGGCACAAGCGGCACGTGAGGGTAGAATAAGGGGGCGGACTGTATGTAAGCATGAATGATCTTCGCTGGCGAGGCTCTTGGTGATATATATAACTGTTTATTTGTTAAGTAGAGTTCTAGGAATGACCATGTTTATGGGGGGTTTCTGGGGTCAGGGTAAATTATGTAGACCAATTAGACGATAATTAGACGCACAATCTATCCACTTTCCCCCCTGCCACAATAAACACTCCCACGATTGCTCAAGCTCTATTTTGGTCCGAACTCTACACGAATCGTCCGTACTACATAAGTGTCACTGTTAAGACCCTGGCGGACACCCGGGGATCTGGGTGTCATCACCTTAGCTGCCGACTATTCAATCTTTTACCTGCTTCTAATGATTGTCAAGTCAACTTCGTCCGAGAACTTTTTGATCAATCAATCAACCAACAACCGACAATTAGGGACCTATGTCCAAAGAGACAAAACATTGTTGAACCACAAGTCAAATTTTGCAACGTCCGGAGCTTCAACTTGCTTCAAACCCCCGCATTCAAAGAATACCGCCATGCGTTGTTCCCAGCCTGATGACTTGAAGTAACGATGCGAGGAACATTACTTAGCTTTGATTGATATTCAACAGCACGAAGATGGACTCATGAATATGGTACTCAGCTATATCCGCTGTTGCCACACATGACTAAGTCAAAGCCTATGGGATTAGCCCTAGCACATTTTGAATAGTTCAGTTCATTGGAACTTCACAGCAGCGTGTCGCAGTTTGACTCGATCTAAAATGGCACGTAGCTTGATCTACCGACCAATGGACTTGGTGTGAAATTGTTCCCTATCAAGCACAGGATATTATGCAACACAAACATAACAGACCTGATATTTCGCCTGCCAGCACCTGCTTCAGAACCCATCAATCGACCCTGCCTTTCACTTTACTCCAAGTGCCGCAATTGGAGGCAACATGCCATTTCAATTTCGGTATATGCTACGATGTCGAGACTTTTTTTTTCCCTCTCGCCACTATGTATGAGCCAAAGATAGACATGTTGGACTGAAGCATTTAATTGAGCTTATCGACTTTCAATTTTACTGCGCATCCGATCCGTACAAGGTACCTAATTCAAACATTTCACTAAACGCCGGATGCAAACACAGACAGAACTTCAAGGAATTTTGGAAGTCAAAATATTGATAACGTGCGCAAGCAAAAAATTTGCGTAGAATGCAGAATAACTGTTACTAACTTTGTGCCTTGGAAAGCGTAAAGCGTTACCTCTGAGTCTAGGCTGTCTCGGCGTCTGGATTTGACTCCAAGAGCTAGCTCAACGCCGATCGGCCTACACCATGCGAAATAAGAGCAACTAAATGTTGATAACAAAGTGAGGCCCCGGGCTACTTATCAGAAAAGAAAAGGGTTGAGAGATAGGATCGACTTCAATCTGAGGTGAACATGTCGAAAGCACTGTTGGCACACCTTAAATCGTTTCCCTATCTCTGAAAAAGTGTTGTCGGAAGGGTACCATATCAAAGCGAAGCATGATGCAGCGCAAGATCTGAATAGCAATTCTACCTACCATGTTCGCAAAGTATTCGTTGCAATTGCCACCGATTTAATCCGTGAAATACCTTTGATCAGGGAGAAAACTGCGGCTGGTTAGTAAATTTAAACCCTATCACCTCGGCGAGACATGTTTCCCGCGGGCAACTGCTTTCAGGCGATCTAGCTGAAAATCCACACCAACTCCACTAGCCCCCGTTCTCGGGCGTGTCGTGTTTCCCATGTGTCATCGACCAATGCAGAGAACTAAAGTAGCAAGGGAAAATACCTAATATATCTCATCGATAAGAGGGGCCACGATGTGAAATGTGGATAATGTCGCTTATCACGAACGCGGCCCATAATGCAGAAATCCCTCCTCTTATTGTTAATGACCCGTTGGTGGCCACACTAGCTTCCTAGGGGCAGCCTAGTCGGAGAATGTGGAACAAATTAACCCCGCGGTAACAGGTTCCGCGGGAAAGTTAGGTGGGATTTAAAGCGCTCTCGATACGACATCTCCCTTTTAGAAGACAACGCGGTAAGAAAGAAAACCCCAATCACAATGGACTACTCACTTCAAAATCACCGCTCTTTTGTTGGCTCCAAGGCCACAGAGTTACCTACTCCCTCACTTATTGTCAGTCTGCCAGTCGTCAAGAGAAATGTTGAGAGGCTACACCAGGATGTCGACAAGGCGGGGGTATCTTTTAGACCTCATGTTAAAACACTCAAGGTGCGATTCTTGTCTTTCAGCAAAGTCGATGATCACAACCTTACATGGTGTAGAGCACGGAAGTTACCAGGTTGATGCTTGGAAATGGCAAGTTCAAGAAGGCCGTTGCTTCAACCCTATCGGAGATCCGAGGTCTCCTGCCACTAGCGGAGGAAGGCATACTTGAGGAGGTACGGGACCAATTCATCACCTTTGAAGTAAGATCTTTTAACTGACTAAAACTGGATTTAAGGTTCTCTATGGCCTTCCAGTTAGCTCTGGTGTTATCCCATTATTGAGCGAGATCCGCAAGTCCGTTAGAATACTTCTCATGATTGACCACGAGAAACAAATTTCTCTGCTGGAAGACTTTGCGAAGAAAAGCCCCGAAGCATCCAAGACGCCATGGGATGTTTTCATCAAGCTTGACGTGGGTACCAAGCGCGCAGGTATGCCTCTCAACAGTGAACGTCTTCAGAAAGTCATCCACAGAGTGAATGAATCTGCGATTGTATCTCTTTACGGGTTTTACTGCCATGCCGGACACTCTTATGGATGCAGGACGCAGGAAGAGGCCGAAACGGTCTTGACAGATGAGATCAATGGTGTACTCAGTGCCGCAAAGTTGATTGTCGGCGAGCAGAAGTTGACTCTGTCCGTCGGCGCTACGCCGACAGCTCACGTTGTGGGTAGTCTCAAAACAGCAATCCCAACCAACGTGACCCTAGAGCTCCATGCCGGTAAGTAAGGCTAAGAAACGCTCATTTTAGGTGATGCTAATATTTTAACTCGAAGGAAACTTTCCTGCAAATGACCTCCAGCAGGTGGGCACAGGGTTGGTTTCAACTGAGGACCAAGCTGTAAGGGTTGCTGCCGAGGTTTGCAGTGTCTATCCCGAGCGTAACGAGGCTCTCATCAACGCAGGAGCTATCGCGCTGTCCAGAGAGACAGGCCCATCCCCGGGATTTGGCAATGTGGTAGGAAAGCCGGGGTGGGCTATTGTCCGCGTGTCTCAAGAGCACGGCATCATCGGCGAAGCTCAGGTGCCTGGGCTTAAAAATGCCGAGCCGGAGAGTAGAAATGTGGAGGCGAACTTTGATGTCGGTGACAGGATATTCCTTTACTGTCAACACTCCTGCATTACCGCAGCTGCGTTCCATGTTTACTACGTGGTAGATGAGAACGATATTGTGCAGGACACTTGGATCCCATGGAAGGGTTGGTGATGACTGAGGTATAGGATCAAACAAAGTCTCACTCTTTAAATAATTTTATAAATTCGGTCTAGAGCTCGATTCAAAATCTTTTTTCATAGGGTTTTCTTCTCCCTCTTTAGCGTATGTCTTCTCAGTATGAAGAATACCAGGACTCCAACTTCTATCAAGTTCATGTAGGCTGAGTGGCTCAATACCCAGCAAGAGGCTTTGCCAATGAGACCAATTTGTGGCTTCAAGGCGACAAACAGTGCGATGTATCGCGAAACCGCTGGTAATGTCAATGTTCGTGAATCACCAAATCAAGCTACATGTTTTGGCAGGTGGCTAGGATACTGTATCACAGGCACAAAAGGATTCCGCCTTATTGTTCAAATGTTTGTCTATATATACTCTTTCGTGCTGTGGCGCGTTCTTTCAATAGCAGTGGCTTAAGAACGCATACGCATTGCACAAGTATAGACCGACTCTCAGATATTCTGTACCAAACGCTCCAGAGCGTCGGCGTTATACTTCAGGACAAGATTTAAATGGGTTTCGTCTTCATCAACATGAAAGTCTGGGCGGGAACTCAGACGCGAGGCAATTGCCTCGCCCATCCGGAAAGGCACGTTCGTGTCTTTCTTACTATACCACAGTTGAACTGGTATAGATGGGTGAATGGTTTCCAAACGGAATCCCCAATTACTTGTCAAAACCCGCCCATCCTCCATATACCCATCCACTCCTTGCTTGTAATGCTCTCTATATAAATCAAGTACCATGGTCAGAAACTCGGGGTCTTTCAGAGTCTCCAGATCCGGGCTTATCCAACGTGATGATTTCTTCGCCAATCCGCTGAGCACTAGCTCAACTAGTTTCTCGTTTGGCATACTATTCAATATAGTAACCACTCTGATCTGCAGCCAACGAATTATGATCGGAAAATATAGCAGCCCTATGAACGTGAGCCAGTTGCCCCAGTTCATGCCCTTCATCCCGACATCAATGGGGGCCACTCCGCCAATGACGGAGACGCTCTTCAGATTTTCTTCCGGTAACGAATATGCACATGCGAGCGCATATGGACCACCGCCCGATACACCAATTATGCCGTAAGATTGGAGATTTAAGTGTTCCGCAAGTTCACGGATATCGTTTGGGAAATCCAACAGGGCGCGGCCGGGTTGAGGAGAGCTGTTTCCAATCCCTGGCCTGTCTACAGCAATAATCCTGGCCCCTAGCTTCTTGCCAGGCGCGTCAAAAAACACTCCACCTGAAAGTCGGCAGCCAGGGTAGCCATGCAGATAAAACACTGCCGAGCCACTCCTTGCGCCGTAATATGCGACTCCAAGTTTTCGCCCATCAGATAAGATGAATTCTTCAGAGCTTGTATCATTCGCATAGGATAAATTGCGCTGTCTGGATTGGGGCAGTTGATCAGCATCTGATCCTGGTACTACATGTGGTGTTTGCTCCATGAGTAGGATACTGTCGTTAAGAGGGGAAGTGGATGAAGATGGAGTGCTCCAGGGTTATTAAGAACGCTAGTTGCTGATGGACTACTTATACCCACCTACTTGCTCACTGGTGGGGTGGGGTGAGGGACGTACCATTTGTTGAGCGGTTGTTGTCCAGTGAAGTTCTGGAATACGATCCCTGTAGGAACCAAGCATTTAATAGCCTACTACCAGGGAACGGGGTTGCTGCGGCGGACTCCAAGTCTTCATGCTGAAGGAAGAAGGCCACTGGAACTGATGCGTTCATGCTCTGGGTCCAAGAATTATATGACGCCAAAGATCGATAGGCTTTAATGAGAGCAGATGGCCAGAATCACAATTTTGCTGACTCTCCTTTCGGGCAATGAGTATCCCACGAGAGCCAATAAACTCCACATGTTCGGCTGGAGCGACAGCAGAGTAGTCTAAACTGCATTTGCAATCTATAGGCACTTCGATCGATCAGGTGTCAGCGGCAGTGAGACCTAAGAACCGTAGTGGCTTATTGAGAGCAAGGCCACAAGACTGGCTAGGTAGCATTCCTTGATACCTAGCGTTGATGACTGCAGGTGTCCATTGGCTAGTTTCCAATATTGCCTTTCTAGCCTTAAAAATGATTATCCCGTGCCTCTCAGGTAAAGTCCAAGTCTTTGACGCAGAAAAAAAAAGTTCAACTATAGTTCCGATCACCAATGATTGCCGATGTTCAGCGCAGTTTGTCCCTTGGAGTCCAAGGCTCGGATTTTGTACCAGGCCCCCCAAGCTTGCTTGTCTGCATGTTCCACTAACAGCGCAGAAGGAGCCCCAATCTGAAGACAATTTCCAAATGAATCAAATAGAGAAGCCAGTTACCAGTATTAAGTTCATAGGCATTTTTCAAACTGGCCGTTCAGCTTTCGTTCTCAATATGAAATTAGTTCGGTACTACAAGGGGTCTGCACGCCCTTGACAAGACTGGCTCGCGTATTTCATTCGCATGTATTACGAGTTGAACTGAACCGTATCTGGCTAGAGTACAAGCTGTGCCTCCTTTCCAGTAAAACCAACACCAACCTGAGGCTACTAGGCCGTAGGGCACTCAAACTAATACCCAATCAATTGCTCCAGCCAAGCGATATTGCATCAACCCATCAGGTAACTCCAAGCAGGCACCCTAGAGATATGCGTCTTACACACCATCTTTCTGCTCTTCGCCTTCAGAAAGGATCAAATCCTAGTTGCTCTTGGAAAGGCTGTGTGGATCAATTTATGTAAATAGTCAAATAGTCACAAAGCGTGTCTGCATGTAAGTCTTCCAGAGTTTCACACGCTGTACGAGTGATCTGCGCGAAAGAAAGACACCATCATGGTCAGCATTTACCAACCCATGCTCGATCACATCGTACCAAATCCATGACGCACTCAAAAATATTAACTACCGGAACACTTTCCCCCTGGTCATGGAACAGAATTATGATGCCCAATTCCAGATGAATGACCATCCCCAAAGTAAACTTTTTCTCATCGCATTGGACTAAAGCTTAGGTTGGCACTCATTTCTTTATCAGTAACGGGTAGGCACGTCGGAATGTCTCAGTTATCGTCAACGCATCAAGTTGATTCAGTTTCATATACTCTTTGTGCAGAATTATACGAGTAGAGCACGGCCAGGCCGTCTCGAAATGCTTGTGTGCTGACAGGACTACTATCCACCTTCGAGGCTGAATCGGCGAGGCCGCTTTGCACTCGTCCATAGTGCGTTGTTTTCCTCCCCATTCCACCTATCCGTTGGATCTGCATACCAAGCTGGTTCAGCTCATCATATTCCGAGCGGCGGAGCCCGCTACACCCATGCTTCTTCGCACTCCGCTTAGCACCTCCACCCACCATCGTGGCATCTGCCCCCCATAACAGCATCCTTGTATCCGAACTGGGCACTAGGAGTTTGGTCCAACCTATGCCCAAAAATCATCTAGTGCTCAACGAAAAAGAGCCACCCTACAGCAATGCATGCACCTCGCAGGTCACCCTTCACTATCATCAAACAGGGCGCAGAGCATAGCGTGATTACCACCCAAGCCGCATACTCAATCGCTATATATGGAAGCCTAAAATGTTCATCTTGCGCTGTGGCTAAAACAGGGGGTCACTTGGTGCCGAACATCATCGGCATCCAGAGCCCTGGGCCGTACTACAATGCTACCCTTCAGGGCGGTTAAGGGACGCACTGGGAGGCATCCGCTAACCCTTAATGCAGGATAGCCATTCAGGCTCCTCGGGAAGTCAGCTGCAGCGTTATCCTTGGCATGGGTTAAAGCTATCATCAGCGGTCGATACGATTCTGTTTATAATCTGGAAATGGCTGTTCTAAATAGCTTCTTTTGCTTTTCCCTCATCTTCAAACTCCCTTCTCATGGACCTCAACATTTACCCCCAACAAGCGATCAACAAGACAATGGACATCTCAGACTCTTATCCAGAATACAGACAAACTTCGCGGCTCGACGAGATTCGGGCGACCGAATACAGTTACCTTGACGAACAAGACCATCTTTACCTTGACTTCACTGGCGCCGGCCTCGCCGCAAAGTCCCAGTTTCGAGCTCACCAAGCCCGACTAGAGAAGAACCTCTTTGGCAACCCTCACTCAACGAATCCGACAAGTCAGTCCGCAACACATCTAATCGACGACGCAAGAGCTCGAGTTCTGGAGTACTTGAACGCCTCACCGAAAGAATATACTGCCATCTTCACGCCGAATGCTACTGGTGCCGCGCGGCTTGTCGCAGAAGCCTACCCATTTAAGCGACATACAAAGTTGGTGTTGACGTCCGACAACCATAATTCTATCAACGGCATCAGAGAGTTCGCCAAAAGGAACCATGCGCGAACGGTATACGTCCCGGTCAGAGCGCCAGAGCTTCGGGTTGACCCGTCAGACCTGATGTCGGCTTTAAGCCGCAAGGGAGGCTTGTTTCAATATGGTTCGGCAGCCACGCGGCGCAGTGGTTTGTTTGCATACCCAGCACAAAGCAACTTCAGTGGCGTTCGTCACCCACTCTCCTGGATCGACGTCGCACAGAAGCAGGGATACGACGTGCTTTTAGATGCCGCAGCCTACCTCCCAACATCGAGGCTCGACCTGTCAGCCACTGGCGTCAAACCCGAGTTTGTAACCGTGAGCTGGTACAAACTGTTTGGGTACCCCACGGGAGTTGGATGCCTCATAGTTCGGCGGGATGCTTTGGCACGCCTGGCTACTTCCCGGCCATGGTTCTCGGGTGGAACGATAACGGCTGCCACTGTTGGCGTACCTTGGCATGCAATGGCACCCGACGAGGCAGCATTCGAGGATGGAACTGTAAACTTTTTGTCGATTCCAGACGTCCAAGTTGGCCTCGATTTGTTGGATGATGTGGGCATGCATTTTATCGAAACAAGGGTTAGATGTCTAACTGCATGGTGCCTCGACGGCTTACGAAACCTTGAGCACAGCGACGGGTTCCCCATGGTAAGGATATACGGTCCAACAACCATGGAATCTAGAGGAGGTACAATATGCTTCAACTTCATCGATGCTTCTGGAAAAGTGGTAGATGAAAGGCTTGTGGCGAAGGAGTCAGCAGCAGAAAAGATTTCCTTACGGACGGGTTGTTTCTGTAACCCAGGCGCTGGTGAAAGCGCATTTGGGTTGAAGAAGCCAGATTTGCTCTCGCTGAGCAAGGTAAAAGGCACATCACTAGATACTTATATGCGCATGATAGCTCCTGTTGGGGCTGTCCGCATTTCGTTTGGCTTCATGTCGACGGCGGGCGATGTCGATAGGTTTCTCCGTTTTGCAAGGAAACATTATCGGGATAGAGTGACAACCACTGAGGGGCTTCCACCACATGAGCATTGTTGACGGATAAAAATGAGAATAAAACAAAGCACTAACATCTGGTTGTTCATCAGCTGTGACTTGGTATAAGCTCGTTCCTCGTTTAATGATGAGCATCGCTAAGTTGACTAGTGGTTTGTCAATGCGCCCAACAACGGAAATCCTTGGGACATGCGTGGCACTAGTTGTAAGTCCTACTGCTGAAGTGATAGCATTATGAGGTCACCTTCCTAAGTGGCATTCTAAAAGTGATCTCAGTTCTTGTGCTATTCATCATTCAAAGGCTAAGTAGGCCTTTAAAATTTCTTGGACACTCTGGGCCACGCTCATTAGCAAAATCGTCGATACTACGCTTTTCTCATTACTAGAACTCCTAAACAGTTTAGTTCAATGAGTTAATTCTGCTCCTTTATCGCAATTTCTCATGCTTCAGATATACCAGTATACAAGTCACGACCTAGAATCCACCTGCTCATTTGACAGCCTACCCAGGCTTCAAACTGCCAGTGCATCATATGCGCTTATGGCGTAAGTTCATCTTGATTTCCCAATGAATTTCACATGACGTTGGACAATACGACACTGTCGAATGATTGGGTGTCACACTAGTCCGAGAGTTGTATCATAGCGTGGTGGACATCTACCTCGGGCCCGAAAACATGGACCGGTTATTTCTGAGGTTCAACTTCGGAACGGTTGTTTCTGCTTTATGCTCAAATGATGGCATTTTCCACTATTTCTGAGTATTAAAAACTGCAGTATTTAGGCCAAGTGGGCGACAGCATATGTGCCTGCTGGTGAATGTGCGGCACCAACCCAGGCATTCCAGTTGTTTATTCCCTCTGTGCACTCTGTTGTGATAGGGCGTCCTTGAACTTGCGCAACCACTTCGCCTCCTCTGTGAATAGTGACAGTCACTTCTCCAAGCCTACCGTTAAAAGGAACACTACCGTGATAGACACCAATACCACCGTTGGGCACGCCGTCATCGTCCCACGATCCTTCCTGAGGCACTCCACCGATACTTACAGTGACTGAAGCGGGCCCAGTAAGCAGTGCAGAATACACGACTTTGTCATCCATTATCTCTGCTGGATGAAACAACTCTTGGCCATGGCTGGGGGTGTTGCCAGTGGTGCCTCCAGAGTCACCAGCATGGCCAGGATGTATACGGTACCAGGTCACGAGGCCTTCGCGATTGATGGTAGCATGACCATACTTGTAAAGGTCGATAAGGAAAGGCAGCAACAACCTCCAGCCGTCATGAGGCATGTCTCGAACATAGTTGAATGGTGCCTTTCCGTATTCGAAAGCACCAAATTGTTTCTCGTGGAGAGGACCGATATAGTGAGATTCTCCAAAGTCGTTCCAAGAAATCTGCGGCTGTCAGCGCTGAAAGGTTCGCGTTACACTAGGGGCAGTGAGACTTACAATCTGTACATATTCGGGTCTCAACTGGAGAATTTCATTCCATCTGTCGTTCCAAAGATCATCTCCCTTCCAGGCCCAGTTCTTATTCCAAGTAGGCAAGTTGGTGTAGAACCATGGAGAAACGGCTACCATGTACGGCCTGTGGCCCAAGAAATGTTTGTATGAGGCATCCAGACCAGGGTCCATTTTACGACTGTTGCCATGAGGCCATGCAGCCCAGCTGAACAGGCCATCGGTAACACCAGTGTTGACAGCATTCTCGGCGCCTATAGATGAGAAAGAAGGCATGAAGAAGCAGCCAGTGGCTGCCTTGATATCATGCCAATCGGCTGCATTCCCGGTGCCTTCGAAAGTAGATACTACTGGTTGCCATCCGCGCTTAAAGTATGCTGGGGATGGGCCAAACTGAGACGAGATTAGCAACGTAAACGCTGTCGAAATAGGGACAAGATGAGGTTGAACAAGAACTGATAAAACTGTAGCCCGCGCATCTTGCAGAGTAACTCACCCGATTAAGCATCTCAATGACCCGCTCCTTGGGCCAGGCGCCGGCTCCCTCGTAATCGAACGACAAAAGCAGCTTGAATCCGGTTTGTTCAGCTGCAGCGAAAAACTCTGGAAGCTTTGCAATTGCCTCTTCGTGTATACCAAAGTTCACTACAAAACCATCGATATGAGCCTCTTGGGCTAAGCCGATGTCGTACTTGTATTCATCGACAGTGTAGTCGCACGTGTTGCTCAGCTGTTTGATCATTAGCATAAAATTTCCTTCTTTAATTCTCTATCAATCTAGAAATCGCACCATGAAATGGGCAAACACAGCCCGCTCAAACCCTTGAGGCGGTGCCTGCGGGTATGGCTGCGCCTGAGGCGGCGGCGGCGCTGGTCGCGTGTCATCATCGTCGCCCGTAATAGAGGCGATCTCGGCCTCTATTTTCTTTTTCGCTTGCGAGAAAAACGCCCTCATTCTTACGGATGTTGCAAAGAAGAGAATTTGGTAGGACGAAATCGTGACGCGTTGTATGTTTACCGCTCCAGTTAAATGACACGTGGAATGGCGAAGCTTCAATCTTGGCCAAAGGGGAGGGTCGTCGTAGCCCCATCAGTACATAACCGAGGCTTAGCACGCGTCCCGACTTATCCGGCTGCTTTAAATATCATGTTCATTTCCATGATATCGACAGCACGCTCAATGAGTTTGTTCATGGCGGTTAGAGCATCTTATTGTGTTTAACGTCGAATCTCCTGATGGTCAAGTCAGTTTTGGGACGCGAGTCAGACTTGACAGGGGTAACATGTACATGTCGTTTTTTATGTCGCAATAGAAAGTAATTACGTCACTGCTTGGTTCTCGTACGTCGGCCACTGATACAAGAAGGCCATTGCGCCCAGAAACCACATGCAAAAAAAATAAAGAATTAACAGGTTCTAAACTAAAGGGAAAGTTAAAGAAAAGCCGCGGAGCAAGCCGCTGAGTTTTGTAAACCGAACAAGACATTCGAAACAAAATACCTTAGTTTTATAAGAGACTGGACACCTTGTACGTACCCTTTCTAGTGATCAATGACAAAGCCTGTGAGTTCCTTTCACTATCTTGAATCTCAGAACATTGAGTAGCAAGCGAGTCTGTTGAAACTCGCAACCCACGTAGCCGTAGCCCAGTGGTCTCCGATGGGACGCTAGGATACGGCGAAATAGATAGCAAGATTGTTTTTCGCCGGCTAAAGAAGATTGAAGAAGTCTAGCGTAAGAAAAAGCAAAAGAATTGTCCTCGGTGAGGCTCGAACTCACGACCTTTGGATATCTCTGCCTAAGCCAGAGTCATATTTAATCATATGAGACCAACGCTCTTCCAACTGAGCCACGAAGACTGTGACCCGTGTGGGTCTTGCTACACGTGGCACGCAAGTTGACTAAGCGGGAACGAGCGTAACAGGAAAACCGATGTTGAGCCATTGCCGTATCGATCCAAGCCGTTTCTCACGCAATTCATTTTCGATTGACCATAAGACAGAGGGTGTCACTTGCACAGAAAGTGAAATTTGTGTATTAAGTTAAAACATTCATTACGTTTATATTATCTTAACCACTGTCATATGCAGCTTACTCCTGCGGGAATCTTGTGATGTCAGCTGGAGCCGAAGACATCACTACTACTGTTGTTGTAACCACCCCATCCGGTCCCTCACCCTTCACTATTCGGAACTTCTCGCTTTCCTGTACTGCTGATGGGTTGGTACCAGCTGTCCAAGACCTTTGTAAACTCCTCGTAACGTTGATTTGAAACTCGCGCTCGACCATAATCATCTCAGGCATTTGAGGGTCCGAGTGGCAATCTCCTGCGGACTCTAGATCATGACTGATACTCCAAAGCTTCTTCCGCGGTGTAAAATATGTAGGGGAAGTCGGGGATGTGTGTATTGAATTGGCGGCGTCACTTTGGTGAGGGAATAGATAGTCGATGAGAGGTTGCGCAGCAGGTATGCAAACAGCCATGATAACCACATCGGCTTCGAGGCTACATTTAGGGTTAGCAAATGGACTCTTCATAGCTGCTTGGAATGGTAGTACCTCGTCCAGATAACAAGATCTGCGGAGTCGTCTTTTGCTGGTGTAAGCTACACAAACTTTAAACTTTTGAGAAGGGGAACTCACAGGTGAAGTCGGGACTTCCAAGTGATTTCAATCTTGTGCACTTAAAGATCGCTGTCGAAAGGGCTCTGTAAGAGTTTCGTCAGTAAAACGTACCTTCAAATTACTGCTCTCCAGTCGGAGACTACGAAATCAGCGTTTGAGCGAACTTTGCACTTACACAAGACCCAGTACCAAGGATATTGCCAACCCAATTCGCTTACTCCTGGCAAAATGCAATTTACGAATTGATAGAGCGACATAAACCGCGAGGTAAGCGTTTGTAGCAGCTGATATAGCTGAAGCCGTTCCTGTCAGTCAAGTATTCAAACGTGCAACAATGTCAAACGTACCACTTGTTGAGATGGAATATTCAACAGCCATATCTGGGCCCAAACATGCTTTCGTCATGAATGACATCTCTTCTTGTGATGGTGAACATTGTGCATATAGTCCAACAACATTTCCTAGAAGCGCTATACCGCAGAAGACTGCCAGCCCCCAAAGAAATATGCGGTGCGCCCTTTTCGGCTGGAGTAATCGGTTTACTAAAGCGACCACGGCGAGTTTTGGTAACACTAGAGCAAATATGCCAAAAGAAAAGGCCATAATCGTCCAGTGCATAATCGCCTCTTTTTGCGGGTCAGTAAGTGATGCGACATGTCTACCGTGGCCGATCGCCACGGCCTTGAGTGTTGTAGCTGTTGATGTCCATCCAGATACCTGAAAAGACAAGGTTCAGTGATCACCGCAGACCAGTCGACGACAAAGCTTCATACCACTGCAGCCAAGAGAATTCCGTCATCGAAGTGAACTCGCTTCTGTATCCATCCCCTTACAAACAGCCGCGATAATGCGAAAATCGTCGAGATGGCGGTTGCCGGCACGACTGATGCGATGATAACACCGCCTATGCTGTGATTATCGACGTTTTCGGATACATCGGCATTTCGTGGAAGCAGAGGGAGCGGAGGTATTGTCGCACTGGTTAATACTCTGTGTAATAGATGCATCATGCGTGTCGACGCAGAAGATTGATTATTGCAACGTTGGCATGACAAACCATCTATTGTTGATGAATGATACGTATGAGGGTATTGTTTGAAACTAAGAAACATCATTCAAAGCAAGAAATGGGGGGGAGACGAGCATTTTCATAGTTACGCCACTCTGTGCGAAGGTGGGTGGGCAGTTTGAAACCCCAAACTCTGTTCTAGAAGGGCTCGAGAGTGCTAGTCGCTAAGTAAGCTGATGCGGTAGGTTTAGTGGGCGTCAAAGATTGAAGCCATTTTTCTCATCTGAAGTTCTGTTTGGTTGAGGGTAAACCTTCTTATTCAGCTTTGTGCACATGCAATAGTCGCTCCTCATCCTTTCAGGGATGGAGGCTTCTGAGCCCACTTTCAAAGATTCGGAATTTCACAATTAGCTGTATGTCGACGGAAACAGAATGTTGGGTCAAACCTGATGAATCGGATCGCTGGTCTCAGTTATCCGGGATTGTTAATCGTCAGTGCTAAATTAGGTCCCGTTTGCCACGAGCAGAAAGAAAGGAACTAGCCCTTTAGCTAGGACTATTGCGTAAATGCTACACAAAGCGTAGCGTGTACTCCTTCAAGAGTGGAAATTCAGTACACTGGCCCGAGCTCAGCACGGTTGCTATAAGTAAAGAAACTGGCAATGGCAAAGGACCCAATCTTCGAAATATCAACTTCCAGAATGGTCGGGCCTTTGAGCTGCTGAGAAGCTAAATTACGCAATACCTTTTTAGCACACGTGCCGTGTTGTTCGATATAAGCCTATACCTTGCAGTTCGTTCTCCGTCAATGCAGTCGTACGATGTTAGACTTTTTGCAATGATTATACCTGCCTTGCTGTGAGAAATACTAGGTTGAAGAGGTTGATCCGAATCACATGTTTGGCAGTTTGCAAGTAAGGGACACATAAAATATCTTTCCCAGGACTGACTGCGAGAACCGTTTCTGTCCCCCCGCATTGATTGTTGCGCCAGTGGCATAACGACATTGCAACAAGTCGAAGTCGGCTCGGACATTGGACAAGTTGAAGCGTAGGCCGGGCCGGGGCCCGTGTTATGCTTCTTCAGATGCGAAGACATAATTGCCGAGGGAACGCAATGGGACCTTGGTACTCCAACGAGTAACTTTGTTCGCTTAAGCTACCCTATATTAGTGCTTTTAAGACTCTCTCACTCCCAAAAGTCTGACAAAGAAAACAGTTTGCCCTGCCACTCACTGAAACCGGAATTGCCTTCACACCTTTTGCGCGAACCGAACTCGCATCTCACCGTTAGCTAAGCTGAGGGCTTCAAGCCTCAGCAGGGATGCCAGCCTCAACGTCATCGCTGAGCGGTTGACCTTGCCTTCTCCGGCTTTGTTCTGTCAGAATGTCTCGCCTTACTGCCAGTAAGTGTCTGGGAAAACTTTGCTAAGCATCTGCCAGCCATGTAACTGAAATCCCCTGAGTCAAGTTCAACGACGTCGTTGGCTAAGACTAGACTTGGATCCTCTTTTATACCACGATAAGCAAGGTAAATCTGCGCTTTACTCCCACATGTATTCTATTTACCAAAATCTCTACCCATGATATTTCTTGTCATATCTCGAAAGAAATCAAAATTTAACATTATACTAGGACGTGGGTGTCCATTCAATCATCCCCGTGCCGAACGAGTGTAGCGTGCTTGGCAGCAAAGTCAACTGAACTCGAAAGGCAAGCGTACATTACTAGTCCTGTCGGCTATGAGTAGAAAGAATTAATTAATTTAAAATTTCCGGACTTGAAAGTTAAACCAGTGATCTAGTAGTATACCGTTCAACCTTCAACAGTGAGAGCGCAAAACGCTAAGTGTTACGCACTCCTGACCAACACGCTCGGATCTAGGATATGCTAAATAATCTCTAAAAGAAACATCCAAGTGAATTTCTTTTGAGAAACCCGAGGCTTTGACGTTGACATGTAAGCTTGGGCTTTCAATACTTGCCTATGTCTGCGCGCCCAAGCTTAAGGCCGCTCGGGGGTGTCTTCCAGCTCCAGCTCCTTTTTGTCATAGCCTGGATAACAGCATTCAGGAGCTTCCTGAAATCATGAAATGTGCAGGTAAAGGTATTAAGGTAACACAGGGGAACGCCTCCACAACCGCTATGCCGAATATAGAGGTGATTCCCTGCCTGAAACTTTGGGCTCATTCTAATTGAGAATAAGCTCAGCTGATTAAAGATGATTTGCAGATGTAAAGTCTTTAGCTCTCTCCTGTTAGAAAAGTAATTATATCACAGTACCAGTCGTACGCACGTGTAATACAAGAAGCCGTTGATATTGAATATATGTCCCGCAAACTACATGATGCATGCATTCCTACAAACATCATTATCTCCCTTGAATCTCCTAAACGCGTTCCAGATTGCCTCTAATACCTTAACGAAATCGCTGGGAAAAAACAGATCTTTGATGATGACCAATGACCATACATGGGCGGAATCATCATGCGAAATCCGAATGGGGCTCTGCTACCAAGGAATCAAAGAGGCAATGTAGCATCTGTGGGTATAAAGGAACTTTCTCAAACAAAAACAAAAAAAGAAAAGAAAAGAGAGAAGAAGAGAAAACAGTGACGCCTAAAATGCATCACAGAAAGTCCCCAACGCCGTGACAACGAGACAGGGGAATACTGGTTTGATTTTTAACGCAAGTGGTAATGGCACCAGAAACCCAGGTGACACCCTCGTATGAACCATCTTCATGAGAGTCGGCCATAAAAGTACCAGTTTGGCGAAGGTTACCGACACAACCCTGAAAGGTACGTCCATATCGGCGGTTAGTCCAGGGCATAGTAATGACAACGCCTGTTTGACCGGCATCAACAGTGCCACGGATCAGATAACCTTGCATAGTGGTCCAAGTGCGAGAAAAGTCGATTCCAAAGCCAAGCTTAAGACGGTCCTTTATAGGCGTGACGTCTAAGCCAGCACTGACCGTGACCTGATTGGCAATGGAGTAAGACTTGGAGATCGTGATGTCCATACCTCTGCTGCCAGTGCCGATAACAACTGGAGACATCTGTACATCCCAATCGACGAAGCGCAGAGTGCGATCAATAATAATTGGATGATTGCTATCGCAGTCACGCTTGCTAGGGCCGAGCTCGCTGTGGTTACTAGGAATCTCAGCGAACTCATCACCGGCCCTAAGCCAGTCATAGTCGATTTCGGGTGCCTCAGGGAGGATGTTCATGGTCTTCAAAAGCAGGTCCCATGTGTCTGCTGTAATAATAGAGGCTGCAAAAACGACTTTTCCGTCAGAGACCTAAACCCAACTTGGATAAAAAAGAACGGCATACCGCGACCATCTCCAACGACAAGCAGTTCACCGCGGCGCATATGGCGGTCAGCAGCCTCGGTAAAGTTGCCTTCAAGTTGTTTGGTGAGTGGAGCTGAGATAACGATGGAGGCGGCAAACAAGGCAGTAATAGTGAAGCGAAGGGCATCCATCTTGAGAGAGGCCAATCTGAGAAATATTGAGTGGGTTTATAGTAGCGGTAAAGAACGAATTCAAAACAGATAACAGGATCACCGAGGCATTATAAGTTTTTTCAATGTCGTAGAACCAAATCGTAAACGTCTTTAGGTAGCTTCAGTCAGTTTACAGTCACACGAGATAGCTTTGCCCGAGTGTGTTAGCTACAGATCCGGAATGAGTTCGTCCGATCAGAGTACATTGCTCCAAGCATGTTGCCTCCAGATGAGGGCAGTCTCAATCTAGCGAGTCATGGAGGAAGATTCAGGAGGCCTCGGCGGGCAGTCCCAACAACACTTGAGAGGGTCTGTTCTCTACAGGTGTAGATCAACAATCATCATCTTCAAAACACTCTAGCGGTATTCTCATGTTGTTTCATTGGGCGAAGATCAGCCACGCCTTGGACAGGGTAACGGATTGTCGAACAAGTGCTTGAGGACATAATTGCCTATTTCAGTTTGGCTTGCCCCTGCTGCATGATTCAGTGACTGTAAAAACGATCACGTTACCAAGACTTCCTTCAAGAGTGGAATAGAATGCTAATGAGTTGTCAAATCTATTGGTCTGCGAGCGCCAATCAACCCAAAAGGTAAGCTTATCATTAGCTCCGTTAACGAGTAATGTAATCTGTAATCAATATTCAATATATTGTTCATCATCAAGTCATGGAGAACACGAAATCTGGGAATGACGAGACACAATCACGCTAAGCCTTGCACTTTGGTAGCCAACATTTCACCTTTGAGAAAAGACGCATTTGTATTTCAATCATTGGGCTTTCCACCATTAAAGCTTCGAAGCCTTCCTCCTCGTTTTCCGGTTCATAATCATAACAAATTCGCCTCCAGACCTTTCAAGCTTCTATAACTATTCCCATACCATGCGGGTCTCATCACTTGTTACCGTAGGGGCTCTGATCACCGTGTATGATATCCCAACGTTCTTATTCTTCCGATTTCATAATACTGATCGATGATGGCTAGTGCCGTAGCTCGGCTGCACAGCTCTGCTGTCTGCGTTAATGCTGCAAGAAGCGGTAGCACCGGTAACGGTACCCCGTGGGGTATTGGCTATGGTTTCCGGACGGAATACGAGATTAGCCTTGAAGCCACTAAGTGTGCCTGCGGCTACTACAAGAACCGCAATACCGGAAACAAACAATGGGACAAATGCCCTGATTGTACTTTTGTATGTCAGACTCTCTGAGTTCTACCATTTTGCGCTAATGATGAATTAATAGGACGGCCTCCTATGTAACTCTGCCGACTGGCATATTGGTGGTGACGAGGTAAATCAAATATTTGAGTACTCAAGATACTATGCTAATCGTACCGACTTTTAGATGAACCACTACTGCAGAAAGTACTGTGGTGCTGAGGGCAATGATGGCAACTGAAGTTGCAGACTCCTCGCCAATCAGTATTCCAAGAGAACTTTCAGGTGCAAGGCGTTGGTGTCTTTAAGGAACAGAATCGGCATTCTCTTTTGATGAAAAAGATGGATATTTTCTTCATTCCATTTTTAGAGAGTACAAGAAGCACATGACTGCCTGTATGCCTTAGCTTTGATAAATTAGCGTGACTAAAATCTACTTGATGATCATAAGAATATTATTTCAAGCTATGTTTGGCGCGCTGGTCCTCATATGACGAACCCTAGTAGTGCGGCCGCCGATAATAAAATCTCAGGAAAGTGAGGGGAAAAGTGTCTTGCTAAGTTATTTCGCTCTATAAGTGATTGTGTCTGGGGAAATTGTCCCATCGAAGCTGTGACTTATGCCTAGTCAAGCTCACCCCAACAAGTGCCACATGGTCACATATGGATAATAAACTAAGGTCGAAATATCCAACTGTTACCCACGGTTTCCCTCTGAATCAGATGACTAGGCTGCCCAAACAAGCTTTGGCTGGCTCTTGGATGGACAGTTCCACTCACCAGGATATACCTGCAGTCATTTGCTAATTAGTGGGAGACTAAGTAGGCAAAGAACTTCTGCTACCCTTTACACACTGCCTGACTGACTCAAGGTATCGAACAGGGGCCGATTGTCTTGCGATGATCCAATTTCATATGTTTTACGACTAGAAAGGAGTCTATGTCTGCTTTAATTGGAGTCTAGGTACCCAGCCGAGCTCAGGAAGCAAACTCGTTGGCAGAGGTGCGACTCGCTAGTCGTGCTAGTAGTTTCATCTAAACGAGCATGCAAAACAGGAAACCAATGAAAGTAAGTGAACATCTCTTGTCATTACTGGACAGCCGACGGTTTTGCCAAGAAGATGCAACGATGCGGTTTATTCGTGACAATTGGCTTCTGCTGTGGGTAATAGAACTCGGCGTTGACGTATGAATTCTTAACATGATCCCAAATTTGACATTAGTAAATGAATGAACCCCTACGAGCTTCTAGAGATTCGGCGCTTACCTTGGAGGTAACTTGCAGCAAGCTCGACCTGAACTCGCCCTACTCCATTTTGACCCCAACAAAAATCACTATACCCTACAACTCAGCCATGGTATTACTGAGTCGATGGCCTACGTGCGTGTGCTTACCGCCTTGCCTATTTGCATGAGCAACCCTAATTTGATAATACAGGTTTCTCACAAGGTTTCAGCCTCAACGGAATTTTAAGAATACCCAGTTGAAATTATGCCACCGAATGTCCCACCGTTGTGTTTCCATTGCCGCAGGTAAAAAGTCTCAAAATTTCAGATCTCCATGCACAGTGTTCTTTATGAGGATTTTCATTTTTCGAATACCGTACTGATCTTGCAAGCTCAGGCAGGAGCTCACAGCGCGATCATATCGCTCACGGCAAAAGGGCTGGCTCAAGGCTTTTTGAATTTCTATTGACACTACCCTCACCGACTGTGAGTGCAGTTTTGTCAGCAACTAACTCCAATAAAACTGCACCGGAGTACTCTGTCTCAATTAACTGACTCTTCAGGCAGGGGAAGAAGCTGGTTGAGAGCCAGTGCTGAGCACAAAACTACCACCGTCCCCTGCAGTTCTCTTCTATCTGTGTCAGCACTAAAGCTTCCATGAAAAACGGTTTATTACAGTCCTCTCCATTAGAACTTGTCTTCAAGTTATAGTATGGGGTCGTAGTATTGGGACAATATCATTAAAATTCTGCAAAGCGTTTGTGCTATTATTTGGCCTCAAACCGCTTTGTAGCTAAGCCACGGAGTCATTCTATTGGAGAAGAGTATTCTTGATAGTTATTTCTCACGCCCTTAGAACCTGCTCTTTTCCCAAGGTTTCATCAACTCCTATGGCTCTTTCCGATAGTGACCTTATGTAGCCATTCTCCTTGGATGTTTTGACATTTGAGCTATCTGTTTGAACTCCATCTCTTAAACTCACACTAACATCGAACCATTTGGGACGATACTCAGCATCAAACAACTATTGCCCGCATGGAAAAGGAGAGTTGTGATGATACGGGGCTGTGGGGTCCATCAGCATTTGATGTCGTGATGGGGGTGTGCTGTCGAGAAATACCTAAACACCGCCTTTAGCCGCCGGGGTCGGGGATATCCGAGATGGCGACATTGCATATCCGCATTCCCCAACTTGCGATTCCGGCGTGCGGAGTAACCACAACTTCGTCACATCATCAAATCGCCTTGCGTTTTCTGATTGTAACTTCAAGAGAACGTTTATCTTGCGAGAGATATTTCAGGTGGAAGGCAGAAAGCCATCCGAGTACTCCTTTTTTGATCAACCAACTCCCCCTCCCCCCAAACCTTTCTGCTATCGACTGTCCAGCATGTCTCCCAGCGCAACAGGAACCCCATCTGCCGGCCCCCTCGCATCGGCGTTGGACTCGGGAAATACGTCGAGCGGTAAAGTGAAGCGACTCCATCAGATCCCAGTCCCCGAGACGAAAGAGGCCGCCCGCAGATGGCAGCTGGAACAAATGGCCGCCGCATTTCGCATCTTTGCCAAGTTGGGTTTCTCGGACGGCGCCAGCGGACACATCAGCCTCAGAGGTACGTTTCTGTGACAGTGGGAGGGTTAAATTGCCTCCACTGTTTGTAATACGACGCATGCTAAGCAGCGCATGAAGATCCCGTAAGACCGGACACGTTCTGGATCAACCCGTATGGCGTACATTTTGGCGTTCTCAAGGTGTCGGACATGGTCCACATTGATGAGAACGGCAATCGCATTGGCGGCGCCGATAAGCCGGTGAACACGGCAGGGTTCATGATTCACTCTGCTCTGCATCTGAGGCGACCGGACGTCAACGCTGCCTGCCATATGCACAGCCCCTATGGCCGAGCATGGAGTACCTTTGGACGCCCAATCGAGATGCTGAACCAAGGTGAGTTCCACTTGTGAATAATTATACATGGCCTTGTAATAACGCTGACCGACAAGATTCCTGCATGTTCTACAACGACCTCTCCGTTTATCCCTCATTTGGTGGTGTCGTTCTCGCCAAGGAGGAAGGTCAGCGTATTGCCGATCACCTCGGTCCTACCAACAAGAACATAATTTTGCAGAACCACGGTCTTCTCACCTGCGGGGGCACCGTTGGCGAGGCGGCTGCTTACTTTATTGCTCTTGAGCGCGCTTGTCAAAGTCAGCTTTTGATCGAGTCAGCCATTGCTCCGGGCAGCAACGGTGCTGCGAGCGGTCTGAAGAAAACCCTAGTTGATGACGAGGAAGCTCAGTACACCAAGGATGGCACTGGTACTCCGGAAGTCATGTACATGCAATTTGTTCCGGAGTATCAGTTGATTTTGAAGGAGTCGGGTGGCGACTTCTTGCTGTAAAAGCCACAGTGTATACAATCTTGGGCCCCTACAATGCAGACTGATCGACTCTCCAACCAAGTATTAACCACAGTATTCGGTTCATCCGTCGATATACTTGAACAATGTCTTAACACACAAATGGCAAGCCTTGTTCAACGATCGTGCCCACTTTGGACTCATCTTATCAAGACCTCATACCCCAGGGAAGTTTCTTGTTTGGAGCTTATTTTTATAGGCTGCTGCCTGCGTTTCTTGATATTACGATTGGCATATATGTCTAGGTACTCACGTGAACACCTCAAAAATTGGTCATCCGGAAACATGTTTCATCAGGCAGGCAGGCAGGCAGGCAAGCACGAAGTACACGTTCTAGGCATTCCCCGCATTACAAACACAACTTAAAACGAGTCAACCCAAGATGGCCTGGGGTAACAACAATGTTTACCAACTAGGTTCTTCCCGAGTTTAATGCTATCAACATTCGTTGAAGGGGAACCCTTGACAGAGAAATCGTACGTTCCTTCATGTCTCCGCAATTCTGGCTACTACAGGTAAGATAAGGTAACAGGCATGTTGCATACACCGTTAATAGTGATCTCCGCACTCAATCATGGCACGGGCTCCAAGAAACACAAAGCATTGTCAGAGTCGGTACCGATGACTTGGATGTGCATACCACGAAGCTGACCGTCCCTGGCCTGCGGCGGCTAGACTCCCTTTCTACTCCCGGCGTTGGATGGCCTCTGCAATAAGACAACAGAGTCCGTCGCACAACCCTGCTGTCCAAACAGACAAGGAACGTCGTGTCCCTAAATACGGGATGATCTTCTGCCTCACCTTTTTCCGATGAATGGCTGAAGACGGGTACCGCAATAAGCCCTCGAGGTCATCCACGCCATCTCGCCATCTTGGCGTAGGATAGGACCTTCAGAGTTGGGTGCCGAAGGGATCGATGTGTCTCTGACGAGGGCTTGTAGGTACACGAATAGTTGTAACAACCAAATGATCTCCACTGACGGCAAAGCGTCTGTCTGGCAAGGAACAAGTGTATGTCGGGCTCCCGCTAAAATAGGGGGAAAAAATATTATTCACGAAGAAAACCAGACAAGAAAAATGCACTGCCGCGCTATGGCCGTCAGGCAGATGTGGGGGATCCTACAAACACATATCCAGAACACCGTGGTCCCCTCCAAACCTCTCCCCTCGCTTGCGAGTTTCACAGAAAAAGAAGAAAAAGCCTTTAAATCTCCTAGCCCCAGTCCCCATGGGAACACCGTTGGAAATTGTGCACGTCCAATCCTGATTCTAACCTTGAGGCAACATGTCGCCCAGCTGCCGTTCGAGCCGCTGTTACGACACCGAGTACTGCCACTCTCCCGTCGTCTTGTTCATATAGCCCAGCCGCTGAGCCGCTGTCGTGAAGTCCTACTCTTCGTGCACGCTGCCCATAGCGCCTGCCCCCTTGTTTGACTTTTTACCCAGCTTCAGCAAGCTGAGCCTCTTTCTAACACTACCTCGCTTGACAACGCCGGGAGACTCCACCGATCGATCATCGCTGTACTGGCGCTCCTTCTCAGAGTAGCTCACGCCAAGGTCTGAACTTTGACGCCCGCCAGAGTCTGTCACCCACTCGCTTGTGGCGTCATTACCACCCGTAGTACGCTGGGCATCGGGCGTCGCAGTCGTGGTACGGAAAAAGCTCCGACGGTTACCGTTCTCCTGGGTCTTGCTGAAACTCCGACTTCTGTTGCTGACAGTTTCATCCGCGTCACCGTTCACATGGGTATCGCCATTGGTCTGTTGCTGTCCCAGGGAATCCTTCCTACGGCCTCCGAGGAAGCTAAGCCGCGTGCCGCGGGCTCGTACAGCTATAGGCGCAACTGTCGCAGCCTCTTCCGCAATCACGCCGTTGGTGATCATGCCGTTAATGCTCTGAGGCTGAGGAGAAACTTGCTCAGTGGACGGCGATGATCGACGCCAGGTCGGGGAAGCCATGGATGACTCCCGACAAGGTTGCGGAGGTGCGAAGAGGGCGATCTCGGGCGCAAATGTGCTTTCGAAGTCTAGAAGAATTAGAACTAATCGTCAACAGTGTTGCAAGAACAACGTACATTTCTTGAGCTCCTCATGTTTTTGGTTGAGAATCTCGTTCGAACTTCGGGAAAAAGTTCCCAGGCACCGTTTGATCATGATAGCGTGGTCAACTAGAGCCATTTTGATGGCGTTGTCTTGGGGTTCCAACTCCACCGCCTCATCCTCTTCTTCGCTATCATCTTCGCTGGGAGTGGGAAGCAGTTGACGGTAGCAAACCACACTGTTTTCGGAGTCTGGGTTGACAGATATACTGATGGCATCAAGGAGGAGTTGAGCATTCTCATGATCGCCGTCGGCTATCTGTTTCTCAATAACAGTCATCTCTTGGGTTTTCCTGACAATTCGCTCGAGACCGGTTTCGCGGGCACTAAGTCTAATTTCCTTGGTGTTGACGATCTCGCTTCGCCGCAAGATTGTCGGGAATGGGTCCGCGGTGGTGAAGACAAACTTTTCTGCGTAGTGCTCTTCAACGGGCCCGGATGTATTGCGCTTGGACGAAACAGAGAAGCTTTGAGGATGGGCTGATAGGAGATAGTCACGGATGACTTGAGGAACGCGAGCGCGCTGGAACACTTGGTGGTTAAGGTCGCGGTGGGGCGTAATTGCGGATATGACAAGGAACTGGCCTTCGACGTCGTCAACATCGCCGCCAGTAACGATTTGAGCAGATGGGTACTGCTCCTGCATTCGATCCGTGAAGGCAGCGGCACGTTCTGTCGGGGAGCCCTCATACACGAATTCCTTATCGCGGAGACTGGACGGGAATCCAAGGCCCTTGTACACAACCTTGAAATATTTCGGCACGAGTTTGTCGCTCTTCGAAATGGTCTCATAAATAGTGGCAATGGCGCGCTCAGTCCTCGCCAGTTTGGAAAAGTCGAAAATGTTGCTCTCGTACTGGGTCCGCAACTCTTGGTAGGCTGCAAGAGCGCTGCTCCAAGCCTCCCCATCCTCGAAACGCTTGATCATGTCGAAGTAGATGCGCTCCTTGCGCTCAAAATGGGTCTGAACAGGAAACTCGGGTTCCTCCAAGGCAGGAACCTGCTTTGTCGGATCCCATGCATAAAGGTCGGCGTGGAGGCGCAGTGCCAGACCGGCCTCGCAGTGGTTCCTCGCCTCGCCTTGAAGAACAGCCAGCTGATGGACGTATCGAATAAATATTTCCTCTTTTTGCATGTCTCGGAGAAATTCCATCAGTCTGAGGCGGTTGATGAGATGGGATGCCTCGCTTGTGACGTCGCCACTGTGAACGGCCACAAGCAGATCGAGGAACTCGTCAACGGTAGCCATCAATTCGCTAAGACTTGCATGCAGAGAATCTTCTGGTATGGCTGACAGAGGCGCGAACCTCTCCAATACCTCGTTCACGAAGAGTTTCTGCAGGATGCTTTCAGTCAAAGGTTTGGACTTGAAGTAATGGTCGAGACAATCGATCATCTCAGTCTGGATGGCAGAAAGGTCCTCGCTCAAAGTCCACTCGCTGACAATCATGGTCTGAAGTACTTCAACTGCCATGCGTCGAAGGCCTTCGTGCACACTAAGACAAAGCTCGACGATTGGACCGACCAAGGTAGGGACGTATTGAACCTGGTAGCCGCCCATCTTGGACAGGCCGTATCGAGCCCGCTCGTCACTGCTCGTCTCCCATCCAATAGCCTCCCAGGTCCTCCTCAGCAGCTCAGCCCCATGTTCCCTCACGTCGCCGGCGATCTTCCATACCGCCCTGCGCTTTTGTTCGGGGAAAGTCTCCAGTGCCAGGGAAGGGCTGCCGACCAGCTTCAACATTGTCGTAAAGAACATCTTCCAGAGTTCCGTGTTGAAACTCTCGGCCTCGTCAGGGTGTGGTAAAAAAGACTCCAGCAAGATGCTGGAGAGATACTGCAACGTCTTCATCGTAGACTTGTGGTGATAAATATGTACGCTCAACCATTCTGGTGGGAAAGCCTCTCCCATCAGTATGCTCATGTGTACGCGAAGGGTATTTTCTAATAATACAGTTAGGTCTCCTTCCGTCAACTCCAGTTGCATGCCGCTTGGTGAATTTGAAACAGCTGAAAGAATGGCAGAGAGCTCAATCAATGCCTCATCGAATGTGCATTCTTCCATTATAGGTCTAGACGGGAACGGGTATGATGTCGGAAACAAAAGGGAAAGACGGTTGCGCGGCTTGATGTCGGTTGACACAATAGACAAATAAGAGTCGATTATTTTTGGTAGGTAGTCGGGAATCTCGGCTCCCAGGTTGTCGATCTGGCTGGCGAGAACGGAGCAACAAAGACGTACTTGATCTTTCCACAGATCGGTAACATCTTCGTTATGGCCCCAGTGCGGTGCGATCCATCGTACCGTATTGGCTGTGAGGGCTGATTTTTGATCCGGCCGGGAGAACATGTCGAGCTTCGAGTAGTTGATGATCAAGACTAACTTGTACAGCACCAGTTTGCCCTTGACATCGGCGCAGGAGTCGAGAAAGTCGATTGCAATATGGAGGATTTCTTCAGTGGTCAAAAGTCCAGTCAGTTCTGGCAGCCACGTGTGGAAGTGCTGAACAGCCAGGGTCTGGCTGCCGACTAGGACCGGGGCGTTGTTACGCATCATGGCATCTAGAGCCTTGAAAATGTTTCTCAGCTCTCGGGTAAAGCCAGGTGTGGAGCCTGAAGTCGTGATACCTATTCCAGCTTCCTTGGCCTTCTGCTGGCCCCGCGCGTGAGTAATGAATTTCAGGATATGACGAACAACCTTGAAGGTAGAACGGAGCTTTCTTGACGTCTCTGGCTCGGTGGGTTTCTCAAGCAAACGCGTAAAAGACCGGACGAGGCATGCCGTGGCGAAGGGGTAGTTGAAACGATTTTCAGCGTATTGGTCAACCAGGGGGCCTAGATTGAATCTCCTGTCGTGCACGATACCCAGAACTCTTACCAACGCAGTGAACACCAAGTCCTCGTACTCATCGTTACCGGAGTGTTCGACCAGGATGCCGAAAAGTGCGTCAAGGACATCGCTGAGGAGCTTGACGACCTCAATTTCCGGTACGAAAATCAGGTGCTTCAGGAGAGCGGGAATCTCTTCTTTAGGGGCGTCCTTCCACTTGATCAACCCTAGTACCACCCTGTCTTGGGAGAACGTGGTGCTGCATAGGTATGTGTCGACACGCAGGATTGCCAAGGGTCCGGTCACTTCGGCAGAATGTTCATCGTTCCCTCTGGCGCTCCACTGCAGCGAGAGGTACCCTCCTTTTCCGGACGGGCCTGCTTGGGCGGTGGATGTGTACTCATCAATCTTGTAAAGCAGCAAAGCGTGAGCACCGTCTCGGACAAAAGCCTCTTGGTTCCACAACGGCATGTGGGCAACCGCGAAAGGAGCATTTGGCATCTCAGACAGGAACATGACGAGGTGTGAAGTAAACACATCCTGTGGTGGAACTACAAGTCGAACGGTCTGTCTCCAGTGACCTCCTCTGTCTACCGCTGTGGACTTCCACGTAGTTAACCCTTCAGTGTTGGACGAGGAGAAGATGCAGTTCGGTATCTTTTCCCCGCTCGTTCTCCGGACTTCAAGAGTAACCTGCATATTATTTCCGTGTACGCTGCTGGAGAGGGTAGTTGGGTTGCCTGCATATCTGGAAAGAAGATTCTGCTTTGACAGAGCTGCGGTGTCGAGAGTGACATAGATGTCCGATCTCGGTTTTGTTGGCGCACCCGAGAAGCCAATCTTATTTGTTGTTCGGACCCCAGCGAGAAGAGTCGGTGTAACCTTGACTAATGTTTCCACGTCTGGATGATTAAAGGGTTTTAGGTGAACTTGCACTCGCTCTGTTCGACGTGACTTCTCATAGTGGCCATTCGGGCTGTCCATGAGCTCTCGGATCAGGACGTCCCAATCTTCATGCAGGCCTTGTTTCTCGGTAGGGATCGTAAGCGAGGGTGACCATACGCTAACAACCTGCTCAACTTCGTCTTCCTGCTTCATGAGCGCATTAAGCTTCAGCACACCTATGCCCACTGTGCGCTCAGCCATGTGGAACCCTGCCCCAGCGTCCATTGACCCTCTAGTTCTTGAGCCGGCCGTGCTGGGCGGCGCTGCGCTATCGGTACCATCCTCTTGGGTTGACGGGCGGCCATCCATTTGTTCCGTCACAGAGTCCAACCTTGATGCCGCTCCCCCCCTTGAGAATGCCGAACGTGCCGTCTTCGATCCCCACATTAGACTCCTTCTAGAAGACTTGTTATTGCTGGCGGAAGGCGGCTTGGCAGGGTCCTTGTGTGCCCCAGCCCCCTGGGATTTGGCGCCGGAACGAGATTCTGGCTTTCCGCTAGCTGCAACTTGGTGAGAAGATCGCACCTTCACCACGAGGTAAAGATCCGTTTCCGCCGAGGCGACATCGCCAATATCTTGTGAAGAGAGATCGGCGAATATGGTTCTCGTCTGGCCAGACTTGGAAAGAGTGCCAATTGTTCCGCCAGGGGGTATATCGATGACAAAGCACTCAGAGAGGGCCGTCGCCTGTTCTCCCACCGGCTTGGCCACCAGGTAGACAACGAGTGACGTTTCTTCGGCGGACGCGCCAGCAAATCCCTTAACATCGACCAATAAATGATGCAGCGCCGTCGGCTCGGCTGTGGGATGTGGAGGCTCATCCAGAACGCTCATGACCGACTGCAACTTTGTCACCTCCACGACCGAATCGTCGCCTGTCAGCACCCGTCCGCGCTCTGTCGGGTCTCGCACTATGACTTCTCCTCCACATAGCTTGTTCACGCGCACCAAATCCCAGACCGTCTTTTCTCGGAGCTTGTCGTATTCGTGTGTTGTAAGAACATTGTGAAGGAATTGCTGTCTGCTGAGGTTGAGGGTTGTGATCAGATGCGACAGCTTGTCGAGACGAGAGTACTGCCGGGACAATACGAGGCTGTGTAAGTTTGTCGAGTGCCATTCGCGTAAACAGCTGGCGATTTCGTCGATAAGAGGCTCGGCCGCCGACGTAGGAGTCTCGTCGCCGATTTTGAGCATAGGCACAGGCGCGGCAGGTCGGGGAGCATCCGGGTCCCGCTTGACGGGCACGGAAAGCCGTCCTTGAGTGCCATTGGGAAGCTCCTTGAGAGGTTTACGGCCCTTCAGTTCGATCTTGGGTCCCCGTAAACTCTCGATCGACTTGTGGCCATCCACTGACGCCCTCTTCTCGGTAGTTGTCGGCGTTAAGCCGCTCTTGCCTGAATCACTCCCAATGTGGATATCATCATTCGCTGTCGTAGCATCATCGCTGGCGCCGTCTTCACCGTCTTCCGTTTCATCGGACTCGCCCAGGACCTCGCGCACCTCAACACAACTCCTTGGGAAGATACCGCTGAAGACACGAGCCTCGAGGGTCTGCCCCTTGACAGAGGTCAGTCCGGCCAGCAGACTGGGAGGGGCTACCAGGTAGCCACGCAGCCAGTTGCCGTCAGGGGTCTCTTCGATTATGTACAGTTCATCGCCAATCTCGAGGGGTAGGTCGGCCGGGCCTGAGGCGGCGAAGGGGTATGTCGCGACGGCGAAGGCGATTCGGGGAAGGGGCTGCCAGGGCATTGAATGATCTTTGGGTCGACGTCAGGCCCGAGGCGTCGTCGATATCGAGGCTGATCGGGGTCGAGAATCGGGATGGGAGAGGGATGAGGAGGGCAGTTGGCGTGGTAGCCTGGCTCGAGTGCACCTCGATCTAGGTCCAATCCAGGATACAGGTTGCAGAGCATCAACAGACTGGGCTGTATGATGTGGTCTAGTCTCTTGAACCTGTGGACCCTGCAGGGCTGACGTGGTGTTTGAGGTGGCCTCGTGGGGACGATCGGCTATTGCTTCATCAGGGACAGAAGAGCAGAGGCGGGTCAATCGACAATCGAGTAGGTCAGGCAGGGAGGGTACGAGTCTTGTTGAGGGACGCAGCACTGCATACGGGTGCAGGGCAATGCGAAGAAAGACGTGGTGACGGAGATGTGGGGGTGAAGAACGATTGAGTAGGTTGTTGACTGCGTAGCTGATAGTAGCCGTTGCTGCTGCTTGCTATGTGGTCGTGGAAAGATGGAGCAGTTCCAACTAGGGTATCCGTAATTTCTGCACGGGGGTTGCTGGCGATGGAAGGGGAGGAGGAAAAAAAAAAAAAAAAAAAAAGAGGAGGGCCAGTGAGGAGGCGGCAGGCCGCGATCAAGGACTCCTAACCAAAGGGGTAGCGGGGGGTATCAACAATAGAAAATTGGCAAAACAGCGAATGACAGGTAAGCGAAGCGACAATGTGTCGTGATGGACGACGATTAGAGTGTCCCAAACAGACGTGTCGAGAAATTTGAGTCTGAGGACCGGAATGGACCGAACTGGAGGCGGAAGAGAGGGCAAAGGAGAATCAAGACACAAGTGGAAGGGGGCAGGGGAGAAAGCAGAAGAAAAAAACCCGCCCAAGGTCGTCGTTGTCGTCAGACATGCAAAATGATCACTGGGGATGAAGAATTTCTGTCTGAGTTTGGTGGACGGATTCGGGAGGTGCGATGACCATCGCAGCAAGAGGCAGGTAATGTCGACCGTACCTTCCAGTAATCCTCTGTCTGTACTATAGTTCGCCTAGGCCAACAAAAGCAAGAGCCCCTGAAGCACACAGGAACGGCAGCCAGGAAAGGCAAGGGCGGGTTGTGCTGGTAGTGTGGTGGTGCAGAAAGCAGGTGCAGGTACCAGGCGTGGGTGCAGGTGCAGGTGCAGGTGCGGGTGCAGATGCAGCAAGTGCTGGTTGCTATGCGTGCCGTGCTTTCTGAAAAGCGTGGTTCTGGTGCGTGTGGGGTGGCTAGCCTCACTGTGAGTGGTTGGCTTAAGGGAATCGACTTGGCCTGGGCTGACGCTGGGCTGCGCCCTTAGTGGAGGGAGGGGAAGGGGGTGTGGGTGTGGGTGGTAGAGGACAGGGTGGGCAGGGACCATGAATTAATCAGAGAGATGGGAAAGGAATGCCAGATAGGTTCGGTTCAGTATGCAGAGGGGGAAGGAGAAGGGGGGGGGAATAAAAAGAGCAGACCATATTAAATTCACTGTACGGAGTAGCCATTGTTAGAACTACACTTACTAGCTTACGTTGAGTTGAGATACTACGGGGGGAGGGGACAGAGCACCAGACATTGCTGCTGCATTCATCCATCGCTCAGGCACGCATATAATTACAGTGTTGGCCGGATACATATAGAATGACATTTTAAAATCACCTGTATACAAAATGCAACATGCCAGCCAGAGACTGGCTACTGAGCAATGCGCCCCAAAAGAAAGAGAGAAAAAAAAAAAAAAAAAAGATTGACCACCAAACATACCGCGTGTTTGATTATCTTCGGGAGAATCACTCTAGACCAGACCGGAAAAGAAGAATTACGATCGCTACGGTCAGGGATCGTTTTGAGTCAAGCAAGCACTTTAAGGCGGGATTAACAGTCTAGCCGCCTAATTGATATTTAACTCTCTTGTACAGGACCATGATCACTGCAGGGTATGTCCCGTCCCGTCTCAAACCGGCTCAGTAGACAGACGAACACGCACGCGTTACGCGATGCTTGAAATCACGCCCATACTAAGGTGTAGATGAGCTTCATGCAGCGCCTGGACCATAAACCCTGAACCCTTTAAAAAAAGAAAAAAAAGTTAATGCTCAGACACTGCAGAGAAATAAGAAAAAAATAACAACGAGCACAGACAGGCGGGATCTAAGTCAACAACATGTGATTCCAGCCAAACAACAAAGCCCACCCGTTGGCCCTGCGGTTGAACTGTTTCCCATGATTCTCTCCCACGCCCCCGTCCAGTGCCACGAACTGGCCGTCGCCGTTGTTTGTTGTCTCTTTTATCGCCTCTACCACTGTTTCTTATCTGCATCGTTGATGTTGTCATTACCGCACTTGGCTTGCCTCCCATGCAACTGCTTTTGTATCTTGATCTACCCAAGGTACTTTGGAGGGTCAATCCAGAATCCAGAATACAAACCTACGAACCATTGGTCCTCTCCACTCTTTACTCATTAAGTTTCTTTCCCTATTTAGGGAAGATGCCAGTAGACCTTGAGCTGAACACTGAAAACGGTGGACCCATTTCAATGGTCAAAAGCTTGTGGTTGGCCGGGTGCATGTCAGTGTCTGGTCCGAGCACCCGCTAGCCCAAGATAGCTCAAACAGTGCATAGTGGTTGTTTTTTTCTTTCCTAGGGAACTAACGTCCCTAGGGGTTCCTTCTCGGAACAATCTCCTACCCATCCATCCATCATCCCTTCCATATTAGGGGGGGTTGTGTGACAAGCCTGGAAGGCAAGGGAAGGAGGGGGGAGGAGTATGAGGAGGAGGGAGGAGCGACCCAGTGGTTCCTGCATTTTCATACCCACATTGCAGCATAATTAGTATAGAGCCGTTTCCTGCTCCTCCTCTTTGCAGCCCCCCAGGTTGGCGCAATGACTCCTGTCACTGCCAAATCCAGAATTCAGACGAACACCAGCATTTATCCATCTCCAGTTTTTTCTCTCTTCCAAAATTGCTTCAATTCCTTCGCCGCATCGCTCACCTGAAAACCACATCAAACTTGTTATTATTGCCTCCCCTCTGCCCGGGGTCCCACGCCTTGGCCCCTCGGGTGTCATTTCGCACCCATCCTGCGCAACCCATTTTCGCCTCCATTGTCCACCCCAATTTGTGAGACACCAACATCTTCAACTCTCGCCCAAAATAAATATCCTACCCTGTCCAACCCCCGCCGCCCCCAGGTCAACGCTTGGACCTAGCTGGAGCGCTCAATATGCCACCCCAAGCCCTCGGGATCCTGTTTGTGCGCCAATCGAAACAGTAGGGTGTAGTACGGAGTACCTGTCCAGAGGTTTCGGCTGAGTTTCTTCGGGCGTGTGTTCGTGGCCACTATTGATACCAAAATCCTTCAGCAGGCGTCGGTTACCCAGCTGTTTCCACAGCATTCTTATAAATGTTGCTCTGGTTTCATCTTCACATGCTCGGCCTTTTTTTTTTTTAAATAGATATATAAGAAAGAAACAATCACCTCCATTGGCCTGGTGGCTTAACAAGCGCCCCGTGGATTCCTGTCCCAGGGAGGTGGAACATGCGGCCAATGCACGAAACATTCCCTCGCTTTCAACTTGTTTAGCAATGAATGGGCCAGGTGAGACTACCTACGGATACAGGGGCGGGAATGACAAGCCGCCGTCGACAGCGCCGATCGGTGTTGGGTAAGAAGAAGCGTCTCTCGCCTCGGACCGGGACCGAAATGATGCTGCTGCGGCAAAATTAACCCACTACCAATCACCCCTCGAAGTTGTGTTCAATAGCTGCTGCCGTTGTACGGATACGGCCTTTCACGTCTGAGCATTGTTTCCACCCTGTCGCTGGTTCTCGGACGCCCCCCAAACTCCCTTTGCCTTGTCATGAACATTTGTCGTTGCACAACGCCTTCGAAGCCAAGCATTCCCTGCCTTATGACACCACCATCACAATCGAATGCGGTTTGGCCACTTGCGACTTTCTGATTGCAGCACTTAAGCTATCAAGCGATCGAACGGCATTTCCGATTAATCAAAGACAAGGCTGCGCTTGTTGATCATCGTTACCATAGACGACGGCATCGATGACGCGCCAGTCTCAGTTGGCACCAACCACGTGGCGTTGGCATGGCGGGAACTTACTATCGTGAGAATGGCACGATGCCCTTCTTCAGTTCCTCATCGGGTATAAGTCATGATCATCAAAATGCGAGACGGTACAATTTGTCGGAAGATGCGATGCATAATGCGCCGTTTGTCATCGTCCAATGCATGCAGAAGTAGGTCACATCCATGTCTGAGACTCTCCGGACAGTTCAACGCCGGGAAGCCACAACCGCAGGTTTTATCAATCGGTCTTTAGCACCTCTACTGCTTTCGCCCATTCAACCTATGCCTCATCATACGAGACTTCGTCCCATCTAGACAATTTGCCATATCCCGCGAATAAAACGAAATCACATTGGGGCGGAAACACTGCTAGTGTCGGCTCATTAAATTTACAGCTTCGGCATTAGCGATGAGACCGAGCACTGCCGACCATGCCACCCAGGCGTATGTGCAGACTACGAACGACGCTTATGGCGTTGCCTGGTTAGAGGTTGCATATTTCAATCGAGCGAGCTCAGATGCGTCCAGTTTTTTTATTTGGCTAGAACCAACGCTGCCGTCGATGTCCAACGATTACTTGGCATCACCTGCCACTTGCTGCACCTTTGAATTGGCCCGTGGCCCGCGTCGTAATTCGATAAGCTTCTGTCAGACGCAAGTTTAGTCGCTATGCACGGCCAAATGCCCTCCACATGGTGCCAACATAGCCTCAAAGCTCCCAGAGTGCCTTGAGGAGCTATCGACTTCGGATTCAGTTTGATCAGGTAATTTGCAATGCTCACTTTCGTCAGCCCCGCAGCACAATTCATTGTACACAGCTTTCGTCGAGTATGTGCCGTAATGTTTGCGGCTCCGCCCGTTGACCTAGCAATCATGCGTGTCAGACAGGTAATTTTACAATGTTCATTGTCTCTCGACAGGCATGATGCACAACCGATGAAATCGTCAAGCGGGTGGGAGAAGCCGTGTCACTGGCATGCAAAAGTTCGCTTGTTATTCTAAGAGCATCCGTGAAATCCATAAAATCAGTTCCGGGCAACCAGCGTCTCTGACGCGTGCGGGTATTCGCTGTCCACGCGTCACACTTTCGCGCCTGGCTAGCGTAGCCTTGCCGAGGAATTCCTGATTCTCTCAACCTCCTGGAAATGGCCGGCCTTGGTCATCGGGATAAGCCGCCAATGAAGACATTGGCTACATGACTTGAAGCGTGATTATACCAAAGTTTTGGACTCAACATGCCTTCTTGGAAAACGAAGCAGGTCTGACTATGCATACCCCTAAGCATATCAAACACACAAGGAGAAGTGTTAGCTAATCTCATCAAGGAACATGTAGTTTGTAAGCAGTAATACCCAAACACAAGGCAATACCTCGTAAGCTGTCGACCATGGCGCGATTTAGTCACACGAAGTACCGGCTCAACTCCAATCAAACCTACTGCCCCGTCTTCAATATTGTCTGATTACCTTTGGACGAGTAGTAAACCACTTGAGACACCAAAGTTTGCCATGTACTCGATATGGCAACCTACAAGATCCATTAATCTTGCCTCGTTTTGACTGGCTTTATCGCATCAGCTACCTTGGCAAATCCTCGGAAGCTCAGCTCAAATTCTCCTCATTATATCATCCAAACACCACACCGCTTCCCACCACCGCAGTTCTCAGTTTGCCATGTGAACATTATCAGCCTCCGCTCACCTGTCTCATCCAAGCTTCCGACCCCTGCCACCGCCACTAAGACGGACGTTTCACAGGGAAGCACAAATCTGCGCTTATAATGTTGTGTTCACTACAGCAGAGCCTCAGTTTTGCCAAGGGCGGGCTAAAGTCGATTAGCACTTTTATGTTCGTTGATCCTTTCGTCGTACAATAGTCGTTGTGACACATTTAGTCTCTATGATTCGGGACGTGTGCCAGCCATTCTTAAAGACACAGGATGCTGCATTGTAGTCGAAGGAAACAGGTAGAGTTGAACAAAGTACCAGTCACGTACGGGTTGGAGTGCAGGACAAAAATCAGCTGTTAACATGAAATTTCTAGTTTTGATAAGTTTGAAGCGCAGCAGTAGTCGATGGACCAGAATTAGAGCGAATTTGGCAGCTTGGCTTTCTCGCCCCCGTGTAGCTTCTCAGCTCTGGGGGAAGTAGCGTGTCCCGGCTTGAAGGTGATCATTTATATAAGGAGGTATGCCGAGAAACCTCGCTTTGCAATCATGCTCACAAATATGTGGGTTTTTACCCATCTACCTCGGGTTAAGGTAAACGGAGCGGCTGAGCAGCATGGTCCAAACATGATGCCGAGCTTCCCGGTATTGCCAAAGGTTTTGTTGATGAAAATCACGGATTGTAGTTAACTGATGCTGCTAAAACTGCCAAGAACCCGTTTATGGATGAGTTAAGGCGGATAATTGCTTTGTACCCGACCCTTCAGGTTGGCGTAGCTTCTGGCGTTAAAGACTTGTTCTCCGCCAGTGGCCCAACACTACCGGACACTGCCGATGCTTAAGGAATTCCTCCCGTTGTTTCTGTTTCTTGTTCTGTGATTGCTCGTCTTTTCTAGGGGGGACATTGAGTCGATCACAGCTTTTGCCTGGTGATAGGGGCTTCGGGCTTACTGTTTCTATGAATGCCAATCCTGATATAGAACGAGTTGCCGTAATCCGGTTATGTGTTCTACCTAGGTAGGTTATATCCACTGATCCAGAGAGTCAAGTGAGTGATTGGCACTTGCCCACGCGAATCATCATACTATGTTTACTTGTGATAACTCAATGGGTGGTTTATCGTGAGTTTACGTTTCAAAGAATTTTCTATACAACTCTTTGAGCCTGTCGATATATCAGTTAGCGTAAAAGTATTGAGTCCAGTATCGGTGCTAGACGTGAAGCTATCAGACAACTTTGCATGGATTTGGCAGGTTGAATACCACAGTGTCTACTCAATTTCGATGTTTAGAATAGAATAGAGGCTGTTAAGTACTTGACACTTCCAGCTGTTGCAAATCTTTTCTTGGCTGTTCATTAGGAAGCCCTGCAGTTGTCCGTAGGTTGACTACGACTATATTAAGTTTGAACCCCTGTTCCCATGGGGTTCTAGGGCTGCTGAACCTTATTTTTTAAAGGACGATCAAAGGTAAAAATCAAGTTATTTCCCAGAATGGCAATTGACAGTCATACGACCGTTCTCTGTTGTACCATGATGGTTACGAAAAGTAGATGGTTTTATCGTAGCGGGCCTATGCGATATTTAACGAGGACTTTCTCCTCAGCGGCATCAAGAACGGAGAAGCAGATTTTTCCTTCATTTCCACGATGGCTTACTGCCTGGGATTAATTTGTTATGGAAAGGGAAGCTGTCTAACGAACCAAGCACGTGTTGCGTCTGCCCCGCTTCCAACCCTGAGAGTCCCGCTTGAAGCGGCCCGATCACATTGCCATCGGATCAATGACTCGCTTCGCTTGCATTTAGTCGAGTTCATTCCCGCATACATACGCTTTTCAGACTCGGAGTAATCCTGTTGTGCTCGGCTGAAGAGGACTTTCGACATGGCACCTGGTTGTCCAACCCGAAACGAGCTCAACGGCGGGGCAGAGTAGGCTAAAAACCGTTAGATTTGGTCGTTAACTGATAACGCATATGAATTTCGAGTCATGTGTCTTTAGTAGACAAAACCGAAAGGGTCAACTGCGAGCTCGCACATGGATGTCTAGCAACAGGGTGCCACTGCGTTGTTGGCTGCTTTGTCGTCTGTTACATGATATTGGGAAACTGCACCTACTTCGTCATGTTGCCCAGCCCAGTTCATTTAAACCGGTGCCCTGTTTATTTTGCTGCACAAAAGTCACCATTAGATTGTTAATATAAAATGAAGAAGAATAGAAGCCTCGTGTCCTGCAAAAGAATGCAGCGCTGGACTGCACCAAGCGATGACGACGTTGTTTTCGACATACGACGCCATTTGGCCTGGGCCAATGTTATAATAATTCCAAGACTTTCTGTTATAGTTACTCGATCCGCTAATTCGTACTCGCATAGTCTTTCGCACTTGTGGTACTCTCAAAGTGTTCATCCATTTCCCACCTATCGTTGACGATAGTTGCGAGTCATTTGCATTCGTGAATGTCGACTTAGACTGTTGGCATCGCTTGGCAAGCAAGGATAATCGAGCCGCCAAATTCCCTTGCACAACTAGTAACGTTACACTCTCCTGCTATGCAGAGATCTCTTAATATTAAGTCTGTTGAAAAAGGACTACTGCATATGGAGTCTATACGAAGTCTTAGTTACAGTGGTTTCCCATTCTGTCTGCCAAAGCACAAACTCGGGCGGGCGAGAGACTGGGGGCACCCTCACCATCGGGCTTGACTCCACAGCACAAGGTATTAACGTAATACAGCAAGCAATTGATCTCGGCAATAGATTCAGTAAGCCATCTGTCCGCGGAAAGAGTGCCGACGCCCAGCCGCTAATCTGTATGCGTAAGGGCTGTCGGCAGGACAAACTTTGTTCCAAATAACCTCTCAGCCCACGATTATACACAAGCGGGCCGTCGGGATCTTCCCGGACCACATACCCTTGATCTGCATCGATGTCCGCGGCCACCATTGTGTCTGCTACGCAAGGTTTTAAGCTACATCAATCCACCACCCCACGACCACGTGCGTGAGAAGGATCTTCTGTTCAACAGCCTCTATGCTTGAAAATCTCGCTTCTCGGGGAATCGCGGCGGTTTAGTCTATTGCGGCGTGCAACTGGGGTGTCTGCCATTTGAAGTTGCCTAGGTTGGGCAGGTAGGGAAAGAGAACTTAGTCATGTACGGCTCCTCTTTCACACAGCTCAATTGACTATATCCTCTATTTGGACTACCTCCGGTCTGTACGGAACATGTAGGTGCCACATTCGGCCGTGCCAGTGTCTGCGTTGCAGGGATTTATGTTTTAAGATCCTGGCATGTTATCAAGGTATCGCTTCCACTTCTGGTCAATACATCCTATTCCGAGTGCCGAGCCCAATGCTTGGTTGCTTGGTATAGTCTCCAGATGCACTATTATGAAAACGGCAAACGAGGAAGGCTAGAGGAGGCCTTTAGACGAACGAGTATAAGTTGATCGTGCTTTCTCGTGAGATGTCCCAGATCTAACCAGACACTTCTCATCCTCCATCATCGTCCCCTGAAAACCATCTTCATCCCGTATACCAAGCGTTCAGACTGGCTCGCCACCTGCCTCCTTAATTCACACCACCAAAATGCAGTTCGCCACCATTCTCTCCGTCGCTCTCCTCTCCATGGGCGTTGCAGCCCAGAAGATCGGCCCGAACGGCAAGCGCATCTGCGTCGGCGGCGCCATCTCGTGCCAGTACCAAAAGGGCCGCTGTGCCAACATCTGCGTCGACTCCCACCACAACGGCCAGGGCACCCCCGCCTTCATCGACCCCAACTGCTCGTGCCCAGAGGGCCAGGCCAACAACAAGTACACCGGTGCCGCCTGTATCGATGTCATCCGCGCCCTTGGCCGCGCAGGCTGCTAAACATTCGACCTCGGGTGTTGGGTATCTAGATTAAAGCAGAATCGTAGGAGGGACACGAGCTATACGTGCTGCTCCAAGGCGGGGAACGCGCTTATGAAAGAACCACGTTTGGTATGACGAAAATGGGCTTAGGGGGCCTGTAACTGAGGGCACAATGGGGTGGTCAGTTTTAAGGATGTCTCTTTTTCTGTAAATAATTGCTTCTACAGGTACATAATCAAGTGTTCGTTACAATATCTTTTATTGTTGTCATTTACGCGCTACTAGGCAATGCCCCATTTGCTGTGCGGTTAGGACGCAGAATATGTCACAACCAATGCTAGCAATCTTTTTATCGCTATTGCTTTTCCAAAATGAGTTTGAAGAATTTAAATACACCTAAATACTGAAGGAGTTTCTTCGGTTTTCACATAGGTATGTTGAAGGCTATATGGTTCTTTTTTGTTCGTCATGTTCCAGCGGAAATCGTCGTCTAGTGATGTTAATTAACTGCAGAAGATGGTAGTTGAACCCCCCCCCCCCCCCCCCCCCAGCAATTGCTACTTGCCAGCTTTAGTTAGTAATACACAGCTGATACTTAGTGTTAGTTGAGGTCCGCCAATCCTGGCTGTTCTTGATCTCAACCGAAACTCTAACTCGACGATTAACAACATCTGTCTTGGTTGCAGTCACTAGATGTTGCCCACAACTACTAGTTAAGGTACCGCATCGACCAATGAATCCAATAATGTACAAACAAGCTTGAATGTTGCAAAGATACTCGTTTCTCTAATTTCGTCCATAGATACACGCTCCATGCTCTCTTGAGCTTTGTAAATAGCCAGGTCTATGATGCTTTCAGGGCAACTGACGGCTTACCACAGCAAGCTTGATAATGATATGTCAAGCATGATAAGTAACCACATTCAAGCGGTACTAAGTTAATGAGGAATAACTAAAAGTTGATATGAACAGCCGTGATCCAAGGCAGTTGCCTGGTGCGTTAGCAGCGTATCAACACCGCATAAACTGGGTCTATCTCCAGTACGTCTTGGTAGTATACATAGATACGGCATTTATTGCCCGCATAGAGATTTTGTCTGGAACAATATAAGTTTCTGTCGTAATTCCTTCGACACAGATGTTTTAATTGTTCTTGATCGGATCGATTCTTACGCTAATGAACGTGACATTTCCACTGAGGTGTAAGTTTCTTTTTTCGTTTTACCGGACAGTGTATTAAACATTCTTGTTCACTTCAACGTGCGGGAATTCAATGTAGGAATTTTTGTTAGATATAGCCAACATTGCCTATCAGGTTGTCCAAATGTTTTCAAGGTTCATGGAAATGCTTCACAATAAGTCAGTGTTAATATACCGTTAGTATACTAGGGATATTCATACGGGCGTAAGGACATGGACTCTTGGCAAGGTGTTGAAAGTTTGTTATCTATAAGCCTTAAAGCTGTAGCAGGGAGAGTGTATGAAGACGGCTGTGTCCACCAAGCCTCACATGAGTAGGCGACCCTGACTTCAGCCCGGGGTTCAGATTGTCGCAACAGATACTGCGTAAACAGATAACTTGAAAACCCTTGCATTAAGGTCATATGCCAGTGAACTCGAAAATTGATGTAGTGGAGGTTGTCAAGTGAGCTGGCAGGTTTAGACCAAGATTTGAGTAAAATGCTTGACGAGAAACAAAGTAGTCACTTTGGGTGCTTCATAAACTTAAATTGCTATGTGGAATAACTGGAATAGCATATTAAATATTATAGCTGAGGAACTAGCAAGAGTCCTGAGTTCCAGTTGTCTACAAAGTGACATATAACCCTCTCCGTTCGGTACTCTCCACGTTTGATCGAAACGTTTTCATAGATTCTCGTGCGAAGCTTAGTTTCAATTGTCCTCGCGCTCAGGCGTGGCCGTGATTCACCATCAATTTGCCTCGAAGACCCGGTACAGGTTATACCCGTGTGAGTGCACTCATTAGCGGCCGTAGCCTTTGAGGTGCTTTTCCGATTGCAGAGACTTATTTCTCGCACCAGCCAATCGGTTGGCCCAATGACTTGCACTTGTCGTAAAACAAAGGCTCGTTGATATCAATCATGATCTTGCAACTGGTAGGGTAAGGGCCCGCTAATGGCGTGAGAAGGTAGATGGGTCAATCACTTAATGATTCCAAAGAGAAAGAGTGAAGCTGCAAGCTTACCGACAGTTCCAAAATCAGGGCAGGCACCCTTAGTGGCATCCGGGTCACTAACCCTCGCCGTGCCGGTGTCTCTGCCGCAGTAGCAGGTCTTGATGTCGTCTAGCCGTTTGACATTGTCTGCCGGAGCAGCGGCGACGAAAGCGGTCAGACCCCTGTGCGCAATGTTAGTTGAACTGTGCTGTGGTGAAACGAAGCGTAGCATGCTGATTTGACGAACATCAGGGCAACAGCGGTCTTGAGGCAGAGCATGGTAGTTGGATTGAGTTGGAAGTAGTAGTTGACGGGGAGAATTCAGATCGTGGTAGTGAAAATGAAGGCTGGCTTTCTTGAAGGAATGAGGCATGCGCAGTTCTTATACTCTACTGCGCCAGTACAAAGGCATGTCGTTTCCTCTCCCCTCTGTCAATTGAGCGAAGCCTGCAGGCGGGATGTTCCGTTATTAAAGTTTTCTAGACATCCTAATCTATAATTGCTGTGAGGTATCGTGAATAAACGAGCATGTTGATTGGGATCTACCTGCATGAGTCGTCGAAACCCCACACTTCTTGATGTAAAGTCTGGGAATCGCATCTGTTGACTATCAGCTATCTTCGCTAATGAGTCGCATAAGCTTTTTTAGATTAATAGTGACGCTGAAATACTCTATCCAGCGAGAAAAATTACGTGAAACCCTAGCACTGGGTTTACTCAAACAAAGACATGGTTGTCGGTTAGGCATATTCTCATTTTTCGATCTCATCCCCAAGCTCTAGATTTTATGATACCTTCAACCACCTCACCCCCGACGACGTAACCGCCGCTCTTGCTACTGCTAGCCATTGAGAACCCATTGCACCTTTCCCCCCAAAGTGTACAATAAGTCTAAGACGCGTTGTACAGATGCCACAGAGAGGCATTAATTGGACAGTTGACTCAATGTAAGGAGTGGTCTAGAACTTCATACGTGTTCATTTCAACAGTCGCAATTGTATTCACCAAATTCGTGGCGAGTCCACCCCAGTTCCAGTACACGTGTTAAGTGCTCACCCAAGCAAACTTTTTTGACCACTCCTGGGTTGGAAAGGCCGATTGTGCTCAGGTTTGACATGTAAATTAAACGGAATGGTTAAGTAGAGTCTTGAATGGCTATATGACAGTGATTTTCTGTAACTGGAATGCTGATAACTTAAACTTGAGCTCCAGTACATGAAATGTGATAGTGGAAAGTTGAATTCGGGGTTGCACCCTTTGTCCTGCATTTTGAGGAATTAAGCATTCAACCCGGCACTGACACGAAGTCTTGCCACAGCTTTCTATTCTTATTGACCTGTGTAGCGGTTCAAATGGATTAACAATGGGGGATCTGCTCCTTGCCCTCTGTATTACCGCAACTCTGTTTCGCGAGGCTGAAACATGGCAGCACCAGTATTATCATGGAGGGAAACAGCACCAATTCAGGAGCATCGGATTCGTCATGTTTGAAAGTAGTGGCAGAAGAGTGAAGTCAAGATAGGCGCTTCTGCGGATGGAATGACACGGGTGACTATTTGAGCGAATCTTTCATCACTTTCCCTACTTCGTCAGTAGAGCGGTTGATAGAGCAATCAACAATACTCTACAGTTAGCCTAATGACTCCAACAGCTATCCTGGATGCCGGTATTGACGCTCCGTTTTGCATTGACTATCTTTATGTGTTTCGATGCTGAGAAACGGTAGCCTGGTTATATGAGCAATATCAACGGTTGAAGGTTCCTGTAACCATACCACCAGTCTCAACAAGGTGGTCTCGACAACTTAGAAGCTTTTTATTGAAGCAACGAATGGGGGAGATTCAGCCACTCGAAGTTTGCGTAGAGTTGTTTCAGTTGTTGAAAAAAGTTCCAAATTTTCAAGCAGCGGCACTGGTGATGTCGCTGACCAGATGAGAGGTCTGTTCCATCCAGTGTTGCTTGACCTCATTTTGGCCAAAGATAGAAATTCCACTTAACATCCACTTTCTATTCCTCACTAACATATAATTGATTTCTTATTCCTCTACTTCCTGTTGCTGAAATGTCGTATCTTGTGGTGTCCGGGTTTGCTGGTACCTTTGGCATGTTCGGAATTCATAGAGAATAGACATCATATAATATAAGCATATAGTGCGACAAAACATGTGAATCTGATTGGCCGTATTCCACTTCCATCTTTGGAAAAAAGAATGAGGCTGAGGGCACTCTATGGGATAGTCTGTAATGGTGAGAGGTTGTAAATTGTCGTTTCCGTACTGCTTCATGATGTTACGGGCGGTGTCCCAAAGGAAAACTAAGGCTGCGGGTGCTTGGAAGTAGAGGCATAGCAACACTCTTAAATGAAGTGCAACAGAATACAACTGTGTAGTTTTTAGCGGCGTATCCTTTGCGTAAATGACACGCCTGGTACTGTATTCCTCGCTCCATATGACCCGACTCTACACGCATGACAACTTGCTGATTTTTCAGCTAAGAAAACAGGTCAATAGGGGAAAGATCTGCTAGAGAATCACGTGTCAACCGAAAGTTTGATCCAAAAAGGAGGCGAGGAAAGAGAAGAAAGTCAAGAAAACGCCTTTTACGGTTTGAGTTGAATGATTGGGTTCGCACATTACTAGAAAGGCTTTCCCCGGGAGGCATGCCAGGAGCAGGAACCAACAGTCAAGGGGGTGATTTGGTGACGGGAAGACACTGTGCCAAATGAAACTGTGAAATATAACTTCGGGGACATGTTCCTGGCGGGAACGAAATCGTCGTAAATCAATAGTACCATTCCAACAGATGCGAAAACTTTTGGGGTTTGTATTTTTCCCTCAAGCCTCATGTTCTCAAGATAATCACAGTGGAACCTCAACATGGGCGTAATGAAAGTATTCCTTCCCCGCGATACTAGCCCTGCATCTTTCAGTACTTCAAAACGTCAATTGACAAGAACAATGTCAAGGCATCAAAGTGGTCACTGACGGCATTCGCTGAAGATACTTGCTGAAACGAAGTGAACACGTGTCACAGCACAACGAGGAGCACCCACGTGAGTGAGATAACAAGGAGCAAGTTTCAAACTTCTAGCGAGAGTGATTGAAGTATTGGCGTTTCATTTGCTAGGTTCAATTTCGCCGAAGGAAAAAGTCGAGAATGGTGTCACTGAACGAATATGGCTAGGATCCTTGATATTAAAGTTGGAAAGAAGATTTGTAAAAAATAAGAAAAAAGACAAAAAAAAAAAAAGATATCAAGGCTGTTAACGAAGTGCGAATTTTTTGGAGTTGCCTGCGTAACTATCTAGATGCTGAACCTAGAGGTAGTTTAACATTGATGTGCGATATTGATTCCGCCCCCACCAAAATCAAAATACCAAGCAAGCCTCAGGGGCCGGCAAAGTGGTAAGATGCATTTGTAATTCGGACACCGAGAATCGGAAAGTATAGCTTACCGACCCCCGATATAAGTCGGGGGCCAATTCGGGGTAAGGCTGGACAACCCGGGGCATCCGGGACGGAGACATGTAGGCCTTCAATCCTTGTAGTATCTTTGGAATAAGCTCTGGCTGGCCCTGCATAGCTTACAATCACGGGCCGGGATTGATGGCTTCGCCGATGGCCTAGATAGGCTAGTGACGGGCGCCAGGTGGTTAGGTGGAAAAAAAAAAAAAAAAACACCATTAAAAAATTCTGACGCCTTCGGCATAAGCCGCGGGACCATCTGCAGGACGATAGTCCATTTTGAGAGATACGCGGTATGACCGTATAGACCACATCAGCGCGCGCGTATGGAGCATGGGAGCATGGGTCGATCTAAACTGGGATAGATGGTTACTCTAGAAAAGGACTAGCGGCCGCGGATAGACGAAGGACCATTTCTGTCGTCAGAGTATCATAATCCTCAAGTCTCGACATGTTAAACATTCCAGAGATTCAAGCGTTTGGGGAATAGGCCACATTTCATGTGAATCTTTGCCTTAATCATCAACAGAGACTGAGCGCGTTTGCGGAGAACAACATTGCCCCGGTGCAGCGGCTTTCAGTGCTGGCTAAGACCGAGCAAAAAGTCTCATCCACTCACGCGCCAAGTGATGATGTATGCCAAGACTTTTTATATCGAGCCATTGCATTAGGAGGCGGGAGACCCGGCCCCCCTGAGAGCAAATCGGGTCATCCACCTTCAGCTCCTCGCCAGTTATCGCAAATTAAAACTCGGTATTTTACAGTGTCCTCTGTTTTTGCTGAACCAAAGACAGTATGGCGGCGGCTTGTTGAGGAGACCGACGCCCCGTTGAATGGATGGTGTTCGGTGAATCACGAGTTGTCATCCACTCCTTCAGCTGTCAGCCAGCTAGTTGATCCCTCACATCGAAGACCAGCCCTCCTTATCGCTGACTATTGTTTGAAGAAATGATCTCGTGCGTGGTTTGAAGGACGCCGCATCCGTATTCGTCGGACGAGACCGTCAATGAAACTCCACGTCTTCAAGACGACCCAAGCGATGTTACAAGGACTGTAGGCTGCTGCCAGACATTAGGGGGTTGGCCGATTCCATGGAGCGGAGCGGAAATCTAGCGGGCGGCAGGCAAAAGGAGAAACCCTGCTTTTCATGACATCTTCTTCTTGCGCCTTGGGGGTTTAATGCCCTTCTTTTGTTGTGGTTTGAACCATCGTTGGGCCCACGAAAAGATTACGTGGTGGAACGGCGGAGAGTGGAATGCGAACGGACCAGACCGACAAGACGGATGGTCGGATGTCGCGGATGCAATCCTCCCCACACAGCCATCATCAACCCTTGCACCATTGGGGCGCTCATGTCATGGTGTCTTTGTCCCTTGCCCGTGCCGTCATCAGCATCCCTCGTGCCCACTTTCCCTCGCTCGCACCTCCAGTTACAGAGCCGCGTTTCCTAACCAGACGTCGGAGCTTGTTGTCCTATGGGGAGAACGAGGTGCTGAACGTCTCCATTTGAGACTGTTACAAACTGACCTCGGCTTCGAAAAGCATGAAAGAACGAGACTGAAGGTAATTAATCTTCTTCCGCGGTAGGACATGCCACGCATTGCTTGACGGCAGCAAGCTCTTCTTGTACGTCACATCACGCGTGGACAACCAACGGCGACCTGCCAACGAGCTTACCCGTCCGCTAAACTGAGCACGCGACATTTCGTCCCTTCTCTGTGTTCCGTTGCGCTGATCGCAGACCGTTGGCCACAAACATCGAAAAAAAATCACACCCACTCCGCCTCCACCCACCACCATCTTTGCCTCTTTCATTCAGGCAACATGTGCCAGGTACAGACCGTATCCACCTAAAGACACTGACCGACAGTGGAAAATGACTGCTGCGATAGGTATCCGTACGCGCCATGTAGAGGTAAGGTGTAACCCTTGGTGTTCGCGGCACTTGGCGGGCGATTCGTCCACGTCAGGAAAACTAGAATCGACCAGGGCCCCTAGCCAACCCGGGCACAGGCAACATAGTGTGGCCCCAGTTATAGAAAGAAAGAAAAAAAAAAATAGCCCACTTTCCGCCATTGGTTGCTCGGAAGTCCATTTTGATGAACAGGCAGAGCTTTTCATGTCCCGGCTCACGCGAGCTTTGCTGCTAGCACGTAGGGCGAGTACGCGGCTTCGATTTGCTCCTCTCTGGTCTCCTGCTCCTGAACCAGGGAATGGGAGCCTTGAGTCGCCCGCTGTGGATAGCCGTGGGCGGATAGGGTGGGAGTAAAATGGGAGGTAAAGTACTCCGTACTTTCAAGCGCATGGGGGGGTTGAGCGGGATTCGATGCACAATGCGAAGTCAACCTTGTATGGAGTGGTCGAGCAAGGTCCAGCTTGGTGGGTTGTGCCGAGCCTGGGCTGTTGTGCGCAAACTGTGCCGAAGTTCTTGTTCTATCTATTATGGTACTATTACTATGTCCATCTCATCCATCCTTTTGGGTCACGCATCTGCTACCTGCTGCTTCGTGTTGCGCGTTAGCTTACCCTACCTTTCTTTCATCCTGCCCTCGCCATCCATAACGCTACTTACATCTTTTTGACACATCCTTCGAGTCGCTAGTTTTCCATTCCACTTTTTCTTATTCAATCGACTCCATTGTCCTGATAGCATAAGGAACAAAAGAGCACACCCCTCGTCGCATAGCTTTGGCGTTGGCCCATCGGATTTGAGGGTAATCTTAATCTCACGTAACAGACCAGCACCCCCCTCCGATAACTCGTGTCGGTTATTGGACCTTGACGAACCACTCCCGGCGGACATCGTCCGTCACATTCCCATCCCACCCGCTGGCCGCCTCGGAGAACTGTGCTTCCCCCCTTCCCGAGCCTCCCGCCCTTCATATAGGAAGGACACCGGCGGACTCAGCCAAGTCTCCAGTTTCTCTCATTCCTCAATCACTAATCGCCAAGTTCCCCATCGTGTCGGCTGTTTCTTCCGTCATCAGTCTTCACCATCTCCTTGCATACCACCACTAGCCCTCCCCAAAGCAGGAAAATATGGGCATCGGCGCCGTGGCAGAGCCGTTGGTGGTTATCACCCTCCTCTTCGGTGGTACCTGGTTCAACCGCAACACCGGCAACAACAACGCATACGATAACCTGGGATGGAGAGGATCCGACCTTGAACATGGCGAGCACAAGCGGTCCGACGAGCGCCGCTCCGGCAACTCAACGCCCGACTCCGAAGACTCACTGCTCTCCCTAGGTGCTTGGAGCTCCTCATCGACACTCACTCCGCAGGAGGAACCGCTTCGTCGGATGCGTCGAATCAAGTTCTTTGGTTACCAACGCCTCGTCTCGTCGCCCAACACGAGAGTCTTCAAAGACCGCCTCCTCAGTCGTGTGCTCCGCAAGTTCCCCTTCTTGGTTGAGGCATGGTACTGGGCTCTGATCTACTGGGTAAGAAAGGCTGTCATGTGCACGTGAAGTTATTTGAGCTCGCCTAATCCGAATTTGTCTCTTAGGTTTACCAAGTCGGCCGAGCCTTCACTGCTCTAACCCTCAACGAGGGCACTGTCGATGTTGCCCGCAAGCATGCGCTGCAGCTCATCCACCTTGAGCAGCGTCTGCACATCTTCATCGAGGTGCCTGTGCAGCAGTACTTCCTCCAGATGCCCACCGTGATGCACTGGATTAACCGCATCTACTCATTCATCCACATTCCCGGCACGATTCTGTTCCTCGTCATTCTCTACTACATTACCACCACCCGCCGCCGCCGTGCCGTCTCCGCCAAGCTGGGTGGCTCTGAAAACGTCCGATGGAACTCGGCCGGTCCCGCACTCTACGAGGCTCGTCGCCGAACGATGGCCACTTGCAACTTACTCGCCTTTGTCGTTTTCACTCTTTGGCCTTGCATGCCCCCTCGCCTGCTGAGCGATCCTAACTACAACGGACCCGATGCCGGCGAGTCCAAGAGCTTTGGATTTGTCGATACAGTGCACAGCGCCGACGGCGAGAGCAGTGTTTGGACCACCAACAAGTTCTGCAACCAATATGGTACGTTGCGATTTCTGTAATCTTTTCGCTAAGCTTCCCCTCTGACATGTGTGACAGCTGCCATGCCCTCCCTGCATTTCGGCTACTCTCTACTTATCGGTCTGACCGTCGCCACCCTGCCTCTCCCCTCGATCCGTTCGCGCCCCTGGAAGCGTTTTGCCATCGTCGCCGTCGGCATGTCTTACCCCGCCTTGATCCTCACCGCCATCGTAGCGACCGCGAACCACTTCGTCCTCGACGCGGTTGCCGGAGCCATCGTCTGCGGTATTGCGTGGAACTGCAACGGCGTTCTCCTGAACCTGCTGGTCATCGAGGACTACTTCCTCCGCCTGTTGCGTATCCACAAGCCCGTCAACTGGACCGACCCCGAGGTCTCCGCCGAGCAGGAGTGGAAGCCTAGCGCGACTGTCGATGACATCTGAACTTCATCACTACGAGCAATTGTTTAAAAACGGCGCATGACCCGGATTTGTAATACACGAATGGCAATGTTTTTGATGCGCGGAGTGTATCATGCGCTTTCCGCTTGATTTTGCTGCATTGGAAAACACAGGCTTTTTCCATCGAGGGGGAGGCAAAACTTCGAACCGGTAATTGTTTCTAGTCGCATAATCGGGGCGAGCAACCAAGGTTCTATCTAGTGTGTGGGGGAGTTCCAAGGCTTTGAAGTTTTTCTTTATTTGGTTTATGGTTCCAATGAACCTACGCAAGACGGGCACGTATTCGAGCATTTGGGATGGTTTAAGCTATGATTGTGAAAGCGTCAGGAGGGGGGAAGAGAAAGAATTTACAGCCCAAACTCAATAATGATACTCAGGATATACCAAAACACTTCCACAGAGGGAAGCGTCCAGAATTTTAAGATTTCAACGCTTATTCTTGGCGAAGTAAAGTTCCCCAGTTAAGCTTTATTGTTTCAACACATCCGTAGACCCTTTAACTGGGTGGTGACATAGCTTCCTGGGTGATTGCGACCGCTTGGACGACACGCTTTGATGTCAACGAGTGGCAGAAGGGCACGGTTGAAAACGATCCAGTGAATGTTCCAGGGATATGGCCATGCTCCCCCCTATGCCACATGTATGTCATGGGCGAGCCAGGACGTGACAGCCTCCAGGTCCAGCATTGAAGGCTCATTGAGCAAGAAAAGCGGATGAATAAAGGTACCTACTTTTGAACAGCAAAGGCCTGGACCGGCCGCTCGGGTGACCCAAATAAAGAACCTGGGGAAGTCATTTAGATAAGATTCCGGGGAGCAGAGGGAACCAACGGCATGGTCTAGGCAGAGATGATTTCCCGTCGATCGGTGGGCGCTCAAGCGAGACAAAGCAGGGCATTGAGCGGGACAAGCCACACCTTGAGGACGTGCCAAGCCGGGGTGGACAGTTGCGCCGGGACCCACAATTCTCCGTGTCCGAGGTGCTCCGGTTTGGCTAAGTACAATATCCCAGGATCCACTTGGGCCGGGGCGGCTCTATGGTTTGCTGAGACTGAGGGTGAGGCTGAATGGTTTTCAACTTCATATAGCACCAGTTCATCGTTTCTTAGGCCTAGAAATATCGAGTGTCGACGTTCTTGACCCGCTTGACCTGCTGTGGTGTTTGTACCACTGCTTATCGATCACGTCCTTGAGATATTGTGAAAGGAGCGCGTTTTTTTTAAACCATTATTGCCCTTTTCCGTATCTCTACGAAATGTCGATTTGCTGGAACGCTCACGTTGGGAAACGGGATTTCTGCTCGACTGAACTTTGCACCTATTGTCTGATCGCGACTAATAAGTCGGAGCTGCTCGCCTGGCAGTATTATCGTTGCCACGATTTATTTCGCAAAAGAAATCGAAGGTGCGTTCGAGGACTTCTTTCAATCCTTTCCGGTCTGGTACAAGTATACAACCTTGGCTATAAACCTAGGGTGGGTGTAAAAGGGATGCTATCCCTGAACCGGATGACTTCCTTTATGTTCTCATGGTTTGATCAAGAGGCATTCTCGACGTAAAAGAACAGAAGACTGGAATTATGTACCTGAGACTGTAGGCATCGCAAAGGGTAACACTTTGGTTCCAGAAAACTTCCTCCCGCAACACTGCCGAAGTACGTTTGACCATGCAAGGTTTCCCAGCGCTGTTACATTCTTGCAATTTACCAGGGCCAACACAAGTAACCCAGGTTATTTTACAGAAGTTTAAACTGTTCGGGCAACAAGAGAGGCTTGGTGAACCCGGCTTTTTAGGAAGGAAGAATTTGCCTGCCTTTACTGCCCTCTCAGGCCGCGCAACAGGCATGGCCGCCCGTGTTCGTTATACTGTTCCACCCCAATCTTCAGCAGCAAAGCGTAAAGCAATCATTCAATAACATTACTCTGGGCAATCTATGGTCTGGCATTTCAAAAACGCAAGGAAGCTTATAAATGTTTCTGGTTCTTAGTATCTTGCGGCACGCTGCGCCCTAAGTTGAAACCAGATTTCCTTTTGACGAATTGATGACCTCTGTCGACTGTTTCGATTTGACTCTATCCTCCTGGAATCTGTGGTAATGAAGTAGCGAGCGTCGAAGCAGCCGCCCGTGTAGAAATAGTCCTCTGGCGGGGAAGAATCCTCCCGCAGATTTTGACATGAGCCAAATGGTCGTCATAGAGTTCAAAGGTTTCCTGGCATTTGCAAAGAAATAAAAGACCAGGTTCGAGTTTCATCTTGCAAGATACTCGCAGGTGCCGGATGTAGTTGTCCTTGCGTGCAGTCTGGTGTGAGCACTTGCAAATATACTGAGGGCTGAGAAGATCACAGTGAACCTCTTGCCGATGCCGCAGCATCTTTTTTGCGTTGCCGAACCGTTGACCGCACGTCTCACAAACTGTCGAGGTAGCGGTTGATCGAGAAGTGTCGATTTGTGACGACTGTGACAGTGGTTAGCAATTCGGTACGTCAGCTCATATTTACCAGGGCGAATTGCTCTGATCGTGGGCCGCCATTTACCTGCCAGGTCTTGGGGATATCCGCCTGCAACTGGATGCCAGGCCAAAGACTCTCCTGCTGCTGGGTTGGCCGCATGCGAGATTGCTGCTGAGGGTCATGCCGCTCCCGTTTCTGGCCCCATTCCTTAAGAATACAGTCGTTTCGGTATGAATCGCCCGCAGTGTTGTCTTTAGAGATGGTATAGCCCATGATCACAGTTGAAAGACCATGACATGCCTTTGTTGTCGCGGTCTTATTGAGCCTAGCACCAAAGGCGCTCAGCAGACGGACCTCTTGTGCGCGGTCCATTTCAGCACCAAGAAATCAGCCGAACGCTTGAAGGATAGGGTCAGAAAGTGTCGCGTGGCATTTGTGGAACAGTTGTCGGTGTCAATATAGGTTTGAGAGCAGCGTTGAAAACCGAAACGTCGAGGCAACGCAAACGCAACAGGAGGCAATTAAAGGCCTGATTTGCGGTAAGGCTCTCCGGGGAAATAGTGGAGGAACGCCCATGATGTAACCACGTGCTCTGCGGTGCGGCGTATATTTCTGGAGACAATGCAGCTGCCCTTTAAACATCCAATTAAAACTAATAGATAACTACTGAAGACGCTGGAGTGTACGAATCTTCCACCGTCACATTGTCTCTAGATCACGCTATGTCTCATTGGTAGAAAACCTCTTATAAAGTATAGTAAGGTAGTCTTTGAACTTAGCTTTATTTATAACAGTTTTTAATTGTTCATCCGTGACGGCTCTTTTTGATAAAACGAAAGCTGATAGGCTGCTAAGATTACTTATCGAAATCTTCCGGCTGTTTAGGTTCTTTTTAACGAGGGCTGGTGACTTGCTTTGAATTTATGCTGTATTAATACCGTTTTTTTAGACTTACTTAGTTACTGTTTACTATTTTCAGTCTGTTTATAGGGCTACCTAAGATATTAAGTCTTTCATTTCAACCTAAATTAACAAACTATGAATTAAGTTAAATTCTGGATTTATCTCTTAAGACTTTAGTAAATAGCATCTTCGTATAATCTTCAGAATGATCAACTTGTGGGAAATGCCAGAGAAACCGTCGTCTGTGGCTGTAAATTTGTCAGGTAAATTGAAAGACTGGTACGATCGTAAAGGTTTAAATGAGAAATTCCTCTAATACCTGTAAGACTTGCTTGTAGACGTCAAACATAAGTTACATAGTACCGATAGTAGTAAGCTTTCGAGTGGACGAATCGACACAAACACAGCCTTGCTTCCGGCTGTGCAATCTGCAACGGCAATGATGGTTTGACCTGTAAGACGGCTAGAACTGATGACTGTGAGGAATTTAATTGCGACAGCAGTAGGCTGCTTCAACTTGCGCGTCTCTCACGCTCTTCTCTTGAATCAACAACTATCCTGCCTAGCATACACTTTGGCCTTGTCGCCTTCGAGAACTTTGATTGTCATTTCAGGCGAACATAGAGGTCAAGTTGCACTGAGGAAAAATATAATTACATCGGAGATGGAAGCTGCTGGTGCCTTGGAAAACTTCCCATGCGTGGTCATCAAAGGGGTTCGTGACTATACTGATAACCACAAACACCAGAAGTGCATTTAGGTGGCTGCTACGGCTGTAGCTTACATGGAAAGCGTTCCTGGAAAAAGAACATTTTGTACTTAATTTAAGATGAAATACTTTCTCTGTTTCTCGAATCTATATGCCTTGATAAGACGGTTAGGACCTCCTAGTCCCGAATAGTTTGTCAAGTCATTCGTGCTTCTGGAATGAATCCCTAAGCGGTTCTTTAATTCCCTAGAAAGTTGCGGTGAACTATATGCGAATTCTCTCGATGGAAATTGGAGTCGGCATGACTAGGTAGGTACTATTGGGCGCTCACGCGAGCTGCCCGTTCCTATTAGATTTTGTAGCGCGGACAGTCATCATCAGCAGACAGACGATCTATCTGCGCTGCAGCTTTATTCATCTATAGACTTCAAATCCCGCCTCATCCTCCATTTGGGCCCAACCTTCATTTCGATATACATCAAGGGGAGAAGCAATGCGCAGACTCCGCCTAGTAACACATAACTCCAACTCACTCGAAGTGCTGCAGTCATCCTATCAATCAAAGCCACCAGTAAAGCGGCAAGGAGGCACCTGACGAGGTTTGTCTACAAAGATGGTGAGCATGTGATCGAGGGGATATCTATAGTGAGGCAGTTTCTTACACAAGCAGTTGCTGCCGAGCTTCTTGTTTGCAAGATGTCGATCATTAGGGTCATTGTAGTGTTAAGGATTGAGATCGAGGTATATCCCACTTTTAATGTCAGTTTACCATCCAAGACAAGTGGACTCGATAGAAGCCTCCAACTTACAAACAACCTGTAGGCACAGAGGCACGGCAATGTGCACACCATTGTCCACACAAAATCCCCATGCTATTACCGCCCCTGAGAAAAGAACTAGCAACACAGGCATTGTTCTCAGGCGCGCATACTCCTTTGGAAAATCAATAGCGCCGTCGGCTTCTTCGACTCTTTTCTTTATACGGGCGTATTCCCAGTCAAGAAACTTGCCAGTAAGTGTGCTCCCAACAATCATCCCAAAGCCCGTCGGGAGGTAGCACAATCCAAGTGCCGTCTCAGATAGCCAAGGATATACTCTAGCAAAAGACGATGCCACAGTTGTGACAACAGTATTATTGACAGCGTATACTATACCTGTGAAGGCTAGAGTGATGGCAACATCTGGGTAGATAAGAATTACGAAAGGATTGAGAGTTGGTCGAACCCCAGACTTTGAGGGAGATGACTTTTGCTTCTTACGAGATTTGCCTACTACTGGAACCAGGGGAGTGTAGATTCCTCCGAGGGCGATGCCTCCATTCCCAACAAGGTTGCGAAGGGTTTCTGGCAGGAACCTTTACAGCGTATCGGTTATAGTTGAGCGAAACCGGGGCGGTACTAAGGATACTTACAGCAGAATAAAGAAGAGGCAACATACAGCCATTATGATCAGAAACCAAAAGATTGATCGCCAACCCAGCTTGTCTGACAATGCACCACCGATTGCTGGTGCAATACAAGGCGAAAGCTAAAACACGTAAGCTAAGACAGTTTCAAGGGTTTCTTGAGTATTTTGGCTAACCATAGGGCCCAGATTAAACATCCCAAAGAAGCCACCTCTTTCTTCTGGAGTCGATATATCGCCTATCACGCCAGCGCCTTATGAAGGTCAGCTTTACGGTTTCTGATTGTGAAAGGGGGAGAAAAAAGATAAAAAGTAGTATACTTACCCAGAGCAATGGTGCTCGCACAACCCGCCGCTTGGAGGCACCGGAGGACGATCAAGAGCCAGAACGCGTCAGTAGGACAGACAGCAATGCCCACGCAGGCCCCAATAAGAACCGTGAGACAAATCAAAAAGACTGGCCGTCGACCATAGCGGTCTGAAAGCGGACCCCAAAGCATGGGCGCTTTCCATCAATCAATCACATTAGCCTCATGCTGCACATTGAAGGTTACGTCGTCGCTAGAATAGTACTCACATATACCCTGCATTGCGAGAAATGCGGTAACAGTCAGATTAATAAGCTCTACAGACTTTCCAAATGCTTCTGACAGTTTTGGGATTGCAGGAAGATAGATGTTCGCCGGCAAAGGACTACACGTTATTAGGCAAGAGCTCATATAACATTCAGAGACCTTTAGCACATACCTATAGAACCCTGCGGCCGCCACCATAGCTACAATAAACCATTTCTCTTTGCGAGTGAAGATGCTATATGGCTCCGTTATAGCAGCATCCCCGAGCGGGAGCGTCAGGGGCTCCGGGGCAGAGCCGGTGCCGGCGTTGTCTCCGGCGTCTTTGGGTTCGGCCATTATGTGGCCAAAGACTACTGATAGAAACAACAGCAAAATATGGTAGAGTTGCCAAGACCCAAGGATGCCTCTGTCTACTTGTTTTGAAGAAGAAGATGACAAAGTTAGGCACGGCGCATGTTCCTTCGGGGTGGATTGGTGCGACTGTATACCGGACAACGTAAGTCGGTCAAAGAAAAATTTCCCGAGGATAAAATGGGGTTCCTGCAGGCCTAGAACTCGGCCAGACCATTCGGTGCCGGTTCGGAATGGTGTTGGTGGGTTTCCGGCAGTGTCATCCGAGGGCCGTTTGACAGTCTGCGGGTATTAGCGGTGGAAATAACATCAGGCTACGCTAGGGGCAGACGACTGGGCACGAGGGGATTCCCGCTGGAGGCGAGCCTTGGGTGGTGGATCTGTGCGGGTCACTCTGCTGGACGCCGATCGCCCGCGATGATGTAGTAGGTGGTTATGCAGCAGGGGTTCCGATATGTCATTACAGATCTTGCCATGATGGTATTGTTGATATGATGTCAGGGCCGAGGTCTCTGTATGCCTTATCATGCCCATTGGGTACGTGGAGATAAAGGCAACATTGGCTTGCTACCAGACTTGAGATCATTACTCAGAGCCAGCCACAGGCTTAACATATTTATCCTAGACGACCAAGCATACCAGTCGGCTCCTAAGATATTTGAGGCATCATCTAGGGTAATGCTAACCTGTGAAATCGTGACCCTTATCCAGGATTGCAAATGCCAAGGTGCTGGTAGCATTCAGGTTGATGCATTATTCCCTTATCATAGGCAGTTGCCATTATCAATGGCTCCCATAACTGGAAAGCGTAGAAACTGGACATGCCCATCGGTTTGTATCGGTTTGAGGACACCAGCACGTGCTGCTTTAGTGAGCGTGATATGGATTTAAAACACGTTGGATTCGGAGGCGGATAGTGAAGAAGCAATAGAGATGTACGTAAACGTTGGTAAGAGTTTGTAAAGGTGAACAAATAGTAATGGCCGTGGATGGAGAATATGTTAAAGCTGCTGTGGGCTTTAGATATGTCGAGATTGATAGACCACATCGCCCTATAACAACACCCAGAGAGATACAAAAGTCCGCATACCCTCATTGTTGTGATATTTTGATGCAAAATTCTCAATCTGTCTTAAGCAAAGGAAATTCCAAATCAATCTCACTGTTCGGCAAATCACTCAGCGTTGCCATCCAGTAGACATACTTTAGACAACAACTTTGGTTTATTGCTCCTAAGTCCAGCATAAAATCCCTATGCAACGTTGTGTTGCTATGACATATCATTCAAGGTTACTTCTCTCAAGCATTTATTTAGACTAGAATGATAGTTTATGGAGGTTATTTACTCTCATATGAATATTTGTTTTGACAGGCGTAATAGCCCATTAGTCGAGGCTCAGTTTCCGTCATTTTGGTACTGTCCGGCTCAATGTCAGCAACAATCTTCTCCACGAACCTCAAATTCTTAGTTTCAACCAAAACTTGTTTTCCTTTTCTTCTTTCTACAACAAACCCCCGGCTCAACCGGCAATATTTACCGTGATCCACGTGGCTTGAGCACATCATCGAGGTGAACGGAGATGCCGACGATGAAGACGTGTTTGCTCCTGTAAAATAGGTATTGTGGATTAATCACAGATAGGTGATCACAGGGGTATTGGTAAATATTAGATCTCGGCGCATGCAATGGCGGTGAGCAAAACAAAGTGAATTTGGTGGGAAGCATGGCAAAAACTGGGTTCTTATGGATGAAGTATCAAGTGGTTGAGACAACCAATTCCTACTGTCCACCTCGAATAGGCATAGAAGACGGGTGGAAGCATATGATGGATTCTATCGCTTGGGTGCCTGCATCTTCCCCTGACTGATGCAGAAGGCGCATCTTCCGGGAGGCTGAAAGGGGAAAACATCCCTGGAACAGGGGTTAAATGACTGGTGTTGGGAGATGGTGATTGATCGTTTGCGGACCTGCGGCGTCAATATTGGAGCAAGATTCAGGTTGCTATCACGCCGTGCGAAATGCACAAGCTGCCAACGTCGCGGGCCCATTGGCAGACTCGATGTCTTGGTGATCTCTCGGAGCGTGGCCAAGGCATTTCCGATCGAATTAACACGGAAATATCGCGTTTAAAGAAGCAAACACCACGTGTTTCGACTAGATCCGAAATCTCGCGACGATTGCTCTTGTTGGGTATGATGTCCGGACGGACATCCTGCAAATCATTGTAATCTCAGCCAAACTTCAATAACTTCTTCTGGCGTTCCAATCCGGGTTGGTTCCATTGTCGCACAGCATGGAAAAAGCAGGCTCCAAGGAGGGAATGTTATTGAATTTCCCGCATATTGTCGCCGCGAGCCTTTTTTGGGCGTATACCAGGCTGGAAGCCAGAGAGATGAGAACAGCTACTTGCCCCAGCAGGATCTAAGAGACAAATGGCAGATTCAGAACGTCTCTTCATTAAATCAGTGATCCGAAATGGAACATGTGCAAAAGGAAAGACAATCACCTCCAAACTACAGGTCTTGCCTCACCGCAGCCATGGCATATGTAATTTGGTCTCGACACCCTCAAGATAGGCGGGCGTAATGCTTCCCAGGTCAAAATGCTAATATACAAAATCTGATAACATGCACGGATCGCAGTTCGAATTTCTTACCTCACGAAAACTGCTGGTTTTGGTCATATGATTGATGAATGCAGATCTTAACCACTGTGCCGGGCCCGGACTGCCCTCCGCAACAACCCGAGTCACACAAACAAGTCTGAGCCAGGCGATAGCCAATGCTACTAGTTCGTTTCGCTCATCATCGTATCAAGGTCGATACTGTGTTACTATACGGAAGGCGTCAATTATCCGCATGGTTATTTCAAATAGGGTTGATCCCATTCCCGCCCCTGGCGCGGTTTTGCAGAGTCCGTTATTGGGCGCAGCAAGACTTGGATGGCGCCCATCGCGTGGCCACGTAGGATTGGCATGGTTGAAAAAGACCGGGCAAGAAGTGTGCATCGGATAACTCCCACGCTAGCGGGGGTTGTTGGGATCAATGATGTGTATGTGAGGTATGGTATGCATCCGTCAGCAAGGCTGGCATGCAGTGTGGTAAACCGCTCGTCTATGGTCACGGACGGCATAATACTAAATAGGGCCGTCAGCCAGTTACGGATGACAGGATGTCAGTTGGTTGTCACTACTGCAAGCCTTTTCGAGGCCGTCTGCCATTAAAAAAATTTCTCAGCAGGTTACAGATAACAACAGACCAACATTCGACCGGCCCGGCCTCCAGTCGGTGCAAGGGAGGGCGTGGGAACTCCGCTTGAAGGGGGGTGGACCGCAGGGGGGGAGAGGAGGCGAGTGGTGTGTTTTCCGTCGGGGATGGGCCGACACTGGCAGCAAAACCTGGGGAAGCTGGACGTCAAGATCCAGATTTTTCTCGCCTCGCCATCTGTTTTAGTCTTTCTTCCTCTGCGTTCCCCACGAAAAACAATGAGGTTCGATTTTGGCTGAATATTGCCGCAGAATGTGGTTTAACCTGATGGGACCAGACGTGGCGCTAGTGTATTCGAATGCGCCTCCTTCTTCCTCGTCAACGCCAACCTCAATGGCCGCAAAGCTTATCTCATCGTCCAGTCGGTCGTGCGGTGGGATAGTAAACAGCTTGGAATTTGGTTCCCCAAAGGCAAAGATTTGGGGTAGATGCCAAGGGGGCGTTACCCTCCCAGACATTCCAAGACTTTGGTCATACGGAACTATTGGCCTGGCCTCTTCCCGATGCGCGATAATTTGACCAAAATCCTATTCGCACCAAATGTGCTGCGCCAGCCTTGGAGGCCTGGATCCTCCATAGACAAGACCGGGGTTTTGCCCGGTATCTACAACGTTGTTGCTGTAACGGAGAGAAGTCCGTACACGATTCACAAAAGGCTGGGCATCATTGCTTTGGTAATCCACACCAAAGGTAGCGCGGGGTGACTACACATGACGGCAACATAAAGTCAATGTCTAAAAGGCTTGGCCCAGGTTTACACTAGCAATCAGGGCGCAGCCTGGAGGCAAATCCAGCGAGAACCCACACTTTCGTCGGCAGCGTTTCCCCTTAGACTGCCAGTGATCCGTTATCCACTGCCGGGTCCCCCATCCTCGAACTTGATGTACCACACAAATGCACTCATACTCCATAAACCAGTGCCCACTGTCCCCCATCTGTGCTGCCATACTAGCACTCTCTCCATGCGGGGAACTCTATAGGAGGATTGCGGGGGACCAGAGAGGGGGGCTATTGGGGGGACCACTCACTGCTATGGTATTGGTTCTATATTGAATTCGAGAGGGCCTAGGAACCTTGTCTAGCGAGTATGCCAAGGCCTCGCTCACTTTCCGAACTACTTTTTTGGTTTCTTATGCTTATCCAAGTGGAGAGGACTGTGAGGGGAAATGGAGTCGGTGATGATACGGAAGCAGAGAGGACGCCAGGTGCTGGATATTGGAGCAACAGACACACTAAAGACCTGCTGGGGAGGTGAAGAAACGGGGAAAAAAAGAGAACCAAAAGACCGAAAAGATAAAAAAGAAAGTAAAAATTCAACCCCAAATCTATCATCTCCGCTCCGAGTCCAGTTCCCTGTCATCTTCACGAGTCGTACTCTGCTCCCCACGTCTCCAAGATTCCTCCACACGATACTACCCAACTTAATGAACACATTACGCTCGAACGAACGTGGGTGGCTAGAACTCAATGGAACACCCGCCCCGAACAGGTATGTGACAACCAACCCTGTGGAGGTAAGGGAGCTAGTGGTGTCTTGAATGTTTCGCACATCTAAGCTTGTTCTCATTTGCCTTAGGGCCGGCCCTTTCAGAATCTTCTAGTTCTTAGCCAACAAGCATTCGGTCCTATTCGAGGCCGTTACTGCAGAGCCAACAACGTGATATGGACGCTGGGCACTGTAGGCTTCTACACGTCGCGAATCAGTCCCCAAATCACAACACCTGTGTTTTCATGTTCGATGCCAACCCAAGCGCGCGTCGGAGTGAGGAGTGTCCGATAGCCAGGCTGTCTAACCAGAGATGACGGTGAGCAAATCTTGGCTTGTGCGATACGAGTCATGGATTTCTCATTTAGTCCCAACGGCCATTGCAATTGGGTTGTTGAAGAGTCAACTGTTGAAACGAACCATTCATCAGTCTTCTACGCCGTGTTCTCCGCCTCTTCCTGTTCATGGCACTCTCTGAACCCCATCTACCATGCCCCGCTCCGCGACCGCCTAATCCCGGTTGGCTTTGGCCAAGGTGGTGTATCGGCCAATCAGTAGCAAAAGTCCGGTCGTACGGACAGAATTTGGATTGTTGGATGCAACTCGACGCCATTCGTCATGGGGGATACGACAGGACTGCCACTGCGAGCGAGCCACTCGGGCCAGGGCCCCCCTTGCCTGGCAGTTTCAAGGCGATGAGCTACAAGCTGCATACTACGGACTACGTACCAATGAGCCCTATGTGCAGCCCCAACTCCCCTCGCAGTCAGAGTAGTGGCCTGTGGTACCATGGACTTTGTACCCTGCACCCCTCCCGACGGATGCGCGCACAGTGATGACTTCCACAGTCCCATCTGCCGTCTCTCCAAATGTGCGTATGTAGTTCGATGGATAGTGTACCTTTTCCGTTGGGTTTCCCAATGTGGTGTAAGAGTGTGAGTGGATCGGGGGTAGCATTCGGCGGCGACGGAGAAGAAAAAGATAGACATAAGAAATCAAGGGCTCAGGCAGACCCCAACATGGGCTGGCCCATCCTATGTTGTCACCTTCGTCCAGTCTACCTTACACCTTTATAAAGACTCCTTAAGGTTTCATCCCATCTGGAATTTGATCTACCCCTCATCCCTCGAGGTGTTTAGTTTGCCTGCGCACAATCCTCTTTTCTCCTCTTATCACGTTGCACCGCAGCAAAATCCTCATAGGTTCTTTCACCAACTCACCTCTCACCTCTGGGCTTTGTACCGTCATTTTACGTGGCCGTCCCATGATCGTATGCTCTTGAACCACCCGAGTAATTGACCGAGAGAAGGGCTAGCAAACAAAGCAATCGTCGGATCCCCAGACGGATAGAGGCCGTTGCCGCCGCTTTTTGCACCCACATCTACCCTATCCCTTACCTTAGCCAAACCCGCAGCCATGGCAGGCCACGACAACAAACGCGATCTCGAGGTGAACGACATTTCGGACGAGAAGACCCACAATGCGCACCTCGAGCAGGCTCAGATGCTGGCCGACTTGCCTGATCCCGACGCCGGCAAGACTCCCGAGGAACGGGCCGCCATTGTACGTCTCCGCTCTCTGCGGTGAAGCGATCACCGTTGTTTAGAGATACAAACATCGCGCATGGCTAACACTGTTTTTTCCCCCGATATTTAGGATCGCAAATTGATGTGGAAAGTCGATCTATGGCTCGTTCCGTGGCTATCTCTCCTGTAAGAAACTACAGCCACTCACTGCTAGAAAAGCGAAACTATGGCGGGCGCTTTCAAAAGCATGGCTAACATGAAGATTTTAGCTACCTCCTCTCATTCCTTGACCGAACCAACATCGGAAATGCACGCCTTGCCGGTATGGAAAAGAAACTGAACATGAGCGGCACCGACTACAACCTGTCCCTCACAATCTTCTTCATCAGCTACGCTGTCTTTGAGCCTGCTACCAACGCCCTGCTGAAGCGTCTCACACCACGCATCTTCTTCACCGGCATCATCGTCGTCTGGGGCACAATCATGACTCTCATGGGTCTTGTCCACAACTTCCAGGGTCTTCTCGCCGCTCGTTGGTTCCTTGGTATTGCTGAGGCTGGCCTTTTCCCTGGTACGTTTGCTACTTTATAGACCAATCCTTACTTGCGGTTTTTCAACTAACGCCATTTTTTTCCAGGTGTCAACTACTACCTTTCATGCTGGTACAAGGGTTCCGAGATCGGTGTCCGTTCTGCCGTCTTCTTCTCCGCTGCTGCTCTTGCCGGCTCTTTCGGCGGTCTTCTCGCAGCGGCCATTGCCCAGATGGATGGCATCGGTGGTAAGCCCGGTTGGGCCTGGATCTTCATCATCGAGGGTCTGGCTACCGTTTTCGTGGGAGTTTTCTGTTGGTGGATGGTCTTTGACTGGCCCGAGAACGCCCGCTTCCTCACCCCCGACGAGCGCATCCGCGTCCAGCGTCGCCTGATCGCCGACAAGCAGGGCCGTACCGCCGAAGACTTTGACAAGCGTCACATCTACGCTGCCATGAAGGACTGGAAGACCTACGGCTACATGGTCATCTACATGGGCTGCCTCGTGCCTCTCTACGCCTTCTCGCTGTTCCTGCCCACCATCTTGTCAGCGATGGGGCACACCGGTACCAAGGGCCAGCTTCTCTCCGTCCCTCCCTACGCCGTCGCTGCTGCGCTGACCGTCACTGTCGGTGTGATTGCCGACCGCACACGCTGGCGCGGCTACTGCAACATTGCGACCGTGACGATTGGCATCGTCGGCTTCGTCATGCTTATTGCCTCTAAGAACCCGCAGATCCAGTACGCCGGAACCTTTTTGGGTGCTGCGGGTATCTACCCCACCATTTCCAACACTCTCTCATGGGTAATCAATAACACCGAGGGCTCCCTCAAGCGAGCTTTTGTGCTGGGTATGGTCGTCGGCTGGGGTAACCTGAACGGTGTTGTTTCATCAAACATCTACCTCAAGCACGAGTCCCCGCGCTTCTTCACCGGCCACAGCGTTGTTCTGGCGTACCAGGTTCTCTTCTTGCTTGGTGGCTCCATCTTCATGCACTTCGCGCTCCGCATTGCCAACTCTAAGCGTAGAGCTGGCAAGATGGATGCCAAGTGGGCTAGCATGACGGAAGAAGAGCAGTGGGTTGCCGGCGACAGGCGCCCTGACTTTATGTATACGCTCTAAGCATATACCGGTTTGATCGATACCACTGTTCTGGAAAATATACCTGGGATAAAAGGAGAGTTTTAAGGCGCCGTTGGAGAAAACGGCGCCTTTGGTTATGGTGCGTCTACGGACGCTTTTTTGTATATTGCCTAGCTTGCTATGCAGATCTTGTGACGTCAATGATACCACTAAGCAATTTTGCTTCGATCGCAACTGTATTTGGTCCTTTTTCCGCAAGGATTTTGCAATCTATGATCTCCTGGCTTCAATTTTCAGAATATTTATGGCGCATGTCTTTCTACGGCTGTTAACTCATCATCTCATGGGGTAGCTGGTCTTGCGAATGTTTACGCTTTGGTCCGTCAATGTGTCATCGCCCACATGGTGACTTGACTAAACCAGGACATTGCCCAGTCATCTTTTGCCTTGAATGAAACCCTGATAAAATTATATAATGTTTGTTATGGTACCTGTTTCCTTCATAGAACATTATTCCTTTGGTGTTAAGAATCCCAAGCTCACTCATGGGCCTTGGGGCTTTATTGGGTGGGCAACTGCTTAGATTGAGCATAGGATTGGACTTTGAAGGGGAAGTAAATTTTAGAACATTTTGAAATATGCACCAAAGATGAGAGCAACCGTTGGTATAGCGACCCGAGATGAAAGAGAAACTGTTAGTCCATGGTATTGCGAATATGAGAACTCTTAAAACCCGGCTTTGAATCTGTAGTCAAATCGCTGTGGAAGTTCCAACACTTGAGCGAAGATGAAGTGATAGTTGTCTTACATGCACAAGACATACGCTTTTCTAGGTTGCTAAGCTTTGCTAGTCGCCTTATGATGCCGACGCCGTTTGCGTTAAGCTTTTCCCCGATCTCATTGGCATAACTATACCAAGCTTGTCTTATTCATTCCTCCAAACAAGCCTTTTTGACTAGCTTACTAGGCAAATCATTGCTCTTCTAATTTCCGTCTTTCACATATACAAAATTACAGTCATTACATTTCACTTACTATACCGGTGCAACTGCTTATCATCATCTAAGAGTGGCAGCATATTGCCGGTTCTATAATATCTCAGGCTGGTTTTCGGCTATTTCAATGACATTCAACCGAGCGGAAAAGACTATTCACCAGGATTGCTCCCTCTAATGCAGACAAAGAGAAAAATGCCATTTTCCAAACTAGAAAGCCTATACCTCCTAGAATGGGGCTTGCAATATGCCCAGTATCTTGTAGGCACAGTAGTTCGCCTAGCACATGCGCTAATCAACATCCTTCTGCATTGACAGTGGCTGTGCCTCCGCCCCGACGTATCGGATTGACCAATCCGCTTGCTCACGGTCGGCTCATTTGATGTCATGGCAAAGTACAACTGACGTACAAATCCCTCCTTACTTCCCTTTAGACCATGAAGCGCTTCCATAGAATACATCAACAGCAAGTTGAAACGCGCCAGTTTTCTTTGGTTTAAACTTTGGTACAATCTCAAATTGTTACAACTCAATTTACATGAGTCCCTCGCGTTTACATGATGGGCAAGAGCAAGATGAAAAGCCTCCATCGTACGATCAACATCTAGCAGAATCAACTCTAATTGCGTCATCGTCCGTCAACCCTCCGGATTTATGGAGATCGCGTGCAGCCTCCGTCAACCTTGGCCGCCCGGGTCCGAGTGATGACCTCCAACGGGCCATATCAGCGCCGGCAAGAGACGGCAAGGAGAATCCCGGTCCATCAATTGACTCTCAACCGACACTAGATCCCGGTTTGTTGGAACTTCCGCCAGAATACATGCGCCAGGACCCCAATGACCAAGTCTTTCTTCTTCAGCCTCCTTTCATCTCATCGGCGCCGACTGACGCCGGTCCTATGGTTCCTCGATTTCAGCTAGCCCAACTACGCACTAGCACCAACAAGCCTTACAAGCTCCGGCTAAGACGGCTCACGACCAACGAGTGTCGGCGTCTGACGGTACCTGGCAAGGAAAAGGCGTTTATAGAGTTTGACGATGACCTTACGATGTATCTCATCGCCAACACCCATGCTTTATTTCCGTGGTCACTGCCTGAAATCGAAATACGTGGATGCAAAGCTCGTACGCTACCAGGCTTTGTTGAGCTTAAGAAAACCGCTACTTCCTACCAATTTTGGCATATCACAAGGAACGAGGCCAACGACATGCTGAGACCAGAAAACCAACGCAGGATGGAGAAATATGGCTACCATGCCAAAGATGAAATTGCTCGCGAATTGCTATTTGCAGGCGAGACTGTAGCCCTGCTGTCCAAGGACACGAAGTGGAGAGACGGGAATGGAGTTTGCGTCGCAACTGAGTCGAAAGGCAAGATGAGCTTCGTCGTTGACCTCCCTGCCCAGATGAAAGACGCCCTGCTGGCATGCTGGGTCTCGAAATGTTGGCTACAAGGGTCGTTAGATTGGTGACGACGATGCTAAGGCTTGACAGGCGTCGTTGAAAGACTTTTTCTTTTGGCGTTAGTCTGATTAAGACCTGCGTACTAGCTCTCCCGCGGACTGGCTTGTTCCATGTTAACCTCTCCCCGGATGTGGAGGCGCCTAGGGTGCAGGGATCGACCCCGTGCCAAAGAAGCATAGAAAGATGAGACTACCAACGAGACCGTTTTGGTCCAAGGTAACAGAGTTTGACTGGGAAAATGCCAAATATGCATGATCTGAGGCAATCTGATATTAGATGGTAAGATGTTCGCCGTTTTAGAAGTAAGACCTAGGCTTCAATGTTCATCTACACGAAGTCTGCGGAACTCATGATAGGAGAACTAAGGAGGATGAATTGGAAGGTCTATTGTAGATTAAATAAAAGGGTGTCTTTGGAAATTGAACGGACAGATGTTTTTGCTTTATAATCCCTTGATTTTATTCGGCTCGCGCCGTACTCCAAGCAGGAGACTGGTATATTGACCCAAGGTTTATGTTGTATTTCAGAAAGTATGCATATCGCTCCCAAAGCGCCTCCGCCTGGCCAGATACCGTGTACTCGTAGCTCATATCCCGCCGTCTCGGCATGCCACTCCTCGCCGCTCGTCCACCGTCCCCGCCCCCCGTACTTGTTTTCGCTCCTTCCGAGATGATTATCAACCCTCCTCTTTTCTATGATGCACTCAGCCACGTCCACCGTTGTAGTCGGCACCGCCAGCCTTGCGTAACCGCTTGACGATATCGTCCTCGTCGAGATCGCTCTTGTCGCTAGCGTTGACTGTTATGCTGTGATGGGACAGAACATTCTTGACTTCGCTGCTCTCAATGCTCACGCGAGCCTTGCGCATGACCTTTGTGTTCTCGCCGATCCAAATGATAAAGGCGAACTTGACCCGTTTGCTCTCGGCATCGTTGGCGTACTCGACACGCACGTAGGCGTATTGTACCTGCGAGTCGTCCAACTCCGAGGCCAGCTCGGTCAGGCCGCCGGTACCCGTCTTGGTCAGGGTCAAGTTGTTGCCGGCACCGCTGGCGTACGAGATTAGGAGCCATTTAGTCTCGTCCTTGTCGGAGCGGACGGCATCATAGGCCGCGGCGATTTCGGGCGCGTTGAGACCAGACATCGTGACACCTTTTTTTTTTGTGGAGGAGGGATGCTCGGAAGATGGAGGAAGTTGTGTGGAGAATCGAAAGACGGTAAGTCGGGATGATTGCGTAAGAAACGCAATAGGGACGGAGGATAAGACTGGAGAGCGAATCGACTCTAGTCCGGGGTGGTGAAAAGGAAGAGGGTTGATCGTGGAACTCGGTGAGCGGATTCGAATCTCTGGATTGGCGGTGTTGGACGTCGGGAAAGGCGAAACGACCCCGAGAAAGGCCAAGGTTGCATTTCCCTTTCCCACCCAACTACCCCACCATTGAATCGCATCAACCCTAACGAATCAAGCTGGAGGGAGGACTGGAGGGTCTCAGCCGAAAGAGGAGGGGAATTGGTCTCTTTTCGGTCTGGCCTTTGGGCACGGGCCATGCCGTCCAGTTCCGGAGGCTCCGGTCCGATGTCAGCTCCACAACACTGATGACTCAGCACCGACCCTCACCGGGCTTTGAGTCGCCATCCCGGCCGAATTCATGTTTACCTTTTAAAAAAGCCTTCCCCTGATGTGATGTCGATCATGCCATGCCACTTAACCCACTGACTCGAGGCTTCACACTTTCCTTCAATGTTTTATATGAGATGTCCTTAGTCAGAGCCATGCTGCTATTTATTGTGAGTTCTGGAATTTTCCCGTGTTTTTTTTTTTTTCAATGGCTCATCGGTCCTTTACTATTTCCGGAACCCAGCAAGGTGACTAAGCGTTCCTATTCTTTTCTTAGACTTGCAACACCGAGCGTCGTGGACCCTGACCCCTTTTGCCGAGGGTGTGGGCGATCATGCGACAATTATTCACCTCCGTGCCCCTGTAAACAACTGTGCCGACAGGAGTAGTCGTGATGGTGGTCTTCCCAACGTCGTACGCACGACAAATGCTGAGACATAGGCGTCTAACCCAAGCGCGAATAGGCTTGCTGCCCTCAGCACAATCGTAGGCATTGGCGCGTCTCAACTGTGCCCGCCGCTCGGCCCTCTAAGCACACCGCGCCCCCGTGGGGGAACCCGGGAACTGCTAACTTTCTGCTACATAATGCAGCGAGGCATGACATCAAATATTAACAGCTTTGCTCCGATCCCTATACAAACGAAAAATCGAACTAAGTGGCTCGTAATCTCCCTTTTTGATTCCCATCTCCATAATTAACGGGTCCTCGGGGGGTACTTCATCTGCCAAACGCCGCCTGCTGCCGCCACATTTTGAACTTGTCAAGTTGACAAGCTTTCTCGCCAATCTGCCAAAAAAAACTCCTATCCCATCAAAATCTCCGCCGCCAAGGTAGTCCAACAACATGTCAAACGACTTGGCCGGCCAGGCGGGCTGGGAAGCCAACCCGCTGGCCTTCGTTTATCGGCAGGCCGTCATCACCCCTGCCGAGATCCCGATAGAGTTCGACTTGACCGACTGCACACTTATCATGACCGGTGCCAGCAGCGGCCTCGGCTTGGAGGCGAGCCGTCAATTTCTGGAGCGACAACTCGGCACGCTCATCATGGGAGTCCGGAACATGCCAAAAGGCGACGCATTAGCCGAGGGCCTACGGAGGGAGTTCCCAATGGCCCAAATCCAGGTGTGGCATCTTGAGATGGAGTCGTACGAGAGCGTCCGGGCCTTCGCAACGCGCTGTCAAAAGGAGCTGACTCGTATCGATTTCGTGATTCTGAACGCGGCCGTCGTCGCACAGTCCTTCGCTCGCTCCCGAGAGGGCCATGAGATGATGCTCCAGGTCAACTATCTCTCTACAGCACTGCAAGCTCTTCTCTTGCTTCCAATTCTAAAGGATAAGAGGCCGCCGGGTGAGCCGTCACGGCTGGTTATTGTGAGCTCCGACACTGCTTACTGGCACACGCCGGAAGAAGACATGGTTACCGGCTCCATGTTCAAGCCTGCCGACAAGGAGAAGCTATGGGGGTCGGCCAAGAATTACCAGCTATCGAAGTTCCTTGGTCAGCTGTTTGTGGCGAAGTTGGCGACCTACGTTGACCCAGAGCATGTTATTGTGAATATGTCAAACTCGGGACTCACCTCCGGTACAAACATTGTAAAACCGGCGAGCGAGCCCTTCTTCATGGGCATGCTCAAGAAGACACTAGGCCGAAGCCTTGAAGTCGGCGCGCGCAGCTATCTCGACGCTGCGTTGGTGAAGGGACCGGACAGCCACGGGAGCTTCACCTCGGATGGAGTCATCAAGCCGTAAGTGATGCCTAGTCCGACTCATAGTGAATACTAACATGTAATAGATGGCCTGCGGTCATGTACACGTCGGAGGGCACTGGCCTGAGGGAGCGCATATGGACTGAGACGAAAAAGGAGCCAGGGTTCGTTGAGGCCTTTGAAGTAGTCGAAAAGGGCATCTAGTAGAGTGACATATGCCGGTGAAGATGAGGATGGGAAACTGCAATCACCTCACACACCAGGGTCTGCCCAAAACAAGACCGGATGAGCGGAATGAGAAAAGAGCTTGAATGGAGGTTGATGACCTTTAGTTGGGATTTAACTTTATACCAAAAGGTCACGGAGTTGGAAATGCGCTTCTGAGCAGAATGGATAATGATGTACGGTCAGTACAAGAGATGAGAGTATGCTCCGACGATATCAGGAAATAAATGTAAAATTATAAGTCTTAAATCGTGAATAATAACTTTTTTCGCACCATCTGGTCATCGACAGTACATTTTCACAATACAACACTAGTATCTCAGCACTTACAATTTCACATCGCTCTTTTATTCGTCATGTAGTGACTCGTTCATATATCTTGACGTTGAGGTAAAAGTAACGTAAGCTGATAGTATTACGTGTGGACAAATGATGCTGAGCAAGTGTCTTACATGGCGTTAAAATTATTTCTTGCTGGGATGTAATATGAAACCTCGAGGAGCTTTTCTTGTTGTGTAAAATCCATTTCATTCCTGCAGAAAACTCAACACATGAAACAGCCAGATGAACAAAATGATGCTGGGAGTTATAAGACAAACCACCTCAATGGATATATATTCTCATAGAAACAATGTTAGTCAAGGTGTTCCAAGCCGATTGTGCCACTGTTCTTTGTCTTGGGTGTACAATTTCAGGCTCACAACATAACAGGGCAAGTATATCAACAAAGGAGTCAATGTTGTGTCTGTATTGTTTGTATAAGCGTATCGAGGCCCCCATTTACTCTAAAGTAAGGGGTGCTGGTGAGCCGTTTGACAGGTGAAACCTGAGTAGGACAATCGATCTACATCATGGAAGGATGCGACGCAAGAAAATGTGTTAAGATGATTTACCAGTGGCATTGTGAAAGCGTAAAGTTTTGTCAGGAGTGCCTTGGCATGTGCCACTTAACCAAATCATATTAGTCAGTCTAGTGAGTTCATCATGTATTCATCGCCACGAAAGCTTGAAAGAGCCGGTAGAGGGGTTGAGACAAGTTGGGATGAGCTCTCTGACGTGCGAAAGATCCAGTAGCTCTTGGGTACCGGCGATGCCAAATGGAGTTGGATCAACCACAAAACGTCTTATAAACCAGAGATTGACAGACCACGGTATCTATCCAAACGCCTCGTTGGCAAGAAGTTGTGGGAATCTGCTGCAAGGTCTGGAACTCCTGAAATCGACGAGAAACTCGACTGAGTCTTTATAGAGGACCCTAAGCTCGACGAGACCGCATTAGACAACCTCGAGCAGAAGAGTAGGGTGTTTGTACGCACTGAAAGTCTGGATTGCGATCTCGACAAATAAAAACATAACCGCGGCTCGAGATATTTCTTTTCTTCATTCAGGTTGATGAGAGGTCGCTGCAGAGCTTGTTAAGGGACATCAGCTGCCTCGACTAAAAAAATTCACTTTTCACAGAGGAGGATTCCAGGTACATACGAGTGATGTTGTTGGAAAACAGAATTGAATATTGAAATGGTCTGGTCAAAATGACGAACAGTAGAATGCGCATTATATGTCATCACACAATGGCTTATCCAGCTGGCAGCACCATGTCTTGACAGCGTTGGCAACCTGGAATGTGATAGTCCTGCAGGCCTACCTCGGCAATTGTTGTTGCTCAGGGCCATGCCGTGTGAGGTGCTTGTAAAGAAAGAAAGAAGGCCAAGATTGAATAGTTACTTGCGACTTTGGTAGTTGGCATCTGATGCCTTTGATCGAGAGCTATGTAGCACAAAACAACTGCATAGCAAAGGACACACTAAACTACCTACTTCTGTTTGTCTTAATTTGGAGCTCATATTCCTGGCATTGCTCATTATGGGATTTCTGGAAGGAGAAACTGCCATCCGTGAATTAGGTCACTCCTTCCTACAAATGCCGGTGCTTCATTCACTTCACTTTCATTCCATTTTCAACCCAGTTTGTGTCTGTCAGGCAAACAATAATTCCAATTTTCACAAAACACCCACCGTGACAAAAGAATTTCCGTCAACTTTCGCTCCCTTAAACTTGGGATTGCTATTCACCTTTTTGCAGCACTCCTTCCTTGCGTCGAGGAAAGGTTTTCGCAAGCCTTTGTCCAGCTTCTCCCTTTTCACCCTTCACTCCTCTTCACTTTTCTTCCTTCTTCTTACCAACTCAATACATCTCTGAGTATCGTTTTCCCTCTCACAAAGCCAGGCCAAAGCTTTTACCTCGTCAATATTGAACGGAAGACGCAAGAAAAACCAAGGAGATGGACGCGCATATGCCTTCCGTGAAGGGCATCTGCCGCGGCATACTCCAGTTCGTCACATTTGCTCTGCTTCTCAGTATCTGCCAGGCCCAAATCAGCGGTAAGTATCTGTTCAACATTGTTTCGTCCTTTAAGCTTTCTAACATTGTTATTTACCCCAGATTACAATCGAGACCAAAATGATCAACTTCCCGCCCGAGCGTTGTCCTTGAAGCAAGATGAGTTCAGTGCTCCCCAGATCGCCTCTGAACGTCAAAATGGTCGTGTTGTCACCAGCATTGTGACATCCTACATGCTAGTTACTCTGCCTTGTGATGTCTCTGAGCTTCCCTCATCACTTTCCTCTCTCCTTCCAAGTCAACCCGGCTTGTCTCTTCCAATCTCAGGAGGAAACTTCTCGACAAGCGCTGAAAAGGCAACAAGCTTCCAGTACAGCAATTCGGTGTCTATTCCTCCCAACGGAGTTTTAACCTCGTCCTACATTTCCCTTGGCACGACTCTGATCAGCTCGACCAGGTCAGTCAGCCCTAGTACACCATTTTCGATTCCTGCATCCCGAAGTGACACTTGGACGAGCAAAACAAAAGCTGCTTCCCCAAATCCTGAACCTGGACGATCCAGTCATTTGCGTGAGAGTCAAGATACTTCAATTATTCCTGAAACCAGCGGTGAGATCTCCTCAACCCAGTCTCACCATGATAAGGACACTGGTACAGGCACTGGAATTATTTTGCCCACTGGAACAATTGCACCGAGCGGTGGCCGTGTTTCCACCAGTGTTCTCCAAACAGATCCGTTGTCTTGGGCGAGTTCGTCCGAAACCTCGTCTTCCATCAAGAGATCCTCGGTTTCTCAAACCATCTCTCTCACGTCTGCTGCTCAGCCGAGAAGCAGCATCACGGCAGTTCCTGTATCAACCACCTCTGGCACTCTTTCATCATCAGAAGCCCCCGAATCCACGGTGCTACCATGGACCGCCACAATTCCGCCCCCAGAAGGTGTTGAGCCTACGACATCAGTTACATGGTACTCCTCAGACCACAAGTCATCCACGACAAGAAGCGACGGCGTCATTTTGCCCATCATAATTCCTGTTTGGGTTTGTGGTCCCTGGCAGATTCTTTGCAAGCCTGACTGCATCATCCCATTTCTGTTCTGCGGAGATGTCAGCAGTCCAGGACCTCTCGGTTTCCCGTGGGCTAAGGTAATGTTTTAAGATTCCCCTTTCATATTTTTCTGTGTAGAGTTGATTTCGATACTAACTTTGACGCCTAGCCCCCGAAGCTCCCACCCAAGCCCAAGAAGCCAACACCAGCTAATCCTGAAGATCCGGAGCCTTCCGAGACAAAGAGCACATCGTCCGAATCGTCTTGCACACTCACATCCACAATTTCGCCTCACTGTGACCAAAAGTGTATCGTTGCCCCAGCCACAACGATTGGGACATCAACAAGCTGGACAACGGAATGTTTTGACGCTACCTGCAAGCCCACCGTCGTTCCGTGCAGCAAGACCATCGAAAAGACGACGACAACAACATACTCCACACAGACTTCTCAGCCGTCGGAGTACTTTTGCGGCGCTCGCGACAGCTTTTGCTTGAACTGCATTGACAAGGCCAAACTCGCTGCTCGCCAAGTCGATAATCCAGTGCACCCGAAGCCTGAGCCCGGCGATTACGACATTTTGGATGGACCAAAGGGACTCACCCATCCAGACACCTGGCCCGCGGGCCCAGACGATTGGTATCGGCGCATGTACCACCTTCACAGAGGGTATTGTGACGGCTTGATAGAGGAACGAACACTATCAGACGGAACTGTGGTGAAAATGGGAAAGTCCACCATGAAAGCTGAAGAATTTGGAAGTGAACCATTGTTGGGTGGCACAGGTCCATTGTGGGGATGTAGCGCCCTTCTCATCATCACCAATCACGGAATTTACACCAGCCACAACTGGGAGATTCCAAACTTCCAAGACGGACCTCCACTTGCAAACGGTCAACCTTCTTATCCTGGTGTCCATCATGAAGAAGAATTCGAAAGAGGAGTGCTTAAGTTTCTGAAGGAAGGAGGATGGGGCTACCCAGGAGTTGAAGAGATCAAGAAAAACACTAAAATATTTCAATCAGAGCCCATCAAGATCTTCATCTTCACACCATCTACCTTCAGAGGCAAACATTGGGGCGGCCACAAGCCCCCTACCACGGAGCCAGATGAATGGGCACACTACGGCAAGATTGCGGAGTGGACGGACTTCATGGGAGAGGAGTACGGCTGGTTCCTGGACTTTGACGTACAAGGCTATCTCAAAGGCCCCAGTCATTGGGCCAACTACTACGAGGGTATGACGAATCCGATGGATAACTATCAACCTCCTTGGGGACTTGTTCACTGGCGTTTCCATCATCTGAATGTCCGTGAGGTCGATGGCAAGGAAATTAAACAGCCCTGTCTTCAGGTCTGGTACGAAACCCACATGCTTTGGGAAAACTGTTGGAGCCATCTCTTCCCTCCAGCCTCACCGCCACCCTTCAGTTTGGGATTTTCAGTGTCTGCGTCTCTTGCACCTTCAGCAGATAAAGGTGGAAGCGGCACAGCCGGCCCGGTCCCACAACCGACCCCTATCAACAACACATCGACCGCCACTTCTAATCCCGCTTCCTCATCCTCCAAAGAAAAGATCGTTGTCGTCGTTACAGCCACTGCAACTGAAGTTGTTACCGAGTGGATTGATACCACGACGACCATCGTTGAGGGGAACAGACACACTGGAAAGTGGCGCTCGGGTGGTGATATCGAGAGCCGAACCCGTGGTACGACGACAACTGCCTTACCCAACTCAACGCCCAGCAATCGTAAACCCTCCAAGCGAATTGTTCGACTGGGGCAGCAAATCATCTACAAGGGCCCCAAGCACAAAGCGCTTATCGGCGTGTATGAGGTCGATAGCAGTGGTGAAGAGAAAGTCATATTTGCAGGCGGCGACTATGACAATGGCGGCGCAAAAGATCTGCCCAGCACGTTCAACTTGAAGGATGACAAGGGCGGCGAGCTAAACATCAAATTCGACAAGGGATTATATATAATCTACTTCGAATCCAAGCTAGGTGATCAGGTTCGCACTTGGACGAGCATCTCGGCCAAGAACGCGAATGATCCTGGAGCTCCCTGGTGCGAGCAGGTCGACACTCAAGCTGAGGCAGTAAGTTTTGATTGAGTTTGTATTTTCCATATTGAATGCCGAAGCTGACTGTTGATCCCCGTAGGACAAAACCGTGCGTGCCATCAACTGTTGGTGGACCATTTGAGATGCATACTGCACACTTGTTTTCTGGCCACAAGTGGCCTCCCCGACGTATTTCGCTGGCCAATTTTTAGCTCAGGGTGTTCTTTTGAAGCTTGCATTGGCAAACGCAAGCTCTGAGTGACACTAGCCTAGAACACCAAATACATTCTTTTCATCATATGCTTTGCTTCTCTGATTGTTGAAACACTTCTTTGCCTAACTCGTATTTTCGGGATAATACAAAGGTGTTGATCTTGTGGCTGGTACTTTCGGTCTTTATCCCCATAAGCCAGGTTACCCTATGCCGTGGTGGCTCGGGAATGTAGTGGACGAGAAATAGCGCCTTAAGAACGCGTCAAGCTAATTCTCAATCCATCCATTAGTTCAGGGCCTAGTAGTTGGGAAACTTGAGAGAAACAAAAATCTACGTCGTCTGCCAAGTTGGCTGCTACAATTCGACTGCATTCACAATGCTTGAATTCTGAGTTGTGGAAGCACCGTCGTCAGATATCTTATTTTATACCACTCTGAGGTCTAACTCCAGTTTACTGAGGTACCTAGGCAGTCTTTATCAATATTGATGTAATAAATCTTGATGTTTTAATGTCCTTTCGCATCAAATATGACAAATTCTATAAGTTCTTTACCGCCCGCATTCCTATTTCGAGTCCCCTCTGCATTTGTGGTAGCAGGACACAAAACAAGAAAATTGGGTCTCGCCATCGAAACAGGTCAACAATCCACGATCAAGTTATGGAAGGATTACCCTACAAGTCTTTCCTCTGGGCTCAATCAGCATGATATTATCAATTTCCATCGACTCAGGAGTCGTAGCAGGAGATAACCTGGCGCCACTGAACTTGCGAAAGAACAGGACAAGACCGTAGCGAAGCTCCATGTATGCCAAATGTTTGCCAATGCAGACTCGAGAGCCCGTGCCGAATGGTGTGTAAACTGCTCTAGCAGCCTCAGATTTCGTATACTCTCCGCCTGGCAGCCATCGAGAGTGGTCAAAGCTGGGAAACCGTCAGCAGTTTGAAATTTACTGCAGAGGTGATACGCACATGTCTGGATTACTAAAGATTTGGGGATCCCGGTGCAATGTCCAAGACTGAGTCGCAACAATTGTACCGGCAGGAAGTCGGTAACCTCCAAGCTGACTGCCTCCAGGAGGAACAACCCTAGGCACAGGCGTCGGTGCCGCTCCATATAGGCGAAGAGTCTCTTCAAGAACAGCATGTAGAATGGGGAGCTTTTCCAAATCCGCATCATTGTAAGGCTCCTCAATACCTATTAGTTCAGCTTCCAGGGCCTTTTGCAACTCTGGTCGGGATAAGACAGCCCAGATCGCATATGTCAGTGTATTTGAGGTAGTGTCGCTACCAGCAACCATAAAGGATGCCGCCTCCACACAAATTTCCTCGTTTGTGAGTGAACCGTCGTCTTTCTCGGCTTGACTCAATACCTTTGTGAAAAGGTTCGCGTTTTGAAGCGTGGTGGTTTGCTTGCTGTTCTCAACGGCGATGCGACCTTTGTCTAATAACACCTTGTGCGAGCTGAACATCCTCAGTCCCCCAATGATGGGCAAACGCTTTGCTACTGCATAGAAGCGGGGAAAAGACAAAGCTGCAAAGGCGGCGGAAATTGCGATGTTTAGATCTTCAAACCAAGGGTCTTCCTACAAATAGCGTCAGACTGTGTGTAGAACCAGCTGGTGATTATTCGAGAGATTGGAGTTTACCTTTCCGGTTTTCAGTGCATCGAAGGATTTTCCAAACATCAAACGTGAAGTAATATCGGAAGCCATGAAAACCCACCATTTACGGATGTCAACCTCGCCGTTTGCAGTCTCAGCATCGTGCCTCATGGCCTCAATTGCAATTGAAACCTTTTCACGGACCATATCTTCCCAGTCTCCACGAAGTGATGAAACTGTGAAGCCTCTTCCTAGGAGCTTTCTTCTCTGGGCATGGTCGTTTGTATCGGTCATCTGGAATAAACCATATGGGGGCTTTCCAGCTTCGGTTGGGCCAAAATAATGATAGTAATCGGCTTTCCTAAAGTGACTTCCAACCTTGTGGATCGCCTTAAAGGCATCGACATCGGATACGAACACTTTTTCTGGGGCTACCCGCACATAAGGTCCATACTTTTGGTGGAGGGCGTGGTAATATTGGACCCCTTGTTTTTGGAGAGTTGCGACGGTACCAGGAAGCTCAGTAAATCGAGCGTACCATGGGCCGGGAACGACATTCAGAGGATTAGTGAAAGCCTCGTAAGAGTTAGCATCATCTATATAGCGAAAACTGGTTCTTTAAGCATGCCTTGTAAAATTTGATGAGAAGGTAAACTGCTAATGACGCGACAAGTACGGGGGGAAGACTTGAAAACATTTTGTAATGTCGTGTATGCTGTCGTAGGGAAAGACAGCGTCCGCGTGAGATGGCTAGGGTTAATGCAAGACTCGTCGGCCCTGAAATTAGTATGTTTTAATAGAAACAACTAATCCCCTTTATAGGTAGCGGACGATTGATAGTCGGTAGTCAGCAGTCAGCCCCCGCATTGCCCCGGACTTTTACACCCGTAAGACGACCGCTGTTATCCCGAGTAGCCTAGTCATATTCCGGGTTCCCGATTGCGATAATGGTAAATCGGCGGAGAGATTCCATGATTTCCATTGATTTGTGCTTGCAACCATGCCAAGACTTGCCACATCACTCGGACTTACCTTCAAGGCGCGAGATCGCGAGCGACGGCACCACTAATATCGTACGTCATTGAGACCTTAGCACCCTGATACTACACTTGAATGCTTTTTCCCTTTAATATTACTGATCATGAGAATGCCTACAGAGTATCTAAGTGTGGTACTGCATGTTTTTGAAAGAATAAGCGCATAATTGGCCCTCCCATCCTCGCAGACGCGTGGTCAGCATGCTGGGGCCAGGAATATCGAGAGCATTTTCACCGGCAAACACTGACATGTGATAAGTTTTATTTCCTTCCCTTTTACCCATCCCTCTTGTCTGCTCGGCGGAATCCCCTGACGGAACGACGCGCCCCGGGGCTGTCGCTTAGGGTAAAGGGTACAGGGGAATGAAGACAAAAAGGACTGCCAAGTACACTAATTCTGATCCCTTCAACAGGGGTTTACGAGGACGCACACATTTACTTTACATATTCTGGTATCACTGTTACAAAAAGCGACAAGCTACGGCAGATTTTTTTTTTTTTTTTTTTGCAGAGATATTCTTTAAAAATTTACAATAGATCCATAAAAAAAAGGCTCAAACCCCATCTCTAAAAGGTTTCCGCCTGTTTATTGTTAATTTACAGTTTATCTCCACTGTCCTTAACACAACCCGCCAAGCGAAGAGCCTGTGGCACATAACTCAAACAAGTTTAGCCTGTCCATTGTTCACTGCAAGCTCGACGCCCTGAATTACGAGATCCGGGCGAGACAAGAAAGGCGAATGTGAGGTATTGGCATAAAAGGTAGTATACCCGTGAGTGAAACGCGCGGCCATGGCCTCTTGGGTGGCCGGGGGAATGGCTTGGTCCTGCTGGCAGTGGAAGTACATAACTTCGATACCCTCGTTCCAGGGCTCATAAGTGGCGGGGTCAGAAAAGACGCGCTTCGATTGCCAACTCAGATCTGCGATGGCTTTGGCCTGAAGTCCGGGGTCCACATCGGCGTAGAGGACTTTCTCGGGCGTCTCCGCATGAACCTTGTCGCCCTATGCGTGTGTTAATCTTCTTCCTTGTTTTGGCTCTGTAGCGCATCACTTACATCGACTCTCATATAGGGCGGGAACTCTCCGCCGAGCAAATCCAAAAGACTAGTAGCATCAGGCAGCGCAAAGGCGCATAGGTACACCATCATGATGACTCCGCCTGTCTGGTTGTTGGCAGCACGCTGCTGCCATCCTAGACCTGGGATTGCGTTGCTACTAGCCAGACCGCCGTAGGAGTGTGCGACTAGAACAATCTGCTTACCCTCGTTGGCCAGGGCTTGGAGAGTGGACCGGACTGCCGCAGCATCGTCCTCCACACCTACGGTCGGAGGTTCAGCGCCGACGGAAGGAAGAGTTACTGCCTCGGAGTCGTAGCCTTTAATCATAAGACCGGCGCGGACGATATCGAAAGCTTGAGGTCCGTGCCAGGCGCCTGGAGTGAAGACAATTGTAGGCAGCTCCGCGTGTGAGAGGCAAGCAGCCGATGCCGCGATTGCTGAGACGAGGAGGCTGGCGATTTTGGGCATCATTTTGTTCCGAGTAATGTCAGTCGATCAATGAATGGATACACCGTTTTTAAGGAGGCGAAGTGTTCCCTTAATATTGTTCAAGGGATATTGGGTAACGGCTGATAGATTTCGATAATAGATTTCGATGACGAGCAGGACGCAGTCAGACTGGAGCCAACGAATAACTCACACACTTCAGAGGATAGGCGAAAGGAAGGGAACCAGTCGCATGAAGCCATGAAGAAGTTAAGAAGCTGGGGCAACGAGAAGCGATGAGCTGGCTTTATCTTATGAATTAGATCATTAAGCCAAAGACCATTTATTGTCAAGGTACATATTGCCTACGCCACACTATGTCACCAGCTCTACCCTCAAAGGAAGTTTAAGGTCGTAGAATGGTACTACAATTGGGATTTTCTTCAGTGTAGACCAATTTGTCATCATTTATGGGGTGACTTTCAACCGCTTTGCGATCAAACGCCGTGCTCGGTGTTTGGGATCGTGAACGTGCTACCAAGAAGACAAGGGCTCTTACTCGCCGTCGTTATTGATATTACGGCCCCTAACGCTAAGTTACCCAATGGGCCTATTCGTACCGTCGAAAACCTGATTGTCGCCCCTCGCTTGTCGAGTCAGTAACCACAACTTTGTTCATCCGGGTGGGGTGTTTGAATGATTGATATCTGAGGGCTCTGGAGATGTTACCGACCTCGACGTCAGAAATTTGCTCTATTCTCAGCGTGGGGCAAGGTCGCTGACAAATTTCCATCTCCTCAAGAATTCTTTCCAATTCGAACCCTTAGAAATCGCTATTTCTATGACGATGAGGTATCGGTACTAACTTCTTTCTTGGTCAAAATAGACGTTGCCGACGTTGCGGCATTTGAAGCCCATTTCCCGGCAAAGCGGGCCCTACCTTAGAATCGAGTAGCAGCACTACGCCGTCGCTCGTTCTGTGACGATCTTTATCCGTCTTTAGATGTTGTTTTACAACAGATAATTTGTTTTCCACTACTTCCCAATAACCAATGAAGAGAGTTGGCCCGGTGCCTCACGCAAGTGGGCATTACTGCTTTGAAATACTACGCGCCCACCGTAGGAGGTATTTGCACACCAGCGAGTAAGACATATCTTGTGAACCCTATGTCAGCGATGTTTAAACATAAGGAAAATGACGGCAGTTTCCGTCAGAAACTAATTCCCTGATATGCTCAACATTGAAAAATGTTGTTTATTGATCCACTGGCCAAGAAGTTTGGAGAGAGCTGATTACTGAGGTTACTATTGAAACTTTTGCTGTTGTTAGGCAGAATGTTAAGAGTAAGTGTATTATTATCAAGAGACTGCAAACACTCGTAGCGCGTGCCGTTCGCCAGAATTTATCGATTTCTGATATCTCAATCATTCAAAAAAGGATATCTTATTTGACCAGGGGGCCTGCGCTGGCAACTCGTAGCGTTAATGGGAACACTACGAAAAGCATGATTGATATCAAGCCAAAAAAACATACAACACCAGGTATTCGCTGGTCGTCACCGACCCAACTACTAATCCGGCCCTCACTGGCTTATCTATGGGAGAGCGGACGGGATCCCGAGTTTTCCAGTGGGTATGGTCGTATGTGCTAAGGCGAGCGATTGTAGTTGATTATATGGTGGCGTTTCTATTTTGTTGGAGTGTGAATTTGTTTAAAGAAAGTATGTAGTTATTTACAACGATGCCAATTTTGTATACGTGATTCTTTAATATGTACTGCCTAAGATATCTCGTCTAAAAATAGTCTGCTCCAAAGTCCTCGATAACGCTTCTAGGCTCAGTGTATTCCCCAACTCCAACAAATGGCATATCCAAACCGAACGCTTTTGGTCCTCCCACCGGCATACCCTTCTCAGTCTTCCACAATGGATGGGCAGGCAAGGCAATGACATTGACCCGCAAGCCATATCGCAGGTCCTGCGACCCAATAGCCTCCCCATCCTGACCGAGAATTGAAATGAGGTCCGGCACAGTGCAGACAACGTTTTGATCTTTGTCTGAACCCCCTGAATCCGTAAGAGCGGCATAAAGGTACTCATTTTGGAAAGGAATAAGCATGTGACGATCGTCAGGGGATGAATTCTGAGCATCAGCCTCGCGGTCCTCGTCTCCCAGAGGAGCAAGAAGAACACTGCCCATCGTATAGCCCCCGCCGACATATCGCCTGACATCAACAATCTTTCCGGTGAACAGGAGCTTTCCAGCACATACATGAAACTAGCAGAATAGGTTAGAGACTTCCCCAGTCCGTAAAGAAATAGTGAAAGACAGATTTTGGGTTGATGATCACTCACAATTGCGTCGATGTAATTCGACTTTCTTCTGCGCGCCATGTGGACTGCCCGTCCAAGATACCACGCCTGGGAGAGTGTATTCGGAACGCCGTGGGATTTTATAGCTGACCCGGGCAGCGGTCTAGCGCAAACAGCACATCCAAGACCGAGTTCTATTGCGGCTGTGCGCAAGAAGCGTTCCAGTCGAATGGGCGTGTCTGTGTCCTGTTTCTCTTTCTTAGCAGACGGCAACTATGACAATGGAAGGAGTAATTTACCATGACTATCGAGACGTTGCCCCTTGCGTCAGAGAGAGCGCAAGGTGTGAGCGGGTGGCCGTATACGCTCAAGGTGGCTTTGAGGTGGAAGCATCAGTACTGGTCTCGGACGTGTGATCTTCATGGCGTGGAAATGCCTTACCTTGGTACATGGTAGGGTATGCCCTTCCCATAGCATCGCCATCCACAACGGGGATGTCATAGTGAACGCCTGTTGGGAAGACACTCAGACCATTTCCGCCTCCACTGTGTTTCGTTAGCCCAATCCTAAGTTTTCTTGGATACATTCAACTTACATTTCGTCAATGAAAATGCCATCAAGAGACTTGTTCCCCAGGACCTTGGTCACCGCGTCAATACCCTTGGCAATCTCGGTACCTCCCGCAATTCTCTCGTTGATTACGCTTGGTGTGCCGTACCATGATCCAAAGCACACGATATCGTCATCCTTCAAGCTCTTGGGGGAGATGATTCTCATCTTGCCTGCCTCACTCGTCCGAAGCGCTTGTAGACTCTTAAGGAACTCATGGTGCGTCGGCCCTCCACCGCCAGTACCAAGAACACCACACCCTGTAGAAATCAACTCAAGATCAACCTCTGAAACGTACCACACAGAGCCCTTCACATTTGGTCTGTAAGTATTGAGGTCGACCTGAAGTGAGGGTCTAGTAGTGGGCTTCAAGGCATCTGGAACACTCTCCTTGGGACCCTCGTCGTCCCGTTGTTCCTCCATTACAGTGTCGATGTTCTCAGGGGAGAACTGCGGGTTCTCAGGTACACTGAGCTTACCAACGGCTCTCACTTGGATTCTCATGGCGCCGTTGTCGACGTATTGCAGCGGCATCTTGTTAACCTCGACAATCCGCACGTCTTCCGCTGCAGCACCCTTCTGAATGGCCAAGTCAACTGCTTTTTGACATGTCGCAGCTACAACAGCTTTCTCGTCCTTGCCCTCCAAGATTTCAATAACGTCTACCTCTCCAGATATTTTGCCTATCGCTGCGCCGACTGCGTTTGCAGCGCCCTGATGTATAGGTTGGATGCACTTCTCCACGCCGTCAAGGTCTTCCGTCACGAGAAGCGCACCTCCGCCCACAAGCAGAACATGGACCGGTGCAGCCGAGACCTTCATCTGCTCAATCACGCCCTCCAGCATGCTCTTGATTCTGTTCCGCGCCTTGTTGATAGTTGTTGTAGGAATATCCTTGATGAGGTTTGCGTCTCCCAGCTGAGCCTTGCCCGAGGCTACGACAATGTCAGTGGCAGTCAGAACCGGACCACCAAACACTCTCGCCTGCTCGGTGAGAAAATGGCCTACGGAACCTGGTCCGACAATCACGTTTCCACGTTCAGAATCGATCGTCACTTTGCTGCCGCCGCCGAGGCCGATTGAGACGACTTCTGGCATGGAGAAAGCCGTCCTAACGCCGCCGACCTCGACGAAGCCTGGCGCTTGGCGGGGAAAGCCAGAAGGCAGAAGGGCGCAGACGTCAGTTGTTGTGCCACCAATGTCCACGACAAGTACCTGGGGTTCCAGTGACTTTTCAACCGAAGAATCTGATGGGTCCGTGGTCATGGTCTTGATTTTATCTAGGCCGGCAAGGAAGGCTGCACCGGTCATACTGTTCGTCGGTCCGCTGGCGAACGTCTTGATAGGATACTCAGCCGCCGCATCAGCGTCGATGAGAGTGCCGTCGTTTTGGGATAGATACAGAGGACAAGCGAGCCTTAGACGAGCCATAGCCCGCTTGAAGCCATTTGTGACCTTTCGTGCCGTCCCGAGGATGGCAGCGTTGAGAATTGTGGCGTTCTCACGCTCCAGGAGACCCGGCGGGCCGATGTCATGGGAACACACAACATCAAGCGCAGGGACCTCCTCTATGATGATCTTCTTGCACGTCTCTTCGTGGATACCGGCGTGATCTAAAGGTGCAAAGACTCCAACGAGAGCAACTGACTTCACACCAGACGCCGCAATGTCTCTGGCAGCCTGTCTGATCTGCTCATGATCTAACGGCGCAATTTCGCGGCCGTCAATCTCCAACCCGCCGTCGAGGTAGTATACACCTCCATCCAGAATACGGTGCAGGCCGGAAGGAAAATCCGAGAAAGGAGGGATCTGTCTTGTGAAGGGACCACAGAGCCGGACAACAGCCACGCGGCTCAGTCTCCGCGTGTCAGCTTCAACCAGCGCATTGATAAAGTGCGTCGTGCCTATCGTCACACCGAGTACTCTTTTCTGGTCGACAGCAGATTTGCTAAGCACCTCTCTGATGGCTGCTTCAATGCCACTGGTGATATCGGGAGTCGTTGAAGCTTTGTGAGAGGCAAGAACGCCGCGGTCAGGGGTGTCGGCGGCGGTGATGTCCAAGATCGCCGCGTCGGTATTGGTTCCGCCGACATCGACGCCGATGCGGTAGAGGGACATTGTGTCTGATGGTACGACTCTGAAGTTGGAGGGATCGTATCCTGTGGCCCTTGAGGCACGATTCTGGTGTTTGCCAATTTTCTATGAGGGCGCAGAGCAATCCTTATCAGTTATAACAGGACTTTTCATACTGGTCGGTCGACCGTAGAAATAAGTTGTCACGATGTTCTGGACTTGTAGCATCGCCATCTCCTTTGTAGATTAGATCGGGGAACTGTTGGCGTACTACGGTAGCATTGTCGCTGTGTAAGTGGAGATGAAGCATCCAATTGTACGACTGGTCGGTCAACTCACCCCGTCCCCATGCAGTCAGAAGTTGGCCGATCTTGGCTCCAAAAGTGATCGGCCAACCTGAAATGCGACCAGGGCGACCCCGGCAACCTTGCCAACCCCTCCGGCTCGGCAGATAGATAACAAATCCTTTGACGGAGGATGTTAACTCACGGGTATGACAGGCATGCCTCTTAGCGTGGGTGATTGAAGCGACCCAACTCCGAGATAAAGATGCCGACCGAGGCAGCTTATATGACATTGAGTCAGCCGCGACCCGGCATTTCCAGTTGAATTCGTTTTTAAAGAACGACTGGATCACACTGCTGCATCGCTCGCATTGTTCTGGCGCAGCAAACAGGACTCCATCAGTCATGGGGTTACGGACCATCCTGCAGCGTGTGGAACTTCCCTTTGTCTCGCGATGGATTGTACGTTTTCTACCCTGAATCGACGCCACTCCCTCGAACCTCGATTAGAATGACTAATAAGTGTGTCAACGCGGCAGAACGATGACATCCGACCCATTGAGTCCAAGCGACGGACCTGGGGCTTACTGATGTTCCACAACTTTTGTAGGTTGCAGATAGGTATTGTGACAAACTTGAGAACTAACCCCTGAACAGGGCTGCTTGTCAACTGCAACATCACCACCTACCTCACCGGCAGTGCCCTCATCCCACTTGGACTGACGTGGTGGCAGGCGTTCATATGTGAGGGATGGACTAGAGTAAGCCTCACAGCAGGTGGGCTGACGTTCCAACAGGCATTGTTCTTGGTAACCTCATCGCGACTGGAGTCGTCATTCTCAATTCCCTACCGGGAAGCTATTATCACCGTATGCTCGCATCATCCCAAGTCATATCGCCTCTCGAAGAAGCTGACATCAATCAAAGTCGGCTTTCCTGTCTACAGTCGAGCAGTATGGGGCATGTGGGGGTCCCAATTCACCATCTGGAATCGTATCTTTCTATCCCTAGGTAAGTCTCCTTCTTGACCCAGGGTTGCCCACTCAAGTTAACGAATATGTCACAGTCTGGTTCGCTCTTCGATCTTTTCTTCAATACATTGAGCAATTCTAACAACCGCCTATAGGTACGGCTTCACGGCCTGGGTTGGCGGAGAATGCATCCACGTCATTCTCCTCTCCTGGGACCCCCGTCTCGAATCCCATATCCCCAACACGATGCCCTCAGATACCGGCATGACGACCGCCCAGTTCGTGTCCTACATAATATTCTGCATCATTAGCCTTCCCGTCCTCTGGATTCGCCCCCACCGCCTCGAGAAGTTCTTTCGTTTCGCCTGCTCCATCACCTTCGTCTTCTTTACCGTCCTCCTCATCTGGGCCCTCGCAACAATGGGGCCTTCCGGCTTCGGCAATACCATAACATCCGGCTCAGCGCTACCTAATACGGGAGGGCCAAAAAGTGTGGCGTGGCTCATGGTTTATGGCATCGTCTCGACAATCGGTTCGATTGCGGCTGGTATTCTGAATCAAAATGACTACTCGCGCTTCGCGACACGGCCGAAAGACGCCATCATTGGCCAAGCGATTTCGTTCCCATTCTACGGAATCTTCAGCTCATTGATTGGGATTCTTGTCACGGCGGCTACGCAGCACCGCTTTGGAGGCGAGGCTATCTGGAACCCGCCATCGCTGTTCGCACAGCTGCTTGCTCAGAACGAGACTGCCGGCACACGCGCGGCGTGTTTCTTTGCGGGATTGTGTCTGGTCATCTCACAGATTGGCGTCAACGTGCCTGGTAACGCGTTGGCGGGAGGGTTCGACTTGGCCGCTACGTTTCCGAAATATCTCAACATTCGTCGGGGCGCCTACATTACGGCAATCTTTAGTATCGTTGTCAACCCCTGGCGTCTCGTTAACACTGCCACGACTTTCTTGACCGTGCTGTCTAGCTACAGTGTTTTCCTCGCACCAATGACGGGTCTGATGATTTCCAGCTATTTGGTCGTCAATAAGAGGAAGATCAATGTTGATGATTTGTATCGCGGTGACTTAGAGAGCATATACTGGTTCTCTTACGGATGTAATTGGAGAGCACCTGTAGCGGTAAGTCCTTCATGGCCAGTTTCGAGATGTCTGCTAAACCATCACAGTGGCTCGTGGGTGTCATTCCATGTATGCCTGGTTTTGTCGCTGCTGTAGATACTTCGTTTACGGTAACCGATGGGGCGACGGAGCTATACTACATGTCTTACATGTACGGTCTTTTATCCAGCTGTGTCGTCTATGCCGCTCTCCATAGAGTGTTCCCGGCCAGGAATCTTGATTCCTTCGTCAAGAATGCCCCTTCTGCTAGGGAACTTCAGGAGTTCCATCTTGGAAGATGGGATATTACTCTCGCTGAGACACCCAATGTGGTGGATGCATGGCCGGAGCAAGGGGGAAAGGCAGGCAATACTGTTTCTGCTACGAAGGAAGATGTATAATTTTAATTGTGTAAACTTGTCGTATCTATGGCGGTGTTTTTTCTATTGAATTGATGCTTTTGATCCCACACATGAATGATTTTGCGTTTTGCGATATATCTACCTTGCTGTCATCTTGATATTAGGACATACCAGTTCCAGACTATGAAGTTGCCAGACGGTGTTGACAGCGCCCAATTTCTCCAAATCTTCTCATATATAATTGAATTTCTTCTTGTACCCTTCCTCTTCAGTTAGAGCATCATAAGATTTCGCGATTAAACCAAAGATAGAGCACGAAATATGAATCACGATGCCTGTGGATATCCCAACACGGACCTTCGCCTTACATTATCGGATGCACTAACAATAACAATACAGGCCTGTTATCAGCCCCACTCATCGGCAAACTGGACCCTGAGCCATCGGCCAACTTTACCTCCCCCGGAGTTCCATTCGGCAAACAACCACACAAACCCCACGATCTCGGAAGCTTGCCCCTTGAATAAGTCATGCCTCCAGATGGGACCCCGCGTGACACGCGACGACGCAAATTCCAGGTCCAGAGCGATTTCGGTAGCGCCAGGCAGTGGAGAAGTCGAAAGAATAGGCCTTGCGATACTTGCCGAAAAAGGAAGACGGTCTGCGTCATCACGTCTGTCCCTCCATGTGGGTATCACAATCACCTTTGTAATCATTTCTCGAGACTATAGGAACACAAGTAACAGAAACTAGGTCTTTTCTGCAAGGGCCGAGGCCTTGAATGCAAATCATCAGCGCCTGGTGCAGCCCCTTCATCCTCGGCATCATCCGGTCCCGAGAGGACTTCACAACCCGAGAACGAAGTTGCCCGAGAGTCATCTGTACCAGGGTCTAGACAACTTGAGAGCCCCTCGACACCTGCCTTGGTCATTTCCTACGATGGCAATGCTTCAGAGGAGGGAAACTCCAGCTTCACACCCCATGATCCACCCTCACATCACCCCAACCAGAACGCCGGAGCACATCATCTCCCCGTCTCGTCTCCATCCGTAAGCACCCCTCGCCCCGGGCCCAACGGACTATGGACACTAGACGACAACGTGAACCGAACGGCGCACAGCATGGGCCCGGCAGCGGAGCAGGATACCCACCTCCTGGACTCCATCCGGTCCGGCATCCTCAGCAGTCCGGACGACGTCGACGCAGACATGATTCAAGTCTACGCAGGCAGCAAGTACCCCTGGGACCCTCCGGTCCACTTCTGCCTTCTCCAGGACGAATTCGCGAAACACGACGACGCCGCAAAGAAGGCCGCTTCGCGCGCCGTGGAGGACCTGGTCGGACCATACGGCCCCATCCTCGTCCGGCTGTACTTCAAGCACGTCCACCCCGTCCTCCCGATCCTTTCCAAAGTGAGGTTCCTAAGACAGTACGCCGCCGACAAGACAAAACTCCCAGCGTCACTACGGGGGGCAGTCTACGCCCTGGCTTCCGTCTCTGGGAAAAGGGAACCGTCATTGAAGGGTCCCTTTCCGTTCCAGCAGCACCAGCTCGCGGACTACGCAACGGACTCTCTGCAGCGAGAACTCGACGCTCCTAACCTGGCCAAACTACAAGCCGGCCTGCTTCTACTGCACGTCAAGCCCAACGACGTCGACAGCATCGAGCATCCTCGTACGTGGACCTCGACAGCCCAAGCAGTCGCCACGGCGCAGATGATTGGCCTCCACCAAGACGCAGAACGGTGGCGCATCGCGCCCTGGGAGAAGAGGTTGCGGAGAAAGCTTTGGTGGGCCACGTATGTCGCCGACGTCTGGTCTGCCGTGTGCCACGGTAACCCCCCTCACATTTACGCCGCCTCGTTCAACACCTCGGACATCACCATGGACGATTTGCGGAGTGACGAAGACGTACCTGAGGAGCTCCAGATGATGGTCGACCCCGCTAGCGCAAGTTTTCAGCATGTCACAGGTGCTCGATTTCTGAAATTGGTAGAGGTCTCTCGGACACTACGAGATCTGATCGATTGCAGCTTGTAAGCCCCCCTTGTCACTTTAGACGTGCTTCCTTACGGTAGTGATCCTGACCATCCATGTCCAGCCAAGTCCCTCGCCTGAGACCCCCAGAGGGCGAAGAATCGACAAAAAGTAGCCGCTTGCTTGGACTGAAGAACCGACTTAGTGGCTGGGATGCGTTGCTGCCCCAGTGTCTCGCGATGCCTCCTCCAGAAAGGGCAGTTGGCGCATCGAATAATGGTGAGTCGGGGGGGGGGGGGGGGGGGGGGGGGATATGTGCTTCCAACGACGACTACAACTGACCGACGCGACCAGCACCCCTCCATCTGGCATACTACGCCTACTTGGCCCTCTTATTCCGGGCACTCATGAGTCCGGCGACGACGGAGGCCAAAAAAGACACCTCATCGAGTCTGCGACGCTGGTTCAGAACAGCAGTCACGGAGTACCAAGGATTCACCACTTTCATAGACGCAGTGACGGCCGAAGACCTACAGGGCTTCTGGGGCCGCCGTACGTTCACTCGACCCCCCCATCTTCTAATTGCAGCTAGGAACATGAAGCTGACCAGGAAATGCAGATGCCCGGTCCCAGCTCATCCTCTGCGGGAATTTCCTCATCTATCTCTTCCTCCTAGCAAGAGAGGATTCCGACGGGGAATCAGCATGGGTTCCCTGGCGCTTGATCGAACGTTTCCATACGTCGTTACAAAGGCTGGAGGCGCTAGCAGATGACACCTCGAAACTCCTGATTCGGCCTGTGATGCTGCGGCTGGACTCGTTTTTTATTCAAGGGCCGGAGCTTTTGCGACAACTGCCTTTGGCAGATGCGTCATCTTCGTTTACCAATGCGACACCGAGCCACTAGCAGGTCCACCTGCGTTCTAATATCAGGCTGCCGATTGAAGAATCTTGATTACGCCTTATGACTGAATTCTGTCTGGACTCCTGAGAATGCTCACGTATGCTAACAAAACGTACACCACGACCCACCATCTATTCCTTCTCCTCCATGCCCTCGCGAAGAATCTCAACCTGCCTCTTAATCTCCACCCACAGAATCAGCTTCTCCAGGTCCTCATCTTCGGCCGAGGCGTCAACAACTCCAAGCCAGTCATCCTCCATCTGCTCGGTCAAAGCCTCAATCTCATCACGCTTGACACCGTTGTCTTGCCTCTGCGCGATGGCGAGTAGAGCAGCGACAAATGCTTCCTGGATGTAGGCGAAACTGAACTTGTCGGTGATCTTGGCAATGGCGCGGCATAGCTTGTCAGGGAACTCAACCTCCTTGTTCCCCTTGAGCTTATTTTGCCAGAACTTACAGTAGGCGACACGCTGCTCCAGATTAGGCTCGGGGAAGTAGTACTTCCGGTCAAAACGAGAGGGGCGTTTCTGGGCTGCAGTTAGCGGGTGACCTTGCTACTGTAGCACAAAGAGGGCGGACTTACAGAGATACCAGGGTCGAGGCGGTCCAGATGGTTGGTGCTACCGATGATGAAGATGCCGTCGTTGGCCTTGAGACCGTCTATCTCGTTGAGGAAGTAACTCCTCACGTTGTCGGACACAATAGTGTCGAGGTCCTCGAAAACGAGGTAGCAGGGCGCGAATTGACGCGCCTTACCAAAGATTTGACCGAGCGAATACTCGGGACCGGCGTATGAGGTCAATGTTCGGACGTAGAGGGTGGGAATATTCTTCTCGTACAGCATGCGCATCGTCGCCTTGATGGAGATGGTCTTGCCGTTGCCCGGGGGCCCGTAGTAAATGAGCCCGCGCTTCCAGGGAACCTTGAGCTTCTGGTACGTCTCGCGCGAATTGTAGAATGACCAATGGTCGTCGATGAGGGCCTTCTTCATGTCCTCGTCCAAAATAACGTTGTCCCACGTGGCATTTCGCGTGCTCTCAAACAAGTCGCGGCTCTTTTGCCACATTCCCTGGTCGTACACCCATACCTCGTCGTGCAGGTCGGCGCTCCAAGAACCGGCGGCGAGGACCAGCTGGTCAACGTAGTGCGTCTCGGGAGTCAATACATAATAGTTCTTGGTTTGGATGTATCCTGAAGTGCTGTCGCGACCATCGATAAGGTATACAATAAACTCGTAGCCTTTCCACTTGTAAAGGTACTTGCCGTAGATGACGGCGTTGGCAAGACCGCCCAGGTTGCCGTCCATGCGACGTGCGGGCGGGAGGTAGACAAGCCACTCCAACGAAGAGGGGAGGGCGTCGCCGTCATCTTCGATAGGCTCGTAGGTGGCAAAGCCGGCATGGGCGTAGGCCAGGAGATTGCATTGGGTATCGTAGGAGACGGACTCTGGGATCACAACGAGCTCAAGATGCGGGTATTGCTCCTTCAGGGCCTTGGTGATTACCAAGTCAGTGTTGACACGTTTAGCGCTAGAGTGAGTGTAGTACTCGTTTGTCGTACTATCACCACTACGCTCGGAAGATTTGGTGGCATCGGATGAGGCTGAAGTGTTAGGTGTGTTGTTCTTGGTTGTCGACGACGTCGTCGCCGTCAACGACGGTATGCTACGGGGAGGAAGTCGGGGAGCTTCTCGGGGGACTATCGGCATCGGGTAGTCATTTTGGGTTGTGTTCCAACGGGGAAAGGCCGGCATATTGAGTGATTTAGGTTCGGAGTCTCTCGAAATAGCGTCTTGTGTTATATTTGCTCCGAAGAAGCTCAAATGGAGTTGTTTGTCGAAGCTCCAGAGGATTTGGTTGATTGGAGATTTGAGGATGGAGAAGCAAAAGTCGGGGGGAGCAGCATATGGCTGCGGGGGAGGAGCAGCTCTCTACTAACAAGCCAGGGCATGGATTGTTGCCTAGTGATCGTCGTAAGGTGCCACGCCAGGAGGTTGGAGAAAGCTCGTATGGGCCAAGCTACCCACGTAGTAAGCTGTGCCGCTTCCCCCTGTGGTGTGATGACGTTTTGTCATTCGCCAATTACTCACCCAACCATACAGCTACTACAGGCGCCGGGCGAATGGGGTAGGTAGGGGGTGAGAGCTGCTGCGCCACTAGCGATGACTTCGGCGGGGGCTATCCCGGGCGCCCGCAGAGCCATTAGCGACTTGGCGTCTGGGGTCTTGTGCGAATTTGGTTGGTTTAAGGCTTGCTGACGGAGGTTTTCTTACTTGCAGCAAACATAGTCTCGCTCTTTCACTAGAGCAAATTTGCAATTGAAATGGGTTAATGGCTGGAATTATTTATTTTGTTGTGCTAATCATAGGCGTGAGGGAAACAATTCAATAAATAGTTGACGGGTTAATTGACCCCGATGTTCTGCTTTAACCAAGACATCCAGGGAATTTGCCTTGGAAATAAATGGAGCTTTTTATATAGGCCAAACTGAACTGCTCAAAACCGATGACTTGGTCACCACACTATTTGCTCAGGACAACCGAGATAGTTACATCGTGTTTGTTTGTTTATTTTAAGCAGCAATTTTGCAAACTTCAGGTTTTCCTTATAGGGGATCGGTCTATATCATAGCAACGTTGCACTCGACTAGGTAAGGAATTGACGTTGGCCCTTGGGTAATCTGTCTGCCTTTCTACCTGCAGTGTCAATCAATTTAAGGCCCCCGCCGCTTCTGTGCATATCTGCAATTCAGCCTACCACCGCACCTCATCTTGTGTCGCAGGCTTCGTCATCAGCTTCGTCACCTCGCTCCGGCCTCTAGTCGAGGGACAATACAAGTATTGGCCTGAAATGGGTTATATCCTGGCGAGAGTGCCAATTGGCGTGAGTAATTGAGAAAGACCATGACATCTCAGCCTGGACTTGGTGTCCAGTTGCGACATCTGAGAGAGACTGTACTAGGCAACATGCTAAACGAGTGCAATGAGCATCCTGGAGGGAACTAAACTGTAGCTATCTACTCGCCATTGTATGACTAAAGTTCTACGATACTTATCACAGAAATAGACTGTAGAGATCTTGGAGGCTAGAGACGCGAAAAAAAATAGCGAATGAGTGATACCAATCTGTCTCCCAATGGTAAAAGACAAAGGAAATGGTTTCTCGTAAACTTGGGAGACTATTGAGCTTCTGAGACTGTGATATAGACGGGACTCCTACAAGTCGATGGTCTGGGTCTCAAAGGAATAGATACATGCCATTAGTCCCGAAAAAAGCCCAAAGGTGGCCAAAGCAGTCGCTTAGCATGTACACCTTTGGAGACATCGCCGCTGACAGTACGTCTGAATCAAACTTTTGAATAGTTGGTAGAATATTCTGGTATTCTCACGAAAATCGGTGTCTTCCAATCGCTTCAAAGCCATTATTCTCCTCATTAATAAAAATACTCCATTGTACCTTTGAAGAAGACCCGGGGACAGTTACCAGCCATACCCTGCATCCTGTCCGTCTCCACGGCGTCGACTGCGAACATCCAAGAAGCCGCCGTCTCTGCCAGTGGAGGTTACTATCAACCCTACTGATCAGGTTTTCGGTCCGGTAGTAGTGGATCTTCGGCAACGGCTACCCCCGGCCAACCCGGCGGAATGGTAAGCACAATCCCGCAGACCGAATCCATCGGTAAATGAGACCCGTTTCGGCACTGTTTGGACGATGGGTCCGTATTTCGATGGAGCCTGTTAATATACTCTTGGCCTTGGCTGCAAAGGTTACGGTAGATGCGACAAGCCACAGACACTTGGGGCTGGAGATAACAAGGCCTCAAGCTCTTTCAACCGTGATGTGGGAGCATGGTGATGAAGTCTACTGGAAGCTTGCCGAGCCTACGTGACTGAACGTCATGAGGTAAGCGGCGTTAGGAACTCGCATCCTTAGGACACCGGCCTCGGCGACCGCGGGCATCTCCGTGAAAATGCCAGACGGCGAGTAATTGAGCCTTGGCAATGACAAGCGAACAAGAACTCAAAACGACTGCCACGGATAGCGACCGGATGACCCATCTGCCATAGTTGTACCTAGAGTCAGAAGATAATTTTGACTACATCTAATAACAATCTCCACGTCGAGGAAACAACAAAATAGGCGGTTCTTTCCATAAATCCCAGCCATGCCATTACTCCGTCTCGTTTAGTCTATATCGAAAGAAACTAGTGAGGGTCAGCGTTCGGTCTCGGAGCATACGAATGAGAGCTTTGTCTGAAGTTACGACGTATTAAGCCAGAGAGCGGTCCGCGCGTACAGGTCTCTGCCACCATATTCCATGGCACGTCTCAGAGAATTTTCTCTCTGATGGATACACCTTGTCCGTTCAGGGCTGACTGCACGGTTAGTCGGATTAGTCCTGTCTCAGGCTACCCCCCAACGCACCACTTTGTCCTCCCGATCAAGCAAGGATTTCGCGGCGAAAAAGTGGCACGCCACCACAATTCTCGAACCTTTCGAGTCTCAAGACTTCGATTTCTGGGCTGAGCTATGGCTTGACACGTCCAGTGCCCAAACTGGGGTTTGTGCTTCAAATAGATTAAGTGGGAACGGACGAAGGTTGAGAGTACTTGTAAGCCGACCGGTAACTTTCACTTTTCAGAGTAATCATAAATACTAGACGTTACCCTGGGTAGTCACTCATCTTTTCGTCCCATCCATTGACAATACAAACCTGTCGCATAATACATCCCATCATGCAGATCAACAAATTCTTCGTTCTTACAGTACTTGGTCTTGCGACCTCCGTCTTGGTAAGCGCAGCTTCGATTCTGAACGTAACCACTTTGACCGTAGATCACTGACTGAAGCAACGCAGGCTCAAGACGGAAAATGCACAGCCAAAGGCGAATGCCAGGAGACCAAGAGTGGCGACAAGCTATTCTGCACTTCCGGCAGCTGCGCCCAAAAGCAAGGACAGACGTGTCGGAGAAGCGGAAACTCTGCCAACTGCCCCAAATGATCAAAAAAAAAAAAAAAAAAAAGGGACCTTTTTGGAGTAGTCACTGCATACAAAGATTTTCATCTTATTTTTTGAAGTTAGACGGAATGAGAGGATACGAGTTTACGGGCCTAGAACGAAAGCGGATACCATGGAATTATGCATAAACAGCCATCTAACAAAAAGAATAAATCGATTTGCTTTGGTTACCTGGGACCACTAGGCGAAGACAGCTCATGTTACGTGATCTGAAGTCCATAGGGAGGACGAACCTCATTCTCAAGCTGTCCTCACCCTAACACATAACGAGGCTCTTTGATGGTCGCATATCTCGTGATGTCTTACAGGTACGTTTCCTATCAATATGAAACGAACACTGAGGCATAATATCGCTTCTCTGTTGGCCTTATACTGATGTTCTAGAGAAACTTAATCGAAACAGCAGTGACAGAGGTAAGTAAGGCAGGTCAACTTCCACATCGACGAAATGGGAAAAAGCCTTCCCTCTGTGAATGTCAATGTTGTCCAAGGCTTCATTAATTTATTTGCGACTTTATGATTCACACTTACAGCAATTCTGGAAACACTGTATTGTAATAGGTTGACGATTTGACTTAAATTTAACGTTAACTGGTCCCGAAGTAGAGCTCCACACATTGAGGCGCAAGGCTGTTCTAAGTACCAACAATCTTATTATCGCGTACCGATATCGTCAGCATCGGCTACCGATATACCAAGAGTCGTATTATTATAGCCTTACATTATCTCTACATAACTTATTCTTCAGTCAATAGTTCTTCCCTTGGGAGGTGACCTACTATTCTTCCGTATTTCCTACAAATATCATGCGGCAGCCTTCGTCCAAGTTAGGCCCGACGTTGCCTGTTAGGCATTCTTAACCGGTCTTAACAACTAGATCGTTCAAGTAAAACAAGTGAGGCTTGGAAGTTGGAGGTTTTCTCTCTGCTATGTTGATTTCGGTTGAAACAATGCCGATAATCCAGAAGGGTCTATCGACCTAATACATTTTGTATTGTGCAAGTCATTCACAGCTCATCTAAGGACCTAAAAAGTTTTGTCCTGTATGTCTGTGACGTAGTGGCGAATGATTGTGATTGCGAGGCTTGTATTGGACTGCCGTATAGTCCAAAATAGTCTCCAACGTCTTGCCAGTTGTGTTTAAGTGCTGGCCCCCTAAATGCATGCATCGCCCAATTCGGCTTTCACCCTAAGTTTATATTTTATTCGTAAACTATTCACCATCGCGAAATGCGTCTTTCGCCACGTAATATTCCACACAGACTATGAAACTGTCAAAGATGCATACTTCCTCGATGGAGACTTTCCAGATACCCGGCTCTGCGAAGCAATCCAACCTTTTCTAACTTCTTTCAGTCTACGCTAACGAGCCCTGCAAGTCATCCACAATCGATGAATTAGGCCATTGCACTACAGTAGATGTCTGACTTACTTTTAATAAGTTATCATCCCTAGCGAGAAGGTTTCTTCACAAGCCCGACGCAAGCATAGGTGTTGGCCCACAAGCCTGTGCAGGTAGAGCCGGCGGCTGGGTTCCAACGTATGAAGTTGAATCGTCCCCGCTTGTTCCAGGCACACTTAATATTTGAACCAGAAGCGGCTCTGTGGCCCGTTTTGAAAACGACTTGGGTATCCGTGTATCCTGTGCCAAGTGGGAAGTCGAATTCACATCCTCGATCCCGACATCGGACATGAAACTGGGACGATGTAAGCTGTGTGCGAAATGCGTCTTGCTTTGCAGGCTCCTGGCAGTTCTGCTGGAGGCCCGAGTGGACGTCTCTACGCCACGGTGTTACATTCGGCCAAAACAAGGACCAGCAGAGCCCAGATCATAGTAGAACCCAGCCTCAGAGACGAGGCTTTGCTTTCCTTCTTCTGACAGGGCGCCGTGATGGTCTGCCACGTTCCCTCTTGACATCCCATTTGATCAAGAATCTTGGCCGACACGTTCGCGGCCAGCTCGCTGGCGAGGGGCTTGTAGATGCAGGTCTCTGGTTGGATCCCCGTGGTAAACACCGGGCACATCTCCTGACGCCCGTCCTCATCTAGCAGCTCGCTGGGATACTTGGCATCGGTGACCCGCACAGCGACCGAGTTCTCGTCGTTGGAGACTGGGCAGGCGTCCATAGTGGCCTCGATATCGGGTAGTTGGCCGTTAGGCGAAGTGTTAAACACGATGACGCGGTTACCGCCACTCTTAGGCCCACTGGACCAGCCCTTCTCGTCGATAGTGCCGTGGTCGAAGCAGCGGGGCCCGAGGTTAAGCGCCCAGCGGACCACATACTGGTCTGTGGTGGCGTTGGTCATATTCACGATGGAAGTGTGAAAGAAGTGCCGACCGGGCGCGGTAGAGTTGAAGGTTTCTTGCAGGAGGGCGCGGTCGATACGCGGGGCGACGTCCTGCCACGAGGAGGAGCCGGTGCCATTGATTCTCCAGGCCATGCTATAGATCTCAATGTCCACATACAGGTCCAGAGGCCAGACGGCATCGAGATTCGTCACATCGAAGACTATGGGAAACCATTGCGTCGGCGAGTACGTCTCGTTTGCGCGCGGGAAGACGAGGTCGACCTGGAGGTTAGCGGGCAGCTGCCGGGATTGACTCTGGTCCTGAGCTAGCGCAGCCGTGAGAAAAAGGCGTAAGAAGGCGAATAGAAGGAGAAATAGCCGCATGTTTGGCGGCACCGGCCGTTGTTGCGGTTGACGATGACTGCTGTGGATGATGGATGAGGATGATGGTTTCCAAGAGAGGACAAGAGATAGACACAGTGGGCGGATTGCAGCTTGTTGGGGGCACCGTGGAGTACATCATTCTGCGATACTCACAGCCGTGACGGTTGTACATCCGTGAAGCCGGCTTAGCCCTGCAGGGCTGCTCGACCGGGCTCAGCCGGTTTCGGCCGGGGAACAGGCGGCCCCACTTCTAGCCGGCCGATTCGCTCTTTTGTATGATTATCTCGGTCTATTTACCCCTTCCGGCGTTGGACGGGACCCTTATAAGGCTGCGAGTGCAACAGCGTCCGATCCCTGGGGTTTTTTGGACCCCAAACCCCAGCAATTTGCCCGTGAAATGAACCAGAACGCAGATTCTTCATATACCGCAGTACCTTGTCCCGCCTATCGCCTAACGCGCTTACAGTGTCCAAGCCATGCGCTCACATGCTACTTCCTGTTCACCTGTCCCGCACAGGGCCACACTGGTCAGGGTCTTGTCCGGATCTGAATCCTTTGCTCACGGCTGGAGTTGGCGGGGTCGATACATGCTCGATGCCATCGCAGACAGGAGAGTCCGGCCCCTGACATGGATGCAGCCAATCTTCTGTATTCTAAGACACAGACTTATTGCATTCATTACTGCGTCAACTTATTGAGTTTACACCTTACCAGCTTATTTGGTTCCTGGCATGGCTAGACGTACCTCAGTGAACACCATCTGAAGGCCTCGGCCAAGCTTGTCTGACTTACACATCGTGCCGATGCCTGGTAGATATGATCGCCAAGTCAGCCGGCTGGAGCATATGACAGAGTCCAGAATCTCTACTAGAATTTAGATATATAGACCACTTACACACGAGTGATTCTGCCATCAAGGTCTCTTTATTGCTCGAGACACGCGACTTCCGCCTGCTATTAGCTATGCCACTCTTTTGACCTTCTCTTTAACATCATCTTGTTCTCTTCAAATCTGTTTTCCTTTTGTCTCAAGACCAAGCCTCCCATCACATCGAACATGGGGACATCGCGCCGCCACCGAGTCCTTCTCTGGCTGGGCTTGACTAGCGCTCTTGTCGCTGGTGTCAGCGCCCTGACTCCTACCGGGGATTGATGCCCGGAGACCTGTTTCAACTCTGGTCTTGATCCCTCTAACAGGACTGTTGTCGGTGAGGTTGGTCAGCTTCCGGCCTGCAACCGGCCCTTGGTCTTCCAACTCTCGATCAGCACTCTCACCACGACTAGGCAGCGCATCAGTGCTTGCAACGTCTGGGCAAACAACTTCCGTAGAATTGCTGCTCCGTACTACGTCGCCTCCGTTGCCGAGACGGAGGAGGTCGTTCCCCATATTGGCTGGACTCCTGCCAAATCCGCCAGTGACACCGGAGGCAGGGTTGCCGCCCAGAGCTTCCGGCACCTCAGGACCTATCTGGAGTTCGGCTACCGAGCCGAGGAGCGCTCCATTCTTTTCGCTACCATGGGCGATACGACAGTTGGTGTATACGTCGGCGCTCGCTCGGTGAGTGCTGTTCGACACCTTCGTAGCCCTGCTCAACGGACCCGGCGTCGCCGAGTCCCGATATGTCCTCGTCCAGGTCTGCGAGGACCGCACCGGCGATCAGATCTTTGGTCTCATTGCCGCCACCAGCTCCGACTTCACACTTTCCACCATGCTGCGAGCCGGTGGTCCAATGGCTCCTGTGTCGACACGACACCGTACGCCGAAGACTACCTATTCAATAGCACCATCATCGACATCGTCAAGCCCGCCATACCACCCACTCGCCTTCCCAATAACAACTCGACGGGTGACTCGACCATCGCGGCACGGTCTTCCCGCTTCTTGCACGCCCGTGCCGACTGCCGAGCCATCCAGGTCGATAGCGGTAACACTTGCGCGACTCTGCTCACCCGATGCGGCAACGGCCTAACGGCTGCCGACTCGCACAAGTACAACCCGTCATCCAGCCTGTGCTCCACTCTGACCGTCGGTCAGATGATCTGCTGTACCTCCGGTGACCTACCTTCAGCCCCGGAGCCTGAGGGCAACGCTGATGGGACGTGCCGCATGGAAACGGTCGATGATGGCGACGACTGCGGCAAGCTAGTCACACGAATCGGCAATGGCCTCACCGCGGCGCAGCTCTACAAGTACAACGACGACACTAAACTATGCTCTACTCTGGTGCCTGGCCAGCGTGTCTGCTGCACAACAGGCAAACTGCCAGACATCCGTCCAAAGCAAAAAAGGGACGGCTCGTGTGCTGCATATCAGATCAAGTATGGCGATTCCTGTTCCAAGATAGCTTTCTTCAACGGCGTGACCATCGACGAGCTCAAGAGTTTCAACAAGGATACTTGGGGTATGTAAAATCCCCTATCCCTTCTAACCCGCTTTCCTACCCCGTTGCAGCATATATAAGCTCTGCTGCAGAATGGCGGTCTTGAGTAACGTAACTAACTACTCTATGTATGTTTGTTCCAGTCCTTTTAATAGACTGAATAGCTCGATTTGGAACAAGAAAAGACTTGTTACGTAGAACCTAACCAATTATGAAAACTAATTTTGCCTTTCTAATAAGAATAATTACTTCTTTTAACATCTGTCACATGGCCCCAATTATATGATAGCTAACCTGAACATTCGGCTTAGGGTACGGCAATATGAGCCCTCCTAAGAGGCCTCATTTCAGCTGAGGCAACATCACCGCCGCTGCCGATACCAGAACGCTTGTTCCAAACTACCTAAAAGGTGTAAAACCAGAATTTGAACCAGGAACGAGTCATAAGAGCAATATGGGTAGTTGCAAGCGCAATAAAGTTCCGCTTCTAGTATTACGGCTTGTGGGTCACTTTCTCTGGCTAGTAGTAGCTTATGTTTACTAAAGTTCCCTAGACTAAGAACGCGGACTCCAGGCTCATGACATTGGAGTGTGCGATGCACTAAGCCGCAGCCCGGGTAGAACATCCCACTAAAGCTTTAGCACGCCGTGTGCCAGCGGAAGGCGCGGTACTGCTCACTGGAGAGAACATGGATAGGCCATCTAGACGCTATGTGCGAAGCATATCGCCCCAGGAATGACCGTCGTACTTTTCATCAGTGTTAGCCAAGGCTCAACCAACTACAGGGTTACTGTTGTTGCAGAGTTATGGGCCTCGACACCCCCTTCCCCGTTTTCAAGCTCGAGGGTCCAGCTAAGGCGCGAGGCCGAACAGTGGACGTCATTAACCCCGACTTATTCGGGTCCCCGCACCCCCCGGAGGGCCGAGTGGCGTTGTGGACCCAAAGATCAGGTGGAATTTTGCTTGTGGTGTCGACCAGTTCTTTGCAAGGTTTGTGCACCAGATTTTGGCAGCTCATTTGACTTTTACCCCGGACTTCTGTGAAATCAGAAGACACTGGACTTAAACAAGTGTCCTTTCATGCTCTCCTTTTTCCCCCTTGAGCGTGTTGAAACAGGTCGGACATTTTGGAGTCGTATCACCCCAGAATCATTGCATCTTATCTACACAATTATACGGAAAGGATTGAGCCGTACAAAAGGTGTGGTTCGGAAAGGACTCGCCAACAGAGGTTTCATGATTTACTTAGGGCAGAATCTCATGCCTCGTAATCAAAATTGACAGATCCTTGGAGTTTGTTTCTGCCATATTTGGAACGGCTGAAATCTCCTCCAACCGCCACCAGTTTACATGTGATGTCAGCACTGGAGCATTAGTCCCATGTCCCATTCCTTGGGGTAAACTTAAGCTATGGGTACTTCCGAAAGGTTGCATTTTACGATAATCACCTGGGCGCTAGCGGCAGAGGGTACGAAAGACAAAAATGCACTGAGGCATGAACACGAGGCGTGCACCACGTCAACATCAGATATAGTAGCCACTCCATGCCTATGAATGTCTGCAAACTACAATTAGAATGCACGCAAATGGGAAAACGCACATGGCGCTACTGCGGGTGGGAGGCATGTGCATTGCTACTTCATGTGACCGGTTCCAATCAGGCGTCATCGCTTCAACGAGCGGCAAGCCATGAAAGCGACCTTCGGCACATAATCTCCAAAACGGCCGACTAATGGCGGGAGCCATCATCCAGCTTTTTGAGACATGTCTCTCGGCCTTCCCCAAGGTCCATCTGTTCTTGTGTCACCTCTAGCCTTTGTTAGGCTACCGGTGTGCTCAGATCTGCGGCCCGGCAGCGCCACCGTCCGTGAAACTACGCATTAGGCCGACGCGGATGCACCTAGGCGCATTAGGGAGGGGACCATCCATAGATTGTTGATAAGGGGAGGGAACCCTGAAGATAGCTGAAGAAAATTGCTTGTTTGTTGAATAACCAGAATTGCTCGAGAATTTGTTCAACATGGCCCTGACAAAAGATTTCCCAGATTACCCTCCGACGGCCGATATCAAGGCGCAAATCTACGAAACGCTCCCCGATGGCTTTCCGCATTGCAATTGGGAGAGTGTGGACGCAACTGAGGTGGCATCGAAGGTCGTTTCTGTGCTTTCAGAGGAACTTTTGAACAGGAATCTGTTGTCGGTGGCCACTCTATTTGCGGACAATGCCTCTGAAGGTCGTTCTTCGTATTGGAAGGATACACTATCTTTGACAGCGCATATGAGAACTTTCAAGGGAAACAAAGCGATTGCTGCTGCCCTCACCGAGCTATGCCAACTGCGCGAAGTTGGTCCTTTGCAGTTCGGGGCGGCTCAGGTGGTAAAAGCTTCGGATGGCTTGGTTGGATTTTTCCCTATTCCGAGGCGACTTTTGTAATCACATACTAATGGACTGGTACAGTCATGGGTTGACGGCAGCTTTCACTTTACAACCAATTCTCCAAGAACCCATTGCCGAGGGAAGTTCATGTTAATTCCTGAAGGCGCCGACACACTTGATTATCAAAGCTGGAAAATCTGGTCCATGAGCACATGGCTATCCGGCTTTGATGATCATCCAGAGGACGAAAGCCTCTTGAGGCAGCCGTCTACTCCATTATCCGAGGAAGCGAACATCACGACGGATGTGCTAATTATCGGAGGCGGAAACGCGTAAGTGGCGCCCTTGCTCCACTCTTATTCTCATAATCCTTAACATGTAGGCAGAGGCATACTCCTGGCGGGCCGACTCAAGGCGATGAACGTCGATTATGTTGTGGTTGACCGCAACAAGAAAGTGGGAGACAACTGGGCTTTGCGATATGATTGCATGCGTTTCCACACGTACAAATCATTCTGCGAAACCCCATACATATGTAAGAACGGCCCTTATTTATTTCGCTCTGCGGCGGTCTTGGGTTTCCGTGGTTACTGAAACTTTCATACAGCGTATCCTGAAAAAGCCGGCCCAGGGTTGACACGGGACGAGCTTGCCAACCAACTTCACGCTTTTGCCGAAGAGTTTGACCTAGATCGCCGAGTGCTACACCAATCGAGAGTCATCGCAACCACACAAGAAGCGGGCAGTAATCTATGGAAAGCAAAAATCTACGACGGCAACAGCGGACGAGAAAGAAGCATAACTTGCAAATGTTTGATACTTGCAACTGGGGCTGGATTCTCTGGGATAAATCTACCGGATCTACCCGGAAGAGAGCTATTTAAGGGTCCCAGCATTCACTCATCGGAGTTCCGAAATGGAGGACTGCTGGTTGATGGTGGTGCCAAGGTAGGTCACTTTTCATTCTTGTTGTTTCTGTGGCTACGTCGCACCTTCACTGCCGCATATCGGCTGACAGTTTACCCAGTCCGTTGTTGTGGTTGGTTCTGCCAATACCGCGTTCGACGTGATGGTGGATTGTTATGACGCAGGCCTTCAGACCACCATGCTTCAGCGATCCCCAACATACGTAATCCCAATGCCCTACCTGGGCCATCCCGCGGGCCTCGGTAGTTACGATTTCCTTCCAACGGAAGATTGTGATGCAATGGTTTCTGGAAGTCCTCTAGCTGTTGGAGGCCCTCTTTTGACCTTATGCCATATGTTGCAAGCACTTGAAGAACCGTAAGCAGCTGTTCATACAAAACTGAATATGATCTAACTCGTTTAGGAATCGGTATGACGAGGTAAGAAGGGCCGGCCTAAGGGTTGAAGATTCCTTGACCGGCGACCTCTTGGTCAATCTTATCAACCGCTGTGGTGGCCACTTCGTCGATATGGGCAAGGGTATAGAGCTCATTACCACACGCAAGGTCGGCATCCGTTCCGGACTTGTACCTACAGCTTACACGGCTGATGGATTGATACTGAGCGATGGGAGCGAGGTGAAGACTGACGCAGTCGTTTGGTGTACCGGATTCGGTAATCTGGATGTTCGACACAGTCTTCCCAGCATTCTCGGGGAAGGCACAGAGGCGTTTGCAAGCAAGATGGAGGGCACTTGGGGAGTTGATGCAGAAGGAGAGATCCGCGGGCTGTGGAAGCGTCAACCAAATGTAGAAAACCTCTGGGTTTTTGCAGGTGGCACTGCACAACACAGATGGTTTTCGAAGGTGATTGCTCAGCAAATCAAAGGGACGCTTGTTGGCATCCTGCCGGAGGCATATCGAAAAACGCCTGATGTTTCTAATTGGGGATACAAAGATTTGAACGGAGGGGCCCTGCTTTCAAATCTTTAACTGGGCTATATGTTGAGTATGTAAAGCATTGAAGATAGGAGGAGAACGTTTAACGAAGCGAGAAACTCGGATTCCGAGGTGTGCTCCTGCCTCGACGCGCTGCTCATGTGGTATTGAGTGATGATGCTTCTTAGCCAGAATATTGTAACGAAGACCTGAGAGTTATGCCTTCGTATACGGGTCCTCACCTTCATCCCGAAGTGTGGGCATGACTTTGGAGTTGAAGAGTTGGCTTAAGAGACTTGAGGATGCAACATCCTTGTGCAATTTTACGTAATTCGGCTGAAGTTCCAAGTCTGATCAGTTTCGTCATTTAGGTTGCATGACCCGCTAGGCATTTCCAGGCAAGAGATTGAAGAGCTAGTGCGTTCTGTTGACAGCAAAGCACAAGTATTAAGTACACTAGTTATGATCAATAACCTGGAAATGAACAATAGAGCTGGTATAGACTTCCTCAATCATTAATGTCTTGTTCAAACTTGTTGACTATCATCTGTAACATGCTTCTTCAATGACCCAATCCCAATCATATTACATATCGCCCATCCTCCTTGGCGGGACCTTAGCCGTGAACAAGCGGTCAATCTCGTCAAACGTCTTGCCCTTAAGCTCGGGGACGTAGAAGAAGCCCCAAACGGTACCCAGCAGACCTAATCCACCAAAGACGAATCCGACCTTACCCCTGAGGTCTGCCTCATCGGGGTTCACCATGTAGGGGATAGCAACGCTCATTACGAGACCACAAATGGCCTGGGTGGCAGTAGCCAGAGCCATAGTCTTGGCGCGCAGAACAGAGCTTGATGCCTCTCCCAGGACAACAAAGGCCATGGCGCCGACACTCAAGAAGTAGACAAATGCGTAGATGACGGTAGCAGCAGCCTGTACCCACTTCGCAGCGTCGCTTGGGACAACGTCCATGATGCCGATCAGAACCAAGAGGACTGTTAAAGAGACCATACCAGAGAGGAAGATTTTGCGACGGCCAAATGACTCGACAACAAACCAGCTAACCATGTTTCCCAGGACACCGCAGGCAGTAACGCCAACGCCGAGATCGAATGACTTGGAGTCCTCCAGACCGGCGAGTTTGAAGAAGTAGGTCGAGTACCCGAGAACAAAAACCTGGGTCATGTCTGTCAGTATACCGTCCTGGAATAATTACGTTTGGTATTCGTAAGAGAAAGACTTACGATGCCCACAAGGTGCTGGCAAAAGAAGACACCGGTGGAGATTCCCGTGCGGAGTCTGTTGGTTCCCTTGAAGCAGTCAATGAGTCCCAACTCGGAAGACTTGTTGAGAGCCTCTTCTTCAATAGTTGCTTCTATACCCCTCAGCCTAGTATCCACGTCGTATTCCTTGCCAAATAGCTTCTGAAGTGACTTGATGGCCTGTTCACGCTTGTTCTTCCGGGCCAAGTACCACGGTGATTCGGGAGCGAAGGGGAGGAACGTGAGGAGGAAGACGGCGAAGAAGAGCTGAGTGGCGAAGGGGCCGCGGTAGGCCCAGCGGTCTGTTCGTTCTCCGAAGGCCTTGACGACGGCATTTGATAGAAGCTGGCCGAGTGCAATGCCCAAGTTGACACCAGCTGTGGCGTAGCCTCGAAGTGCGACAGGAGCAAGCTCACTGCAAACCAGGGGGGCAAGTGTGAGGTAGAAGCCCAAGCCGCCGCCGAAGATGAGCTTGGATACGAGGAAAGCGGCTCGGGTGTCGGACAGAATCTCTCCAACGCAACCGCCGCTGCAAACAACTACGCCGATCAAGAGAGAATTCTTTCGTCCAATCATGTCTGCCAGGTAACTGCAGAGGAAACCGCCGAAGAACTGGCCTACCGTGGAGACGAGGTTGAAAGCTGATTGCCAGCTGGCCGGAAGGATGGCTTCACCGTCGAGAACGTATCTAGTTGCCACAACAGTTAGTTTATGTGTGTTCGAGGCATCGTGGAAATTTGCAGAGATGTTATTAGAATCGTACCCGAAATCTCGGCGGAATGCGTCAACCGCAATCATGGCGCCGTTAATCTGAGCGTCAAAGCCCCTGAAGCAAACATGTCAGCCGCAGATCATCGAATAATGCACATGGAAGGTTCTATACCATCCAATGGCTGCCATAGCCCAGTAGAAGCACCACCACACAACAGCCTTGTGGTTCTTCATGACTTCGCGGAGCGTAAGGTCATGTTCTTGATCGTTGGCGGCTGTTGCGTCGGCGCCTTTGGGGTCATGATGCGATACACTTGGCTCCAAGTTAGTTGGAGAAGTTGTTTTCTCCATGGTTGGTAGTTGCCAAGTCGACTATCGGGAGTTGCAACAGGTTGGTTCGTGGGAAAGGGGATAAAGGATAGTCGCTAGGAAGATGGTGGGGAAGAACAAGATGGCCATGTGAGAAAATCCGGGGAAAGACTTGAGGTTATATTTACATTCATCTTCTAGTTACTGACTCTCAGTATGCTGGCTTGCTGATTCGTGATGGTTGCAGGGTTAAAGTGACTTAGTTGACAGCTGAGGTCACCCTGACAGATGCATCAAGTCTAGAACGGCAAAAGAAAAGGGAAAGAAATATAGTTAAAAGCGACATTCCGCGAGCGTCCAAGTAGATTGCTAGGCAAAGTCTAACCAGTATAGGCTTGGTTAGGCCAATGGCTCACGTGAAGTCAGTCCACGCGACTCCGTGTTTGGCCGAGAAAAAGGGGAAACGGTGAAGTCCGAGAGTGCGAGCTGAAGATTATGTCGATACGTACCGGCTCAATGGTTGGCCCCGCAATCTTTCCCCGCGATCCATTTTGCGTTAGCGTCATGGAGCATCTCTTCACTTCAAAGGAACAAAATCGTTAAAGGCGACATTCCGCGACGATTTCCTTCAACTTTCTTCTCCAGCTTTCACCTCAAACTCTCTCCAGTTTCCCCTTGCCGCCATCCACATCCCGCCTTTCTGGCGCCTATTTCCCCACGGAGTCAGCCCATTGTACCTCATTTGACTTCTCCATTTCTTCGCCCACCTGATGGCCGACCCATCCCCCCGGGAATCCCAAGTGTCGTTAGCGCCTGGGGAGTCGCATCCAGACCAAATCCAACCGGAACCACCTACGACAAAAGCCAGCACACGCCCCTCAGCTCGCGGGACGGCTTTCTACCAGCGGAAGCGGGCTGTCAGGGCGTGTCAGGTTTGCCGAGCACGGAGGACCAAGTGCGATAATCTCAAGCCATCATGCTCTTTCTGCTTGAAGGTTGGGGCTACGTGCATACAGTCGCCTATCGACCTTTCCAGCTTCGATCCAGCAAGTCTCAAGATCTTGGAGCGACTTGATGACTTGGAGGAGCTTATGAGATCGGTGTCAGTCGATGGGCCGTCCAACAAGACGAGAGTGGTAGAAGGCCCCGTTGAGCGCCGACTGGAAGAGCCACCTCAGGTGGGGCCTCCTATTGAGCTTGGCATGATTCTTCCATCAAAGCCGGAAGATATCATGGGTTGGACCATCTTCCAGAGCCTCGGTAATGTCATCGATAGAGATGAAACTGCGCTTAGCGCAGATCATGGCTCGGTGATTGCCAGTTCTCCGGCTTCAGTGCTTGGTGCTCTGGAAGAACCACGCCAGGTGAACGGCCTCTTGGACAGCTTTTTCAACTATGTCCACGTCAAGAATCCCATTCTCGACGAGACAGCGACGAGAAAAATGGTATCAAACACAGTAATGCAAGGAGTGGATTGGTCCTCTGAATCCTGTTTAACTCTCCTGATTTTTGCCCTGGGATCCATCGCCACTCCGTTTGGCCCGAGCCACGAGAATAGGCCTGGAACCGAACCACACAACAAGGCCCAATCACTCTTTCAAGCGGCCCAGAAAAGACTCGGTGTTCTTCTGTCATCGGACGACATTATTGCGGCTCAATGTCTCTTTTTGTCAGGCGTGTACATGATGTGCACATTTCAACCCGTCAAGGCGTGGAGATACTTTGTGCAGGCCCTTGCCAGCTGTCAACAATTTCCTTTTCTTACCCCTGAAGCACAACAACGCTACCACAACAGCATGAAATCGGGAAACGAATCGGAGAATTATTCCATTGATACTCTTCAACAGGCAGTCTACTGGTCGTCATGGAAGTCAGAAAGAGAAATGCGAGGGGATCTCTACCTGCCTGACTTCTCACTCAGCGACAAGGAGCTCGCATTTTACCCTCCTTTCTTTCCGACGCCGCCGACCGCCAGAGCAGAAGTTGAAGCCACACTCGATCCACGCTTAACACGCGAAAGGACTTCTTGGTACTTCTATCTCTCCGAGATATCCCTGCGCAGACTCGCGTCTCGGATCAGCGCCGAGATGGTGGGTCTGCAAAAATTGCATCCCACGCGCCATGCATACCTCACAGCAGCGGCAGCCGCAGTGCCGCAGTACGAAGAACAAGCTAAAGAGTGGATCGGCTCGCTTCCACTCGGCTTGTCTTTTGATGAGCCCCCTGAAGAGGACGATGTGTGCAGATTTGTCCTTCGGGGACATGCCATCAACCTCTTTGAACAGATATACTGGCCGTTTACGACTGCCTGCCTGGACAGCCTCAAAGCCAATCCTAGTCTTCCAAGAGAAGCAATCAGCGCAACAACCGTCGCTCTTGCCCAGAAAGGCCTTGATAACCATCTCTTCCGGCTGTTTGCAAACCAGCCGGGGTTCTATCATCGTCATCACGGAACTCTGCCGATGCTCCGCTCCTGTTCACGAAGTGCCCTGGTTCTCGTAGCTGCAGCGTTGGCTATTCATGCAGACGGTTCTCGCGGGGGAGATTACCCTACCATGGGTTTGGCCATGCCTACGGGATGGCGTACTGGCGTTGAGGGAATGGTGGATATTCTAAACTTCTGGGAGGGGGAGTCACATCAAGTTCAGAAATTGCGGCGCTTTCTAGAACAAGGCTACGCAATGATCCCGGAGCTGTCACCAACAGCATGTCGTCCCGGATCATAGTGATTAAGGAGGAGATCTGGGTCCATGGGCCATGAAACGGGGATTTTGGGAACCGCCTACCCCACTGATCAATTCAGCCTAAATACAACTCGATCGATGCTCGGCATCCGAAGATTATAGCCGGGAGTTGATGTGACATGAGAAACAGAACCCGATAGCTGGATGAGGCGGACCAAAAGCGTCGGCTCATTCTGGAGGCAATAATTCCCTGTTGCTCCCGTGTCTCATCCTAGTGCTCGTCACGCGTATTTCTCTCCATACCCCAGATCTTGGTCATCCAATCTTGTTTCAAGAACAACTGGGGAAGCCGGTCCGACTAGACCCACCTCCCGCGCCATCGCGGAATGTCGCTTTTAAGAACATGGGCGGGCTGGGGGAACAACTCATCTCTATCTCTTTGAACGATGACAAACCCAAGGTCTCAAGTGAGCTTTCTCGAGGTATAAAGCAGTCGTCTTGAGGTTTGCAGACATTGAGAAATTAGACTCGGCAGGCCAAAATCTCTCAATACCATTTCAACCTCTCCCAAAAAAAAAAAAAATGTCAGCCACCACACCTAACCCTCCTTGCACAATGCTGCGCGTTAGCGGCACAAGAATCGTCAACGAGAATGGCGAGGACGTCATCCTCAAGGGTGCCGCAACGGGCGGTATGCTCAACATGGAGAACTTCATTACGGGTTATTCCGGTCATGAGCACGAGCACCGCGCCGCCATGACGGAAGTTCTCGGCAAAGAGAAGGCCGACTTTTTCTTCTCTCGTCTTCTTCACCACTTCTTCACAGAGGCGGACGCCGCCCTCTTTGCCTCATTGGGCCTCAACTGCCTGCGGGTGCCCTTCAACTACCGGCACTTCATCGATGACGACAACCCGAGCGTGATCAAGCAGTCCGGCTTTGAGCTCCTGGACCGGACCGTCAACTTCTGCGCCAAATACAACATCTATGTCATTCTCGACCTCCACGCCGTCCCCGGTGGACAGAACCAGGACTGGCACAGCGACTCTGGGATTTCCAGAGCCCTGTTCTGGGAGTTCAAGGACTTCCAGGACCGGGCCATCCAGCTTTGGGAGGCCCTGGCGACGCACTACAAGGGCAACAAGTTCATTGCCGGCTACAACCCGCTCAACGAGCCCGCGGACCCCAAGCACACTCGTCTGATCCAGTGGTACGAGCGCGCCGAGAAGGCCATCCGCGCCATCGACCCCGACCACATCCTGTTCCTGGACGGCAACACCTACGCCATGGACTTCTCCGCATTCGACCCCAAGAAGACCCTCCCCAACAGCGTCTACAGCTGTCACGACTACAGCCTCTACGGCTTCCCCCTGCCCGAGCAGTACGAAGGCACAGACGCGCAGAAGCAGAAGCTGCGCGCCAGCTTCAAGCGCAAGGTGGAATTCATGCAGGAGGCTGGCGTCCCCATCTGGAATGGCGAGTGGGGTCCCGTCTACCAGGATCCCAGAACGGACGCGAACGCCGCCGCCACCAACGAGAAGCGCTTCGCTCTGCTCCAGGAGCAGCTGAAGATCTACCGCGAGTACGGCGGCGTCTCGTGGAGCATCTGGCTCTACAAGGACATCGGCTACCAGGGAATGGTCTACCTCGACCCCGAGAGCCCCTACATGCGCCTCATCCGCCCCTTCGTGGAGAAGAAGCAGCGCCTCGGCCTGGACTTCTGGGGCTGCGCCGACAAGAGCGCCGTCGACAACGAGGTCTACAGCCCCTTCATCGAGAAGCTCAAGTCGACGCTTCCCGAGCACCTGCACAAGAAGAAGTACCCCAAGGTCTGGGACTTCAACCGCCAGGTTGAGCGCGTGGTCCGCGAGTGCCTGATGAGCGAGTACCACGGTTGGGAGTTCGCAGAGCTCTTCAAGGGCAAGACGGAGGAAGAACTCGAGGAGCTCGCCGCCAGTTTCGCTCTGGAGAACTGCGTCAAGCGCGATAGACTAAACGAGATCCTCACGGCGGACGCTGAGACGGTCAAGGCAACCAATTAGGCAATGACGATGATAATGACGACTTTAGAGGTAAACTAGACGGTTATGGGTTTCTTTACTCGGGAGGGATAAAATGTAGCAAAATCTCTCTTTTTTTTGGTGTATAAGGGTATATCAAGCTAAATCTCACGTGTCGAGATGTTTGTTGGCGATTTTCGTACTTTAGCTTGCTTGGCGGGGCCATCAAGGTTCTCGCTGTAATGGACCCCCCATTTTCCTTGAAATTTTGCGCTTGCTGCAGCTTTGATTTACGTGTCACATCATTTCCAAAGTTTGCTTCATTTGTTTTCTTTCTGTGTGAAGAAAGTTCATGATCAGCAGCCGTTATTGTGTGGCTGTTTGTCTTACCAGTCCTTGAGTGCAGCTACACCGCCGCTGCTACCAACCCCGCTCACCGCCACCTCAGTGCAACACAACATGCGAGTTTGTCACCCCGGCACATGGCTCGTCGCAGGACTTGCCGCCTGTGGCGTCTATGTCACGGGAAACGATGCCATTGAGAAAAAGGTTGAGGCCTCAATCGATGGTTCCGTTGGGGATAAGGTCCTCGCATCGGTGAGTCTGGCTGATTTTCGGTTGCCAAGAGGAACATACTCGCATTTCGGACTGGTCATCTGACATTATCACAGATGCCAATTGATTCGCTCCTCGAGGTTCATGAGATCACAGTGACTGTCGAAGATGTTCCTGATAAGCCTAGTCCCAGGCACGAGCAGGAGAAGAAGAACCTCCTCAAGCGGATGAGCAAGTCCCACGGCAAATGGGACACGAACCACCCTCATCACCGCCTGTTGGAGGCTCTGTTCGGTTATACCCGATACAAGCCCCGCCAGATGGCCGAGTTGGACAGGTACAAAGATTTGTATAAATATGTTTCCTCTGCCCAGAAGAAGGTTAGCGCGCTGCATTCACCTCACCGGCGCTTTACCCGGCATGACATTACTGACCGATTAATTCGGATAGGTGCTTGAGAAGACCATTGGGTACTCATCAAAGTTTGAAACTGCAGAGCAGTTACTTGACCTGAACCAAGATTTATGCAATGAAATCGTGGAAAATGCCCTCGAATACTACGGCATCTCTCACAAAGACCTTGCGGTACACAGCAAGTTGAAGGATGAGGCTGGCCAATTGGCAGATAGAGTCAGCGTCTCGCAAGCCTTGAAGCATTTCGTCAGGGATTGGTCCACCTCTGGCCGTGGAGAGAGAGATGATGCGTTTCCCTGCATCCTTAGTACGATGGAGTCTCTTTACCCCGAGCGTGCTGAGAAAGACATCAAAGTCCTCTTCCCAGGTGCTGGCCTTGGAAGACTGGGCCACGAAGTTGCCGCTCTGGGCGGCTTCGAGGTAACGATTAACGAGTGGTCGATGTTCATGAACCTAGCCTACCGGTTCCTCGAAAGCCACCCAAGACCCGGATCCAAAGCGCTGCATCCCTTCGTCGACAGCTGGTCTCACCACGCAACCACAGCTGACATGTTCCGTGGCGTCTCCTTTCCGGATAAGCGGGTGAATGCGAGCTCTGTGCTGCTGGTCGAGGGTGACTTCGTATCCATTTTCAAGTCTGAGAAAGGACAGTACGACTCTGTTGTCACGCATTTCTTTATCGACACCGCAAGAAACATCATGAGCTATCTGGACACCATCCACTCGTTACTCAAGCCGGGTGGCTACTGGGTCAACTTCGGCCCTTTGCTGTGGGGTACCGGGCCGTTCGTGCAACTTTCTCTGGAAGAGATTGTTGTCATTGCCAAGAGCATGGGTTTCGAATTTGTGGAAGTTGACGAGTCGTGCGGAGAGGTGACGTTGGAAGGCGAGAAGGTCAGGGGGAAGCAGGCTGTGTATGGCTTTAACGATAAGGCTCTGACCAGGAATGCGTACTCCGCGCAGTTCTGGGTCGCAAAGAAGGTTCGATAGATCGAGCGATTGGAATTTGACAGTTGGGGATGTGCCGAAGAGAAATCATAATGTTCATATCACAGGGGTACTTGCGCGGGCGTAAGCAGATAGATTCTTCTAGAGGCGTGATGAAAGTCACAACCATGAGTCCAACAAATCTGTACAAGATAAGGTTTGATCGGTGGAAGCGATGCATTTCTTCCAGTTGCCCATCATGTGAATAGTTCAGGTCGCCAACCCACATAAGAGCTGGGTGGCTGGCAACCGGCAGCTTGGGTAACCACGGAGTCACTTCAACCAGAAATCTCAACTTTTGCTATGCAAAATCCATAAAATATCTGATGGGTGAGGATGAAGGAAATCAGCAACGTGAAGCGGATTGGAAGAAAATGGAAAGCAGCCGCATTGAGTCTTAAAAACTGGTATTGGTTTCACAGCGAGCCGGTAACGACGTTTTGAAATTAATTGAGAATTTATAATTTGACTACAACTTAGTCCTCCTATGCTACAGTAGACCGCTTTACGGACCATCATTTCTCACTGTCTCAGATGAATCACTGTCTCGTCTTGATCGAGATTAGCACACACGTTCCAAGCTGCAAAGCGTCTTGTGATGGAATTTTCAGGCAGGGTATTGGTCACATGCTTGAACAAAAACTGTCACGCGAGACTTCCCACGCCAAGGAATCTTAGCTAACCTCAAGCAGGGCGTGAGTTCACATGATAAACAGGCTGTTTGAAAGATTTTGATTGGACAAGAGTCCAATAAGAAGAGCAAATGCATATGGGCGATGGCAGTTTTGGGTACGTATGACGAGCAAATCACAACGTGAAGCATGTGACAAGAAGACCAATTAACGGTAGTTTGCAGAACTATATAAAGCATTGAGTTCCACCAAATTGGGTTCTTTCGAAATGAGTTCAGATTCCATGGAGCCGGTCAAGTGGCCAGCCGTCTCAGCGGCCAAGGCGTGAAACCACAGCTACGTGGTCAGTTCAACTGACCATTTTTTCTCGTAATATTCACCAGCTTTGACTCAAAGAAAGGGAAAGAAATAAGAGCAAAAATCAACTTTTAGCAGCGCTAGTTGGGTTCTTCGAGTTGATTGCCATCGCAGTCGAAGTTATGACTGGGGTCAAGAAGGCCGATACAGTACATCTTTTAGCCTGCCATCCAGTCTGGAATTCTTGTCATATTGGTTGAAAACCACATCAGGCAAGGGCCAAAATGGCCATCAATATGTTGCTAACCTGTCAAGTCGCTTTGACACTTATACTCCAAAAACAAAACGGTTGAATATTTGGTTCGGAGTCTGTAAGTCTTGCGATTCTTTTTAGTCTACTCATGTTGAAGCTTCCACCCCTTTCAGTACAGGAGATCCGACAACTGAGGATTGTGCCATATTGCTTTGTTCCGTGGGCGCGCGACTGCCGGCAGTCAGCCACCTATGCCGCGCATCGATAGACCACTTCTCAGCTACCCACGTGCCAGCCAACCGGATGGTATTTATATCTCTTCTACCCACCTACTTGCACTGATCACTTTACTTACAGTTTCTCAGTCAACTAGACCTTCACCACACTTCAAGATGAATCCGACCAGTTCTCCCTTGTTACGCATTACGGGCATCCCTTGATTTCGACAGACATGCGATGCGTCAGAAAGCTCGACATTATTGGTTGTCAGCCCTTGACATGGAGACACGACGCAGGGTGAATATGTGCGCATACCTGTCCTCAATTCTAATTTTACTCTTCGGGTATTACATTCATAATATTCCCCTGTGTTCATTTCTGGATCAATGGCCTAGTCAGGGATACTGAGGCTAATCGGGGTCCCTTTGTGGTTTAACTCTTTTCTACACCGCTTCCGACGTACCACTCCCGAAGCACTCCCAGCCCATCATCAGCACCCATTAAGTCTTATTTAAAGCGACCCCCTACCCCTCCCACCTCCCCCCATTCCCAGTGCAAGGATCGTCCTCAAGACGCCAATATTCACAACACCCCCATCTTCCATAGCGTCTAACCTTCTCAATCCTCGGGTAGGTCTACTCGTACAAGTCCATGCCTTGATCAATCACTTCGTCAACTCTAAACAATGTCGACAAACATTTCCCACGCTGGCCAAGGATTTTTTGTACAGACTATCACAGACAGGGTGAGACTTGGCAAACAGCCACAGTGGTACGTGACTGACATGTAAAGGGGTGTGTGATGTGCAAGGGGGTAAGATTATCCGGAATCCGCCACATACATTACCGAAAGCTAGCGCAGGAGCGGTGACTTGGTTCTGGCGATGTTTAAAAGGCAGCGGGGGCCCAACCTGGCTTTTCAACCCCTCATTTAGCAACATCGCATCACCACTTGAGCGGTCTGTTCGTTCCCGGGCGTTGGCGTTGAAGGCGTTGAGGCGACAATTTTCTTTTGATATACCCGGTTTTAAAGTGTATATTTATATTTGGCGCCAATTGAATCTGGATCCTTCGGCCAATCGGTAGCATTACTGGCGACAAAGCAGATCACGTCACAGATCTGCTAATGAGCCAAACGCTTGACCTTTGATGATATCCGGCGCAGATTCTCCCACGGGATTCATCCAACTGGCCGTGAAATGGCAATCAACCCCTGTAAATGCGGGTCCGTTCATGGTCTAAAATGCTCGCTCAACTTACAATCTCGTCATTGTTTTCTCTTTGACTCTATCCCCCTAGAGTGGTGCAGGTACACACAGTGTGCCGGGGATGATCTCTCTCTCAAAAACGCATTGTATACAAAAGAAAACGATAAAATCGACTGGTACACCGAAGAATTCCATGAAAAGGGACCCAAAAGAAAACAGGTTTACCTTTGGCAATGTGTATGTCGATTTTCAGTAGTCTTTACGTTACTAATATCTGGCTAGTGTCAATGTGGTCAAGGCAGTATGCCTATCCGCTCAGAATTCTGTCGTACATGTGGGATACCACGCTGTGCATACTGCCCAGTGTCCAAGGTCAGAATTTAATGCTGCCTTGCAGTCTAAAGTCTGTGGTTGTACCAGCAGTGAATACAGTACAATACACGACCAAGTTCTTGGGAAAGGGGTCAACTCGCTCGTTAACGGTCAATTTCAAGTAGACATGGTACCAAAAAATGCCTAAATGGGCGGCAAGGAGTTCAAAATAATGGGTTAAGGTGCTAGTGCTTTCTTGAAGCACGCTAGAGGTGAAAGGTCGAAGTGGAAAAGTTTTTCAGCAAACGAATTTTCTTTCAAATGTCGGGCTTTTAAATGCCACAGCAGCCTCTTGCTTATCATAGGCAAATAAACCTTGTCGCAGCTCATATTATATTTCCATGTTGTCTTTTTTGATGTAGAGACTAAAGACCAGCATTATGGAGGCAACAAAGCACTAGGACTTTTCAACAGAGTTATGTAATTCTCTGCATCTCACTTCGTACTACCGTTGATTTGGACGTTCCTGGAGCCAGCAATGGTAGCGAATGCAAGGCTGGCTCTGAGCGTAGTTATCTTCTTAATCATGAAGCAAGCAGAGTGTGGTAAAGAAGCATCGGGAAATCAGTGCCCAGTGACCCTCGTGAAAGTAATAAGCCACGTGAGATAAGAAGTCCACTTCCAATAGGAGAAGCCCTCATTTCAGTTCAAGAAGAGTTTGCCGACATACCGAGTCCACGATGCTTCTAAGAAAAGTAATTACCTCGAAAATAGAGAACAATGACTTCGACCTCAAAAAGAATGAAGTCAAAACAAAATAATTGAAGCAACCTGTTCTTTCGTACAACTGCTTGCTAAGCGAGAGTAAATCTTCCTTTCTAAAACTAGACTGACATTAGTGACTTGAAAAATACAGCGGCGGCTGACAGAAAGCCTATTGGATAGGGACCTGACGACAACGTGTTGAATGTACTTACTAGTGGCTCGGATGATTTGGCTTTGGGCAATGCAGAGATAATCCTGCAGGCTCCGGCCAATATGGAATTGAATTTGCACAAAAGGCAGCAAATGCCCAAGCAAAAGTCAGAAGAGAGCCCATGAAAAAGGGAAAGCTTCTTAGAAACCCTCAAAACCATACAGAAAGGTACATCAGTAACTGGCACATGCAAACGTGAAGAAACACATACTCAATGGCCGGAGAATGGAAAATGAAAGCAGTGAACAGAAGCGCAAATGGGCCTCTGACATGTGGACGGATGCAAAAGTTTAAGCCAACCTCCTCCATCCTGGCATCAAGCACCCTAGCTAGCCTAGCCTTGAGGTACTTCAATTCGCGAAATCCAAGATTTCTGACGAGAGGAACAAAAGGCTAGCGATGATAAGCTACGCAGATGCTGATAAAGGATCGGTCGATCTACATGGGCGAATATGCAAAAAACTGTGAAAGAGCTTTAACGAAGCCTGTTTAAGTTTCAAATCTTCCTGGAAAAGCGTGTCTCAGACTTCAAAACAAGAAGGAAACACATCACTGTGTAAAGAGAATATTTCTCAATTTTTTAAGATAAGAGCCCCGGAACCTTTCTTATTTGCCTTACGTTCGATGATACATAGCATTGCATAGTCTACAGCATAATACGAAAGGAAGCCAAGGATAGCAGTTAATCATACTGGCTTTCCTCCTTATAAATGGCTCTGGGCAGGTAAATCGAACTTCATTGGATGAATATGTCGCTTTCGGTGAACAGCTCGATCGAGTGAGCGACGTTGAGAATATTCCTGGTAGATTACAGACCATAGCTAATTAATCTTACGAGGGCAACTACTTAGAATACGAACCTGTTATGTTGACTTAGCCTGCTACGGCTGTTACTCAATCTCCAAGCTAGATAGAGCAAAACTATTACCGATCTACATAGAAACATAAGCGAGGAAGAGAATGATTTAACACCTTGGGTTAAGGCCAACCTAATTCACTTACTCATTAAGCATGTCAGAGGTTTTGTGGCACAGAGTGAAGAGGTCAGATAGTAGGGATTATGATGGTGACTGCATTCACCTCTGGCCTCTCAACCCCCTTATGGGATTGAGAGCCCATCTTTTTAGCTCCCTGGTTGGGCACTGGTTCGCCCGGCATCATACCACCCATGGCATACCTTCCGTCCCGTCCCCTCATCCATCGTACCACCTTCTGACCACCGACCGCCGACTTCCCCAATTCTGCGCGTGAAAAAGCAGCAGGGAGAATACACGAAGCAAAAAGATCAGAAAGAGCGAAAGCGAGAAGTATTTAACTTCCTCCTAAAGTAGGTACCTAAGGTAAGCGAGGGTATTGTAACTAAACTCATGGACGAAACTATTACACATATTACTTTTATAATTTCTCGTAGGAAATACTAACTTGCTACCGAGCTTGTTATTGATGAGTGACTGGGGGGGATCTCTAGGCTTCGCGTCGGTAGTATCGTAGATATTCACGACTATCTGAACAAACATCGTTAGTGAGCTCGATGATATTGGGCTGAGCGTTGGCAAGTTCTCCTTGTCATCAGATCCTACCATCCTCCATAGCTAATGATAAGCAGTGATAAATATTCAAAGAGGAAAGTTTCGATGTGAACTCGCATTTTTTCCTACCCTATACACCTTTATTCCTATCTAAGATTGAGCCTGAGTTCTGTGAGGACGTCACCCAGCTCAAAGAGGCTAGTGATCATCGTTATGTGACGTTAATGTTAAGGGCGACTTTGGCGGGGACAATTTTCTTTCCATTTCTCTTCCAAATCAATCAATCAGGAATTATTCTTTCGTTTTCTTTTTTCATGTATGAGTCTACAAAGCTTGCTGCATCCGCCCATGACGCCTGCTTGACCAACGCCAATCCATCAAATTTCGAGAGCAAGTGTTACGGCAGGGATAACTGGATTCAGTGAGCTCGTAGCTTAAAAACATGTCTTATCAAAGGCGACCACGGGTTTGTGTTTCGCATGAGAGGAAGTTTGTCATGATTAACATGTTGTCTTGGGGTACCCAAGGTTGAGAAAAGTTGTCATCTCATGCAGTTCTTGAGCTTAAACACTGAGGGCGCCTCTTCAGTATCTCCAGATATGTTCTGAAAGCCAGATACGATGCGTAAAGTAAGGAGGGGTTATATGACACATTTTACAAACTCTCCAGAAGCAGTCAAGCAAGGGCCTTTCGAGCTGATTAAGATCGAGGTGCTCAACCATATTGATCAAGGCAAAACCGATAAAGAGTACTAGAAACATTGAACACTGCTAGAATTGACAGAAGAAACAAAATGAAAACGGAACATAGTGCCAGACTCACAAAAGAAAGTTAGCCGAGGTCTGTATTGAGATAAAGACACATGATTAGGCTGCATTGTGTAGTTACAGATGGCTCATGGCTCGTGAGCCAGACATATCGAAGGGGCTGGCCGCAATTGGTTGTCGCATCGAACTACCCGATTCTGCTCTCAATGGTTGACTCCTCTGACACCAGAACCAAACATGGCAACCAAGCCGGGTTGTTTGACCGAAAAACAAGTTTTGTGCTTCCTCCAACGAAGAGCGTCTGGCAAACCGATCCCTGGTTGTTACTTCACATGTCAGGTGGAATCCTCACGAGGACTCAATAACCGTTGCAGCCCAACCTTCACATTCCATTACCACCACGCTGACTTTTCTCACGACGTTGCAAGTCTCTTTCAGCAGCCACATCGCAGCCGCCTTGCAGTCGCTGACATCCGAAATATTGTGCTTGTCGCAAAAGGCCTTTGCAGGGCCTGGGGCTCTGAGGCCGGCTGGGATGATTTGTTCTTGGAAAAAGTAATGTGTGAATATATGCGTTATTTTTTGGAAACACCATCAAGTCTGTAGGGTCTTGCCATTCATTTTGACCAGCTCCATGACCGATGGTGTGCATGCACCCGAACTCCCAGTCTTAACAATTGGTAATATCTGGTCACGAGATGGACATTGGAAAGAAGGGGGTAGGCAAGTAAATCAATCGTGGCATGCGTCTGTTTGTTGAAGCAAGTTCGGTGAGGTCGCCTTCAATTGCCTTATGCTTGTGGTTGGACAGTTGAGATTGCTGTCAGCATATTGGTCGCCTCAGTATCATGTTCAGCCAGTCCTTCAACGCTGTGGGTGCAGACAAAGATAGTCATACCCAATGACAGAGAAAGCTCTCTCGTAGTTGTACACCCTCCGCTCACGCTTAAATGCTTTTCTTCCAATTTCAGGCTTTGAGAGGCCAAGCTACGAGTATGCCTCTACAACACCCAACCCACCCATTCTTAGGGCAGCAATGCAGGGAGTCAGTGTAAGGTCCAGTTGCAGCCGGCCAATTTAATTTCTTCAGCAACTCCCAACCACTCCCATAAAATACTAGACCTCTCTTGTACGTCACTCGAACATCTGCCCTGATGTGCACATGGCAACAAGCTTACTGCGATTAAGGATTACCGACTTGGAGTACATGAATTAGAAACCTATTTATTTAGGCCATGATCTGCCTTCTTATCTCGAGTTCTCACATTTTCTTTTGTCTCATGCAAGCCTCTTCTGCTGCTGTGATGTCATCGATAGGAAGTACTCAACCCAGCACAATACTTCTCTTACTAAACCCGAAATCCCTCACTCCCTGACACCTCAAAAATCAGTGGCCGCGAAATGAACCAGCCACCACCGCGATTCCCCGCGCGACCGCCATTCAAATGGGATCATGCTGTTTACGAACGAGACACCGAAGAGCCTTCTCGTCTCGACACACGTTCCGGTCACAAAGCCCAATTCGGTGATCAAGCTACGCATGAGAGTTTACTAGACCTTTTTCTCGATACTGGAAGCTTCTCTCTACAGTCTGCCTACGAGCCCTCTGTTTTCAAACGCATCTTTAAGGAAGATACACTGGAAAATATCCGTGATGGCAAGCATGGGTTTCAGGACCCCCAACAGCTTGTGGCATGGCTACATGACAGGAACTGCGACAATCAACCGCGGCCGACAAACGGATCCAAAACTGGCGAAGAGTTCCTGAAGCTGATAAAGCTCAAGGTGTGTAGACGTTTAAAAGGGTGCAGAGCCAGCCACTAAGCTTCTTACTCATAGCGCTTTAAACAAGATGGAATGGTCGATGCCCACATAAGGAGAATGTGAGATATATCACCGTATCGACACATCAAAATCAAACTAATAAGATCAAGCTACATACCGAACCCCAATGAATCGGCTCTGGGGATCCTTGCTTTAAGAGCGTCTGAACATCAGACTCCGGCTATTAAGTCATTGATCTTCAAACATCTGGAAGCAGATACGTCGATCAGCCTCCAATCAACGGTAGGAAAATACACTTGAAAAGAACTCGAAACGAGCAACTAATAACGCATGTTTGATTTAGCCGGAGGGCGAATTCATACTGGAATTCCACATGCCGTATTTCGCCTGGCGCAAGACTTCGTACCTTGTGAATGACTCCCGTACTTTGACTAACAACAATCCGTTGAGAAGATCCTTCGATTTGTCTTTTTTGTCAGAAACTAAGATGGAAAAGCTTATTGTTGAAAAGAACAACTACCTCTATGAAGCTCATACTGCTTTCTGCATTACAGGACGAGCTACTTCCGTTTGGACAGCAGTGTGCCTGGCAGACACTTTCTTCGACGAGCAAGATCCTAACAACGAGCAAATGCTTTCGTACTACACTAACAACAATGATTCAGATCCAATGTTTTACGACACCGATGCTCTAAGTGTTGGTGAACTGACCGCAGATGGGGTATCGGTGACAGATCCACGAGAGTATTTCCTCCTGATTGCAAAGTCACAAGTTAAGAAGGCTGGAAAAGAATGGAAGGACATTTGTGGGTGGCTAAAGCTGAAAGTTGAGGAATACGTATGTAAAGAAGTGATTCAGTCTATCACCTGCCACCAAAAGCAAAGAATAATAAGGCCCGAGTACTGTGCAGTCACTGTATCATTACTAACCGACTAGCTATGCAGCTTCAGGACCCCCATATACCGTTGCATCGACGACAAACATCCTTTGAAACTGCAGCCGACGAGGCAGACACGGCAGAGAAGAGCGAGGCTTGGCTCAAGCAGATTGACGAATTACTCACTCGGCTGATCACTACGCTTTCAAAAGCAATCCGTGCATGGAACAACTTCGAGCATCGCGATGTAGCCCGGCTTGCCTCTGAAGACAATGAAGATTTGTCTGCACGTATCAACGATTCTTGTGACCACATTAGGGAGTCTATTTATGAGATGGAAGATGCCCTGTCAGGATTGAAAGACTTAAAGTCTCAGGTTGAGAACTTCAGATTCCAGGTGAGGCAGAAATTCCCGATATTTAGAGACTTGGCTAAACGAGTATCATGCAGTTTTCAACTCACATCAACGTCAACAACTACCGAGCTATTGTACTGCAGCAATCAAACACCACAATAGTACGTAGGCGATGCTCCCTATGATCTTTTCGGCATCTACAAGCCGCATACTTGTCTTTTCTGGATGTTTTGTTGTCATTGTATCACGTACTAACGGTGAGGTTCAACTCATCTAGTTCCAAGTTTTCCCCAAGGTTGTCATAATCGGGGTAATAAAACAGACAACCATCCAAGTCGGAACCATAATCTACTCCACTACCATCAGTGTAATCAGGATTGCTGGAATCTTCGCCACCTCTGCAAAGTCATTCATTATTGAATGGTTGACACAGATGGCACAAGTAACTCAGCGCAGCAACCAGCCCCCGGTCATAACTGAGGAGGCGATGCCGATACCAAATGTCAGATCGTCAACCACGCAGGCGTTTTATTCTGCCTCAGCTTCTTCGCCGCGTGTTTCTAGAAATCGAAGTCGAAATCTCTATCACGAGAGCGATTCCGATAATATCGCCAGTTCAATAGGTCTTGGCCACAGGAGAAGACCGAGGTTCGGTGGAAATGGGCCCAACCCTCGTGGGAGAGGCACACACCGGAGTATGACGGATTTTATTTGAGACGAACGCCTGAAAAGGCGATTGAAAGCTGTACGGGTATGCATAAGATGATTGAAAGAATTTCACTCATCCTCAAGAGATATATGGTTAGTAATCATCTGCCGAGGCAGTGCGGAGGGCTCACGTTGATGATTATTCGATCAGGCTGTGCCTAGAAGCTCAGGTCAGCTCTTTACGCGTATAAGCGACCCATCAGCAAAAAGAAGTATTCTCTTTGGCTCGTTAGACTCTCCTTATGCAGGACATCTAGATGGGTGGGGCTTCGAAATACAGCAAAAAGAAGGTTGGTTAGGCGAGGGACAGATGACCGTTCCGCAAACTGTGACTAACTGGCTGCAGGGGCTTTAATGCCAATTTGGGGACCGGAATGGCAGTATGTTGGGCATAGATGTTGTTCTTTCTAGGTTCTACAATGGGGAGGAAATGGGGTTACCTTTTGATGTTTACTGGGGGGCTGTAGGCTGTTGGTTTCACGAGCGTCAGCTGTCTGCTTTTTACCAATACCAGAAATGAACCGGAAAATTCCACAGGAACTCTGAGAAATCTTGATGTGAAGAATATCTGGGGGGGACCATTTAGAAGCAGCAAATGTTTCAAGGTTGCTTAACACTGCTAGTGGTGCTGAAGTAGCAAGTCTCAAGAGAATGTGAAAATAACTCGTTATCTACAGGCGGATGGACTAAACCCCTATCCATGCAAGATTTTACACTGTTCTGACTTTTCTTTATCGTAGTCTTCGTAAAAGCCGGTCCACATGACACGGTTGGCGCATCTCGGCTGGTCCTCCTTTTCAACTGCATCATTAGGGCATTCGGGCAAAGATGCCTCCCACTGCTGCTTACTCCGCGATATCCACGGCTTTGGGAGAGGCCAGTCACTAAAGTGGACGAGATACGATCTCGAGACCTCGGCCATGGCATTCCATTCCTCGTCCTCGTCCGGTGCGAGATACTTTGAGTGGTCCTTGGCCCGAAACTCGCCCGTAAGCAAGGCGAGTCTCCTATGTGGTAGGATCATGGCGGAGTCCCGGAACATGTGGTTGATGACCTCCATGTCAAAGTCGCCAGATTGCTTCGCTTCGTTGATGATTTTGTGGTAGCGCGCTTCGTTCGGTTCAATAAGCATCACGTGAGACCCCAGCACCTGTTTTGCGATATCCGCGTTCTTCTCGTTGAGCCAGTATGCTCTCGGCACAGCGACGGGGGCCGTAGGGCTAAGGAAATAATGGTCCATGCTGTTTAGGACAAGAGAATCGGAGTCGAAAGCTAGTACTCGCGTCCATTCGGTCAAGCCAAAGGCGTGGAACTTGGTGAGGCTGTCGCGCCAGGTTGAATCTCCTTTGCTAGTGGAAATGACATCGAATGCGCGCATGTTGATTTCGGGACGTGCTTCCTTAAGCTTTGCCAGTGCCTTTGCTTCGCCGGATTGCTATATGGGAACCAAACTATTAGTTGCAAGCAGCGGGATCGGTGGTTGTCGTTACCTACCCCTTCCGACCAGCTTTTAGGGTGGATGAGGACGAGGTCTTCCTTGGCACCATAGCGTCGCAAAAGACCAAAGTTGATTACCTGGAAAGTTCGTCGTCAGCTTGGTGCTCTTCTCCGAGATAGCCTGTTTGACTAACCGCATTGCACAAGTAGTCGAGGTTAGTGACATACTGCACGTATGCAAACCTCGGTTCTAGCTGTTCAGTTGTCCAGGTTGGTTTCCATGGAGAGGCTTCGATAATGTTGGTTACGACAGGCGGTAGAGATCGAGGCGACAGATAAAGAAATGTCGAGAATAATAGGAGGCAAGCTAGAGAGACACTGGCGAAGATTTGAACTCGTCTTGGAAGACCGAGAAGATGCTTCGAGATACTTTGGAACGGCATCCTTCCTTGCCTACCTTTTACCTGCTTGTAATCACCACGACATGAGCAGGTTAGGTGATTGCCACACTTTGCAGACGACACTTAATACCGCTGTATCGCTTCTGCTGCTTATGGGGGCAAATACCTTTAAGGGAGTCCATCTGGGACTCAAGATGCGGACTAGGACCCATTTGTAACTAAAGCAGGCCTTGGCACTCCTCGGAAATACCTACTTGTCCTCGGCGTCACCGCAAATTTGTTCTCCGCCAATGCGGCGATGGCAGAGCGAGTGAGCTAGGTAGTTGTGGCCTACCACTCCCTGGTAACTCGGATCCACCTGCGTCGTTGGGTGTGGTGAGTTTAAAAGGCTTCTCTAGTGAAGTAGCGCAAGCCTCCTACAAAAGAATCTTACGCAGGCTCTCGCCCTTCAGCTGCCATAATTAGGGGGGGGGGGGGGGGGGGGGGGGAAGTGTCTTGAATAGTGAGGCAAGCCCTTTATTCCCTCCTCTGCCTTTAGCAGCAAGTCCGTCGCCGCCACTAGCTGGTGCACTACACTCTTCAGCGGCTCATTCTATATGGTAGCCGGAAGTCGAATACCAACTATTCTCAGTTCGTCTAGTTCAATTCGATGATTATAATCGCATCAAAATTTTCACTCTACAACTCTACACTTGATTTGAATGTCATCCCTTTAATGTTGCCACATGGCTGGGGCTACATCGGATCCGAGACACTAGGGGTGCTGGACTGCTGTTTCGAGTGCCTCTAGAACATGATCAGGAGCCAGCCTGCTTTTGTCACGCAAAACGCTGTTCCTATAATTCGTCCTGGCCTGCAAGAAGTAGTGCGAAGCCTTGAATGTGTGATGCAAAATGTGAACCCACCCTACCAGCTATCTCCCTCCTTGCTTTATCCCTGTGGGCTTCTTGTAGTGACACTATCGGCGCATACTTCTGCGTCATGCAACGTAAATTTGTGTCCAGAAATGGAAATTTGACACCGAGGTTCAACTTTGTGAAATAATTCGTATCCATTCAGCACAGACGATCGACGGCCACATTTTCGGGGCCTAGGAGAGGGGCCACTTATCGTGAGCGGGTAAAGCTCTGGGCTCTCACTACCGTCACCTCGTATGTAAATGACAACGAGTGTGGCGCAGGGCTAAGAAGAGTTCTAACAACCTCTGTTGGGGGGTCCCTTGGGTAGTGTAAAGAACCACTGGATCGTTAGCGTAGCAAAAAGTGGCATTCGGAATCTAATTCCCGTACCGACATGGTTTTTGCACACAAGCTTAAATGAAAGAAATCAAGCACGAGCCACCCGAGTCTCTCGCAAAATCCTCCATCCGGGTTAGTACCATCTGTAAAACTGCCCACATGTATGGGGCACTCTCACTAAGATTCTATCGTAAAGGCTTGCGTATCCTTGAGTGGCGCATATCATATACACACCAGTCAAGTCTTGGCCCGCTCTAGGCAGCAGAATACGAACTGTTGGTGGAAACAGATGACGGTCTACTTTGCACGTGGGGTTCCACTCTGGCAAAGTAGGTACCGGAGTGTCCAAGAGACACTGCGTAGAGTTACCCCTCCTAAACCAGGAAAGGCCCAGTATACCTAATGACATGCCGTCTCTTTAATGACCCCTACATGGATAGCATTGGTTTCGGTTCCGGTTTAGAACCCTTGAAGGCGTACAAGCCATAACGGCTTTTTCACAATCGACATAGCCGCTAGATTCTGATTTGCGGGATGAGAACATTAGGTCCTTAGCTTCTGACAGCGTTTTCGGCATTCTCGTTGTTTTTGCTGTAAATCATCTTATCCGCCTACAGATGGACAATGAAGCTGGGAGCAACATCCATTATGCATCTTGCACTGCAACAAGCAGTCTAATACTGGTTAGCTCATTCTTTCAGCTCCCTCCAAAGTCAAGCCAAACTAACTCGCCAGGTAGCTCGTCATCCAGAACTCGGTCTCACTTCTCGTACCTAACCCTTTACTTGAACTCCCTCAGATGCCATGTTTTCATGATGCTGACATAAGGACGCCCGCAGCTACTGCATAGACTCCAACAGCGGACCGACGAAAACCAAGATCGATATGAACCGCTCACAGTGGTGATATTCTCCGAAGCACTGAAACTACTAGTTTCTGTTATTTGGCTCGGCTATGAAACTCGCACGACATCGCAAGTGAACGGTACGCCACGATACCTCGTTGGGAAACTTCGAGACGGGCACATAAAATCTGCTACACCAGCACTGCTCTATACCATTGCTGCGGCATGCCAGAGCATAGGGGCGCATAACCTCGAGAGTCTGTCTTTCGTTGTGCTCTCTCAACTCAAGCTTATTTTGACGCCACTATTCTCCTTTGTCATTCTGAGACAGGTTTTAACATCGACACAATGGCTATGCCTCCTCGTCATGGCTAGTGGGATCATTCTTGTCCAGCCAGCCGCCGCTTCCTACAGAGTTGCGGAAACGGGAGACAGTCACGGTGCATTGGTGGGAGTGCTAGCAATGGTCATCTCGGGCGTCTGCGTCGCCTTGGCTGGGGTTCTCATGGAAACAATACTCAAGACGCCCAACAAGTTCGTTGCGCGAAATGCCCAGCTCGCGGCCTACAGCTGCTTCTGCGCCGTTGTGGGGGTTTTGGCTCGACCGGCATCGATAATGACGGGTTCGGGCAACAATTACCAGATCTCGTTTTTCCACGGGTACCACTCTATGGTCTGGATTTTTGTACTTCTCCAGGCTGCAGGTGGCTTTATCGTTGCATGGTCTGTCCGGACCACGAGCACGGTAGCGAAGAACTACGCCCAGGCTGTTGGCTTCTTGATTGCATCAGTAGGGCCCACGTTATTATCATCCAAAGACGTGCCACATCTAGTCAGTCAACATCCCTAGCCGCTGGACCTTTGCTAACTTTTCTTAGACATGGATTAGAATCGGCTGTGTGTTGGCTGGTGTATTTGGCTCAGTCCATGGTTCATTAAATGCTTCGATGAAGAGGAGGACTGCAACGAAAGAAGGAGAAGTTAATCAGGATCCTGAAAAAGCAGAAGCACACCCACGAGATAGCCTTGATAGACGGTTGTCTTAGGGATGCTTCAGACTATCACCATCGTAAAATCGCCGAAACATGAAAATAACTGGCCAAGAAAACTGCTTCTACGGCCCCCTGTGCCAAACATTGTGTGGCATAGGGAAGATTGGATGGATATTCCCACGTTAGTTCTATCTTTTTACAGCACCAACTTGTGACGTGCTGGACGGTTCCGATGAAAGCCTTAACAGAGAGGCCACTGTCTCGGCCGAAGTACATGGAGCCCCCCCAAGACGGGTGCCGCGGGTAGCACAAGCTGTGTTCCGTACCGTACACAGCGCAGGTAATATGTTCTGTTGCATCTACTACAAGCGTACGTTGATGGTGTTTGTTCGCGCAAGATAGACTAGACCCATCCGTCCGAAGCACTCACAGCAACCTCGAGGAGCGGGAGGGTTTGGGGGCCAGGCCGAGGTCAAACATAGCCCTGTTCGACAAACTTTGAAATTTTCTCCGGTCTACCCACTGAAAGATCCTCCAAGCCAACAGTGTAATCATCTATTTGCAAGGAGCAGTAGATGTGGCGATGCACCAGGTCCCATTCGACACACGTACCACGCAGTCTTGGCTTTCTCCCCAACCCCTTGAAGGATATTGGAAGGAATTTCCCCGTTGTTTCTTTCAAACTCGTATTCCCAATCTAGTGGTTCCAATCTTAGCCGAAGATGGCAGTCGATAAGGTGCATTTTGGATCCCCCATACGGGGGTGTCTTTTTTTGTTTTTTTTTTCCCCTTCTTTTTTGCGCAGTGACCTATTTTTTATAACGTCGCACACCCACTTCTCGCACACCCCCACATTTCGCACACCCATAAATTGGGTCATCATGAGGTATTCATCAACTTCATAACTATAAGTCTGATTCGTCTCCTGCAACTGTGATACTATCGCCAGTTTTAATAGGTAATTCAGGCTCGCTAGATTCATCTGAGCTATCCTCAATTTCGCCAGCCTCAATTTGGGCTTTGTGAATTGCCTCAATGTTGGCAAACTTCGAATTTGGGCTCATTTGGACCTTACGCCGCTTCCGTACCATTCCAGCCTCAACTTCTGCTTCCAACATTGCAATCTTCTTCTCTGCTGTAGCCAATTGATAGTCCTTTTCATCAAATCCCTTTTGAACCTTCCGAAACAACAGTCGCTGCGTTTGCTGATCTTTATCCAACTTGCTGAATAAGCTAAGTTGATCATATAGATCAACTGTCTTCTTGGGCGTTGACCAGGCTACTATGGATGTAGCAGATGCCCAGTTTTCGTCTTTTCCACCATCAGAGGCCCTCATAGGCGTAGAATAGCCTGGCTTTGAGGGCTTGGAAGCATTCTCAAGCAGTAGAGGGCTCATGAGCGGTCGAGCTATCGAAATGGGCCATAGTCCTGTTGCTTTCCAGCCGCTTCTGATATTCTTGCTTGAAAATGCCATCTGGCGTGCTTTTCCATAGCAGGTAAGAAAGTTCCGTTTGCCTACAACTGTAGAATCGTTGTGTTGAATGAGGTATCCAAGCTCTTTTCGATAGGTCGCCTTGAGAGGCCCAAAGACTGCTTGGTCTAGAGGTTGGAGAACGTGGGATGTATGTGGCGGTAGGAAAAGGAGATATATCTTGTGTTTATAACAGAGATACATAAATTCTGTTGTTTCATGACTGCCATGACCGTCTAGGATCAATAGTCTCTGCTCAGAGGGATGATCAGGCTTAGTCAGAGGGATAAAGATGTTCTCAAGCCATTCCACAGCTGTAGAGTCTGAAGTCCAGCCATTCTCAGTTGCTGTGAACTTCCAACCACTGTAAATATCACGTTTATGGATATCAAGAGGAAACCATTGTTGTTGAACCGATTTCCCTCGATAAATAACAAGTGGAGGAAGCGCCTGACCAGTTGCAGAGACACACTCAAGCATAGTTGTCCAAGCCCGAGACCCAGGCTGTTTTTTTCGCATTGATGAGCTTTCTGATGATCCCAGTACTAAGCCATTTGATCCTCTGCCTTCTAGGATACCAGTTTCATCCATGTTATAGCGATGATGTGGTTTGATCGCCTTGATCTCTGGAAGGGCGAGTTGTTGAAACCATTGCCTGATTACATTAGTTGAGGCCCCATTGACACGCTTAGAATCGATGGCTCTAGCTCTATGAACCTTGATTGATGGATTTCTCTTAATAAAGAACTGAATCCAGTTTCTCCCAAGTGGCTGGGTAGTGCCTCTGATGTCTAGGATTCGCTGGGCAAATTCCTTGAGTTGTTGATGTGTTGGCGGCAGCCCTAACGCCGCCTGGATACGCACCCATTCAGCTAAGTGACTTTCCTGTGCTGGAGATAGCTTCTGGAAGCTAGAGAAAGCTACATTTCTTGCCTGTGAACCCTTTAATCGAGACTGGAGGGTTGATGGTGGAATTCCAGCATCATGAGCTGCCTTTCGGACACTCTGCCCACTTGCAACTGCATTGAGAGCTTGATTGACTTCTGTTTCCGTATACTGGCCCATTAAGCGTATAAGAGTAACTATTCAAAGAATTATAATAATCGCTGTAAAAGTGGTGAAGATATTAAAGAATGTTGAAGAGGGTAAAATTCTACATGAGCGATTTATGGGTGTGCGAAATGTGGGGGTGTGCGAGAAGTGGGTGTGCGACGTTAACGGTTACTTAAACCACACTGGAAAACCCGCTGCCGGGGGAACCAAATCTGGTGGCGGCGGGCACACAACTGGCAAAGGCTCCACCATAGCCAATTCTAACCGCAAAACAACTGAGTTCGCTTCCCGAACCCCCCGGGGCTGGGGCTCGACTGGATCCAAACTGTTGGCCCAAATGTGGCTGGCTGATACGTATACTTCAACAGGAACCCAAATTCTATTTGCTAGCCGTCAAATCCCTTTTGAGAAAGTAAACTGCCATTAAACCGCCTACAACAAAAGCCCGACAACTTAGGGCGGCCGGTGAATGACCTGATTCATTAAATTAGCCATTCATTCAAGAAGCATGCGAAGAGTCTGCCTTCGCGAAGCCCGAATAGTACAGCGGAGCAAGGGGGTTAGTGTTACACAAAAGTGGGCCCCACTATTGCAGTCCAGCAATTGCGCCTTAGCAGGTGCGCCTTATTGTGTTCGTCTCACAGGTGGCCTCAGCGATTCAACGGTTGGTAGTTAGCCTCGGAGGCCGCGTGTAAAATCTCTACAGTCTACAAGCAATGGGCTGCCAAGCAAACACGGCATCCAAAAAAGCGTCAGTGGACCGTACTATTTCCTATACACGGATACCTAGCTTAAGAAATCCCATCAGTTTTAGTCCCATGTCCGTGCTGTCATGGACCCCGCTGCTGGCGCATTAATACTGTTCATTTGTGGGCTAGCTCCACAGTTCGCTTTAGTCCCTTTTAGGCTAAACTTACCGCAGTCTTCAACTTCAAGAAGCCGACTTCATAACATTCGGCGGCATCTGATGGTTTGGTCACACCGGACTCGGTAACTAAATCAGCGAGCAACAGTACCAGCGAGATAATCTAACTGTAGGGTAAGGTATGCTACAATCCCAGGTGTTGTAGCCTCTGGGTATCAGCAACGTTCCGCGCAACACCATTGGGGCCCAGCAGCGTGTTTGTTCGTGAAGCTACCTAATGGCTTGTCAACTGATAGGCTTAGAGCGCTAGGAGTTTTTCTAACTGGCTTAGAAAATTAAACAAGAATTAAAAGAGTGGCCAACAGGCTATACAGCGAGGTAGAAATATGTAGGCACGAACTCTTGGATACCTGCAGCTTTACCTAGCCCACTAAACTTCTGGCGTCTGTGGTGCAAGAGCCAAAAAAACGGAAAATCTTGGTGAGCTCTGTTCACTTTTGAGTTATTTCGCAGAAAAGTCGCTTAGCTGCTCCTCAGATCCCAGGCGGAAATGAATCAAACTGTTGATAGTTTTAGATTACACTGATAATATGCTTCCGCAGTTGTGATGACAGTCTTCCCCATCTATGCACACAATATATCCCGAATTCTCTAGGGTAAGGCTGACACTGAATGAAACAGCCAGAGTCGCAACAGCTACGTGATGGAGACTCCCATGCTGACCAGAAGCCCCAATCGCTGATTCACCCCTTCTGGATTGCAAGTTTGGGCTTCTCGTAAAGGCAACTGAGGGAAAGATCAGCACATCAGAAGCAACTAGTACACTGAACCATCCACGGGGCTTGTACCTATACTTGAAGTGGGGAGGCACATGCCACCAGCCCTCACGGAGAATACTACCATTCAAGGCCAGGAATTGCGAGCATAAGGGGGAGCTCGAGGTGTTAAAGACCATCGGGGAAACACTTGGATGCAGCTAGCAGGCTAGCTGCAGCAATCAAATAAGAATGGTGGTGGTAAGCTGTATCAGCCACCAAAGAAAATGTGTTCCCGGTGTACTTGCATTCATGCCAAGCATCAGGCCTGTTTAGTGGTGCCCGAATCATCTGAGGACGCTTTCTTTTGACCAGGCCACGCTGCAATAATGAGATCACTTGTTGTTGTAATATGCGTTGTCAAAAGTCCAACTCACATATTTTTGTTAGTTGGGGATTTCTTCCATCAAAGGCTGCATGACAGCATGCCTGCTGTTAAGAAATCCTTCCGCCTTTCTCGAACACATTATTCTCTCGTTCATCCAGATGCTTCACATGACACACAAGAAGTAATAGCAGGCGCAGTGCTATTGTTTCAGCTTTCTATACGGAGTAAACTCAAGCCTTTTAACATTTATAAGACTTTGCACATGACTGGAATGGCCAACGCTCCTTAGGAACATGGCCATCGGTTGTTTGGCGCCACACCGCCACAGCATGCTGTACCCATTCCTCAGACTGTTCTCACATCCTGGCATCATGGCACCTAATAACCCGCTTTAAGTTGCTCCAAAATCCCCCAATACTTTCTGCGCATCTTTATGCTCTCGGAAGTGATTGGCTCTCAGCTTGAAGGGCTGCTACAGCCTCTATCCTATCTAGAATAGGTTTGTTGTCTAAAAAGACCTGAAACTTGGCCATCTTGCCCGCCTCGTCACCTTCCGTAACAAGAGTAGCGAGTGCAGATGCGGGAATGGTGATCTCTACGTTTTGAGGGTCTCCCTTTATGCGATATGAGATTTGCGTCGTAAGCCAGATCCTGTTTTCCACCTTGTCTGCAAGGGTCAGAATCAACCACAGCTCGTATTGTCCTACCCCTGCAATCTTTGGAGCCACGATCCTGGGGGGTTGTAGTGACTTACCAAAACTGCGAGGGACATGCTTCATGTAGGCAAGCGCGGCATAACTGTGGACGAAGTTCTCCTTGATTGTATCGAGGCCTCTGATAACTGGGTTGTTTGCGAATTGTAGTTCGCCGTCATTGGCGAATATGTTACCTAATAATGCAACTTCGAGAGCATCGAAGGTGGTGAAATTCTGTGGTTTTACCTATGATGAGCAGCGCCACTGGCCACTTGGGGGGTTACCAACTGACATTAAGCAGCCACACCTCAACCTCCTCCGGGGTAGTCGGTAGAACTTGCGGAACTGAAGCCATAATAACGTTATGAATTCATGCAAAGTCAATGAAGGTAAGGACAATATCGTGCAATCACAAAGATTGAGACCTGTAAGTCATTCTATATACAGGGCTGTTCTCCATAGCGCTCACATTGGGGGTGCTGAGCGGCTGACAAATTCATGCATTCTTTGTGCATCCTACGCTACTTGCAATCTGCTGACAAATTCCTAAGCTATTAACCCGTCCAGAACGGTATAGGTTGCGACATCTGGTTCGGTAATTCAATCTCGCCATCGACCGGATTTCTCACGTCTTTGCTGGAAATTTAGTACTTCCAAATATCACGGTGTCGACTTTGAGGCAACCTTCCCTGGACCTTCGACCAATACTTCACCGGGAAATGGAATTTTCGCCAGCCCTCTAGCCCAATCTAGCGCAAGAATTTGTGCAATCTCCGCGTCTCTGGACCAGCGAAGCTTCTTGACGAGATTTCCCAGCCGCCTCACCGCATGACGATTGCAGGTGATGGTGGTGTAGCCTGTTTTCCAGCCGAACATGAACGATGAACAATTCGTCTCGTTAAGGGTGGGCTCCACTTCCAAAACAACTTTTGGCAGATTCCCTTTGACGACCTCTTCTCGAACGTCCTCCCTTCGAAAATCCTCGACAATACGAATTGGCAGTTGGAGTTCACCGGGCACTGGGTGACAAGAGAACTTTTGAAGCTCAGCGATAAGCCGCTGTCGTCGCTCCTCGGTTGACGCATCATCTTTCGCTTCGATTGGCCAGCCGTCTTGTTTCAGAACCCGCTTGAGAAAGGACATTTTGTCGTCTTGCTTGCCTCTACGGTTCTCTTGTCCGAGGAGAATCTCCAGCCTGGCGACTTCTTCATCTGTGGAAGCGTCGTATACCATCCGAAGACATGTTTCTGCAGCTTCTCTGGTGCATACGAGGACACGGTTTCCAAGTTTTGGATATAGAGACTTGGAAAGCCTTGGGCCGTGCTCGGTCTCGTCAGCGACATCTTCCAGGATCTTGGTGCGCCATTTTCTCTGATTGCCGTGGTTGTGACAGATGTCTGTTGTTAACGCAACAAAGATAGAGGTATCGATGTTGAGAATTGGTGTCAAAGGAGGTGCATGGTCAGAGTTTCCCAGACTCAAAAGATTCGCAATCGCGGTTTCAAGAGGTGGGGGAGGGTGATGGCTTTCATCAGCGCATTCTAACTTGAGCTGGATTACTTCGTCACCCAGGCTCTTCACCCCCCGTAGAAGCCTGTCTATGGCTGGTTGGCTCCCCTTGTAAATATTCGGCAGGACTATTCGTATGCGATGTGAATAGCCCCCATGAATCTCTCGGGCAGCAGTCAAGAGCTGTTTTGCGGTTTTCAAGACCTCGACCTGGGTCTCCTCGTCATCAATGACTTCTTTCAACTCAGTATCCTCCTCGCCATCGGGCTCATCCCAAGGAAAATCGGCTTCAGCCATTTGAACAAGCAGAACTCGTTCGGTCGTACTAAGAACCCTCATCCATTCATGCCCATTGTCGACAATGGCGCTGACAAATACGGAGCTTGAAATGTCTCCGGGAAGCTTTTTGTATGGCACCGCATAACGGAACCACGTCACCGAGTGGCACTTCTTGATGGCTGCCCAATGGTTCTCATACGACAATAACTCACCCTCTAGAAGCCTTAAATCACGATGGAGGGATCCCTCAGCTTCTACACTTTTGATTGGTTGTTCCAGACGCTGCAATAGTGACTCTGCTCGAATCTTTTGGTTTGCATTTGACTGCCAAAAGGTGCTGAATCCCGGGATGTAAGCATGCCAGTGGTTTTTAACTTTTTCGGCTTCTGTTTCGACGGCTAATCGTAGTCGATCAAGCTCAGCGCAAAGCTTGGCACTGCGTGCTATGAGACTTTGGGCATTTTGGATGAATTCATCGCCTGTTGTTGCCAAGGTTTTGGGCAGGGTGGTGCTTCCGCCGCTGTCGGCTTCGTACATTTAGAGCGGTTTAATCTCGCCTCGGGGTGAAAAGTCTCCCGTTCGAACGTGGAATCGTCTTCTTGCGTTCAACGCACAGGGCAACCGTCACCTGTGATTGTCGACTCTTCTCTTCTTTCTCAGCTCCTGTGTTCTTCTTTGTTGCTTGCTTATCTAGAGGTTTCGGAACTCGATTAACTTGAGAATATGGTATTAACCAAGAATAACTAAAAGCAGTGACAAGTGGCTGGCAAGCTAACTGAACTTGTCTTTGGGGCGAGATGGATGAGTCACGATAAGATCTCAGGACGACGTGGCGATAGAGCACTGGTGATTTCCCTACCTAGTAAAATGTATTGTTCCCGCAATACAATACAATGGCCGGCACCGTTCTTAAACAAGTGCCAAAACAAGTTGTTATAATTAGATGATAGCAGTTGGGAATCTGCGTTTCGGGTGAGACTGAGAGAGAAGAGCAAGAGTCACTGCTCAAATGCTGAAGTCTTCGGTGGGTCCGTCTTTTGATTGACCCATTGGAGAGCACGTGATAGAATCCTGTACCATAAGGTAAGCAAGTAGATTTACGCTGTTTGTCGCTCGATGTAACAACGCAGACATAATTTCTTTAAGAAACTTATGGTCATTTCAGTTTAAAGAATGGAACAGTCCAATCGAATTAAACTACTTCGTCTTCGATCTTCTGTTAGGAAAACCCCAATCGCCACAATTCTTCCTATTAGCCGGGGCCTACAACAGGATGAGGTTTGAGCCGTGGCATAAAACAGATATGCATGAAACAGTGCAAAAGCCAAACATAATGCCAGAAGGTAAGAGATAGCAATAAATACATAAATTGTGTATAATGTCATTATGACTCTTATTCATAAGGGTCCCACGATTATACTGCAGAGTCTTTTGGAGGCAAGATTCACACGTGATATCTCACGTGCCAGACGTCACTGTGACATGCACAACGTAACCACGTAAGTTCGTTCATTTAAATTTTGCTTAGCTAAGTATATGATGGTACATTTCCAGTGGAGGAGACCTTGCAAGGATCAGGTAGTGTTATGCATTAATAGCGACTATTGGCACCTCTGATATATCTGGAATCAACAGAGAATAAATATATTGAATCCTGGGCTCGGATGTCTTGATTGTCCTTCCTACTCCCTTGCCGAAAATGGGGCCCTACCGCCCTCAATGGGACATGGATTATACTATCAGAAGTATATTTAAACTAGAACACATTGTCCAGTATACAACTATAAACATACAAAATAGTACTGCCTAAAGTTGACCAGCTGAGACTTTCCACTCGCCCACGACGCCGCCGACGCCGCATGATTTGACAGAAGGAAATGAAGATATGTGTCAACTATTAGCGCGGTACATCCATAGGGACTTCCTGACGATACTCTGCTGACAGCTGTCGAACTTATCGAAGACTTTACTGTTCTAGTTGCTGCTGCCGAGATTTTCCAACCTTTCTACTCCCTGTTTGGAAATACTACACTGCAATTGTCAGCAGTTTCTCCACCGAGATGTGCGACAAGCTGTGTACTTATAACGTGGAGGACTTGTTCTCACAGTTGAATTTCACAATTAGACGCTGCTTTATATCAAAGTCTACATGGAAGAAGATTTCGTTTTGTCGTAGACAATCTTTGCAGCTCGGAACTAAGAGGAAACACTTTTTCCACTAGGTAGCAAGGTGTTTGTTACTGAGCTCACAAACTACTCGTATAAATCAAACACAGTGCTCTTTAATATCTCTAGAGCAATTCTTCCAGAATTGGATTTATTAATCAAAGTAATTGTTTGATACAGAACACTAAAAATTGCCTTCGCTAATACAAAATTATCATCAGTATGCGCCAAATCACGTACGTGGGACAGTAGCCGCTAAGGTAGTTTGACTATTCGCAAGCCTAATCACGGTTGGCCTATAATAAAGTAAAGCTTACACTACCGCACTACAGCTTGTCAGTACGCCCTATTCCCGCTAAGTTTACTACATTGTTTCACTTAGCGGGGTTTATTAGACCTAGATAGAAGCTAGCCAGTAGCCACTGGCTCGTGGTCTAGGGCCTTAAGAGTCAGCCTTCAGACAATATTGAAGATGTTATTATTGAAATTACTCCGAAAGATATCTACCCCTAAGAACAAGACTAGAAGACCATACAGAAGCTAGTAGAACCATCTCCTCTTTTCTTTCTTCCCCTTCCCGTTTCCTTGCCTAGGTTTAAACCTACTTCACTCGAGCGGCACAACATGCGTCCTCTATATACTCCCTCTCAAATCCCGAGCATACGTGTGTATAACCCCTTATGACGATTGCAATAGCCGGTCGAAAGATTAAAATATTAGGACCGGCCGCGCCAAGAAGATTGTCTAAAATCAGCAGTGCAGACGAAGAACCAGACTCGTGTGAGTTACTCCTGAGAAACTTATGTTAATATTAAGCAAACAAGGCATATCGAACCAATTTGTGAATACCTAGTTGGCGCTTTATCCTTGGTCGGCTATGCTAGGCCAACTCAAGACTCCAAAACCGTTTATAAGCTGTTTAGATATTGATTATAGGTACTTACTTATATAGACCCGGGATGGAGATTGCATGTCAAGTGTTACGACCCGACAGTTAACAGACCACTGACGACGACCCCGCAGGGGCTCAGCGGTTATAGGGACGGCCGTCAGCCGTTACGTCGTAACAACCCCCACGGAACGGAAGAACTAGGATACAGGTCACGTGACGATAAGCAGGACCGACGGACGATAAGCGGTCCTGGGACAGGACCGACGGTGCCAAGGGCGGTCCATGGCGATGGACCGACGTCCTGGGTGTCGGTCCCCCAGGATCAGGAAGTGTTCAGCATGGAACCAGACTTGTATATAGTTGGGACTCGAGTCCTCTCGAGTCCTACCTTTCCTAGTTCTTCAGCAATCAACTTCGTGATTACCCTAACCGGTACTTTCAGCTATACCTAAGTGACGACTACTCTACGACTCTTGTTGAGGCCTTGACTGATCACCAAGACCTTTGAAGATCTACGATCTATTCGACCAGGACCACGGAACGACTGTTACTACTCTCAATCCCTGGCTTACTGTTAACACAAACCCACTGTCAGTTAGCTGGCCGTAACATCAAGGCGTAAAACAATAGCTTTATGTAGTGCATAACTTCCGTATCTTTTGTAAAGTTCTTTGCTACTTTGTTATAAAACTTAAAATATAACTTAATCTGGTCTAGAATATCTGATTAGCTAAACCCTGCCTGTAGTAGTCCTGTTTGATTAATAATAAACGCGTCACTTCTCCTCATCGTCTACTAGTCCTATATTTCATCGAGGCGTCCCCCCACTAATTACCCCGACGCGCCCTCACGCCCTCACGCCCTCACGCCCTCACGCCCTCACGCCCTCGCACTTGGAAATTGCTTATTCCGCCGCTCTGGCCATCCCGGCATGACGCGTCCCCCCCCCGGCCTGTTTTGTTTTGCTCCTACCTGCCCTCTCCGACGACACGAACGGCGTCTTTTCTTCATCCTATTATGCTCGTCCCGTCTGTCTTTGCGCGACGCGACAGCCGCTGCTTACATCACTTCTATCTACCCGCCCGTTGTTGACCACCCCAGCTGGCCGACCGCTCACCCCCCGGTCGATCGCGTCCGGGCGCGTCCAGTATCACCCGCCGCCCACCGTCACCATCGTCGTCCTTCATTACCAACCTTCTCCCTAACCCCCCTTCCCTCCTGCTCTACTACTGACTATCGCCATTATCGCAAAACCTCGTCCCCTCCTACCCGCCCTTCTAACTAACCCTCTTAGAGCGGAGTACGGACGGTAGAGACCGCTATAACTACCGCGTCGTATCGTTCGTTCGTCCGTCCGTATCTACCGGCTGGTATGGCCTGTTCTACCGAATAGCTTATGATGGGTAGTCGGCCGCTTCGCTCGCAAAAGAGCTGCGAAGAAGGTGAGTGAGTGGTGCCGAGCGCTGCTTACTGACGTCTACCTCTTCTCTTCTCTTTCTTCTCCCTGCCCTCTTTCTCGCCACGAAAGAGACGGACGGAGGACTCTTTTCAGCCGTGTGCCCTAGCCGGCCCGCCTACCTTCCCTCCTACCAGCTTCGCCTTCTACTGCTGGCTGCCCCCTCGCGAGACACATCATGCCCCCAGGGGCTTTTTGTGTCCGCGTCTCCACTTACCCTGGCCAACCATACTTATCACGCCCCCAGGGGCTTGTCAATGTCCGCGCCCGCGCCCTGCTCCTGCTCTCCTCCCCTTGACGCTTTTCTTTACGCCCCTAGGGGCTTTTTAAAATACTCTATCGCCTTTCTTCCACACCTTCCTTCCCATCTCTCTCTCTCTCTCTCTCTCTCTCTCTCTCTCTCTCTCTCTCTCTCTTTCTCTCTCTCTCTCTATACATATGTATTATGAACTTAAACTGATTGAGCTGGGCCGCGCCTGGAACGATCCGGAACTGGAAACTGCCAGCACTGGCGTTGGCACTGGAATTACACTACACCGAACCTGCCTGCTCGCTTCCTTGGGCTGCTTGGACTGCTTGGGCTGATAATACTTGTTGGTCCTAGCATAACAGTACTGGACCTGGCCTGCTACCAGCACTACGCACCGGCACCGGCAACTGACCCGAGCACTGAAATTAGATTGAATTTAGAAGTAGAAGTAGAGTTAGGTAGACTGAATGATAAACTGCTTGCCTTGCCTTGCCTTCCTTACCCACCTCTACCTGCCTACCTGCCTACCTGCCTACCTGCCTGAAGGAAAAGTAAAGTAAAGAAGTAAAAGGTAAACTAAACTATACTACTTGCTTGCTTGCTTACCTTGCTTGCTTGCCTGCCTGCCTGCCTGCCTGCCTGCCTGCCTGCCTACTTACTGACCTACCTCCCGCCCGCCCACCTAAATCCGCTACCCGCCCTGGCCCTAACCCGACCCTACGGGGGCCGCCCGCCCGCGCTACTAGGTGGTAGGCTAGGGGGGACCAGAAGACGCTGGCCAGATGCCCATCATAACGCCGAACGCCTTCCGCTTCGCTGTTGGCGGCTTCGGCGTCCTTTTGTAATCGGCTGAAGGCCTATTCGGAAGGGACAATCTGTAGAAATGTATCAAGGACCGCGCCGCCAGATCTCCTCGTCGGGCGTAGCGGACTTCAGCCCCGTCTGGGGAAATCCGCCGCGTTGGAGCTCGTCGAAGCTTGGGACGGCCTCCCAGGCGGACAGGTCCTCCACAGGCCAGAAAACAAGTTGTGTCGCTCAATGTTTGGGTGCGAACACGTCGGTGACAGATACCGTAATCTAATCGTCCGTGGGGGAACCTTCTCACATGGATGAACAAATCGCTAGAAACCAGGTATCCACGTAGCGGGATGGAAACTCTATCACTATTAATGGGTGTATAACTCCATGTTCCTTAGCTATAGGCCCCGACGAGAGAAGATCGTTCTAGGACTACCGTAATAAGGGACGTGAGGCTAGGCGCTTCCAGCACATCGGCTGTCTGCATAGCGGCCTTGAAGGAGCGGACGATCCAGTTCTTGATCTCGATAGCCACCAAGGAGTCGAGTCCAAAGTCTGCTATAGGTACGTGGGGTCGAACATCGCTAGGGTCCATCGCCAAGAGTTCTGCAAGCTTTGCAGTGAGGGCTTCTTGGACGATGGAGCGCACCTCCTCTCGGCCTTCCGCCGCCGAGATTCTTTGGTCGAAGGAGCGAGAGGCCGCTGCCATGTTGTTGTTTCCTGGCCCCTCCTGTGCCGTCTGGAGGATCTTGGAATAGATCCGGTTGTTGACGGCGGCGTCGTGCTTCACGAGCAGATCGGGGTCGAGGCCGATGATCAGCTGGGTGCAAGGGTCGGCACGGGCTTCCATGCTCATCGAGTAGTCTATGGCCGACATGACTTCATCGAACGGGATGGTGGATAACCCTTGCTTGGCCAGGATTTGTCGGCGTTCCGGGCTATACAAGTCGGCATCGGTCCCGGCCACAAGCCCTGGGTTGATCGTCACGGTGTGCGTGGTCCTGGTCCTGTTGACACCGGTTTTCCACATGGCCAAGCCTTCTTGAAAGGTGTTTCCGGCAGCATAATTGGCTTGGCCTACAGATGATTGCGAAGACGAGATTAGCTATCCCAATTGTCCGAGGATCAAATAGTACATATAAATATACGGAGAGGTCCAGCTTACCTTTGGTGCCCAAAGCACTGATGGCAGAAGCCAGCATGATGAAAAAGTCCAACGACGCCGACTCGAAGCACTGCATCAAGTTCAACGTGCCTTGTTGTTTCGGGCGCAAAGCGCTGTGGAAAGTGTCGAGATCCATGGCTTCGAGCATGCGATCCTAGTAGGTGCCGGATTAGACATGGCGAAACTTGGTTCATGGAACGATAAGGCGGCTGAAGGTAGGTTTACTTACTCGAAGAACAGCAGCAGACTGTATCACACCACGCACCGGGGGCAGACCACTGGCTCGAAGCCAGTCCGCTGCCGCCGCCACCTTGTCGAGATGGGCAACATCGCACGTTGTGGTGTACAGATGTGTCCCCAGGGCCGCCAGTTCCTTTTCCAACAAGTCTTTCTTCTCGGGGTCCCTCGATGCGCCGCTCCGAGATAGAATGACCACGTGCCTCGCTCCACGAGCGGCAAGCAGACGGCACATTCCCTGCCCGATGTCTCCCAGACCACCGGCGATGATGTAGGTGGCATGCTCCACCAGCCTTGCTTCCCCGGGGCTGGATGCAACGACGGCCTTGACTAAGGAGCCAGGATGGATCTCGAGCACCGTCCTCGCCGCTGTTTTTCCTGCTTGCACCTGCCGAAAGGCATCGTGAAGATCTGTGATAGGTTTCGTGGAGAGGGAAAAGATGGACTTGAAGTGTCCCTGGTCAAGCATGGCCATGACCTGGCCCATGAGGCGCCCAACAACGTCCGGTTTGTGTTGGATGACGGCGCCTAGGTCAAAAGATACGTATGTCGCATTCTTGCGCGGTGGAACAGCGCAGGCTACACCACCCGGCTGTACTACGTCAACCAAGGTCCCGAAGTTGGCCATGCACGCCCAGGTATCCCTGAAGACATCACGGCCGGAGCAGTTGAGGGCGACGTGAACGCCGCTTTTCTGGGTCAAGCGAAGGATCTGGTCCTTGTAGGTTCCCGCCTGGATCGAAGAGACGCGGTTCGCCGGCAGATGAAAGTCTTGGACGAGCATCCGTCTCCCGGACCCGTCGGCGTCGTGGACCGTGGCGAACACGTCGGCCCCGAGATGCCGGGCCAGTGCCACGGCGGCCCGGCCGCACTCGCTGTCGGCGCCGTGGACCAGCACCGCGTGCGACCGGCCGACGCCCGTGAGCTCCAACATGGCGTACGCGGCGCTGACGAGGGGATACAGAACCGACACGCCGGCGGCGAACCCGACGGACGCGGGGAGGTGGTGGACGAGGGTGGAGGGCACGCGCGGGCGGTTCGACATGGCCTGGGCGGCGAATCCGACGACGCGGTCGCCGACGCCCCACTTTTCCCGGACGACGCCGGACCCGACGGCGGTGATGGTGCCGGCCACCTCGGTCGACAGCGCCAGCCGGGCGTCGGTGCCGCCGCTGGCCAGGAAGGCATCGGCTCGCGTGACGACATAGCACTCGGGTTGGATCTCGACTTCCAGCGACCCCAGCGGCTCCCGCGCCAACGGCACAAACCGCATACTGCCCACCACGCCGGGCTGCTCGACGTCCAGCGCCAGGTCATGCTCGCCCCCGAAAGCCGTCATCTCGGCCGGAGCCGGCGACCCCGTTCTCCTGGCGCGCGCCCAGCGCTCGTAGCCGTCGGCCGCCGATAGTCGGGGCACCCACACCTTGCCGTCGCGGTACACGTACTCGCACTCGTAGAAGCCGTCGCGGTCGTCTGCCGCACGGTGGAAGTTGACCGCGATCACGCGGCCAATCGTCCGCAGGATGTCCTCGTATTCCGTCTGTCCGTGGCCGTCCGGCACAAGCAGAGACGTCAGCCGCATGCCCTCGTTTTCCCGCCGCGCCACGCGTGTGAAGCCGGTCACCAGGTGAACGCCGGGGCCGGGCTCCTGCCCGGCCTCCGCGGCGACGCTCACCCAAAGGACCGACCTGGCCTTGTTTATGAATGCGATGAGCTCCTGGAAACCGTGCTGCTGGGCGTGGTCCAGGAACGGGTCTGATGCGTTGTCGAGGAGGACGTAGACCTTGTCGGGACTGACGGAGCCGACGACGGGAAATGCGGTGGCTGAAGTCGTAATGTCGCCGTCTTCTAAAACTCTCTGCAGGCTACCGGCAAGATGCAGCATGTCGGGATGTAGGGACACTAACTCGACTGGTGGTTGAGGTTGATGTGAGGTGTTGGACTTGTGGCCATTCACTCCATTCACCCTTCCATCATCTTGTTGCTGAGTTTGGTTTGCCGAGACTGGGTGTACCGGTACTGGGCCGGGGAAAAGCTCATTATCCTCGACCCAGTCTGTGTAAAGCGCAGGCAACGGTCCCGTACCGGAACCGCTCGTCGACGACTTGGCCTCTCCAATGACTACCAACTCTAGATCCGATATGGTGACGCAGGGCCGTGACAGGTCAGAGACTTCCTCGGCGAAGACGACCGTGTTGGCAGCCGCCGAGTGCGAACTCAACGGCACCAACTCGACACAGGCTGACAGCTGCTGGCCCGGCTGGCTGGGCATGTTCGCTCGGACCGTGAGCTCCCCAACACGAACAGGCATGATTGGCCCGGTCCTGTAGTGCCTTGCGTGCACGGGAAGGCTTGCGTGGGCAATGGTATCGAGCGTTGTCGGGTGGATATGGTGCAGCTGCATAGACCTAGCGGGCATAATACCAACGACGTCGGGGGTCTTGATAACAGCGTGTGCCGCGTAGTTGCCGAGGCGCATCTCAGTGATGGTAGCAAACGTCTCGCCGTAGTCGTTACCGTTGTTCCGCATCGTCTCGTAGAGAGTGTCGGGAGAATGGCCGTCATTACATCTCGACTCGACGTCTCGACACCACTTTACGAGTTCCGAGAAATGCGTTGCGATATCGTCCGAGGTCTCCACGTCGCTTTCATCATGGCCGCTCTCATGTTCAGTCATGATCGACCCGCGGCATTGTTCAGCCCATTGTCCCTCGGGCGACAATGCTATCACGACAAATTCCCTCCACGCACCCAACGCGTCGCGGGCCTTGGCTGGTGCGCGGAGGATGAGCTGCACCTCGACGGACTCTGGGGGGTCTGGTACGACCAAGGCTTTGATGAACCGTACGTCCCTGAGTTTGAAGCTTTCCACACGGGCACCGGTCCCGTTGCCGTTCCCCTGAGCCAGTTGCCACATGGCCTCGATGGCCATGCACATGTAGCCGGAGCCGGGAAATATGACAAAGCCATCCACAACGTGGTCTCGGAGCCAGGGCATGCGGTCAATACTGAGGATATTTCGCCACGTCGGGTCAATGTCGTTGCCTGCTACGACGCGAAGGCCCAGCAAGTCGTGGTGGGGGTGAGGGCGCAGACGGTAGTCTCTGCTGAGGCGCGACTCGTGCCAGTATGTCTTTGAATGATCCCATGCGTAGGTCGGAAGGTCTTTGATTACGACAGGACGAGGTTTGGGTCGCGTCTCGTCATCCCCTTGAGCCTCGGCTATCGGGATGGTCGTTTGGTTCGCGGCGGTGATATCAACGGCACACCCGTGCTGGAATAGTTTCCCGGCCATTTCCAGCACCGTCTTTCTGGCGTCCTTCTCTCGGAATAACGGGGAGGTGTATGCGTATTCGAAATCGACCAGGTTCAAGGACGTCATCGTCTGCCTGGTCGGACCCGACAGGGCCGGATGCGGGCCGAGTTCGATGAAGATGGGCGAAAGAGGGCCACTATGTTGCGCACGAAGCGCGTTGCAAAGTGTTCCCAGGGCTTCGCTGAAGCGGACTTTCGAAACCAAGTTCTCGACCCAGTATTCGGTGCCAAAATCCGATACTTTCTCTTGGGCAGTGACTGACGAGAAAAACCGAACGCCTTTCCGAGGAGTAGTCGTCTCCACTGTCTGGGGGTGAGCCACAGGTCATGATGATGGGCAGTCGTCTAGAGAGTTGAATGGTGTTACTTACTGCGGCCGATGTTTTCTCGGTATCTCGGCGCCACAACTTTCATATGGTGCGAATGGTACGCCGTGTCTACTTTCAGGACTCTGGCAAAAATGGATGCCGAATCGAGCCTCTGTTTCAAGGCGTCGATTGCCATCTTGTCTCCCGAAATAGTAGTGCTGGACGGACTATTGACACACGCAACGCTGGCGATGCCGCACTGAACAAACACTGCGTCAGCCGACAACCAATCGACGCGTAATTAACCGGTGCGCCGCTTACCTCGTGCGGTATGTCTTGCAGGTGAGGGAGGACCTCTTTCTCGCCGAGTCCGGCGGCCAGCATCGCGCCCTTGGTCTCCAGGTCCTCGTCGCACCACGAAGAAACCAAGCTCCGACGGTCTGACAGCAGGAGGGTTTGCTCGTGCGTCAGTGTGCCGGCCGCGTAGGCCGCCCCCATCTCGCCGCTGGAATGGCCGAGAACGGCGTCTGGGAAGACACCCAGGCTATGCATCAAGTCGACCAGGGCAATCTGGACGGCGATGCTCGCCGGTTGCGCAATCTCGCTCTTGTCGATGCGCGAGAGGTCTTTGTCCTTACGCAGCTCATCTAGAAGGCTCCAGGAGATGCCTAGTTTCCGTAGGATCTGCTCGGACTTCATGATGGAATCCCGGAAACGCCCCTGTGTCATGAAGAGCTCTCGGCCCATGGCGTACCATTGGGCTCCTTGGCCCGTGAAGAGAAAGACGACCGGTCTCGTGGACGGGGCCACCTTGGCCAGAGTTGCCTCTCCGGCAGCCGACAGAAGATCCTCTTTCGTAGACGCGACGCAGCTGCTTCTCCACGCCATCGGCGTGCGCCGGTTGGCCAACGTGTGGGCCAGGTCCTCCAGACGAAAGTCGTCCGTTTTCTTCTTCGACATCCAGTCTCGGAGGCGGTCCATGTTCTCGCCGAGAGAGTTTTTGGACTTGGCGGCCAGGACAAAAAGCTGGTATGTTTTTGCTTCGTCGTCTCTGGGTGGCGGACTGGGTATTAGGGCATCATCGGCAGCGCCAATCCTCGTCGCTTCGATCATGTTGCTGCTCTCTTCCAAGATGACGTGGGCATTGGTGCCGCCAAACCCAAAGTTGTTGATTGATGCACGGCGGACCATGCCTGACGGCCACGATTCTAGCCCGTGGCGCGGTATCTAGAGCTTCGGTTAATTCTCCCATCACCACCATTGCGAGCAAAACAACAGGTTCCTTTGATTGATGTACCAAGTAATCAATCAACCATCCTGGGGGGGGGGGGGGGGGGGGGGGGGGCGGGGGTCAAAATAAAATGCAAATACCCTTATGTTATGAAACTGCACGCTGTGCTTCAACCTCAGCACGCTGGGCGTTGGGGGGATGAGACCCCTTTCGAGGGCGAGGACGACCTTGATGACGGCGGCCAAGCCACTGACGGGCTCGAGGTGGCCGAGGTTCGCCTTGGAAGATCCCAACAGCAACTCTCCCTCCCTCCCTTGGCAGAAAACGTTGTGGATGCCCCGTACCTCGGCCCCATCTCCGGCAATGGTGCCGGTCCCATGGGCCTCTACAAATGCCGTGTCCCTAGGGTCGAGACCAGCTTGCTCGTAAACCCGGCGCGCCAGGGCTTCCTGGGCTTCCCCACTCGGCAGGGTGATGCCGTTCGTCTTGCCATCCTGGTTCACGCCCGTGTTGCGGATGACGGCTCTGATGGGATCTCCGGCGGCAATGGCATCGTCGAGGCGCTTCAGGACCAGCGAGGCCACGCCTTCGCCTCGGCCATATCCGGACCCCCGGTCATCGAAGGAATAGCTTCTTCCTTCGTTGTTGAGCATGCTAACCGTCTCACTAGTCAGTACGTACGAAACTCATTTCTTGACGCGGGAGATCAGTCGAAGAAAGATGCACTACATACCCCATGAAACTCATGCCGAACATGAAGTCGGGCGTCAAAATCAGGTTCGACGCCCCGACAATCGCTAAGCTGGACTCCCCGGCTCCCAGGGATTGACAGGCCTGATGGAGTGCTACCAAGCCGCCCGAGCACGCCGTGTTCAGTGACACAGACGGCCCCCTGAGGTCAAACAAGTACGAAATGCGGTTGGCCTCGATTGACGGCGCGTTGCCCGTCAGATGGTATTTGGGGAGGTGCTGGGTGTCTTTCAGAGCGATGGTCTCGTAGTCGTGGTTGAAGGCTGCGGTGAAGACGGCGGCGTCGGTGCCTCGAATGCTGTCGAGCGGGATGCCGCCACTCTCCATGGCCTCGTATGTGGTCTCCAGAATGATGCGTTGCTGGGGATCCATGGCTTCTGCTTCGGCGGCGGAAATGCCAAAGAAATTGGCGTCGAACGTAGCGACATCCTGTTGGATAAAGTGGCCGCCGCGGTGGTTGTGCGACTCCTGCGAGTCGTGGTGTAAGTGGTAAAACGATTCCCAGTTGTAGCGGTCGGCGGGAACGTCAGTCCACGTGCTGCGGCCGTCCTCGAGGAGCTTCCAAAACTTTTCGGGACTGTCTGCGCCTCCCGGAAGCCGACATCCCATGCCGATTATGGCAATGGGAGTTGGTGTTGGACGTATTGACGGCATGATGGTCATTGACTACCTATGATGAGGTTGGCAGGGGGGCATGGGGGTTGACTGATTTGTCTGGGTACCTATTCTGGCACAGCATGGGATACCGTCACTACGAAGAAGACTGGTAACAAGGATAATGTCTTGTGAGATCGAGACAGCCCGGATTGAAAACAGGCTGGCTCGAGTGACACATATAGGAATCGTTCTTCTTGGTCGTCCAACGACGCCGCACTTGTTCGGCCATGTGCTATCCACACAGTACCCAAGACCAGACCTATCCGTGGATATTGGGGAGCAAGGGCATGGTCGTACTCGCCTTGCCTTGACACGCATGTTGAGTCTTGGTCCTTCTGCTGAGCAACACGTCAGCTCGGCGCCTGGGCAGTTTGTTTCCTTTTCGGGACCCTGCCACGTTTCTTGCAAGTTCGAATGGGCAAGAAGAACGAGACGAGGTACTGAGCATGATCCAGGTACTCCGTGTACTGGTACATGGCTGGTGGCTACCTGCACCTGTACGTTATATGCACACCCTGTGCGTTTTGGATGGCTTAATTGCATAAGTTAGTTTGTACCCATTGGGAAAAGTCTCCAGGAGCTAGATCCCTGCAGCCTTGCGCCCGGGCAGGGGTCTTGACGGGATGGATCATGTACGTAGTATACGCCCAGGGTGGAGCGTAAATTATCTTGGCTAATGTCCTACCCAAGTGAGAAGTCGGGATTTGTTAACCCACCAATCTACCATGTCATACTGCAATCTCCTGCAATCCCGTAATCTAGGCAGGTCGGTCACGTTCATCAATCATCGACCCATCAGTCTCTCCAGGGGTAAATCAGTGGGTCTATGGCCGGGAGCTTTATTTCTATAGCCTCGATGAGTACATGGTACATGGTACATGGGTAGCTATGCGGACCCTTGCAAGCGTCGTTCCCAGAGGATTTCGGCGGCCAAGGGAGGGCGCGAAAACAAGGATGCGTAATCGGTCGGGGGCACCCAGGATTTGCCATCGACCGTGTTGAGCTTCAAGTTTCGTACCATGGTGAGAATAATGGTGACGAGGTTGACGTAGGCGAACTTTTCGCCGATGCACCGGTGGCGGCCGGCCCCAAACGGCAGATACGGACTTCTCGTGCCCTTGTTCACGGCGCCGTAGCCGTAATCCACCATGTCCTCCTCCAACTCGACCTCGACCCGGCTGTCCCAGCGGTGCGGGTCCCAGACCTGGGCGTTTGGGAAGTACTTTTCGTCCAGGTGCGATGAAATGGGCGACGCCACGAGCACCTTGTCGGGGGTGATGACATAGTCGCTGTTGGGCACCTTCATGGGGTTCATGACCTTGCGCATCAGGGAATGGATGGAGGAATGCACTCGAAGCGTCTCCTTGACGACGTTTTGCAGCAGAGGGAGTCGATCGAGGTCGGCGTATTGCAGTGGCCTAGTGGTGTCCGGGCCAAGATTCTGCAACTGCTCCCGATACAGCTCCTCGACCAAGTCGGGGCGCGAGGCGAGGCGGAGCATGATCCAGGCGCTGGAAGACGCAGACGAATGTTGGCCGCCCATGAGCAGGGTAATCATCATGTGGGCAATCTCCTTGTCCGGCAGCGGCGTGCCGTTCTTGTACACGCAGCTCATCAGATGAGAGATCATGTCCGGTTCTTGGTCGCCGCCCTGGCCGTTGCGTCGCGCGTCGATCAGTTCCGTGTAGACGGATCGCATCTTCTCGCGGGCAGCGTCGCGTCGTCGGTTTTGGGGAAGAGGGGCCCAGGGCATGAGGAAGTTGATGGGCCGGAAACCCATGTCCAGGTCGTGATAATAGTCGGCGAACTCGGCGGTGAGCTTCTTGCGCACTTCGGCGCCCTGGAGAGTGCGGCCGGCCGTGAAGACGGTTATCTCGGACATGGCGGCCGAAATGTTCACTTTTCCTCGCGGGCCTTTGAACTCGGACTTGAGGTAGTCGAGGACCTCCTTCTCGATCAAGGGGACGTAGGATTCAAGGGCGGCTTGGGTCAGGCCGAACTTGACAAACTTCTTCTGTTCCATGAGTTTGGAGTTGGGGCAGTCGTAGATGATATCGCTTCCGAAAACAGGCGTGGTGAGGGGCGAGTAGATCTCCTCGGCATTGACATCTTGGAGTCTGCCGTTGAGGATGAATTCGTTGCCTTGGGTGCCGAGGTAGACGGTCATCTTCCTGCCGAACAGGATGAAGGTGAAGATATCGCCATGCTTCCTCCGGCACTCTCGGTAGAATTCGAAGGGATTGGTGCCATACGAGACGGCGTTGCCGATGAATGGTATCCAGTGAAAGATCAAGGGCGGCTCTGACTTTTTGCGCGGGAGTAGTTGGCGAAGGACATTGACGATGATGGCCAGCGCGGAGAGCGCGACGGCATAGGTCGCAGCGTGCGCAAAGAAGGCCAGAATGCTGGAATCCATCTGGGAGGAGGGCTCGCGTGCACGAAGGCGAGCGAAATGGAGTTGACGAGAAAGGGGAAATGTGGTCGAAGATGGTGGAAGTATTTATTAGGGGAGGCACGGTGTAAAAGGTAGCTTAGCTAATGTAAGGAGGTTAGGGCGCCTTGGGTGAGCAGTGGCAGCAGGTGGCAGCAGTGGAAGGTGATGCGAATACGAATACGGCGGTTGCGGTGCACGGGCCACTGAAGGTCTCCGGTGCAGGCGCAGGCGCAGGCGCAGGCACATGCAAAATATAAGTCAGCACACCCCATCCCTACGCACCCCCCTGTCCCTGCGCACCATTTTTATAGCAATATAATAAAGGCGAAAATGACTATGTGTTTAATTATCCTTAACTACTATAACTTCTAGGCAAAAAAAACTATAGAAACTATTAAATTCTTTCTCCTAATTACAAATAGTAGTAAGAGATTTCTATTATACCTTTTTTATAAGTTATTATAATACTTTAATATTAGTAATGTTTATAAACGTCTTATTTAGGTTAGGTATTACTTTCTTCTTCTTAAATAGTATAGTAATCTCTAGTTTAGCTTTTAGCTAACTAGCTTACTTTTCTACTATAATAGTATAGCTATTTTTCTTATTAATAGCCTTCCTTAACTTTCTTAGTATATAGATAGTATATCTTTTTACTATCTTTAGTATACTTTTAAGTATATTAATAAATTTCTTAATATTAGCTAACTTTTAAAGAGTTACTAGCTATTTAGCCTTGCTTCTTATAATTCTTTTTAGTATTTTAAGTAGTTTAAGGATAAGGGAGCTTAGTTAATAAGAAACTAAAAGCTTTTAAGAACTTTATAACGGTTAACAAGCTATAAGCTAGTTGCTTTCTAACTAAAGTATATATTAGGATTTAAGAAAGCCTTTATATATATTAAGGTATAGTAGTAAAGAAATCCTTACTTCCTAAGGTTAAAACTATTAATAAAGGCGTTATAATATAAAACCTTATTATAATAGTATTACTTAAGTAAACTAAAAACTATTAAGTCTAAAAGTTAAGTAATATAGCTAGTATAAGCTAGTAGAAATATTATATAAATATTTTAATAGTAATATTCCTATATAAAGTCTATTATTATATAGCTTTTATACTTAACGTACATGATAAGCGAGTGAGACAGACAAGCGAGTGAGACAGTAAACCAGACCTTCGCGACAATAATATCGAAATCTATAACAAGAAATCTTAGATTGATTAATACTACTCGGATTCCTGTTCTTCGGATGTTTCCTTAATAAATTGACATGTTCTCGCGTTGTGGCCTGTATTCCCGCATACGCCACACCGACGATGAGTCGTCTCAGACCTCACTTTGCGACCACTACTCCGTCGCGTTTCCTCTTGTAGTTGCGTGTCTGCCTCTCTTTGCGACTGTATATCCTCTCCAGTAGATATAGTAAGACTTCCTCCTTTCTGTAGACGTGTTTTCTTAGCCCTTCGACGCCGACTTAATATTGCATTCTCCTCTCGAAGGATTTGAACCTCTGACTCTAGTAATGCTACCCGATGCCCTAGTCCTTCTGTCCCTCTGGCTAGCTTACTCACAGCACTATAAATTGATGCTGGAGAGCTGCTTCGGTGGCGTGAGATTCGACTCTTAATAAAAGTAGACTGTGATCTTGCTTCGCTTGGGTTGCTCGGCGTCCTAGAGATCCAAGGGTCTGGTGTCTGAGGGACCCCCTCCTCAGGCGTTGGCGTTCGGAACTTTACATCCAGCTTTGAGAGAACACTTTCTGCATTCAAAGGGACAAGTCCAGCTCCTCGGAAACCTCCCTGGATATTTTTCCTCGTAAAAGACTGCTTAAAAGCTTCGTGAAATGCTGCAAAGAAATCTTCCTTCGAGATATGGGTTGTGCCTCGCCGCATCTTATTCTCAATTTGCCGACCGTAGGCATTCTTTAACGGCTGAAAACAACCAACATCTAAGGGTTGAAGTAGATGAGACGAGTGAGCCGGCATGCACAGTGTAATAATGTTGTTTTCTTGACAAAAGAGCTCGAAGGCTGCGGAGTGGTGACTTTCATGACCATCAACAACGAGGAGGCGATATTTCCCAGACGTACGTGGTTTTGTATAAATGTCGAAGTGTCTGATCCAGTCAATACCTCTCTCGTTTGTTGTCCATCCATTTTCAGACGTTGCAATAGCCCAATCGCCCGGAAGAGAGGTTTCTGTATACCAGCTTGAGAGGTGATACTGGCCTGCAACGATGATGTATGGCGGGATGCTCTCCCCTTGGGAATTAATAGCCTGGATAACTGTAACCCATTCCCTATTGCCAGGCTGTGTCATCTTCGTATTTGAACGCCTTTCAGCACTTGTAACAACCATTCCAGAAGCAATAACGCCCATCATAAAGCCGGTCTCATCAAAGTTGTAGATATCAGCATCAGCAATACCATACTTCGCAATTGTATTCTTCACAAGCGAAAACCAGCCACGAATCACCTCTGGATCTTCGCATTGAGCTCTCTTATAGTCATACTTGCGAAAGAAACGCGTCCTAAGCTGTGGTTGTCGCTTGACGAAATTAGAAGCCCAGCGCTTCCCAACTGGAGGCGCGTCGCGCTCTGCGAGAAGTCGATTGGCCATTTCTTCCACACCACTCAGCCGGGGAGGAAATGATCGCGCATCTAGGTCGAGAATATACTCAACTATTGTCTTCTCTTCTAAATCTGATAAATTCCGTGAATTAGGCATGCTGTCGCGTCGTGAGACTATTCCCTTTAGTCGCCGGCTTAATGTTGCGTGACTGACTGTATAGAGTGCACCTGCGGCCCGAGCACTAAGTTTTGGGTCATTTCTCATTGCTTGAAGGGCAATTTGTAACCTTCTTTCAATACTAGCTGATTCCATGATTTATTGTAGAGGAAAAGGTGCCGGTCGCGTCAAGGTGCGACGGTCGCGGTTTACTGTCTCACTCGCTTGTCTGTCTCACTCGCTTATCATGTACGTTATAGGTAGTTCGAAGTATTTATTATAATGTAAAAGAAGATAATCTTCTTATTAGGTTTACTTTTTACTTTTCTGTAGGTTTCACAGGGGGTGAAACAGGGGGTGAAACGGAATTCCGTTCGTCAATAACAAATAACAGTAAATTGGTTCTAATCGATGGTTCATGATTGTTGAAAGTGGTGTTGTTGACTAGAAGGTGGGGATATTCCCCCTTGGCCTGTCACGTGGGTCTGGGAGGCTTGGGCCTCTCAGCCTGGCGGGCGTGTGGCTGGAAGTGCCACACGACTCCGTATTCCAACTATCGCAACACTGGAAACTCTCTTTTTATGGTGTTGAAGCGGTTGGAATACGTTGTCCCTATACAGTTCCGTCTCCTCGTCAATTCGGCCTCCTATCCCTACTTTCTCCCGTAGTTACGGTCTTGTTACCCATCCCTCCATACGTATCGTTATCGTGTTGCTATCAACGAATCTCTCGAGGGCTCGATTTGGTTTGCTCTTCGTGAGGGCATCAGCAGGGTTGTTTTACCCTTGACTTCGTTGACGATACGAGATCGGAAGATTCGTACGTTCTGGTGCCTTCTCTTATTGAACTGGGTGAATTTGAACACTCCTCTAGCGATGAGGCTGTTGATCTCTTGTTTAGTTGACTGTTCGAACGGTTCGCCTGGTGTAGTAATAACACCTTCTCGTCGTAGTTTGATTGCCAATTCTTCGTCTGCTTGCTCCTTAATCGATAGGAATATTTGTTGATAATCCGGGTCATCGTTGAATTCCTCTGTGAAGTGGGCGATTGGCAGTGGTCTCTTCCGGGGTCTGCCCGGGCGTCTTCTCGGTGGCTCCGGTGCCTCTTGCGGTTCGTCCGGTTCACTGCCTCCGCCGGCGACGATAATTTCGTCGCGTACTACTTCCTGCTGCGGTATCTTAGCTTCGGGTTCTTCTTCTTCTGGCGCGGCGATGGAATTAGGTGGTTGATCGGGATCTTCGTAGTATGGTTTGACTACGGTAGACCGGAAGGTCTTCGGACCACGTGGCGTATCGACAGTACAGGTTTCGCCGTTTATGGCTGCTAAAGTAAACGGTCCGGTCCAGCCCTTCTTTTCGCGCCATACTCGTACTTGCGACCGTAGCGGTAAATTAACAATTGGCCCTGTATCAGGGCCATTGCGGGTGGCGATAGCTTCTGCCACCTGTCGCCTTGCGTGAAGTTCGCGTACTTCGCTCGTCGCCTTCTTAATCGCTTTCGCCCGCCTTGTGACTTCGGGAGATGGCGGCGAATCGTCGGTAATTCGTGGGTACGAGCCGAATACCAAGAGTGTTGGCACTATTCCGTTCGGGCCAGCAGTATCGTTGACTGCTTTGACTGCTGTTTGAAGTGCTGATTCTGGCGTAATTGTTGGGTCTTCTGCTCTGATGATTTCGTACGCCCTCCTTAGAGGTGTATGGTATCGTTCAACTTTCCCAATACTGTTGTGGGCTTCTATGGGAATTTCCTTGATTTCAATTGCCATTCCTCTCGCCGCGTTTCGGAATTCTGTTGAGCGGAAGTTTGTTCCAGCGTCGGTAACTAGCCAGTCTGGGGGTCCCTGATACACATCTATCCAGCAGAGGCGTAGGGCTTCCCAAGTGGCTTTCGCAGAAATGTCCTCAAGGAACCGGGCGGCGTTGAACGCCGTGGCGGTATCGACGACGTGGAGGACCGGTCTGTTACCCTCAAGGTACATCACGTCGGCGATAACCTCGTAGTTGAATTCGTAATCGTCTCGTAACGTGAATTTGAACCGTGATGGCGCTGGTGCGTGCATTTGGCATCGATGGCAGACTTTCGATAGTTGCTCAATTGCCGTAATTTCAACTGGGTGGCCGGCCCTCTGGAGCACCTTGTGTAATCGTTGAACAGATGGGTGTCCGAAGCGACGGTGAACCCGTCGCAATTCAGCGTCTGTGAGGTGGTTCCAGGCGAGTGGTTTCTCCTTATCGAGTAATAACCATGGGTGGCCCCATTTGCGAATAATAGGTACGACCTTATTTCCTTGGATGAGGGTATTCGTAACGTTGTTAAAGTAGACCTTCAATCGGTCCATATCTCCTAGGCACATAAGGAAGGGAGTGTTAGTCTCAATAACGTGAAATTTGACGCTTCCAAACGGCGTTGGCACTTTGGTAGTCCCTATAGACTCCAGTGGTATCCCATCGCCGAATTTCACTGTAACGCCGCCAGCCGCCTCAGTGTTTAACGTAATTCCTTCGTAAATTTGTTGTAGGGCCACGAATTGTGGGTGGCCAGCGGTTGAGAATCCTGCTGCGCCCGAGTCGGGCATGATCCCTTGGAAGTTCTAGGCAGAGTAGCGTCCCTCGAGTGTGAATTGCGAAGGTAGCTCTTTCGGTTCTGGTTGGTTGCGGAAGAGGTCTTCTTTCGTAATAGCATGGCGGGTTGACTGGTCTGCTAGGATCGTGGCGATCCTGTTGCCGTCAATTGCTGTTGTAGTGAAATAGGCGGTGACCTGGAATTGACTGTCGCTGCCGGTCTCTTCCTCTTCGTCACTTTCACTGGTTTGTTCGGTTACGTGGTAGTATTGCTGGGGGTCTTCGGCGGTAGGTTGTAGGTCTAACCCGTCGAAACCCTCGTATTGGACGAGAAATTGGCCATATGCTGGAAGTGACGTATCCTGGGCATATTGGGTGGTTTTGAACTTCTCGTACGCTTTTCGTCTCTCTTCTGTGGTGTGTTTGGTTGACCAGCAGTTAGGTTTTCCACACACGTAGCACTTCTTAGGCGTTGGCGGTAATAGGGGTCTGTCACGGCTTCTTCCTCGTGATGATCGACTTCGTGATGAACGACTGTATCGTGAATAACGCCCTCGACCGTTGAAAGTTCTGTCGGTCCAGTACTGCTCTGGTGGGTTGGCTACTGTGTTGAATTGTTGTTGGTTGAGACGGGTAGCTGTCTCGATCGACGAGATTAATTGGCTGCGAAGTCCCTCGTACGTCTCAGCCGGTACAAATAACGCCATTGCACACTCTGGAATATCTCTACAAGCGTGTAGAAGTTGGGTATGGAGGGATCGGTCGTTGTGATCCTGTTGTGGCAAACCGGGCTGAATCTTGCTTAATTTGTCACATAGTATGTCAAAACACTCCGATTTGGTCTTTCCAGGGTTATCGCGAATGATTTGGGGAAGAGTAGTTGTATTCCACTGCGTAACGTACGCTTGTTGCCTTTCCCTAGTCTCGAAGTGTGATTTCAATTGGTTGATCATGGTCTCGAAGTTGGGCTGTGGGTTGATCACTTTAATCGAGGCGTAGAAGTAGGTTTTGGCTATTCCTTTCAGTATTAGGGGAAGTGCCCTGTTGTATTGGGAGGTGTGAATTCCCAGCATTCTACAGTGATCCACGAATACTGGCATCTTCTTTTCGAGTACATCGTACATATCGCCGCTGTATTTCATATCGTCGGGGTATAGTTTCGCGAATTCTGTTAATTGCTTTCCGATACGGTCTGTTGACTCGTATGGTTGGAAGTCTGTTAACGGAGAGACCGTGGGATGTGGCGGTCGGTACGGTAGTTGCCACTGTTGTTGTTCTTGTGGAGGAGGTGGCTGTAGGGTTGGTTCGACTCTTCCTCCTGTGCTGTTGGCTACTGTTGCCGGTCTCGTGATCTCTTCGTGGAATTCGGGGTCTTTTATCAGAGCCTTCAGGTTGCGATATCTCTTGACGCCTTGTTCGAGTTCTTGGGGTGACCAGTAGTGGAATTCTTCCTTTTTGAGGGCTAATGCCACGTTTTTCGAGATTTTCTTGCCATCCATTTCGACGTAGACGCCGTTACCGATTAAATAGTCTCTGAAGAATCGTAGGATTGGGGGAGGTACGTTCTGGAAGTCTTCTTCTGACCAGTCGGCGAAATCGGGAGAAACTTCGTTCCATAGCTCGAGGCCCGTGAGATTCCTCTTCTCATAGGTCTCAAGTAGGAAACCCATATAGGAACCCAGTTGCTGTGGGCTAGCGTTTGTAAGGTCGATTGCCCAGTTGCCCCATACTGCTGGATCGATCATACTTTCGATTCTCTGTGGGATGGGGACTGTTGATTGGCTTTTGGCAGTGACGCCGCTCGCGGGCGATCCTTCTCGTGAATTTCGCTCCATTCTGACAGTATAAAAGGATTACTTCTGTTTAGAATCTTGAATTCTAATCCTCAACAGCGTCAGCTGCGATTGGTGCAAGATGCAGGCCTGGAAGTGGGAGTCAAAAGACGATTCGGGATATTACGATTCTAAGGGGAAAGAATCGTGAAATCGGGGATTTTCGTCGGTTCGTCGTTTGTTTCCGTCGGCGCCGTTCTCGCTGATGTTCTCGAGGGGTGTGAGGGTATACACAGGTCTCGAATTGGTAGGGAGAGAGTTCTACCGTAGATTCTCTCGTGAATCTCTCTTTCTCGCTTCGGGCTTCGCTCCTCACTGTTGGGAAGTTTAGAATCTAGCGGACAGTTGGCCTTATGACGCCCACAACCACGTGCGTTTCTCCTAAGCCGCAGCCTCGGAGGCGTATACGTATAGCTGTATAGGCGGATTACCGCCGGTAGTCTCCGCTCGCCTTTCGGCGTGTTCTTCTTCTAGTGGGGAGGTCTCTTGTGGCAGGCGCCTCGCGGTTGGCACCTCGTCTGGGGATTTATTGAGAAACTAGCGGGCGCCTCGTGATTGGCACCGCGCGTGGGGGATAGTTGTAGTTGGGGAAGTTGTTATCCCTTGTGGGATTCGTGAATCTTCGCCCTTGTGGCGTGAAGAGGTTGGAGGACCGTCGATTCGGTAGGTCTCTTCTTCTGGTGATTGAAAACGCGTGATGGAACGCTCTTGCCAGCGATAATTGGCTGCGATTAACCTTATCCCGCCTAGGGTGAGCGTAGCAGTCCCTAGGTTACTCGAATAATCGGATTGCTGGTAGATTCGAGGAAAAGAAGCTTTCTTCTGCTGGTTTCCGTAGATCCCAGTTACTCTCGCTTCTTCTCTCGTTAGCACGAAATCCCTACTTTTACCTGGGCTTGGGTATCCAGTTCAAGAAGTCGTCTCTTCTGGTGTTGACCTTGCTGATCTGCGGTTTGTCCGTAGCAGAGTGGTAATTGTGAAGTTAACCAAATTAATGGCAACTGTGAGGTTTACCACTGATCAGTGTAGGTTTCACAGGGGGTGAAACAGGGGGTGAAACGGAATTCCGTTCGTCATTTTCCTTTATTAATTATTCTATCTTCTACTTTTATATTAGTTATTCTCCTAATTATCTAATATATTAAAATAGCGGTTTATAATAAAAAAATTCTCTCGAAATACTATATAAATATAAGTTATAGCTAGTAACTTAATAGTTATCCTTATTATAAAAGAAATACCTCTTAATAGGGGTTTTATTATAGCTAGGCTAGTAAATCTTATATCCTCCCCCTCCTCCTTTATAACCTCCTTAACTACTTTAGTAACTCTCTTGCTAAGACTAGTTTAGGTATAAGGTAATAGTAATAGTATATATTTTAACTATAGTTCTTAAGTTACTTTCTAAACTATATTTATAGTTTATAAATTCTATAAATTCTATATATATAGCGTTATTAATAATAAGGTTATTTATAAACCTAGCTAGACTATCTATATTTAGATTATCTCTTCTAAGAGGTAAGGGTATCTTAGGTCTAGACCTTAAGAAGGTTTATAATTTCTCTTTTAAAGCTAGTATATATAGTCTAATAGTTATAAAGAAGGTATTTATAAACCTACTTAGGTTTTTATATATAATTTTATTTCTAGACTACTTAATAAAGGTAGTTTTAAGTTATTTTTATTAGATATTAAGGAGGCTATTAACGTTATATCTTAAGGCTTTTATAGCTATATATATTACTTTTTTTAAAAACTAATAAAAAGCGATTTAAATAAGCTTTAAGTTAAATAAAGTAACTTATCCCTTCTTATCTACTTTTAGCTATAAATCCTTAATCTTTATAAAAAAGTTTAAAAATCCTATAAGGTTATTATCTAAGATTCGATCTTTATAAATAATCCCCTTAATCTCTTCGTTAAGGTTTTACTTAACTACTAGGTTTACGATTTTATAAACTTATATTAATTTATCTTTTATTTTAGTTTATAATAAGTCTTAAGTATATAACTTAACTACTTACTTATACTTTTAGTTATAAAAATATAAATATTAGCTATCAGCTTTTTATTAGTTATATTAGCTAGCTTCTTATAAGTATAATATTTATTAAGGAAGTTAATAATCTTATCTTTTATAAACTTAGGAGCGTTATTTCTTTATAAAACTATTATATATAAAGTATACTATTTATTAATACTATTTACTAATAACGTAATATCCTTCTACGTAATAAGAAGCCTTTCCTAAGTATAGACTATTATAAGCCTTTTAAAAGCGTCTCTCGCGCTAGTTATTTTAAAAAGACTTAAACTATAAAGGATTATTATTAAAATATTATAATTGTTGGAATAACGATAGTCACATGACCGTACGACAAGGCTGTCACAGGCAAAGGGGTGTATAGGTGGCATGACTAGCACCTGTAACACCTAAATGTCTGAGGAAGGGATCATGGTTTATTACCTGTCATGCACGACTCGTGTCTAGGTATGGACAGAGATATATCTGTTCGTACGGAAGGCAACATCTAGTTAGGAAAGGTAATCACGGAAAATAGAATCTTTGGTTCACCCTACATTTATGACAGTACGATCGTACAGAGAGCCCATTCAACACTGATCAGTGATTGCTTGGCAGTCACGAGTGATTGCATCGTGCGATCACAGATTAGCAAGAGTGAAGAGACAAGATCGAGGTTTTACGGCCGGGCTACCGGGTAGTCTCGTACGCAAGTACGAGGCGAGAAATTCGAAAGAATACCTAAGGGGTCACGCTAGGAAATCTCTTGCTGCTTACTAGAGCCTTAGCCTAGTTGTTGTCGCTGCGGTGAGTCGTAACCGGACAACTAGCCTGAGAAGACGGTTTGTTATAATATCGTACGAGACAGATTCTTGTTGTCGCTGCGGTGAGTCGTAACCGGACAAGAATCCTATCGTGCAATACTTTAGCAAATAGTGTGCGCAACGGCACATTTCAACAACCATCCAACTAGATACCGTACGATACGAAACGGTTGCCAACATGACGACATCAGGAGAACCTGATATCGTACAGCAAGACCTCCTCCAGGAGGAGGAAAATGACTATGAGGTCACGTACGAAGACATGAGTGCAAAGAGTACTATTCCTATTAGTATATGGAAGAAGTCTACAGATCCGAAATACTGGGGAGACTTAGTCGATATCGAAACAGGACCTTCGGAGAAACAATTAACAACATACGTCGGCTACGTAATGATGGAAATCATACACCTAGACCCTCCACAGGAAGTACTTACTACGAAATTGTACGAGGACTTCCATCAATGGTCGCCATACCAATGGGACTTAGTTAACCGGACGTACAAAACCGAGTTCGCACGACTACTTAAACTAAAAGGCTTTCAACTACCTAAATCAAGGACGGTTTCAGAACAATTAGTCGATATAGTCTCAGACATAGCAAAAGGATTCGATTCTACGGACGACCGGGATAATTCCCAGACAAGAACATCAAGCCGTACGAACATTATTACACGCACACCGGTCCGAACCCCAGAGACAACTACACGTCAGACTTTAGCTGAACCAGCGATAGAGTCA